CCTTTTATGGAAGCCTTTGTGTCACCGATTAGAAGGTCTCCTTCATAGGGCGCAAAAGTGACGAATTAAGAACGATCATTGCAAACATGGGTGTCTGCGGCCGAATCATATGCCCACAAATTAGACCGTTCATACTTAGAAGCTAGGCAAGTGACCATACCCATATAGGTGTCGGACTGGCCCTACTTATGCTTCTTGATAGCATTGTCGTAGGCTTGTTTAAAGCCTGAATGGGTGCATACTTGTTTAAAGCGGTCAAGGACTGTTTGGTCTGGTTTCCAACCTTCTGTCCTTATTGAAGGGTTGATATAAGGACAATCACTGAATGTGTGGTAACCATCATAGGCGCCCCCTTGACATGGACAGGGCTTTTTAGTCTTCTTGCCCTGGCCCTTTTCTGATTGTCCTCGAAAAGTGGCATTAACATAAGAGGCTCGTTTAGGCGGAATAAGCCTAATAGAATCCCTATACTTCTTAGTCAAGGTAAAGAAGTCAATAGAGTCTATTTGGCCTATAGATTCAAGCCGATTGATCTCATTATGCCAGTATTCGGCGAAGGAGGGAGACATAGAGGCTAGACCATCAAGGAAGTCCAAAAGTGGTCTAGTCTTTGATTGGACTTCACTAATACCCAATTAGACAGCCTCCACATAAGTGTTCTCGCATTATGAAATCCATGTATCTGTGGTCAAAGAGTGTGGAATTCGGTACATTTGATGGTATTTCTTGATGACCGACCGCTTTTGGGCTTCAGTGGTCGGTGCATAACGCTTTTGGAGTGTTTGTAAGGCTTCATAAACTGACGGTAGGTGCTAAATAATAAGCTTGCTTGAATAGGAGATCGATGATTGAATGATAAGGTAGATCTGAGAGATAGCACCCAAAATACGGTCATATTCGCGAAGGTCAAGTTCATAATCTCTTCGTCTGTCTCTCCACCTTTCACGCTCGTTTGTGGTTAGGTCTTTATTAGTAAGGGCTTTAGGGTTAATATCAGTAACCCTAGGACGAATAGGATAAGAGGGAATATCCCTCTTTATTGGATTATCGGGGTCAATATAGTCCCATACGCCTTTTGCAAAAGCATAAGACTTAATTTGACTAATCCAGAGATACCAGTCTAATGACTCAGACAAGGTTACACCTATCTTGCTTATATCGGTCATAATAGGCAAGAAGGTAAGGACAAAGTGAAGACAAAGTGAAGTCAAAGTGAGAGCAAAGTGCTCGTCGATAAGCCGTGAAGTAGGCTAGAAGTCGAGAAGTCGTCGATAGCTTTGGATCACAAGTCTTATAACTATCGGGTATAAGACCGCAGCAGAAGAACTGGTCTTTAATAGAAGACCGTAATAGATATCAAAGGGAAGCGAGATCCGGGCTCATAACTGTTAGAGCATAAGGGGAAAGCTACCACGAAGCAGATCGTGGCCCCTTAAGTCCGTGGGATCAACCTTAGTCCGGCCAGGTCAGTCGGTGCCAGACAAAGGAAGAAGGTCAAAGGTCGTAGGATAGACTATAAGCAGATATAGCCTAAACGAAGGCAGAACCACAGTCCTAAGGATCAAAGGAAGAAAGTAGAACTGACTTTGGAAAGTGGAAAATGACTTAATTCTTTCTGCTAGAAAAGAAGGACATATTTATAGGCTAAAGTAGCCTAGAAATAACGTCTAGAATAACATATAAATACTAGACAGCAACATAATAAAGGTGGCAAAGAAGGGAACCGAAGAAAAGCCAAAAGAATGATGTCAAGAATCGACGGTTTCAGCCACCCCGAAAGCTTCCCCGCAGTATCTGGTTATGCATACCCAAAGGTGGACCATTTTATCCCTAAGGGAAAGTGGTCCGCCTATCCTTGAGGGGACTGAGGGTCGAAGTCTGTTCACCGAGGTTCGAAGACCATGGTCGAAGTCCGCAGGCAAGATATGCCCGAAGGCACCTCCGAAGGAACGGACTATTTATGCCTGAAGGCGGACCATTTACCTCTGAAGGAAAATGGTCCTGCCTATCATTCGGGAGAGGGCCGCGGACCAGAATCAGAAGTGGTCAAAATATCATTTTGATAGAAGAAAAAATCTGGTCACGTGATTAATGCAATGCTGATCTTATATGTTGAATATAAGGATAGATCTTTCTATGTAGCATTGGTCTATATTCCAATACTATCTAAGTCTATATATATAATAAGGGCGTTCCGTACTCGAATTAGGATATAAAAGCGTAAGGTAGTCCCTATCTTAGGGTCTGGAGTTATAGGGGTAGAGCTCACTTTAACTTATTCCCTTTTCCTAAGTTCCTTAAGAATTAGATATACGCGGGGTATATATTTAGTCTATCTTTAGTGTAATTTAGGGTAATATAGCCGAATTCGTGGTATTAGTAATATTAAGGTCCCGATCCTAAGCGTAATAGGTTTCGGTCTTAGTTTATAGTTAATCTATATATATTATTTAAGTTATAATAGCTGTGGCTTTCCCGGAAGCGTAAGGAACCTAGCTAGGTCTTTAAAGGTTATTACTCCTTATATCTTTAGGAGGCGTTATCCCTTCTCTAGTTATATATATATCTAGATTATATAAGGCGTCCTAATAGGCGTTAATACTCTTAGGTTTCGTTAGCGAATTAGCGATATTTTTTGGCTATTTAGAGTAGGTTCTAGAAATATCCCGCTTTACTTACTATAGTATTATATATCTTTAGTAGTTATCCTCTAGGGAGATATTTACTTATATAATAGCGAAGGGATAGGTTAAGCTTAGAGTAATAGAATATTATATTATTCTTTTCGCTTTTCTATTTAAAATATTATTCTAGGCTATCTAGATAGATATAGAATTAATCCGGATTATCTTATAGCCTTTAGCGTACTTAGCTAAGGCTAATACTTATATTAGCCTATAAGGTAGCTATATTATATAGGAGGGTAGTTATTTAGTCTTTAAAAGCTATCTATAAGCTCTTAAGCTCTTATTATTCCTTTATAGGCTTTATATATATATATTATAGCTATCTTTAGCGATAGTTATATTCTATTATTATTATATTAGCGAATACCTTTTCTCGGTCTATAAGGTATCATTTTAGGTTAGCTTTAAATTAATATTCGAGATTAAGAATTCACTCTTAATATTTCCGGAGATTAAAGTCCTTTAAAAAGGAAGGGATATCTTTAATTTTAATACCCTTTTTATCGTTACTCGCGGTCGATTTATCTTTATTTTATAGCTAGGTCCTTATCTTAACTAACACAGTTCGGTCCCCTTTAAGCTCCCGAATACGTTTAAGGAGGCGGATTTTCTTATTAAGGCGTTCGATTTTATCTTCGATAGTTTGGCTGTCGTTTCGGAGTTCTCTATGGGTCGCTTAATATCCGCGTAGGTCCCCTAGAAGTGGTTCGTATTATAGCGGGTCAGGAGAAATTAACTTAGGTTAGTTTAGTCCCGGGGTCAAATCGGTAGCGTCTCTACGCTAGGACGTAGCAGTAGCCTCGTGCGATATAGGCGTGTTGTCGCCTTCGGTAGCGACGCGGGAGCGGAGGACACGGTCGTTAACAGATATACTTCCTTAGGTAACTAATAAAAGAAGAATCAGAATTATAAAGGATCTATGTGTTTTCGGATAGAAAGCCTGTCGGTTAGGTAAGGAAGGATATCTGGACTAGGTGTAGTATTGTAGAAGTAAGACTAATTCTTGCTAAGTCTAGATTAATTGGAAACCCTCTCGATATAAGTACGAATTGGGTCCGAGACTTGCTTATTCCACTGCGGGGCAAACCTTCACCGCTAGTCCTCAGTATTCCTTTACATTCTTCCTTTGTCCGGCACCGACTGACCTAGCCGGACTAAGGTTGATCCCACGGACTTAAGGGGCCACGAAGTGCTTCGTGGTAGCTTTACCCTTTTAGTCCGACATATTACTATCTAGATAGAAACCCAAGCGGCGTATCCGAATCTCTGAAAGCAGAATCTAACTTATCGCTAATAATTAGGATAACTATTTCCTAGATAAAGATATACCTATCGCGGTACCCCTAGTTATTCTAATACCCTTAGGTCACTATAACGTAAGTAACGCTATATTATAAGGAATTAGACTACTTATTATTAATATAATAGAATTCGTTAATAATCTTAGCGCCTTAGCGCTTTTCTCCGCCGCTTCAAAAGCTATAGCACTAAACGTCTCTATTAAGATAAACCCTCTTACTATAGAGCTCGCTACGGGGGTAGGATATCGATTTAATCGTTAAATAATTAGAGATAGGATTAAGTCGCACTCCGACCTCGACCTTCTCCTTACGGAAGTAACGGACGAGATTCGAGAGTATATAACGGACTACCTAAATCTTAAGGATGCCGTTAAGATACTCGATACCGCGACCGCGTAGCTCGACCCCGGCCCCCTTAAATATATAATAGAAGCTCTCCTACACTATATTACTACACTTACTCCGGAGTTCCCTTCCGACATTTATATATTGAAATGGGAACGGCTCGATGGCTGTCTGGCGATGCAGACTGGACAACACACACACACACACACTGCCTGTCTGGTGTAGAGGATGCTGGATGAGGCCGTACTGATGCCCTGTTGCGGCCGTGCGGGATAATCTTAATGCTGCATCATGGATGAAGGAAATTGGGTGAATCCTGAATGAATTGGGTAGATGACTTGTCTCCCTCCAAGTGTGTCTGGAGATGTACTATGCACTGCAGACATTAAATCATGCCTGAGGCCACACATAGGCTCATTATGTCACCAATTCTCCCACTACAATATAAGATAGCTTAATTCGAAGACGTCCACGTCTGATATTTCTTATATACTTACTTTATATATCGTTTCTTTCGCACTGAGGGCAGTGCGCTTTTCCGAAGCGGGCAGATGTTACCGGGTCAGGTGACCACTCCCACTGCTTTATATTATCTCTACGGAGACTAGTTAGAAGAATCATCTATCTCACGCTGACGCACGTCGATCGTTCTTCCTTCGTAACAAACCTATAGGTCGTGGAATGCGCGATTTCCACCACTTGTCCGAAGATCTTTAAGGTGGAAGATGTCCTTGACATCGAGACTTAGCTTTTGAAGTTCGGTCAAAATTATATCAGCAAAAAGATAGATTCTGTAACTTACTCCGGCTAGAGGTTTGTCCAAACTGGAAGAGTAGTACAATCGAGAAGGCACAGCAACACTCTTGGTCATAGCACCCTGTACTAGTTAGAGTTTTCGTACTTAGGCTAGTGTAAATAGAAGACTTACTTCTGTGACTGCTGGTAACGGTTTGAAGCCACCATTCCCATCACTGATAGCTGCCTCAGTGAAGGCCAATTGATGATCAGGATAGAGCCGAAAAGCTTCATATATCAAACCAGTACTTGCCGAAATAAAGTATGGACCTTGCGGGATGCGGCTACTGAGGTTTGTCCCAATTACATGCTTCTGCGGATGATAGCTCGACGAAGCGACCATGACCGTATGCTCGAGGCTTGGGATCTCAATATGCCCTCGTTCCTCTCCGTCATAGCTCAACAAGATGACTTTATCATTGTCAGTACAGGCCAGGATTGAGAGAGGTCATGCAGAATCACTTACCCTCCATGAATCCATGCTGAAACACATCATCGGATTGAGTAAAGTTCGAGATGACTTCTTCCATGTCACCATATGTGAACTTATCTTTGTCCGACCGTATGACTGTAAGTGGGATGAGGTCTCCATCGGTGGATGTCAAATTGAAAGATGGTAGAGGAAGAAGCGCCGAGACGGCAATGCCTCCCGCATAGTAGTTGATGCCATTCAAAACAACCAATTTTCCATTGTCAACAATTTCAGCGTATGAAAATGTAATGCAGTTCAAGAAAAGTGAAGCGACTAGAAATGGGTAGTGATTCAAACAGCGTTCCAACAACATGGTGAAGTCGTTCGAGCTCCTAGAGTACGGATGATACTCTCTGTAGCTTGCTCAAGAGATGAAAGCTCCTTGAGCAAAAAAGGCGCTGTGAGGACCTATATGGAGTCCTACTCCATCATGCACTGAGCCTGCATTTGGAGAAGACAAGATTGCACCGGGCTTGGCACTCGGCACCAATCCATAGTTATGCGATGTCCGGAGATATGAGCCGGGTGGATGTAGCATTGGCACAGTGATAGATAGGAGATACCCCGCCTGTCATCCCCTCACAAAGCGCCCCAGCCATCTAACGGCTTGTCAATCGAATGGGCTCTATGTCGCAGGACTTGGTAGAGCGCTGAGTCTGTACTTGTCAAATTAGATCTCAGATCTCAGCAACGCAAACTTTGGGAGCGCAGCCCCGGAGGATCTTGATTGACCGTGTTCAATAATTCCAGGAAATTTTCGGAGCAGCCATCAAACCAACTTGGCATTTGGAGATTGTTCCTGATAGTCAGTGAGAAAGTGGGCCGTGGTGCCTGACGCCAATCTCTTATCTCGCCGTGTTAGCCGATAAGCACTAAAAGTTGAAGACTTGTACCTGATCCCAACAGAAATGGAAACCAAGATCATCCTGCATTAGACAACGGAATGCTCGAGCCTGGAAAGGCGATTGTAACATTTTCTATACCTTGAATGTGTGAAGTCGACCCAATAATGAACAAATGACCCTGTTATCGATCCTGTGAGTCGGGAAATGTCCATCACGGTTGTCTGACATTTGTCGCATTGAGTATTCTGAGGGGGCAGTCATCGAGCCAATGTTTTGACGGTGCATTGCCAATCAATCTAAGTCCAGGGTGGTGTTGCAAGCTCATCCTTGGACGTGTCATGCTCCCGAGCGGAGAATGTTGCACAGGGAAGGACTTTTTGGAGTCTATTCTTGTACGTCTTCTGCTCTTGTTCCTTACCTTATCTGCATCTGAAGTACCAAGATGGAACAAGCCAGAAGACTACGCAAAGTGCCGGGCGACAATACTAGCATCTTCGCGAACAGGAGAAGATTGACCTCGACCGAAACTCCACCACGTTACTTGGCCATCTTCCATTGTAAGGGTAATCCCTGTGTCCTGACAGTAAATAATACCCATGGAATGATGCTGATTACAGATCCAGACCACATGCCTTGCCCTCAATACCTTATTGCTTAAGGTCTGACCTACTGGATTGTTGTAGTAGCTCCAATCATTTTTAGATTGGACCAAGAATGAAGCTTGATCATCACAAATAATTCAGTCCTGGGTCATTTCCATCGGCAGCTACTGCGTGGAGCCAATCCAAGTTGCATTGCCCCTCTACCCACGGAGGTGTATGTAGATCTTCCTTCAACTCATCTAGGCGGTATTCTACCTGAAAAACCCTACTTGAGAGGAGTCTGAGTCTCATCCAGTTTGGCGGAGGATCTTAGCCACGAAGTATCACTGGGCATTGCCTGCTATTGCAGCAGGTAACTATACTGCATGACTCCTTACTGAATAATTTGCCGACACAAGTAAGCAGGCCTCACCCGCGTGGACTGCAATGTTGTTTTGATCAAAATATAAACATCCTTGTTGAGCAGCAGGGTACGCGCAGCGCGGGCTCTACCCACACTATATTTGACGCCTCTTGTATGTGTAATGCCCATCGGCGCCCAGTGCATATTGGAGAACTTTGGGGTTTGGGCCTGCGTCCAGTCTCCTTAGCGATATTTTCCACTTGGTATTGATCATGGCCAATAACCAATGACCAATGACCTTTCGATCAAAAGGATCAATTGTCATCCTGAGAAAAAAGTTATATTACGTGCCAGTCGAGGCTTAGCCATGCGCCTAGCTCCAAGTGCTGCGGTGATGCAATCCGATGATCGAAAACAATAGTGGTTGCCTGGATCGACTTATTGCCAGATCTGTAAATTGTTTCAATCTATTGATCCCGGGATGTGGTCTTGGTGCGCTAGTAATAAGCTCTCGGCATCGCCACACACGGGCGAGCGTATTCCCGAACCGACTTTAGGGAGCGGGATCCAAGTCCCGATAGGCCTCGTTCTCGTATCGGCCCGATCTCGTGTCGTCCAACCATGGAACGCTCCCTCAGGAAGTTCAAATTAAGTTAAAGGTCATGGCAGGATCGCGCAGATCGGTAGATCAGTTCCCCAAACATGCACATGAAACCAGTATAGAGTTTGGATTGTCTCTGGACTCTCTCTTCTTGGATCCTTGCGCCGATGATAATCACTATGAGATACTAGATCTGGCATGTCGAAGAGAAAGTGTTGGGCTGACTTGGTCACACCGATCTCACCGAAGGAAGCGACTACGAGGAAGGTCCTTGGCTCGAATGGATTTAGTCTCCCAGTTGATTTGAAAACACACGTGTCCATTGGCAATTCTGTGTAACGAGTCTCTGTCTATCAGAAAACCGACTATTTATTGGGTTACTGGCTCTCCTTGACTGAGAAGTGGGAGTCAGTCTAGCTTCTTTAAAAATGCTCATCCACAAAACTCTTCATTTGCTCATTGGGGCACTTTCAGTCACTGCAACACCATTTGCAAGTTTTGCTCCCGCTGAAGACAATACCCTGACCTACAGTGTCCATGTCCCACAAGATACAGCGACAGCTGGAGCAGGTCCCATATACATTCAGCTCAATGCCACGAAGCAAGTGACGTGGTTTGCCCTGGGCCAGGGTACCTCAATGACCGGGGCGAACATGTTCGTGGCGTATACTACAGGAAACACTGTGACCGTCTCACCCAGGCTGGGTAAAGGAGAAATACAACCTCTTTACAATGAAAATGCCACGATTAGCACTATGGACGGCACTGGAATCCACGATGGAGTCATCACTGCCAACTTCCGATGTGACAGTTGCATTTCATGGCAGGGAGGCCGCCTAGACCCAAACAACTCTCGGAGCAATTGGATTTGGGCTGTGAAGTATGGTAAGCCATTGGGTTCCAGTAGTCTGTCGGCGACCATTCTTCAACACGACAATGTGGGCCAAGAGATTGTGAACATGAAGCAGGCAATAGGGACGACGTCTTCGAATCCTTTCCTAGATCTATCCACGTCATCAGTGGGTGACACGATGGATAACAGCCAGCAGATTAATCACGAGATGTTGGATCGGATGAGAAAGGCACACGCCGTGCTCATGACACTGGCTTTCGCTCTTTTGTTCCCATGCTTTGCTTTGATCTTACATCTATTTCCATCCGGTACCGTGGCCATTCATGGAACTCTGCAATTGTTCACGCTTGCTGTGGCGATTGCAGGGATGGGAGTAGGGATTTCCATGGCCAAGAATCTCCAGCTTCTGAGCCATTATCATCCGGTGATTGGAATAGTAGTGATCGCCGGTTTAACAATTTTTCAGCCGATGATGGGATGGTTGCAACATCGACACTACCGCAAATTGGGCGGCAAAGGACTATATGCTCCTTTACACCGGTGGTTTGGGAGGATCATGATCGTCATTGGAGTCGTCAATGTTGGCTTGGGGTTCCGGCTGACTGGGATCGGCATGCCTGGTGCTCCTCGCGCCGCAGTCATTGCCTACGGCGTAGTGGCTGCGGTAATCGGGTTGGGGTACATCATGGTGATAATTGGGAGAAGGAGAAGACATGTTGCTGGATAGTGAACCATTTCATTTGGTATTAAAGTACCACTATAACATGAGTTGGAATTCTGCCTTTGCTCTATCCGTAGTGATCATAACCAAATCAAAGAAAGTACATAATCTAAAGGAATCTGAAGATTTATTTCTGTGCTTCTCAAACTCTTTCCACTAAGCATTATGAACGTCATTCGAGACGTCTTTCTAATTAGTCCTCGGTGGCTGAAGTAGAGATCTGCATGATGATCACCGCCAGAGATCTTTTTTCCCCTTTGCTCATTAGAAATCTAGATTGAGTGCCTGAATCATAGCAAAAGGTGCAAATTATACCGAGAAGAGGCAGGATCTGTAGGGATCTGCATTTACCCCAGCACGGCACGTGCATGACATATTTATCCGGGGCTTCAGACCTCAAATGTTAGTTGTCAAACTTCCTGCGTCCAAAGCTGTATACGGCATGTGCAATCGAGCCAATAATTGGCACTGTTGAAACTGCTGCCCCAGAACTGTCCGTGATAGGCTGTGACCACTGTCGCTAAGCTCTGACTAGTCCTGAGAGGGTCACGGCGGAGCTGAGAATTCCCGATTGCGACCCGATCGGCGCGATCGCTCCATTACCGGCTCCTGCTGTGTTGAGGGTGGTGAGGGGTTCAAGCGGGCCGGTAATTTAGACCAAATAAAGTTGATTTAAATAGCCCGAGTAGTCCAGTCAATTGAGGGTCTCAACTCGTTTATTCTTCCAGGTATTTTCCCTTGTCCGGCACGGCTCGAGGCACATCATGAAGTCCGCCAGCGACGATTCTCCAGCCAAGGCCGACGACCCTCGCGATCTTCCTCAAATCGAAGTTTTGGATAAATCCGATCAACCCGTCGCACCAGATCAGTTTGACGAAAAATACCGCACGACTCAGACGGAGATCTGGGCCTACTACGCGTGCGTGTGATATGAGATTTCAAGAGGGCATCCCTTAACGTGGAGACAGCTATTATGTTGGGAACAATGGATTATCCCTGTTCAGTGAGTCTTGACCTACAAACTTAGGCCAAAGACTAACAGCTATGCTCCCAGACTTCGGCCCTACTGCGTTTCAAAATCTGTTGTCCCAAGCCGCATCGCCCGAGGGCTATCCATTCGCCGGGCGCCTGCGCAGCGTCAATAGTATCGTGCTCTTATGCAATGGCATTTCCTTTGCCATTCAAACAGTCGTTTTCCTGGTTATCGGCAGTTTCGCCGATTTCGGCACTTGGCGATCCAGCATCCTCATCGGCCTGTCATTAGTCGCATATGGCATTGGATTCGGATGGCTGGGTGTGCACACTGCGGACAAGGTGAACGTCGCTATAGGGCTGTATATCGTAGGCCTTATAGCGTACCAAACTACGCTCAGCTACTGGACTGCAGCTTTCCCTTCACTCGCAAGAGGGACTGATGAGATGAGAGACAAGGCGGACGCCTATCAAAACGGAATCATCACGCGTGATGACTACGACTTTGCTGATATGCTAATGCGTAGCCGCCTTGCCAACGTCGCCTTTTATGTCCAGTCTGTAGCCGAAGTCTTTATCCTGGCGATTATCGTCGGCATAATGTTTGCCCTACACGTCAATGAGAGCGAGGCTAACAACAACTGGGGACTGAGTGTGCTCATCGCATTTGCATCTGGTGTCTGGTTGCTGGTTTCTCTGCCCTGGTTCTTCCTTGAAAAGCGCCGCCCAGGGCAAGACCCAGGACGTAAAAGCATACTCATCGCTGGTATGTCCCAGCTGTGGTTTGCGATGAATCAAATATGGAAACTAAGGCAGAGTTTGATCTATCTAATCGGTGAGAAAATGTTGGTTCCCATAACTTTCGACTTCCATACTGATATGTTTACATAGGTTATTTCTTGCTGGGAGACTCTTTGAACACAACCGTGACGGTAGTCTCGACTTTGCAGAACAGTGTGGTCTCATATAACACCCTTGAACTCACATACCTTCTGATTGTGGGCATTGCCGCACAGGTGAGCTTCATTCCAGAATACGCTGATCTAGCTGCTCATATCAAAATCTAGGCGGTCGGCATCTACGCATTCTGGTGGATCCAACAGCGCTACCAATTGGGTACTAAGGCCATGTTCAATACGATTGCTGCCTGTATTGTCATACTGGATGGCTGGGGTAAGTAATGCTTATGATCATAGTGTTCTACGCGTCTCTAACCACCGTTATAGGTATGATTGGGATTTGGACCGACAAATTCGGATTTCACAACGTCTGGGAATTCTGGGCAAGCATTTCTCTACACCTCAAGCACCAATACGGTACTAATCCAGTATATAGGTATACCAAGCATTCTACGGTCTGTTTGTTTGCCCCTGGTATAGTTATTCGCAGATCATGATCTCCGAAGTCACTCCACGCGGCCACGAGTTCCTATTCTTTAGTCTCTTCAGCATCATCGGAAAGACTTCATCTTTCATCGGCCCTCTTGTCTCTAGCGCCATTATCGACGCTAGTCCGACTGGAAATGTCTCGACTCCATTCTACTTCTTGTTTGCACTAAGCCTGGTTAGCTTTGGGTTCCTATTTATCTGTGTTGACCTGAAGAAGAGCCAGGTCGAGCAGGATAAGTTTTTGCAGGATAAGCTGCGGCGCCTGGAAAGTAGCTCATCCGAGCTTACTGAGAATCAGGTATAAGCAATTTTCCATCTTTGGTTGCATATGACGGAGCGCTTGTATGGCATTGCATTCGAAGCAACTATGAGAAGCCATGTATGAACATTTATGGAGCCTCGGCGATTAAAAGCACTTGTTTTGTGAGACTCCTTTTTGCTCGGTCTCGCGATAATTATGGGATCGATTACACCAAGACAAGGCTTTTTCGCCTCGTAGGAAAAGAAGACCGATGAAGGATTTGATATGAGAACCTGATATAGGTAGCTTCATGAAGTTACAAGTGAGCTCGGTAGACGGTAGAACCATACTTCAGCCAATCAACGCTTATAGGTAATTTCCCCAGACACAGACTAAGCCTGAATATAGACGGTTCCAATTTTTGTCTGTGACTGATCATACTAATCTCTTGAAAGCTTTGAACGAAAAATCGTCGGAAAAGGAATAAAAGAGCTCTTGAAAAAGCCTTACAAAGAGCTATAGAAGGAGCTCGGAATGACATTGAGAAAGACCCATTATAACCACATAGAATACTTGCATAGGAGAAGCATCACTCTGAAGAGGTAGTTGGTCGCTAACATTCTGCGAATACGTTCAAGTCGATTTTGCATTGTCGCCATCAGTCGTCATACTCCTTGATCCCTGCCAATGTCCCTTGATGGAACATTTCATGTTAGATATCTTCTTTTCCCTCTTCAGAGCCTGGCCAAAGTCTTTTTGTGGCTGTACCTACTCGCTTGTCGCTACAAATTGCACCACCGCATCGTTATTGGTCAAGTGATTTTGTACGCTGTCGATGGATCTGGGTAGATAAGTCTACTTCCTTTTCAATCTTGTATGTCACAAATTTGTGAATATTCTATGATTTTTCCCAAGAAGTAGCAGTCTATCCTTGAGGGGTTCATGGTCCAAGAGAATAATGTAATATTGGTCATTTTATATACAGGCCCCAGCTTATGGACACTGTAAAGAGGTAAGAAGAAACGAGGGAAACGCCAAACCCATGCACTGCCACAAGCGCCAAAGCTCAAACCCAAAGACAAGATGATTACTCGTCGGAGGCGTCCTTGGACTTGCTCTTCTTCTTCTTCTTCTTCTCCTTGCGGTCGGCATCGTCCCCATCGGCCTCGGCTTCGGCCTCGCGCTTTCGCTTGCTCTTCTCCTTCTTTTCCTTTTTCTCTTTCTTTTCCTTCTTCTCCTTCTTCACAGGTCCATCCTCTTCGGGGGCAATGAAGTCCTTCTCGCGTTCCTTCATCTTCTCCTCGCGCTTGATGCGCTGGCGCTCCATGACCTCCTCCTTCTGAGCACGATCCTTGGCCTCCTTGGACAGGAAGTACTCTCCAGACTCGATCTGCAGATCCACCTTGCTCTTCTCGGGGGCGGGCGGGAATGGCGTATAAACCTTCTTCGACTTGTCGGTGACCTTGAAGGGCGTGTGGCGCTTGGACAGGGTGCGCTTCTTGAAGTTGGGCAAGAAGCGGTCCCACGATTCGTTGGCCAGTGTGGGGTCCTTGGCCAGCTCACGCTTGATCATCAGCTCCTTGATGTGATAGATAGGATGGATATTGGCCATGCAGTCGTCGATAATTCGTCGCACCTCCTTCAGACCCTTGAACGGACCCATCACCGCCACTGTGTTACCCTGCACCATGATATATGTGCTCGTCAGGAGTTCCAACGCTTTAAGGGTAGAGCCGTTGGGGCCGAGGATACGCTGGCGACGCTTGACAAAGCGTTCTTTGTTCCGAACTTGGTTGCGGATCTTGATCACGTCGCAGGCCACACCATCGTCCAATATCTTCAGTGCTTGGGTGACGGGGACACTTCGGGAGAGGAGTTTGATGAGGATCGCGCGCCTTGAGAATCGCGGCCGGGTCGTAGGTCTTGCGGGTTGTCTTAACGGTCATGCTACCCTCGACCAAATCGAGTGTGCAGGCGATGCCCTGCTTCTCCAGGGACTTGGTAATGACGGGCCATGCTTCCTTCAAGTATTGTTCGCGGTATTTGGGGAAGAGGGTCATGAAAGAGGACTCCTCTACGAAGTTTCCGGCGGCATTGTCTTCGGGCTTGAATTCTTCGATCTGGGATGCGTTGGACAGTTAGTTGGGAAAAACGACATTTTCGAGGGACTGTTCAGAGGCGGGAGTTACCTTCCACTTGTCGATATCATCCGTATCCCACGGCTTTTCTTTGTTGTTATTCGAAGGCATGGTTGCGGTATGGGCGCAAACTGTGATGGTCCGCAGCTCTGAGAAATCCGCGCTCCAACTTTTTTTCTCCCCGCCGCTTTACCTAATATGGAATATTTGATGCCTTGTATGTCAGGCGACGAAGAATCTAGATCGGGCATCTGAATGGGGTCGATTTGCTCTGAACACATACGTGGGATAGATTTCCCGGTTCTGGTTCTAAATTTCCATGTGCTGCTTAAATGTCCGAGCAGTATACATCGTGTCGGCTTCCCAAAGGCTCTTGACACATTCCTGCCTGCTTACCCAGACTCGGGGTGCAAACTCAATTCCCTCAATTCTTCTGAACATCGTTGACAGCTTGCCCCTGGTTTCTGCTCTTGGCATATTGTTTCTTCAATGTCGGTATGCCCTGGCAGCTAGTTGTGACCGCTTGCCTTGACTTTGGGACCCACAGTGACTGTATTGAAGAAGCTTGATAACAGTTCTCAAGATCAACTTCGGGCGACAAAAATTACGGCAACCCAGACGGAGCTTGATTATGAAGCTTGCAGTCTCTTCAGCGGTTATCTTCAAGGTCTGTTTTTCGCGTGTCTTGGTTCCGATAAACCTTTGCGGCCCCTGGAAATAGGTTCATCGCATCGGCGATGGTCTCGGGTAGCGTCTGTGCTCACGATGTCTCCCAAAGCGCATAAAAATGTCATTGAGAATAACCTAGGCCTTGTAGACATTGATCAGATATTCAATAGCGATCCGAACAAGCGAAGGTCTGAGAGCACTCCACGATCAACCGCAGTGAGCTCGAACCCCGGCACCGCAATGGAGTGTCCCCTGAGTCAGGAAATTCCAACAACAGTAGCGTCCTCCACAGACGGGCCTGCTGGCCCACGCCCATGGTCTCTATTTTTCCGTCCATGAATTGCTCATGGTGCTGCTCCGCGCTCTGATAGATGAGCTCTGAAGCAGCGGATCCCTATAGCCCCGGTGAATGAATGAAGTCTGCGCTCAGGCGTTCAGGATAAGCTTTCGGGCGGTTGGTATCCAGGGATCGATTCATCGAAAGTAGGTCAACAAGGTTCTACGATCCACAGTGATCGCGTTTAAGAGACTTCCGCCATTGCTCCAGGTGTGACGGGAGCCTGAAGCATGAAGACACTCTGTCAACCCTCTACTCCCAACTCATAGCGCACCTCATGTTTGGCGGCCCAAAGACGAGAAACGCCTCCACGTTCCCCCGTTACCTTCCCGCCAGCTCGGGTCCGATCCCCCCTGAACTTGTTCTCTCAACTCCATTGACCCAGGGCCTCATCTTTGCAACCAGGCCACGAAAGTGGGCTTCGCTATGGGTGCGGTGGTGAGGCTTCATGAGTCGTTCAGATCTGTTCGATCCTCCGATCCTCCGATCTGGGATCTGAGATCTGGAACTCTAACCCACAATGATCGAAGGGACCCTACCCTTCTAGACCAAACTCGGCGTTTCAAGTCAGAAAACTAAAGACATCCCGGTCAACCTGGTCAAGGTCGCCTTGCCCGACCATGCCACCCCGTCAGCCTTCTCGAAGCGAGCTGAGCAGATCGTATTTCACTTTGGGGAACATCGAGTACAGACGGTTCACAAGGTACAGATGGGAAAAAGAAACATTTAGTTTCACTAACCGTGGCTACTTCAACACGAATGACGCAGGTGCAAATGCGAGACTAGCAAAACTGAGTTGATGCTGTGGAGGAAACAATGCGCTGTCGAAAGTACGCCCAACGTACAGGCCGAATATAGCTCAAGATGCCTGCCTACACCTGTGGCGGCTGTACACGCAGATATGAGAGCCGATTTGCCTCTTCATGCCGGCTTTCGCCCGATGCAAACGTATCTGTGCTGTCAGGATGACTGTCACTCATGTCTGTGGGTCATACTCACAAGGGGAAATATGCTTTGAGGGTCAGATCTCTTGCCTCGTTCTGCGCTTGTTCCACCAGCAAATCAAAATTCTGCGCCGACATGTGCAATCGTTGTGTGAGAGGGTACAGTGCTAAGGATCGGAGCAGTTCCTCAATATTGTCACTGGTGGTCTGCCCGATGGCTCGCATTCTGGGATCTAGATCCAGTCAGACTATATTTCATGCCGACAACAATAACGACTGACCGTTTGACCATCCCGACAAAGGCAGTTGAATCATCTTGCTATCGACCTCCACCAACCCCGAACTCAGGAAATGACTTCGCAGCTTCGATGCTACTCGCAAGTCCTTTCTGTCTTCCAACGCCCGCATGTACTGAGTACTCCATCTCCTCAAGGCATGTTGATCCGTGAGCGAGCCGTTGTCAGACTGTGCGTTGAAGTAAATTTCGACCATCTGAACCCAACCTCCTGGTCTCAGCACCCTTGAAGATTTCGGCCCATTAGTATTGGAAGGGGCCAGGGACGGTTTCTGGAACTGGAAGCAGCCCTTCAGCCTGTTGGAAGTGTTCGCACCTGACAATATCGTTAAGGTAGGCTGGCCATCGGCTACGATTAATGCCGGTCGCGAGGAGTTGAGAGTGGACAAGGTCAAAATGATTCGCCGGGAATGTAAAAGGTCGGTTCAAGTCATCGACCTATTTCGCTTCATGTTAGCAACTGTCATCAGGCTATACTGCGAGTCAGATTGGCAATCATGGTGATCAGTCGAGAGAGGTTGAGTCTGGAGAGCCGAGTGGCACCGTGATGATCATAACCACCCTCCGACTCGTGTCTCCTTGGACCAGAAGATCGAGTGATCGAGAACAAGTCACATTCCTCACCTGGAGCCACAGATTTTCGGGCACATCGTCTGGGTTCATGTGCGGGGCAATGTCTACGCCAATGACCTATGACAAAAAGGAGTGTGAGATGGCTCGTTTGATGAGCCCAGGATGGCCAGGGGTCTCACTTGACAATCTGGATGCTGCTCGGCAACTTCTACAGCCCAGCGTGCAGACCCATGGCCACAGTCCAAGACTCTTCGCAGATGTCGGATGGGTGGAAAGATCAGTCGGTGGTCGAAGATACGATGGAAGACAAGTTGCTGCTGATCAAGGCGTTGGGCCTCCTCCTACTCAGGTTCTGGTTGTCAGTGACCAAAGAGATGAGAAAGAGATTGTCTGCCTCACATCGTCCACTGGTCCGAAATATATCCGGTTATCGATTGAATACTTCTGGTACTCGCGGCCCTGGACCGTGACGGTATCGAAAAGTTCACCAGGCAATTCTTCCGTTTGTGAATCTGGGCTCCTTCAACACCAAAGGATTAGTCTTGACAATGCCCAAGGAAAAGGGCAAAGGCACAGTGCAGTACGTCATTATAGCCTGGGATCAATTCTTTCCAACGTTGAAGGGTGATATGGTATACTGAAAATGCTTGGCCAGAATTTTGATGGCGGGGTCGAATTCTTCGGATTAAGGGGAAGCCTTTGATTATAGTATCGGAGGGGAAGATGAATCCCAAGCGCCGTGGGTTTGACGCGATCGTGTGCCGCCTAAGAAACGTCGGCGGCAACGGCCTCGGTGAGTGGCGGCTCGAGGATCATTCACGTCGTAGGCGCCTGTCCAGGACGTGTATGAGGGGCTCCAGTCATACAAGATACGTGTTAAGTGGTACAAATGACAACACGAGCCAAAACGCGCCAATACAGATTCCAGTTGCCTCCGTTGAAATCTTGCCAACTAACGAGATTTGGTCTTTCGAATGAGAAGCCTTCTTAAATGAAATACGATCGACGGTGCCCACGAAGACGGGGTCTGTGGTTTTAAGAGATCTTTCAAGGTTTCTTCACCTTCCTGACCGGCTTGAACTACTGCTCGATTGGGACGTGAGGAGAGTGCCAATCTCCAAGGAGTTGGATTGGTACATGGAGCCAAGGCAGAGAGAGAGGAAAAAAAAGGGCGGGTCGGTTGAGTAACCGAGTGGTTCACGAAGAGAATCCCAAGTATCAGGATAGACTTGGCCCCCCCCCATTGTTCAAAGTCAAGCTAATAAACCTTGCCACTAGCTAGCACGGCTGTCAGCCTATGCACAGTTCGCCCGCCCATTACCTACTGTCGGCCTTAAAAAGTCTAAGAGCGCGCCCGGCGGAGTGGATCAGGGCAAAGTCCACTCGTCCTCCTTACTTGCACGTCTCCTGGCCCCGTCAGCAGGCACTGTGGCTAGGACCGGCCTGATGACGTTCAGCGGCTGAGGCGCGACTCCGTCAGGAAGTACTGCTTTGCAGGATGTACCGAGCTGTACTGCTTTGCGCTGAGTTATAACCCCTTCATTCTCACGATTCCCACGCGCGCGTAGACATACACAGGCCAATGATGTAACAAGACGATCAAGAAGTGTGAAGACTTTGAAAGGTGGAGCCATTGACCATCGTGAAACATGGATGAATGGAGAACACATGCCCAAAAAAAAGCCCATCCCTGGATTGCAACGCAGAAGGAAAGCCCCTGCTGCGGCATTCAGATCTTTATCTTCATCATCATCCGCTGACATTCAAACCACAAATCCAGCGATTGAATTGGTAGACGGGGTATGTCAGTGGTGTCGGACATCCCGTTCTCAGCGGCCAGTGTGCATGCAGTGCGCCCAGTGGCTTGCAGCTGGGCCTTCCCAGACACCACTCCAACCGGAGTGGAGTGGGGTTTCAACAGCCAGGATCAGCAAAATTCTCGTTGGACTCCGACTCCTCGGGCTCACTTCTGGTGGATTCATTTATTTCCCTCACCGCTTGTCCTCGGCCAGATGTGTGCTCTAGGACGTTGGCCGAGTCGTCGGACAAACTATGCATTTGAGATTTGAGACTTAGTAAGAGGAGTGGCTCCCACCTAGTTTCTCTGCCACCAGATGCGCGACAGTAACGTCCACAATCTACATGCGACGGACTGACGAAGGTGAAGACTTCCAAATCGGAAAAAGGTTTGATGCACTCTTTGGACACGACGTGGAGTCCACGCTGTGGATTTCTGGGGTATCCACCCAGTTCCTCGGGAATCCACGAAACTTGTGAAATTTTGCGTTTGACGGACGTGACACAAGGTCGAATTCAAGGGGCTCAATTCTCCGAGTGTACCAAGCAACCCCAAGGATCCGGGTTCATTGCAACGTAACACCCCCGGGGGCGTGTGAACGCTACAGAGGTGGATGCCACAGAACGGTAATTGTGGATTTTTATTCCGAGACCGTGCCTCTTAGACTCATGATCCGTCGTTAGTCACTCTGCTTCCAAATCTAGATATATCTACCATTTACTACCGTAGATATAGTCTCGTTCATGCTCCGGGGCCCAGTTTGTCGGGACGAACAGGGGTGCCGTACCGGGCGCTGACTGTTGCAACCCAGCGCCATGGTTCACCTCGGGAAGAGACAGTTTGGGGACAAACACCTATCTTTTCGAACTTGGTGGGGACTAAACAAGGACACGGGGCGGTATACTCCTTTGAAATAAAAAGGGGGGAGGGGAGCAACCCAGGAATCGGGAAGTAACTTATGGTCTGTATTTGAAACCAAAGGTCCTTCCTAAATAGCCGTACAAAGAAATTCCCTCCTTTTCGGGGGGGACGATCGAAGCCCACACGATTTTGCTGCTGGTCCCGACAACGAGGTTTGAGCAAGCGGGAAGGGGGAGACGATCGTACACCAGTCTAGCCGAAACCCACCTCTTTTGCCTCATTTCTCCGAAATGATTTCCCTGCCACTTGGATTTGGACTGGGTTCCGAACGGCCAATTTTACCAACAGAATGCTTCTTAGCGTACCGCTCCCTCGGGCTCATGCCCTCTTGGGTCTGACTCCACCGTGTCTGGATCTTGTCATATTAAAGGTACGGGGTTGGTACGGTTCTAGGCCTATCAATTGTAAAACTGAGTATATTTCCAGACTTTGCTGCATCTGGAATGATTGTCAATTTACTTTCATCTAATACGGTCAGCAAGTTGTTTCTTTACCCATGCCGGGATGGCAGGCTGTACAAATCTGCTTAGTGGCTTATGTGTTGAAGTACTTGGCTTCGTTTCCCCCCCAGGGAGAGGGGGGGGGGAACTACCCTAAAGTCTCGTAGGTGCCCTGGTGTATCTATGTGGGCGCTCAGCGATGTTCTTAGTGAACAACCTTCAAGAGCGACCCTCGGGCTGCTGTATCTTGGCCCGGATGTCTCTGCATCTCGGCAAACAGCATATGCCTACGTTTCCACTGCTGTCCATCGTCTCATCTATCAACACGGAATCAAGTTATTTTTTCTTTTTACCGTTTTTTTTTAATTAAAAAAAAAATAGGCAAATTCATAAAGTGGGGGTATAAGTAAATGCGAGACGAAAATCCAATACGCTTTTTGAGTCCACAGGAGTCAAAAAGCAACTCACCATCGCACCACGCCGATTCAAATTTTTTTTTGTGTCCTTGGAAATCACCTTGTATCCTCGCGCCCCGTCATGAACTTCACACCGGCTGCAATGATATCCATGACCGTCTTGATATCAGCCTCGGTCCGAGGCGCGTAGATCAGAATGTACTCGGAAGGGAAATCGGGCACGGTTCCCAGACTCAAGTATGTCATGGCGGACGTACCAGAGAAGCCATGTCGCTGACCCCAACCTGCCTCAATGATTTTTATGCCTGATACTATGTGAGTCGAGGTCATGATGAAGCTGAAACCGAAGCTCATGCGAATATTAGAAAAGAGATGACTTACAGTCGGCTGGTGAACACACCACGTGTATGGAATGATCATGGCACGAATGAATATGCGCAATCTCACCCTGCATCGTCTGCGCAAGATCCGTCGCAGGCAAATGATCCGCCAAGAAAAGTGCATCCGAATGTTTCTCCAGATTCGACCGCTCCACTTTGACAAGATGATGATTGCGATACCCGAACGCGGAAAAGGCCGCGCGGAGTTTCTACCCTTTGATTTTAGCATATGGCTTTTCCCCCCCCCTCCAAATATAACATTCATCTCTTCTCGGGTATGGATACGGGGATAACACTCACTTCCATCACCTCCTCCTCGGGTATCTGCGTCAACTGCCGCTGTGGCACGACGTGAGGTCCTACAATAGGTCGATCCGCCGCACTGCGCGATGCCAGCTGTTCCGGCGACAGCTCCAAGAACCCCTCATCGCCTTTTCCATGTCCCTCCGCCGCTTCCACTCGCTTGACGTACTCCTCCGTGCTAAACATCTCGCGCTTGAAGGGCTGGAGGAGCGCGCGACAGGTCAGCCAGCCGATGACATTGTTCGGGAGACCGCCGGGTCCGTAGTTTCGGAAGGTGCGGTAGTCGCGGTAGATGGATGGTAGGATGAGTGCGGTGCCGAGGACGGCGGTGCTGAGCACGAGTGTGGACTTATCGAGGCGCACTCTGCTGAGTGCATTTGTGAATGTGTCGGCCATTTCAAAAATTCAAATGTCTCTGAGAGAGTGGGAAAGAGAGTTGGGGGTAAATATTTCTGAGCCGGGGGCGGAGAGCAACGTTGACTTTTGGGGGAACATGCGATCACGTCTTCATTATCTCACCTCTCGCATGACCTTTTCGCCTTCCATTCTTGACTACGTAGCGACATGATTTGACTTTGCTTTATTGTGATATTTATTCTTCCTTCTGATTTTATCTCATAACTCCTTCTTGAAAGGTAGACTTTGGATTCCCTTCATATACGACATCGAGTCCAGTGCATTTCATTTCAGTTCAGTAGTCATCAGTTCCGTTCGATCTCCGGTTCAAAGCTATCTAATCGTGCTTCCGAATTCCCTTCCGAGATCCACCGGGCCCCACCCTGGTCATCGTTATGGCATGATGCGAGGCCTCACTCGGGACTCGGAATCCGGGGATCTAGCGATAATGGGAATTGCCATTCGGGATGGCTGAAGTCGCTCTCATTGCGAGTCTCGGCAAGATAATCGATATGCTCGAGGTAGTTAGGTGCATTTGCTAATTTGCGCAAGCAAAAAGTCCGTCGATGGACGGAGCGGGTAAAGGTGGTCGATGGTATCATATCTCAATCTTCTTTGCTGATCGAGCTCAACGAGTGGGCCAGCTTTAACAAGACCACACTTTCAGTGGCGGCGAAATAATTCAGGCTAGACACCGTTAGCATTGAGCACTAGAGAAAAAGCTGCACACGACGGCTTTTTACCTGTCCATGAGAATCCGTAGATGGCGGTTGAAATGATCTTCATACCGCTTGAGAGTATCTTCGAGCTTGCCCATACGGGCGGGATCAAAGGGGTAGGCTCGCGGATCGCCTTCAACCGCCTTGCCAGCCAAGTCCGGATCGGCTGAAATCAACGCCCGGGAAAGAGTCTGAGAGGTCCATTGGGGCGAACATCGTGCAGCAAGTCATCAATTTGGAATGAATCTGCTCTCGGTTAGATTCAGTGAACAAGCACCTCCTGTTATCACGTACCTTCAGCAGCTTGGCTTGGGTCAGCATGCACTCTTTGAGACAGGTGTCCAGGAAATCCACATGGTCCTGCATAAGCTCATCGACCGTGCGGGTGGCCTGTTTCCGTCCGTTCACAGTCAATTCAGTCCCGGCACTAGCTCCATTGACTCGTTCCATCAGTCCCACCCAGTTAGGCTCCACAACTTCGGCCGTGCAAAAGTATAGAAGCTGCTGCACAAATACGAGCATCTTTGCGCGCAGATTCCATGCCCGTCGCTTCCACATCTCCAGCCTACGGTCCGATGACTTGTGTCGCCAGCTGGTCGTTTTGTTGTGGTCGGCCCAAGACGTGACCAGCAGTGTCTCCAGATGTCGCAGTGACAGCAAGTGTCGGAAAATAAGTTGATATCTCAGGACCGTCTTGCGACTGATGACAAGAGACAAGGGAAACGGTACGGAGTAGTCCAGCTCCAGAGCGTCGAATCCCAATATATCCTTGTCGTCATCGGCAGTCTGAGCTGCAGAGGCTTGTTGCTTCTCAACAGACGCTTGCGGGTTCTCTTGATCCATACCTGAGACACTCACGACCTCCATCAACCACTTTGTGAGACCAATCTTGTTCATTCGCACCTTGACATCTTCTTTGAAAGGATCTTGCGCAGCGATACTCCCCGGCTGGCGCAGCACGATATCCAGTAGAGACTGAAGCTTGCCCTCGTTCACATTTCGTGCATGCTTGCGCAACTCCGATGCGCTGAGCTCGAGGAAATACGAAAAGAAGTCGGAGCGGTCAAGGAAGAAGTAATGCTTCAGGGAGCGGAATCGAGTCGTGAGGGAGTTTTTCGTTAAGAGAAGGTTGAGCAAGGAGGCATTAGCGTATGTGTATGCTGCATTCACATTCTCCAGAAAGCGTGGATCATCGAGGGTCTTGGGGACATCTTGAACGGCTTTGCTGATATCGACACCACCGCATTCTCGCACCACGTTGAGATATTTGCCTGCCAGAAGCACTTTATCTCGAACGCTGTCAAGCTGCGGTGGAACCTCTTTGTCACGAATCGTGTAACGCTTCTCCCAGTATTCGTCGGTGTAGTCTTCCTCCAACTTCTCTCGTTTGATCCACTTTTGCTCCTTCACCAAGAACTCAGCATGGGGGTCCTTGATGCCGCCATGGTGCAGCCACTCGTTCAGCATGTTCATGTATGGCCGACTGGCGTCGCGTAGTAATGACTGTATTAGAGTCTTTGTCGTCGGGTCACCGGAGAAGGTAGCCAAACGCTCGGTAAGAAGCCTCAAAATATTGCCGCCCTTGCAAATCTTCTTGCTAGACATGGCGCCCGGCACAAGATCGCCTCCTTCCTTAAGTTGCTCCAGGATGTTATCAACGTCACCAAAATCCTCCATGGACTCGTCAAGGTCTTGATCTAGTAGACCATTGCGACGAAGAAGCTCCTGTCCCAAGGAGTACAGCTGCACAAGGCATTGACTAGTCGGCATAGTATGGAGGTGAAGTTGGTGAAGAGTAAAAGTGGGGTTATTTAGCAATTGGCCTTCCAACTGAGCAATAAGAATCAGGTAGTCCTTGAGCAATTTTCGAATGGCTGCGCAGAGAGCATGGCTGACAGCTCCGTATTCGGCGCGACTCTGGATCTCGACAAATGCCTCCATGGCACTGTAATGAGTCGCCATTTTCAACATAGACTGTGTGAGATCCCGCAAGGTGGGATCCAGCCCCGGCGCGAACTGGAATACCGGACCGGTCAGGCGATCTTTCTCGGAGGATGGATCGTATGAGCTGTGATAGTGGATGTACTGGCCCTCAAAGCCCATGAAGACGAAAAGCAGATCCTCCAGGATCGCAGCCTCTTGCGCCTCCGATGATAGTTCTCTAAATGGTCGGGGATGGAGCGACTGAGGTGCTGCCGAGGCAGACGGAGGAACAGATACTCGGGAGGCGAGCGGAGCCGTTGAATGTGGGATGAGAGATGCGTGCGGATTCCATGGCGCTGTAAAAAAACATTGTCAACATAATGGTTCATAGCATGCATTGCGACACAGGTGTACGCTGTGACTGACCATGCTCTGCCACAGGCTCCCTCTTCTTACTACCAGGACTCGCGCCCTCTGCCTGTCCGGTTCTCCGGGCTTGTCTTCCCATTTCGAAACATTGATGGCGACGTTGAACTCTTTGGGGAGATTCCTCCGCACCGCTTTCTCCTTTGTTGTGATCACAGTACGCTCGGTGTGCTTCTCAGACATAGGTTTCTGATCTCGAGACAGTCTGTGTTTCTGGCTCGAGGTACTCGTGCGCGGGTCCATGTCTTCGAGCGGCGATGCGGCGCCGCGACTCGGCCTGTCCGCATCGACGCGACTGGAAGCAACGCGGGGTCGAGGAGCGCTCATATGGCTGGCGCGACGGTCATTGAAGGACATCAAGGGAACGCCACAAAGTCATTCAGGAAGAAGCAGATTCAAACAAAATCCTTCCATAGATCTGAATAACAAGAACCAAACAAAGGCTGAACCGTGGAACTTGGGGCTTGGGCAGCGCGGCCTCACCGCCTGAGGCCCCAGGCAACTGACTTGCGTAGAGAGCTTCCGCCTAAGCTCCATTGTCACTGCTCCGCTTCTACCTTTTCTCCTCTTTATCCTCTTCCTTTATCCCGCCCATCTAAACATAATTCACGATGTTCATTGCACGATCTGAATATGGTAAGCTCTGTCAACTCTCTTCATGCTAAGACATCGCTAACAGCTCGGATCAGACCGTGGAATCAAGTACGCATCCTTGCCTGACGTCCTCATACCCCATATTGAAGCTCCCAACCTGACAATGCGCGTTCTCATAGCACCTTCTCCCCAGAAGGTCGTCTGTTCCAGGTCGAATACTCCCTCGAAGCCATCAAGCTCGGTTCCACAGCAATTGGTGTACGTTCCGCTCTACTCTTCCTCGCCCTGTGGTCATCTCCATCATCATCGTGATTGAAGACGAGGCTACAAGATCATTCGGTGGAGGATAACAGCCGCCTGGCATTCAATCATGGACCCGCCCCCATGCTGACAAAGGCCTAGGTCGCAACATCTGAAGGTGTCATCCTCGGTGTCGAGAAGCGCGTGACGTCCACTCTGCTCGAGGCCTCGTCTGTAGAGAAAATTGTCGAAATTGACCAGCACATTGGCTGCGCCATGTCTGGTCTGCAGGCCGATGCCCGCAACCTGGTGGAGCACGCCCGTGTCGAGTGCCAGAACCACGCCTTCCACTATGCCGAGCCTCTGCGCGTTGAGAGTACCACACAGGCCATTTGCGACCTGGCCCTTCGTTTCGGAGAGAGCGGTGATGATGAGGAGAGTGTCATGAGCAGACCGTTCGGTGTTGCTTTGTTAATTGCTGGTTACGATGAGGACGGGCCTCAGCTGTACGTGGAATGGAACCGTAGACAGACTGGACAATGCTGACGTGGACACGATAGATATCATGCCGAGCCTTCGGGGACATTCTACCGGTATGACGCCAAGGCCATCGGGTCCGGAAGCGAGGGTGCGCAGGCAGAGCTGCAAAATGAATACCACCGCTCGTTGACGCTCGCCGAGGCCGAAACACTCGTTCTGAAGACTCTGAAGCAGGTCATGGAGGAAAAACTCGACTCCAAGAACGTTCAGTTGGCCAGCGTGACCAAGGACAAGGGCTTCCGTATCTACGATGACGAGGAGATGGGTCGGGCTGTTGCGCAGCTTGGTGGGAATCAATAAAGGACTAGCGAATTAGTAGTTTATGTCTAGATGAAGGTACTCTGTACCTCTTTCATTGTTGATTGCATGAGCAAGTAATGATCTTTGCCGCGACGTAGACTAGAGGTTCCGGGGATAATTATCTCGTGACATCTAACACCAGGAATACAGCGTCGAACCATCGACCTAAGCTTCTTACAATAGAATCGACACAGGTGCGCACGACTGAGATTTGTCATAATTCTATAATAAGATGCTTTTGATAGGGTATAATAGGGTAAAAATCCTAATGATACATCGTCATCACGGCGCTAGACTACCGGATTTTGTACACGCAAGGCTTCAGCACCTGGGCCTCTTGCTCCTCTGTCATACCGGAATCAGCGTCAGTCTTCTTCTCGACAAAGCGCTTTTTGCCAGCCTTCCCACCCGGGGCCGGGGCCGCAGAAGCGTGTTTGCCTTTTATCGGGGTCCAGCCAGCCTTGACGAACTCCATTTTCACAAACATCTTGTTGGACTTGTCCACGGACTCTTGCTTCAGCACAAAGCCACGGCTCTTGAAAACTTCAACGAAAGCTGAGATATCCGTCTCGTCATTGTCAGTCGGGCGAGTATCTTCAGCGTAGATATCAGCCTCATCCAGCTCTTCGTCATCGCCCTTACCGCCCTTCTTCTTCTTCTGCTTCTTTTGCTCGGCCTTGCTAAGTGGCTTCTGCGCTCCGATCTGCGACTTCTTGCGGGCCACCTTGCCAAATCGACTCTTGACCTCGCTGACCCAGCACTCGCCCTTGCCATCGCCGCGCAGGACTCGCCATGCCTCCTCGACAAAGGACACCCAGTTCGTTCCCATCAGACTCAGACAAAAGATAGCCACATCCACGGTACCGTCCTCCAGGGGGAGATTGGAGATATCCGCCTTGGTGATAAGAGCATCGGGTGCCTGGAGATCGTAGCTGTTAAGCTTCAAGTTCAACTTCTTGGCTGACGGAGTCAAGGCGCGCGCAAGTCCAGCGTCACCACAGCCCAGATCGGCAATGGTGCATGCGCCATCGGGTCGGCGGGGCAGGGGAAGCGGCTTGTTCGGGTCAGGCTTGCCTCTCTTAGGCACGGGAACGGCACCGCGGCGACGAACAGTCTGGATGTAGTCATCGACCGGGTTGGAGGGCCAGGATTCCTTTACCTGTCGCGAGAAACCGGCGTGGTATTCGTCAAAGAGTTCGGGATTGGCGTTGAAAAGCTCCACAGCTTTGGATGAGTCGGTAGTATATAGGGTTTCGTTTAAGTGGCGGAATCGAGACGAGATCAACTTCTGGCGCATTGCCTGCTGGAGGGGTGTAAGGGTCGCAGAAGCCGCTGGCATGGACGGACCGACTGATTTGACAGCAGCGGAGACTTCAGCAGAAGGAGAGGCAGTCGCGCCTTGTTCTTCGGCCTTGTCTTGCTGGCCGTCCTTGTTCTTGTTCTTTCTGTTTCTCTTTTGCTTTTTCGCTGGCTTTCCGTCTTCTTGGCCCGCCTCAGCCTCGACCTTCGGCACCTCGTTGGTTTCATTGGGAACTCCAGATGCGGATGCCTGCTGCTGCTCTTTTTGCAGCTTCTTCTTCTGCCCACGGTTTCAGAGAATTTTCTGGGGCACCAGCACCAGCACTGGCACCAGCACCAGCATTGACGCCGGCTTTGCCACGCTTTCCACCCTTAGGCCCGGAGTTGCCCTCAATGTGCCTCCGATACATTTCGTCGACATTGCTAGAGGTCACACGGTCGTTACCGCGCTTGCGCTTGTTGTCTTTTTTCACATTGAGCGTTGAGGTATCTTTGCCTTGAGACTGATCTTTGGACTGCGCCTCGCCTTGCTGCGTGAGTTCAGAGCTCGAGACGGACCATCCGGGGACGGCGAACATTTTTGCTGAGTGGTATTTTGATACCTTCCGTTGATCTATCGTTGGGCAGCAAAGTTGTTCTCGAGTGAATGGAGACAACCTATCTCCGCGCAGAAAAAAAAAAGTTGTCAAAATTTCGGCTCCGCATTGGTAATCCTGTAACAAATCTTACGATACGACCCTCAGGCATCAACAGTCTCCGAAGGTCAAAAATCAGAACAACAAGCTGGTTCAATGTTCATTCTAAATTACCATATTCTCAAGTTAAACATTCTAGATATTGTTTGTACAGCCGTGGGATGCAGAGACCGATCATCGTGACTCTTCCGAGTCAGCTCTGTCTCTGTTTACACCCTTGTGTGTGCGCCTCTAAAGGCCTGCACATAAGCTAAGCATGTTTACGATCTGAGTGGCTGCGTTAGGTCTCATGCTTGTCGTGTTCGTGTTCCCAGTCTGGTCTTCAGAGAGGACGGGATCCTACACTAAATGTAAAGTGTGCTTTAGACAGCAAAACCGAGGAAGCAGACAATAAAAACCGGGCAGTGGGCAGTGGGCAGTGGGCAGTCGACTTGCAGTGAAGTTGAAAGAATTGACGAACCCTTGAAGAAAGAAAGCAATCGCAATGCGGATGATCTGCGATGCTCGGCAGCTTTGCCCAGTGGGGTCCAATGTAGAATGCGTCCGATCCGATCGCCAACCTTTTGTCTTCTCTCCTGCCCCACTATAGTCTGTTCATGATTCGCACCCTCAATTGCCATGTTCTTCCCTCGCACATCATGACTGAAGATCCCCAGCTGGACAGCCCCTCACCGGATGGCGATGCGCCCAAGATTCCAGATGCCCGGAGAATGCCGAAGAAGCGGACCAAAACTGGATGTTTGAGTACGCTACGCTGAACAGACCCTGGAAGCTATGGCCTCTAACCTATGCCCACAGCCTGCCGCAAACGCCGCATTAAATGCGGCGAAGAAAAGCCAATATGCAGCAACTGCGTCAAATCCAAGCGCAGCTGCGAGGGTTATGCCCAGCGCGTTGTTTTCAAGAACCCCCTGGGGATTTTTGGATCCCATGGTCCGCCTCAAGTTCAGGACCCGCAGATGCAACATCAGATGCGAATGCCCCTTTTCAATGATTACCCTCTCCCGGCTCAGCAAGCTGCTGCCGCTGCTCAACATCCGATGTTGGCCCCGCGGCCGATCGACGCCGCCACAATTGGAGGTCACAATTACCCGTATTCTGATATCGCCTCCTCAGGTCCATCGCAAATTAGTAGTGGACCTCAATTCTTCTATCCGGCGCCGCAGGTACAACCACCTCGGGCTGGGTCAACACAACCAAGAGCGCAACATGTACAAGGGCTATTACCCTCGACTACGGTCAATGACTCACAGTTCCTGACTTCCCAGGCTCAGGCTAGTTCTGGCCAAGAGAATTCTCAGGACGATCAAGAGCAGTACAAACCAGATTACAGACAAGAGCGCTATAAGCAAGAGGGGTATGCACAAGAGGCCGGTCCTCAATACCCCCCCGCCAATCACCAACTGGGCGAACTTTCCCGGTCAGGACTTCGCCTCGGCAACTGTACCAACATATACTGGCGATACAGTATGGGACAAGAGTTATGACGGCAACCTATATCCCCAGGTATGTGTCTATGGAGTCTAGCCCGCTTGCCTACGGCACTAATATTCAATGCAGACAAACATTCCGCCTGGTCTCATATACCATTACCAGCAGCAACATGGACCGCTTTCTCCGCAATTCGATCCATCTGCACAACATAATCCCCAATCACTGACACAGGTCGTTTATATAGAGGACGAAGCGGAAGACTATTATGATGTCGAATCTGAAGATGATATGGTGGATCAGACACAGGCGGAAGGCTTCAACCAATTAAGCTTAATCATGGCCTCTGCAAACCACGACGACAGCCGGCTTCGCTCCTTTACCACGCACTTGAACGAACCCAACGTTCTCGCCTCCTACTACCCACATCTGGGATCGTCCCCTCTCAACAACCCGAAGACAGCTCGCATCTTCACCCATTTCCTTCATTCAACGGGTCCCTCTTTGTCTATATTTGAACGACACCCGACGGACTCGTCGATGACTCTGGGTGATCCAGTTTCACCCGCACAGCAAGGCCTTTGGACATACACGCTTCCACTCAAAGCCATGGAACACCCTGCATTAATGCAAGCCATCCTTGCAGTTTCCAGTTTACACATTGCATACCTCCAAGGTGTCTCCACCACGGTCTCTCTCAAGCACTATCACTACGCATTGAAGCGCATTGGTAAGGCTGTTGGGCTCCCCCCATCGGCGTAAACAAATTGGAACATTGGCAGCCACCGAACTTCTCGCCTACTACGAGGTCATCTCTGCCGATCACTCTAAATGGAATAGCCATGTCGCCGGTGCCGCGCAATTGATCAAAGAGATTGACTTCGCCCGTACTACTCGGGACCTTCGGGCTCATCGACGACACATCAACGAGCAGCGACGACAACCGGGATGGAATGACGTGTCGATGTATCATCCTGCATTTGGAAGTGACATCAATGAAGATGATCCATTCGCTGAAAAAGAGGCCAGCATTGACGGAGCTTTCATCGGATCACTCATGGGGCGGGCAGTCAACTACGACCACTTTGGCCTCATTGATGATGGACTGCCATACATTCCAAAGAGACACTTCTCCCGGAAGGACATCGAGAACTTCCGGATCCAGTGTGACTTATACTGGTGGTACACCAAGCAGGATGTTTTTCACAGCCTGATCAGTGGAGACAAACTTTTGTAGGCACAAGTACTCTTCTTCGCCGGTACTAACACTAACATGCGTATAGCATGGCGTATTATCTGCAGGGACAGTGCCCACCCCGAGCAGGTATCGGCCGGCTTGATGCCATCTACGGTTCCGCTGATCATCTCTGGCTCCTGTTAGCCCGGGTGAGCGACTTTGGCTATAGGGACCGCAAGCGTAAGCTGAGTGCTATTCGTGCGAGTGGAAGTGACTGGAGGCCTGGTCCCGGGATCTCCAAGTTCATGGCTCGCTTCAGTAAAGGCGACCCTCATAGACGACCAGGCCCTCCTGGACCACTCGGACCACCTGCGGGTCCCCCATCTGGACACGGTCGTAAATCTGGGCAATTTCCAAATCCCCCTGAAGGAGGGCCCCCACCCCCAGGTACCGGATCTCCGCCTCAAAGTGGCCCTCCCATGTACGGAATGGTCCCCACCGCAGGGGCCGACTCGCCTCCCCTCGGGTTTTGTAGATGACCCTCGTAAGAAGGAAGACTCACCCGAAGAAGACGAGAAAGACGAGGCAGACTTTTCCTTTACCGAAGCAGAGCAGGAATGGGAGGAAATCATGGTCGCCATGGATACATACGCTCAGGCGCTAGGTCGAGACTTTCAACCTCTTCCAGAAGATGTCACGACTGCCATCTCATCTCCATTTGGGCCTGCTCTCCAGTATCGAACGCACACAATTGCCGTGATCTGGGGATTCTATTATGCTGGACGAATCCTCCTCAAACGTCTTCATCCCTCTATGCCCCCAGCCATGATGATGTCGGCCGGTGTGGCAGCCTCAACCACAGCAGAATACGCACAGATCATTGGCAGAATCGCCGCAGGTATCTACTATCCTCAGCGCTACAATCTCCAGGCTGGCAGCCTAAGCCCAACACTCGGCTCCTCTCTGCAGGAGATGACAATGCCAATGTTTTTCGCTGGGGTGCAGTATGTGGATCACATGCAGCGAGGCTGGACAATTGCCAAGCTGCGAGACATTTCTCGTTTGACGGGTTGGAAAACCTCTGACGCTATCGCCGGTGGCTGTGAAAAGGCATGGATTGTTGCAGCCAAAAATGGCCGTGGGCCACCATACGAAAAAAGCTTTGAGCCTGACCGTGAGCGTCATGTAAGTGCTAACCTGAAGTGAATTTATTCATCTCTGCTAACTATATGCTAAAGGAACAGGATGTTCTCTCTCGAGCTGAGGTGGCGCAGTCTAGTGATCGACGCTTCACAGTAACTGGGCCAGACCGGGCTTATTTGGCGATGGGGCTCTTGAGTTTGGAGGGAGACATGCAGAATCTGGAATTGTAGGATTGGGCGAGATTCTTTCTTTCGGCCCGAAGCGATCCAGGGGCCAATAGATCTTGTTATCTTGGTCCTGTCCACCTCTTCTCACCATTGTAGAAAGTTTGCTCCAGCACTCTCCTGTGACCTTCTTGCAAATGTTTATTTTCGATAGATCTTAGACACCTGAATTACGAGCAGACAAAGCATGACTCAGGCGTGAAATTATCTCTCGGGTGTACCTACATTAGACACGCAGGTATACAGTAGCGTGAAGTCACCGGTACTTTAGTGTCTGCGTTAGCTTACCTAGTGAACTAAGTGGCGGAGACGGATCTTCCCCCACTTGCCTAATGTCATCATAGGCTTCTGCCTGACTTTTGCGGGCTGACTTGAGCTGAAGCTGTCTTTCCCTTCCATCTTCACCCAGGCGTAATCTCTCCCCTTTCTAGTCTCTTCAACCCCAACGTTCCCGTGGTTCCTCGCACCCCCACCGTCAACGGGCCGAGTCAGCCGCCCTCGTCATCCACGGTTCAGTCCCCATTTCTCTGTTTACTCGTTGAACCGGGTGATCAACTAGAGCTATGTCTCGTTACGATGACTACCGTTCCTCAACAGGGACTCTAGACTCCCGCGATCGGTATGACCGCTATCGAGGCCCACCCGTGGCCGAACGACCCCGCCACGCCGAGGACGAGCGCTTCGAATTCCGCATGCACGAAGAAGACCGGTATGGCCCTCCTGCACGCACCCCTGGTCGCCGATATGATGACGAGCACCTGGTTCGTACGTCCGGACCTCTTGTGGCGCATGACCGCCGCCGCCGTGACGAAAGTCCCTCCTTCATTCGGCCTCGTTTACTTAGGCGCCAGTCTTCCCTGGATACCTTTGACCGCATCCCTCGTCGCAAGATGGAAGAGGTTCGCGATCGAGCCCCACGTATGAGGGGTATACCTTCTGCTCCGCCGCCACCTCGCGCGTCGCCTGGTCGTTATCGTGAGCGTGAAATTTACGAGGATATTCGCATTGCTGATCCGGACACCTACGGCGACGAGGAGTACAGAGGTATGCGTGATCAAGATGGTATGGGTCATCATCGTCGCTCGAGCAGTGCGAGGCGCCGGCATCATGAGGAGAAGCCCTATCCGCGCAAAGGCAAGACTCGCATTCCTCGAAAATGGGTGCATATCCATGCCATATTGGATCTAGGGTATCCGTTTAAAGAAGAGGTATACAATCTTGATGCCCCTTCATCCATTGGTAGTTGCTGACATGCTTAGGACGATACCATTGTAATCCAGAAGGCCTTGTCGAAAGAACAGATCGACGAAGTAATCAGCCTAAGTCGAGAATTCCGGCGACCCCCTCAGGTGGAAAGTGAGTCACTGTCCAAAAGGATAATCATGCGACAATCAGAGACTAATCGAAGACTAGCCGAATACCTTCGTATCGCACACTCCCCTCATCGAGAAGTGCCGCGCGAACGAGTGACCACCGAGCACCTGGTCGTTGATTCGCGCTCCCACTACTCGCCTCGCTCGAGCCACGAAGCGTTTATTGTGGAAGCGTCGCCTTCCCGCTCTCCAGAGTACGAGTACGAGGAGGTGATTGAGAGACCAAGGAGGCATACCGTCTCAAGGCCCCGGTCTGTGTCTGTGCATGCACACCGTCACGCATCTCCCGTGCGATTCATTGAGCCTCGGGAGTATGTTGAGGAACGTGTTGGGACAAGCGGCCACTCTGGGTCCATGGTGCTCGTGCGCCCTCGGCACAGTGACCACGACGTCAGTGACTATATCCAAGACCTAGAAGAAGAAACAAGGCTCTTGCGATTGGAGCGTCAGGGAGGCATTGAGATTACGAGACAGCGCGAGACAGACATTATCGATGACAAGGGCAATGTGGAGGAGGTGACGGAGGTTCGCCGCTCTGAACGCAGAGGTAACACTCCTCACAGGTTTTATGGTTACTGGATTTACATGGCTAACATTCTTGTAGAACCAAATTCGAGAGTGATGCGGGCTATGATGGCTACTTTGACATAGAGGATTTTGACACAGTGGCAACGACTGATGATTTTACGGGATATCATGCTATGAGCATTTCTTCTCCTTGTATTCTTTACTATTTCCCTTATTTCCTACAATTGGCACAAATTACAATGGCATTGATGCCTGATTGCGAACCGTGGCGGTGCAGTGGGGCGGTGCAGGCCCTTAGAGCGGGATGCTCACTCTTCGTAGCTGTATCATCAACGGACTCCCGCTTCTTTCTCTCAGTCATTCTGTCATCATGGATCGAGTGCAGGCATTCGGTAAGAACTTCAGGTGAGCACTGCCCCTTTCATCTACACCTTCCCCGTACTTCACAGCCCCCACATCGCCCGTTCTCGACCATAATCAGTGTACTGACTTCATCCTGTCTTTGCTCTCTACTAGTGCTAGCTTCACGCCTTTCGCACAGCGCACCCAGCAGTTGATCAAGGAGCAACTGGGGCAGGCCGAAGACAAGACCCAGCTCCCCGATGAATACATCGAGCTCGAGAAGCGCGTCGATGCGTTGAAGCTTGTCCACCAGAAGCTCCTGTCGGTGACGTGAGTGTTTCCCCCCTCCCCCCTTCTCTGCCTGTCTTAGGGCTTCTGGCTTTTGGGGTCAGACTGACAGACAATTTTTGTGGCTGTGCAGCTCTCAATACTCCAACGAAGCCTACGACTACCCTCCCAACATCCGCGAGTCCTTCAATGATTTGGGTCGCACGATCAACGAGAAGGTCACCCTGCTCGCGCAGGCTGGCTCACCCGCTGAAGCCCAGGCTGCACTGACTGCACCTCCCTCCGCTAAGCCCCAGCCCAAGACTTTCAACCATGCGATTGCCCGCGCATCGCTCGCCGGCTCCCAAACCTTGATCAACAGCACCGAGGGCGAGGACCCGCTCGCCACCGCGCTGGAAAAGTACGCCTTGGCCGAGGAGAAGGTCGGCGAGGCCCGTCTGGCCCAGGATGCCCAGATCCAGTCCCGCTTCCTGGCTGGCTGGAATACCACCCTCAACACCAACTTGATGTTCGCCGCCAAGGCCCGCAAGAACGTCGAAAACGCCCGTCTTACTCTGGACTCGGTCAAGGCTGCTAAGAAGGCCGCCGCTCGGGGTGACCTGGACAACTTGAGCGAGGATGCCCGTGCCGAAATTGAGCAGGCGGAGGATGAGTTCGTGGGCCAGACTGAGGAGGCCGTGAGCGTGATGAAGAACGTAGGTTCTACTTTTCCTGCAAACCCAGCCGATCGATCAATACTAAAACATTCACCCCTTGCTCTAGGTCCTTGATACCCCCGAACCCCTGCGCAACTTGGCCGATCTGATTGCCGCCCAGCTGGAGTTCCACAAGAAGGCATACGAGATCCTCAGCGAGCTTGCTCCTACCGTGGATGCTCTGCAGGTCGAGCAGGAGGTAAGAGTCTCTTCTTTTTGATCAAAAAGGGAACAATCTCTAATCCATACTCCAGGCCAGCTACCGCAAGAGCCGTGAGGGCGCGTAAGCATAGTATTGTCTTTCTATTTATCACTTTTGAGCCCGTTTAGTCCGGGCTAGCCATTTTGTATCTAAACCCCTCTTGCTTCTATGTCATCCTAAGGGATTCAATTTTGGTTGCTGTGTTTGGCTGTATAGATTGAGACGTCCAGCTTCTCACCGAAACTTGTATAGTAACACATGTGACCTGTGTACATTTACTCCAGACCGCCCTGGTGCCTCAGGCACTCAAGTCCCACTAGCTCCAGGAGCTCCGACATCCAACACTACAACCTCTTCGGTGATTTTAACGGTCTGCGCCCGCCTTTCCGCGCCAGATCTCTTTACTTGGTATCCCCGGGAAGACATAATTTAACACCTCCTTGTGAAACGATACCCATCGCTCGACTATTTCTCCAAACGTGTCCTCGAATCGACGGGATCCCCGACCTCCGATTCAATACCGCGTCCCGCTTCACCGGCCTTGAATTTCTAAGCGAAGTTCGATCGACCAGTTCTTCTTGAGCGCATGCGTCTAGTGAGAAGACCGGACCGGACTCATACCGCAGACTCTCCAATTGAGATACAAATATCCGCAACATTACATTCGAGGAAGACTGGCTCTTAACGGACCCGTGAAGGAAGACAGCAAGACAAAATGGCAAGCGGGTATGTTCTCCTGATACGCGATGTGTGAACCATGGTGTACGAGATCTCCGATTCGGACTTGAATCTCGTCCTCGAGCATCACCTTGTCCCACCACTGGTGCTCTCCAACCGAAAACATACTGACTCGGCAACAGTTGGAGCCTCATCATCGGCCTCATCATTATTGTGGCCGCCTCCTTGTGTGCCTGGTTCTTTAGCCCAAAGGGCGAGAATCTGACGTGAGCTTTCCCCTATGCCGATTGATATCTAATCACTAACATCCCTCCCAGTGTTTGGCGTAGCACACTAATCCTTTCATTCATCTCCTGTTATTTGATGTGGGGTATGTTTTTCCCAATTCTTAGCCAAGATCCAGAGCTAACATGAATCAGCCATTGTCTTCCTAGCGCAGTGGCACCCTCTTATCGCACCAAAGAGGGCCGATATCCGTCCCGACCGCGTACCGAATTAAATGCTCGAATTTCGTTGATCATTTGATACTGTATTTCGGGCTGAGAGAGATCTTATCCCATGGCATACCCTTTACATCCCAGTCCTTTGGACTCGCGATAGATGCGATTCTTGAGGGAGATGGATCTCGGACTTGCGCACTTGGTTGCGGGTGTTTTGTATAGCTTTTTATTGCATCTATGATAAAATTTACATCAAGGCACTCTTTGCGCTATCGTAGATGTATGCCTTATGAGTAGTTGACTTAGTATCAGGTCCATATTACTTATTGTTTTCTATCTATACACAACCACGATATCGTAACCCGACTTGAACCACTCATCCAACTCCAACAGCACCTAAAATAACTCTTTGCACGGCCCACCGAGCAATCTGCCCCGCAACAGCAACAGCCACCGCGCGCAGATACCCACATCCAAGCAGGATATAAAGCGCCTCGATATTACTCAAGAGCACGAGATGCGTATCGACAACACCCAATGACAACAATGATGCAAGGACGCCGAAAAGACCAGTCACATACCGCGTCGGTAGATAAGGTCGGAGCGAAGACTCTGCGGCCGCAAGGAACGATTCCAGAAACGAAGGCGATGCTGAGTCTCGATTCGAGGAGAGAGCCGCCTTTGACGCGCCCATATCTTTCCTGGCATCTGTGTTCCCGGCTTGTATGTCGCTCAAGTTGCCGCTGCCGCTTCCGTCGGCGCCCCAGATCACGAGGAGGATTGGGAATAGCTTTGCGCAGCTACTGACTAGCAATGCGGTGCTGATTGCTGTCGGGCTTGCGGCTGTTGGAGGCGGGAGGGGGCGAATGTTCTGTGGCGGTGCTGTTGAGGCGCGCCGGAGGGGTGGAGGACGCTGTGGGGCTGGCATGGCACTTGGTGGAAGGAGCGATGAGTCTAGTGCGGAGGTAGGGTCGTGGAAGGGAGCATAAGGGGTGGTTTTGGTGGGAAGTGCAGCTGCGCCTAGGCTTAATTGTTGTTGGCTTTGTGTGTTCGGCTGCGACGGGGGTGACGCCCTGATCGTGGGTGTCGGAGGGCCTGATGGGATGGGGGTCGTGTCGCCAGTGCTGGTCGTGTTGGTGCTGCTCGCTTCGGCAGCAACATAGCGGTGGGATTTTGGGACCAAGATTGAGGCGAGAAGACGAACAGTGAGGTGATGCGCGAAGGTTGCTGCCGCGTTCAGAGTCAGAAAGAAGAGGTATTGCACGACGATTGGGGCGCGCGCGACGAAGGTTGTGGCCAGCGAGGGGTCCTTTTCGAGGCGGGCCCAGGTCAGGTAGACGTCAAAGAGAAGAAGAAGGATTCCCAGACGGATGATTGATCGCTGTATTAGTTGTAGTCAGCTTGTTGATCCTGTCAGGCTGGAAGGTAGAGCACACTCACGTCGAATCGGTTGTCATCGCGTCCAAGTCGATTGAACAGGAGATGGCGATAGACCTGTATCGAGAAAGAATGAGCTTTAATGTTTTCTCATCCTATATAGCAGTTCATACCTGCGGTTTGATGAGGACAAGGTCGATGAAGATCACGACAAAGTCGTATTCAACGTATTTGTCGGCGAAGCGTTGGCAGCGCGGACACTGGGTCAATCGCACGCCTTTACCCTGCGACCGATCATCGGCACGACTGTAGGCACTATACAGGTGCGAGACCGGGTATGAGCACTCGATGCAGATGGGCATCGTGTCTCATTGCGCCGTGGAAATGGGAGTGGCCGAGTTACGTTGCGAAGCGGAGGTTGGGGTCGCGCCAGGTGGGACCGATCTATAGTCTTGAACCCTCGAAAGCTCCAGCCCTCGAATTTGTCAGTGGAGTTCCGGCCTTCAATGTCAATAGTTTGTTGAACTTCTGTTTTAGATTTTCACTTCTTTATATGTTCTAATGCTGACTCGTTTCTATTTACACCACCAGGATCCCTAGAAGTATTCTAGCCTTGGTTGACAAGTATGGTCATTTACTTCCTTGGATTACCTGTCAAGGAGTAAAGCTAATGGCATGTACAGTATGAGGACTTGCTTCTATCAAGTCCGTCAATCGATAACACTTTTGTTGTCCGCCCAACTCGGCTGAATCATCCTGCACACGGCTTCATAGTCCCGGAACTTCTGCATATCCTCTGGCAGTCCTGGTGTGGTCCAGAACATAGTCCAATTACTATCGGACAGCTTCCACGTACCATTCGAGCGTTCGAAATACCATTTGTTCACGGGGTTATCTTTGCGACTGCGCCAGCAAACTCCATCGGGGAAGCACGAGCGCACCATGGCATTGAAGACCACGTCAGCGACACCGCCTGCGCCCTGACTGCGCTTGAGGACTGCGAATTTATCCAAATATGGAACCATACGGGCAGCGCTCTCCTCACTGCCGTCGTCGATGACACCCGGAGGTGTTTCCCAGGTCAAAATTGCTCCACCTTCGTATTCTCCAGCGATAATCAGGCCGGCGATTCGGTCGTTGACTCGTTCCAAGTATTTCTGTACATCAAGTTTGCGGTCGAATGAATCTTCAATCAGATGAACAAGACGGGGCAAGTCAATTGAGGGATCATTCAATTGCACGCGTTTCCGTTGAGGGGTCCACATTTGCACCCAGGGGTCCGGAAGGACAGTGAGAGGCATTCCACGCTTGATGAAGGTGGTGTGAGAAGTAAGCGGGCTAATTGCACTGGGCCCAATATTGGCAGTTCCACGACGCCCAGGGGGTAAAGATGATGAAAGGAGAGGTTTGTCGGTGAGAAGACTGTGAATGAGAGGATTGCGCTGGCGACGAGTTCCAACGGCAGACAAATCTGAGGCATCTGTCTGCGGTGTACGAGCAGAGTTGGCGACTTCCAGGGGTGAGGTAATAATGCCAGAAGAGGCAGATGGCAGCATAGCCAGGGCCTGTCGCGACAGTCGAAGATTGTCCATATGGCCATCAAGCACATGGCTTATTGCCTGCGCTCCAGGGAGTCGCTGCGACTGTCCCGGAAGGGGCGAAGCTATCTCTTGGTTCACAAACATAGAGAAAGGATTGCTTTCCAAGATAGATGATGCAGGGCCAGGATCTTTGCGAGGGAGTGTTTCAGTTCCCTCGCCGACCAAAGAGTCTCGTATATCATTCAACTCTTCCTCAATCTCATCATATTCTTGCTCCATGTTAATAAAGACATGGGACGACTGAGGTCCCCCTGAATGCCGGAATGCCTCCGAGAGGGTGGAGCAGAATCACTCGATCCAAAGAGACCTCCTTCTGTAAATTGCTGATTGTCTCCGCGGTGACTGTAGGGTCTTCGTCAGGGTCGGGAGAGGTACTTAGACCAGCAAATTCCTGCGTCAGTGCTATCACAGCCTCGTTTGCAGTTACTGCGACAGCCTTTGGATTCTCTTCCATGTACGCAATTGGCGTGACGATAACGACATGTCCGTCACGAAGAGGGCCCAGAAGACCCTTCCGAGACGTAACAGTCAGCTTCCCGGAGCCCTCTGATAGCGACAAAGCCGAATCCAGACGGAATGACTTGGAGTCGGGCTGTTCATCAACTGCCGCTGAGATTCGATTAGCCTGCTCAATGGCGACTTGTCGCACTGCAGTGACATTATCTATCTTCCCTGGGTCGATAACAACGCAACACGCCATGCCCAAACGAACGAGCTGTGAGAAAGTCTTGGCTACCCCTTTGATGGTAGAATCATCGAGAGATTGAGGCGTGCTGATTTTGATCAGGGCCATGTGTAGTCGCTCGGCTGGTTCGTGCCCGCGAGGAGCCGGGGTAGTGTTTTGTCGGAACACTGGAGTTTCATAAACGGCTCGGGAAGCTCCATAGAATGAGCCCAAATTGACACCAAGCGGTGACGATTCTGATTTGGATTCTTTGAGGGAGTCCTCTGCCGTCTCTAGATCTGGCTTGGAGGGGCTGGCTTTGAAGCGAGACAGGTATTGTTTTGCTTCGCGCTTGGTCGTGGCAGAGCTGAGCAGACTCAGGAAAAATTCCTTTGAAAGAAAAGTTTTATTATGGAACACTGTTTTTCTTCATCGCGATACATACCTTATCGAGTAGCTTCTCTTTGGCGCGACGTCCTAATCCTTCCTGTTTTCGGCAAGTGGTGGAGAGTTCGGCGATCTGCTGAGCAAAGGGTAATGATCGCGCTGGGCACACAATGCCGAAGTCATGAGAGCGAGTCAGCTGGTGCTACAAGCGCGTAGGTTAAATTAGCTTTGTGATTAATGCGGCGTCGAGTATAGTACCTTTACTCGCGAGGACTGGCCCGTCCGCGGCCAGGTCAGTGCCCTTGAGCTCATGTTCAAGCGCCAGCGCCACTGCGGCAATTGCAAGGAGGGGAAAGTAACCTCAGAACAGTCGACTGAAGGATGGCCAGTTCATTGTGCACAGAAGGTGAGACGGAGCCGATGAGAAAACGCGGCATGACGCATCCTCGGTTGCTATTCACCGCCTGACGATCTTCGGGCATGCAAATCCACTCAGAAGTCGACTAAGACATTGATCAGGCCCACCGGGTTCTGTGAAGATGGCAATTGTTTCTAGTGTGGCCCCGGCAATACTAACCGATACACTGGTACCTAGTCAGAAGACTTCCGCGGAGACTTTTGATCCAGTGAAGAAATATTGGATGTCAAGCTCGGAGCTCGGGTGGGGCAGCCCTGCGTGGAAATGATGTCCGTGACTTGACGAATACTGTATTGTTGGAGAGACTCTTAGCTGTGGCAATGATTGCTGCATTCGAGAGCGCAATAGTCTCCAGAGTCTCTGACAAAACTCTGCAGCCATGCCTGCGTGACACCAAGTCTCCTGCCACAATGTCTCGGAACAAATGGCTGAGGACCTTTCCAGGCTATTTCGATTTACAAACCCCCCCCCCAACCCCAACCCATCCTTTTTTTCCCCTTCAATTGCTTAAGGAAATACCTGGTTTCATTATTTCCAAAAGTTGAAAATTTTACAGCTGTAACAGTGAAGGGGCGACCATGTGTAGTGTTCCACTATTCAGAGAGATCAAGGGTGTTCCAGTCTGTCAGAGTGATATATTCATAACGAGCAAATTTTGGAGAAAATTGGAAGGCAGTAAGAGAGCTTAGCCTCAGAAACCTCTTGGACCACCGTCAGGCTATATTCCATCTAGCTCATTCAGCATTTATGCTATGTGTGAGTTGGAAATCAGTGTTCGATCCCTGCAAAGCTCTCTAGTACCAACTTGGTACTAGTTCTAGATACCTATCTCAAATTAACCTCTAGGATGACCGCATCAGATAGCTCCCTAAAACAAAATCCACGATTTCCCCGCCAAGGCGGTCACCGAAGTACATGACGCTACATCGCGGCGCACGGTGAAAGCGGGTGACCGCGCAGTACTGCCCAAGTTTTTCCCTTTCACCCGCCACTTCCTTTTACTGAGGTCATATTTTTCACCCCAGGAACACAAGTGTACTTCTGCTCAGGGTTTTTGTCTCGAGAAGATATACTCAAGTACGTAAACCGATCTCTTCTCTGAGACCTCTTTCCCCCCTGCTTTCGGCCCCCATCCTCATCCCTCGGCCGCTGCCCCTCCTTGCGCACACTACCCGCGAGTCCGCGTCGCAAATTCTTTTTAGCCCAAGGTGTTGTCGTTGGGAACGATATCTCAGGGAAAGACGAATATCCGATCGGCTGGCTGTCTTGCTTGACATCGATCTGGTTTTGACTTGCATATAAACTGATCCCCACCGGTCTAGATTTGCATTCCTCGATCCCCATTGACGCCACCGAGCTGGGTCCCCTACAAACCCACCGTGGAAACGCATTACCCACACCAGAGCATTTCAATTTCGCCCTATCCACACCCTTTATTCCTCTCTTCGATACCTTAATTCCCTCGACTCGACCATGTCTGAGCCCAGCGAGCGTCCTTCGGAGTCTATGCCCGGCCCTGACAACTCCGGGCTGAAGCCGCTGTCCAATGCGGAGGACATGCCCCTGTCAAACCCCAGTAACAGCGAATTGTCTCGCATCATGAGCCGCGCCGGCATCACGCTGTCCAATGGATTCCCGCTCGATGACGGTGACGACGATGAGGAGGTGGACGAGGACTACGTCGCGGTCGATCAAGAAGACGCCAATGACTACCCACACTGGTTCCGTCGGCCCCCGACTCACCACCGTACCAAGCTTGATGAATTGCACCCCTTCGTTCAGCTACTATCCACATCTAATGTCGAAGACTGTGTGAATGTGGAGAGTGCGTTCCCAGAGCAAGAGCGTTGCTCGCGTGACAAGGTACGGTATCACCGCTTCAAAAAAGGCATGGATCCGATACAGCATATTCGATCACGGCAGTTGCCGTGATCGGTTGAGGATCGTTAAGGTTTAACAAAGTCGAAATCACATCTTGCTGACTTTATCTTGATCAGTTTGTTTATCGCTTGACCAGATGCCCTGAGCTCAGCCTGGGTCTCTTCACTCTGCCTGTTCTTAGCGACAAGCCTCAACCCCGCGCGACGCTTGTCGGACATATCATTGCCACACGTACTTCGGGACCTTGTGTGACAGACGCTTCCATGAAGCTTCCCAAGAACTGGTCCAACGAGCGCTGGACCTTTGAAGATGGCCAGGCCGTTGGCCATGAGGAGGGTGGCAGTACCATCGCCATTCACTCGCTGGCCGTGTTGCCTGAGCACCAGGGCAAGCAGGTCGGCAGCACTCTGATGAAATCTTATATTCAACGCATCCGAGAGGCCCAGATTGCCGATCGGATTGCCATTATCGCCCACGACCACCTTATTCCCTTCTATGAATCCTTCGGTTTCGAGTCCCACGGCCCCAGCAAGTGCCAATTTGGCGGTGGTGGCTGGGTGGATATGGTAGGAACATTCCATCCGTGCTCCTCTTGAATATAACTGACTCATATTAGGTTTTGGAGTTCGGCCCCCCTGAGCAGGAATAAGCGCTCGGATGTACTCTTTCCTTGCATCTCCTCGGCGTGGGCCACGTGTGGTCGTTCTGCCGTTTCATACTTATGATTTTCTTTTCTGTGATGCCTCCCGTTACGCACGTTCATGTCCGGTCATCGGTTTTAATCCTAGGGTTTGAGAAGAAAATGGAGTTTGATGTTTTCTGGGGGCGGGATGATGATGGCCAGCCTTTTCAGGATATTTGGTTACTATGGAGAGGCTCGAACTTCCCAAATAAAGCGTGGCTTATGTACTATACTTGGATGCGATGTACATGAGTGTGGTCGGCCAATATACACAAAAAAACATTAAAATGTGAAACATGCCTGATTATGTTGAAAATCAAATAAAAACGTATTTCGGCTGCAAAAAAACCCAAATAGTGAGAGCCAATCTCGCCCCCGCGATAGATCACCGCCTGGCAGAAAAATGCCCGCAACAATTTTTTCGTGGAGACTTAATCGTCGACTCGGGAACCCCAACAACCTTTCCACTTCAGAGTCCAGTCCTAGCTTGACTCCTGTGGCCCATCATGAAGACTACGTGGAAAGATGTGAGTGCCCTTGATCTATCTCTTGGTCTGCGAACCTGTTGATCTAACCTGTTTCACCGCTAGATTGCGCCTGTGCCCACCCACCAGGAATTCTTGGACATTGTCCTGAGTCGTACTCAGCGCCAGCTGCCCACCCAGATCCGTGCCGGCTTCAAGATCGCCCGTATCAGAGGTATTGTTGCCTTGTCCTGTTTCTACATTCCAGTCGTTGTGTTGAGGGTGGTAACCTTCATCCAGAAGAAGAGAAAAAAAAACTTATCGGGGTTTATCGATAAAGCATGATCGCTGACTGAAAATTTCGCTGCACAGGCTTCTACACTCGTAAGGTCAAGTTCACCCAGGAGACCTTCTGTGACAAGTTCCAGGCCATTCTTGATGGCTTCCCTCGTCTGCAGGATATTCATCCCTTCCGTAAGTCTTTTTTCTGCAGCCCGAAGCCACTCGGCTAGGAACTTACATCTACCAGACAAGGATTTGATGAACACTCTTTATGATGCCGACCATTTCCGTATTGCTCTCGGTCAGGTTTCAACTGCAAAGCACCTTATCGAAACCGTCTCCCGTGATTACGTCCGTCTTATCAAGTATGCTCAGTCTCTGTTCCAGTGCAAGCAGCTTAAGCGCGCTGCGCTTGGTCGCATGGCCACCATCTGTCGCCGTCTGAAGGACCCTCTTGTCTACCTTGAGCAGGTTCGCCAGCATTTGGGTCGTCTCCCATCGATTGACCCCAACACCCGTACTCTCCTGATTTGCGGTTACCCCAACGTCGGAAAGTCCAGCTTCCTGCGCAGCATCACTCGCGCCGATGTCGATGTTCAGCCCTATGCTTTCACCACCAAGTCCCTGTTCGTCGGTCACTTCGACTACAAGTACCTTCGCTTCCAGGCTATCGATACCCCCGGTATTCTCGACCATCCTCTGGAGGAGATGAACACCATTGAGATGCAGTCCATCACTGCCGTCGCTCACTTGCGCTCTGCTATTTTGTATTTCATGGATCTTTCCGAGCAGTGCGGTTACTCTGTTTCCGATCAGATCAAGCTTTACCACAGCATCAAGCCCCTGTTCGCTAATAAGATTGTCTACATTGTCGTCAACAAGATCGATGTGCGTCGCCCCGAGGACCTTGATCCAGAGCAGCAGAAGGAGCTGCAGGATATCCTGGCTTCTGGCGATGTCGAGATGCTTCAGGCTTCTTGCACTACCACCGAGGGTGTGACTGCTGTTAAGAACGCTGCTTGCGACAAGCTTCTCGCCGAGCGTGTGGCACAGAAGCTCAAGTCTGGTACCAACACTTCCGGCACCCCTGGTGGCCGCCTGGGCGATGTCCTGGCCCGTATCCACGTTGCCAAGCCTATGGGCGGTGTCCAGCGCGAGACCTTCATCCCCGAGGCTGTCAAGGAGCTCAAGAAGTATGACAAGAATGACCCCAACCGCCGCAAGCTCGAGCGTGACCTTGAGGAGGAGAACGGTGGAGCTGGTGTCTACAGCTTTGACATGCAGCGCGACTACACATTGGCCAACGCCGATTGGAATCACGACAAGATCCCCAAGGTGTGGAACGGCAAGAACATCTACGACTTTGTTGACCCCGATATCGAGTCCAAGCTGGCTGCTCTCGAGGAAGAGGAAGAGAAGCTGGAAGCCGATGGATACTATGACTCCGACGAGTCTGTTGAGGATGCTGAGGATGCTGATATTCGCATGAAGGCAGACCTCATCCGGGAGAAGCGTGTCTTGATGCGCAACGAAGCCAAGATGCGCAAGTCGCTCAAGAACCGCGCACAAATCCCCCGCAGCGCCAAGTCCAAGAAGCTCTCCGAGATGAACCGCGCTTTGGACTCGGCTGGCTACGATGTGGATGCTGCTGGCGACCGCGCCCGCTCCCAGAGCCAGGTCCGCGGACGTGCCCTTACCCGTGACGGGCCCAATGATGATGACATGGATCTTGACGACCCCAAGCAGGCCCTTGCCCGTGCTAAGAGCCGTGCGCGCAGCGTGGCGGCTACTGATCGTCGTAACGACGGTGTTGTCAGCGACACTGCCCGCGACAAGGCTGAGCGTATGTTCAAGCTGGGCCAGAAGAAGATGAACCGCATGGCCCGACAGGGTGAGGCTGATCGTCATACCACCGCCTCCCTACCCAAGCACTTGGTACGTCACCCTATCACACTTAATTCCTTGACCAATTTTCTAACATTTCTATAGTTCTCCGGCAAGCGTGGTATGGGCAAGACCCAGCGCCGTTAAAGGCTCCGCTGGCGACGAAACGAGACAAATTCTTAATTGTCGATTGGTTTCTATACCGGGTGCACAATGGTGTCGGGCGTTTTTTCCTTCTTTTTATGTTCATTTGACGCAGACTTCCATCTTTTCTGGATAAACTCTACAGTGTGTGGAGGGCTCTCCCAGTCAATAGGACCAAAAAGTTCTTGACTTGATGATATTGCATATACCAATACAGATGCTGTTTCTTGGTTTTCAAGAGGTCTTTGCTACTTGTAGATTTATGGACCATAGCAATGCCCTAGCACGCTGCAATGCCCTATGTAGCACCTTGCGGTGTTATTCGCTCTTCACCTCCACATTAGACTTCACCCTTCACACTTATTTTAACATTGTTTCCAAAGGCATTTCCCTTGCTCTGCACGGCATGTGGACTAATCTTTAATTCGTGTCCCATGTATTCGTAGCCTGAAGCTCACGCATTCTTTTTACCACTTTAAATACCAATAGCGCAGTCGCCAGCTTACATGTTTATAGGTGAAAAGGCGGTAGCTGAGCCTACGACCACCGGGATTCATTGTCAGAACCTCATTCTTGATCATGGTGATCTCGGATCTATTAATCGAGCTATGGGCTCTTGTTCAGGGTTCACTATAAGCAAAGGCCCCTTTTACTTTCTCAATTCACTAATCCACTCTGCGAGGGAACCTCAATATTCAGTTCCTTTCTCCCTCTGAAATCAGTCTCAAATGACATGTAACATCGATCTATCCGTCTTTTACGCGTGGTTGAATCAGCCATAGGCGAAGTGGCGACTTCACCTTCATATATTGGCTACGAACCTGCTCAAGCATGAAGGCTCCAGAAGCTACATGTACGTAAATTCCATTCAACTCCCGGAGTCGAAGACCCGAGCGCCCTGGTGAACACGATAACGGGTAAATATGGAGATGCCCACTTGAAAGAGGAAAGGTGATACCAAAAACATACCGGGAGGTATGTGGATTGACATGGTCCCGAAGTATCCACCTGGGCATCCCGACATGCAGGGTTGACAAAGCAGTGGGCTTTTTCAATGACACGGGCTACTCAGGTGGAGTAAATATATCTACTTTGCATCTCCAGTTGGTGAAATCCAGCACTGAGCATTCGATTCTCGTCGAACAGAATATGTGTCTGTTTGAAATGTTGCACGTATACATACATATGATGACACGTCCATGTGCACACCGTACAGTCCATGCACAAGCTCTCTCCCCTCAATTGAGCTATTCCTTTTCAGGAACTCTACTGCAGGCAAGACGGGGTCCTGATTATCTTCCGGATCGACATTGTCGGAGAAGGGCTCATTGGTCCAGTGAGCCTTGCCGGGACCCTCACATCGCTGACATAAATGTCTTGGGGGTTTTGGGGCATTGAACGATCGAAAGGAAGATGGGGTAGGGCCAAGGCAGCGGGGATATTCCAAGGAACTGGGAAGATGGAGTTACTTTCTCATTGCGTGAAGAGTGGAGTAGGAGAGTAGCATTGTGACGTGGATGAGAGGGACTCGTCGGATGAGGAGTCCAAAGTCGATGCCTCCAAGATTTGACCTTTCGTCAGCGTCTCAATGATTGCTTCTCTACTTTTCTGACCTCATCTTCTGAAATGTTCCATGATCCAAGGACTTTGTGGAAGCATCAGTTTTGGTGGTATGGAACAAGATACATATAATGAATTCTATTGTTATTTTGGCATGATTCTCACTGTTATGATGTTTGGCATGATTCTTATTATTATGATATCTGGCGTAATTAGTTTCAAGCGCCATATGCCTTCATCTCTCTCGTTAATGCCTCCATCTCTCCGGTTGACGAGGACATTGCCTGATGGTTGGGATCTACCTACACTGGCCGATGAAGGCAATGTAGGGAAGCACCACCTTCCCTCTTCGGTCTTTGGAGGTCTTTGCCGCACACTAACCCGAATTGATTTCTGGCGTTGTCACTTATCTCCATGGGTTCGACACCCATGCTGCACCTGCTCAGACACAATCACACAATCTGTACTGTCCCTAACATGCATTAGTGTCCGTCAAAATATCGCACCACTTTGGGGAAGCCATTCAGCCACCGATTGCGAAGTCCTCGAGGCCCTCTTTTACGGACCTAGAGGCTATGATTGTTAGAAGAGGCGCCGCGCTTCGTGGCTTGCAGCTATTGATGCCCGATTTAATCCGTTGGAACGTAGCGACACGGTAATGAGCTGTCTACAGAGTTACCGTGAATGAGGTCACCGTTTGAAGTAAACTACAGGATCCGTCTCTTGTAAAGTACACATTTCCACCGAAGGGGATCCGCTTTCTCACAAGCGTTACGTCTCACCGTTGTCTAGACCCTGTCCAGCTCGGGGAGGAAGGCCGACAACCTTGGAAGTGGCTGTCATGTCTCATTTCATATTTGTGGAATTCATTTTTCCCAAGAATGGATAACGATTCAACCGGCTTTTAGTTTTTCTAGTAACAACTTCGTAGAAAAATATAATTGATGATGCTATCGCTATGATCAGCTCCGTACAGTACAGCCTTGAACGACATTGATCATTGCTGACAAGGTTGGATAGCAAATTGGCCGACGCTAGACCTTGACGGCACACAGTCACCGAAGGCCACAAAATCTCTAGATCGCTTGCATGATCATGGCATGTCAGCATCTGATTGGAGATTACCTAGGAAGGAAGGAGCGTTCGCACCCCTTTTTCTTTTTTTCTTTTATTCTTTTTTTTTTTCAATGATTACAATTCATGATTTAAGTTCGGTTAAATTGGCACCGAAATTTCCCAGGTACGTTCACCGCAGATCACGGAAGAGGCTTGGGCTGGGTGGGGCGCGACAATGACTGGTTTGCGCCCGGTGACGCCCAGACGCCCAGTCCGAGTCGATCCCGTCTTCGGGATGCCGAGATTGATGGGTGGAAACTTCAGGAGCTCTAAGAAAAGTGTAGTCCAGAGGGAACAGGAAAAACATCTGATCTAGAGATGGTCATGTAGATGGGAACTGCTCATTGCATGATGTATCTATGGCCTAGGGCGATGCACGGTGCCCTGCAGCGGTGGTCAACACGGGCTCGATGCCGAGTCAGTCGGAATCGGGACAGTCGCAGGCAGGGCTCGGTGTGCCGATTTGGGTGTGGTGGAGCCCACGGCAGGCTCAAAGGATCGCAAATCTCTGCGCGGGACTCGTCCGAGGGCTCATGGTGGGACCCGAGCCTGAACAAACTGCCCTCCAGTCTGTCCACTTTGAAGCTCTTATCAGTGCTACGGTGAACTTCCTTCGGACCTTGTCTCTACTGGAACGTGCTCGGCGAAGATTCTATATAACATCAGCTGAACCCAGGACATCAGAACGCCCTTTTTGCCGGTTTGAATGCGTAGAGACCAGCTTGGACGATCATTGTCCAAGCTTGGTTCGGCGCCGGCCCTCGTCCCTGCTGAAGAACCCCACGTCCGCCCCACTGAGTAAACAGAGATTTCTATAGTACTGTAGAAATGATTTCCCTTCAATGGACACTGGGAGGAGCAAGTCAGCCCACTCGTTTCAGTCTGGCTCTGACCATTTCAAACCATTAGCCGACTCGATCAAGTAATAAAACTCGGAAAATGGCGTTCGTCAGGTGCTCATTGTGACGACATTGGAACTACCGTCTCGAGTCGAGAGACTATACGCATTACACAGGGCGTTCAACCACGGAAACCGTCCGTTGTCAGGCACATCCCTTTCATGCGCCGTTTCCAGGAGACCCAGTGGCCCTAAACTGCTTTTCGCAGGTTTCTAGAACAAGTGGCAATGCTCGGCACCCCCTTGCTAAGAGAGCTGACTCTGGGGTGTGTAGACATTCCACCGATCACGGTTTCTCGCCACCAGGAATGTTCCGCAGAGAACATGCCACTGCATCTAGAAAGGGAACACTCAACCCTAACACATCCAGGGTTTTCCCCTTCCCCCTGAGAGGACGATCGGACCTTATCCAGAGCACAAACAGCCAAATATAGTCGGGAAGACAATGCGTGCAAGGACTCACGTGGACATCCCCATTTCCCTCGTCAAATGCCTTCTTTTTTTTTCTCCACCCTTTGGTTCTCCACCCGGAAACCCTCCACGGAGGGTGAACTATGCCCATGGAGTGATGGAGTAATTCGAAATTTATCCTGCGCCCAATCCCGGCGCAAACGTGGGACGCAAGATCTGGGCCCCCGTTTTGACCCTGCCATGGTACCCCAAGGGAGATGCCGAATCCGTAGTCATGGTGTTGGTGTTATTTATTAATCTCCCCCCCCCCCCCTTCCTCCTTTGTTTTCTTTTCTCTCCGTTCCTCTATTCCTTCTTCCTTCAATCTATTGGACCCAAACTATTCTCCACGGGGAGTGTATTCATCATGGGTGTCTCCAACTTGCTCTCCAGCTTCAAGAAGCCTACTGAGGAGTCCCGTTTCTCCTCTCAGGCTCCAACTCCTTCTCGTGCCGATTCAACCAGTGCCGAGAAGGACAACCTGACCATCGATGATAGTCCCGTCAAGTATTTGACATGGCGCTCCTTCATCCTGGGTCTGTGTGTCTCCATGGGTGGCTTCATCTTCGGTTACTCTACTGGTATGGTTCCACTACAGATCGAGACAATATACGCCGGATGCTAATTGGTCCCTCCCCTCACAGGTCAAATCTCAGGTTTCACTACTATGTCCGATTTCAAGATGCGATTCGCCGAGTACAATGCCGCTACTGGGGAATATGTCTTCAGCAACGTCCGTAACGGTCTGATTGTCGGTCTTTTGTCCATTGGTACCATGATCGGTGCCCTCGTTGCCGCCCCCATTGCCGACAGAATCGGCCGCAAGTTGTCTATCTCCTTCTGGGCGTTGCTCCACATTGTCGGTATCATTGTGCAGATCGCCACTACCGACAAGTGGTACCAGATTGCCCTCGGTCGTTGGGTTGCCGGTCTGGGTGTCGGTGCTTTGTCCAGCGTCGTTCCCATGTACCAGTCCGAGTCTGCCCCCCGTCAGGTCCGTGGTGCCATGGTCAGTGCTTTCCAGCTGTTCGTTGCCTTCGGTATCTTCATCTCCTACATCGTCAACTTCGGTACCCAGCGCATTGACTCCGCTGCCTCGTGGCGCATCACCATGGGGATTGGCTTCGCCTGGCCTCTGATCCTGGGTATTGGTACTCTCTTCCTGCCCGAGTCCCCCCGTTACGCCTACCGCCACGGCCGTATTGAGGAGTCCCGCAACGTGATGGCCAAGCTTTACGGTGTGCCCCCCAACCACCGCGTTATCGCTCAGGAAATGTCCGACATGAAGCAGAAGCTCGATGAGGAGAAGGCCGCGGGCAGCGTCCCCTGGCACGAGGCGATCACCGGTCCCCGCATGTTCTACCGCCTGATGCTCGGCATTGCTCTCCAGTCTTTGCAGCAGCTGACCGGTGCCAACTTCATTTTCTACTACGGAACCTCCATCTTCCAGGGTGTCGGTCTCAGCAACTCCTACGTCACTCAGATCATTCTCGGAGCTGTCAACTTCGGTATGACTGTTCCTGGTCTGTACATCGTCGAGAACTTTGGTCGCCGTAAGTGCCTGATGGCCGGTGCTGCCTGGATGTTCATCTGCTTCATGATCTGGGCCTCCGTTGGTCACGAGATCTTGCACTCCAACCCTACCGATCACCCCGCCGGTGTTACCATGATTGTCTTCACCTGCTTCTTCATCGTCGGCTTTGCCTCCACCTGGGGACCCATCGTCTGGGCCATCTGTGGTGAGATGTATCCCTTCCGCTACCGTGCTACCTGCATGGGAGTTGCCACCGCCGCCAACTGGACCTGGAACTTCCTCATCTCCTTCTTCACCCCCTTCATCAACACCGCCATTGACTTCCGCTACGGTTACGTCTTTGCTGGCTGCTGTTTCGCCGCTATCTTCGTTGTCTTCTTCTTCGTCAACGAGACCCAGGGCCGTACTCTCGAGGAGGTCGACACCATGTATGTCCTTCACGTCAAGCCCTGGAAGTCCTCCAGCTGGGTTGCCCCCGAGGGCATCGTGGCTGACCTCCACGGTACCCGTGAGCCCAAGGAGGGTGCGAGTGAGCAGCAGCAGCACGAGGGTATTGAGATCCGGGAGGAGTAGATCTTCTTGAAATGTGACAATTTCCCCAGACCAAAAGGGCTGGCGGGCCATTGGCGTTATGTATTTTTCCAAGTTATGACTTCTCATGTGTATATTGAACACTCATCTCTTTTGCTTGAATTTTTCCCTAGTGGGAAACAGGATCTAATATGGATCGAATATGGTCATGATCAAAACCATAATACAATTCAATCTTCACAATCATGAAACCTCCATTGTTCTCATTTCTCATACGTAGGAAAGATTTAAATCGTTGTTGTTGCCGTAATTCCTTGTGGGAACATCTATTGGGTTTCAAAGTTCATCCCCGCAGCCTTTCTCGCCGCTCCATAAACACCTGCAATATCACCCTTTGCACCCTGTTCAGCTTTCACATCCTGCAAGAATCCATCCGTAACCTCAACATTACGCATCCGCTGACCACCCTCTTTCGCCAAGTTGGACGCATGCCGCAGATCCTTTCGCGCCAGATCAACAGCAAACAACGGCTCCTCACGCTTATAGTAATCACCGGTAATCATACGCTCCGCGTACTTCGCAAACGGTCCGGGAGCAAACAGATCCAACCACTGCTTCATGGGCCCCGTGCCAAGTCCCGTCGCATCAGCGGCAGTAAGTGTCTCGGCCAGAACACCAACAGTGTTCAAGATGAAGGTATTGCCCAGTAATTTCATGGTCGATGCGCGTCCGACATCGGTATCCGCGCCCGTCCCCTCAGACAGATCAATGGTCGCCTTGGCAAAGACACCCTCGAGGAACGGCTTCACCTTTTCAATAGAAGCCTGCTTCCCAGCCGGCAGAGCAATCATCTCTCCGGCGTCCGCCATAATAGGCGCGCCGAAGACGGGACACGCGACGAAGCCTGCTCCACGGGCAATGTAGGCGGCCTCGGCGCGGCGCGAGGTATCAGGGTGAACCGTCGAGCAGTCGACAAAGGTCTTGGATGACAGATCGATGTTTTCGGAAAGGGTGCCGGCGATCACATCTTCCAGGGCGGGGTCATCGCCGACACAGACGAAGATGATATCGGCATTCTGCACTGCTTCAGGGATTGTGTTGGCGACTGTTGCTTTGCCGTCGAGGGAGGCGGCGAGGGTGGTCGCACGGGCTGTGGTGCGATTGTACAGGATCAGGCTTGATTGGGGACCTTTCTTGGCGATGTTGGTGCTCAAACCCTGTATCTTGTTAGCTCTGCGATTTTTAGTGTTGAGTGTTGAGTCTTTCGAGTCTGGTAGCGTGGACGTGTGGAGAGGAAAGGAGTTTGAGCTGCAAATCATAACAAATATCACGTACACGGCCAATATTGCCGAGGCCAATCCAGGCGACGCGAGTTCCAGACATGATGAATAGATAAAGGTAGATGAATCTTGAGGAAGAAAACAGAACAGAACAGAACAGAGCAGAGCAGGAAAGGCAGTGTAAGTTCAAGCTTTAACGTGGGGCAGCGTGGGGTAGCACGATATCAGTCGAACCGGGGCTTAGGATTTATCCGAGATTTATATTCCATACACGACAACCCATCAACAGGAAAGGCTTTTTATTTAGTTCTGAACTAGCTAGACCCGATCTATTACTATCGACATCGGTCTTCGGATCGAGATTGCTGAGCCGTGACTCAATGGAGCCGAGGCCGAGATGAATTAATGATGCGGGACGTGCGGATCGTGCGGATCGTGCGGAACGTTCGGGCCTTGAGCGTTTTCCGATCTTGAATGTCATCACTGCTCTCGATCGATCCTAAAGAATCCCAGCAAATCATCTTAAACACATTTCGAGAATCTTCTATAGCCGGGATTTCCTGGTATTTTCAAGAATCGCGACGTCCTGGAAAGGCAGATCCAGATACTGCCACATAAAGGCAAACCTGCATCAAGATTAGCTTAGCGCCCCTTCCACTCCATGTCTAATGCAGACACTAACCGATCACTTCCGAAGAATGGCTCCTCCTTGCCATACTTATTTCTGACCCAGAACCACGGCGCCCCGAATGCACCTTGATCCAACGCTTTTTGCGTATTGGCCGTCAGAGCCTCCTTGTACTCCGGGCTCTGAGCCGCGTCTAGGATCGCCTTGATTTCCTCATCGGAGTAGTGATGGGACTTGAGCAGCTTGGCCAGATGCTCTGGCTTGCTGATGTCGATATTCTTGTGGTACATCCACTCGGAGAGCGAGAGGAAGGTGGTTTCAAATCGCTCCCGTGAATATGTGCGCTTGATATAGATCATACAGCGTTGGGGCTAATTGATGAGCCGGGGACTCAACGATAGATACCGGGGAGAAGGGGGAATGCATACCATGATGGAGAGAATAGGGAAGAAATCCGGGTTCTTGATCGGCGGCACGCCAAAGTATTTGCATGCGCGCTCAGAGTCAAACTTGGAGTAGTTTGCTTTGGCGGGTAGTGTCCATGGTGGTTTGTTTCCTGATTGTATGAGAATAAATCATTCATAGATGTATTGGTTCACTTACCAGAGCCAACGTTGATGCCACCAAGAAACACAGGATGGAATCTTCAAGGGTTAGCTTGACATCATGAGATGGACTCGACGGAGACGCTCACTCGATCTCCACGCCGTGCGACTCTAGTGCTTTCCGATTTTTTCTCAGAAAGAGAGTCGCATAGTACGAGTAGGGCGAGACTAAACTTATCAGCTATCCGCCACACGCCGAATTGATCTAAGACCTGCATCTGCGAATGCAGGCGAATCGAGTGTCCAAGGGGCCATACCGCAATCCACGTACGCGTCAATTTTGCCAGACATGATGAAATATTGCGGATTCAAACGATGAGATGATCAAGGAGCGTCTGGGGTCGGGTATATAACATTCGGTGGCCCTCGGGTGGAGTAGTTGGGGGATGGACCGAGGCTGTGGGGTTGATGAGTGATCAGGAATTTCCAAGTCTGGCGATGCACTACAAGTCTGTGCGTCCAACATTGGAATGTTTGTTTTATGATTTCTGTTATTTATTAAAAAGTATTACGTACACCTGCATCTTCATCACCATATTTGGCATGCTTGACAATGCCGTACGGATATCCCGTCGAGGCCGTACGGACCGTAAGTAAGGCTTCATCATGAACAGAGAAAATGGTGGTAACCGGAATTGAATTGGGTAGTTGCTTAATCTATCTCCAACTCTGTCTTGAAGATGCATCATGCACTGCAGGCATTGGATTATGCCTGAGGCCACACATATGCTATTATGTCGCCGGTTCTCCCACTACACTACATAAGTTGTTAATCTTACCCTACCATTCAGACATATCGGGATAGCGATTACGAATACCTTGGATTGAGTAATAGATAAGTAACTTGGATGGTGAAGTGTAGTTTGATCAGTGTACTTTGACCAGCGGGGAGGTGGTCTGACCAGCGAATCCCATGCCAAGGAAGTTAATACTAATAGTCAATGTCGAATTCATTGTCATATTCCTTGGAATCCTGTATCCAAGAATCCTCCACTTTAAAGCTTGACAAGGTTGGATCGCTCACAAGGCTGTGATCAGTTTGAGATCCTGAGCAACACTCTCTGGACTCACCGCTTTCTTCCAACATGGACAGAAGAGAAGCTTGCTTGTGGATGTAGGCAAATGTTTCGATAATTTGCTGGCGATGGCTGTAAGTGATGTCTAGTCGAGACCACTAGGGTATAGTTAGCGTGAGTAGACATATGTCTCACAACTTGTGACGCACTTTTCCTTGGCAATTTAGACGAACAAAATGAAACTGATCATGATCGGTAGAGAGACCGAAAATGACATTTTGAACACTGTCCTCATCATCTCGTTGTCTACGAATCATGCCTTAATAAGAATTAGTCTCGTTGCTATAGAACCTAGGAGCGAAGAGAGATCACTCACCCATGTACGCAAGAGCCTGAGGAACACCGTGAGAAGACTCCCCTTTCTTTGTTTCCACGATGACGAAATTGACGGCCGCGTTATCACTCCCAGATGACTCAATGTACCACAAAGAAAACACAGGGACTCCCTGTAGGCGGTACATCCCCTTCTTGTAGACAACTGGCTCGAAAAGAAAACGATACCCGGTTGAGAGGGGGACCCAGGGCAATTCCGGAGTACTTGGATCAGGGGATGTAGAGTGCACCGCACTGAGAAGAAGGCCGAGCCGAAGTCGCATTGCGACTTCATGCATTCCATCAGACCGGGAGACTGAGGCGTCAATCATGTTGAGAAAGAACGCTAAGCAGATTTGAGAGTCAGGGATCAACTCGGAAATAATTCCTGGTCAAGTCAAGCTTACCGAAGTCACCTGGCATGTCAAACGAGACCCGAAATGGCGCCCAGTCCACATCATCATTTTGAACTAGATCAAAGATGCTTTCAACGTCTGAGAGTTGAAGCTTCTCGACTGCCAATGAAGGGAAGTGGCAATCTTCTGGTGGAGATGCCATAATGAGGCTTACCGTCTTGGATATGCTGGTTTGGAAAGAGAGGTGGAGGAAGCACTATTGAGCCGGTTTAAGAAGAGATGTAGGAAGAGATATGGAAAGTGGTGTAAAAAGATGTGTAGGAAGGAGAGCGTAAAAGAGAGCTCCGAGCCTTTTTGGGTGTCGGAGAGAGAGACTCACCCTGCCTAATGGAGGCAGTCACGCTAGACGACCGCTCCCTTTCTGATAAAAGCAGAATCCTCACTTCCTCACTTCCTCTTCCCCTTCCCCTGCCCCTCCTCACCGTCTTGTGTTCATACTTGTCCCGCTCGTCCAAGATGCCCAAAAAAAAATGGAAAGAGGAACTTCGCAAATTCTTGAGAGGCGAGCCGGCTGACCCGACTGATCAGGACGATCAGAAGTTTTATTCCCTGTGCCAGAAGGCTGTGAATGAGCAAAAATCCATTTTCGCAGCACTTCCCATCTCAAGTCTCAATCTGGAGGAAGTGCAGGTGATGCTAGGTCTGGAGCTCACACTTGAGGACCCCGAGCTTGCAGCCGTGACCACCGTTGCGATGTCATCGGAACTTAGTAGGTGATCCTGGATCCAACAAGGAAGCTGACACATTGCTGACCGAAGTCAAGCCAACGTCCTGAAAAAGATCGAAATGGCCACCTTGCGAGGTCAACCGAACGAAGCCATTATCCGAATAACTGTCGACATGCTAATTATCTATGCTCTCGATGCTGCCAGGTCGAGGAATTCGACCGGTGCTCGTTCTCTGCCTACAGGCGGAGAGACAATGGGGCTACGGTCCAGTAAAACAAGAAAAAAAGCGTCGCAGACTAGTGGGGAAGCCGGACTACGCAGTCTGGTATGGCGAGATTGAGGAAACGGAACTGAATGTTGTTGTTGTGGAAGCGAAGAGAAGAGAGTACGGAGCAACTGGGCTACCACAGTGTCTGGCATATATGGGTAAGTATCTGATCATTGTTCTACCACGATTGAGATTTAATGCGCTCCTAGGAATCGTACATAGGCTACGGAAAGAGGCTGGCAAAAAGAACTGCACTGTCTATGGCATGGTTTCCGATGACCGACACTTCTGCTTTCTTAAAATCAATGACAACTCTCAGGGTATGTTGATCTACGATCTTCAACTGAGATAAGTACTGATCTAATCATCAAGTAGTGGTCCGAACGTTATCTGCGAACCCGTGTTAGAGACTACAGTGAGATTATGGGTTTACTCGTACATTTTTTCCAGAAGGCAGCGATGATGTCGCCTACTCATTCGAAGGAATCGTCTCGACAAACTCATATCAAGGAGAACTCCGGATCTACAGTTTATTCGTCAGCGGATGGTGATTCCCTCATGGGTGATGCCTAGCTTTGATCCGCTCGTTTTCTACTCCAATCTCTCCCTCCCTTTTAGCTACTTTAGTAAGGTCGTTCAGCTTTATGACCTATATGAACTTTGAATTTTAACTTTTAACAAAGAATTCAAGTCAAAGAAGAATTGAGATGGATGTGCAGCAACGCAAAGTATAGACAAAACAAAAAATAGTCGTAGGGTTGTGCCAAGCCTTTTTTGTATGCACCCCAGGATCCGATGCAGCTTATACAGCTTATCATTCAGACCGATCGCTACGGTTGCAGGCAGTGTGTGTGTGTGTGTGAGTATGTGTGTGTCGTCCAGACTGCATTGTCAGGCAGCCATCGAGCCGTCACCCATTTCAGTAGATAAAAAGTGAAATATTCTTTGACCTCACTCCTCACCAATATCACCGGCAGATTTGAGAATGCCTTAAGTGCTAGGGACGCATTGAGAACTAGCAGGGTGAGCACTTTGAACGGAAGAGGCCCGCGCCAAGAGTTGCCGAATGCAAAGAGCAAAACCAAACGACAGGGGAGCCCTTGGGAGATATGTTGGGGGAATCCTCACGTAGTTTGCCAGAATCTCTTCGTCAAAAGTATGCTCTCGAGTAGCATTGAGGATGTGCTGATCGAGATACCCAGGTGATTTCAAACTGACATAGAGTCAAGAAGCTCCTCATCATCAACACCAGTCCTTCACATGGTCGGACGGGTCTGATATGATATCTAATGGTCCCCATGGGATGATGCACCAAAGGAAATATTTGAAATTTGAGTCAATTCAGTTCAATTGACGAACGAAAGGGCCGAAAATATGGCTGATTGGCTTGGAGCGGGAAACGAGTCTGTCTTCGTTGAGCGAGAAACGATCCAATCTTCGGACGGGTATCGGTAAATCAGCCGGTGCTCTTTCGATCTGACCATAAAATCCTGGCATTGATTACTCATTCCTTCCGACTGATAGCAGACTGGCGAGTATTCACTAAATCCAGGTCATATGGGTTCTCCTCGTACTGAGTTGCAGTGGGAATACGATGCATCGATTTTCCTGACTGACGAGATGCTCTTGAAGCAAAGCGTGCAATAGTTGCCCGCGAAGGCACAGTTGATAAGGTCTCGCTGTCGCTGCTTTCATCTACCTCGTCATGATTGATGGTCTTCTCCTCCACCTCTTCCCTCCGGATCTCGGCCTGGTTCTTTTCAGCGAGTCGACGCATGAACGCATCAGCCTCAGCCGCATAGGTGCAGCGTTGGCGGATTTGAGCGCCGTACTTGTAGAAGATAAACGGCAATGGCACACAGAGAACCGAGAGGAAGGCTGGGATGGACGACGCCCAGTGAATGCCTAGGTTTCTGTACATGTATGTCGTGAAGAGAGGGAATGCCATGCCAAACAAGGAGCGGAGCGCAGAGTTGGCTGCCAATACCGAGGCGGCGTAGATGGTGTATGAATCAATGAGATAGTTGAATACACTCAGGAAGATGAGAACCATGCCGAATCCGAACGGAGCACCCGCAGCAATCGATGCCATCCAATGGATACTCGGCGCGTTTGTCCATGCAAACCAGAAGAGGCCGATGGGCAGAGCAATACCTCCAATCATACTCGGAGGCAGTCGAATCTCCGGGGGAAGACGGTCAGTGGTCTCACTGCACTTCTTTGCGTAGCGCATGTTCTCTGGGAAAGTGTAAGCCACAGCGAGAACCATGCCGACTAAGATACCCAAAAACGCAAGACCACCCACACCCTCGCTCCACCCCCGAACCTCTTGGAAGACGATAGGGTAGGCCGCGAACAGCATATAGAGAGTTCCGTAGATAATCGACATATAGATGGAGAACAGAAAGACGATAGGCTCGCGGAACAGCAAGATCCAGGGTCGCGAAAGGGCCGTCTTCAAAGTCCTGCTCAGAGGAACAGGGCCGCGCTCGATATCAAGCTTACTGCGGTAGACTTTCCCGGTCAATTCAGACAGCTTGGCAGCCCGGCGACGCAGCAGAACCGGAGCATAGGTCTCTGGCAGCAAGAAGATCATGCATAGCCAGAGAACACCTGAAAATGCAGCCAGGAAGCCTTCCACCCAGCGCCACCCAGCTCCAGTGGCAAGGAATCCTCCAATGATAGGGCCAATAGTAGGACCTCAGAATGGCGCCGCAGCAAACAAACTCACCGCAATACCACGCTGAGAAGCAGGAAACATATCGGCGATGGTGCCACCTGCATTACCAAAAGGCGAAGATCCGAAGCAGCCTGCTAGGAATCGAAGAATGATGAGAGTTTCAATGTTCTGCGAGCCAGCAGCACCTGCATTAAATGCCGTCAAAAACATATAGCTGAAAGTGAAGATATGACGACGGCCAAATATTTCACTGAGCGGCGCCCAGATCAGGGGTCCAATAGCGAAACCAAGCACGAAAAGGGAGACTCCCAGGATGACGATCTCTTCCTCGACACCGAATTGGGCTATGATCTGGCTCATTCCACCTGAGTATGCCGAGGATACCAGCGCAACAGCTAGCGTGACGAATGAGACCAAAATCGTGATGGCCCATTTCGTGACGTTGCGAAAGTTCATGGGGTTGCGAGGATCGTTTGGAATCCATGTCACCGCATAGGGATCTTCCTCTGTGCCGGAGCCCGGGTATGGATGTTGAGCGACATCCAGGGTGATGACCTTCTGGTCAAAAATCAGACGCCAAAAGGGGATCTTGGAAGGAAACAAGGCCTCGCCTCCAGCACCCAGAGCTTCCATGATGATCGAAGCCCACCACTGGAAAGAGCGGTGTTTTGGGCTAAGACGATGGAAAATCAATCTAATCCAAGGTGCGCCAGCCTTGCCCCTGAAATCAACAGATGCAGATCGCGACCAGGCAAGACTTATTATAAAAAAAAAAAGGGGAATTCATCGACACTCCTTTTGATGGAAACGAAGACTAATCTCGAATATCGCGCCCCACTCTGATTACCGGTAGCCTCGGCATTTGCCTAAAAGAGTTAGCTATAAATTCAGGCACCGTGTAGTGATTGGCATGCCAGGCCAAATCGGCTGGCAGTGCCGAGAACGAGCGGAGTGGCCCGCCACTCTCAGATTTTTCAGTGGAGTCGTACTCGCCTTTTTCCACGTTTTCGGTCCGGGCTCCACCCATACTGGACCACACGGCTTCCCGAAATGATTTGTATTATTGTTGATTGACGTATTGCATGATCTTGAAGTTATCGATGATACATCTATTGGCGGAGTGAGAATGAAGCTATGTCAGTTTTTATTGAGGTTATGGTTGACCCACACGAGAATGTGCGACCTGGTGCGTTCTCCATTCACAGTCTTTGGGTGCTTGCTTTTTTCCATGACCTGCCTAAAACATGACAGCCGAGCGGCAGAGCAATTTCCCACATCCTAAGATGGTATTATATAAGCATGGAATGAGAGTATGAATTCTGATGGGAGAAATTACCATTATAGGTGAGATTCGTACTTTGATAGATCTTCATGTAGCTCATAGATCAAAGAATGAGTGCGAGTACATAAAGTCACTCTGTCTGACCTACATGGGTGTCCTTGTCATTGCAGTAGAGAAGAATGTACGTGGCTATATTTGTGCACTGATATGGGTCTAGTTGCGGACGCAATGTTCCTCCCATAGCCGGCTTCGTGGAGATGTCAAGCGCAGTTAAGCTGAAAACTCCAACGTGGGAATGTTGGGCATGGATGAAAATCATCCGAAAGTCTCGGTGTGCAACCATGAGCAGTCTGGCGACATCCTTAGTACTTGTGTTTCCTTACGTCTTCGTCTAGCGGTCGTAATGCTTTGATAAGCTTGTCTCACCAGACCAAGCTGAAACGGGAGTTATGCGTCAAAGTAAGATGCTATCGACAACAGTCAACGAGGCTCATTATCCAGAAGGAAGTGATGCCATGTACCGTTTCTTTTTCCTCTTTACGCTCTGCTTCTTTAACGGCGGCAAGGAATCTGGTGGCTTGTATATGTAGTGCTGAAATGTAAGCATAAGTTTAACTTCGTGGGAAAGATTGCATTTACCATCCACCTCGAGGTCGTAATACGAAGTTCCCTCCACGGGGTCAGGTACTTGTTTAGGGTGAGACTGCACGTGCAAGCCAAATGACTTTGCATCATCTAGCCAGAGAAGCTCACCAGCTCGTCCATCAAGCCATTCGCGTGGAAGCCGAATAGTACTGTCAAAAATTAAAGTCCGGTTTGTGAACCAGGAGGAACCAGGCGTCGAGGCTATCTGAATGGACACTTTGAGCTGAGTGAATGCCTCCTCGTCGTGAATGTCGACCTCCTGGAGGAAGCTTTTGCACAATATTTCTATTTTATTTTTCAGTCTATATGCTTCACTATTACCCATGCAGAGACTCACCAGATGCATCTCTCGGAGTGCCTTGGTTGGGTGCAAAAACGCTTGGCTGGGAGAAAGAGGAGTATGTAGTGACATATCCATTCACCTGACCGGCTGTCATGTTTCTGCAAATGACAAATCTATGGGCGAAAGCAGGTGGTGCAAATGTTAGCATGACCTTCAAGCGGTCCTCCTCGATGGCCTGCATAGCACGATCGAGCATGAGATTCAGATTGCTGGAAATGATTGCCTTGAAGCGGCGAGACACGGACATGGCCATGACCATATGCTCAACAGGCAATTCTAGCACTGTCTGATCGAGCAACTTTCCTACATTTAGCCATCGCCCCGTGCTTAAAGGGCCGGTATCTCACCTCAGTTGGAAGACTTCCCAACCTTGGGCTCTGGCTCCCCTGAGGGACGGGAGGGTCTTCAGAATTCATTGTTGAGGGCAATTTGATATTCATATAGGGTGTCGTGTATCAGTTGAATGAAAAGCGCAGGTGGACAGCTGAATGTTACGAAAGGAAGGTTTGAAAAGGAAGCCAGTTGAGAACTGTCAAGTCTGATCTTTTTTTTTTAATCTTGATGCTGGCCAACCGGTCTTGTGGAGTGCATCTTCACCATTCACATAAGCATCATCACCAGTGATGAGTCGAGTGTGGTCGTGCAAGCTAAAGCTTTTGATGCCCAGAGGAGTTGTGTCTAGTCAAATCAGATCATAACGTGCGCGCATATGACGTCACGTGCACCACTCCAGTCTATGATAGCAATTATCTCCATTAAAATTAGGAGTTTGGGACTGTAAAATTGACAGGGTCTCTGGAATGGTTAAATCGAATTTATCCGGGACTCCAAGGTGCAGCTCCATAACCCCATCGCCCCAGAATCTCGCCCTCGGGTTGCCGATGCCTATACGGCTCACCGAGAGAAATGACATCGGCGCCAAGACCCATCATGTCATCTTCAATTCGCTACTCGACCCAGGCTAACACTTAGTATGGACCTCATCGGTGATATTATGGAGTAACCTTGGATTCCAGGAACCCATTGATATTCAATTCACCCGAAGTGTGGGAGCTAACCTGCTGACTGCGTCATGTTAAATGTCCTTGATGGAGACCCCGCGGGGGCCCGGGCGGTAGACCTCTTCCCCAGCGGGGTTTTTCTACCTCTTGCCTCCCATTTTTTACTTCCACAAGGTACTCGCAATTCTTCCTGGATAACATGGAGAACGTTCTCGACGACATCTCTCACCGGAGATATAATCCTCTGCGTGGCTCGCATATTCTCGTCTCCCCCACCGAACCAAGCGCCCTTGGCAGTAAGTTGCTTGCAATTTTGCGACAATGGCATTATCTGACTGATCTCTTTTTCTTTTATTACAGAGGTGCTCAAGAGAGTCCCTCCAAGACCACTCTGCCTGACTATGATCCCAAATGCTACTTGTGCCCTGGCAACCAGCGCGCTCAGGGTGACACCAACCCCAAGTACGACAGCACCTTTGTCTTCGTCAACGACTACAGTGCCGTGAAGGAGGAGCAGGCTCCTTATGACAACAGCAATGATGATGGTACGCGCCTTTCGCTCTTCGATCAGACCCAGACTGACCGAGTTCAGAAATCGAAAAGCGCTTCTTGAAGGCTGAACCCGTGACGGGCAAGTGCTACGTCCTGACGTTCTCTGCCGCCCACAATCTCACCCTCGCCGACTTGTCTCCTATTGAGATTGTTCCTGTGATCAATGCCTGGACTGAAATCTATGCCGCTCATCTGTCACCAACCTCCCCTTTGGCGAAGCTTGCGCCGCCCACCCACATCCAGCCTATCGATCACCACGCCAATGTCTCCAAGCCCAAGGAGCAGTACCGCTACATGCAGATCTTTGAGAACAAGGGCGCCGCTATGGGCTGCTCCAACCCTCATCCCCACGGCCAGGTCTGGACCACCAGTACTCTGCCTGAGGAGCCCGCCGCCGAGCTCGAGCAGCTGCGGCGCTACCGTACCCAGCACGGCGGTAGTCACCTGCTGGAGGACTACGCAGAGCTGGAGAGTCGTAAACAGGAGCGTGTAGTCTTTGAAAACGAGGGATTCGTTGTCGTCTGCCCGTGGTGGGCTACCTGGCCTTTCGAGACCATGATCATCAGCCGCACACACAAGCGCGCTCTTGTTGATCTGTCCGATGCCGATCGAATTCTCCTCGCCGAGGCCATTGCCGAGCTCACCCGTCGATATGACAACCTCTTCGAGACTCACTTCCCCTATAGCATGGGTATCCACCAGGCTCCTCTAGATGGTACCCAAGAAGAAGTGGACGCTTCTTACCTGCACCTCCACTTCTATCCGCCTCTTCTGCGCAGCGCTACCGTCCGCAAGTTCCTGGTTGGCTATGAGCTGATGGCTGAGCCTCAGCGTGATATCACGCCCGAGCAGGCTGCTGCTCGACTCCGTGGCTGCGGTGGTGAATTGTACCGCAAGAAGATGCAGTAAAGTTGTCGTTTTCTTTTCGCCGGAACATAGACAGGGAGTCTGATGACTAGTATTTGCATAATACCAACCAAAAATCTCACATATGCAGAAATGAAACTGTAATATTTTCTTGAATAACTGTTGCCCGAACATGGATTAGACATATTTGCGTAGGAGTATTTATTATACACGTTTTTTTCCCTCAATCCACACCTCAAGTGCTGACCTAGATTCACCGCTGAGTGCGTGGCAACCCCGTTGTACATCACCCATTGTCGTGGCAGCTTAAGCCAGGTAGAACTCACGCTGAGTCAACATCCAAGCAACAGACGAGGACGCGACAATCAACGGGCTAAGGAAGCGTCCCTTGAGGGAAGCATTTCCGAAAACAAGCTCACCAACGAAGTGGGTCAGCGCAATGCCGTAGGTCCAGATAGCGAGGTTGTATGCAACAGGGGAGTCAATGTTGTAGGCGGCGGTAAAGCGAATGACGGCGGAGAGGAAAGTCCAGGTACCAAAGACACGACCGGAGAGAGGCTCAACGGCCATGGCGCCATTGGTATAGAGCTTGGAAGTGTAATCGGGAGAGCAGTAAGCCTGTAGACTGTTGACGGCGGAGACAACGGAGACCTGGATGAGATGAGCGAGGAGGTTTCCCCTGAAAGAAACAAGGATGAACATACAAACAAGAGCCACTTGGGCAGAAGACCCTCGAAGGGAGGAAGATATGAGATGATTTGATCCATTGCGCAGAATTGAAAGGGTTGAGGGGAAAGCTGGAGCTGTGAAGTTTAGTGAGTGAAGGAGCTGGCCGAGGTGTCTGGAGTTCTCGGCGCAGATCAACCCCCAACAGTACCAACATCTTTTTTTCCCTCCTCAATTCCCCTCCTTCATCCCACCATGGATATCTCCAAATACACCGAATGCCTCTCGCAATGGCCCGCTCATATCGAGTCGGGCCTCCCTGCTGTCGGCGCACTGCTTCTGCTTGCTACTGGTGGCCTCGTCGTCGCCTGTAAGATCTGGAGCTTCGTCCGCGTGCTCCTCAGTTTGTTTGTCCTTCCGGGCAAGCCGGTATGTACCTCTCGCCGATGCTCAACATTCAATGATATTAACAGACCCGATTCTAGCTTCGCTCTTTCGGTCCTCCTGGTAGCTGGGCCGTCGTGACCGGTGCCTCGGATGGTCTGGGCAAGGAGTTCGCGCTGCAGCTGGCGCGTGCCAAGTTCAACATTGTGCTAGTGTCCCGGACCGAATCGAAGCTTGTCACTCTGGCGGACGAGATCACCAAGCGTTTCCCGAATGTTGAGACCAAGATCCTCGCCATGGATTTCTCCCGCAATGCCGACGAAGACTACGAGGCTATGCGCTCTCTGGTTTCCGGTCTAGATGTCTCCATCCTGGTCAACAACGTTGGCCAGAGCCACTCGATCCCCGTTCCCTTCGCCCTGACTCCCGCTGCCGAGATGAACGATATTATCACCATCAACTGCATCGGCACCCTGCGCGTGACCCAGATCTTCGTTCCCGGCATGATCCAACGCCGCCGCGGTCTGATCCTGACCATGGGCTCCTTCGGCGGCCTGCTCCCCACTCCTCTGCTGGCCACATACTCTGGCAGCAAGGCCTTCCTGCAGCAGTGGTCCACCTCTCTGGGTTCTGAATTGGCTCCCCATGGTATCGAGGTTGAGCTCGTCCAGGCATACCTGATCACCTCCGCCATGTCCAAGATCCGCCGCGCCTCTGCCGCCATCCCTACCCCTCGCGCCTTTGTCCGCTCGGTTCTGTCTAAGATTGGCCGAAGCGGTGGCTCCTCGACCTATGCGTACAGCTCTTCCCCGTACTGGAGCCACGGTATCATGGCCTGGTTCCTGACCTCGGTCACTGGAGTCATGGGCAAGTTCGTGGTTCACCAGAACAAGGGTATGCATGAAAGCATCCGCAAGCGAGCTCTGCGCAAGGCGGAGCGCGAGGCCCAGAAGAAGAGCACCTAAGTTCTGGTGTTGAATCGCTCCATTGCGGCCTGTGCTCGTTGACATTCTCGGTGGATTCAAGTGACGAATGTTTGCGGAAGTGTATAATGATAAAATCTCACGCAGCGTTAGCTTTATGAGCCCGGTACATCCGGGATGTCATTAGAAATAAATAATATGTGATCAGTATGTGATCAGTCGTTCCCGAGTTTCTTTTCGAATCTGCCAATCTGACTATCTGACACGCCATGGATGCATGTAGGCAAGCAGCAATGATCATCGGAGAATCACAGTCAACCAGGGCACGATGATCGGTTTCAAACCCCTGTGTGGCATCGTATCGGAGTTTCTAAACCCCGGCTCGACAGGTTCTCCAAGCATCGGATCGGTGGACTTGATTCAAATTTCACGGCGGTCGACGGGTTCCACGTGGTGGATCGCTCCACAGCCTTGGAAATGGTTTCCATGATCTCCCTTTTGACGAGACATTTATTCTACATTATGTTTTGACGATATAGAGTTCCAAATCATCTCACTTATTAGTCGCGTAAGCCGTGCAGCTGTCTTTCAATCACACTTATGAATTTGAAACCCATAGCAAGGCCGATAGTCCTCCTGGGACACCCTGCTCAATACGGCCTGATGTGACGTGGGATGTGGGCCAGATGGAATTTCCGTGATCCAATATTTATCGTCTCTTAAGCAAATGAGATTTGCTCGATGGGGACTATCCAGGCGTGCCAAGCAGAAGTGCAGGGAAATGAGACCCAGTAGGACCTAAAATGCTCCGCATCGCTCAATCGCACCGCAGCCTCGCATACTCACAGATTTTCATGTAGTTTACTATTATGGGTCCACAACCTCGGTGTACATCATGTCGGGGTCCAATGGCGCCAGAAGTGTCGAGCAATAACCCTGGAGCCGAGATTGGGCTGGTGAGCAGCTCCAAAAAAACCCCCCGTGAAGGCACATATGGGTATATATAGACTGAGTCAAGCAGGTTGACGACGCGAGACTATGTAAGAGGGCACATCGTGGTAGCGGTGTGAAACACGGACGAGGTGTCAGAGATAAAGTGAAGTGGAGAAGTCGGGCAGTTGAGGATTGCCGGGAACCCGTGCAACGATTTCCCGCCTCGACAACGGCAAGCACCAGATCTCTTCCAGAAAGGGCATCGGGCGGAAAGCCAATCATGTCAGATAAAGATGCATGCCTGGGACCGCAGGGGCCCCTTGTTCGGCTGACTCGACTTTAATGCACGGCCCCTCCCCCCCCGCCGGTCTTTCTGGTCCTTGCACAGTAGTGAAAAGTGAAACGTGGATCATTCAATATATCATGCCTGGTGCCCGAGCTGTTGATTCTGACGCTTCAATTCTGGTTGAGCCGCGATGCCGCCGCCGATAGGTACCCTCGTCCACGCCCTCGGCCACAATTGGCTAGGCCAGGCCGACATTGCCGTCCAAACGGTCCTGCTGGCGGCCGGGTTCACGGCGGTTGGTCTACGGCTATGGTCGAGGCATTTGCAGAAGGCCTCGTGGCAGTGGAATGATCGGTTGATTCTGAGTGCCACAGTAAGATCGGATTCGCCCGGTGTGCTAGGTTCACTACACATATTTGGTGACACTGACACCTCCTAGGTCCTCATGCTTGGTCGTTACATCATTGAGCTGATGTTGATTTTACTCTGTGGTCTGGGTCTCCATTCATTGGAGGTGGCTCGGACCGGAGGGCCAGAGGCTTTTGTCCGTTTCAACCAGGTTCGTACTCTTGCTCCTCAGATTGAGAACCTTGACGGTCTGTCTAACCCTCATTAGCTGACGTATGCGGGAAACTTGGTGGGATGTACAGTGGTCTATTTGGTTCAGGGATCTGTTCTGCATTATTACCTCCGCAGATTCCAGCAGCAGGTCATCATGTGGCTGATCTATACCGTGATGAGCTTGTGTACAGCTCTGTGGATTGCAACTTTCTTCGCCACGGCATTCTTCTGTGATCCGCCCAGCAAGGTCTGGTGGGCTGATGCGCAGGGTCATTGCGGTGACCGAAAGACCCTGCATACCGCCACTACGGTGAGCGAGGTCATTCTCAATGGGTTCATATTACTTGTGCCTCTGCCGATTGTACGGCATATGAGGTTAGCCCGGGCCAGAAAAGTCGCCCTCGGGCTGACTTACATTCTGGGTATCGCGTGAGTATCAGTGTGCCACTCTCTATGGAAATGTGTTCGTTTTCTGAAATTGCGTCTCTAGCATACTTGCCATCACGGCAGTTCGCATCAAGCTTGAGGACAAGCTCGACCCAGAGGACCCAACCTACGGGTCGGCTCGAGTATCACTTATTTCATGCATTGCTTCCCTTCTCGGTATCATTGTCGTCTGTTTACCACTACTGCCTCCGGCGATTCAAAGGCTCTTTGGAACCTCCATTTTCTGCTCCATGGCAGATGGACCAGTCTCTGACTCGCCATCTGCCGAATACTGGAAGACGACAGTCATGGGGGAGCAAACCGAGGAGCCTGAAATTCCTCTGGTGACAGTGGCACCGCCTCCCATGGCGAAGAAATTGACTGAGCTGGCTCAGGGACAGATTAAAATTACTTCGGATTGGGAGATCCACTCTGCGAGGAATTCCGCGCGGTTGGATAGGGAGTCGATACGACGGGACTAGAAGCTGTTTCTGGGATTCGAGTCTGACTAATTTCTAGAGCAGGAAACATTAAAGAAATGACATTCATATTTCTCAATAGATACATCCCGGTCAAGTATATATCCACAGGCAGAAGACGCATGGAGCCAAAGAGGTTTAAATAGATGCAATTGAGCTTGCAATAACAACAGCGGACGGTTGTTATGGGAAATGGTCCCCTATCAAGATAATCAAGCAGTCAAGTTAGGCATCATTAAACCCAACAGGATGACTACATACACGGGACCAAGTATTGTTGCGAATAGGCCGACACAAATACCTTTGGTGGTTGGTTGCCCCGTCCCATCGGATTCAAGAATCCTCTTGACTCTGTACAAACCATGACTGTCAGTCCAACCTTCAAATTGCAGCCTTTCTGAGCATGAAGAATTGTAAACAGCGTTTGTTGTGTCCACACCGCGAACTAGGACCAGCTCTTTCACGTACACATGAGCATTCTTGACCACACTTGGAAGCCTCACCATTGAAGTCTTGTCTTGGTAGTGCTTGTTTTTTTTCGCTTGTCTTCGTCGTTTCCAGAGCCCGCATCTCTTGCTATCGTTTACTGTTGATGATAATAGAAAACTGGTTTCTACTGTCCCTCGTGCTCAAGAGCCTTTTCCGCACACAGAGGCTAGCATTATATTACAGACACTCGAAGATATTTCATCTTCCGGCCAATTGGCCTAGTGGTAAGGCATCCGTTTCCGGTGCGGGAGATCGTAGGTTCGAATCCTGCATTGGTCGTTTCTTTTTTGGTTTTCTTTCTTTCTCCTTATCTTTGGAGAAATACATCTGAAGTAATTTTTGCTTCACAGAGTCGTTATCTTTTTTGCTTTTGGTCCATCTGCCTTGTTTCTAATTCCTTTTTTTATTCATTTTCCTCTCAGACGCTTAATGCATATTATCCTAGCCGAAAGTGTAATTTGCTTATTCTGGTTACGTTTGATAGTGGTTGCTCAGCAATCAATCCGCTAAGCTACAGCCTCCTGAGTAATGAACATGTCTGGACCTTCTCATTCGGATCTGTGAAGCAAAAATTACTTCAGATGTATTTCTCCAAAGATAAGAGAAAGAAATAAAACCAAAAAAGAAACGACCAATGCAGGATTCGAACCTACGATCTCCCGCACCGGAAACGGATGCCTTACCACTAGGCCAATTGGCCGGAAGATGAAGATATTATCAAGATCTGACACTATGATCCGTGATCTTCTAAGTCACTCTAACAAGGACCGAGCATGCCTGAAGGTTGTTGATGTGGGACCCCATGATTTACGTCGAAAACTTCAATTGATATATGTACGGTAGTAACACCGAAAGTGCCATCGACTTAGCCGCGAAATTACTAGACTCGAGCCATGATATTGCTCGCATCCCTGGATCACGATAACTTACCATTTCACACCACCAATAGCGTAGTAAATGGCACAGAAGTAGCATAAGAATTTTCGATGCCAGGGGTTCAAGAGCAGCAGTGGGCACATTTCCTTCTTATGGAATTCTATGCATCTGCCGTCCAATCAACCTAGATTTGGAAGACACGAGTTTTGTCAGAAAAAAATCCCAACGGCCCTTGACTCTGTGAGGCCGAGAATGCTAGTTTAAAAGCTTCTTTTTCTTCTTCTCGAAAACATATTTTTCTCCTCTTTCTGGTCAATGGATGATATATATGTCACTTCCCCTTCATATACTCCCTCAGACTTCACCAAATGGCTCAAGACAAGCAGCAGCCGCCGCTTCTGAAAACAGACATTTCCGCTTCATGCCCAACCCAAGCAGCGGCGTAAGACTGCCTTGCTATCTAGGATGTACGCCGCATCCATAGCATCTACATGATTTGTATTTCTTATTATGAAACTGCGCGTTGCATGATTAGGATCTTGGCCCTAGTCCGGTGGCATTTGCGGAAGAAGCTTCGACCATGCTTATACACCCTCCAAGTTTCGATCCAGTTAACCCGGGGAGGCGACGCTGAAATTGAAAGGGTTATTGAGGGATAAACAGGTCATACCCCTTGTATTGGTAGAGCGTGGCTCAACTGCACGGAGTCTGTTCAAACCGTAGCTTCAGAAACCTCACGATAAACCAACATCAACCAACCTGAAACGAAATGTATTGTGAGCTCATGTGTCCACTCACGAATGGACTCCATGTGATCGAAGCATTGTTCAGGAGATGCACTGGGAAGCCCGGAATACACCGAAGCGCACGAGTAGAAAACCGACCACCCCTTGCATTCACCTCCCTGCAACGATGATCGACGGAGAGATTGTTCCCAACAAGCATCGGAACATTCCTGCCAGGGCCCGAAGACATCAAATTACCCGTCTCCTCTTCAGAACAAGACAACCACAACATTCCCAGCAAGGGTGTAAACATGGTGCAGGACAAGGAAGAGTACTAACCCCCCTCACCCCTTCGTCCTCGCAGCCTTAGAATGTGGCCAAGGCGATCACTATAAAGACACTGGTGTCGTTGCCATCCCTCATTGCGTCGCATTCCGCACACTTTCGTTAATACCCCCTTTTATTTCTTGCTTCGACACGTCGCTCGTGGACGCAGACTCCAATTCAGCAGGTCTCAATCAAAGAGCAGACACAATGGTGAAGACTACTTACGCCCTGACACTCTTTGCGGCCATGAGCCTGGCCGCGCCGTTGCGACCGGCTGGCAACGATGTGACTGGTGTCATGGCTCGCGATGGTACCGGTAACTTTATAGGTGCTGGTACCGCCGATGGTGCAGTGAATGAGATGCTCAAGGGACTCGCCACTCCCAAAAGCGATAATCCGACTTCCGATGACAAGATGGATAAGATGGGCAAGAAGGCGGCAGATGAAAAGAAGAACGAGAAGAAGCCCATTGTGACACACAGCCCGCTGGAAAGCCTTCCTCTTGTTGGCCCTCTCATGCGACCAGTTCCTTTGGTAGGGTTTCTTCAAGAAAAGCGATGAAAGAAAAGCCGTACTAATCATGCTCCGGGATGTAGAAGCGAGACAACGAGGTCCGCTCGTTCACCGGTGATCTGAGCAATCTACCTCTGCTGGGGTCTATCTTCGGTGGTGTTCGTGCTTAAACATCCATTTGGATATTGGTCGAGAAGCTGACAATCTAAGCAGAATCAGAACCACCCTGCCAACTCCCCTCACCAGACCGGTGGAGGCCAGAAGGTTGGAATGCGTCGTTCTCACCACGAGACTGTATGTTTGTCCCTAGAAAAATGGAGTATGATCAGACGCCTAATAGAAGTTCCAGGGCTTCCCCCAAAACCACGGCCAACATTACGGCCAGAACCACGGACAGAATGAGGGCCAGAACGCTGGTCAAAACGCTCACCAGAACGAAAACCAAAATGCTGGTCAGAACTATGGTCAGAACTATGGTCAGAACTATGGTCAGAACTATGGTCAGAATTACGGCCAGAATTACGGCCAGAATGAGGGCCAGAATATGGAGAAGCGTGGCCAGCCCGCTAACAACCCCGATTCGCTCGGTGCTCTGTGGCTCATCCGCAAGTTGACTAGCGGTGGTGTATGTTGTAATCTCTCCTTGGGTGCAAAGAATAAGCTAACGAGAAATCTTAGTCCATAAACAAAAGCCACAAGCGTAGTGAGGATCTGCCTACCTCTACCGAAGCAACCCACGGCTTCATTAGTGACGGAGATGGTGCTGCTTCCGATGCTGCCACCGATGTTCTGGGCGTTGCTACAGATATAATCCTCGTATGATAAAAATAATTGCGTCAAACCGAGGACAAGTGACTGACCATTCATCAGATTCGCCGCGAGTACAAGGACGGTGATGACATTGCCGATGCCGTCGATGATGCCCTAGACAGCGGTATTGACGCTAACTCGGATGCCGCCGACATGGCCACACCCGTACGTGACAAAAACGAGAACAAGTACATTGCAATGACTGACGATTCCCCCAGATGCGCCGCGACTTGGGTGGTCTGTCCGACCTGGGGGCCAGCCTGACCGGAGACAAGAACAACAAAAAGCAGGCCGCTCCCACACCTGAGCAGTCCAAGTCTCAGTCACAAGCTGTCAAGGATAACAAGAATGACCCTATCGCCCAGCTTGCCAGCGAGAGTGGTCTCGGAAAGCTCTTTGCCGGTAACACTCACCATGGCCTTGGACTCTTTCCGGTAAGTTTTCGCCCTGATCATAATCCTTGTCACAATGCTGATACCTTTCAAAGATGAATGGTCGCCGTGATGTCCATGAGAATGAAGCCCGTGATGAGTCCCCCATTCGGGGGTCTGACCTGGAATCAGTCCTCTTCAGCGGCAGTGTCCTCAGCAAGCTTGCTCACACTCTGACTCCTTCTGCTCCTGCTGCCGATGCGGCCCCAGCTGCTGCTCCCGCTGCTGCTGCCCCTGCTGCCCCTGCTAGCGGTGCTGGAGCTCAGTAAGTTTCCTGCAACAGAAACGACATCAAGTCCTTGCAAAGACGGATTTCATTGGGCGAAATTTCTTTTTTGATGCTAGTGAAGACGTTCGAAGTCAATTTGATGTGTGGTGTACTTATGGAAGCTGGCCCGCAAAGTCAAAATTTTTTTTTACTTGAAGGAAATACTATTTATTCAGCGGGGAAAGCAAGGCTCACAGCTAGCGAAGAAATTCGTAAATTTGGAAACCAAATAATGTAAGAAAGCTCAAATAGCAAACCTCATCCAAATTTCCAAAGAGCGAATGAGAAGTAGGAGGATAGGTGAAAAAACCGAGATCATAAATCATTGAGCGCTGCAGGTTGGTCCTGGTCTGACCACCCTGTGAGCATGCGCTTTTGGGGTATCGAATCGTTATGTGCGACCAGAAAAGCAAAGCCATATTTCAAGGCAAATGACCGGAACAAAAATTATTAGAAAAGCCAACTGACGAAAAAGCATCGGTGGGATCAATCGTAATCCATCTCAAAATCATCCACTTCGACCGTGGTACCGAGGGCCTCCTTGCCCTCGCGAATCATCGCTTGTAGTTGTTTGTTTAAGCGCTGGATACTAGCATCTTCTTCACGCTCTCTGCGGCGTAACCGAGCAGCTTGTCTCTGCACTTCAGCCGATCCTGGGCCATCTCTTGATCGCGGAGACGGAAGACCCAAGCCCACTCCTTTGGTAGGTGTCAAAGGCCGTAAAGCAGATGGAGCCGCTCTCTTGTTCAGTCGAGGCATCACGGCTGGTCGCCGACGGGGAGTGGACGCCGGGTGAACACGACGAGCTTTCAGAGATGGACTCCCCATACTTTCGCCGATGAATGGGTCGGTAGGTTCAGTGGGGACAACCACCCAGCTTCGCTCGATGTCTTCCTCGGGATACTGACCTGGGATGGGTGTTCGAAAGATCGGATCTTTCTCCACGGAAGCAGGAGAATGCCAGGTCGCAGTGAATTGTGCTGGTGACCCGGTTTGCATATCGTAACCTTGACCACCCCCAGCATAGAATCCGCGGAATGCGCCAGTCCAGCACAAGTCTAGTACTTTGCCGACTGCCTTAATCACCGTGCGTCCCCATCCAAGTCGTGTCGGGGTATCAGCACCATCCGCTGACGGTGATGCAATACAAGAGTCGCGGCGGCTGCGCTTGCGGCTATTTTCTGGGGTGTTCTGATCTATTGTCTCCATACTGGCGTCCAACGATGGTGGGAGGAAAGACTCGCGATAGCGGTTCGGACGACAGTCAAGATCAGCAGTGGTGTGGAAGTCATGGCGACCGCTTGTTTTGCGGTATTCAGACTCGAGCAGGGAAGGGCTGGCATCTCCCGATGAAAAATCGAATTTGGATGAGAGCTTTTCGGTGTCGCGGCGTGGGCGCTTGCGACTCACGGAGAGGGAGTATAGCGAGGAGGATGCGGAGGCGGAGGCAGGGACTTGGAAGAGTTGAGAGTTGGCGCTGGCGAGATCGACTTTAGGGGGAGACGTCGACGGGATAAAAACCGCCGGCATGTCGGGCATCTTTATTTAAATATCAGAATAAGATGAGAATAAAGAGGTGAGGAAAGTGTAAAGAATGCTTGATTGCGAAGGCTGGGAAAAATACGAAGTTGACTATTTCGGGCTTAGACTCAATAACAGGGAATTGTCATCCCCGAGTTCCGAGACACACATCTTCACCCCTTCGCAGATCTATCCACAAAACTGTCCCTTTACAAGCGCTGGCTGGTCCACTGTACACCGGCGGCCTCCAATCCATCATCACCATCCACCAGGACGCACCATCCCTCGCCGCCCATTCCACCGTCGCCCGCAATCACCGCCTCGAAATGTCCTCGCGCATAATCCAACACTGCATTATCGAAGGTTCCGGGTTGCAACCAGACGGCAGGGATGCCGACTGAGTGCGCTTCCTGCAACAGTGTGAGGGTCACCGGTGGTGGGGTCACCACCGATAGAGAAGTCTGCGTGGGTGAAGCCAAAGCCGACGGTGAAGGCACGGTATCGTAGGAACGCGAGGGGAGCGAAATCTGCGCTGCCCGTGGGTTCAGTGGTGTCACAGGTAATGAGTGCTGGTGATACCAAGCGAGGACTGGAGTGGAGTTAGCATCCCCAGAGTCCAAATTCCAATTCACGTAGAGGCTATACTTTTATATCCGAACTTGTTGGTGTCATTGCTGGCCCCCGCCACCGCGAAGCGCGGGGAACTGAAGAATCGCTTGACGGCTTCCATGATGGAGAATGCTGACTGTAGCTTTGTTCTTTAAATGTGATTCTGTGATTTCGTAAATTCTCACCAGAGGGATTCCTGCGAGACGAAAGTCTGGAAGTTGGAGGAAGTGCAAGGTGAACGAACCTCGGCAGCCGCCGAGAGCAACTCCTGCGCTCATCTCCAACCTCCGCTCCGCCTATCGGAGCATCCTCTACCCTTTCAGGACTGTCTTTTGATTCCATTTGCTCCTTCGCGTCGCAACGGGGCTCCGAGCCCAACTCTCATGCCACCCTTCGTCCCCCGCAAGCGCTTCTCCGAGGACCCGGACCCGCCCCCGCCAAACGCCAGGCCCAGGCTGATGACTCCGCCAAGCCCTTTCACATTAGTGACTCCGACTCCGATACGGTCTCTTCATTGAGCGATGTGCCAGAGTCCGACAATGCTACTCCCCAGGCACCGCGTGCATCTGGCAATGAAAATGAGGATGAGGAGGATGAGGAGGACGAGGAGGAGGATGACGACATTGATTGGGAAGACGCGATCGACACTAAGACAACTGGAGACACCACTCCAAGCATGGCCGTCGCTGAGATACAAGATCTTGAATTGACGCTAAATAAAGATGAACATCATGTGTCAGACCTCCTGGATGGCAAGAAAGGACCGTCCAAGATTGAGCGCCTGATCCGCAATCAGACGCACTGCATGCATGTCCAGTGCTTGCTCTTCCATAATGCCATTCGCAATGCCTGGATCAACGATAAGAAGGTTCATGAAGCATTAATCCAGAAGCTACCAGAAGGCATCAAGAAAGAAGTGAAGAAATGGCGGATTGCGGCGGGAATAGAGATCCCCGAGCCAAAGCCTCCCCCACCGAAGAGCAAGAAGAAAGGAAAAAAAGCTCGAAAGAAGCAAGACTGGGGCGAAGAATCCGAAAGACTAGAGCTGGGTCAGCCAGATATGAGTGCGGGCGACCCGATCATTCCTCTGCTTAAGGTCCTGGTTGCGTACTGGAAGAAACAATTTCGTATTACAGCTCCTGGCCTACGGAAGCATGGGTATCGCCCAGTCTCCTCCGTTGAAGCCATATTGAATGAGTTCCGGGAGGAAGAGCACAACCCAGAAATCCATGGAGAACGGATTGCTAATCTTGAAGAATTCCGATCAACGGCCGAACGAATGCAGGGCTCTCGGGACGTTGGCGCTCAGCTCTTCACAGCTCTGATCAGAGCTTTAGAGATAGAAGCACGGCTGGTAGGCAGTCTCCAGCCACTGGGATTTGGCTGGACCAAAGCAGAAAACGCCACCCCATCCACTCCATCCAAGACGGAGAAGAAAGAGAAAGACGAGTCCAATATGGAAGCTGGAGGTTTCGACCCCGAGATTGACTCAGAACAGGATCGTTCAAAGGTAAAGAAGAACGTCCCAAAGTTTGATAAGGACCTACCATTCCCTATTTACTGGACCGAGGTTGCCTCACCAGTCACGCATCAGATTATTCCGGTTGACCCTTTGGTCCTCCCGAATTCCGTTGCAACTACACCGGACTTTCAAGCAGCATTTGAGCCACGCGGAGCCAAGGCAGAACGCGCCAAGCAGGTTATATGCTACGTGGTCGCGCACTCGGCCGATGGAACCGGCAAGGACGTCACCACCCGATACCTTCGACGGCGAACATGGCCAGGCAAGACCAAGGGATTCAGGATGCCTGTGGAGAAAATCCCGCAACCAGGCCGCCGAGGACAATACTTCGAGTACGACTGGTTCAGAACGGTCATGCGGGGATACGAAAGACCTCCAGACCGTAGAACCAAGGTTGACGAGGTTGAGGACGCAGGCGACCTTCAACGAAAGCAACCGGAGAAAAAGAAATCGGCCCAGACAATTGATACACTCCAAAGCCTTCGCCAATCGACCGAGTTTGTGCTGGAGCGTTTCCTGCGCCGTGAAGAGGCCTTGAAACCGGGCTCAGAGCCAGTCCGCACCTTTACCGCAGGTAGAGGTGCCAAAGCCAAGGAAGAACCCGTGTTCCTTCGAGCGCACGTCGTAAAGTGTATGTCGGCAGAAAGTTGGCACAAAGAAGGCAGCCAGATCCAGCCTGGTGCGGTTCCTCTGAAAAGAGTGCCCATTCGAGCGGTGACACTTAGTCGCAAGCGCGAAGTCGACGAGCTACAGCGTGAAACGGGAGAAAAACCCATGCAGGGATTGTATTCTCGCGAACAGACCGAGTTCATCATCCCTCCGCCCATTGAAGATGGCAGGATTCCAAAAAACGACTATGGGAATATCGACTGTTTTGTTCCTACTATGGTGCCTCGTGGCGCGGTTCATGTCCCGCTCCCTGGGACTGTCCGAATCTGCAAGAAGCTGGGCATTGATTACGCAGAGGCGGTGACTGGTTTCGAATTCGGTTCAAAGATGGCAGTACCCGTGATTCAAGGTGTAGTCATTGCTGCTGAAAATGAGGATCTACTGAAAGATGCCTGGCGAATCGACGCTGCTGAGAAACGCAAACGCGAGGAGCTCAAAGCTGAGAAGCGAATTTTGCAGACATGGCGCAAGTTCCTTTTCGGTTTGCGCATCATGGAACGAGTCCGTGAAGAATATGGCGGTGACCCGGATGCAGATCGCGAGCGAGATTCTCATAATCCATTTGCCACTCGGAAGAAACACCAGGAGCATGCCTCTGATGATGGGTACGAGGAGGATCATCTCGAGGAGTCTTCCCACAACCCCATTGACCATGGCGGTGGATTTCTTTTACCTGGCGAAGGGGAGGACGAAGATCACGGCTTGATTGTTGAGCGTCACGACGAGAGCAATGAAGTCCCATCCAAGTCTCAGTCTTCCGGAAATGAGGATGACGATATTGAGGAGTTGTCACCAGCCATCTCGATATCCGATCCTGACTCTGACACTGACACTGACACTGACACTGACAATGAGCCTGAGTATGAACCATCTACTCGAAATACTAGACGGCGTCGTCGTGGCGGTTGAAGAGATAGACGACCTGCTGAGAATGTGATTTGTAAGAATAGAACATGTACCGTACAACACGAAAACTCTGATAATTATCTATACACGTGAATATTTACTTTCAGCACATGCTTACATGGCACTCCACCAGGGTTTACACAATATACGCTTCAGATCTGCAGGGGGGTGTCTGGCCTGATTTCGCGTGTTACGAGAAGAATGTTCTAGTTGGATCTCAATGAATATGTGATAAGGATGTCTTTCATTGACTGAAGAATAAATGGACGCTAAATTCTATAAGTTCTAATTTTGGATCGAAATCAATTAAACAACATAGTGGAGGCAAAATCAAACCTTCACAAGGACACCGCGGTATCTCATCTTGCCTTCTCTCAGAGTCTGCATAGCTTCCTCAATTCCTGCAGCGGTCAAGGGGAAGGTCATGATAGAAGGGTAAATCTTCTTTTCTCGCCGCAAAGTCGAGCAGATTGCGAATGGAACGGCGGGAGGCAACCAGCGAGCCCTGAATGCGGACACCCTTCCAGACCATGTCCAGCATGGGAACAGGAGAAGGCTCAAAGGCAACAGTCAAGGGGTAGATGCTACCATGGGTGTTCATCAGAGGAATCAGGCTAATGTGAACGTTAGCAACAGTGTGACAGTCTCTCGGGTACTGGACAGGACTCACGAAGGGTAATCAACGCTTCCACTTCCACAGAGAAGAAGGTGGTTGACAGGCTTGAAGTCCGCTGGAGGCTTCTCGCCAGAGCGGAAAACGTGGAACTCAGAGGCACCGTATCCCATAGCCTCCTCGCGCTTGGACTCGGAGCTCGAGAGAACGACGACATGGCAGCCCATCTCGCTAGCAAGCTTGATGGCCAAGTGACCCAGACCACCGATGCCCATCACAGCAACACGATCGGTGGGACGGATGCCATACTCGGTCAGAACCGTCCAGACAGTAGCACCAGCACACATGAGAGGGGCAGCATATTCAGAGGCCAGCTCATCGGGGATAGGATAGACGCAAGTAGCATCCCAAACCGCACCGTAACCGAAGGAGCCGTTGTCGGTATCGTGGAAGCCGTACTGCTTCTGGTTACGGCAATACTGGTCCCAGCCTGTTGATCATTTAGTACAAAAGATTCATCCATGTCAGGATACAGACATACCGGAGACACAGTTGTCACACTCGGTGCAGACCTTGTGGGTGTATCCAAATCCGACACGATCTCCCACCTTGACGGAGGTGACCAGCGGACCGACAGCCTTCACAATACCAATACCCTCATGACCGAGAACCATATCAGCCTTCAGGTAATGCTCATCGGTTCCACAGAGACCGGAATGAGTGGTCTCGATAAACACCTCATTGTGCTCAAGGGTAGCAGTGCTTCTGCTAGGGACGATCTTGCCGTCCGCGGAGCCGCGGAAAGTGTCATATGAAATAGTAGTCATCTTGAATACTTTTGCTGTACTTATAGATTCCAGAGGCTAGGGACCTTGAGGGTGACCCCGTCTTTATATAATCACCTTGCAAATCCCAGAGGCCCAGGTCTACAGCCTCACATTTACAGTGGCAGTCGATCGGCAAATTTTCCGGACCCTAAATTAATCAAGTGAATCACGGTGAGGACCGAAATGTATCCGAGTGTTCCGAATGTATCCAATGTATCCACAGCGGCTAACGTCCGATCTTGTTTATCATATCACTCCGTAGGTAGGATCTGAAACGGCTTCGTCACAATATCCACAACGGTTGATATTCGGGCGCAAAAGGACCATTCAACATATCGCCCAGCAACTAGGGCTGCGCCACCCGGGCCACCGTAGGGAATGGGCTCGAAACCTTGGAACGAAGTGCTAGTTTTCACGGCAGAGGTCGGGTGCCTGCTATCTTTTAAAGTCTCCGATCGGGCGTCTATTTCGCCGTGGGGTCATTAAAGTGGTAAATGCCGAGGCTGTAGCTTGTAGTCAAAGTCTCCGATCGGACGTCGATTTGACCGTGGTGGAACCCGTAGTGGGGTCTTCAACGGTGGAATATTCGATCACATTGTCGGTTTTTGTCCCATCCTTGCAGCGAAGCTCCGCCCTAAGGTTGACTATTGGGAGGCACATTCGACACTTGACTGGAGGCTATGCGAAGCATTGGCCTGACCAGATCTTAAAGTCCATAGCAGCCTGACATTGAATGACTGAAAGTCCTTAGACGTCGAATTATTTGCGTATTCTTGCGAAGAGAAGTGGGGAGTTTAGGTGCTTAGATTTTCGCGTTTGAAGGTGGATCCGAAAATTTCCACTTGCATCATAACGGTACTCATGCATGATCTCTTCTGGAAACTAGTCGACCACCCGATTTAAGCACCAGAACATGTCTGTGTTGACCGCTTCCAGTCTCAGCCTATTAATGCTTCCTTGGTCTAGCGCATAAATCATATTGTGAACAATTTACAAGCCCTTGAAGAGTCCGAGCTCAAGCTCAATTGTTAAATCTGCATATACATATAGGCATCGTCTGGACGAAAAAGTCTCTGATAGAGCATCAGTAGCTGAGGTAGCTTCGATTCATAAGTTATATTCGGTACAGATGTCGGTGTATACTGGTGCGATAGACATGCGCTGATCTCCTATACCGACATAACACCATCCGGGTGTATGACCAAAACCAGTGCCAACCCCCCCACCCCCAAAACCAAAAAAAAAAGAAAGAAAGAAAGAAAAAAAACGGATCTTCAATAGAACAAAGGTACACAAGACAGAGTTGGACCCGTAATTAAGTGGATATATGGAACCCCAAAGCAACTGCTTATCCTAGATAACCTAGTCGTACGCCACAATGACCTGTCGATTGACGACAATATCGGCCTCACCGGGCCGTTGGCCGTTATCGAGAATATCTTTCTGACTATCTCCATCACTCAGGCTACCGTGTCGCTCTCGATCTATGACCGAGGTGATGGCAGTGTGGTTGGGGTTCTTGCTTTGGTCGCCCAGTTCGTAGTTTCGTGAATACATCGCCCCTCCGGTGCGATGAGAACTGATGTATCCAGGTGAATTCTTATAGTCTGATGTCTTGCCGTCGCGGAGGATGCGGAACAGGGGACGAAGGGTCGCGATATTTCCGACTAACATGCCGATGGCGTTCTCGGCGAATCCCCAGATGACAACGTTCGATACGCTATAGAGGTAGTTGTTTTCGCTGGTCAGGGCGACTGTATATTTGAGTCGGACGCATGCGGATAGCGACGCACTGTAGAAAGCATATGTCAGCCATGACGGAAAGCAAGAAGAGAAATGGATTGCGTACAAGACACCGAGGCCCATCAAGCCAATGATCGATATTTTGGTGTTGCGGTTGATCTGCACGTTCCAAAGTAGAGGTATCGGCCTATCCAAGAAGTCAGGTTATGATTGCTTGTAGATCATGGGTTGTGGATCCGTACAGGAAAGCGGTTACCCAGTCGGTCAGGATGTTGACAGCGGTGCACGCGTAGTACACATCAGCAAGGACATAGCTAGGTTTGCAATTCCCGTGCTTGAGGGCTTCAGCATCCCACGCAGCTCTTTCGACATGGTCAGTGTTTACTCCTGAAACATAGTTGGGACGAGACTTACTCCACAGGGATGCAGTTCGTCAGAATGAAGATCAAAGCGATGATGTTCATGATCACGAATGTAGCAATCACGACATATTGTACGTAGAGATACTCCTTGCGCCCACTTGCTACTCGAATCAACATCCAACTGATGCTGAGCTTGATCGGAATGATGGCGGCACAATAGCCGACCTCGAAGATTAGGAAAAACTGGTCGCGAGATTAGTGTGATGTCGGTCAAGGTGATGGAAAGAGCTGGCCTCACTTTCTTCCCCTCTGCCTCGTATTTTTCATTCCCAGCCTCTGCAAAGGTCGAATTGAGAATGCCGATGCCATTGAACGCTCCTCCAACACACCCTGCCACGAGCACAGCGAATGGTACCTTTCGAAGTCGTAAGTCGGATGCTCGACCATAGGGCGAGGACTACAAACCAGGGCTGCTGTCATAATCCAGTCCTCCATTCCCCATGATTTGCGTGTCAATCTGCAGTATACCCTCAAGCCATAGGTCAAAAGAGCCAATATCGTTAACATGATGGTGCTGCCCGCCACCGACGGAGCAGCATCGGCGTAGATTGCCATGGTGTCACGGTTGAGCGCTATGTGAGATTCAATCCTGAGGTGCTGTCCAGGATCGATTCAATGTCTTAAAACCATTGACTAGGGTCGACATGGGGTAAGAGCTTGCAAACTTAGGTGGAGCAACAGGAATAGGGATGGAATACGATTGATCGAGGTCAAAGCCATGGTTGAGTCGCACTATTGTGGCGATCTAAGTTTGTCCAAGGCAACTAGACGGCAAAAAGGTCAATCCGTGGATAGAATCGTGGATATCCGTCATTTCCGAAGCCGGCAAATTGCAAGCCCCGAAGCCTTGGAAGATCCGCTAACGCGACTGCTAATTGAAGATCGTCGCCCGTAGAGCTACTTTAGTCTAGTCCAAGCCTACAAAGTTTCATAGTGGCGTTGCGGATCTGTTCTTCAAAGGTCGAAAGTCCGCGGCGGTGGATTTCAATAGTGGATATAGCATCCACTCTAACCCTAAGTGGGCTTCTGAAGTGGGCTTCTAGGCTTGGAATAGAAACAGAAACAAGTCATGCATCATGATTGACAGGAGCTGTCTCGTGTTTGTTTAGAAACTCTTTCCAAGCGAGATCCCTATTCCTCACGACTAATATCATGCAGGGTGTCATCATACTAGTTAGCATTCATGATCAGCTCCCTCGTCTCCATCTTTTCAACCTCCAAAACCTCGCCACATGATGCCAAGGAAGTCGGCGTGAAGCCCGAGCCCGCAATCGCCTTGGCTTTCTTTTCCTAGATCGAGCGCTTGGACAAAAAAATTCATAGATGGTGGTCTTTCTTCCCACCGTCCAGGAAAGCCCATTTTTGCGGCGATTCTCACCCGAATTGACTGGGCCGGAGAGTACGAAAATGGCCCCGCCGATCGAGAGAAAACGAATGCTGGCACAATCATAGCCCCACAGATATTCGCCCCTGGTATTTGCCCCCTGACGAGTCACCGGAAGTACAAAAGTAAAAGGTCCAGCGAAGAGTGGTTTGCAAGAACTACTCCTCTATCAAGCCACATTTCCACCCATGTCCGCCTCCTCAACTCGGTGTCTCTCCCACTTAGCCTTGAGATTACACTGGAGATCGGACGAGATCTGGATCTGTCAACCAAGTCTTCGAGCTCGACAAGGTGACCTGGTGCTGGCCGCTTGAGCATCGCGTTCACAGCCGTGGACTTCGCTCACTGAGCTGATTATGCAGATCGACGTCTCGACACCGTCCGCTAATAACGCCACAAATTCACACCAGTGGTTGAAAGCTAGCCAATTTGAGATAAGAACAGTGTAGAGAGAACGTGGCTTGGACTCTAGCGGGTGCGACTTGCTTGTAAGCGCGAAGGACTAGGCGCCGAGGTGGCAATAGATAGTGTCGGGTATTCTCTTAACCCCAAAAGGTTCGACCTTGGCTGAGCTTGGCTGTCAATGCTTCGAATTGTGTGAGCGCTCATAGCAAGACAAGATGCGCGTACATCTGTAACACCTTTTCTTATACTAGATCGATCAAACGACGGGTGTCATCGACATCATGTAGGACGGTCCTGAACTTACTTTGACGACTTGACTACCTCGACCCGATCAAAAAAAGTGTGTCCCAATAGAGACGGTCAGTCTTTAACATTACTGAAGTATATATTCGGGACTACCGTACAACCAGTTCCCATTCCACCTCACTTGGCTCTTTCCAATAATCCGTTCCACTTGTAACGAATCCTAATTTATCTAAAAGCCTCGCACTTTGTTGATTCTCTCTCTCCGTCTCCGCAATGAATCTCTTCACGCCGCGCTCGTCCACAGCCCACTGCATGACCGCCTCCGCCGCTTCCTTTGCGAATCCTGAGCCCCAAAATTTGGGCGAAAGACCATATCGCAGCTCGACCATCTCGTTCCACGGTGGAAAAGTGGAATCATTGACTCCTCGTTTCGGGAGCGAGGTCGTGGTTGCATCACGGACACCGGTATATCCGATCCACTCAATCGGATCCAGGCGTTCCGCATTCGGCCCCGCAAGTAGCGGGAGATCGCGTCCCTTAACAACAGATGTGTTGGGATGATAAGACACGGTCTCGTCTAGGCCAATCGATTTGCGTAGCCCCACGGCAAAATCACCCAGCCCGCGTTGATCCCAGCAGCGTCCAATATCGCGTGTCTCAATCACTTCACGCGTTTCATCGTCGCTCCAATTGCGAGCCTTAAAGTGCTCGCCGAAAGCTATTGAACAAAAGCTCTCATCGGCATGTAACGCTGCATAGAGTGCTCGGTAGGTTTTCGAAGAAACAGCGATTGGTGTGGGGACGATGATGAGTCTAGGTGTCAGAATGGCGAAGGACTCGTATAGTTGGGGCTGTATGGAGGCCATTGAAGATGGGTGACTTTCTATCTTCGTTGCGAGCAAATAGGGGAGCCATTCAAGATCGTAATTGACGACTCAAGCAATTTGCCTTCTTTTTCCTTCTCTAAAATATTTTCCCTTCTTTTCCCAAAATCATGATCCATGAGACTGGGAGTAGAAAGCGATCGGGGACCGACTTCAGACTAGCGTGTGGGGTACAAACATGATCCCAGCGTAGTCAGCACCAACTACAGGTTAATTGATGGGAAAAAATTCGACAAAAAAATGGGCATTCGCCCCGCACGAGGGTCGAACTCGTGACATCCAGATATTGTGTGAACTTCCGTTCTAAAAGTCTGGCGCTCTCTAGATAGTGAAGATGGTAAGTAAAGATTTTGGTATATAGGTCACGTGAGGATAACGCACAACCAACTGAGCTAGCGGGGCTAACGACACCCTCACGGTCCAGATTTGAGATTAACCCAAGCCACCCATCCTTCTCTTGAACAATCGTCGTTCGAACCCCGTTGTGAGCATTGGTATCCACCCGCAATGTATTGACAGAGTTCGTGATTCCTGTTTGGAACATTTGGCTTTATCCCCTAGTAGGCGCTTTCGGCCATCATCTGATCGTCGCATCTTTGAACAGAGCATTCTAGTGGAGAGCCACTTAAGTACAACCGACATGCACCCGGCTTTTCTGAAGGTTAGGGAGGGGGCAAGCAAGACTTTCACATTTCATCGCCTCTGGCAGTCCAAAGCTGTACGTTTTTCGGGTGAAGCGTTAGACTCAGAATCGCTATTCTGAGGGAAGCTCCAAGATTTCTAATATGATGCGGTATTCTCATTACCTCGACAGTATTCGATCTCCAATCAATCAGTTCATGAGTGACAGATGTAAGGTTAAGAATTGTCTGAGACTTGGTAAATTATTCGTATTTCATTCAAGTCTTAGTCGTGATAAAGTGCAGTAATAATATACCTTTCCTGAACCAGTCTTCGTAGGAAATTTTTCTAGGATGTCTTTCGTAGAGAATCACTAATTCCCGCGGTTTTCTTGAGCTATGAGCCTCGCTGCGGACGTAGACCTGGGGTATGTGCTGGACTTTCCTCCTTGTTCGTCCGTTCTCATTTTCCTGGATTGCTCATGCTGAATTCTTCATGGTTTTTTCTTCTCCTTTGGTCTGAGCGGAAATTTAATCTCGATTCGAATTCGGTCAGTCCAAAATGGGTATCGTGGGTTTTTCGAGGTCCTATTGTTGAGGGAAAGCCCTTTAGTAGAACACTCACCCCAGCTTGTAGAACATTGTAAGATTTTTGGGGGGCTCAGGCCAGTCCTGAGTACGCTGCAGCTTTCTTTTCGGTTTGAATATTGTCTAGTGGTTTAACATACAGACCACTAAGCAAGAGCAGATGGCGCCAATGGCGTAATGATTTCATAGCAACTTCCTCAATTATCATGAACCAGAGAAAATTGTTGTTGTTGCCCCCTTTGAATAGCTTCCTTCATTCTATACTTCTTCCGACCAGTTTGTCTCGTCGCCTTGCGTTTTCAAACGGTCGAAAGGAGAAGTTCAGGGACCAGGGTAGGCATTTGGATTGTTTCGATGGGAGATCCATGCCAGTATCAACAATATGGGGCATTACTTGGCCTTGCCTGTTCTATCTGCTTGGGACAGGGTCACAGTGCCTCTCAGGGTGTATTGCATGCACTTCATCATCGAGGCAGTGATTCCCTTGTTACGATCTGAGGCCCAGGCCAATAATGAAGACAGTTCTGGACGATACTCAGCGTTTGGCTGACTTGTTGGGATCGAATAGGGTCACAGTGCTTCTCAGGATGTGCTGCATGCGCTTCATCATCGAGGCAAGTGATTCCCTTGTTACGATCTGAGGCCCACGCCAATGATGAAGAAACTGCGGATGATGCTCAGCGTTTGGCTGACTTCTTCCTGGAATTGAACAGGATCACAGTGCCCCTCAGAGTGTACTGCACGTACTTCATCATCGATGCAAATGTCAGAACTATTCCCGTAATCTGAAGCTTCTTGCGTTAGCGTGGCCTATGAAGAAAAGCCAGGGTCTTTTGATGCTTAGCTATTGCCGACATCTTGCTTGCATGTATGAAGTGGTGCATCACTTTTGAGTAGGGGACCTGAAATACACGATGCCCTGATGAAATGTCAGAATATTCAGGCTCAGACATGGCAGAAAGAGATGAGGCACGTTTGGCAAATCAAGATATCCTATAAATGTGTGAAGAATTCATAACGAGGTAGGTCATTTAGTAGACCGAACATAGGAATCAAGATGGCGGACCAACCCTCGATAAGGATACGCCGGGAGAGGCCAAGCCTGCCCTCGCAGGCCACTGTTACTGGAAACTAAGAACAGCCAGCTGGCGTGTACCATCTCACCCTGGAAGGCCCTGTGACTTTGAATCCAACTCCGGGCACGGCATTGAAGTGGAAGAGGCGCAAAGAGGAGCGAGGCAAGTAGATCAAGGTGAGCCAAAGAGAGACTTTGGTGGGGGGGGGATGGAGAAGGTGGAAGAGTTTCATGAGAGCTGAATCACTTAATGAATGACTTGAGCCTGGAAGGATCATGGCTCCGAAAGTAAAGCGGGAGCCGACCTTGCTTTTGCCCTTGGAGCCGATTACAAAACAGGCAGCATGAATGTCATTATATCGTAAATGAGTCATCAAGAATTCTATATTTCACCTACTTCGATGATCGTTCTCCACTAGAAGACATAGAAGTAAAATGTTGTGAATACCAATCCGATAGAATAATAGAAAAGACCTACACCAGCGCTGTTTGCGCGATTACTGAATGGAAGTAGCCAATTAATATTAAGTCAAAAGAAGTGAGTACAGGTGTCAGCACAAGTATCTCCGAGACATGGTTGAAGACCTTGTCACTGAGTAACTTATCGACTTCTATGAAGTACCATTAACAACATCATCTCATCCGAGAGGCAACCAAAGGTGAATCAATATCACCCCACTCGCCATCATAATCTTCCTCCAATTCAAACTCCTCCTCATCCAAGGAAGGACTCACATGGACAGCAGGGGAAGATATAGGACTCAGCGCCACACGTGGTCGGGACTTGAAGACACTGGCGTACTCGGCATCTTCTTCAAAGAGCTTGTCCTGGGGAGTGGAGGCTCCGGATCGGCCACCAGACGGGCGCGAGGATTTGCGCGGCGTCTCGAATTGGTTCACCGGGAATGAAGTCCGTGGACCACGACGTAAAGGACGGGGCTGTGTTTCATGTGTGGGGAGTGGTGGGATGAGAGACATCGATTTACGGGTCCGCTCAGCGAGAGTGTAGTGTGAGGTTGGCACGTTCTTGCGAGGCTCTGGCTCCGGCTCAATCTCCGAGCCTTCGTCAGGAGACAGGCGGACGGTCGGAGTGGGCAAGCTGCTCTCCTCTCCATGGGGTGGAGATGGGTCTGGAGAGTCGAAGTTTAGTGGTGGTGAGGGAAGGTCTGGATCATAGCTCGGTGAGGGTGGCCCGCTTTCAAAGTCCGTGACGGGTTTTTGGAGCGCTGCTGGCTTCGTTGCGATCTCCACCGAAACAGCAGGACCGGCATTCGTGCGAGACTGGCCATTGACACGCATCAAAGCTTCCTTCACGTTTGACAAGAACGACCGATCTGCGTCTTGGAGGAATCTTCCACGATCACCAGACTGTCGAGCGGTCTTCGATATGCTCGCAACAGTCAAGGCCTGATGATCCCGGAACAGCAGGCGAGACTCTTGAGAATCAACCCCCACGGAATTGGAGCTTCCAAATCTCTCCTTACGAAGCGAATCATTAAACTCATGCCACTTTCGCAGTCGACTCCGCAGACGCAAGACCCGTTTTTCCAAGTCGATCACCAGATCTGGCTTCGCTCCAGTTGTGAGACCATGCGCGTTCGGCGCCTTTGCCTGAGCCCATGCTTGCGAGAATGGTAGCTCTAGGAAAGAGTCCGTGCTGCTTTGTGACCCTCCGTGGAGTAGAGCGGTAGCCCACTCTTCACTACCCAGCCAATTTGCTTGCAGCTCACGAGCCAAGCTTTCCGAATCAGCTGGCATATGATACTTCTCACTTGCAGACTTCTTGGCACGCTCGGAAAGTTCGATCTTCTTATCGTCCAGAAGCCTGGAGAACTGGTCGTAGATCTCGTGTGCCCGAGCACAACGGGCCCCTGCCGCATGGAGGGACACTTGGTGCGCGAGGATCAGAGGCAGCATATTCTGATACTGTCCCAGAGTAATGGAACCAGCTGTAGATAGCTTCATGGCGAGGTTCCAATGCATCTCTTCGGCTGAGACGACCACGAGCTTCCGTAACACAACGGTAGAGAAGACGGCGAGCAGCTCGTCAAATTTCTCACCCCTGCAGTCATCCAGCATTGTTTTGCGGATAACAGCTTCTCGTCCGAGGTCACCATTTTTCTTGAGTTCTGTCAGAACCCGGAACAAAGCTGCACGAAGATTGACAGACTGCAGGGGTTCTAGTGGTGGGAAAAAGGGACGGAGTTTCTGCCAGGGTTAATATGTGTCACATTGGTCAATATTTGATTAGCTCTCACGTTTTGTGCATTCTCAGGATCCCAGATAGTACAAAGGTAGTACAAGGCCCATTCAACAAGACGAACGCGATGTCGCTGATTCTGGGATGAGGGGGAGAGCGAGCGGACGGTGATATTAGGCCAGTCCTCGCGCTGATCAAGTTGAAGCAGCTTTAGGTTGCGAACAAATACTGTCAGGTGAGATGGCGCCGGCCAGTCCAGGGGATTTGGCCGTGTCGGTCTTGAAGTCGCCATGTGTTGCGAATAGATGTTGTAGTTTAGTAAATAGTCGAGCGTCAACAACCGATAAGGGGGTTTTGCACTGTTTGTTGCGCCTATCAGTTCTCTCCCAGTCCCGCAGTTTGGGTCCCGCTTTGTTTCTTTCTTTGCCCCCCTCTCTCCTGCTGTTTCCCCGTTTATCATTTCTGTTACCTCTCCACTCATTGCAGCCATGGGATCTCAAGACTCTTCCTGGACTCCGCACACTGGTCGGTTGTACCTTGGATCCATCATTCACAGCTAATCAACCTACACAGTGCTGTCAACCCTCCCGCACCCGCCGGAAGAGAACGCGACAACTCCGATTCCCTTCTTTCACTTGATCGAGCGCCTCAAGACGACCAAGCGCGAAGGCTGGCGCCGCTTTGGTATCAATGGCGAGTCGATCTCGGACCACATGTACCGCATGTCGATCATGACGATGTTTGCCCCGCAAGAGCTGGCCTCCAAGCTCAACATCCCCCACTGCACCAAGATGGCGCTCATCCACGATATGGCCGAGTCCCTTGTCGGCGATATCACCCCGGTCGATCTGCACATCACCAAGGCGGAGAAAGCTCGTCGCGAAGCTGATACCATGGACTATATCGTCACCACCCTGCTGGGCAGTGTTCCTGGCGCGGCATTGTCCGCCCAGGATGTCAGGAACATTTTCCAGGAATACGAGGATAACGTTACACTTGAGGCCCAGTTCGTCCACGATATCGACAAGATGGAGCTTCTGCTCCAAATGGTCGAGTACGAGCGCACCCACAAGGTCGATCTTTCCGAGTTCGAGCGTGTTGCTGGTCGTGTCCAGTTGCCTGAGATCAAAGTCTGGGCTGAGCAGGTTGTCAAGGAGCGCCCGAATCTGAAGTAAAGCTTTCGAGGAAATGGGAAGCGTGAGCATCAACTTTTTAGGCGTTTGTTTACTGGGCTTTTTCTTTCGGGGACCTCCCCCTAGATACCATAAAGGACGAATTGTGATGCATGATGATGAACGACTGCGCGTGGTCCTTCGGAAATGAGATAAATTCAGTTCTTGGCATGTGTCGTCTTGTCTCTATGTATAGTGTAACATCGAGGTCTATAATGACCAAATGGAAAGCATCGAGCTTAATCCACCGGCTCCTTCTCCATTTCGCGCGCCAGCATCTCAGCCTCTTCCTTCATCTCGTCAGGCGTACGTGGCTTGCGCTCTTCATTGTCCACAGCAGGGAATCGACTCCTAGTCTCCGGCCGCTCTGTAGCATCGGCTTCCCGAAAAGCCTTCCTGACATCCCCTTCTTCCCCGTCTAGCAAGTCATACACGGCATCTGTACCACCACGATGATCAAGGTCCGCGGCTTTGCGGGGGATAATATGGGCGTGGACATGCGGCACGCTCTGTCCGGCATCCACACCGTCCTGAACGGCGATGTTCAGACTCGAGGCGCCGTATACCCGCTCCACCATTCGGCCCACACGGCGCACTGTGAGGAAAAGATCGCTTGTTTCGGCGGCGGTGAGATCAGCGACGCGTGGTACGATGCGTCGTGGGGAGACGAGGACGTGTCCTGGCAGGATTGGCTTGAGGTTGACGAGGGCGAAAGAGAGCGGTGTTTGGTGGAAGACCTAGAGTCAATTGTTAAATGGCCGGTAGGATTCCTGGCAATAGATCAATTACCTGAGGAGTTACAAGGAACGAGCCAAAGTGAATTGGTGCGGCGCCTTTCAGCGCCGACATATTTGATGTGTTGGACATTGAAGACAGTTCCCGGATACAAGGAAAGCGAGGTTTCGGTGATGTCGATCCCGATAAGCCCTTATCAAGTTCGGGGAAATGGGCTAGCCATAGAACTCGGTGCGGGTTTCTTATTATTAATATGGTGATAAAATCCAGATAATGACAACTCGGTTTCCAAGTGCGCCTCATGAAGCTCCTCTCAAGTCTGAACCTAAGGGACGAATAGAGTTAAGTGAATCGTCGCGACTTGTTGAATTCGATACAACTGCTGTAGCATCGTTTTAATCAGCTCAGCCTCTTCTTCACTCTATTGGCGCCAACTCATCCTCTCACGAGGATGAACGTGGATGACTAGTTCCTCCAAACAAGTCATATTGGCGAGTGCCTCACAGGCTGATATGTAACTGAGCCAGTGAGCATCCTCTCGAGAGCTTATACTAGGCCCACAGCTTCCCCGCAACAATCTCTCAGTCAGTCTCACCGAGCGTATTGCATCTAATCTCTGCCATGGTATTCGCATTGCAAACGCCCGAAGTGTTTCAACCTCCTCGAAGCAGAAAATGTTTTCTCCATAGACCAACTGAACTGATTCTGAGTACCTATGACATAGTTAGCTTAGAGCCCCATCAGAGACCCACAATCAACTTACAACCAGCGAAATATCCTAAGTACAGGTAGAAAGTCTACCTTTGTGGCCTTTGAGCCCGTGAATGGACCCAAGTACCACCTATGTGAGTTTATGTCCTTTGCTCTAGGACGGATGCCATATCTTGTGCGCCGTGGTTGAGCGGGAAATTTCCCCCAGCAATCATGGTTATTGCAAGAAAAGTTATCCAAGCTTTCCGAACATTGAATATCTATCAGATATCCTGTCTCGTTCTTGAAGCGGCGCTTTGTGCGTACAATATGTAATGGGATTCCCCAGAGATCACAATACCTCCAGATGATGCTTCGGATCTCGGGTGGTAGACGTGCTAGCGGCGATTGATGCTGATCGAGGTTTTGTTGACAGTCTAACTTTGGCACAAGCCATTTTCGCCAGTGAGAGACTGGATTTCTCGCGAGCAGGGGGGGCGTGAGTGCCCGATCTCTGGTTCTAGTGAGCCATTGCGGGAAATCTTCGGACATGGCGCTTTCGGCGCGATTCTCGGTGGTCGGCGGACGCAACCTGGGCAGGGCACAAATACGACATAAGTCAAAGGTAATTGATAGATGAGTTTGAGGGTGAAAGAAAGAAGTGGTTGCTTTGGTTTTTCTTGAAGATCACGTCGACATCGGTTGGGCTGCTAGCACAGCCTTACTTGGGGCTATGCTAGTTAGACATAGTCTTACTGGCTTACCCTAGAGGGGAGTCTATCTTCCGCTGTGAGCTGTCAGGCCAGTGTTCCAGGCAGGAAGTGTGGCTTTCAGTCAACTGGACTTGGCTAAGATGAAGCTTCATGACATGTGCCGGACGAGATACGGTCCTTGACTTTGAGTTACCGAACGATGGTAAGTGTAATGTCAATCAATAGTGCATACAAATATGGGTTTTAATCAAAATCGAAGTCCCAGACTCCAGAAAATCAAGGCCCACTCAGCTTAGATCCGGGATCCGGAGGGGGTTGCAAAACGTCAATAGCAAGCTGTGGCTGACAGGCTGATTATGATGACGAGCGGGGTCATAATCAGTCTGCAAGTAAGCTAAGCCGTTATTTGTGCTGACTGGACCCAAGTAAGCCACTGGTCGTCAATTGGGATCTCAGATCGTTCGGTGAATCTGTTGCTGTAGAAATCCCCGAGTGGAATCTAGCCTCCGTCGCCTTTGCTCAGCATTTCTACTTGTATGTGCGCCAGGAGAATGGGTATCATTGACATTGGCCATGGAAAACGTCCTGAGCTATATTACAAAAAAAAACATCATCACACTAAACAAACAGGGGGGGTTCGGGACATTAAAGGAGTTAAGATAGAACTTCGAAGCTTAGGAGTCTGCCTTTTCTTCCAGCTTCGATTCGGATTCCTTGAGATCGTGGTCGGCAGCAACATCTTTACTTTCCGAAGCATTTTCAATAGGCTCGGCGGACCCGGTGGTGGCCTCTGTGACTTCCTCGAGGGAAGCCTCGGTAGGACCGGTGGGTTCTTCGGTAGCCTCATCAGCAGCAGACTCGGTAGGCTCTCCGGTGCTGATATCATCGCCACCTTGAGGTTCAGCCTCTTCGGGCTTAGGTACCTCTTCATCCGCCTGCGGATTGGCGACTTGTTGCACCTCTTCGGGAGCCTCTTCTTGTACCCCTGAAGTCGATTCGGTCGACTCGGTGGCTTTCCCTGCAGCAATTGGAAGGGCCGCCTCAACAGGAGTGTCTTGTCCGTTCTCGGCATTTTTGGCCGATTGAGGCACCAGCAGGTGTTCGGGCGAATCTTTCATGATTTCTCGGAGCGGGGCAGCAGATTGCAGAGGTTCCTCTGAATCTTCCGCACTCTCTGCAATCGTCGTGACGCGTGAACCAGTTGATGGACTATGCTTATGGCGGCGTGTGGTAGCACCGGTGCTAATCGACGAGTCCATGACCTCCGCACCGCCCGCGAAGGGGGCTTCATTATCCTTGCGTAGGATAGTCAGACGCTTTCTCTCGACCGGCTCATCGTCCTCTGGCAGTACAGCATCCGAGCCTTCCGCCTCAAGAGGTATGGTATAGTTGTCTTCCGGAATCAGACTGAACAGGTCGCAAACCGTCTTAAAGAAAATATACAGACCATCATGACCTTCCACTTCCCAGAATACATCACGATGTTGGAACCAGGCATGTGCAAAGATTCGATACAATCGGCGGAAGATGTTGGTGAGGTGTCTCATGCTAGCTTGCGGGCCCCCGGCAGCATCGGAGCCTAGCGTGAGCCGACTAGGGAAGTACTTAGGTGAGGTAAGGGTGTTCGTAGCCCAGTCGAGGGTGTGGCAGCAATAGTCGATCGCACAGCACGACTTAGGCGGGTCATGCACGGCGCAGAGATACTGCCATTCGGACGCGCGCATCTCAGGGCAGGTCTGCGCAGAGCACGGTGGGTTCTCGGCGAAGAAAGCGATGACGAGGTTATTGACTTTCATCGTAAGAAAGCGGCACAGCTCGTAAAGCCATAGTGATCGGTCAACACCCTCCGGGGGCTCGGCAAGCTGAAGCGCGACTTCGCGGTTGATCGGGATGACCGTGTCTGATCCTTCAGGTTTGGTGAAGTGGTTGTACAACGCCTTGAGGTGCTCCTGTAGTTGGAAAGGAGAGTCAAGCTGCCACAATTAGTCGGCCGAAGAGAGCCACAGTAGTTCTTGGACATACCTGCGACAAAGGTATCAGCGGCGGCCCAAATGCCATGTCAGCAGTCTTGGTGCCCGGTCGAATCCTGCGCGTCGAGCCATCGTCCTCGCCGGCGCTTAGAAAAAACTCGGCATCTTTGCCAGATGACTCGCCCACGGAAGGCGATTGAGGTCCGATCTGGACTTCTGTAAAGGGAGGTGGACTGGGAAGTCGCGGGGAGCTGGACGGGGAGACACCCGCAGTCATGGCGCGTAAACAGAAGGGGGTTGTAGATGGAGAGTTGGAGAGGCGGGAAACAAAAGAGGGAAACCGGGAGTATCAAATGAGTGAAAGGGAACTCCGCGCCCTCGAGAATAGATCAGATGGAAAAGAGCAGGGAGAGCATCGTCACTGAAGCTTGACTCGAAGCTTCGCAGATAAGCAACAACAAATGACCGTCGCCTGCCCTAAGCCCTAAGCATCCGGTCTGGGCCGTAAATCGTCATCCGCCCGTCCGCTCAGGTGAAGTGGCCTGTCTCTTTGATTCTGCAGCCTTTGTGATTGTGAAACTATGTCGTCCAATTTCGAAGATGATGATGCGCCTCCGGAGCTGATCGATGTGTCGGAGGTGACGGAGCAGCCAGCCTCTAAAGAGGAGGAACAACCGGCGCGGGTTCCCATCACTCTTATCACAGGTATAAAAGAATGAAACGTGTGGCTATGAGATGCAAATTGACAACACGTTTCAGGATACTTGGGAGCCGGGAAAACAACTCTCCTTAACTACATTTTGACAGAGAAACATGGGAAGAAGATTGCTGTGATCATGAATGGTTTGCACTCAGCTGGAATTATATCGACTTCATACTCATACTAATACAATCTATAGAATTCGGCGACTGTAAGATCTTGATGAGATAGCGTGACCCTTTCTCTGCTAACATTTTCAAGCCTCGGATATTGAAAAGCCCTTGACAGTAAACGAGGGTGGCCAAGAAGTCACCGAATGGATGGAGGTCGGCAACGGCTGCATCTGTTGCTCCGTCAAGTACGTGCCACTCTAATGTTGAATAATACTATTCATATTAACTGGGTCCATAGAGACTCGGGTGTCATGGCTCTGGAATCCCTCATGGAACGTCGGGGCACATTCGACTACATCCTGCTAGAAACGACCGGTCTCGCAGACCCAGGCAACATCGCCCCAGTCTTCTGGATGGACGAGGGTCTGGGCAGCTCAATCTACTTAGATGGGATTGTGACACTAGTCGACGCAAAGAACATCCTGCACCTACTCGACGAGCCGACCCCTGAGGAAAAAGCCAAGTCTCACAATGCCGATCATGATCACGGATCCGGCCCCGTGCTTTCCATGGCGCATATGCAGATTTCTCATGCTGATGTGATCATTCTTAACAAGACAGATCTAGTCTCGGCGGAAGAGCTTGAGGCCGTTCAGGACCGCATCTCATCTATCAATAGCGTTGCAAAGATTCATCAGACAGATCATAGCCGTACACCGCAGATCGAGGGCGTGGTGCTTGATTTGCATGCGTATGATCATCTAGCGGATATGGACTTTAGTGAGAAGGGACATAGCCATATTGATCCGGTGAGTTTTCATAGGGTTTTAGAAGTTGGATTGAGACTAACGCATGTCGTAGGCTATTTCTACTTCTGCTATCCTCACGGCCCCAATTCCTGCTTCAAAAGTTCCCAAAGTTGACGAATGGCTTCAGTCAGTGCTTTGGGAATCGATTCTGCCTGACTCTCCCAGTCCGTCATTCAAGTCTCATCCGACGGACTTTGAGATCCATCGATTGAAGGGTATCATTTACCTTGAAGACGGCTCAACCAAGATCATCCAAGCTGTGCGAGACGTCTTCGAAATTCGTGACTCGGACCCTTGGCAGAAGGGTGAGAAGGAAGCTCAATCCAAGATCGTTCTCATTGGCCGAGGCCTGGGTTCGAGTGTAGACCCATGGAGGGAGAGCTTCGAGTCATATTTACGAATATAGAATAGATAAAAAATATAATGAAAGATCATCGGTCTAGACGATGCCCACGGAATACCGGTCTACTTCTGAGAATTGTATTTCAGGTAATCAATCATTGGGGAAATAATACAGCTATATCAGCCAAAAGAGAGAGAGAGAGAGAGAGAGAGAGAGAGAGAGAGAGAGAGAGGGAAGGAGGGAGGAAAAATCGAAAAAAAATACAATCAAAACATCCCATCAACGCCGAACAAGAAACCTCCCATTCGAGACGAGAATACAAAATATAGAGCGCAAGAAAAACAAGAGGCATTAAAAACAGTAACTATAATCAGATCCTACCAGAGAATGCAAAGACTTTTTAAGACGCCAAGAGTTCGCCGGCATGCGCCATGGTGCAGATGCCTGAAGAGCTGTGCTGGAACGCGGCAACAACGAAGGGTGACCTATACAAGCGAAAAACAAAGAGGGTATCGAGAATGAGGACCTAGAAGGACCATTCAGAAAATGATCTGGGGCTGAGTTGACTTTTATAAAGCCTTCGCTGGAAGCATCATGGAGCCTTAGTTGCGACGGGAGAATCGCTCTCTAAAGGCGGGATTGATAGGCAGAAGAGACTCGGTGAGGAAGGAAGTGAGTCTGGCATGATTTGACTTGGGCCGGTCCGAAAATGAGATATCTTTCTTCGCATCCACGGAGACAGGTCTGGACCGAGAGAGAAAAGCAGGGTTGATTGGTAGAAGAGACTCGGAAAGGAAGGAGGAGAGTCTGGAGTGGCTAGATTTAGGGCGTTCCGAAGATGGCTGGGCGTCCTTTGCACCAGGATAAGAGTTAGGCCGCGAGGTATTGAAGGCGGGGTTGATTGGAAGCATTGAGAGGAGGAGGGATGACGATGACTGAGCAGGTGAAGGTGAAGGTGAAGATAAGGTTGTCTGTGGCTCAGCCAGGGCAGTCTCTTTGATGTGTTCAGGAGCTCTTTCCTCCACAACGGATATCTTGAACATCGATTCGCTGTATCGAGGCGGGCTAGACGAGTCGATTGAGGGTTGCTCAGATGCAGGCGCAGGTGGTACATGGTGGCTGATAGAATACGGCGCATCTTCAGCTTCACTCTTGTCGAACCTGACAAACTCTTCCGAGACGGCCGGCTCCTCGGTTTCGTTAGTTACGGGACCATTGCCTATCATATTTGCCCATACAGGTGGCACGGCATTGTGCACTGTGCTTTCCATCGGTACTGCAGGCGTGAGATCATCTGAAGACCCGGGAGAGTCCCAACATCCAACCCTGTCGTGAGGCTCGTGGTTCAAAGTGGAGGTTGAAGAATGCCCGGAAGAAAAATTGACTCCATGATTGGATCCTGCAAGCGTCGGGGTGGATCGCTCAGCTTGATCATGGTCGGCGTAATAGTGGTGAGGTGAAGGGTCGCGATGTGCATTTGTGCACTCTTCGGGCGAGTCCTTGGAAGTAATGTGATCGGGAGTCTCTCTTACAATTGGAGGACTGATCCTGCCGTTTTTTGTAACAAGAGGTGGGAGGTTGCTGTAGGGCAATTCTCGGATGCGATTCACCGGGTACATTTGTCTCGAAAGAAGATCCGGAGGGAAAAATGAAAGGAGTTCCTTCGCAGACAGTCGATTTCGTGGAGTCGGGCTGAGGCAGATATCAACAATTCGTCGGTAATAATCAGGCACGTCCATATCACCCAGAAGCAGAGGCCGGTGTTGTCTTTCTGGCTCGTCCTCCTCCATAGCCAAAGCCCACAACGTCATTCCGAGCTGATAAAGGTCCGTCTTGACTCCAATATACATAGAGATGCGCTGATTGCTTTCAATCTTGGCGGCAATCTCCGGTGGTTCCCAGCCCACCGGGCAGCCTCTGCGATTGATGTCGATGATGGAAGCGTTGTCATCTGCATCCACCACGATGTTCGAGAGAGTGAAATCCCCTTGGACGTAGCCCGACTCGTGGATCTCGCACAATCCTGGACAATCTGTTTCGCCCATACCTCTCGTCTTTCGAAGGATATTTCCCCACGCTGCTCGTACAAGATGTCAACTAGTGCACCTTGCTCGGCATAGCTGATCAACAATCCCTTGACTTTCTCCTGCCGCTCGTCTACCACAATCCCTTCCACGCTGATGACATTGGGCGCGCCATTGAGAGCATGGAGGGCATTGATCTCATAAAGAAACTCATCAACAGTATCAGGACCCGGGATTTCCTTCTTGATAAAGGCTTTTCCACCCAGCCGAACCTTGTAAACAAAGCCTGACAGATGGGATTCGAAATGCAGAAAATGCTCTGGGACGCATCGAGCGCCCCTTAAATGTCCAATGCTCGAGATAGGAGGGTAGGGGTTGTCTCGTTCACGTCCTCTGTGACATGAACGTGTAGGCGGCCATCGCGTGTTTCGACTTTCAAATTCGTCACGGTATCGTAGAATTGAATCTCGGGAAGGGATTCACGGATCGACTCGTAAATACGGGCGCACTTGTCACGCTGAAATCGCAGCTCCTTTAGATCCCGCTCGAGTGAATCGGGTGGCGCGTCTCGGTAATCACACGAGATCGTCACCCGCCGCCATCGGGTCGGGGTTTCCGCATATGTCACGAAGAACTTCTCTCGCTCCGATCGATCTCGGAAATGCATGCTCAAATTGAGGATCCATCGCCGTTCCAACTCCATCTCGAGTGTGTCAAGCGCCGGCGCCGGCGCCGGGAACTCTTCTTCAGGGGCTTCGGGGGTCACGTCGGGGCTAGGATCCCAGTGGATATCGTGTTCATTCTCGTTCGTGGTGTTTGGGACCTCGTCGACCGTGGTAGCGAGCGGGCCGAGCCACTGAACCTCTGGCGCGGAGAGTCGTGGATCCACGTTTGGCGGTGGAGACCTGGTTCTTTGGGCACTTAGTGGGCGGTCGACGGAATGTGCACGGCGGTGCTCAGGTTCCAGAGGCGCCAGGCGATCGCGAGATTCAGGAACTTGACGTGTAAAATTGGTAGAACGAGGAAGACCGGCACCGACGCGGCGCGAGAGACGGCGGGTTATATTGTCAGGTTTGGATGAGCTGTGGGAAGAAGCACGGTCGTTATCGTGGGGGGGAGTCATCTCGTCCTAACTCTCGATCGTCGCGGCCCAGCCATCGTCGGAGCCCTAATCGATGCCACATGCTCTGTTTTTGCCCCTTGTCCTCAAGAGAAAGACCCAGCCGAGAAGGGTTACAGGAGCTGTTGGCAAGGGAGGTGGCCATACGGTTCGTTCGGGAACGACTCGATCACCCCACTGGCCAAAACTCCAGCCATAAGAGTTTGGCCGCTTCGAGGGGCTCGCGATCAGTGATATAGATCCCTGGAATATCAGGAGTATCGTTTCTCCCTGTCAAACCTCACGGGAGACCTTGGTTAGGATGAAAGAGCTCGAAGTCAACATTCAAAAGTCACACAACGTCGGGCTGCAATGGGCGAGGCTGGGGACTTGGTCTGTGACGAGGAAAAGGCGGTGCGCAGATGTCGGTCAAGATATTTTTTTCTTCGTCGTAGAAGACCGATCGTTTTTTGATAGGAGATCCAAGCGGGAAAATAAAATAGTAGACGCGGTGCGTTGATCTCACTGCAAGGTCTCGATGTCTTACAGAACGGCGCAAAAGGACTGTGCAGGAGATCAGTCAGAAAAGCCCTACTATGTTAAAAAGGGATGAAGAGATTATTAGGATACAGGATATGATTCATCGCGCACAGATCAATTTTTTTTTTTACGATGCGTTGCGGCCTGACGTCGTGCCTGATTGGGGAGAGGCTCAACGGGGACTTCTGGACTAACTGGATCTACGCTACTACAGCTGCATGAAACTGAAGACTACACACTAGGCACCTCAGAGTGGAGTTCTTGATTTGCTTTTGGCCTGGAGAGAGAGAGCTCCATTGAAGAATCAAGTCTAACGTAAAACGCCAGTCCATGCATTCCGTGTCACAACGACACTGACTCCATGTACATCCCAGAAATTACATCACGCAACTATACAGAAGAACCACATATATACCAAAGCCACGGCCATTGGAAGAAAGAAAAACATATTACTCGTCATCAGCCTCGGTCTCAGCCTCGCCCTTCTTAGGCTTGGTGAGCGCCTTCTGCCAGACCTTGCGGGCGCTATCGTGGTCGAGATCGGGGAACAATAGGTCGAAGACTTCCGAGTACCAGCTGACCGGGTGACCTTCGATGCCCTTTTTAATGTTCTGCCTCATGTTAGTCTGTTTCTAAAAGCGCGCAAATGACTCTTGGTGACTCACCTCAGGCAACTCAAGCCAGTCGGAGGTGTTGTCCGCAGGGAAGATGACCTTGGTCGCACCAGCTCGACGAGCAGCCACAGTCTTTTCTCTCAAGCCTCCGATGCGAAGAACCTTACCCGTAACCGTCAGTTCTCCCGTCATAGCAATAGTCGGGTCGAGCGAGTGGTTTAGCGCCAGGGACAGCAAGGCGCTGGCCATGGTGATACCAGCCGAAGGGCCTATTTCGAGAAAGATTAGCAACTAAAAACGTTATCGGTGAAGCACAGGGCCAACATACCATCCTTCGGAACAGCACCCTCGGGGCAGTGCAGGTGGACCTTGGCCTTCTCAAAGAATGCGTTTTCAGGGAACTGTCGGGCCATGACGGATTTGGCGAACGAGTAGGCGATGTGCGTGGACTCCTTCATGACGTTTTGCAGGTTACCGGTAATATCCAGTCCCGGTCGCGACTGGTGGTTCAGGGCGTTCTCCAGGATACACTCCACATAGAGCGCAGCGCCACCCATGCTAGTCCAAGCAAGACCCATGGTGACACCAGGCGGGAACCGGTCGTACAGGCGGTCGGCGGTGAAAACGGGAGGCCCAACATAGTCCTTCAAAGTATCTTTGCCGATGCTGAGATGCACGCTCTCGGGGACCTTAAGTGCTAATCGAGGAGTCTCAGTGGTAGACTTCTCCGGCTCGATAGGGGCATCGGCAGGGTCAGAGGACTCATGCTCCTTGGATTCCTCTTGGGCAGCCTTGCCTTCATCAGTGAGCGCAGCCTCCTCCGATAACACATCTTCGCCAATGTCCTGAACGATCTTGAAAGCCGCTTTCCGGTACACCTTTTCAATCTGCTTCTTCAAGTTGCGGACACCACTTTCCCGGCAGTAAGACTTAATCAACTCCTCAATGGCATCCTCATTGAGGTTCACATCAACATCCTTCAATCCAGTGAGCTCTCGGGCGGCAGGAGCCAAGTATCGCTGGGCAATCGCCATCTTCTCATCAGCTACATAGCCAGAGAGTTCGATCAGCTCCATACGATCCAGTAAAGGACGAGGAATGGTGTCAGTGACATTGGCAGTGCAGACAAAGAGGACCTTGGACAGATCCACTGGGACATCCATATAGTGGTCCAGGAAAGAGGAGTTTTGTTCGGGGTCGAGAAGCTCCAGCAAGGCAGAAGACGGATCGCCCTGGTGACCACGACCGATCTTGTCAACCTCGTCAATCAGAATCAGAGGGTTCTCGGTCTGGCACTTCTTCAAAGCCTGAATGATACGGCCGGGAAGAGCACCAACGTAGGTACGACGATGACCCTTAATCTCCGCAACATCGGTCAAACCACCGACTGAGAAGCGGTAGTACTGGCGGTTCAAGGCGCGAGCCACTGACTTGCCAATACTAGTCTTACCCACACCAGGGGGACCAACAAGGCAAAGAATCTTGCCTTCCACGGTGCCACGGAGCTTGCCAACGGCAATGAACTCAAGAATCCGATCTTTCACATCCTTCAGGCCGTAGTGATCTTCATCAAGGACGCTGACCGCGTTCTTAATGCCAAAGTTCTCCACGCTCTTTTGACCCCAGGGAATCTGAGTCAACCAGTCCAGGTAGTTGCGAGTAACATTGAACTCGGAGGCAGCGGGCTCCAGATGGGCCAGCTTATTTATCTCCTCCTCAAAGACCTTCTTGACAGCCTCGGGCATGGCAAGCTTCTCGGCCTTTTCCTTGAACTTCTCCACTAGCTTATCCTTGCCATCAGACTCGATGCCAAGCTCTCGCTTGATACCCTTCATTTGTTCCATCAGCCAGTATTCCCGCTGACGCTTCTGGATCTTGGCTTCCACGTCCTTGGTAATCTTAGACTGTAGTTGGGCGTTCATCAGCTCCTTCTTTAACACGACAAGTGCCTTAGGCAGACGTTCCTCGATGTTCATTGTCTCGAGCACCTCTTGCATCTCGTGAAGCTCGCCGGCCGAGACTGCGGCAGCAAAGTCGGCAAGCTTGGCGGGTTCATCACTGAGGTTTCCCGGGAACTGGTCGGTATAGAAGGCCGAGATCTGGTCACGGAATAGAGGATTTAAGGTAGCGATCTCCTTGCAAACGTTCACAATCTCACTGGTCACTGCGCGGATGATACCATTCTTCTTGTCGTATGGCTCCTCGATCAAATTCTCCACATTGACTAAACTGACCGGGTATTTCTTGAGGAAGGAAGTGGGTTCATAGTGGTCCTTGGGCGCATTCTCAGGTGTACCCTCTTCAAAGCTGGCCACAACGTCCCCTCGCTTCTCGGTTGTCTTGTCTTCGGTGGTCTCGATGGTTCCAGTCTTACTGGCTTCGGTGGGAGGCAGTAATGACGAAATCTTGATGCGCCGATGGGGGTAGAGCACGGCTGTCACTCCACTGGACTCGCCGCGGAGGGGGTATGCAGCCGTGATTTGGGCGAAAACTCCAGTATCATACACATCATCCAAGTTTTCAATCACATCACCGTCGGCACTTTCATCCTTGAACAAGAATGCACCTACATACGGCTGACCCCGCTTCATCATGTCCTGAATCGCGACAGCGACGTTGGGGTCTCGAATCGTGATCGCTTTGTAGAAACCAGGGAATAGCGGTCGCTTCGCGATGGGGATCGCCATCACCTGGGGGTATACATCCGGAACAGCTGGTTTCTGTAGAGCTTTCTCTCCAGAGCCCTTCTTTCCCTTCTTCCCACTGTCGTCATTGCCACCATTTCCGCCGCCGCTTGCCGCACTGGGCTTTGAATCGGCCGAGCCACTGCTAGGTGGGACAGGAGATGGCTGATTCGAATCGGCCTTTTCTTCTGCTTCCTTCGCTTCCTTCTTGGCTTCCTCGTCTAAGGCTCGTTGTTCCTTCTCACCCGACGAACGTTCCCTTCGCCGTGTGGCGCCTGTTTGGTCTGACTGCTTCCTCCGGGTTTCGGGGGTTCGCTCCACTTCCTTGTCCTCCTGTTGCGTATCTTCATTCTTCTGTTCCAACTCGTCCTTTCGATCCTCGGGTGGGGGTTTCTCTTTCCGTTGGATGGAGCTTGAGGAGAACGTGCGGGGAGCCGAGGGAAGCACGCGACCGACTCGGGTCGCACTTAATGCTGAACGGATGATCCCATTATTCCTTGGTGAGGCTAGGAATGGTCGGCGAAGGAGAGGCCGAGGTGTTTGGTGGAGCGCAGCTCTCCAGGGGAGGGTTTGGCCGCGGAGCATGCTACTCGAGGGCCTCTAGGTTGTGACGAGGTCGGAAATGGACGGCTTCAAATGAGGCAGGAGAAAGGAGACGAGAAGCAATAGTAGAAGCTCGAACAACTTGTCCGCTCAGCTCCAAAATATTAGATGAGTGGATTGAAGTAGAGGGCAAGATAGCTAGGGTCCGTAGTCGAACCACTTGCAAGTGCTCTGTAAGCAGGCGCCATCGGCGCCGGATTAACCCTTTTGTCCGTGTCAAGGTTCACTGCCGAAGCATCTCGAATCCTGCGCGAAGAAGGCGACTGGCAGACCAATTCCATTGGTTCTTTATAGACTTTTCTCGCTCTTCTTTCCCCCGGTCTTTCGCTCCTTTGTCCTATTACTTTATCACCCTTCGCCGCCGCGCGGCTTCGATCACAACGAGTACGTTTCAACCACTGCCCGGGTACTACAATCCATGAACCCATCCGCAGCATTCCCCAAGGCCGCGGCTCTCCCCGCGCGCCTGCTGCGGACGCAGCAATGTTCCGCGCAGGCGAGCATCTGCTCTTCCGGGCAGAAACGAGGTTACCATGCGCCTGTGTCTGCTTCTCCTGCTAGACGTCTGCGGGAAAGTGTCTATAAGAAGAAGAACCCCGTTGGTCCGTCGGTCAGGGTAGGTAGCTTTCCATATTGGTCTGTATATCTCAATAAAATTGACATTTGTTTCTTCATAGATCTTCCACACTACTTCCCCTCTGTCGGCAATCCCGGATCCCTACAAAGTTCTCGGTGTCGACAAAGGTGCATCCGCCGGTGACATCAAGAAAGCCTACTATGGAATGGCCAAGAAATATCACCCCGATACCAATAAGGACCCGGATGCGAAAAATAAATTCACCGAAGCTCAGTCAGCTTACGACTTGCTCTCCGATGCCAAGAAGCGCGAGAACTACGATCGATACGGCTCAGCTGCGTTCGATCAAAACGGCGGCTTCGATCCAAACGCCGGCGGCCACCCTTTCGCCGGTGCAGGCGGCTTCCATGGTTTCGGTGGTGGATTTGGTGGAGGTGGAGGCGGATTTGGAGGACAAGGGTTCGGCGACATCAACTTCGAAGATCTGTTCGGTGCGTTTGCCGGCGGTGCTCGTCGTGGCCCCCGCGGCCGGCGCAACCCGTTCCAGGAGCAGATATTCGTGGGTGAGGACATCGAGGTGCAGAGCAGCATCTCTTTTATGGATGCCGCCAAGGGTACATCTACGGAGATTGTCATTACACCTTTGGTACAGTGCGGTACCTGTAAAGGGGACGGCATGAAAGAGGGCACGAAGAAATCCCAGTGCCGAACTTGCAATGGTACTGGAACTCGGGTTCATGTCATGCAGGGTGGTTTCCAGGTTGCCGCGACGTGCGATGCCTGCGGTGGTGCTGGTATGACCGTGCCCCGCGGGTCCGAGTGTGGTTCCTGCCGCGGAAACGGTGTGGTTCGAGAAAAGAAGACTATTAAGGTGGACATTCCAGCGGGGGTTGAAGACGGCATGCGCATGAGAGTAACCGGAGAAGGCGATGCGCCCCCTACTGGAACCGCCGCCCCATCTGGAGTCCGCACTCAGAAGGGTGACCTCTATGTCACGATTCGAGTCGCTCCTGATTCCCGATTCACCCGTAACGGATCCGACGTTCTTTACACATCCACTATTCCCCTCACCACCGCCCTGCTTGGCGGTGAAGTGACCATCCCGACTCTTGACAGCGAAGTCAAGGTCAAGGTGGCCACTGGTACCGGCACTGGTGATCGGATCACTTTGTCTGGAATGGGTATGAAGAAGCTTGGTGGTCGCGGACGCTTTAGCCCCACGGGTGACTTGAAGGTCGAATTCAAGGTCGCCATGCCTAAGTACCTGACTGGCAACCAGCGGACAATCTTGGAGGTTCTTGCTGATGAGATGGGCGACAAGACCGCCCGTCGAACAATGAACTTTACCAAGGACAGGTAAGGCACACTGATCTTCTGCTACCCTCGGCAATACTAATACATCTTTAGCCCTCCAAGTTCCGATTCTAGCAGTGACAGCCACAAGAATGAGGGTTTCCTCAAGTCTGTCTGGCACAAGCTGACCGACAAGAACGGCGACTCTTCCAAGCCCGAGGCGAAGGATTCCAAGAACACCAAGAACGCTGGCAAGGATAAGGGTGACGCCAGCAAGGAGTCCAAGAAACCCTAAATCTATGTAAATCTCCATGTACTGTATATCATCTGGATTGTATCTACTTCAATATCTTCATAGCGCCGGCGAGATTGGGGATCTGTTCTGCCCTGGAGAAGAGGCAGGCACCTGTATTACTATGCTAGGTTTATCGTGAAGCTCTCAACTTCCATAGAAAAGAGGAAATCATAATGGTTTTTTCAAAACTGAATGTGTAAAATCCCATGGGCTATGAACGATAGAAGGGTGAATTGTATAAGTGTTGTTGTGTTAGCGCCCGCTGAAGAGTCACGTCAGGGCATCACATCCCACCCGTTACCTTGCAAGCTCGACCCCTCCCTCTTCCTCCCGTCACTTCGGATATTTCCCTCTTTTCCCTCTTGAGACATCTTCAATTCGTTGCTTCAGACATCGCGACTCGGCCAGACCGACATCATTGGTGACTAGCCATCAGGCGCCGACTTTCCGCTCTACGTTACCCCACAGCCTTGATCCCGATCCCCTCGGCGCTATCGGCCTCACCCCTACTCTCGTAACCTCTCTTTTACAGGATTGTAGATGGGAGCATCCTGCTCCCGACGATCGTCTCATCATGGTTCAGTCACCGATGCTGTCGTGTCCGCTGAAGCAAACCAACGAGATTGATTGGATCCAACCCCTCAAGGATTACATCCGGCAGACTTACGGCGAGGACCCTGAAACCTACAGTCAAGAATGTGCCATCCTCAACCGCCTTCGGCAGGATATGAGAGGCGCCGGAAAGGATAGCGCTACCGGTCGCGATTTGCTGTATCGCTATTATGGCCAGCTGGAGCTGTTGGACCTGCGGTTCCCGGTTGATGAGAACCATATCAAGATCTCCTTCACATGGTAATTCGAGTCACTTATCAACTTCATTGGACTGGATTCTGACTGTTCTCATATAGGTATGATGCATTCACTCATAAACCGACCTCGCAATACTCCCTCGCATACGAGAAAGCTTCCATCATCTTCAACATCTCTGCTGTCCTCTCCTGTCATGCTGCCAACCAAAACCGTGCTGAAGATACTGGGATTAAGACCGCCTACCACTCCTTCCAAGCATCGGCTGGAATGTTTACATATATCAATGAGAACTTCCTTCACGCGCCCTCCACTGATCTAAACCGAGACACGGTCAAAACATTGATCCATGTTACCCTCGCACAGGCCCAGGAGGTCTTTCTGGAGAAGCAAGTGGCCGATGCGAAGAAGCCTGGGTTCTTGGCCAAGTTGGCCGGTCAGGCCGCCTACCTGTATTCTCAGGGAGCGGAGACAATGCAAGACTTTGCCAGCAAGGGCGTTTTCGACAAAGTGTGGTCGGTGGTGGTGCAGGCAAAGGCAGCTCACATGGGCTCAGTAGCTTCCTACTTCCAGGCTCTTGCGGATGATGAGAGCGGCTCTCACGGTGTTGCCATTGCGCGACTGCAGTTGGCTGATAAGCAGGCCAACACTGCTCTAGGCTGGGCCAAGTCATTCCCATCATCAGCTCCTGCGACCTCAAACCTGACAGCTGAGGCCGGTCCTGCGTTGATGGAACTTATCAAGTATAACCAAGCGAATGTGCAGTCCAAACTTGCCACGATGATCAAAGATAATGACTTCATTTACCACCAGCCGGTCCCTAACGAGGCAGGTCTGTCAGCAGTTGCGAAGATGCCTGCCGCAAAGGCCATCCCAGTCAGCGAGCTCTACCAAGGACAGGATATTCAACGGATAATCGGGCCAGATATTTTCCAGAAGCTCGTCCCAATGTCTGTCACAGAGACTGCCAGTCTATACGACGAGGAGAAGGCCAAATTGATCCGTGCTGAGACCGAGAAAGTCGAGACAGCAGACGGTGAGATGGCTGCTAGCCTGGATTACTTAAAGCTCCCAGGTAGCCTCAACATCCTCAAGGGTGGAATGGACCAAGACATGACGGTTGATGAAGAGTTTCGCCGCTGGTGCTCGGAGCTTGCCGGTCACAAACCATTCAACAAGGCATTCGACGAGCTACAGGAGCGCAAAGCAGAGATACAATCCCACCTGGATCAATGCTCCAAGCAACTGGACATGGAAGAGAGCGTCTGCGAGAAGATGCGATCCAAGTATGGGGGCGATTGGAGCCAGCAACCCAGTGGCCGCCTCAATACGACACTTCAGGGAGATATTCGGTCATACCGTGATACCATCGCAGAGGCTAGTGCAAGTGACACCCAACTTTCCGCTACATTCCGACAATACGAGTCGGACTTTGACCAGATGCGTTCTGCTGGGGAAACCGACGAAGCGGACATTCTTTTTCAACGAGCATTGATCAAGGTTGGGTCCAGGCAAGGCAAGGGCAAGAATGGTGTTTCCAGCCCCGCGGAGGGTAGCCTGTTGGATGATGTCTATGATGAGGGCGGTATCTCTGTGTCGGATCAGATCAACAAGGTGGAAGAGATTTTGAAGAAACTCAATCTCGTCAAGAGAGAACGATCCAACGTGCTTAAAGATCTCAAAGACAAGGTGGGCCTAATTCTCCATTCTCATATACTACGTAAACTGTGCTGACCCACTTCAAGGTTCACAACGATGACATCTCCAACGTGTTGATTTTGAACAAAAAGTCGATTACTGGCCAAGAAAGTCAGCTTTTCGAGGCCGAACTGGAGAAGTTCCGGCCACACCAGAACAGAATTCTGCAGGCTAACCACAAGCAATCATCCTTGATGAAAGAACTGACCAAGACGTACGGAGACCTACTCCAGGACAAGCGTGTTCAGTCCGAACAGTCCAAGTATGAAGGTATCACGCGGCAAAGGAATGCGGTGATGGCTCGATACAAGAAGGTGTACGAGGCATTCAATGGTCTCACCATGGGCATCTCTCATGCCCGGAAATTCTACAATGACATGAGCGACAATGTCGACAGCTTGAGAAAGAACGTGGAGACCTTCATCAGCAACCGTCGATCTGAAGGCGCACAGCTTCTGAGCCAGATTGAGCGCGACAAGGCCGTTGGTGTCTCAGACCAGGGAGACATTGAACGAGAGAAGCTCCGTCAGTTAATGGAGCGCCTGTCCACAGAGCCGAAGCAATCCTCTATTTCACCTTCCACGGGCTCTATTGGTCCTCCTTCCAAGATCAAGTCGCCCCCGCCTCCTGTCCAAGCCCCAGGGTATGGATCTGTTGGCCCTGAACCCAAGATGTCACCCCGCTATCCGCCCAGCATGCCGGGGGCTGTCCCACTGTCGCACTCCCCAGCGCCTTACGCCCAGTATATGGGCAGTGCTTCGGGCTACAATCCTGCTCAGCCCTTCCAGCAAGGCGCTGCTGCTCCATTGTCAGAAGGCTATAACCCCATGGCATACCCTTATCAGACCCCAGTTTCCCCACCACCAAACCAGCAATACTTCTCCCAAACACCAACTCCATATAGCGGCTACCCCAGCGCTAGCCCGGCTCCTTCCTCGGCCGCTGGTGCCCAGCCATCACACTACATGGCTCCGCAGGGTTATATTCCTCCTCCACCTCCGCCGCGCCCGCAGCAACCCCAATACCCACCCTCTGCGGGCGGTCCCTACCCCTCTGGACCGGGCGGGTATGCGCAGGCGAGGCCACCATACGCACATAGTAAGACACCTTCGCAGTTGCAACAGCCACCATCTGCCTCTAATGACCCGTGGGCTGGTCTCAATGCGTGGAAATGAAATTCATTGGTAGACGTGATGGGTAGGAAAATGGCGGGGCATACATCTCGGCGTTCGTTTTTGATATCACCTTTGTACTTACGCGGCCACTATTGTTTACCTTCAGTTCTTGATCCTTGGAGTGGATATCTAGTTGAAGTTATAGGTATTAATGCCGCTCTTTCGACCTTGGAATATTCATTTTGCGTTAAAATGCCAAGATATACCATTTAGAATCCGCACCATAGCTTGCAGCGTCCCAGTATGTACAAACCATTGCGATACGAGATTAGCATATCACTACAAATATAAGACCAGACAGAACGGTCTGAGAAAGCAAAATTCAATTGTTGGAATGGTAAAACCATCAATTGAGAAAATAGCTTGTGCCTGTGGAATGCACGACCAGATAAATAGCCTATAAATAGCTCAATCACCAGAGCGCCGAGACCAAGAGATGTATACATACATGAATACCGAAACCCTGCGGGCCAACCGCAAAGCACCACCCGAACATAAAAACGCTGATGGGTATCTTGAGATAAAACAAAAAAAAGGGAAATGAGAGGACAGAGAGCAACACGAGCACAGCCTGGGTGGCCCGGACAACAAAGACCAAAGCTCTCCGATCAACCGGTCACCCCCAATCCCTAAACTATGACCAATTGAGATAAATCAAGGCCATTGCACACCCAGGAATCGAGAATTGTTCCGACTGAACCAAGACCACAGCCACAGCAAGCAGTCTTACGGCTGAAATCTCAATCGGAACTGACGTCCCCTCCTCTCCTCGCGTACTGTATAAAGAAACCTCGCAATAGTCTCCTGCTCCGAGAGCCCAGCACTATTAAAATGTCTCCGGACAACAAGCGCAAACTGATCCTTGCTCACACGATCCTGTCCGATAATGCGACGCAGACTCGTATCGTCAACGGAGGACTCAGTCTGTGAGCCTGAGGCTGTGTTCCATTCACTGCGGTCTTTGGAAGATTGTGCGCGGCGGGCGGCGAGGGCAGTAGGAGAACGGAGGCCGACGCCTTGGGAGAGGACGACGCGGGAGTAATCGTTTGAGAAGGCGCTGGGGGTGGGAAGTTTATGGACATGGCGGTAGGCGTGGAGGATATCCAAGGGGAGGTCGGACCAAGGGAGCTATAGATGAATTGTATGAGCATGAAATTCTTTAAATGGTTTGAGTGGTGTTGGGAGGCGATATGACGTTGTCGAGGCCGTTCCACAACCCCCCTAAGATTTTAACATACTCTTGGCTGGTCGTCGACTTGATGGTCGTGCATAGTAGGCGCACTGGTTATTGTAGCTTTCTCCTTGGCTGTAGCGGCGGTTTTGCGCTTCGGCGCGGCGCTCTTATACTCTCGTGTGCCGCTGGAGGCTTCGGACCTCGAGTCGTCCACGATCGCGGCGGTGCGCTGGCGCGGAGGAGCCATAGCTGAATGGCGGAGAGGGAGAGTGGACAAAACACAATACGCACGAGGTATAGCTTCAATGGGTCTGAGGGACGAATCCAAAGAGCAATGCCTATGTTCACTCGTGGGCAGGCTGTGGGCTGGACTCAGCGCAGACTCGACATTCTCTCCGCTTGCGAGGCGGAGGCAATTGGCAGAATGGAGTTTCCGCTTTTGAATCCGGACATGGCTCCGAGACTGCGACTAGCATTCAGCGATGAGGTATACATTTATTGTTGCTTATTGCTGATAGTTTGGTTTTGTGGGAAGTAAAATGTGGATTGCGAAACTGGCCTGAGAAATATGAGCTAAATGATGCCAACGAAGTTACCTGAATAGGAACTCACTGTCTCCGTACGGAGAACCCGGATGAGACTTCTCCACGACGTGTCCTGGATAGACCTAGAGGGCCTCACCGCTCCATTGCGGAGAAAACCATAACCAAAACCAAACAACGAACGAAAGCCTTGACACTCCGCAAGTCGGATCTGCGGGACCTCAGCCCATCGGACCACCGGTACTGTGTTTCTCCGGAGCCAATTTTACCTAAGGAGATTGTCGTCCCTTCCCTGGGACATCCGATGTATAGACAACGCGAAAGACGCGAGGCAACTTGGGCGACTGCGGTGACTGGGGTAGCTAGTCTCATCTCGGCTGAATTGCCCAATTGATCTGAACCCAGACTCCATACTCAGTTTCACGAGGCAAGAATTGCCACCTCCGGGCCTCGGAGGAATGTCGGCGGGTGAACCTCGGCGTGTCACCGACAGGGCCTCCAACAATAAAGTGTGGAGAACGAAAGAGGAGTGAAAAAAAAAAGCCCATGCGAACCAAAGAAAGACGGGCTCAGGAGCACGCAAGGCCGAGTCGGCATCGCCGTGCCGAGTTCTGGGCCGAGCAGGTCGGGCCCGCGGCTCCAGAGGACGGGAATCACTTTGGGGTTTAGGGCGCGGACAAAGGCCGTCGACAATTACTTGGTCATTCACCGAGACCTCCGCTTTGGGCGGTTCTGAAATGCACTTTTACAGTATTTTCTCCATCGAAAAAGTTTTCGCTGGCCCAGAGAACTCTTCAATCGCCTCACAGCGGCAGAGATCCTACGATCTGCAGCCAGGGAATTAGCCCTTCACTCCTGACTCACCCGCGTCCTTAGATCGTCGTGGAGACCCAGCCCTGACAAAGCCTCACTAAGCCCCGCAGTCTGGGACATGGGCAACAATGTGGCTCTCACCCAACTCCGACTTGTCCCGAGCCTTTTCTGATTTTTCTCTTCTCCACGCCCCCCAGCGCCCCAGCGCCCCAGCCCTATGGGCTCTGATTGCCTGGAGCCTGGGCCTCTGTCGGTGTACGGTACCTGCAGTAGAATCGGTCTAGCTGAGGAAGCTGTGTCGTCATAAAGTCTCTGATCTGTTGATTGCCAATTCCCAAGCCGCAAACCCCCAAGCCCCATAACCGCCGATGCTAGCGTATTGACGCATGTCACATTATGGACTGCCGGTTGCTTTAGCTTGACATAGCCTCTGTTAGGATTGTATCCATCGCGGATCTCAGAGGTGGAGGGGGGGAAGGGGGCCCGCAAAAGAAAAACTTGGAAAGCTGGGCCCCATCAGGTGACAGGGCCGGTCAGGCACACTGTGAGCATAGGACGCGGTTCGCAAGAAGCACTATTTTGAGCGTCATCTCGCTCAGGCCGGAAGCCGAGGCTGATAGTACGTGGATAGTCTGGGATCCCGTGCTTTCTTCAATGGAACATGGAGCAGATGACGTGAAGACGAGCTGAGATAAAGGAGGATCCCTTGCGTTCACATGTGAAACTCGACAGTGTAACTCTCCGGGGCCAGCTCGTGGGTTCTTTGGGGGTCTGGATCTGGATTCCGGGGGTCACCCATGCCCCCGGATGACAGGCAACACGTGAAAGGAGGAGTGGTCAGAGAGCAGCGACGTGTCCAGATTGGGCTTATCGTGATAAGCCTCGCTCTGACAAAATCTTTTTTCTTCCCTGATCCCTGGTTTGTGGTTAGTCCCCGTAACGAATATGGGGTAGGGATAAATCTTGGTGGGGTTAGGGGGGAAAGAAGACAAGGGAGACTCGGGCCTCACCGAGAGCTGGATAGGTTGTGGTCCTCGAAGCACCGCCCCCTTTTTCCCTTCTCAATGCCTTTAGACGCCGTCCTCACATGGGCAATTTCACAATTCCAGGACCTTATCTCCAGGAATGGCGTCCCCCTCCACCAAACGGACTCCGGAGTCTCGGAGTCTCGGCCCCGCATCGTCTTGGGGATAATGATATCAGCATGATGCCCCTGGCAGCTCTCATTGGAGGAGCGGAAAGTCTGTTCCAGAAGCTGTGGATCGAGGATCGCTCGCCTTGGCGCTAGACGGCCGTTCGAGGTGTGCGTGTGCATAGAACCAAGTGAGTGGGTGAAATTCTGCAAGAATCCCGTAGGTGCCAAAGGAAAAAAAAAGACGTCTGGCGTGCTAGTCTGGCATCGTGCTTTGTGTAGCCTCCCCGCTAAACACAGAAGCTGGACCCGAAAGGCGATAATACATTTTCCCCGGATTCCAATATCTCCCCGCGTCCGATACTACCTTGAAGTATTATCTTACAGGATCACTTCCATCTAAATCCAATGAGTGGCAATCGTGGGTGGGACTGGGGGCGCCTTCCTGTATTCCGGGATTCTGTCGATCGTATCCAACACCAGAAAACTCGCGCTCGTGTGCCCGGGGAGCGTTTGCTCCAGGTTTCAGTACTCAGGCAGGACGATTGCAAATCGAGCCCGGGCATGGACACCCATTCCATGTTGCCTCCAGCTGACGACGTCATTGCGGTCGCAAGGGGGCTTGCTGATGTGTCCAGACCAAGATCGATGCGAGAACGAGTGATTCTGGAGCGGGCGGTGCCCAAGCTTGCTCCGAGCTGAAATGAGCTGAAATGAGCTGAATCCGGCTTATCTTGTGGAATTTCTTTCTATAATTTATTTTTTCTCTTGACTATATTAATTCATTTTTTTTTGTTCATGCAGGGTTGATCTGGGGTGGCGTGGCGAAGCGAGTGACTGCTCCCATCACGTAGGCGAAACAGTACCACTTGACTAATAATGGAGGACCTTGGGTCGGTGAGTGGTGGTGTGGTGGTGGAGGGCCGGGGGGAAGGGAAGGGGGGACGGAAATCCGGAGATCGCTGTGGTTCATGAATTGTGATTATGTCCCACATTTTGCCCGAATATTTGCTTACTTTTCCTTAATTCCGCTTGATCTGGCGGATTGGAGCGTATGGTGGTAGGCGATATTTATCCGCTGCACCCGGGTAGAAAGTCAAGTCTGAAATTTGGTTTCCCCGGATGGCGTGATAAAATGGGGTGCGCACTTTCTGTCACCTTCGACATCAGCGATGTCGGACATGATTAGACTCATCCGAGACGATCATGCCATTTCACCGTGTCGAAATATGCAAGGATACGAATACTACAATATGGAGATTGCGGGGTAGTGCTATCTTGGAGTCACCAAAGTTGGGAATGACGATCAATGGGGACACCCTTTCAAACCTTTGACGATCTCGGCGGGTATACAGGGAATAGCCTGATTAGTATGAGAAAAGCCCTAGTCGGCAACGGAAGACAATATTCATTCCCCCCCCCCCTTTTGGCCCTGCAATAGTAGGTGGATAGCGGTGTCGATCAATGCGATCGCGGGGCGGATCTCTGAAAAAACTCTGCAGGGAAGGGGGAAAAATAGGAAAGAAAGGCGAGTAAGACGAGGCGACGGAAGCCGGCTTCGGCTGAAACCACCATACCTAGTTAAGCGATGAGAAAGGTAGCGAACGATCAGTTTCATAAAGCCGTTTCACCAACTCGGCAAAATGCGGGTAATTACTGGAAGCGGACGTATCGATGGGGATGTTTCCCCCCTGCAGATTGAGGCGCCGAATCCGGTACTTCTCCAGGGTTGCGCCATTCCCCGTGGAGAGGGCAGTGTCCGCGTCCGTCTCCGGCACGGAATTCGCACGGTGGAGTTCTCTCTCGGCCTAAAGTACCCCGGCATTCAACACCGGCTCTCCCACCTTGAACCCTTATCGCCCGGAAAAAGATATTCCAAGGCTAATGTTAAGTCGTAATCTGAGGGGGATGGGGTGTTTCTCCAGACCCACGGGCTCGACCGAATTGCACCCCAGAGCGAGAGAATCAGAGGAAACCAGAGAGAGCAAGACAGGTAGCAGAAGAAACACAGAGTCTCGACACACACGCTCATCAGCTCATCTGAGACCTCGATTGCAACCTAGTTGCTGTAGACAGTTTTCAGTCTTAAAAACTTAAGATCTACCACTAATGAATGGCCCCGGCTATACTGGATGCAAGTTGCCCTGGATCTCTCGAACTGGGACCGATCAAGGGTCGATCGGCGTCAAAAGGGTCAAGCCAGCCAGTCAGACCATCGATAGCCATCACATGGACCTTGTCTGAGTGGACGGATAAACAACAGGGAGTATGCCGACGCGTATCTTTCTTTATCCTGATGGCTTAGGGGGGGCTACTTGGTGGCTTGGGGCTAAACCTCCACGGGGTCCCCCCGAACTTAGACCGTCATCACGGCTGTCTTTCCGGAGGCATGAACCTGTGCCACAACACTTATCATCCCTGGCCGTGCATCGTCGCTCGCGAGCATGGTCACGATTGGCTGGGGTCGCGCCTATCAGTCCTTCGAAAAACGGTCTTGAGCTCTGATATTTCAGTCCTCCGTTGACAATCCGGGGTATTGTCCACCCTCGCTAGCAGTGATCCTGGGTTGTGCCGCGCCCATGGTCGAACAATTTCAAGGCGACCCGGCGCATTTTCGTGCGATCTCTACCTGAACGAACGGGGCTCATGACTCCATCATGCTCAGATCAGTTTATCATGTGTCGACATCATCGATGATTTGACTCTGGCGTCACCGGGGGATGACCCTGGGTAGGACATAGGGAGATAACCTTTCGCTCATGACTGGCTCATGCCATCATGGTTTATCATGCATTTTTGGGGGGAGATAAGGAAACACCCCCAGCTTTCTCCAGATGCGCGATAGCCGGATGTGTGAGAGAGGTCAAACAATGTCCACGCACCGAAAGTCACGCCACACGGGGTTCTTCAAGAAACTATGAGATAATCAGAGAGGCCCTGCGTAGCGTCGGAACTAGCCCTGATCCCCACCTCGGGAGTACGTAACCCTCCTGTCAACCCTCGGGGGAAAATCATGCCATGATCGATGTCAAGATATACCTAATGATCTCCGTAGAGTAGAGAGAAAGGAATACTCGCAATGATTGGACTTCAAAAATGAATGCTGTCAAGAAACCTTGTGTAGGAGAGTTCGGGGATCCTCCATAGGCAAGTCGACCAACCGCACGTTGTCCTTTTTTTCTTTCCATCGTTTTCCTTTCTCAGAGTTTTTTTATTTCTTTTTATTTTCCCATTTCCCATTTTGCCCCCCCGTCCCCTTCTCCCCCACACCGTAGTCCAACCTTGTTACGATCCGATAAGTCTTTTTTGGGATTTTTTCTTTTTTTCGCTTTTTAATTTTTTTTTTTCTTATTTCCTATTTCCTATTTCTTTTTTTTTCCCCCTTTTTTTTGACTGTTTTCTGACTTTTTCCCCCCAGTGTCCGATCCCGAAGCACCCCCTTCTCCCCGATTTCTCCCTTCCTCCATTTTTCCCCTCCATTCCTTATACATCTTTCCACACCCCCCCCTTTCCCTTTTTCTTTATCATCTCCTGCTCCCCAGATCGTAATCTCCAGATTTTTCTTCCCCCCTCCCTTGTGCTCCTCGCATACCAAACATCACCACCACCACCACCACCCCCACACTCCATTTTTATACACCTGTGATAGGATCACAGGGCAGGCCATAGATCGTCTCTCACACAACCTCTCGGGTGCAGATCAATCGGGTCCTTTTTAAAGCTCTGGGCCCCCCCTTGTGAAGACTCCCTCGGCTCTCAATTCCCACTTGATCCTCGTGGCCATAAATTCGGTCTCGTCACACTTGGAAATATTCACATGCCACCCCCGGTTTCGTCAGTGGGTTTCTCCAATCTACTGAATCCTCAAGAAGCAGCAAATCCCACCTCCCCTAGTTCGGGAGATTCTTCTTCGATGGCGTCTTCTGTCAGCTTGCTACCGCCTCTCATGAAGGGTGCTCGTCCTGCGAATGAGGAGGTCCGCCAGGACCTACCCCGGCCCTACAAGTGTCCTCTTTGCGACCGTGCTTTCCACCGCCTGGAGCACCAAACTCGTCACATTCGGACGCACACGGGCGAGAAGCCTCACGCCTGCCAGTTCCCTGGCTGTACGAAGCGCTTCAGCCGCTCTGACGAGCTCACTCGCCACTCGCGCATCCACAACAACCCCAACTCGCGCCGCAGCAACAAGGCCCAGCACCTCGCCGCCGCTGCCGCGGCCGCTGCCGGCCAGGATGCCGCGATGGCCAGTGCCGCCAACATGATGCCTCCTCCGAGCAAGCCTATTACTCGCTCTGCGCCGGTTTCGCAGGTTGGATCTCCGGACGTCTCGCCACCACACTCCTTCTCCAATTACGCGAACCACATGCGCTCAAATTTGGGCCCTTACTCGCGCACTACCGAGCGCGCCTCGTCCGGTATGGATATCAATCTGCTGGCCACCGCTGCGTCGCAGGTCGAGCGCGATGACCACATGGGCTTCCACGGATCGCGACACATGTTTGGCTCTCGTCATGGCACCGGTCGTGGTCTGCCTTCTCTGTCTGCCTACGCCATCTCTCAGAACATGACTCGCTCGCATTCCAACGAAGACGATGATGCATATGGTGGTCACCGCGTGAAGCGTTCGCGCCCTAACTCTCCCAACTCCACCGCGCCTTCATCCCCTACCTTCTCGCACGACTCGCTTTCTCCTACTCCTGATCACACTCCTCTGGCAACTCCTGCCCACTCGCCTCGTCTTCGCCCTTTGGGAGCCAACGAGCTGCACCTTCCTTCAATCCGTCACCTGACCCTCCAACACACTCCCGCTCTGGCCCCTATGGAGCCCCAACCCGAAGGTCCTAATTACTACAGCCCCGGTCAAGGTCACATGGGCCCAAGTATCACGGACATCATGTCCAAGCCCGACGGCACGCAACGCAAGCTTCCCGTGCCTCAGGTTCCCAAGGTTGCGGTGCAGGACATGCTCAACCCGACAAGCGGCTTCGCGTCCATGTCATCGTCAACCAGCAATTCCGTTGCGGGCGGTGACTTGGCCGACCGCTTCTAATCTTGTTTTCCTCTTCTTCTGTCATGCGCGCCACGAAACGATATAGACTTTGTGCATTTTATAGGATTGCAGGCATCATCGGTGTCGGTTTGGATGGATTATTCTTTTCTTTCTGCTTCATTTTTTCTCTTTTCCTTATCTTACAGTTGGCGTCTCCATGATATAGATGGGATGGGAATTTTCTTGTGCGGCTGTTTCCTTTCTCAAGGGTTTTACCCTCCTTCGAGTCCAAAATTTTTCCTCAGTCGACCTGACTACTTTTCTTTGTGTTGATTCTCCTCTCCCAGGCCTGTGGTCTGTTCTACTTCTGACCACCCTGTTCTATTCTCTTCTCTAATTGCTACCCTGCTCTGCATGGGAAAAAAATGAAATCTATCAACTCATATGCATCTGTCACATCCAAAATTTGTAGCCCCAACGTGGTCAGCGTGGTTGTTTCATTTCTACGTTACCCTCGCAGGGTTGACACCCCTGCCCACAGATCTGTCGGGAAAAGGATACGCGACACAACGGCATAGTATGCAGATCTACGAAACACACGATCTAGACCAGTTCTTAGTATTTGATTCACAGAACAAAGTACCATTCACGTCGAGTCTACAAATGATAGTCCCAACGATACTGCTGCACAGCGCAAAAGTTAGCCCGCCGCCCCCGCTCCCCCTCCATGCTTAGCGCAGAAAATCCACCAGGTACACAACGTTTTGAACTTTTATTTCCAACGTGTGTGCGGTATCTATCATGGACCACTAGTCCGTGCAGAACTGTATTGTGTCTATCAACGTTTGTCAAATGTACCCACCTATGCAGAATCGGGCTGCGCCGGCACCTAAAATGTCATGCATGCTGACTTCACGAAAGGTACATCAGGTACATTCAACAATTGTACCCTTCATAGGCCCGGAGCCAACCAAAAGAAGTAGAGTGGGATAAGAAAATTTCCCACAAAGGTACTGATCCAGCCTTGACTTCTCTCTCGAACCATATCAAGCCGGTACGTCCTCATGGAAGATCTTTGACCAGCCCGAATCAAACCGAAATCATTCCATGCTCGTGCGCCGGTGACAAAACACTCTCTAACGTGACCAAGGGTATCTCTATTTCCCCGCCAGTTCCGTGCGGAGCATGTCGGAGCCTACGAGCCCCAAGAGCCGTCAGATCCGCCCCCGATCAGCTCGAAGCATCTCGCCGTTCTCCGCCCCGCGAGCACCTTTTCCATGAGTGGAAGTGCTCAAACAAAAGCGCACGGCGTGGTCATCAGCGCTATGCCACTTTCCTCGCCCACGCCACCGGGCCTATCAAGCGGGTCTTCGTCGCCTTCCATCTCATCGGTGGATACCGCTGAAGGCCGTGTCGAGATGGACGGTCTGGCGCCTGTTATCACTGCCCGAGGACCGGTTGGATCGCGAGCTGGAGATTCGTCTTCGTCTTCGTCGTGGAATACTGCCGCGCAGGCTCTTGATGGCGTCGATGGGCACGGTCGAATGTATGTGTGTCTTTTCCACTTGCTGGATTGTCATGATTCCTTCGACGATGAAAGCGAGTGGCGCACGCATGTACTCAGTCACTTCCGCTCTCACCCGCCACCGTCGACGGCGCGGTGCCCGCTGTGTCCGGATACGAACTTTGTGGATGGGGACGCTGACTCGATGACGCCTGTGGAGAGAGTGCTCGAGGATCGATCCAGAGATCACGACCGTACTTCGAGGGATGATACCGAAGACCCTCCGGCTTGGGACCGCATGCTCGACCACGTCGCGGTGGAACACTATCAGCAAGGGCAGACGCTAGCGGGTAGCAGGCCGGATTTTGAACTGATGCGGTACCTATATGGCCGACGGGTCATCTCTGATGCTCAGTTCAAGGCTATGCAACTTGCCCCGGCGCCGTCGAGCCCAGCATATCATCGTTCGCAGGATGGTGTGCGCGCTAGTATCGGGTCATCGGACGAGCCATACTGCGCACCGTATAGTCGTAGGAGAGAAGAGAGGATCAGAGGGCAGCAGAGGGGGGTTTGCCTTGTTTGAAATGTTGGATGCGTTAGATTTGCATTTTGATGGATTTGAGTATTTGGGTCCCGTTTCTCTTGGCTTTGGTTCAGATATCCCCTCATTCTATGTGTTCTCCAATGTATATTTTTGATTCTGTGTCTGCTGCACTCTGTATTATCCGTCCAGGATTAGATTAGCTGGTCTGTTCGCGGGACTGCTGGAGAATGAGATTGTATCAACAGTGCCTTGAGGCTGTCCTCAGTTCAGTGACCTTGTTGAACATCTATCTTGCAACGCTGCTGCTACCTTCCGGCGTATAAACGGAGAATTCAGTGAATTGTGTTGTTCAGTGAGACGTATGTTAAAAGACGACGGATCAAGCTGAATCGTCGGGAGGTCGCTAGGGGCGGTGAAGCTGGTGGAGAGCAAATGTGATAGACCGCATCCGAAATCTATATAGTTCAGTGACTGTTCGGGAACCAATCGTCTTTTGATCCGTGGAATTTATTAATGATTGGTTCGTTGTGCCTCATGGGTCTGTCTAGCGCAAACCTCAAGCAATTATGACGTGGATCCATGGTTTGGAGGTTCTAGAGATTAATGTAACTGAATCACACGCTGCAAGCTCATGACATTGTTACCGGGATCAATTAAAATAAGTACAAGTAGGATTTTGTTACTAAAAGATAGAGATTGGTAGATGTAGATGGCACCCTAAGAACTATGGAAAGAAGTTTAGAAGATGTAGCCTACAAAAGGAATCAGTAAATGCAAGGTAGACTGAGAATCTAGAAGAAGACAACCAAATACAGTGCAGCCAAAGTCGAAGACCAGAGCCTAAGTCTCATCTTCTGTGAACATCACCACCTATGCAAAATGCATGTGGAACTTGTACTTTTGAGAGTTCTCTCTCTCAGTTTGCGAGACATATAACTACTCACATTGTCTAATCCAGACTCAATTCCAATCACCTCCCACTTCATATTTTTGGTGTTTGATACTGAGTTCATCCAATGGCACTCAATATGACCTCTCGAGACAACAAGACCCACGACTTCACACGAGATGCAGCAAACACAGTCCGGGTATTTCGAAGAACATTCCCTGGATTTCTCGCATCCTTTGAAGCCCTTCTTGACCCACTGATTCGCTACTTCGTTCATACATTCCGATTAAACATGAATCCTAATCTGCTTCCAATAACAGCACACCTCGAAACACCAAGCCAACAATACTTGCGCTGCTCAATCGTCAGCAAGCTCATGGCTGACTTCAATTCTTCGGAGCCATTTCAATTCGATCGCGACTATGACCATGACATCTTCACTTTTGTCGTCTACTGGTACCTCCGGGATTCATGGGCCGCTGTTATTCGCGAGCAAATCGCGAGGCACACACCACGGACAGACCTAGGCTCCTTCGCTGGATTCTCCTACTTCCCAAAACCTGTTTCAAAAGAGCTTCGTCCTAGTCTCTTCATTTACAATCTACACCATCCAGACCTGGGAGATATCCATGCTGAACGCAATGGACTATATTATGTGGGTAGGCGCGAATGGATTGACGGACGATGCCACTGACGGCGATACGTGCGATGCGAATAAACCTGGACACGAAGGCAGATCTGGGAGACTCAATACCCAATGCAACTTAATTGAAGTCGAGCAGTGCAAATAGCGGCTTCAAATTCTCTACCTTTGCAGCGGATGGAAGTATCCAGGAAGTGCGGGATGCGTGGCATGCAGTTTGTAGCTATTTGACTTGACTGCTTTTCAATTTGACCTATCCTTAGGGTGATAAGAATCAATCAAAAAGAGAATAAAAGAAAGAAAATAGAAACAAAATTACCGTCTTTCATCTACATTACACTCAACATTCTCAATTAGTTTTACTTTTGCAGTAGGTGCAACAGTGTTAGGTTTCCAAACGTAGAACCAGGTGCAAACACGACAAACCCACCCCACCGCCCGTGATAATCGTCTCCGGCGACTTCAGTTTCGCGCTGCCCGGACACTCCTTTTAATTCCGGTGTAGCTTCCATTATAATGCGAACGAGCTGTTCCTGATTTGAGCCTCGCGAATTCCAACCCCAACTGCTCTCTGCCGAAGTTCACGCCTACCCCGTTTTTCAGACACCCCCACCTCCGCCATCGACATGGAGCGATTGTCGCTCAACGACAGCCCTGCCAATGCGCAGGCGCGCAACTCCCAGCAGTTCTCCCAGCAGACTCCTCTTGGTCCTGGTGGCCAGAACCAGCCAACCTCTGGCCCGCCTCAGCTCCCCCCGCAGATGTTCACGACTGCCGCACAACTACTTGATTTGACGGATAGTACGTGACCTCGCAACGCATTGAGAGACCAAGAAGAATCATTTGCTGACATGGGAACTGGTCTTTTCTTGCAGAGAAGCTAGTGCTTGTTTTGCGCGATGGAAGGAAATTAATCGGTGTCCTGCGAAGCTGGGACCAGTTCGGTATGAGTGTCGCATCGCCCTTCGCAGAAGCCCTGTCTTACCAGACTCTCTTATCACTTCACAGCAAACCTTTTCTTCCAGGATACCATTGAGCGTATCTATGCTGGAAACCTCTACGCTGATGTCCCGCGCGGCGTCTTCCTCGTGCGTGGCGAGAACGTCCTCTTGCTCGGTGAAGTGGTATGTGCTTGGGAAAGCTCCATCCTCTGATACATCGAGCCCAATGCTAATGTCAGATGACAGGATCTGGACCGCGAAGATGAAATCCCTACTACGATAACCAAGGCTCCCTTCGAAGAAGTCTTCGCGCTAAAGAAGAAGGAAGACAGCCAGCGCAAAATGGGTGATAAGAAGCGGTACAAGGAGCTGTCCGCTCTTGGATTCGAGCCTGAGCACAGTGGTGAGATCCTGTTCTAGGAGCTCTCTTAACGCTGTTACTTGTGCGGCTGTTGTCTTCATCCCGAAGCCCCGAGATCTCCCACGATGCATTTTGTGGAAACCATTCGAGGTTTCGCCCTCCGGGATGAAGCCTGCCCTTACAGGCTTGCACAGATTGACTTGTACAATGTCCGACAGCGGTGACGACTTCAAAATCTCTTGCAATGGCCTGCTCCTATTTGCACCAGGCCTTCAAGGTTTTCACGAACTGTGCAATTGAGATTATACAAGTGATCTGTGAAGGAGAAGCTCAAGGATGACACTGAGGCCAACTTCGTCTAGTCCGAAGCTGATTTGCCTTTTCTCCTTCGTCTTTCTGCATGCCGCCTACTGCCAATGGCGCAGAATGGCCATCCTCATACCAAACGGGGTCCATAGTCCCTTTTTTTTGGCCTTGTTCAGTAGTAAAAAATTCACGAATTGATGCTTCCATGAATTCTTCTCGATTATAATCTCTAACAAGTTCCTATTTCCTCCAGAGTAGAAGCGGGTCTCACAGTGGAGAGGTGGTAGTTGCTTATCGATAACCGCGCCAAGAACCCGCTGTACCTTTTTTTTTCTCGTCGATTTTTCTCCATCACCGCCAGAACAGCATCCCCGCACGCTTTCTGTCCTTCTCCTCCTGTCGTCCACGATCATCATGGCGACCCTGGCGGAGAAGCTCGAGAAGATCAAGTCTCCTAAGCTGCAGAATCAGCACCATGTATGTGATGCCATGCCGATCTCCAGAAACTTACTGACCCGATTATAGACCGCTGTGGTGCTCTCTGCAGTGGAGGACACTCTTCGCGACCAAAAGGCAGACTTTTCCCCCACCGCATACTTCGCTGCGCTCCTTGCGCTCCTTTCACAGTCTCTGTCCGCCGACCAAGGAATCGTCAACAAGGACTTGGCGACATCCGTCGTCTATCTGCTCGACATCACCACCGGTTACGTTCCTGCTCCGATTCTTCGCTCCAAATTCTCTCAGATCCTCACTGGCCTCGCGCCTGCTCTTTCATTGCCCGAGGTCGAGGCTCCACTTCTGCGACCGTCAATTGGCTGTCTCGAGTCGCTTCTCATTGCACAGGATGCCGCTGCATGGAATCTGCCTCACACTCAGATCGGTCCCCGTCGGGCGACCGCGGGTCTGCTAAGCCTTTCAGTTGACCACCGACCTAAGGTCCGAAAGCGCGCTCAGGATGCGCTGGTCAAGGTTCTCAAGACTCCCCCGCCCAGTCCCTCTTTAGATCACCCTGCTGCGGATATGTGCGCTGAGTCTGCGATGAAGACGCTTGGCGATAGCATCGCGACTGCACTGAAGCAGAAGAAGGGCAAGCACGATGCACACAAGGATAACCACGAACCTCTTATCATCCACTCGCTCCAGCTAGTTAAGACTATTGCCACGGCCTCGGGCGGTTGGCCTAGCAAGAAGATTGAATCGCTCTGTGAGCTGCTCATGAATGCCTCTCGCTCGACCAATGAGTACATCACTATGGGTGCGTTCGAGGTCTTCGAGGTCATTTTCGAGGGAATGGCAGACGAATTCTCGTCCTCGAAGCTTCCCCGTCTTTTGGAGGCCATTTCCGAGCTTAAGCCTGCACAGAATGACTCCCAACTTCTTCCTCCGTGGATCGCTGTTTTGTCCCGTGGGTACGATGTATCCGCTCAAATTAGCCCCGAGGACACCTTTGAGAAGCTTCCTGAACTTTTCCAGCTCATCTCTGGATTCTTGGCTTCGCCCTCGCACAACATCCGCGTGTCGGCGTCCGAGTGTTTGATCTCTTTCCTGCACAACTGTATCCCCAACAGTGTTATTGTGGACCCTTCTGTCTACGATGAGAAGACTCTGGAGAAACTGGCCAAGGCCGCTGCTGATCTTCTGTCTGTCAAGTATCAGGCTGCCTGGATGGAGGTTTTCAATGTCTGCTCTGCTATGTTCGATTGCTTTAAGTGGCGCTCCAGCCCCTTCCTCACGAATCTTGTTTCAACCGTTGGTGAGCTACGCAGCAATGAGTCCTTCCACGGAAAGAAGGAGGCCGATGGCGTTCTCAGCAGCGCTATTGAGGCCATGGGTCCCGCCGCCGTTCTTGAGATATTGCCCTTGAACATCATTGAGCAGAAGAACGGCCAGCCCGGTCGTGTCTGGTTGCTTCCTATTCTCCGTGACTCGGTTACGAATACAGACTTGCGTCACTTCCGTTCAGAGTTCGTACCTTTGAGTGAGGCTCTTTACCAGAAGATGGTTGATTTCCGCAGTGCCGAGAAGCACGTTGAGATGAAGATCTTCGAAACTCTTGTCCAGCAAACCTGGGGTATTCTTCCCGGATACTGTGAACTGCCTCTCGACTTGATTGAGGCGTTTGACCAGAGCTTTGCCGAGCTCCTTTCCAACGTCCTCTATAAGCAGGCTGAGCTGCGCGTTGACATTTGTCGCGCTTTGCAAAACCTTGTCGAGTCCAACCAGGCTATCCTGGAGGTCGAGAGCGAGGTAGAGGATTTGATTCTGCAGCGCCGCATCACTAAGGCTGCTGCCACCAAGAACATTGCTCACTTGGCTGGCTTTGCAAGCAACCTGTTGGCTGTGCTGTTCAACGTTTACAGCCAGACCCTTCCCCACCACCGTGGATATATCCTGCAGTGTATTAATTCCTATTTGAGCATCACCCCCGAGGCAGAACTCAATGAGACTTTCTCTCGTGTCACAGACATGCTCGAATCCTCGCTGGCGGAGGAGCAGCAGCAAGAGGCACCCAAGCAGGACCAGGTCAACAAGATGCCCCCCCCACTTCACACACTTTGATTGACCTGGTTATTGCTATGTCTATCTACTTGCCGCGTACTAGCTTCAGTGGTCTCTTCGCTATGGCCGCCGCTATTCTCAACGGCACTTCCCCCAACCCCGATCAACAACTCATCAAGAAGGCTTACAAGCTCATCCCCCGTCTTGCTTCAACTGAGACTGGTAGTGCTGCTCTGCAAGAGCGCAGTGGTGAGCTGCAGGCTCTGATGCTGGCCACATCTGACAAGACTCCTGCATCTGGTCGCCGTGACCGCATGCTCGCCATTCACGAGCTGATCACCCATCTGCCCACCTCTGAGCTTCACTTCATCCCGGCTATCTTATCCGAGGTTGTCCTGGGATGCAAGGAAAGCAACGAAAAGGCCCGTACCGCCGCTTTCGATCTGCTGATCCACCTCGCCCACCGCACCACCGACCCCGAGCGTAACCCCGAGGGTACTGTGATTCGCAACTCACTGGTGGCTCATATGCCTGACGACTCACCTGACGCCCCTGCTACCATTGAGGAATTCTTCACCATGGTGTCTGCCGGTTTGGCTGGCTCCTCTCCCCACATGGTTGCTGCGTCCGTCACTGCCCTGTCCCGTCTCTTCTTCGAATTCCACACTCAGCTCCGACCCGAGGTGCTGTCTGACCTCGTGGCTACCGTCGAGCTCTTCCTTACCAGCAACAACCGCGAGATCGTCCGGTCCGTCCTTGGCTTCGTCAAGGTTGCCGTTGTTGTTCTTCCTGATGAGGCCCTGCGGCCCCGTCTCAATGCCCTTGTCCCCAACCTTATGGCTTGGAACAAGGAGCACAAGGGTCGTCTTCGCAGCAAGGTCAAGGGTATCATCGATCGTCTGGTTCGCCGCTTCGGTGCTCCTCTCATGGAGAGCCTGGTCGGTGAAGATGACCGTAAGCTGGTGGTCAACATTCGCAAGCAGCGTGAGCGTAACAAGCGCAAGAAGAAGGAGGGCGCTGAGGATGACGATGAGGAAGATGAGAAGCCTGCCCAGCAACAATCCGGCGGCAACGCCTTTGACAAGGCCGTCTACGGCTCTGACTCTGAGGACTCAGACGACGGGTCTGACGATGGCGCCAGCGACGTCGACGTCGATGAGACCGCTCGCATCCGGGGCAAGGGTGCCGGTGGCAGGAACAAGGGTCACAGCACCCAGTACATCCGCGAGACATCTCCTGACGACAACCCGCTGGATCTGCTGGCCCCCGACGCTCTGGCTAACATCTCTACAACCAAGCCTAGCCTGCGCTTCCTGAACACCGGCCCCGGCTCGAAGAAGAAGCGCAATGCTAAGTTCGACGCTGATGGTCGTCTGCTTCTTGGCGATGACGATGCTGCCGAAGATGTTGAGATGGGCGGTGCCCAGGCTGGCGGTGTCAATGCCTACCTCGAGGCTGTCAGTGGACCCGATGCTGTCCGCCGCGGTCAGAAGGGTAAGGTCAAGATGGGTCAAGCCAAACGTGGCAGTGATGCCATGGACCTCGACGAAGACGATGAAGGCGCTATCAAGGAGAGCATTCAGGGTCGTCGTGGTCTGGGTGCTCCCAAGACCCACGGCTCCCCTGGTGGAGGTCGTATCGAAAAGCGCCGCACTCCCTTCAAGGGTAAGGGTGGTGGCATGAAGGGCGATGGTGCCCGCGGACGTGGCGGCTTTGGTGGCCGTGGCGGTGGCCGCGGTGGTGATCGCGGTGGCCGCGGTGGTGATCGCGGTGGCCGTGGCGGTTTCGGAGCACGTGGCGGACGCGGAGGCTTCGGTGATCGTGGCGGCGGCTTTGGTGGCCGTGGTGGTGGACGTGGAGGATTCGGTGATCGTAGTGGTCGCGGTGGTTCCGGTGGCCGTGGCCGCGGAAGCCGCTAAATGCAAGTCCAATCTCCTATATCTTCTTTCCTTTGTTCAAGAAGGCTGGAGAGACTGTTTTCACGCATCCAAGGCTCTGGCATACGTTCTTTCTGGTTAGGAACTTTCCGAATAATACCCCCTTGGCGCTTCCATTTGGGGGTTGACTGATATTCGCAGGTCTTGGGCTTGTCTTGTCATGATTTGATTACGAGCAAAAATTTGTTAAGGCATCTGCACATAGAAATTTGATCTTTTTCTGCACTCGAAAGTATTTCTCCATCATCTCGCCATCACCTCAACTCGTCTTCTCTCGGTTAATGAAAGTCAATTCGCGGTCTTCACCTACGGAGATCTAGCCTGCCATAGCAATATATGAAACTAGTTTGTCTCTGTGGGTGCTGCAGGGCAGAGTCGGTGCAGCTTGTAATTTGCTGAAGCCCGCGGTAGATTAGTCGTTCATGTGCAGCCCAAGTGTGGTGATTCTCCACTAGGGGGAAACTTCAGACCTCTTTGGACCATATTACCGACCGAGTCTGACCTATGAACCGCGACATTCCGTCGAAAATCCTTCTTTTCGTGCTTGGTCATCGCTCTTGGGGTAATGCGGTCCTACAAAAATCATAAAGCCCTTACAGGAACATTGAAAAGAAAGAAGCATCATCCGGGTATCAAATTTGCGCGCAAAATGCACAGCATACATACGAGTACAGTTGATGCAAGTCTCTCCGAATCCCCAAGACGAATCATCATCTCAGTCATCAAAGACAAGCACCACCCAACAGGACCAGCAAATGAACATATAGAAAGCCTCCATAAATAAATCAGATAGGAGGTGGAAGACAAAAAAGGGGAATAGTGAATGCATCCGCTTTCGACACCAAAGACAAAAACCGATTCCTGACTCCGGGTGCATCACACGATGCAAGTGTAAAATCATAGCGTGCAAGAGATTGACGTGATAGAGATATTGGCTAATGAAGTGATGAGGTTGTCGTGGTCGTGTCGCATATTTCTCTGCTGAATTCAGGTCAGAAAAGGTGATCCGTGATTGGGACCTGTTCATGTCCCCGTGGGGGGAAGTGGGGCATTTGATCATGACTTTCGGGCTTTGCCCAGCCATGTCCGCCACCATTTGCAGACTCCTAGGACTGCTGTGCGGCCGTCGTCTTTGCGCTCTGTGCCGTCTGGATTGCCCATCACCTTGGAGAAGACCCAGAAGAAAGCGGCTGTCCAGGCGAAGAGGAGAATTACAATACTCAAGAACGGCGAGAGAATCAAGACGCCTATTGAGGTACTAACTCTATAGTATCGAGTCGGTTCAGCCAGCATCGATGGCTGGTCTGAGTGGGTTTCGGAGCGTATCCATTGGGTTGAAGAGGACCGGTCTGATGTTGGTGGACGCATGCAGACGAGCCGTTCATGGATAAGGAGGGTTGGCGAGAGAAGGTCGCAGACTTGTGCTACGAAAGAGGTATTGCGGAGGTAGGGTGATAGGGAGCAGATTCGCAGAGGTGAGGAGAAGACGGCGAATATCAGGGCACAGCAGGTATAAAGACAAGCGGTGAAGGAGAAGATCGGGACAGGAACCGAGAGCCGGAACTACAAGCATTGTCAGACCAAGTGAATCTTTGCAAGATGTAGAAGAGAAACCTTACCAGCATGAGCAGCGCGTCCTGGCCCTTATCAACCGGGTTATCGTCGGGAACGCCTCGCTTTTGCGCGCGCGAAGAGCTCAACTGCTCGGCCGACATTAAGGACGGCTGGTCGGCCCAGCTGCCTCGTTCTTCTTTATGAGCGGCCCCAGATCTGGAGACAAGGATGCGGGACACCTGCGAGCTGTCGTCCACACGGGACTGGCGTCGTGATGCCTCCGGGGAGTAGGCGTGGGATCCCTGCGGGCTGGAGGATCGAGGACTAACGTCGAAGCCGGGCGTCCACTCGTCGGATGTGTGCTGTGTGTCTGGAAGACTCATATCGGGGGACCCTGACGAGTGACGAGGACGAGGGGCTAAGATCGAAGCAGGTACCGCGCCGAGGGGGTCCTGAGCCTGTTTATAGACAGGAGTATATGACATCTCCGGTGGACGCATGGCGAGTCAGAAGAGCAATAGAAGAGGGCGAGAGCCGGTGAAAGGTCGTACAGGCGCACAGAAGGCGACTAGGAGTCTATAGGGCTCGCCGCATGGTTTTCCCCGGACACGATCTGGGGATCATAAGGGGGGGAGGGGGGGGGGTGGGGTTCGAAGGGGGTGACCGAGGGTGTATTTCCACCTGGCCGAGACAGAGAGGAGGAAACCCAGGGCGGAAAGGGAATTTTATAAGGGAATCGCACGGCGGAAAGGCCAGGGAAGGCCATGGCAGCGGAGGAGGGCATCTCCTACTGTTTGCAGGCTCTTGCCAAGACGCCCAGATGCCAAGGTCTCGGCGTCGAGGGTCGCTGCCGTGCACCTTTTACCTCGTCGTAGGCTGTTATCACCCTGTGCTAACATTGCAGCCCTTTCGTAGCCCGCCTACATGATTCTCCAAGCCGATCGTCCATCGTCGCGTCCACGTTAGACAGAAGCCTGTCCCACGCTGCGCATTCGTTGTTTTACCAATCGCCAAGATGCCAAGGATCCGCATGAGCCGTGATTGAAATTGCGTCGTTTGATTGGCTCACTGATGCTAGAGCGGGTCTTGGCGATGATGTACAATGCACATCAAATGGTACTTCTTCGCACTTGCCTTGGATCATATCATCAGTATAGGACAAATCTAAACGGGGTGTACATTTCATCTTCACATCGTCAAAATCTCTGCTCATGTCTGCTCATTTCATCCCGCTTCATCGGCTTCCTATCGCCCTGATCAGCCTCGGTGTGTCGCGCCGAGCCCTGCCCAGACGCCGAGAAACAGGCCTCCATGTGTCTTTGGAGAAGAAAAAACCCTCACCCCTCTGGAGAAGCCCAATATCTATTATGTAAACCTCCACTAGTTGACGCCTAGTCAAGATGCGCTGCAGAGCTTTATTGCAGATATAAGGTTGCCAATACTGGGCAGTCCAATGCGGTCTCACATGAAATAGCATCTTGTAATCCTCCCATCGGTGTCCGTCTTGGCTTCCTCCTCTCATTCCGCTTGCCGAGGTGTTTCACGCTCTTTGCGAATCAGATGTCCTCTCGCCGGCTCAGCCTCCTTCCTGTGGTCTCGCCCTCCAGAGATCATGCCTTGGCCTGGGTGTGTTGGGTGTCTAGGCGCCTATCACTTCGACCAGATTTCCCGCGAGGCGCGCTTGGCTGAGCGGACGAGTGCAAAGTCCGCGTGGTCTAGCCCAGACCTTCCCGCTTGTTCTCTCCATCATATGAGTTTCGAGCTGATTGTCTTGCGCCCAGGATCTGCCATCTGCGGGTCGACCCAAAAATTAAGAGAAGTGCCTTCCGACCGGTCTCATTTGCTTTTTTGGGCCTCGCGTAGGAGTTCTATGATTCGGAGATTGATTGAAAGGATCGTCTGCCGATCAGCTACGGTCACGCAACCACCAAGTGTCAAGCTGTTGATGAGTCACATTAGATGTCGTCGTGGCACGCCTCCATGAAGCCCGAGACCCGTGAGAAGCCTCTTGTCATCTGAATTGACCATGGTGAGCATCCGGCGGCTGTGCTCGTGGACAAATCTGCCGATCGGATGATCACTGCATCGATTTATCATTGTGGGGGCCTCACATTGGTCCCGTCGGAGCCACTTCGGAGATCTAAAGCCTTGGACATGCTGAAAAGTGCGTCTCAAGGCTGTGTGTTGGAATCGATGATGCCTCAGGCCTAGCTACGAAGTAGGACATACAATGCAAACAACTCTTGTGGTGCGCCAAAGGCCGTCCACATGCATACTCCGCACCACCATCACCGTAGATCAACAAAGCCGCAGGAGCAATCCAAATGTGACATGGAGATGACAGACCAAGGCTACCGGCTGCATGCAAGGGATCTCTCAAAACTTTGCGCACGCACACCACCACCTTATCCTTTGGATGGATGCAAGATCAAGACCCCCTGCTTCCTGTCAGACATGCTTACCTTACTTAAATGCGAACCCTGGTGACCCCCTATAGAGCGGATGAGTGGGTGCTGCACATCTGTTTCCCAGAAGCAAGCCACTCTGTCACAGTCTCGGGCGGGTGCATGGTTAGTCGGGAACTTGTATGCGGTTCACGAAGAGTGAGTCCTTTCAAGAGTCGGTTCTACTGAAAGGGGGTAACCACGTACATTCGTTCTGCCTCGTTCCAGGATTGGACGGGCTCTAAATGCCTGGAGAATGTTGGATCGACTTGCCAGCTGCTATCTCTCCTGGGCCTCACCGCCAAGAAACAGTGTGACACCTTTCGCTCTGATCAAAGGAATGTAAACACGTCACAAAAGAATGTCAAGGAGAGTTGGGGGCCGAGCCGCCCTGAATGCTCGGAGCCCACAGAGATTGGTCGCCAAAGAGGATAAAGGCATCTGACAAGCAAGCTCATAAATTGGAAACACAAAATCCTGAAAGGCAAGGGAAATCCAGCTTGGTGAAGCGAAGATCGTCGCCCCTCCCAGCCGAAGCTAGTGACCACGAGGAACGGCTGGGGCCCGGCATTTGACCTCGCCGAAGCGATGGAAAAAGGGCAAAATGATGGATCCACTTGACATATGTATGATTCTCAGAAGCTGCATAATTTCTCTCTCTCGGTCTACCTTGTGTAGGTCTCAGCCGCACCTCATGGAGAGCAACCCGCTCGATCTGGCGATCAATGGAAAAGAAGGCGATCTACATCCTCTAGTCCTTCTTCTGTGATTCGTATGACTCGGTACTATACATCGATCGCATCCTTTTTCCTCGGCCGCTTAAGGTAAACTATATATATTTGCACAAATCACCCATGCGCGTCAACCAGGCAATCGGCATCTGACTGAAACCACGTCGAACGTAGTAGTAACATAAAAAAAAGCTCTCCAGGGCCAGATTGAATGTATCGAGAAAACCTCAAGACGAAGGAAGTCAAGGTTCATATCTCCGTTTAAAGACAGCCGTCAATCGACAATCAGAAAAAGATCAAAAGCCCGCTACTTGTAGAGATATAATAGATCAGATCGCTCCGATCCCGCGAAACTGGATTACGTTCTGATGGCTACAGGAGACACGAAACCAATGGCATTTGAGAGGTGACACAATCGATTGAAAATCCGACCGGGTGTAACCCTTCCAAGGTTATCTCCCATGCCTGCACGGTACCACTGGCGAGTGTTAGCGCGGTGGACGGGGAGCAGAGGTCATCGAGTACCGGAGGCGACTGAGAGATTGCCGGTCGGTCAATTTCTGGTTCATAAGAACAATGTTCATTGTAGTTGCCTCGATGATCATAATTTATCGCTGTGCTTCTTCTCCCCGTGGATGGAGGCTCCGCGCGTTGAGGTCTGTTATGTTCTCCTGGTCGCATCCTTGAGGGTACTCCAGTACTTGAAAATGAAAAGAGACTTGATTTTCGACCGACTTTACTCGTGCCAACGTAAGAAGAGACACGCACTGTATCTGATGGAGATTGTCTCGTTCTTTTTGTTGTGCGAGGAATCGTACATGAACCGTGCCAGACCGGACCGCAATTGCCGGATTGCCGGGGTCAGAGCTTGGTGGGACCAGCAACACGATCTCGTCTCGTCTCGGGTCATATCATCTACATCTACTTAAATAGGGAGCAAATGGGCTTGCAGGAGACCCGTGCCACCAGGATCTCCGATGTCGAACAGATCAGGGTTAGGCCGGTTGCACCGTGATACCCATAGAGGATAGTGCAAAGTCCCGCGACCCGCAGAGATGAGATGATCGTAACGGGCCTGGATCCACAGTGGACTATATGCGCGCGGCTGAGAGAACATTCCCGTATCATATTGTGAGTCGTGTCGGAATCCACTTTGCAGGGATCCGAAGGGAAACCCCCCTCCCCAAACACGGCACACGTTCAAAATTACCCTAGCGGTCGTGTAACCCCATCATTGGATTCGTCATTGCCCTGAGCACTCGAGGCCCGTTTATTGTTTCACACCAACGTTACGGCAGCGGCTCGGCTAGTCAAGCCCACGAACTCTTAGGGGAAAAACCACAAGTGGAGTTCAGATCCAGAGTCTTGCGCACGTCTGACGACCTGAAAACAAGTCAGGGAGTCCTGGAAGGAAACCGGTAATTCGGATCAGTGGGGGGGGGGGGGCAAAGAAAGTGTGGGAAGCGTAGCGGACTCGGAAGGGGGCAGTTTGTGTGCATTGTCACATTGGGCTCCACTGGGGCTAGAAAGGTATCTAGATCATCATCTCGCATCCGCTGGCATGCGGCAATGGGCTGTGGCGCTGTGGCTGAAGAGCAGTGAACAGCCGAAAAATTCAAAGTAAATTCAAATTGGCTTTTTTTCGCTTATTCCTCAACTATTATTCTCTTTGGGTTTTTATGATGCATTCTTTTTTTTTTCCCAAAGTAATAGGGCAAGAAAAAATAGATCAAACTGTGGAGGGGGAACGCTAGACCGGACACGGTAAGTGACTGGATGCGGGATCCAGGCGAATCATGACGGAAGGGGGCCACCGGCGCTAGGTTGATGGCATGTCAGGGAAACCCTGCAGGGCCAGCGAAGTACACTGACTGAATTTTATAGACAATTACGTTGTGGCATGTTCTTTTTTCTGGAATTTTGATGATCTTATACAGCGGATCGACCGGAGAATATTAAGATATCAAAAAGACCATACGATACCGATGCAAGGGAAGACGTGAGTTGGCGGTGCAGAAATGGCGGAGTGCGTCTCCAGGACGTAGACAGGGGTAGGGCAGACAAAAAGCTCAGGTGCACGGTCCAGCATGCCAGGTCTTAGCTTAGGCCCTTGACCGGGTTAGGCTAAAGTCGGAGTGGCACGGAGAACAGTCGCACTAACGTACCTTAGCAGCGACCACGGGGGGAGTCCACCCCGAGGCCCCACCCGGGCGCCACTCGGGCCCGGGGGTGTTTTGTAAGGACATATCTGGATGTGAAGGGCGGAGTAGTATATTTGAAGGCTAGTGGAACATATGAGGACCATCGCGCTTACCATTGAGGTATCAATCTCCAACATCGTCTCTCTCTGGCTTCGATGGTGCCCATAAACAGAATAGATACATGGTAATAACCGCCTCCAGATCCGGGACCCGCCACGCTAAACCGGTTTTGATTGTCAGCTTTTTTCGTGTCTGTGGTGACGGTCTTCAGCTGCACAACCACTAGCGTGGCTTGGCGAATTTCACACCTTTCCTGCCAGCCCCTCGACTCTTCTCCCCTTCTCTTTGGGCTTCACCCTTCCCTCTACGACCCATTCCCATCCTTCATCGTCTTTCTCTTTTTTCTTCTAATTTTTTTTTCCCCCTTGGCCACCGTGTCCGTCTTCGTGTCCGACATACTACCACTATCTTCCCCACACGCGCCTCTCTTTTCTCCTACTATCTCCTCCCCAGGAGAGGCGCAAATTTCCCATCCAATCCCGCCAATCCCATAGTATCCACTATCATCGTCGGGGTCGCGTTTCACACCTTCCGTACTGCTTCCGACGAGTTTCAATCGACGGCGAGGACTATTAGTGATCGGTCCGTGGTCGTCTCCGCGTGTCTGGTCGCCTCGGTAGATTGCATCATCGTGTCGCAAACCCGGTTGACCTTGGGTCGCGACACTAATCATCGCGGCTTCTCGTCTTAATACGACGAGTCGTGAAATAATGTCCCATACTCAGCCTTCGCCTACCGCTGTGGTTGGCCCCCACCACATGGCGGCCGCGCATCCCGCCGCGCACCCTCAGGTCAATGGCCACATGCCCGCCATCCCAGCGCAAGCTCAGAAGGGAGTCCCAATGACCACCGCCCAGAAGATTGCCACGTTGAATGAGCAGGTCTGGCTCTCAATCGGTAAGGATGCCATGTTGACATTTATCAGATCGAAATACTGACTGTTCGCCTCGAAGGGAGCTTAACCGAACTGATGGGAGACCTCGATGGCGCCATGACTTCTTACGAGCAAGCTCTGCGCCACAACCAATGGTCTATCCCCGCTATGAATGCGATCTCCTGCATCCTTCGCACCAAGGAGCTATTCCCCAAAGCGATCGAGTACCTCCAAAATATCCTCAAGTTGGATCCCACCAATGGAGAGACCTGGGGCAGCCTGGGTCACTGCCATCTGATGATGGACAACCTGCAGGAGGCCTACACATCCTATCAGCAGGCCTTGTATCACCTGCGCGACCCGAAAGAACCGAAGCTGTGGTACGGAATCGGAATACTGTATGATCGCTACGGATCTCTCGATCATGCCGAGGAGGCTTTCTCCCAGGTTATGCGCATGGCTCCCGAATTCGAAAAGGCCAATGAAATCTATTTCCGCCTCGGTATCATATACAAGCAGCAGCAAAAATTCCAGCAGAGTTTGGAATGTTTCAAATTCATTGTCAACGAGCCCCCCTCGTCCCTTGACCGAGGAGGATATTTGGTTCCAGATTGGCCACGTTCACGAGCAGCAGAAGGACTTTGAGTCCGCTCAGGCTGCTTACCGCCGTGTTCTCGACCGGGATCCCAATCATGCCAAGGTACTTCAGCAGCTGGGATGGCTCTACCACCAGCAGAGCAACAGCTACGCCAGCCAGGACAAGGCCATTGAGTTTCTGGAGAAGTCCGTCAGTGCAGGTAAGCTTCTGTATCAAAACGCCACACAAAAGCTTGATGATCTAATCTTTCTCTTCTCCCCCAGACAACAACGATTCTCAGAGCTGGTATCTTCTCGGTCGCTGTTACATGTCGCAGGCCAAGTACCCCAAAGCCTACGAAGCTTATCAGCAGGCCGTCTACCGGGACGGTCGCAACCCCACATTCTGGTGCTCGATCGGAGTTCTTTACTACCAGATCAACCAGTATCGCGATGCGCTCGATGCCTACTCTCGAGCGATTCGCCTGAACCCTTACATATCCGAAGTTTGGTATGATCTGGGTACTTTGTACGAATCTTGTAACAACCAGATCGCCGACGCTCTCGATGCCTATGGACGCGCAGCGGACCTTGATCCGACCAATGTCCACATCAAGGCTCGTCTGCAGCTGCTCCAGAGTCAACTGTCAGGCTCTGGCCAGCAAGGTAATGCCCCGGCACCTCAGCCGCAGGATGTCCATCCTCAAGCCTACCAGGCACCAGGTGTGGGTGCTCCCCCAGCTCCTCAATGGGGTGCTCCCGCGCCAGTTGGTCCGACTCCCCAGGCACCCGCTCCGCCTCGACAGATCGCAGATTGGAACCGTGGTATCAATGACATCCAGTCGCAGCCGTCCGTTCCACCGGCCAACGGTGTTGAGCCGCGCGACGCCGTCCGCGCTCCTGGCGCTCCTCCGCAAACCAGCCCTCGTCAAGAGCCTGGTCGGGCCTTCCCTGATCCCCGCGGTGGCGCTCCTCCTCGTTCACCCAAGATGGGTGGCCCAGGGGCTTACCCGCCCGCCCACACTTTGCCCCAGCTGGGAAACGCGCCGTCCTCTAGTCATGAACGTGCTTCCAGTGGTAGCTTCGGCCGAGCGGGACCTCTTCCGCCTGCTCCTGGTGGCGCCCCCGCCCCCGCTCCTGCTGGTCCTAACGGCGGTCCGGCTAGCAGTGGTGCTGCTCCCTACCACCGTCCGTTCACTCCTCCCACTGAGATTCGGCCCATCCGCGATGAGCGACCTTCCTCTCCTGGCTCGACTTACCCCCACCAACAGTACCACCACGGCCCTAGCGCGCCTACTCCAGGTGGTAACTCCACTGGCATCGCATCGGGCGCGCCTGCACCCGCCGCGGCGGCGGCAGCTGCTGAGGCCGCTGCCCGTGAGCGTGGTGAGGATCGCCCCACCTCTGCGATGAAGCGTGGCCGTGAATGGGAGAGCGAGGGTCCTGTGAAGAAGCAGGCCAACGACGAGAACCGAGCACGAATGGACGACCAGAGTGCCCGCCGTGTCAGCCCCCCTGCCCGCTTGCCGTCTCCTGGTGAGATGCAGCGACGCAGCTCCTCGGAGGCCCGCCGTGAGGATGCCCGTCGGGCCAACGACAACTACCACCCTTCAGAGGCCGCTCATCATCCCCCCTACTCTCCCGTCTATCCAGAACATGCCACCCCACTCCTCCACGGGACCTAGTCTTCCTCCCATGGCGGAAGGCTCCGCTCCTCCGTCAAATGGACCTCCTTCAGCTCCTCCTTCGGCCAACACTCCGGTCAAGGAAGAAGCTCCTCGCCCCGAAGCGCCTTCTTCCCACGAGCCTCCGGCCCGGAAGATGGATGTCGATGAGGATTATGATGATGAGCCCGACGAGGAAAAGAAGGCTGGTGCCGCGGCAAAGGGTAGTCCCAACGGTAATAGCACCGAATCGGCCAATGGCAACGGAGTTGCCAGCAATGGTCGCCAGGGTACGCCTTCGAAGACTGAGTCTTCAGCGTAAAAAAAGAAAAAATCCTTGGGTCACTATGCAATGAACCTCTATCTTCTCGGCATCGCCTTCGAGCCACTCTTCTCCTCTGTTCTTTCTATCTCTCCCATTGCGTGATGTACGGTATGAATGTGTCAGTTACGTTGGTCTGCTCCGGCTAGCCCGAGGCCCCTGGAGAGGTCCTGTATTCGTTCTCTTTCTGCTGTGTTATGATTTCCTCGCTTTCATTTCCCTGTGACTTTTTTTCGATGCACTAGGCATCTCTGATAGCCCAATTCAGCCCTTCATTGAAGATCTAAGTCCCAAAGCGGTAAACAGTAGAATTGACGCCCCTCATGGCCAGTCCCTCACCATTATCAAATCTGGAAACCAACACTGATAGCTTTGATAATAAGTCGGGTACATGTTGCGTCTTCATGCGATACGTTCTTACAAAGTATAAGAGGAAGCAATGCTACTCGCCCCATCAGGGCTAAGGTCCATGACCCACTTCAAACGCAAAATTCAATTCGAGGTTACTAATTAGTCACATGACCATCTACACCCCGATTAGGAATAGGTCTCGCTTAGAATCACAGCCCACACTAAATCGAATCCCATCCTCCAACTTTCACCACTTCGACGACTAACGACAACACAGGGTCAAGATGTGAGTCGCCCTTTGATATAAGGTCATATCATACTCCCGCAATACAATTGCTGACTTGAATTCCCTCAACAGGAGTCACCGGAAGTTCGAAGCGCCTCGCCACGGTTCGTGATACACTTTTTCACCTTCGAGGTCAAAATTCGACAATCATTGTGCAGTATACTGATTTTTTTCTTGACAGGCTCCCTGGCCTACCTGCCGCGCAAGCGCGCTGCCCGCCACCGCGGTAAGGTTAAGTCGTGAGTGTTCCCTCCCTGATACTCGAAATCAAAGAAAAAAAATTTCGTGCGCAGACCTGGACCTGGTATACTGAGACTCAATTTGCGCACAGCTTCCCCAAGGATGACCCCAAGAAGCCCGTCCACCTGACTGCCACCATGGGCTACAAGGCTGGTATGACCACCATCGTCCGTGACCTCGACCGTCCCGGTGCCAAGATGCACAAGAAGGAGGTTGTTGAGGCCGCCACCGTCATCGAGACCCCCCCTCTGGTTGCCGTTGGTGTCGTTGGCTACATCGAGACCCCCCGTGGTCTCCGCTCCCTCACTACCGTCTGGGCTGAGCACTTGAGCGACGAGGTCAAGCGTCGCTTCTACAAGAACTGGTACAAGTCCAAGAAGAAGGCTTTCACCAAGTACGCCAAGCAGCACGCCGAGAACAGCGGTGCCTCCGTCACCCGCGAGCTCGAGCGCATCAAGAAGTACTGCACTGTCGTCCGTGTCCTCGCCCACACCCAGATCCGCAAGACCCCCATCAAGCAGAAGAAGGCCCACCTTATGGAGATCCAGATCAACGGTGGCCAGGTCGCCGACAAGGTTGACTTCGCCCGCAACCTCTTCGAGAAGACCATCGATATCGACTCCATCTTCGAGAAGGACGAGATGATTGATGTCATCGCCGTCACCAAGGGTCACGGTTTCTCCGGTGTTACCGCCCGTTGGGGTACCACCAAGCTTCCCCGTAAGACTCACAAGGGTCTGCGCAAGGTTGCCTGTATTGGTGCCTGGCACCCTAACCACGTCCAGTGGACTGTTGCCCGTGCCGGTCAGATGGGTTACCACCACCGTACCTCTTGCAACCACAAGGTCTTCCGCATCGGAAAGGCCGGCGATGAGGGCTCCGCCTCCACCGAGTTCGACATCTCCAAGAAGCAGATCACTCCGTACGTCCCCTTTATCTCTATTCTCTTTGTAAGAAGAAAAGTCCAACAACTAACCAATAAACAGTCTTGGTGGCTTCGTCCACTACGGTGAGGTCAAGAACGACTGGATCCTGCTCAAGGGTGCCGTCCCTGGTGTCAAGAAGCGCGTCATGACTCTGCGCAAGACCCTCTACCCCCAGACCAGCCGCCGTGCTCTCGAGAAGATCGACCTCAAGTGGATCGATACTTCCTCCAAGTTCGGTCACGGTGCCTTCCAGACCGCCGAGGAGAAGAAGGCCTTCATTGGTACTCTCAAGAAGGACCTTGTCCAGACTGTTTAAGGTGTTTCAAGCTATGGTTGGTGATAGGTGCACGTATTTCAAGTTCAATAAAAAAGCGGACAATACCTTTTATGAGCGGTAGCTATTGTAATACTGCGTAGGCGTGTAGAGCTCATGTAAATCATAATCTCCAACTTTGCACAATTGGAAAGTTTGAACTTCTATTTACTCCACGTTGGCATTATGTCTCAACTGTTCTCGGAAGCTATGTTATGCACACTAAATGTATACTCGTGGACCTCCAGTCTCAAGCATCTGTCAAGTTACATGAGTAAGGCCTTTGGTAAGTTTCGCAAGATTCAAAGGTGTCAGATAATAAAAATTCGGTTCAAGAACTGTGTGATGCTCCAAGTATATTCTGGCGGGATTGTCGTAATGCACAGATAGACTTATTTACATTTCTGTCCGCCTGCTGCTAAATATATTCCAGTCCTGCAAATTCTTCAAACTGACATATTTCCGGATGTTTTTCGAGTTAGCTGTGGAACAAACACTCTTTGACCTTGACTCTGGAATACCCTGGTCCAGATCTCCTTGACAAACGTTGTTACTCCGCCACAAATTGAGGTGCACAGGATGCAACCGTCAAACAGGCTCCATTGCGTCATCTCTCAAGCCAACGCTTTCGCACACTGTCCACGCCCAACCACCTACGCTTCCATTACACGATCGCAGATTTCGTTTCCGATTAAGCACTTATTGAACACAGATTCACCTAGACAGCTGGTAGTCGCGCAGACAATCTCCCGATTCCCCGCAACATCAAGCTACCACCGAGCTACAGCAGCCCGCTATTCTCGCGCACCCTTCTCTACAACCCCCACCATTATGTCCGACGACGCCTACTCGTCCTTCCTGGACAAAGCGAACTCAGACCTTAACGCCGGCCGCAGTCAGCAAGGAGGCGGCACCGCCCGCACCGAGACTGTCCACACGAACGTGAAAGTGCCCGCGCCCCTACAGTCCGTCGACGCATACTACATTTCTGACACCGACGAGCCCTTCGAGCCCGTCGCATTCAAATGGGAAGGAGCTAGCAAGGGGAAATGGCCGAGTGCCGGTACGTTCAGCATCGCAGTGTTTCACCGTCCTACGTGCCCGCACCTTGCAGGCTGTGGGAGTTAAGGACACATCCACGCCCTTGATGGCGTGCCTTGAGAAAATTCGAAATGGATCTACTAACACGCCTTGATAGACCAGTTCTCTTCCTTGATCTCGCCGTCGGCTGACCTGTCCGGTTCGATCGAGACCCTTTCGGCGTCCTCCTTCGATCCGAAGAACCAGTATGCATCTGCCCTGCGTGCTGTGCGTGCTGCTGCTGTCGAGGGGGATTCCGGTGCCGATCAATCTGCTGTTGATCTCAAGGTTTATCGCGTGGAGTTGAGCAGCACCAAAGTCGAGTACTGGGTTCTGGCACTCGAGCCGGCCGAGGGGAGGTTGGTGGGACTGCGGGCTAAGTCTGTTGAGTCGTAGACTACCTTGCCTGCGGAATTAGGCTTGATGTAGTATGATTGATTTAGTTTAGCATTATCACCAGTAAATGGATATTCACGATTCAGATCTACAGGTCTAGCAGTTTGGAGCACAGGAAAGCTTAGTTTCGCGTCCGCGTGGACCTCCCATGAAAGTCGGAATAGTCTTTTTTTTTTCTTATCCTTGGAAACATGAACTGCAGTAGAGATGAGCATCCATAGAAGAGCTGATCCTCACAGCTTCTGTCGGGGTTTGTGACATTCCTAGCTGGCTTTGGCCGGAGTGAATTACGCGTGTTCGGGAATGGTCGCTCTTGAGCTTGGAAAATATCGCAACTGGAGTAGCCGTTGCTAGGAATACGAGGAGCTTCAAGACGTGTAAGCAGAAAGAATCGCATATGAATGCTAGATGGCTGCCGGTCTCAGCAAAATGATCTCAATACGTGGGTGAGAAATAAACTAAGGGCGGACTTGACGGCACATCGCCTCGTTAAACCTTGCAACTTTCTATACTCGAGATTCCTGTCATTGTCATTGGACTGGACCACCTTCGCTCGCTACAGCAAGATCCTGAAGAGCCAAGATGCTGATCTCAGATTCCTGTTCAGCATTCATGCCCACTCATTCCTCGCTCGCCGGGGGCAACGCGGAATGCACCTTGCCCTGCGGCCCTGCGGCCTCAAGAGCCGTGTACAACGATAGCACCATCAATTAGAACCTTCACAATGGATGAAAAGCTCTGCGAGAAAACATTTCTCGATTCCATTACTTCCTCTTTCTCCCTCAAAACTAATAAACTATCACAGAACGGTTCCTAGGCATCGAACCTCACCTGAAGGTCGGAACACATACCGCGGGTTGCCCCCCTGGTACAGTTTCCATTCCTGTCCCCCTCGTGCCCCCAAACAATCATCCAGGAGCAATCTAGGCTCTGCTTTTCTTCTGGTGTCGTCGTGTTTCCTTCATCTCCTCAGATCTTTACGCTGTGTTTTCGCCTGCTGCGCCCAGGGACACTGGACACGATTCCAAGTAGTCCTGTCCACTCTTTCGCATCTCCTCCACTCGACGACCGTGAAATCTAGCGTCCGTTCGGTCATTACCGCGTTGGATTTCGTGCGAAAGGGAAGAATTCGACCTGGGAAGGATACCGACTGGATATCAGCAAAGAACCACCTCACGCCAGCATAGGGCTTCATGCCATAGAATCGACAAACTGGATTCCTCGGACTCGAAGAACTTCTCCAGGCCACTCTCTTTTGAGCCTCTCGATGACCGCCGAGGCTCAAAGGAAGTGGTCCTGGAGGACATCTCTCAGATCTCGGATCACGAAGAAGATTCCCCAAGGGACGAGATGCCTCATATCCGACTGAACTCAGGTTGTCAGGACCCGTTCACTGAGACGACCGAGGGTTACGTTCCCGTGGGTACTGACCATACGACGCACATGCCATTGACGCCGGCCTTGGACATACCAGTCGTAGTTGGTGCACAGGGTATGTCCCCGTATGGGGTGTCTCAAGCTCCAGAGTCCTCAGAGTTTTTACTTCCGCCTAAGCTTCGACCTACACCAAGTCATAATGACCGGTCTGGATCACCGGATCGATGGTCCAACGCGCGGTCGAGCGTGAGCTCGGCAAGTCGGGACAGCAGATCTCGCATGGATCCTTTCGAAGATTCACGGGCTCCTTCGTCCCGTTCTGGCAGCGACGAATACGATGTCAACACACAGACGGTCTCAGAAAAGTTTAATATTATGCCCACTGATGGTCTTTTGCTTTTCCCCGAGGATGTGGAAAAAGATGATTACCTGCACAACCCAGACCCAGCGGACCGGGAGGGAGATTGTGATATATGGAACCGCCGAGGAATGATGAATGTCGGTGGTCTGATTGTTTTGACACTGGGTCTGTTGGCTCTCTTCATTGGGTACCCCGTTATGTATGATCCCCAGTTAAAAGTGGTGAATTCAGTACTGACAGATCGGGTAGAACTTGGGTGGGGGGTATGCTCAACCATAAGGCTACCTGTCGACCTGGCGACATGGCTTGTCTGGACGTTGGACCTCGGCCTTTGCTCACCAATATTCGCCGTGGCTTGATCGATCCCGATACACCTCTGGATGCGATGACGAAAAAGAACGTCGATGGCAAGGAGTGGAAGCTTGTGGTTAGTTCTTCTCGACTGAAGATTAAAATATCCATCTGACTTTGAGCAGTTCTCCGATGAGTTCAATGAACCAGGACGCACATTTTATGACGGCGACGATCCGTTCTTCCAAGCGGTCGATTTGTGGTATGGTGTGACCATGGACAAGGAGGTTCGTACAGCTGCGAGGAATGAACTGGATCACCACTAACTTAGTACAGTGGTACGATCCCGATGCTGTTACAACGAGTGAGGGTACTTTGGTCATCCGCTTCGACGAATTTGAGAACCACGATCTTCAATACCGATCTGGCATGGTTCAGAGCTGGAATAAGCTGTGCTTCAAGGGCGGTCGTCTGGAGGCTTCTCTCTCACTTCCTGGTGATGGTCATATCCAAGGTTTCTGGCCTGGTTTCTGGGCCATGGGTAACCTTGCTCGCCCTGGTTACGCTGCAACCACCGATGGTCTATGGCCGTACAGTTACCACGACGGCTGCGACGCAGGAATTACACCTAACCAAAGCTCCCCCGATGGAATCAACTTCTTGCCTGGCATGCGTCTTCCAGGCTGCACATGTCCAGGATCCGATCATCCCAGCCCTGGTCGCGCACGCAGTGCTCCGGAAATCGATGTGATCGAAGGAAGCACACAGCCACTCAACGGGCAAGAAGGCGCCCCCTACATTGGCATTGCCTCGCAATCTATGCAAGCCGCCCCCTATGACTTATGGTACATGCCCGACTATGACTTCACCGCTGTCTACGACCCTCGTATCACTCAGATCAATGCCTACCGTGGTGGAGTATACCAACAAGCCATGTCCGGCCTAAGCAATCTCAACTCTCGCTGGTACAACGGCACCGAGTACCAGATTTACGCCTTTGAATACACACCCGGCGATAAAGGCAATGTTACCTGGTTTATCGGCCCCGACAAGACCTGGACCCTCGACGCCCGCGCGATCGGCCCGAACGGTAATATTGGCCAGCGCGTGATTCCGCTGGAGCCCATGTCAATGATCATGAACTTGGGTATGGCCGACAACTTTGCTCCCCAGAACAAGTCCATCCGCGCATATATGCCTGCGTTCCTCCATGTCGACTATGTCCGTATCTATCAGGATCCCGATGAAGTGAGCATCACTTGTGATCCACCCGGATGGGAGACGACTGAGTATATTGAGAAACACAAAAAGGCGTACGACAACGCAAACTTCACGACTTGGTATGTAATCTTTCTATCCTGATCCCTTTTGAGCAAGTGCTAAGTGCTAGTTATCAACAGGACGGATGCTGGATATCACTGGCCGGATAACAGTTACATGCACGGCTGTTCAAAATAGGCTGTCTTGAGTTTGTTCCGGCGTCGTTTTAGCGGCATCTTCTTTTGGCGTTGGTGGTTAGGCATTTATTCCTGTGTCGACTCGATACCTACTTTTAAATCGTATTTATTCTCTGCTTCTGAACTGTTCCAGGTTTCGTTATTGTAGGGTTGCTTCTCTTTGGTGTCTATTTTCGCTATTTAGCATGCTGGTAAGTGAATGCGTACAGCCCGACCAAGGAGATACTTTGAAAGGAGCCTCAGGAGGCGGCGATAACTTAATAGTCCGGTAAGGATAGAAATGGGGCCTAGGAAAATGTCTATAAGTGTGTCTCCGAAGAGATTCAGCAGGAGTAGCGAAAAGCAAGTGGTTCAAACTCATTTGCATCATCTTGGCCAGGTTGTTGATTTCAGATGTTGAACGTCGGCCGCAGGGCTTCTCCCCCCTCCGAAACATTTGGAATTTCCTCGAAGACTCAACAGAAGTAGGTTTCGTTCCCATTTTACTCCTAGTCCATGTCTCCTGTCTGCCCTCCTGGTTTTGAAACCTTCCATAGACTTGCACATTTCCCCAGGCCTCGACCGTGTTGAGGCTTAGCTGACTCAGCACATCCCCTCCACCGACTTCAACATTACCACACTCCTCTGAAGCCTGTCTCGTCGTTTACGGTATTCAAGTCTGTACTCGAAAAGTATTCCGGCGATAACGAGATCTAGTAAGAAAACACCAATTTTACTCCGAATAGCCAGACTCACTATATTTGTAGAATCAGCTCGCACCATCCCGCTCTCAGCGTAACAAACTGAGCATCAACGTGGAGAGAGAGAGAGAGAGCAGGCCAACTCTCGTCTGCTCGGCTTTCAAGCCTCTTCGATAAACATCTAATCAAAAATCTGCCAAAATAAAAAGCATACTAAATGCTCTTGTTGCAATCTCTCCCGCAACTCTCAAGCTCAACCATCCCATGCGACCCTCCGCTATCTACGTGCTTCAACTAGATACGCATCTTTCGTCTTTCGCCCTATATTGAAATACCAGTACCATGTCACGCTACGGCAACACAGATGGTGCACACCAGACACCCGCCATCCAAATAGACACAGACACAGACTCAAGCTCAGACCCAGGCGAGGTCTTACACGAACTCGACTCCGACTCTGATGGCGGCATGCAAATCGACCAGCCCGAACCCATCCTCCAGATCGCCGGTAGCGAGATTGAATTTGATGCCCAGGTCATGGGCCTAGAGGGAGATGGTGCGTTTTCATCTATCATTGATACAATTCACCTTCACCTTCACAGTCACGTCCACGTTCACATGGGACATTTCACGTTCTTTGGAACTCGACTTAGACATGTCCCCCCCCCTTATAGGTAATAGCTAACATACCCAGAATCAAACTTCACAACACACGCCCCGAATCCAGATTCCATCTCTATCTCCCCTCGTCCAGCAGGCCACAGGCCAAGAGAGATCTACCCACCTGCGCGTAAACGCATCCGAGAAGAAGACCACGCCGCTCTAGTCGTTTTAAACGACTGGGAATTACTCGTCACGTACGCTATAAATTCTCGCCGGGTACGTATCTATCCTCACTTCCCATTCTCATCCATTATCCATTCACGAATTACCATCCACGCGGAGCTCTAGAAAAGCCAAAATTACTAATCCAAAAGTGGGAAAAAAAAAACCAGACCATCCCACAAACCCGCCGCTTCTTTATGGCGAAATTAATCGCCGAAGACCAAGAATCCGAAGACGAGCTGTATGCAGCGCGGTTTGTTGTTCCTGAAGCGAAATCGGAGCTTTTATCTGCGGTTTCGGCGGGGAGGGTTCCGCCGATTCATGCGCTTGGGGATTTAAATGAGAATGCGTTTTTGGTGCCGGGGGCTTGGAAGGAGGTTTTGAGTCATGATCAGAGTGGGTGGTGGGCTGGAGCGAGGAGGTCTGGCGCTGGATCTGGGGCTGGAGTGCGGGGGCAGAAGAGGTCTGTTTCTGGGAGGAGTTCGGGGGAGAAGCTCGAGAGATGTGTCGAGGGAGGGGTCCGGGGTGGAGTGAAGCGTTCTTCTTGGGGATGGGTAGCTGGTGCATTAGGAGGCCGGGGGTTTGTTATACCGATTTAGGACTGTAATGTTCGAGAGGATTGTTTATGTGAATAAGAAGAGAAAAAAAAGAATCAAGAATCAAGAACCAAGAATGAATGTATGCTCGCTAACTCAAAGGTACTGTACAGAAGACCAGATCCAGACTGAGACGGGAGAGACCAATATAGGAGATAAGAGTGAGAAACGGGGTATCTGGAGGGTTGAGAGCCAAGGGGAATGAATGGCTTTTTTTTTTCCTGAAAGGCGTGAAAATGAGTTCGTCTCTCCCAATCCGAGGCAGGTTTCCATCCCAAGATGTTGACCAAGCCATGCGTCGTAGGTAGATGCATCGGGGGCCAACAAAGAGCTAAGGAGATCACGGAGTCTGTGCAAAGCAAGATCCGGAGAAAGATGGTGTTCAGACATCTTCATCTCTCCAGAGCTGCTGCTCCCTGTGGAAAAGACTCTCGGCGTCTCCCACCTGCTTACGTTCCGAGACTTCCCGAGTGCGAAGACGCGTGCGGAGAGCCTGGACGTTCATGAGCGTCAGTCCTCGAGACGGCGCGGGTGTGGAATCCGGCCCAATGTAGTCAGGGTGCAGGCGGTGCGAGGTGGTGAACCGAACCCGGCCGTCCCTCATGACGGGTAATTGTCATTGCAGGGGCTCGGAGCTTGACGACAAACGATTGAGATGGAGGTAAACATCGGTTCCGTATCTATTATTTTCAGTTAATTGGGGGCGGTCGAAAGAGTGTCTAAGATGTTACGGTTTGCTTACCCCTCCATACTGATCAGTTTAAGATCTCCGCCGAAGTAGCGGGCGTAGAGTCGACTGATCGGTAGACCGTAGCCGAAACCAGCCATGGGGGCCTTGAAGTCGCTCTTGTCAAAGTCCGGGTCGAGGTTGGGCGTCTGCTCCACTGTTGTATACATGTAGGTCCACACGAGGGGGATCGCGGATCGTGGGATCCCGCCGCCCTCATCCGAAATTTTGATCGTAATGTCCTCTTTACCCTTGGCCACGATAACCTTGGTCACCGGGAATTGATCGCGATCGGCACCATGGCGCTCAACCACGGCCCGCAGAGAGTTCTTGAGGGTCTCGAAGAGCATGTGGGATAGGTGACCGGGGACATACATGAAGTTCAGGTCCTCTTCGCAGACCAGCTGCACCTTGGGGGCCTCAAACAGACCGTAGTAGTCCTCGCAAACGAACCGGGCGTTTTCAATAGCTTCCACGGCGATATCATGAACGTTGGTCTTGGTGCAGATGATACCGACATAGTTGGGGTGTCTGGCGTTTGTTTGTTCCGTGAGTGCAATGTGCTGTCCGATTAACATTCGTATACCAATACGAGACATATAAAAGCGGTCAAGGAAAGATTGTATGGTCGAGTCGATCTGCATGCGCTGGCGGACCCGCTTCCATTCTAGTATGCCTTGTGCTACGGTCGTTACGACACTGTCGTGACGTCGCTTGATATGTTGGAGAGTCGTGGCGAATCGCTGGTTGTAATCGTTGAGTTCCGGGGGCCAAATTGCGTGATCGTCTGCGGGGAGATAATATCTCCGACCGGCTGCGGCAGCCGCCTTCCCATTGCCGTTGCCGTTGAGCGATGTCGGCGATGATCGGTACTGGCCCTCACGCACACTGGGGTTGTGAGTAGCCTCGGAGAGAATTTTGGAGGGGCCATTCATACGACCCGGCCGCAATAGACGAGTCTTGACTTCCTGGGTCAGGGAAGGGCGGGGGAGGGTAATGATCTCCTATAAGGGTCCCCGTGAGTCACACCACTCGATCCCGACATTGCAGCGAGCGGAAGCATACCTCAAATGATTGCGCATACCAGTCCTGGACCTTCTTGATGGAAGGCATGTCGCTGAGTCCATCGGGCAGTTCGCGCAGATCCTGGACTCGATGCGCTAGACGGATGGGGAGCTCCTCGGAGAGGAATTGGGATGCACGGAAGAGGGTACCTATGATTGCGTTAGACGAACGCCGAGATAGGCCGTGGTCCTGTGGCACAGCGATCTCGCATGAGGCCAGAAGCCAGAAACCAGAAGCCAGGAGTCCGAATCGTACGTACCGGTGGAAGGTCGATCTCCAAACTGGACCATTTGTCTTAATGAAACCCCGGTTGCGGGGAAGCTGGCATAGTGCCTGATGGTTTCCATCAGGCGCTCCGACGGCTTCCACATGGTGCAACAAAAGAGGCCAACAGGCCGATAGCTCAGTGGAAAATGAAGTCCGAGGGGGGTTGGGAAGGGGAGCCGGGGGGGAGGGGAGGAAAAGAAGAGGTGTCGCGTGCGAGAGGAGATGAGGTCAAGTCGGGGAGAATGGCACTGCCGAGGTTGGAGAGAACCGGCGCCCGCACCTTCCGGAGTCGGAGGAAACGTATTACCACCACAAATAGACTTAGATTTAGACTTAGCCTTAGATCAAGACTTCGACTGAGGCTTGAGCTCTAGGACTTAAGAGGATCGGGTATAGATGTAAATTGTTCGAGCCTGTTTCTGATTTCAGTCTCGGCTTCAATTGCCATGAGTCACAGACAATGAGCTGGGAAATAAGATCTTCCGAGTTGGACATGGTTAGATAGTACTGAGTGTTGGATCATAAGATACACATTCCTTCACGCCGGAGGAGCAACCCGATCCGAGATTTCGTCCCTAGCTTCAATTCCCCGAGTCACACCCCCCTTCAAAGCCTTGAAACCTTTTTGAACTCTTTACACCTCTTTGACCCCCGAACCCATTTTAACCCATCCTAGCTTGTATCGCGCATGTGTCACCTACACCCCCGGATCTCCCCTTCGCCCGAATGGTGGGGCGATCATGGAAAAGAACGGTACTTTTGTCCCACGAGACCATCACATCCACGAAGACCGAAGTCATTTAAAAAAAAAAAAAACCTAAGAAAAGATCAAGTAGGGCATAAGCTAAGTAGCTCTTACCTGTCAAGTTCATGACACTATAGACAACCTCCCCACTCCCCCTCGAGATGCCCGATTCGTCGGTCATACTCTCGTGAAGCCCGTGGGGACTCAAGATTCCCCAATCTGGGGCTTTGTGCCTGTTGTTTTGCGTAGTCGGCGGTGGGACCTCGCTTCGTTTTCTGTGTGCGGGAAAAAGAATTCCCCTTTTAACCCATTCAATGAGGCCATCTTTTGACCATGTCTCGTCGTCGAACATCTCACAGCGAGCCCATGAATGAGGCCCCGGCCTATCCATTCACGCCCTTTGCCCCCCCCGCGAGGGCCCATCGAAGGTCCCAATGGCCGCCGCCTCATTCGCCGCGTCACTTGGCGCTCGTCGACCTACAAGTTGATGGCCTCGTTATGGGTCCTCGGTGTCCTCTACATCCTCTGGTTGATTCGTGACCTTTTCTACCTCCCTTTCACCCCGTCCGAGCTGAGCCCGACCGCCGAAGAGTGAACGCTGAACGCGAAACGGGGAGATGGTGAGACGGCGAGAAGGTGAAATCGCCGTGATCGCGTGTCTGGTCTCCTCGGTCGCTTTCAAAGCACGGGCACTTGCATCGTGGGCCGCATCAAGGTGCCTATACTCGACTTCCGGACCGGGGCTACGGGGGTTTACGGGTACGGCGTGCGGCGTGCGGCGTGCGGCAATGTGTCGACATCGTGAACGCATTGCCCCCTCACCCGCAGTGTGCTTTTCGACTGCATCCCGCGTGAGATAGACACCGGCACGTTCCCTTGAGAAGTCGGCTTCTTCCTGCATCCTGCGTGCGTCCTGCATTCACCCACGTCACGCCCATGGCACCGACACGTTCGAGGGCGTTGATCTACAAGAACTCGATTCTTCGTTTCGAGTAAAGAGTTGGTTTTTTTTTTTTCTCGTTCGCTGGCGCATTCAAAGGCCCCCTTCCCGCCCCCTTCCCCCCCTCGTGGATTCAGTTGCCGACAGTTTTTCCATTGCACGCAGCGCTGGTCACTTCAATCCATTTACATACATTTGCATTACCCGGGCATTTTCATTTTACATTTCTTGTCATTTTTCATTTTCCACTTTCATTGCCATCTCATCTTTTCTCTGTTCTTTTTATCTCATCCATCTTTTTCATCAGCGATTATTGCTCCTTATCATCTTCATGATCTCCATGTCTCCCTTTCCTACCGTGCATACTTTCAAAGTTAGAATGGGTTCGAGGTTGGTTTCTGATGTGTCCACGACCTATACCCTAATCGATAATGGCAGCCGGTCAAAAGAGTCACAAGTAATAAAGGTATAGATCTCATTTCATAGCTCGTAGCTTCACATATACACTCAGCTCCAGGGTCCCTGGTCGATGGTACGATCGGGGACAGACCGTCTTTTTATTTTGAACATCCGAGATGTCCTGGATCACCACATTTCATTCACGCCCCACACGCTTAGACGTACAAGGAAGCGGTCTCGGCCTTGGCAATGCTCGAGGCGTAAGGCTTGAGTGCGGCAGCAACCTCGGTAGTCGTGAACTTTTGAACCTGCTGGGGGGCGCGGCCGACAAAGGTACGGGCGTCGAGAAGGCTCTCCAGCTCCGGGATGATGGGCTCGAAGAAGGCGGTGCGGCGGATGCGCTCAAGCAGGTCGTTGTCCTTGCCCTGCTTCTTGACGTTGTCGGCGGCCTGGTGGGAAAGGACACCTATAGACACAGATGGTTAGATAGGTCTCAAACGGTGTAGAGGACTGTCACTCACGGATCTCCTCGTGAGCATCTTGACGAGAAAGACCCTTCTTGACACAAGCCATGATGATCTGAAAGAGTTAGCATTGCAAGTGGATATTGTAGCGTATCAAATTTCTCACGTTCTCACTAGTATGATGTTAGTCAATCCCTTGCATTGGAAGATACGGAGATCACTTACGTAGCCATGAAGGGGAGCTCGTCGTTGACACGGCGCTTGATCACCTCGGGGTAGACGACGAAGCCGGAGGAAACGTTGTCTGCAAATGTTAGAGATTATCACGTCAATCAATAATTACTACACTCACTCAGGAGGATAAGACAGGCATCAGCACACAGGTAGAGCTCAGGAATGCTGATACGACGAATAGCGCTGTCATCCAAAGAACGCTCGAACCATTGGGCGGAGTAGGTGTCCAGACCGTCCTTGGGGAGGTTCTGCAGGTGACGGCCGAGAGAACAGAGACGCTCAGAGCGCATGGGGTTACGCTTGTAGGCCTACATATTGTTAGATATTTGCCCAAAATCAATAATTCGATATTGCGTACCATAGCACTGCTGCCAATCTGGTCCTTCTCAAAAGGCTCCTCGACCTCCTTGAGCATGGCAAGGTGACGAATGTCAATACCAATGCGCTCGCAGGTAGCACCGAATGAGCCCAGAGCGTTGCCTACGTCCACATCGATCTTGCGCGAGTAGGTCTGACTGGAGATAATGAAAGCGGAGCTGAAGCCAGCCTTCTCGGTGACAAGCTCGTCGAGCTTCTCAACCTTGTCATGGTCACCCTCGAAGATCTGAAGGAAGGAGGCCTGGGTACCAGTGGTACCCTTGACACCGCGGAAGCGGAGGTCATCACGGGCACGCTCAAGGTTGCGCAGGTCCATCAGCAGGTCCTGAATCCACAAACAAGCACGCTTGCCGACAGTGACCAGCTGGGCGGGCTGACCGTGGGTGAAACCGAGGCAAGGCAGGTCCTTGTACTGCTGAGCAAACTGGGACAGCTTGTCAATGACAACAGCAAGCTTGGGGATGAGGATGTCGAGACCATCCCGGAGCAGAATCAGGTCAGCGTTGTCAGTGCAGTAGCAGGAAGTAGCACCCCAGTGGATGATACCAGCAGCAGCCGGAGCGACCAGACCAAAGGCGTGGACGTGGGCCATGACATCGTGTCGGCGGCGCTTCTCCTCCTCGGCGGCAACGGCGAACTCATCGTCCTGGATAGTGGCATGAGCCTTCATCTGCTCAATAGCATCCTCGGTGATAGGAAGGCCGAGCTCTGTAACCAAAACCTTGTCAATTGATTTCGTTCTTCTTTTTTTTTCTCCCGATGACGTCCGATGTCGGTCATGCCCTCCTTAGTCTCGTACCTTTCTGAGACTCTGCGAGCCAGATCCACAGCTTGCGCCAGGTCGAGAAACGCATGCGAGGCGAGAATAAGAACTTCATCTCATTGCCTAATAAATTCGAGTCTATTAATATCCTCGAGCTCCCCGGACTGTTGCACCCCTCATTGGTCGGGACAGAAGGAAGAGCACTTACTCGCATAGCGCGAGTTGAGGGGAGTCTGGTAGACATCGTTGCTGGCAGACATATCGCCGGTATTCGTCAAAGACACCTCAAAGACGAATTGGTGTGCAGGATGGAAGTAATTGCAAGAAATAGGCAGTGTGTGATCTACGAAATTTTGCCTGCAAGGCCGGGTGTAGCGGGGCTTATCACGTTATCGCAGCGGTCGTGGGGGGAGGCAAGTCACGTGTACTTTATACTATCGATCATTGAACACAGAACGTCGGACGATTATGATATTATCTCTAATTACTTAAGGTTGGGTATGATGCGGCGAGATCAGGAAAGCTGTGCGAGTTGAACCGACAGGTTGGACTTGTCGTACTTGATGTACTTGCCACGACCCTTGTCGATCTCCACATAGCGATCATAAAAGCGCGCGTATAGAGGCTCGAGAACAGCCTGGAGCTCCCGGGCCAGCACAGATCGCACTTCCCGTTCCATGTGAAGAGTTTTGTGGCGGGACACCATTTCATCGAAGCTTGCGTTGAAGGACTTGAACTTGTCCTTGATAGCGTCCCGATCTTTCGACGACAGACTCTTAATAATAGCACTAGAATCTACAGCACCTCCCGAACTGGGCCGTGCTCCAGAACGAGAGGTATATTGTACATCCAGCAGATACTGAGAAGTTTCCTTCCAGGCATCAAGGTAGGTCGATGTTGCGCGTTTGCGGAAAGTGTCAATCCGCGCAATGCTATCTGGCGCACCCAGGTACCGGGCCAGCTCGGGGCTTTGTCGGATTGACCGGTCAACGATACAGAACACATTTGACAGGAATACACCCAGAGTAGCCTTTGAACGGTGGATAACCCGGCCACGTGATTCTAGCCCTGTCATGACTGCCTCGATCATATCCAGAATGAAATGGGAGAAGAGCGTTCCGCTGTCCGGACCAACATCCAACGGGGCAGAACCGGCGGTATTCGATTTGGACCGCCAATTCCCATCTCCCAAGGATGTCAGAATAGACGCCAACGGACCCGAGTAGCCCGTCAATGTGGCTAGAGAACTCATTACCTCCTCAACCAATGGCACTGATCCGCCGTCCGGAGGCAGCGCCGCATTAGCAGCCTTGCGCTTGGTTTCCTCGAGCAACTCCGAGAGAGAAGACTTTGCGGTCTCGCGAACAGGTCGTAAAGCTTCGATGAGGGCACTCTTAAGTTCGGCAGTGTTTGAATCGATGCGGTAGGACATTGCAGTCACGATCTCAATGACTTCAAAAGCCAAGAAGCAATCCGTCATCAAGTTTGCCTTGATGTACTGGTTCAATTCTCGCAATGTCCTAGAGTAGTCGGCCATGGCCGAAAGGAAAGCCGCCTGCAATGCAAGACCTTGCTGGTCTGCCGTAAACACCTGCGTAATGATCTCATGTTCTGTAGTGATGAAACCCTCCAACGCGTTGGAGTAGATCCCAATACCATTGGTTCCTTGTTTGTAAGGACCATCTGTGGCTCTTCGCTTGACAGTATTGAGTGATGCAATTGAGAGATTCTGCAAGCTAGCGGCAATGTACGGCCCGCGCACCTCGGCATAAATCTTCAGAGCAGGGTTGTCTCCCATACCACGCTGCGGGCCATGAACGGATGCAGACTCAATTGCCGAGCATAATGGTGCTAACTGTGAAATCGTTTCTTCGGGAATCGAAGGAAAAGGGAGGTCTGTGACAGCCATGCTAAGTCATGTCTCCCACGGGCCAAATGTTGAGTAAAAAACATACCTTTTGTCAAGTAGTGCAAAGGCTCAATTGGAGCGGTATGTTGCATCAATTCAGTGCGGAACATCTCTTGCAGCTTGATGCTTCCTGTGCCTAGAAGGGAGTTGAAGTCTGTGATCGCAGTCTGGTTGGATCGAAGGTTCGTCGCGTTGAGGTCGACCAGCGCCGTTTCAACACGTTTCATTGCCGAGAGGTACTGCGAAAGACCGACACTTTGCGGTCTTGAGAGAGATCAATTAGTAACAAGTCGCGAGGTCTTGCGACGAATTGAGACTTACCCTGCGCGAATGATGCCTTCCTCTCGGCTTTTCGCGTCGAGGGGCTGGCGTAGACGGTCGATAGCATCATTGACTTTATCGATATTGGTATTCGTGATCTGAAGTGACTGTGTATTGCTGTAGATGGGGCCAATGGCCTCTTTGACCACCTGTCCACTGGTCTCCAGGCGCCCCAGGGAGCCCTGGATCTTCCTCGTGAGCTGATTGAGCTTGGTGAGGTTGGCGTACAATGCCCTCGACCTCGGCGCTCTCCTCGGCGTAGGCAGTGTTCCTGGGAGCCACCATACTGTTCAGACAACAAGACAGACCGAGCCACCAGGAGCCGTCATGCCTTCAATATGTGGGGTCGGAGATGTTTGTCCGCAGTCGATAAGCTCCGAGATGGCCGCGTTCGCGCTAGTCTTATTAGGGTAATGCTTCCGACACGTGATAATTGTCACATGACATTTCGTCATTGACCGTGGGTTTCTTGTAGACATGGCCAATGATTGCCTAGCCTCTATTGCTTCCGTAGAGGGAAGTCCCCTGCATGCAGGCCGCAGCATCTTCAACTCTTCCCGTCGCAATGGTGGCGGCAAGAGTCTCCCGCTTGAGTTGGACGGTTCCTCCTGCTGCTCTAGCTGCCTACACTGTGGGGGACTGGGCCCTACCAAATCGGCGCATTGCGAGGTCTGAGCAGAAAGCCTATTTTACGACGGGTTTGGCTAAATATGACATCAATTCGAACTCTCGAGGTCATGCCCCCGCGAAGAGTGACAATCAGGACTCTGAGGATCAGGGAATCTGGTTGAAGATCACCCAGAAGCTCGATGAGGTCAAAAATACTGTGGGGTCCGCAGATCTAGGAAGCAATATTTCAAGCTACATCCCCGACTGGGCACGATTGCTTCCAGCAACGGCCCAGAAGCTGCAGCGAGAACTCGCCTTAGCTCCTGGCTCACTGGCAGACGAAATTTGGCAAGAGGCTCATGACCCTGAGCTCAATCCTGAGATTACAAGGGACGCTAGGGTCCGGGTAAGCGGCGACTTGTGCGCCGAGGAACAGGCATTCCGAAAGAAGCGTCAGCAACATGCTTTGAAAGCATTGGCATCATATCTGGACATTCCAGTGGAAGACATTCACCCCGATGATGTGCCTGTCATCGCCATGTGCGGATCTGGGGGTGGGCTGCGCGCTCTGGTTGCCGGTACCGGATCTTATCTCGCCGCCCAGGAAACAGGTCTGTGGGACTGTGTTACCTACACTGCAGGCGTCAGCGGCAGCTGCTGGCTGCAGACCCTCTACCATTCCTCTATCACAGGCCGAGACTTCCATAAGCTTGTCGATCACCTAAAGAATCGATTAGGTGTACATATCGCCTTTCCACCTGCGGCACTGAACCTGCTCACAACTGCACCAACTAATAAATACCTTCTCAGTGGCTTTATCGAGAAGCTAAAAGGTGACCCTGGCGCGGATTTCGGATTGGTGGACATTTATGGACTGCTGCTTGCAGCACGTCTTATGGTGCCTCGTGGAGAATTAGATGTCTCAGATACCGATCTTAAGCTGTCATCCCAAGGAGTCAACCTCTATGATGGGGCACATCCCCTCCCCATCTACACTGCAGTGCGACACGAAATCCCTATACTCGAGGAAGGGAGCAAAAGTCACAACAACCCTGAACAGGCGATGCGCGATGCGAAGAAGGAAGCCTGGTTCCAGTGGTTTGAATTTACCCCATATGAATTCTTCTGCGAGGAACTCAATGCTGGTATTCCCACCTGGGCGTTAGGTCGTCACTTCGACGGGGGCCGCAGTGTGCTTTCCGCCGAGAACCCGCCTATCCCTGAACTCCGAATCCCGGGATTGATGGGCATCTGGGGCAGCGCTTTCTGCGCAACTCTTTCTCATTACTACAAAGAGATCCGGCCTTTGGTCAAAGGTCTTGCTGGGTTCGGAGGAATCGATACTCTGATCCAGGGCAAAGATTCAGACCTGGTCCGCGTACACCCTATTGATCCTGCTGCTATTCCCAACTTCGTGATTGGAATGAAAGATCAGCTCCCTGCGTCGTGTCCCGAGTCTATCTTCAATAGCAGTCATTTGAATCTGATGGACGCTGGCATGAGCAACAACCTCCCTATCTATCCTTTGATCCGTCCAGGACGAGATGTCGACATCATTCTCGCCTTCGATGCTTCCGCCGATATCAAGCAAGATAATTGGCTTTCAGTCGTCGATGGTTACGCCCGTCAACGAGGGATCAAGGGGTGGCCAGTCGGGGCCGGATGGCCTAGAGAAAGCGAGAGCATGGAAGATGCCGAAAAGGCGCTCCGCGAACCACAAGGCATCACATACGAAAAGGCGAACCAGAAACTCGCTGATGCTCAAAGCCAAGATAAATCCGCCGAGAGAGACCTCGACTACTGCAACGTCTGGGTCGGAACGATGGAAGAGCGCATATCCGACAAAGAACCCCCACCGTCCAAGCGTCTCTTCTATCCCAGACACATTGAGGACCACTCCGAGTCTGATTTTCATCTCATGAGAAAAGACGCCGGCATCGCTGTCATCTACTTCCCTTTGATCCCTAACCCATCCGCTCCAGATCTCCCTTCCACTCCGGAGACCCGCCCCCGCGCAGCAGTCCATTCCATGAAACGAGACTATACACAGACCAAAGACCCTGAAAAGCCTCTCACCCCGCACCCGAACTCAATCGATCCCAACAGAGACGATTTCCTATCCACGTGGAATTTCATTTACACCCCCGAACAGATCGATTCCGTTGTAGGCCTGGCTAAAGCCAACTTCAACCAGGGCCACGAACAGACTCGCCGCGTTGTGCGTGCTGTCTATGAGCGCAAGAAGTCTGATCGTTTAAGGAAGGAAGAAGAAGAGTCAAGAAAGCGTATGGAGGGGTTCGTACCTCTTTAAGTACGTTGAAGATACATAACCGGGGATATTCATCCTAATCTCGGCGTTGTATTCTGTATGTTTTTTATCAGCGCTGATGTGTCCAATATCTTCGAAATATGTTACTTAGATCTGGTTAGACTCTACACCCGTATCTCGGGATTTTCACTTGTTCTTTAAACGTTGTCATATTTAGTCTCTGAGCCTGTCTGTATAATGCACATCTACTGAAATGGCAGTGAGAGTCATGCAAGTAACGGAAAGCGAGTCGCCTATCCCCTGCCAAGTCGAGTGAGATCAATTTCGAGGTAATTCCGATGTGTAAGATGATGCATCTCTAGACCGAGTCCATGATAGAATTGTTGTGTTTGGTACCATGATTATAAATTCATTCAAAATTGTACTCTCGAGTCAAGCGTCGTAGGGAGTCAAGATCTATGTTGTCTTTCCATCCTTCGGGCCATTGTCCGCATTCTTCTCAAAGTGGGACTTTACTCCCTCCAAATCCCCATTGCCGTCCTTCAGCTTTTCCTCATCATCAGTCGTCGACCGAATAGAGTATGCCTCATCATCACTCCCAGCCAAGCTTACATCCTTGCTTTCATCAGTCTGCTTGCGCAGTCCTAATGATTTCTCAAGCTCATGTAATGATCCCACACCAACAGCTAATAGCTTACTTCCTGTCGATGTGTGCTTAGCTTGTTTATCCTGAGGAGGTTGGTTCTCCTTTTCCCTGTGTTCAGAATCACTAGCTTGGGCGTCTGAATCTTGCGTTGGTTCCTGCGGTCGCCAATCGGCAGGGCCACTTTCAGGAATAGGCTCGCCTGGTTTCGGTTCGTTGATTGATTTGCTGGTCGTGACTTTGGCTTCATCTTTCTTCTGCGCATCAAATGGCGGAAATGGGTACCGCCATACCACCTTGAGACGCTCGAATGCACGTGTGCCCTTCTTCGCACTGCCTTTGATTCCATCCATTGCCTCCCAGTCGATCTCGAAAACTCCCGAATCATGGTCTTTGCCGCCTTCGAAGTAGGCGTTGAACCAGACGTGCGCGACGGATGTTACCATGGCGAAACCTGTATAAGCGGCTTTGCTGCGTCTCTCGAAGTCGATATTCACGTCTGATCCTGGCACGATGAGGGGTTTTGCGGGGCGGAATATCACTGCAGCTAGGTTGCGGCTTGAGGACACGGTTGATCGGCGTGTCAGATCAGATGCCGATGCAGACGGGGTCGCGGAATCTTCAGATTGGGCGGGCGACCATGTTGCAGACGATTGAACGGTTGATTTATCCAGGTTTTCCTTGCTGCCGTTGCCATCTTTCTTAAGGGGGTTTCCTTTTGCAACGACAGTCCGCTCGCTGCGGTGGAACAGATGGAGTCCCTTGATCTTCTTGCCTTGCTCGGCGAAACCTTGCACAGCCACCTTGACACCCTCTCTCAAGCCGCAAAGATGCACCTCGAGGATCTCAACAGGCCGCTCCACGTACTCCTTTCCTAGCTCATTCGCCCACAGATCAATATACCCAACGTACCGTATCTGACTAGGAATGCTGACTCCATTCCCGAATCCCACGCGCATCCTCCTCTCCGTAAACCGCTTCAACGCATCCTCTTTCTTCCACCCCTCCTGACTAATGAGGTACCCCGTCGCAGCGGTCCCACTCCGCCCCTTCCCAGCCTTGCAATGCACAACAGCCACTCGCTCACCGGGTTCATCGTCTTCCTTCCCATCCAGCCTGTGTAACCAGTTTCGCATACTCCCCATAATGTTAGGAATCAGCGCAAAGGGTGGCGGATGGTGATCCGGCCACGGGAAATGGTGAATTCGGCCATATACTTCCTCGTCTGGGTAGCCGGTGCCTTCGGCGCGGAACTCCCAAATACACCAATTTTTGCCATGTTTCGAGTCGAGAAAAGAGACTAACGAGTCGAGGGGATTACGGTATGCGCGCTGTGGATAGGTTGCGGAGGGCCCTGAGGTTGCGATGACTGCACGTGGTCAGTCTGGGTCTGGATCTGGGGTGGGGTCAGGGTTCGGGATAAGGCATCAGGGGGTATGTACTGTTGTTGGTCACGTAGCAGAGATCTAGACCAGCTTCATGGTGCTGCAGTCGTGGACCAGCGACAATTTGGCGGAGAATTGATGACTGCGGAGTAAGGGTCCAGGGTCAGCGGGGGACCAGCCACCGGGGGCTGGGGAAGGAGGTACCATGTCGTCGCGAGAGGTTGTAGCTCGCAGGATGAGGTGTTCAGGACATGGGTGGCTCTGTTATAGATATTGAGAGCTTCCAAGGTTGGAGTATGGAGTTTTGTAAGTCGATGGAATTAACTCATGGCCTTGTTTATCGAAGCCGCGATTGAGGCGCAGCCGATGATGTCACAAGCACACCTTAAGTCAAGTCTAGATGGAAGCAAAAGTACCACCCCAAACCAATCGTGGTTGAAAATAAAGTTATATTGTACAGACTAAATACGTCTATGTGCAATGGATGATATTTCCAGGCCTCAAACAGGAGCGACAAATGTCGTCGATGAACCACCCGCAACGCCGTCGCCGTCATGAAAGGGGACATACAGGCTTGCGCCGCAGAGTCAGGAATTAAAAGAACGCCAATACCCAAAGAAGTCATCCAGTCCAGTCCAGCGAGACAGTATTCAACAAGGAAAAGAGAAAAGCAGAGGCGGTGCGCTTAGGCGACACCGTAGAGAGACTTGGGCACGATCGTGAACGAGTTGGCGGTCTCAGTGACATTGACGTTGCCAGACTGCCAGTAGTCCGATCGGGAGTTGTATTGGGGCTCGGGAATCGACCAGGTGTGCTGGACAGCAACGTTCCAGATGGGGTTGGCGACGGGCCTGACCCGGGCGGTAATGTTCTTCAGGTCGCAAACGGTGGCATTGGGCGCAATTCCCTCGCAATGGGTGCTGAAAGCAGGAGTGTTCTCGGTCTTGGCTCCGGCGATGTTGAACTCGTAGACACAGCCACCGGGTGAGCATTCGATGTTCCAGCCAGTTGCTGTCCAGTTGGCGGGCTTCTCGAGGGCAGCCGCGGTGGCAAGGCCCAGGGCGGAGAGCGCGAAAGGGAGGAGAGTGATGAGATGCATTATGCAGCGACGGATTTGGCGAATTGACCAGGTGGAAAGTTTGTTAAGAAGGTGTAGAGGGTAAAAGTGGTGAATTGTAAAAAGTCAAAAAGTCGAAAGTCGAAAGTCAGGTTATGTAGTCGAGAGGGGGCAGGGACAGGGACCGAGACGGGGACAGGGTTCAGCATTGAACGGTAACGGCTAACGACCGTCGCTTGGCAAACCCAGCGACTTTCGGGCCCACTTTTCCCCTGATCGATCTCTTCTCCACTTTCCAGGGAGGTTTTCACGCTAAGACTCGAACGATTATCAGATTCAGTATCAAAGCACGACCGGAGGTTCCTCGGTCTCACTATCGGACAGGTTTGAAGCACGGTAACTTCCCTAGTCGCGTTTCAGGACTCGTCTATCCTTGGTCGGTGGAGAATCACCTCGCAGTGGTTCCGAGTGGATGGATGGATCACTTCCGTGGGTGAGGGAAAAGAGGATCCAGACTAAAGATTTTTTTTGTACAGGACCTATGGTACACTATGATACACTCAATTATGCGGCGAGGCATTAAACGTCGCACGACTGTTCGCACGGCAGACTACTGAAGCCTAGGAAGCCGGAGAAATCAGCCGGTCTTACATGATGGGCGATGCCCCCCCCCCTGCAGGATCTCTGCGTCTGAAACGCGCTGATGGACCCTCAGGGGTTTCTTCGGGTTGATGGCCCCGACCTGACCGGATCTTGGTTGGAGCCGTCCTCTTAGTTCCACACATCCTGCGCATCGGTCGGGCGGGTTTCCTGGTTTTCGTTGCGTTCCATGGCCGCCCGGGCTCTCTTTCTTCGTCGTCGATCCCGGTTATACGCGATCCGCGCCTCGTGCACGAGCTTGGTACGCCCAAAGCCGCGGGGTCCCGCCTCACCAGTAGGGTCTCCACCGGACGTTTCGTCAGCGGTGGCGACCATGGTCGTTTCTTGGATCTTGGGATGGTACTGCAACCGCATCGCGTACTCGTCCACCGACCGTGCACAGAGTTTTCGAATCTCTCTCTGGCTCTCCCGGGTGACCGAACCCTCTCGTTTGATGAGATCTTCAAAGTACATGCTCGCGGAGAGATAGTTACCCGCGTCCAGACACATCAGGATAATGCTCTCGAATGTCGTGCCGTTGGGGATGACGTTGAAGGAGGCCATTTCTTTTACTAGAAACATCCCTGCGGCCCGGCTCCCTGCTGTTCGACACATCATGATAAGAGAGTTGTAGACATCCACGTTTGCCCCTTCAGGGCACAATGTATAGAGCTCTTTGTAGAACCCCACGGCGTCCTCCACCACAGAGGGATCGTTACGGGCATAGTGGCAACACAGATCGGCAATGACCTGGACACTGGCCAAGGGAATGTCGCGTCTTTCATTCTTCAAACGCTTGAGAATCTGCCACGCTTCGCGGTGGTCGGTCTTATGTTTGATCATGTAGTCAAGTATCGGCCGTGTGGCAACCTGATTGGGAATGGTCCCTTCCTGTTGCATTGCGCAAAGCACATCGAAGGCAGTAGGTAAGTCGCCTGCACCCAACTTAGACATAATCAGCGTCGCATAATCTTCTTGACCGGGCGTCATTCCTTTCTTGTCCATCAAGCGGAACACGGAATTGGCCAGCTCGGTATCCTCGGCGCGTTCAGCCAGCTTTAGCACTTTGCTACAGGCATCCTTTGAAGGCTGCAAATGCTCGAGTTCAACCATACGCTTCCACACGTAAGAAGTTGTCAGATAATGACCCGCCGTGCTAGCTGTTTCCAATACATGCTTCCACAGCGCTGTGGTCATATCATGGCCCTGCTCCACTCGAGCGCGCATCAGGCGATACACCTCGTCGAACTCTTCGAAGTCACATAAGTGATAAATGAGCGAGCTGTGCAGCCAATTTTCAACCGGAATTTCCTTCCGCTCCATCAATGCAAGCTGATCAAGTGCCAGTTCGAACTGATGGTCGCGGAGCAGTCCCACGACCACAAAGTGCCATCCAGCGGGGCTCAGAGTAAGCCACCGATCTCGAAGCTTCTTAAGGACTTCTTGGCGCAGTAGATAGTCCGGGTGCACAGCGAAAAGCCTATACGGTGAAGATGAAGTTAGTAAAGCTTACATCACGAAGATCTGCTTTCCATGATCAACAACGTACTTGTAAAGCGGCGTGTAGGGTACCAGAGTCCGCAGCAATGTCATTGTCCTCCATCTCTTGCAAAAGATAGTGGACAGAGTTCACGTTCCCAAGAGTGTTATCGGTATTCGCTTGTATCATGGCCTTGTAGTGGCGAGCCCTTGGTTCGACGTGACGATCACGAATCAACGATCTCAACACCTCTATCGTTCCTACAAATCCGGGATTTTCTTCGCCCTGCAAAATGGCTTCTAAATCGGATTGCGATTTTTTCCATAGTTGCCCATATTCTTTCCTTAACGGGCGGGAACGTTGTTTCGCTTTGTGGGAGCCGTTGGATGGCGATTGAGGGTTCGCACGCGGCGACGAAGCATCTTGTGAGCTCTCTGTCACCAGGCTGCCTTCATCCGCGTACAAAGGTTTCGATAACTCGTCAACGCTCACCGTCGTGATGTCGTGATGTGTATTGGATGGAAGCCGAGGATATGAACGGTGTGCCGGAGCGTCTTGTGGATTCTCCGAGGCTGAATTAGCATCGCCAGTACCTGAGTGTTCAGATGTTTTTGTACGACTGCTGTGGTACCGTCTAGATGTCAGAATCGGTGTGGGCGTCGGCGCGGCGAGGCGACTAGTTGGAGGCGAGCATGTTCTGGAGTATTTTTGCCTCGGCCTTAATGAAGGTGCTGAGCGGCGAAGTGTCAGCTGTGAGAAAGACGGACATAAGGAAAACCACAGTCCGTCAAGGACCAACGCTTGCCGCGACATGTCGAGTGCTTGAGCTTCAACGGAGCTCTGCGCCGCCGAAATCCCGTCACCCGCATGATCACGTGAGGAATATCACAGTTTCTCCAGCTCTCTACAAATTGACGACATCTACAAGCAAAGAACACAGTAATTCTGGGATTCAAATGTGTAGTATTTGTAGATCGCCCTTCGACCCAGTGACCCAGTTCCCACTGAAAATAACAGAGCCAGATACGCCACGGCCATGCTCGACCAAACCGTCCAACCGGAACCCCCGAGCGACCTCACACGCAGTCTGTTCCAGGGTATCTCGTTAACACAACCTTCAAGCCATGCAATGCGTGTCTGTCGATCATACGCCGCCCGGGCCGCCATGACTGCCAGAACCACCGCGCCCACCACCACCACGACCACGCCCGCCGCGACCACGACCACCACCACGGCCTCGTTCGCGCCCACCGTCTCTGTGACCACCGCGTCGGCCCTGTGGTTGGTTGGCTTGCTGCTCCTTCACAATCTCGATGATTTCTTCGGGGACTCGGAGATATTTGATCTGGTGGGGTAGTCAGCACGGTGAACCGAATCTTGGGCGCATAGTGTACGTACGTTGTTGCCGCGGATGTAGACTTCAGGAAGGCGGAAGAACTTGTCGCCTTCGGGACTTGTCTGCACGACTTCGCGCAAGATCAGGTTCATCCAGTTGTCGCAGGTCACGAGGTGACCGTTCAGGGTCTCTCCATTCTTAAGCTCCACCAACATCGGGTGGCCCTGCGCGGCCGTAAGGAGGCCAAGAGGCAACTTTTAGACCTGTAAGCACATGGTCTGGTATGTTTCGGAGGCTGAGGTGCTTACCATGGTGAGATGCGGTTGATAGGATGTAGAGGTCGCGGAAGTGGGAGATTGGTTGCGTATGTGCGAGGGGTGATTTATACGGATAGCACCCAATCCTCGGCTCGTGGATGAGAAAATAAAAGAGAAGTTGAAACAAAAAAAAAAATCAAAAGGCTGTCGTCTATTTGGAAGTCGTTGACAGCAACAATGGGTGCGACTGAGCTCCGCATCCGCTGTGACGGAGCCTGAAGCCGGAAAAATAGATCTGCCGGGATGCGGCAACGCTCTAGACTTGCTACGCTTTGTGACGGAAATACCTCCCAAGCGCTTTCAAGTAGTCAAATGTCGGGCAGATGCGACGCTCAACGGATTCATTTACAGGATTATAATAGCACGGAAGAAACATTAATTCGTGGCATCACTTGCCATTCAATTGGCCGTAAGGTCGTACCTTTCCTTTCCACCAGAGCCATTGCGTTAGATTACATAGTAAAGCAGAAACACGTCGAAACGAGCTAATGATAGCCTCAGGCCTTCGGGCGCTTGGACGATGAGGCCTCATCTTCTTCTTCTTCGTCCTCATCATCCTCGACGGTAAGCTTGCGCTTCTCGCGGCGACTCAATGTCAAAGGAGCCTCGTTCTCTGGCCCAGGCAAGCGACCCTCGAGCGCCTCTAGGGTAATCTCGTAGCCCTCTTCCACATTCTGCACAGTGTCGTCCAGTTTTTCGACCCGGTCCATTATGTCTAGTTCGTTGAGCAATTCCTTATGCTTCTTATACAGGCGCTGCTTGGTGAGCATGCGCCACCAGTAGTATCGTCGATCGTTCTCATCCTCTGCTTTATACTTCTTGATCAATAGTCTTGCAAGGTTTGTACCACCCGCCATGCGGTGACTCTTTGGAATGGTACCCAGGAGATACATCTCCAAAACATGTGCGAACTGTGTGGCCTCGATCTTGAAGGAGGTGCGAATATCCATAAGAAGCTTGGTAGGGATCAAAGCGCCCGTAGGAACAAAGCGAGGGCGCTTTTTCTGAGAATAAGCTCCAAGAGGGTCGGGGTTCAAGCCCACATTGTGTTTGAGGAATTCGGGACGCAAGAGACAGTAATCGGCTGTGTCTCGAAGAGCATCGAAGCTCTCATTGGGGTCTTCAACCGTCAACTCCACGATTGTCGGGTCGGCGATGCATGAAGCATGGATTGTTGTGTAGAGGTGAGTACCGTGGCCCGAGCGGTGATGTGAGGGAAGAATCAGAAATTGTGCAATGCGCAGGCGAGACGGAAGCTCAGAGACCTTGACTTCGGGAAGCGGAAACACATCATCTTTAACGGCAGGAGTCTGAGTACGATCCCGCTGATACATCCAGTACCGATAAGCTGTGGCGTATCCGACAATTGAATAAGATGATGCGGTCGGCGTCGGAGGTTCAACTTTCTCGTATCTGTAAATTATTAGCATCGCAATAGACCAGGCATATTGAAGGGCAAAGATTACACAAAGAAGACCGTCCAGCGCTCAAGAGACCACTCAGGGTCATCTGTCGCCAAAGGAGTTCCGGCTTCGATGAAAAGAGAAACAAGGACCTGCATACGGTCCAGCAAAAGCCGCACTTTCGGATCCGCGAGTGATCCAGCCCAAATCTCGTATTTTCTCTCCTCAACATCGTAGTCAAAGACCAGCTTTCCCGGTGGTGTAAAGTCCTTGGCGCTTGGGTCGTCCTGGACTTCTTTTTCGTAATCGGGCAGGTTGGTGAATGCCTCTAAAGAGTCCAACCATTAATTCGTAATCCGCGCTCTACACACCCAAAATGACTGACCTTCGGAGACAAAATTCTTCAAGGCACCTAGTAGATCCATCGGAGCAGTATCACCAACCGCTTTGAACCGGTCGTCGTAAGAGATGTGCACATGGGGACGGAGATCATGGGCGGCAAAGCGTAACCGAATGATCAACCCCTTGTAGCCGAAGATTTGTTCGTCGTCGCCAAAGATTGGATAGGTAAATTGAGGGTGGAAGGTTGACAGCGTCTTGGGTTTCGTGTCGCCCGGCTGCACAATTGTGATGTGGAGCGCATCGTTGGCGTCGCACGTCCCTGAATAGTAGGCAGTCAGTAATCATCATCTCGACCCGCAATATTGGGATCGCCTTACAGCCATCTTCGCTAGCCATACTGGGTGTGTGTGGGCAGTCTGGAGTGATTGCGAGGGAGAGCAAGGAAGTCGCGTCTGACCGCGTCGAAGCTCAGTATTACTTAATCTGGTTTAGCGGCACGTCCCACTCTATGAAGATGCCAGATGAGAGTCGCTCGATGGTTGAAATGTCTTTGTTCTCCTTTTTGCTCATTGGATCATTATCTGCTGCTGCATTTTTTGTCGAGACAGCTTCAATCGCGGTATCATCTCGTGGGCGCGCCGAATGCCCATTGTACTTCCAATCTTTTGCAGCCTCTGAACCACCCACTCGTGTACTTCATCCAGAGAACCCCCTGCGCCTCCCGCAATGGCCAACGGGAACATTAACATAAACACACCATTAAGTGGAGGCATATCTTTGGTGTCTCCACTTGGTTTACCGCGGCCATATGCACTCAATTGGCTTGCGACGCTAGCGCAGATACAGGTCCCCATCCGATTTATGATATCCAATGCCAGCTGTCGCTGCGCAAGGTCTTCGAAAGTTGTCACTGCGAGCCTTGATATGTGCAAGAGGATCACCTCGTTGACCATCAACCTTGCCCAGAAGTAATGAATAAGAGCTCTGGGCGCCCACGCATCATCACAAATCATATACTTTCCGTTGAAAGTCGTTTGAGTATCACTAGACTCATGTATCACAAAGGACCACTTCTCAGGAAGAGTTTTTTCCCACTGATCCAATTCTGACTCGAAAGACAGAGTTAAACGTATTGCCGTTCTTGGGTCAATGTTCGGGCTTGATCGCATAGAATAGTGCATTCTCATAAACCGGATCATGATGTCGATCAGACGGATAGCAGGCTGCACCTCAGGCCCAAATGTCGAAGTATCAGGGTTCCATTCGAGTAAATCAGGAGCGGCATTCTCCTCGACGATAAAGTATTTCACAATGGAGACATAGTAGTATTGTAGTTGCGGCCGAGGCCCGAAGACGTTCAAGGTCTGCTCGAATGCGCGCTGTTTCATGAGGGCTGTAGCACCAGCGAGATGCACTGTCCAAGAGTCAAATTTTTTCCCGGAGCAACTGACCATCTAATAGGTATTAGTTGACTCGAGCTCAGAGCAGGGAAAACAGCACGGTTGTGGTTCGGACGCACCTCATACAGACTAAGCATAAAAATTAGCTTGAATGTTTGGTCCAGATTGGCTTGCTGGGGGTTCTCCACCGCCACACGGACGCTGCTTATGGCCGTCGCATACTTCTCCTTTGCCACGAGACGCATAGATCGGTCTCGCATGACATTGGATTTAGCGGCCAATCCAACAGAGATGGCTGCATCTCGGACGGGTGGACGCAGTAGCATCTGACCTAACAAATGGGGGACTTCTAACTGAGGTGGGGGTTGTTCTAGCATCGAAATTGCTGTTACAAATCGATAGAAGAAGAAACTCAACCCATGCTCCTCCATAGTGGACGAGACAGCAGCTGGAATTGTGGGTATCAACACCACCCTGGGCTTCGGTTTCTTTTCCAGCATTACAGGATTTGTTTGAGGAGACTCAGAGTTTTCCTGGCTAGGGGAAGATTTCTCGGAGTCCAAAATCCTACGCCGAGCCTCTGATTTAGATTTCGCGGCTGCAGAGCGTCGGGTCGTTCTATCATTCTCGTCACGGAACATGAAGGACGAAACATCTCGATAGCCACCGCATGGTTTCCCCGCTCTCTTACATTGCGAGCAAACTGGTTCGATGCGGTCACACTATCATAGATTAGGGGAGACATGCCGGGAGATATGCAGATTACTTGCCTTGATCCGTCTCTCCCGACAACTCTGGCAGTTCTTGCTAGGTTGACCATAAAATGGCATTATTGCTGTGACACAGCTTATCCATTCTACTTTCTTTGAAAGGCCAAACGGGGTAAAAAATATCGTACTCGGCGGCGTCGGCAACAAGCAGAGGGTCGGGGTTCGAGGCTCAGTGCTGATCCGTGTCAGTGTTCTAGAGTGGATCACCGTCTCATATAATTGGCTGTACTTCGCCCACTTCAAGTTTGTGGCTCCACCTTTCCAAATCGGGTAGTCAATTCGTCTCTTAGAGAATAGATGCCATAGGCTGGTCAGCAAGCTCAAGTCTCATGAACCAGAATCCAGCTATCGGAAATCACGGTTGTCATATTGGAAGCACCCCAGAAATTCGTTAGAGAAGGGTTATTAGGGAGAAGAACCTTGGAAAAACTATGACACGAAGGCTTAGCGAACACATGGTCGACTGTCACGAATTCCCTTCCCCTTTGAGGAATGGCATGGCTTCATACGGACGTGGTGAAATTATAACGCCGCCACTCGGGCAAGGTAGCTCCGTTGACCGATCGCCGATTTTCTGAGCTATAAAGTCAAAGCTGAGCCCGGACAGAAATCCACAAGTCTCTTAGTCTAGGTAACATTTCGAATCTGCAACAGTGCACGTTGAAGATGACACTGGAGACGAGAGTCATCGCAGGTGGAGGTAATGTCTCCTACTATGGCTACAATCCATCCCTAGCAGTGGCCATTGTTGCCGCTGTTCTTTATGGTCTCGCTTTTATTTTGACTTTCATCCAATGCTTTCGATACAAATCCTGGGTGTGGATGGTCATGGTTACTGCTTCCGCAAGTATGTATAAAGCTTTGGTATAGCTGTACTCCACTCATCAAACTGACACCCTCCGAAGTGGAAGCAGTTGGCTACATCGCCCGATGCGTTTCGACTCAGAATGTGACCAACAAGTCCATCTACGCCCTACAATTCTCTCTCATCATTCTGGCTCCAGTCCTTATGGCGGCGTGTTGCTATGTCCTTTTCAGCCGTATTTTATTCTTAATAGTTCCAGGCGAAGAACTTACCTTGAAACTCTGCTGGGTGCCCCCACGATTCATCACCCCGATCTTCGTCGGCTTCGACATCATTGCACTGCTTCTTCAATTAGGCGGCGCAGTGATCATCACATCTGTCAACCCGAACAATAATGGTGCGGCAAACAAGCTCGAGCGAGGCAGATACATTGCCCAGGCGGGTGTCATTATCCAACTGGTAGCGTTCGGTCTCTTCTCCGTCGCGGCTGTTCGCTTCAACTTTACCTCCAAACGATTCTCAAAAAACATTCACGACCGCTATGAAAGCTTTGGCGAGAAATGCTATGTGATTGATGGTATCGTGAAAAACAAGCACTGGCCAGCATTACTGCGGGTTGTGAATATCGTCACTGTCTTGATCTTGGTGAGCGAACTCCTATCTCATCTATCACCACTTGACCAACACTAACCGATGAGTAGGTTCGTTCGATCTATCGTCTTGTCGAGTTCACCGAGGGTAAAACAGGGTACATCAACACTCACGAGTGGACCATGTATGTTTTTGACGCATTGGCGATTTACCCGTGTGTCGCCCTTTTCATCTACTGGCACCCGGGAAGGTTTTTGCCATACCTGGGATTCCGCAAGCCTAAACACGTGCGCTAGTAAGTCATTCATTTCGTTTCAATATAGAGGTTATGTCAATGATCTTGTCATGCGGACCAGTATGATTACCGTTCACCTACAGTCACTCCAATGAGTGATCAATCTAGACTAAAGCCATCTTTCTGCCAGTCTCAATCTACTTCTTTATCAGCAGGATATGAGCCCTAAAGAGGACCCATTTTTCACAGAGGATGGACATCCACAGCTTCGTAGGGTAGTGTACAGTATCGAGTCACCTTCCTGTGATTACGCTCTGGCTTGAGACCATGTACCACTCTCCCGTACGGCGTAGTTTGTGACCAGTGAAGGTCGCAAGCTAGTTCTTGCTTTCAAGGGAAATGTCGTTTCGTAAAATCCATTTTCAGATTATGCTTTCTGTGTCTCCGGCAGGCGCAATTGTGTTACCACAAGTGATGGCATTCTATATGAGGCCTGCTTCTGTGGAACATCTGGCTAGGATGTTGGATTGATTTGACTTGGACAAGGCTGAGTTCGAGAGGCGAGGAAGAAGGAGTAGAAACTGGCTAATATAGATCATAAATAACATATTCTTATTATAGGTAGAGCCGGTTTTGTATCTACAGAATCCCAAAATTCTCATGTTTGAGCAATACGGAATATGTGGCTTCACGGAGAATGCTAAGTATGATCGCAAGGCCAGTAATATTTTTGCCATGCAAGGCCAGATCGCCCGTCTTGTGGAGCATTGAACCCAGTCGATGCAGGACAACCGATTTCAGATACACCCGAGACCCTTTCCAGGTCGAGATGGTGAGAATTTGTTAAGATGCCAGATGTTTGAGTGTTGAACTGATGTTTTGATCCGAAATTAGCGGGCGGTACCTGAGGCCGTGTGGGTCTCCCGAACCTCGACGGGTGTTGCGCCGTCTCCGCCTCCTTCTCCGAGCCCAACCCTTCGTCCCTCATCCCTCATCCCTTCCACCAGCGCTCCTTGGGGGGGATTCCGCTCCAAGCTTTCCTCAATATATCTGGGTTTGCATCATGATCGACATTTTGTAGAGCCTGGCACACGTGCGAATCTCTTGCGACAAGAGGCCACTATGGAGGGACTCTTCACTTTGCTCGCCTTGTGCATTGTGATGGCCATTACGTGAGATACCGCCTTGAAGTAGGACCCAAGAATATCAAGAACTAACGCTCTTTAATCCGCAGATCCTTCGTTGTTGGCTCATTTCCGCTCGCTTTTACACTGTCCCCTTCCCAGCTCCGGTTAATATCATCGATTGGCATGGGAGTTTTGGTGGGCACATCTTTAATTGTTATTATACCGGAAGGCGTTGAGACCCTCTACAGCGCGAATGCTATCAGCAAGAAAAGTCTCAATTCCCGCACGCCGGCCGTGAACTGGCTGCCTCAAGGGCTCGCGGGACCCACGTCGGTACTGAACGATGGCAGCGATGGTCTGACTTCGCCTTCTGATATTTCTGTCCCATCACTTTCCCTCGAAGGTGAAAGTGCACAACCCATTGTTGCCCGATCGGACGAAACGCGATTGCTACACGCACGGAATGAGGAGTCTTCGAATGACAAGTCGAGCGAGGAAGAAGAGGAAAAAGAGAGCTCGCCGCATGCGTGGATTGGCATTGCCCTAGTCAGCGGGTTTATTTTGATGTATCTCATCGACAAAGTCCCAGAATTCGCCTCGCCGACCAAGAGTGAGCGAGTCCCATATCATATCTCCCTCGATAACCTTGGCTCGGGCCTTAGGCGGGGCTCCTCTCCCATCCGTGATGGAGGAGTTCTGGACGCAGGACACTCCAGCTCTCGACGAGGTCACAGCTTTGCAACCACTACAGGCCTGGTGATCCATGCCGCTGCCGATGGTATCGCATTGGGAGCTTCCAGTTCAGACACCGGACTGAGTTTCATCATTTTCCTGGCTATCATGGTGCACAAGGCACCGGCTTCTTTCGGGCTTACATCGATTCTACTCAAGCAGGGCCTGTCAAGTCGGACCGCGAGAGCGCATCTGTTGGTTTTCAGTCTGGCGGCCCCTGTTGGCGCTCTGGCTACATTCCTTTTTGCTCGAATGATGGGATCTTCCAGTGCCGATGAGGCTGGAACTCAGTGGCGCACTGGCATGCTTTTGCTGTTCTCAGGCGGTACCTTCTTGTAAGTGATACCATCTCCATTTGATGGAGAAAGACTGGCTAATGAATTACTCAGATACGTCGCGATGCACACGATGCAAGAAAATGGCCCTGGCTCGTCGCGGACACTCCCCGTCAACGGATATGGGGATTCCCGAGACCCTCAAAGCGGATCTGACAAGTCGATGAGAGACCTGATCGCCTCCGTTCTTGGCATGGTCTTGCCTCTATTCCTGCAGATCGGACATGCCCATTGAGCCTCGGTACGATGCGTTGTTTCTACTTGGCTTCCCGCATGAAGATCTGGCCCGGAGAAGGCATTTGTGCCATTGCAGTTTTCATCATTTCACCGCAAGGGCAGGTATATCGGGAGCATATACCCTTGGCATTTATTGTAAGCTATAGGTTGAGGGGGCTGGCTATTATGTTGGAAACTGGTTGGATAGGAGAAACACAAATGTGCCACTAGATTTCAATTATTTCAACTTTCACCTAGACGAAGTAGGAGTTGGTCATCATTGCATGTTCAAGTCAGGTTCTCACGATCACGTCGACGTAGCGTGACCGAGCAGTATATAATGAGGGCAGTCCGCTCGATCGCTTGAAGGCGGATCCTCGATCATATTTCAATCATCCCAGGTATCTGCACATGGGTGATGAAAGTTGTCGTCAATCTCGTCAGTCTGCATCATCGTCGCCCGACGGCTCGTTCCATGGTCGACGCTCGCGTGCGGACTGCGTATCCAGGGATTCGGGCTAACTATACGACCTATACATATAGGATTTACTGATGCATGTCGTACACATCGCAATTTAGCTCGGTGTCGGCTGAGTGACTCGAGTCGGCATTGTTATACCGAGACATTGCCTTGCAAAGTTGCCTCGCAGATTTGCCTCCAGTCCGGTGACTCCGATCACTTCTTGCCGTTGCCATTATAGTTGCTGTTGCACCTGTCTGCCTTGTTGCCTCTCGGGTGGCCATCGGGCAGAGAAGGCAGGAGTTGAAGTGGAGACGAAATGAGGCATCGATTGATTCCAAAGTGGAGAACGGGGGGAGCTTGGCGGCTTTGTCAGAGTCAACCCGGTCACGACATCGACTCCGCCTGGTCCCTTTCCCTTTCCATCGATCTTTTTTTTTGGCTTCGTGACAGGGAAAAAAGAATAAGAGAGTGAAAAGAGAAAAGTCCAAGTCGCAAGTCGCAAGTCGCAAGTCGCAGGTTGCAACTCTCGTTCAGCATATCGTCCAAGAAAGTTCGGTCATTTGTCTCCCTTTCCCACGGTCATCCTTCGCCAGCCCCCGATTCGATACTACGATAATACCACACTTCGCCGCACATCGTACACCGCACTTCACCCTCCTATCCTCATTACTCTATGCCTACCGGCATCTCGGTGACCTCGGGACCTCGCATATCCCTACGCCACCGGTGAACGCGTCTACACATCCAGTAAACGTGGGACGGGTTCCTGGTCAGGATGGATTCCGACCCAGCTTTCAGTGACCTGCCGGACGGGCCGATGAGTTCGCAAACATTGTCGGACCATCTTGATACGCACTCTCAACTCTCACATCGTAACTCCATCTCCAGTTTTACCAGCACCCCCGCCCGATCTCTTAGCGCCAGTAAGAAGAACATTACCCCGATTCCCGCCAACCTGCTTCCCTCAGCTCCCGCCTCACCACCTACGCCCGCGCCTAGTCCGACACCGCACCAGCGACCACCGAACTGGGTGTCGTCGGACGAAGAGGAAAATACCTTCTTGCTGAATCTCCGCATCCACTTCAGCACCCTGTCCAACGCCCGGAAACAAAAACTCCTCGAAGGTATCTTGGATGTCTGCGACAGCCAGCAACTCAGTTTTGTCTCAAGTTATGTTGGCCCTCGGTTGAGGAAAGATCCCTTTCAAGTGTTCCCGAATGAACTTTGTTTAAGAGTAAGTTGGACGATTCGACCTGGGCAATGCTGGAGTGCGGACAGACCGCTAACGGCCTTTCTCACCAGGTCCTTTCTTTCATCGACGATCCGAAAACGCTCGCACGAGCCTCGCAGGTCTCAATACGATGGCGCGAACTTCTGAACGACGACATCACCTGGAAGAACCTCTGCGAAAAGCACGCATACTCCATACGCCGCATTTCGGATGACATCGAACCGTTCCCCGCTAGATCCGGTGAATCGAAGTCTGAGAACGGCTCATCTAGTAACCCTCAACGGCGTTTGACCGTGTCCAACGAGCAGTCTGTCGAGACCGCCCCTGAGCTACCCCGCACTTTGTCAGGAGAGTGGCTTCCGCCCACCAGCTTCCCCTCTCGCAGACTCCGAGCACGACCTGTCTCCTACAGATCACACTTCAAGCAGAAATACATGGTTGAGTCGGCTTGGAATAAAGGAGGCAGATGCACTCAGCGCCATATCACCCCCGATCAGGGGGTGGTCACGAGTTTGCATCTGACCTCGAAATACATCGTGGTTGCCTTGGATAATGCCAAAATTCATGTCTACGACACAAATGGTGATAATCAGAAAACTCTCCAAGGACATGTGATGGGTGTTTGGGCCATGGTTCCTTGGGACGATATTTTGGTTAGCGGAGGATGCGACCGCGAAGTGAGAGTATGGAACATGGCTACTGGGTAAGTTTATATTCATATAGAAGTGCGCACGAAATTACAACTGACATCATAAAGCGCTGGAATTCACTTGCTTCGTGGTCACACATCGACCGTTCGATGCTTGAAAATGTCTGATCGGAATACTGCCATCTCTGGATCCAGAGACACCACACTTCGCATCTGGGACCTGTCAACGGGGACGTGCCGTAATGTCTTGGTTGGGCATCAGGCGAGTGTCCGGTGTTTGGCAATCCATGGTGATCTGGTTGTGTCCGGCAGTTATGACACGACTGCTCGGATCTGGAGTATCTCTCAAGGCCGCTGTCTTCGTACACTCTCGGGCCATTTCAGTCAAATCTATGCTATTGCATTTGACGGCCGACGCATTGCCACGGGTAGCTTAGACACTAGCGTCCGAATCTGGGATCCACACTCCGGGCAGTGTCACGCCATTCTTCAAGGGCATACCTCACTGGTCGGTCAACTGCAAATGCGTGGCGATACTCTCGTAACAGGAGGCTCCGATGGTTCTGTACGTGTGTGGTCTTTGACGAAGATGGCGCCCATTCACCGACTGGCGGCCCACGACAACAGTGTCACTAGTCTTCAGTTCGATAACACTCGGATTGTCAGCGGTGGCAGCGATGGTCGCGTGAAAGTGTGGAATCTGCAGAATGGCCAGCTGCTACGAGAGCTCTCAAGCCCAGCGGACGCTGTCTGGAGAGTTGCCTTTGAAGAAGAAAAGGCCGTCATCATGGCTAGCCGGTCCGGTCGTACAGTAATGGAGGTATGTTTGCACCCATTCACTTCTTTTTTTTGCCTCAGCCGCTCATTACAATCTAGGTCTGGTCATTCGCCCCACCTCCAGAAGACTATGATGACGTTGTCATCGAAAGTACCTCCAGCACGCCGGGCATTGGTTCAACGGACGATAGTGATTTGGCCATTGAACCTCGCCAACGCACTCTCTTCTCAGACCCACCGCCGACCATTTCGGGTAGTAGTGATGCAGACCAACCAATGTTGGATGCCGACTCTTGAGCCACGAACCTTTTTCACATATAATTTGCGATCTAACGACTACAGATATCCTATTTTTGTCTTCTAGCGTCGAGGGCTTGGAGCCCTCTCCAGCATTTGTCTTGATTGTTCCAGAATGAGCTCTTGGCATTCCTCTCAATCACATGTATTCTTTCTAGAGCACCAAGCGGTTGCATAGTTGGTGTTGCGCTTTCATTTGTTCCGGAGAAACTGTCATCATTGGGGAGTTCCAGTCGGGGAGGGGGAGATTTTGATAATAATTTTCTTGTTCTACAGCTGCAGGCTGGATCATTTCGGAGTAATTTCTTGGGCCCAAATGATACCTCTTCTAGCGAGAATCAACAATGCAACATTGCGCCTCTCAGAATTTCCTGCAGTTTGATATAGCTGACTAAGCTCCTTTCACATAGCCGTCCTGAGCATTGTGTCTTACTTTTGGACCTCCGTAAAACTAGTGATGTTCTTTCCATCTAGCGCTTGAAAGGAGAATATGCTGCGCACGTACTCCACTCGGTTCAGGCAGCCGAGTTGATCTATGCACCAGAAGTCTCCGTCTGTGGATTCCCCAAATTTCGATACAGCGGAGCCTTCTTTCACCATCAAGGCCTCATCGGAACTTCATTGGATCGCTAGAGTATCTATTCAAGCACAGTCTAGCAGGGTGGGGTGGAAAAATGGTGTATGGGGGCAAGCCGAGCACGGGATGTTACTTGTGTCGCAAGCGGAAGATCAAGGCAAGTCCCTCGACGCGAACTCCTGATAGTGGGGCTTGCGCTCTTTACATGCTCCTGCAGCGAACGCGGATCTATCATATGATAAGCGCTGATACCATATCCAGTGTGATGAAGCTCGTCCTGGTTGTCGAAATTGTGACATCTACGGCCGTCCATGCCCGGGCTACCGGCCCGACGCGGTCTTTCGCAACGAGACTAGGAAAGTTGAGCGACAAGTAAAGAAAGACACAAGCTCTTCCAGCCCCGAGCCTAGCTCATCTCCATCTTCCTCTCAAAGTCTCATGGTCGTCGACCGCCAGCATCGGCCCAGCCCTACTCTAAGCCTCCATCGCATCGCAGATGCCACCTGGGAGGATCGTGCACTATGTTACTTCTTCGACCAGTACACCGTCGCTGACAACAACGAAGAGGGTATAGGTGGGCATCTCGAGTATCTCCCTCCTCTTTATGCACGTGCCGCCAAGATCGAAAGCACCGCAAAAGGATCCCCCGCTGCGTGTCTACGGTTGGCAGTCGACGCTACGGCGCTCATGACTCTTGCAAATTCTTCAAATGCCCCGCCTCTGATGATCAAAGCTCGACATGAGTATGGAAAGGCTTTACGTGGATTGAGAGAAGCACTGGCCTCGCCTGATTCCGCTGTCAAGGATGAGACGTTTGCTTCAGTGATGCTTCTTTCGCTGTATGAAGATATCAGTGGCGAGAGGAATGGGCTATTCAGCTCACACACGGCTGGCTTTGAATTTCTCATGAAGTTGCGAGGCGAGGGACAGCTGAATCACCGGCGCGGTCGGGCTATGTTCAACTTTGCCTATGCACATACCGTATGTTCCGTCTTCCCTTGTTTGCTTCAAAACACCATACTAATGGATCCTATAGTATGTTGAGATTTTGGCATTAGGAGATAAGCCACGACATGACATCGACCGGGTCTTGGGATCACTGGACGGCAACGACCCCGTCGAGGGCTTGATGCTCGCAGCATCCAGGATCAGCCAGCTCTTTGTGTCAATGCAGACAGTACGCACTCCTCCTGAACTGGTCACTGTAGTACAATGGATTGAAGCCGGTCGCCGATCCGATGAGGAGCTCTCACAGTGGCCCTTACAACTTCCCGACCGCTGGTTGCCACTAGTCGTCTATTCCTCAACAGGCGAACCTCTAATGGTGTACAAAAGCGTCGCAAATGCAGTTATCTGGAACTACTACCGTGCAGCCCGCGTCATGCTTCAGCAACTCCTCTTTAGCATCAACCGCACCTACCTCTCTATCAAAAGGAAATCCCGAAAGCCTGATGATCCATCCCAGGTGGGATCAGTTCTCGACGAAGCTGCTCTGTGTGCAGTCGTCCAAGAAATGACCACAGATGTCTGCAACAGCATTCCATTCTGTTTATCAGATGTTGACGAATTAGGTCGACCCACCAGCTCGCGCGGCGGCAAACCTATCCGCGCCGCGCAGGCCCACGGTCTGATTTGGCCTTTTTGGTATATCCTATCCTGCGGTATGCCGACCGAAGCACAGTCCAATCAGATCCGCGAAGTGCTGTGGCGTATCGGATCCACGCTCGGTATCAAATTGGCGTTGATGCTGGCACGTGAGGCTGAACGTATGCGCAGCGAATCTTCGGCACATGCCGTCGGCTTCTCGGGCAGCTAGGAGTGTAATTTCTAGCGTAAGGTCGGGCGGATCATTCGGGCGGTGGAGTTTGTAGATAACTGGTTTTATGTGTACACATCTCATTGTGGAGGCGGCACCACCGGATATAGTGACGTCACTGGCTGTGACGATTGAGCTCTTGAATGTTCAATTCGTCCCCGGGTTTCGATGTTGAAAATGGTAACATGGAAGGTAAAAAGACATGATTAGCTATGAAAGAGCCGAGGTCTAAATTTCCGATAATTGTTTGGTAGCCATGAACAGCAAGGAAGAAATTACCCCGTTGAGACTATCAATTGATTGTCGAACGTAGGATTCCCCTACTAAGCCCCATGCCGACCGTGCCGTTCCCGTCACTTGTGCCCCGTTCATAAGCTCGCGAATAAGCCGTGCATTGCGGTGACGACATTCTACCTGGCTTTTTATTCTCTCCATTCTCATCTCTCTCCTGCAATCTCCCCTCTTCGCAATCATGGCGACACAAGAACGCAAGCTTCCCTTTGGGAAGATCGAGCCCAACACCCTGAAGTACTTCTATAGCTGTGGACTGGGCGGTATCATCGGTGAGAACCCCCTCACTTGCGCAATTGACCCATGACATATACTAACATTCTCTTCTTTCCCTCCAGCTTGTGGTATGCAAAATCGGTCTATAATCTCACCCGATACCCCAATTGACAGCTTCTAGGACCTACTCACACCGCTGTAACACCGCTGGACCTGGTTAAGTGCCGCCGACAAGTTGACCCTAAGATCTACACCTCCAACCTCTCCGCATGGCGCTCCATTTTCGCCAAAGAAGGCCTCCGCGGCGTCTTCTTCGGCTGGTCGCCCACCTTCCTGGGCTACTCCCTCCAGGGAGCCGGAAAGTACGGTCTGTATGAGTACTTCAAGTATTTGTATGGTGACCAGGTGTTCCCCGATTCCAACCGCACCCTCGTCTTCCTAGGCGCCAGTGCCTCGGCTGAGTTCTTTGCCGACATGGCTCTGTGCCCGATGGAGGCTATCAAGGTCCGCATGCAGACCACTCTCCCGCCATTCGCGAATAACTTGCGCGAGGGCTGGAGCCGCATTGTCGCGAAGGAGGGCCTTGGTGGTCTGTACAAGGGATTGTACCCTCTGTGGGCGCGCCAGATTCCCTACACTATGACCAAGTTCGCGACCTTTGAGGAGACCGTGAAGCTCATTTATAAGACCATGGGCAAGCCCAAGGAAGAGTATGGCCAGTTGACTCAGACTGGTGTTAGTTTCCTGGGTGGTTATATTGCTGGTATCTTCTGCGCTGTTGTCAGTCATCCCGCCGATGTCATGGTTAGCAAGTTGAACGCCGATCGGAAGGGTAAGTGATTCCACGAGATGAGAGGGTTGACCAAAGCTGATCAATGATTAAAAATAGCTGGCGAGGGCGCCATGACGGCTGTTTCTAGAATCTATGGCAACATTGGATTCTCCGGGCTTTGGAACGGCCTTCCTACCCGTATCATAATGCTGGGTACCTTGACCGGCTTCCAGTGGTTAATGTAAGTTGGACCGACAAGTAAACTTGCCGAGCTTTGCTAATCAGGGAACAAATCAGTTATGACTCGTTCAAGGTCTTCTTGGGACTTCCGACAACCGGTGGACATTAGATAGAGAGAAGCATAAGTAGTTACAAGGCTGAATGCACATGATTTAAACCTTCACCGCCTGTGATATCGCGGCAGAAACAAATCGCGTAGAAGCGTGAGACTCCTTCCCTTGCAACCCCAGCTTCGGCTTTTAAAATACCTTCATTGAGTGTGCACACCATATATACCCTCGACTTTAATACTTCGACTCACTCTGTCTCTCATACGTTGGCCTGCGCTATCCGCGACCCATTCTCATCTTCCGCCCCAAGGCCAACCCCAAACCACCCGAATTCACACACCTTCGTTGTCTGCTCCGGCCAAAGAAAGACAGGCTCGACCGCACCATCCCGTGCTCAAACCCCACACAAGTCAATCACTCAGTCCATCTCAAAGATACAATTGCTCCGATTGCCACAATGGAAGCCCGTCCCCAAACCACGTCCGCAAACCCTCCCAGCGTGGAAATCGCCTACAAGCGTAAATGCATCGCGCTGAAGAAGCGTCTTGCCGAGGTCGAAGCCGAGAACGAGATCATGCGCACCCGCAATCGCCGCGGGTGGCAATACATCCAGAAAATGCGCCTCGAATCCTGCATGCTCCTCGAGCGCCTCGCCAAAGTCACCGGCATGGCCGACGAAGCTCAAGCCGGCTCTGCAGACCCAGAACTCCGCGCACGAGCCGCAGCCATGATGTCCAATGCGTCGCTGAACGGCCTCGGCGCACAGGGCAACGGCACATATCTGGAGGATGATACCGAGGGGAGCTCGGACGAGCAACCTCCCACTGTAAGCTCCCCCGTCATCGCGTCCGCTGTGATATCGAGCCCCCATAAGGCCTCCTAACACCAAACAGCCGGAAGAGCGTCCTCTTCGCGTTAAGCGCTCTCGGAAGTCAAACATCAATGCCGAAGGCGGCGAGGATGAATCCGCCGCCCCAGAGGCCCCCGAGCACGGCGATCGCGAATCCGGCTCTCTCCCTCGTCTCGCACCAGCCCCCAGCCAACAGGACCTGACATCCTCATTCCGCGTACAAACCGGACCCAATGGTTCTCCGCACGAAGAACATACCCCTAGCCAGGACATTCGGGAAGGACATCCGGAGCAGAGTCAAGAGGGAAACGAGGGGAATGAAGGGACGACTCCTATGGATATGGATACCAAGGAGCCAAAGGTTGAGGGGTGAGGGGTCTGGTTGAGACTGGAGTTGAATGGGATACTTGTTGTTTGGACTTTATGGGGTTTTGCTTATTATACAGCGCTGGATATGGTAATTTTCTTCAGAGTTCTTATTTAGAGCCTGTTTTCGGGGTCTCAGGTTTCGATCATGTCGATGAGTGGTTCTGTTAGATGAATTCACTTTATTGAGACATACTCGGACTTCATTTTCGGGGCTGCTTCGTTCTCTCTGTACTTTCTATGCTGTGGGAATCTGCATCTTCTACAGTATGCTCAAGTTCGTCAATTGAGCGTATTAGGATTACCTAGGTGTTGAGGGGGTCGCTGGCTGTGAAGACAGCTCAATTGGGATCAAATTCTCACTTGGTCCGTCAAGCTGATTGAATTCTACGGATTGCTTTTGAATTCTTATGATATCGATGGAAGAACATCGGCTCATCCTCGTTCTGGAAGTGTGCAACCTGGCCCCCGTCGACTCATCATTCTAGACGACTGTTTTCTAGACGACTATTTCTTCGACCATGGCTCCAGTGAACCGTTCCATCTGCCATGGTAGAGCTGCAAAGTGATGCGTATTAATGAGATTTTGCCTCCGCGAGGGACTGTAGCCGCTGGCCGTCTGATGCTCTTGGAACCATGGATAAAGTGCGAAGAGACGTGGTTCCAAACGGCAAGTTTAGATCATCATTTTTGCCAACCTCTTCTCGAATACGAGATTTGGCTAACGGTAGTCACATCATATGATCTCACCTCAACACAGTATAAGATCGTATTGCGGGTCTTATCTCACATACGATCTCCTGCGCGGGACAAAAGACGGTAGAAGACTACATTGAAGATGCTCGTAGTCCTCACAAATATCACCATGTGGACGACCAGAACTCGAACAAACCCAAGGAAAGTAAGAAAAGTTGTCAAGGATCCTCATCAACGTAGTAGTCACTGGTGGGACATCTCGACAGGGTTTCCGGTCCTTGCGGTATGAACACCATGCCCTGCCTATCTACCTAGATTCGTCGCTGATGATCAGAAAGGGCGCCTTCTGTTCTATCGCTCTCATGTTCAATATCTGCGCGCTAGTCAAGGGATGGCAGCAGAGTGTCTCAGCAGATGGGGTAATATATGAACTCCACCCACCCGGCTGGTAAGGGTATCTCACCTCTTCTTGTGAGTCCCTAGAAGATAACGCATTTCCAGGACCACTGGGCTCAAAGCGACTTCACTGGCGCTCTCAGTCGCCACGTATATGACATACACGTTGACCATGTTCCTCCACCCCAAGTCGATCAAGGGTTTCATCGTGACAGTGATCGGCTGGTTCGCCTCGGCCATTATCCTGTTCAGCCTCATCGGCGTTGAGGTCCGAAAGCATCGGCACGCTCAGGGGCAGAATGCTCTCACATACACCCAGAATTTCTTTGCCGCTGTAATATCCGCGGGACTCTACGTTCTCATAGCAGTCCTGCTCTCAATCTACATGGCCAGCATGCCAGCATCTCCGTATGGACAGGCAGATAGGCGAAAAATCGAATACACAAGCATTGTGTTCCGGATCAACACTTTTGTCATTCTGCTTCTCGGCGGAGCCGCAATGTACAGCAGCATTGAAGGCTGGTCGTTGATGGATGCTTTGTACTTTACCGACTACACCCTCCTCACTATCGGTATTGGAAATCTCGCTCGCAGACTCATCTTGGACGAAGCTTGCTTTTCCCCTATGCCGCTTTAGGGATCACTAGCTTGGGTTTTGTCGTCACCGCTGTGGCATCTTTCATGGATCGGATGAGGGAGTTAAAGCTCGAGTGCAAGCTCAAGGAAGCTCGACGGGAAATTGAAACCACAGAATCTTCGAAGAATCCAGCTGGAAGAGCTCCATCACAGACCAGTCTGGTCAGAAGTCGTGTTCCCAAGAGTGAAGAGGTTCTGAAAGTACGCCACGTCAAATCTACTTTCTATCGAAAGAGGAGATGGGCCGAGCTGGGTTTCATCCTGGTTGCGTGGTTCGTCTTGTGGCTGGTTAGTGCAGGTATTTTTGGCTACTCCGAGAGGAAAGACAATTGGAGCTATTTTGTGGCTCTCTATTTCACCTACACATCCCTGACCACGATCGGTTATGGGGACTATTATCCCACGAGCAATTTCGGCAAGGTGTTCTTCATCTTCTGGTCACTACTGGCCATTCCGATCCTGACAAACCTGGTCACGGTCATGGGGACTGTTTTCCACATATGGCTAGTTTTCTGCACAGGTTGGATATGGCGACATGTGTTTCGTAGAGGGCGCAAAGGGAAACATCATCATCACGATTATATCCGTCGTCCCAGCGATGCATCAGCCTTGATTGCAACGAACAAATCTCCAACATCGGCATCACGAGATCATGGGCTCAATGTTGATATTCGAGCCCAGAGAGCGTGGGAGACTAGGCAAGGCTTGCCATGTGCGCAGGTCAATTCCATACGAAGCGATTCGGGCGAAGACGAGCAACACCAACTTGTATCCAGGAGGGCCACGACACGCTATCGACTCTTGCTCTTAGAAGAGATCGAGAATCTCATTTCAATGACGAGGGATGAGTCTCCTGAACATCGGGAAAAGCTCTGTTGCACATGGTCAAGGATCATCCCCCTGCTTCAGGCCAAGGTCGATACTGGCAACCTGGCTGAGCTCGCAGCCCTGCTCATGTCTGCAAATTCTGAACATGATATTATGGCGAAGCTCAAGAATCCCCAAAAGGAACTATTGGAGAGGAATGTTGAGATCTCATGGATGCTATCCCTATTAGTAGAGAAGCTTGTGTTTAATATAGGAGAAGAGCTTTCCGAGACCAATGAATGAATTCCTTGCGGCCTGGATCGACACGTTCACTACAGCATCTGTAATATCTTGACTTCTCTCATTCCTCAATTTGGGTTGGATGCTTTCGTTATGTTGGGTTTTGGGTCTGAAAAGAATTTTATGAGGTGCTCAAGTGTAGGGCTCTCTATAGCATATCAATCTCGAACGGGCTATAAACTTATCACACAATATTGATATTTGCGACTCTTTTAATTATCACGCAGGTGATACTAAAGTATTTCATCTTGGGCACTACTGCACCTCGACACTGATAGATAATTCAAGGGGCGTGTCTGGCATTTGGAGGCCAAGGAGGCAATGTCTATACACCACTCACGTCGATGTATAAGGTATTAGGCATTTATGAATACGGTGGCGGGACTAGACTATCTTGGTTTTGAGCAACATGAGGATTGATGTGCATTCAAAGATGTATAGACAAGAATGATCTTTACAGTGCAAGCCGATCGCCGTAACCCCAATTCCCTGTTAAGAAGTAAATCCATAGACTCCGATCCCAGTAGACAGCAGATTATGTGTATTGATAGATCTCGCTCTCATGTACAGCGAATCAAATGGGGTGTGATGTGATACATCAGTGACAATAAGCTAATGTGATAGGATGATACGCCAAGCCAGCTTTGGAGTAATTGCGAGGGGCAGTGTCGTTATAGGCCATAGTGGATGCTCGAGATTGAGATGATGGCTAGTGTCTGGTGCTCGTCTCACGGTGGCGTTTAAATTGTAAGAGGTTTTATGAAACTCTAAAACCTGCAAGGTACCATCGAGGCTAGCGAGGAAAAATGGCTGTGGTTTCTTCTCGAATTCGCCGGTCGATTATATTGGACTTTGTTGCCATGCCTAGTCGACGCCAGCGTAGAGATCAACAACAATATTGATGGCGGCCACAAGGATTTCCGCTGCGATCAGGACAATAACTAGGATGGAGTTAGCGATTACTTTCTGAACAGGCACACCCGTGTCACTCACCAATCCATTCGAGATATTCTCCGTGACGATGTGTCAACTGGTCCTTCAAGACGGCAAGAAGATCGGCAATAACGTCCAATCGCTCAGTGAGCAGACCGACTCTCTGGTCCATCTCCAAGTAGCTTCGCACAGCCTGGTACACTGGCTCCAGCTGCGGCTCTGCCCAGAACAGTTCCGGACTGTCGAGAACAGAGCCCTGCAGATGGATATTGATGCGCAGAATGAAGAGCTCCCCAATCTGCATGTTGATCTGCCGTCTCGTGAGGTTGACGCTACCCGTTTGCGCAATCTGCGCAGGCAATGGCGCGGTGTCGGAGATAGTCTCAGACACAAGGTCCTCGAAAAGGGAGGTCTTGACCGACTGAGCCAGGGCATGGGAGATGGCAAGCTTAATCATGTGGTTGCGAGGGTCACGAAGGGAGATAAAGTCGTTATAAATGCGAGCCTGGTACTCGCGCGCATAGTAGAAATTGAAATTCTCAATTTGCGTGTCATCCGGGCTCAGAATCGAGGAGGCAAACTTCGATATATCAGACAAAAAGCGCGATTCTTGTGCAGGCGTCATGCCCCATATGACAACAGTTCCGTAATCGAAAAGAAAGACTTCAGGAGTATGGATCGTGGTATCGATGTCGAAGTGTTCGTCTGATTGCTTTGTTGCTACTGCGTGCTCTGGGGTAACATCGGCGGCATGACCGGCCTCGTCTCGGAAGTCGATCAGGTCCTCCCTGCGGGATTTTGTGTTGTCTTCAACCTCCACAGCACTGTCGGAGTATCTCCGCTCACTTGGTCGTCGCTCCATGGGCCCATTTCCTCCGGCGTTCGGGAATATTCTAGTGCCTTTCTGCTTCTCTTCGTACTGATAGTCAAACGGAGAGTAGACACATTCATCGTACAACTTGGGATTCGCGCCGCGAGTCTTGGATCGGGATTTGAGGAACTTGATCACACCTTCAAGTCGGTATGAGTCGGATGTGCAATAAGCCGTCACTCGAGGGATACGATCACGGTCGGCTTTGCCCAGTCTTGCCGCATGACTTCGTGCCGCAGGCTCCTTGATACGGGTAATTTGTGAATAGACATCTCGAGGGAACTCTCCGTCACTTTCTTCCTCTTCGGCCGTGACAGGATCAGGCAGCAGCTTCAATTTCTGCGCTTTTTTGGTTGTTCGCTGCGGACCAATCTTGGGAGCGGTGGGTGATGCATTCGGCGGTGCGTTGTAAGGAGCGCCATGGCTGTTTCGACGGCGGAGCTTGCTGTTCAAGGCGGACAGCATAGGCTGACCTTGGCGAGGATGTGCTCCCTGAGCATTGATATTCTGGACCGGAGGAGACCCTGTCTGCAATGGACGAAAGGTGGGATCGGAGGCGCTGGTTCCACCATAGGTGCTAATTGTAGCCAACGGGTTGAACGTCACCGAGCGAGGCGGGCGACCGGACTGCGGTGACGAGTTGGGTAATAAAGGAGAGTCTTCGGTCGAAGCCATGACAAATAGGCGACTCCGCGGGGAGTTCAATGGAATTGAGAAGCGTTGAAGCTGGGAAAAGTCGGAGCTTCCAAGGTCAGAGCTTCGCACGTGCTTCTCCACTTTAGTAATCGAGTTGTGACGCCGTCACTTGCATGTTGTTCTACACCTTTATTCTACTCTAGTAAATTTTGCACTAGGATTATACTCATTTATACTGTACACTGATAGACTCAATCAATCAAGTCATTCTTGTTCGTCGATCGGACATATGATGCTGGAGGTATATGTACAGTAGCGTAATGCAGGGACATTGCCCCTGGAAATGGAAAGAACAAGGAAACAGAATATCAGGTCACGACCATATTATGGGCCCGTCCATCTAACGGCGCGTAAATTTGGATGGACCGCCCGCTGTCATCCGCAGACCATTAACCTTTGCGGTGCTTCGCTCTCTCTTGAGCCAACTCTGCCTCACATTCCGACCGGCCTTGGAGGCCTTGGGAGCCAATGCAGGCTTGGAGCTCTTCTTCGTGGATGGTGCATCAAGCACGCGAATGGTGACATCTCCAGCCCGTACATCCTTCGGAGGCTTCTCAGACTTCTCCAAAAATCTCAACTTGGTCGGCTTCTTGGGCGCCATTGAGTCCTCGGCCGGGGGTGTGAGGGGGCGAAGAACAGGCTCGGCGTTTAGGATATCATCGGGAAGCAAGGCCGGAAGGGCGGCGCGACGGGCGTCCTGTGTGATCGAGCCTTGAAGTGTAGCCGTGCTTTCGGAAAGAAGGTCATCGCTTGAGACAATTTCCTTGGGCTTAGACTTCGCTTGCAACTTTCGGCGCTCGTCGAGCTTCCTCCGCTTTTCTCTCTTCAGTTGTTCCTCTCTGTGCGATTTGTCAGAAGTAATGACTAGTGGTTGAGCAGAGATATCACATACTGTTGCTTCAGCTTCTCCTGTTTCTTTGCCTGGTCCTTGATCTTAAGGAGCTGCGCGGAGTTGTCGATCATCTCAGGCGCATCATCGTCGCTATCTGAATCCTCATCATTGTCCTGAGGTGCCGCGGGAATCTCAGACCGTGTGATCTCCGGCATGGCAGGCTCCTCGCTATCAAATCGAAAGTGTGCCTTTGGCGCGGCAATGGATGACTTCTGCTTTTTGTGACCCTTCAACTCCTCCGAATCGTCGTCGCTGTTAGCATCTGCGGCTTCCAGGCTATCTCTTTTCCTCCTCTTGCTCTGCTTGTTGTCGGGCTTTTCTGTGGCAGTGGTTTGTGTTTTGCGTTTACCGGCCTTCAAGACGCTATTGGCCTTGGGCTTCTCAACTTCATTGGCAACAACGCCTTGTCTGGTGGCGGAGACCATGTTGCAATTGGTTGCGATGTCGCTGGCAGAATCTGCAGATGTGTCTTGAGACTCCTCTCGCGTAAATAGACCCTTCGCAGCAGTGACCAGGTGAGAGAACATAGATATCAGAAAACAAAATTGAAATGCGAGGTCCAGTGCAGATGAATTGCACCAAGCTGGCGGGTAATGCGCCGCCAAAAAAAATCGCTCGGCCTTAGGATTTCCCGATTGCGGGTAAGTCTTGGCACCCGTCACGATCTATGAGATCTACGAATACAGTCTACGTGATAACCAAATAAAGGTGAAAGGTCGAATTCAGAGTTTAGCGAGAGGCTAGACAAGCTAATTAAGGACTTACTTCAATGGATATAGGATGATTTTTCTTGAACGTACAGGAATGATCGCAAGCACTGAATGGCAGAGACCCTTGCAGTGTGAAAAATAGAATGAGTCACTTCAAGCGTTCCACCAGAATCCAGTTTTATTAGACCAAGATTCCAATGCTTGAAATTGTAGTAACCAGACTAACTTTTCTGTAACGCTTCACGGATCAAAACATACATATACAGAAACACAAGATGGAAAACTGTCCGAATGAAACAGGATCTCTTGATCACTGTTCTCAATACATTCAAGCAAGTAACACCGGTTGATTCAAGCTCTCTCATGTTTGTCTCGCGAGCAGTGCAACTGTGATTGCAGAAGGCCTCTGTGTTTAAATTATAGACCCGAATGCTTGACCGGTGTCGGGAAATGTTTTAACTCTTCATTGCGGACATGTACTTTATGCGACGCTTTCATAAAACCTCGAGACTCAAGTGATGCTACGAGCAATACATCTCCATCCACTGGCCGAAAAGGGAACATCAGTCACGGCCGCTGGATACACTCTTGTCTTGGATCAGGAGCTTTCAGGGCTATCGATCTCAGGCATATGATCTAAGCCGATCCTCTAGGACAGCTATGATACGAAGTCAAGGTTCACCCTGTCGATGCGGTAATGACCCTTTGAAAGCTATTGTGTTCTTGTTTAGTTTATCCAAGGTACTTGATACAAAACAAAAATTGGTATCTCAATGAAGAAACACGCCCAAACGCCTTTTTAATGTAAAATCCCTCGCTGTTGCGTCTGCTGAAACACATAGCAGGCCAAGTATAACACCAAAAATCCGAATGCAAACAGAGAAGCATGCGAGAATAGAAAAGCTGTACATATCAAGATCTCCGTCGTACGGCCTTGAGCATACGCCTGCGTTCCGCAGCCTCCTCCTTGGCGTTGATGAAGTCATCTTCACCGATGTCACTCATCTCATCCCACATTTTTGAGAATTCCCCAGTGTCGTCCCCGCTAACAGCCCACATACTTTCTCGTAGGCGTTTGTTACGCTCGCGATCTTCCTCGATCCGCTGCTCGATCTGTCTCTTGTCCACGCGCATGCCCTGAGCTTTAGGGTTGCGCGGGGTCGCCGTCTTCGACTTCGCGCCGTCTTCAGGTGCCTCTTCCTGCTCAAAATCCAGGTGTGCAGACTGTGGTTCTCGGTCTTTGAGAGCTGCGTTGATCTCCTCCACATTTTCAGCTGAGAGAATCTCTTTGCTCTGCAGACTGCTCAGAACACGTCGGACATGCTTAGCATTTGCGGCTCCGGTGCCATCGGGCGGGACCACTGCATCGACGACTCGGAGAATGTCTCGTTGAATCATGCGAACGTAGGGTAGGTGGTCTTCTTTGGTAGCCATTTCGCAAAAGTGCTCGATGAAGGACATGATGTTTGCACGGTTATTCATGTTATTCTGCACCAGGTCAGTATGAGGCGTGATATGACGACAGAGACTTGCTTACTCGCTCAAGCTGCTCCAGAATGCAGGAATGGAGATCCTCATCGAGGTCGCGGTATCTGAGAGCATAGTGGGCGGCTTTCTGCGAGGATGTGACCGATGCGCTGAGGTGTTGCAGCTGCGTCGTGAAGCGCATTCGCACTTCGAACGGATCGACCATCATATTGCCATCTGGTGATAAGGACTCATGCGATTCTGATGGATCACTGAATAGGCTTGCCATTGATGCGGCCGGACCGGGCGGTGAGCGGGGCAAAATGACGCGAGGAGTGGACTCTAAACGAACAGACGAGCGAAAAGTAGGATGGATTTTGAGATATTGTGAACGGTGAAAAAGAACTGGATGTCGCGTGAAAAAGTGGTCAAAAGGCGTTCGAATGTCATAACGTTGGTTGGGTATTTCACGTGCGATAAACTGGGAGATCAATATATCCCTAGGCAAGTCTCCTCAGCGAAATGCTGGCTCTAACAGGTACGCAGTTCCTCCATAAGACCACGTAAATGATGCCACATTAAATTACAAAGACTACAAAGAAAATGTCATAGTGAGTCTCGCCTCAGGGTACTGCTGAGACTACTTCTTTCATCACCGTGAAGGAGACCGACTCCTTCAGCCCCATGATGAGCCTCATAGTCATGGTCTCGGAGAGCCTCTTGTCGACGAAACTCGACACCATTCAGAATTGACCAAACATCCTTCTTGGTCAAGAGTCCCTGCAAAATGCCTTTGTTGGCAAACAATACATAGCGTAATCCAAGCCGCTGGAACATGCGCAGCACGATCAAGAAAGTAATGTTGCTGTTGAGTGTGATGGGAGTTTGATCCATCCATGGTCGGAGGTCCAAGGTCTCCACAGGGTCTGCAAAAGGCTGATGAGAAAAGAAGACTTGAGTCTCACTGGTGAGGTTGCGCTGTGTCGGCGAGGTTGAAAATTTCAGAGCAAATGAAAGTTCGTTGCGTGTAATGTAGCCCAGAAGAACGGGAGTCGACATTTCTGAGATGACAGGGAAGCCACGGTATGTAGTGTTATTCAGAAGTGTGCGCAAAGAGCCAATGGTGTGGCCAGTTGCTGTGATGACTGATACATCATCCACAGTGGTCATGACCCGATGAGCAGAGACGTCTGGGGGAATGGTGTCGTCTCGGTGATCAAGAAATGGATATTCGTTTAATTGAATCCATGACTCGTATATGCCGCGCTTCCCGAAGATATCGCCGCACCACTTTGATAGCATCACCGCGATCATAATCGGGATGACATAGGTTAAGGCACCTGTCAACTCGAACATGATGACAACAATCGAAAGAGTCATCCGAGTTGCACCTCCTAGTGCAGATGCTGCACCAATGATTGCATATAGTCCTGGGGTCACACATGGAATGTCGGGCTCACATTTGCTGAAAATGAAAGCTTTCGGATAGGCTTCCTGCCACACTCGAACGAGTATTCCCAGAGCTCGGCCGTACAAAGCGCCAATGGCGATTGAAGGGAGGATGATACCTGCGGGAATTTCAAGACCGAAGGTCAATGCAGAAAGGAAAAACGCTAGCACAGCAGCCAGCAGCAGAATAGCGACCACGCCAAATGACTTGGCTCCAGTGGCGCAGAGTCCGAATCGATCATATGTCTCACTGCTGCACTCGGCGAACAGAGACTGGACAAGCTCCGAATTTTGAGCTCTCATGAAATGATTGGGGAAGTTAATCAAAGCCGTCAGAAGAGTGACGATAGCTACTTCAATCACCGGTCTTGACCAAGACCGTGATCGTCGCCATTTGGCAATCCGCACATTCACCCGGATAAGGAACGCGCCGAAAAGGCCTCCTACAATACCAAGAATGATAAATGGGATGATCTCAAAACGGTGCCATCCCCGAGTATAGGTGACTTGGTATAACACAATGTTTCCTGTGCGGAATGGGTTCAGAGCCTGTAAAGTGACAGCGGCTACCATAGCGCACACAAAGCTTTGCCACATGGTCTTATCTGGGAAATAATATGACAGTTGCTGCCTTTTGTCAGCAACTACTTCGAGAATCTTGAGGATATTACATACCTCCAGACTAAAAAGCACTCCTCCAATGGGAGCACCAAAAGCCACTGAGATACCTGCGGCTGCAGCCGCGGAGAGAACCTCGCGCTTTCGAGCTGGAGAACGTGAGACTGAATTCCAAGTTGTAAGACGTCTGATACATACCTTCATTTCCATTGAGACTGTTAAAAGGTTTCATCATGATATTGGCACAACAGCATGCAACATGGACGAGTGGGCCTTCTTTGCCCAGCCACAGTCCGGATGCGACCGCGAGACACTATTTAGAGTTTAGTATTTTCCTATGCCTCGCAATATATGACAAGTTCGACTAACCAGTCCAATGGACTTGATGGTAAGTGTCCAAGGACCCATGAAATGTCGGATGACAGTTCCTCCAAGAACTGTCTTGATTTCGGGGATTCCGCTGTGTCTCGCATAAATGGCAAACCGTCGTACCAGAAGACAAGCACACACAGCAAATAGCACCTGATATAACTTAGCAATTTTCGTTGACGTCTCCAGGCCGTTGTTTCTTACCGAAAAGGAAATGTAAACGATATATTCAATGATGTATTGTCCTCCTTTGGAAGATGAGCCCAGCGCAATTCCCCACGGCGTCCAATCCAGGCATTTCGAGTAATCTTATCCATTGGGTCAGCATATGGGCAGGATATCTCACATAACGAACTTACCATCTAGTCCCCAGCAGCAAAAGCTGCGGTTGAGATAGAACTTTCCGCCTCCACTACCATTCTTGCAGTAACCAGTTTTCAAGTCTCCCAACCAGTCTGTTGCGATGTCGATAGTTGCAGCAATAATGCCAACTGCGATACCCGTCGCAACTAAGACAACCCAGATATTGCTTGCCTCGATCAGTCGACGAAAATATCCCACAATGCCTTGCCCGCTCGAGTAGAGTAATCGCTTTCGTTGCCGCTCTTTTGTGTATTCGTAGATCCAGTCGATAGCAGTGAAATCATCATAGCCTACTCGACGGCCCGGCCCCTCGACATACCAGTCTAGAGGGGTGCCATCTTTGGAAGCATCCGGGTTGCCATTCCACCCAGCGGGCTCATAAGGGTCTAGGGGCGATGCATCTCCATTCTGAGCCCTCTGGAACCTTGAGATCCCGTGGACTGTTTCCGAACCGCCGGCGGTATTTGAGAACAGACTTGATAGACTGAAGCGGGACTGTCGCTTTTGTTTTCTTTTGAATGTGATTCTGTACCAAAAATTGTATCAGTAACATATAGCAATTTCCGCATACCAACAACACATACGGTTCATGAATGCCCTCCGCGTTTCGACCTGCCTCGTGAGGCTGAGGGACGAATCGATCCTGTTCCGGCTGATCTGGCGTCGCGGCGCTGGGATCATGAGCGCTACTCAAGCCGTGACCAGTCATTGTCAATTCGAGCCACTGATGGCCTTCATCAGCATATCTAAACCAAAGATAAAGATGTCTTTGACGTTTCGAGTCGCGGAGCTGCGCGAGCTGCAGGGTGACTAAGCTCGGGATTACAGGCGGTAAGGACTCTGGCCGGTGGGGCTGCTGGTTGAATGCGGCAGAAAAAAAAGTTACGGGGAATTCTGCGGTGGATTTCTTCAACTCACAACGAAGAGTTCTCTGGAACTCGGGACTCAAGTATGAACGAGAGGCCCGTATACGAGAGGACTCTGACAGAGTCCCAGCTGCTGGCGCAGTTATCGAGCGAGATCGCGAATCTCGTTCGGTCTGCTTCGGGGACTCAACAGCTACACGCGCTTGCGCTTGGCGCATTACAACCACATTGTACAGAAAGCGTGTTCAGGCTTTATGAACCGATCGTCGTCGACCTTGCATCTCGGTGGCTTCGATCGGATCTCCATGCCGAGTCTATCCAGGTCCTTGCGGCATTCGCTCGCATCCTACCGTTTGCGACACACCTACGATCCTTTGCTAGCCAACATGCCTTGTCCCAGGCAGGAGCTTTGTCGGCTCTGGCTGGAACAAAGGAACTCACCCTGCGACAGTTGGATACGCTTGACACCCGTATCTTGCTATTAGCACTATTCCGACTTCTCTCCTTTGATTTGGAGACCTTCTCCAAAGCCGTATCGCCGATCCAACTTCAATCTCTATTCCCCCACGATGACCAAGTTGTCAGATACCTCGCCGTCCGATGCTTCGCCCTATACATGCACGCGGCTGATGCAGCTACTGAGAAGATGATCCGCGTCAACACCGGTGATGACCCAATCGAAGGAGATTGGGAGGGAATCACCATTGATTACCGCCTTCTGGGACTCTGGGAAGAAAGACGATGGGATGTTCTCGGGAAGCACATAGAAACACGAAGATCTTCAAGGTCAGAGATTGAGACCATGGAGTTGATCGATAGGACAAGAGAATTCTTTACCGCGAGGTCCGCGGATATTTGTGGTGTCTTAATTCCTCGACTGAAGGATGCCCGGCCGTCCCCCTCCTCCATTGTCAAAACCACAACCGCGACGGAGAACTTGCGTCGTATTGCTAGATCTCTTCTGGGTTACAAGCCTATCTTACTCGTTGGATTGCCTAACGCAGGAAAGACCACTTTGATCAATGACATCGCTGCCACTATGGGCCAGGCGGAAACCATGGTCACCTTGCATCTGAACGAACAGACAGATGCCAAGAGTCTGCTCGGCATGTATGCCACCTCGTCTGCAACAGGCTCCTTCTCGTGGCAGCCTGGTGTGTTGACGAAGGCCGCGAGAGAAGGCCGTTGGTTATTAATTGAGGATCTTGATCGCGCTCCCTCTGAAGTAATTGGTCTTATTCTTCCCATCATCGAGAGGGGGAGTTGACGATCGCTAGTCGGAGAGAGCGCATCAAGTGTGCGGAAGGCTTCAAAATCATCGCAACCATGAAGTCCTCTTACAACATCGCCGGAGAGGAGATTGCCCCGAACACTTCCATGCTTGGAAGCCGATTGTGGCAGAGAGTCCAAGTCTCATCTCTTCCTGTGGACGAGATGCGCGATGTCATTCTGCAAAAGTTTCCTCTTCTTGAGTCGCGCGTGCCAATTATCATGGACGTCTATGGGAGGGTATGCGCGGCGTTCCACGGGAGTCTGGCGATCAAGGGATCTCAGGGTCGGACACCCGGCTTCCGTGACTTGATCAAGCTCTGCAGTCGATTGCATCGGCGTTTGCAACGATTGGGTGCAAAGACTGGCTTCGAACCTACACCGGAAAGTGTTGACGATGAGATCCTGTTGGACATTGTGGATATCTTCCTCAAGTACCTTCCTGAAAAGTCTATGCAAAGCTCTCTGGCATCCGTTGTATCTGAGGCACTTCAGATTTCGCCTCAGCGTGCCCAATTTTGCCTTAATGAACGCACACCTACCTACACGGACAAGAACAACTCACTCGTGCTTGGCCGTGAGACTCTTCAGAAGATCAAAGTTCCGAGTGGCTCAGCATTGAAGCTTGCAGCAGCAGCATCTCGCTTTGCTTCCACGAGATCCGCATTGGCGATCATGGAACAAGTCGCCGCTTCAGTGCAGATGGCAGAGCCTGTCCTACTTGTCGGAGAGACAGGAATCGGAAAGACCACTGTCATTCAACAGCTTGCTACCTTGATGCGTCAGAAGCTCACAGTTGTCAACTTGTCTCAACAGAGTGAGAGTACTGATTTGCTCGGAGGTTTCAAACCTGTCAGCATCCGTACCATGGCTGTGCCGTTGCTTGACGAGTTCACCCAGCTGTTTGAGCTCACATTCTCAGCAAAGAAGAACCAAAAGTTCCTTTCTTCCGTGTCTAAGTGTGTTCCTTCGGGTAATTGGGTCCGTCTGGTCAACCTATGGCATGAGGCTGTGCGCTTGGCAAATGGTGTCTTCAACCCTGCCAAGGAGACCGAGAATGGTGATGAGCAACCGGCCAAGAAGCGCAAGCTAGACTCTCCCAAATATCAATACCTGCGGCAAAGATGGGAAGGATTTGAGTCTCAACTTGCCGACTTCGAAGCTCAAGTTTCGCAAGGGGACGCCAAATTCGCCTTTGCCTTCGTCCAAGGTAAGATTGTGAGAGCTTTGAGGAATGGCGAATGGGTTTTGCTCGACGAAGTCAATTTGGCTTCTCCCGACACTCTGGAGAACATTGCCAGTCTTCTGCATCATGGCAGTGAGGGCTCTCCGTCTGTTCTCCTCTCCGAAGCTGGTGACGTTGAGAGAGTCTTTGGACATCCCGACTTCCGCATTTTCGGTGCCATGAACCCAGCAACCGATGCAGGCAAACGGGACCTACCTCCTGGCTTGCGATCTCGATTCACTGAAATTTACGTGCATTCCCCGGATACCGACTTGAACGACCTTCTCGCGCTTATCGAAAAATATCTCGGTAGCTTGACTTTGAGCGACCAGCGAGCTGCACCAGACCTTGCACAGTTATACATGGAGGTCAAGAAGCTTAGCAACGAGAACAAGCTTACCGATGGAGCTGGTCAACGACCGCATTTCAGTATTCGAACCCTTGTTCGCGCTCTCATCTATGTCATCGATCATGCTGGCATATATGGACTGCGTCGTGCGATCTTTGAAGGCTTCAGCATGAGTTTCTTGACAGTTCTTGGTGTAGAGTCTGAGCGATCTTTGATCCCACTCCTTGAGGCACACATCTTTGGCAACGCAAAAAATGCCAGGGCACTTCTTGGCCAGACCCCCAGGCCTCCCCAGGACGGTCACGACTATGTCCATTTCAAGCATTACTGGATGCGACGTGGTCCTCTGGTTCCCGAGGAGCAGCCTCACTACATCATCACGCCATTCATTGAGAAGAACCTGAAGAACCTTGTCCGAGCAAGCTCGACGCGGCGATTCCCTGTTTTGCTGCAGGGTCCGACGTCTGCAGGAAAGACCAGTATGATTGAGTATTTGGCCAAGGTCTCTGGCAATAAGTTCGTTCGGATCAACAATCATGAGCACACAGATCTGCAGGAGTACCTTGGTTCTTACATCTCTTCTGACGATGGAAGTCTGCGATATCAGGAGGGTGTTCTGGTAGAAGCTTTGCGCAATGGTTATTGGATCGTACTTGATGAGCTTAATCTTGCGCCTTCCGACGTGCTCGAGGCCATGAACCGACTCTTGGACGATAACCGAGAGCTGTTCATCCCTGAGACCCAAGAAGTTGTTCACCCTCACCCTAACTTTATGCTTTTTGCCACGCAAAACCCTGCTGGTCTTTACGGTGGTCGTAAAGTCCTGTCTCGTGCGTTCAGGAATCGTTTCCTTGAGCTGCATTTCGATGATATTCCGGAAAGCGAGCTAGAGTACATTCTGAAAGAACGATCTCAGATTGCGCCATCTTTCTGCACCCGAATCGTTTCGGTTTACCGCAAGCTCTCATTGCTGCGTCAATCCAACCGGCTTTTCGAGCAGAAGAACAGTTTTGCTACCCTTCGTGATCTCTTCCGATGGGCTCTTCGTGATGCGGATGATCGCGAACAACTAGCAGTGAACGGTTTCATGCTCCTTGCTGAGCGTGTCCGAAACCCTCAAGAGAAGGCTGCTGTCAAGGCTGTTATTGAAGAAGTCATGAAGGTCCGCCTGGATGAAGACGTTCTTTACAGTACTGAGCAGCTGGAGAAAAGTGTTCCTCAGATGACTGCGCTGCCATCTGGCATTGTCTGGACCAAGGCCATGAGACGCCTGTTCATTTTGGTCTCCAAGGCATTGAAGAATAACGAGCCAATCCTTCTTGTCGGAGAAACCGGATGTGGTAAAACACAACTTTGCCAGGCTGTCGCGGAGGCCTTTGGCAGAGAGCTGTTCATTGTCAACGCCCATGTTAATTTGGAAACTGGTGATCTCATTGGTGCTCAACGACCCATTCGAAATCGAGCAGCGATCGAAAAACAACTCTTAGAAGATTTACAACTCCTTGTACACGGTCGGCAGTGTGAATCCTCCTTCGACCAACTGAAACAGGACTTTGCGGCCCTTGATGCACAACAACGACAAGAAAAAGACCAGGAATTACGGCGCAAGGTGGAGAAAAATCTCATTCGATGCAATGCTCTTTTCGAGTGGTCCGATGGAAGCCTGATTACTGCCATGAAGAACGGTGAATTTTTCCTTCTTGATGAAATTTCTCTTGCAGACGATTCTGTTCTCGAGAGACTCAATAGTGTTCTTGAGCCAGCTAGATCGATTCTGTTGGCCGAGAAAGGCCCTGTTGATTCCATGGTTGTTGCTGAAGGCGGTTTCCAGTTCTTGTCAACCATGAACCCTGGTGGTGATTATGGTAAACGAGAGCTTTCAGCCGCTCTTCGCAATCGTATGACAGAAATATGGGCCCCCCCCAGCTATCGGAAGATGAAGATATCCTCCCCATTCTTCAAATGCGCCTGAACCTCGAACAAGAGCAAGTTGCTCGAGCGATGCTTCAGTTTGCCAAATGGTTCAAGACTACGTTCCAGAACACCTCGACCACTTCCCTTTCACTCCGTGATCTCCTCGCTTGGGTTGATTTCGTGAACACATGCCAAACTGCGGACCCCTTCTTTGCCATCATCCAAGGTGCAGCCATGGTCTTCGTTGATACACTTGGTGCCAACCCGGCCGCTATGCTCGCCATCTCTCTCAACAATCTGGACGGTAACCGTCAAAAGTGTCTTGACAAGCTGAGCGAATTGTTCAGTGCCGATGCCTCTAGGATTTACTGGGAATCATCGAATGTCACCCTCGAACCCGGGTTCCTTCGAGTAGGACCTTTCTCCCTTCCCACTGCCGGGGAAACCGAACCCGACCCACAGTTCACTATGGATGCTCCAACGACCATCGCAAACTCCGTGCGCATTGCTCGTGGCCTGCAGTCGTCGAAGCCTATCCTTATGGAAGGTAGCCCCGGTGTCGGCAAAACCACGCTGGTGACAGCCCTTGCAAAGGCTCTTGGGAAGCCCCTCACACGAATCAACCTTTCGGAGCAGACCGATCTTACTGACTTGTTTGGTTCCGACGTTCCGGTAGAAGGTGGAGATGTCGGTCAATTCACTTGGCGTGACGCTCCATTCCTCCGAGCCATGCAGCGTGGTGACTGGGTTCTTTTAGACGAAATGAACTTGGCTTCACAATCTGTTCTGGAAGGTCTCAACTCTTGTCTGGATCATCGCCAACAAGTCTACATCGCCGAGCTTGACCAAACATTCAAGCGTCATCCCAACTTTGTCCTCTTCGCTGCGCAGAACCCGCATCACCAAGGTGGTGGCCGAAAGGGCCTCCCAGCATCTTTCGTCAATCGTTTCACAGTCGTCTATGCAGACAGTTTCACTGATGCAGACTTGAAGAGAATCTGCGCGAAGCTTTTCCCTGGTAGCCCTACCATGCAGACAGAGAGACTCGTTGATTTCATTTCTACCTTGAACCGAGCCATCACAACGGAGCGCCGACTTGGAGCTATTGGCGGCCCATGGGAAGTAAATTTGCGTGACATCCAGCGATGGCTTCAGTTGGCGGATCGAGGCGATTTGCAGATTCCTACCAAGCATTTTCTGGATGTTGTCATTAACCAAAGATTCAGAAGTGAAGAAGACCGAGTAGTGGTCTCGCAGATATATGACCATATCTTTACGGACTCAGATATTAACCAAAAGAGCTACTTCCACAACCTTACGCCTGAGTATCTACAGGTTGGTCTTGGAGTCTTGACCCGTGATCCTCTCCTCCAACGCTCAGTTGATCCAAACATGAAGTTTCTTCCAAAAGATCTCCACATCCTCGAGTCGCTCATCCTTTGTATCGACAACTCCTGGCCGAGTATTCTGGTTGGAGCCGCGGGATGTGGTAAAACTACACTGATCAGGAAGCTTGCGGCTATTAATGGTGCCAACCTTGAGGAGCTGGCTCTCAGTGCTGATACCGACACCATGGACTTGATTGGTGGGTTTGAACAAATTGACCACCGGAGAGAAATCTCATCATTTGTCCACGACGTTGAGCTTTTCTTGCGGCATCAGATCGTCCACTCTTTCGCCTCAGGCGACATCTCTGACGCTGTGGCTTCGGCTCTTTGGATATGCCAGCACTTCCAAAGCTCGGAAACTTCGCTGGAAACCGTAGTCTCCTCTCTGTCCGAACTCTGCCTGTCCTATCAGGATCCTACTTTGCAAGACTTCCTCGCTAGATCTCAGAAGCTGTGGGAAACCATTCGCAACACTGACAAGATGAAGGTTGGGTTTGAGTGGACTGAGGGTGTTCTGACGCGGGCTGTTCAGAATGGATACTGGGTGGTTCTTGACAATGCAAACCTTTGCAATCCCTCCGTCTTGGACAGACTGAACTCTTTGACTGAGCCGAACGGTACTCTCATCCTCAACGAACAGCGCACCGAAGATGGTTCGGCTCGCATCATCACACCTCACCCGAATTTCCGTATCTTCTTGACCATGGATCCTCGAAACGGTGAGCTTTCTCGTGCTATGCGAAACAGATGTGTCGAGATCTGTTTCATGTCAAGCGAGGTTAAAGACATCCCTGCCACAGTCGGACCTGCCTACACTTGCGAATCCTCCCTTTACAGACTGCGTAATCTCTGGGATTTGGAGACTGTCTCGTCCACGGATCTTCAAGACTTTGTGGACGTCTGTCTTGATCATCTCTCACCAGTGGACTTTTTCTATCTCCAGAAGTCGTCTGGCACCTGTTTGCCCAGTTATCCTAATGCTGAAGTGAAGCAAATTGTCCAAAATGCCCTGCAACGTCGGTTCTCTAATCTTCGAGAAAATGAACATTGGAAACCTCTCAACGCGATTGCTGGGGGTATTGTTATGGGTGGAGCCTCTTTGAGTTTAAAGGGATCACTGCAGCCAATTCATCGCCTGGTCAATGAGCCGCTTTTGTCTGTTACAGGAGGCAGGGACTACCGCTCAGACATAGTCATTCTCGCCTACCTTGAAGAATTCAGGCTCGACATTCATCGCCTTCGACAGAAGTTGGTCCAAGCCAACGAGTCTGGGTTGCAGCTTAAGCCGAGTGAGATGACGCGCCTTGAGCGATCGTTGGCATCGACCCGGATCCAATCATTGATGAAAGATTCGACGCAGCCCGTTGGCTTCTTCTTGTCTGAATGTGGCCAGGCCATGTACGACTACATCCAAAGCCTGGATGAGACGAGCCTTCGAATCCCTGAGGTTGTGGCAGCACTTCGTACCATCATCTGCCTGTGCTGGGATATGTACCGCGCGACAAACGTCAGCCAAGTTGACGAAGGCGAATTCCAAGTCTATCTGCAGATAGGTCGGAAGGTCTGCGCATCGTTGCTCAAGTCTTCACCTGTGTTGAAGCCATTAGAAAGGGCACTATCTCACGCACTTGCTCAGTTCAAAGCTGGCTGGGCAATGACTACTGGTCTTAGCATGCAAAAGATTTGGGACTCCTGGAGACATATTACCCCCCTCCACCCAAGAGCAGCTAAACTCCTTAATCGAGCTTGAGACTACTGTCTCCGAATTCACATCTCTTGCCTTGCAAACACGTGTGGAGCTATCTCAGCTGAGCCGTGTCTGGGATTCGTTGGTTACGGCTCAGCAATTCATCCTCCGGGATGGCGCCGATGGAGATGCTCTCATTCAGAGTATCAAGCAGACTGTGAGTGAGCTTGGCCAAGCTGTCCGAAGATCTGACTCCGCCCAATATCCCTATTTCTCTGAAGAATTTGAGGCTTTGTGTCAGTACCATGACATTTCATCGGGTATGGATCAAAATGAAGCCGCTATCAAATCCGTTGTGCCCTTGCTTGCTGGTCGCCCTGCCCGCTCACTCGACTCTTCGGCCTCCAAGAGCCAAGTTCCCGAGCTCCTTCAGCGAGTTGCATCCTTCTCCGGTACTGCGAAAGAATCAAGCTCTCCATTGGCAATTGGCGGTGTTTTGTCATTGTCATTGTTGGAACGATTGGCTTCGGTTGGCAACACGACTTTGGGCCAAATGGATATTCTCCAGGCCGAGAAGCAGGCGCTTTCAAAGGCCCTCTCTTTGAGCAGTCAACAAATTGCTATGGACCAAGCTGGCAGCCTCAAACGCGTTCTTGCTACCCTCACCTTGCAGTTGATTGCTTGTCATAGAGAGCTCTTGGAGTCTCAATGCGCCGAAGGACTCATCTCTGTTCTACAGACCATCGAAGCAGGCCATTTCGTGGAGACGGTTCCTTCCATCTCGTTGCGCCTTGATCAGAGTGTTCGAGATGGCCATTACTTCAAAGCTTTCGCCGAACATGCCATCCCAACTCTCGTTCGATTGTTGGCTTCTGCTTCTCCTAACAGCAACGAGAACATTCATTCTACTGGCCTCGCGGCAGTTCAGCTGGCCGTCATTCTTTTGCGACTTTTCGTGCCCGACAAGGCCTTTGATCCTTCCCTTGGGATAGTAGTTCAACGCACGCGTCATTATCAACGTCTTGATGAAATCAGTGCCAAGTCGCACGCCCTTCTTGTCTTCGAGGATTCCTTCTCCGGCCAGCCTTCAAACTTGCGCTCTGTCCTCTTGCAAGAAGAGATCCGAGAATTAGGATCTGCTCCTCCTCCCTCATCTGTGACCCGCCCTCAGAAATCTGAGCTCGGCCTACTACATGGCGAGTTCACAAACTTGATCAACTCCATTCTCAACAGGAATCCAGACCAGATGGTTGGATCTGAAGAAAGGGCTTTGAGGTCCCAGGAAATGATTCAGCTCATGAGAAACAATATCGAACAGCTCAGCAACCGCCTCAGCTCGCACTACAGATCGTACGACGACATCACTGTGCCCGTGGTCCGCTTCCTTCAGCTTCTTGATGTGGGTCTTTTCTTAGTCTCCAAACAGACTGATAAGGTCGGCGAAGCTCTTGACATCCAGTCTTTGAGCAACCACACCCCATTCTTGGGAGGTTCACTTCACCCTATTCTTTCCGAAGCCGCCGTCAGCCAGCCCGCAAGCTCAACTAATCTGGTTGAGATGCGACTCCATGAGCTATCCGCTCTCTGGGCGGCCAAGGATGCAGATTCATCTGTCCTTGGCCTCAGATCGGCGCGTGATACAATTCGTCACGTCTTCGCTGATTTCCATCATTTATGGAAGACTAGACTCAGAGAGGACCAGGAGAAGGAAGCCGAGAAGTCCGAACTTTACCGTTTCAAGGGATCATGGGAGGATGAGGAAGAAGTCAATGAAACTGAATTGAACGAACTCTTCCCTACTTACGAGCAGGAGAATCTGCCTAATGCAGATGAGGTTGGGCGCATCGATCCCAAGATGATTGCTGTCCGCCTGGCCGCCCTTCATGCGAAGATTGTGTGCGACAAGCGTACCGGTCAGGCTCTGACCACTTTTGTAAAGGATACTGGTCGCCTGCTAGGGGACCATGTGGTCCAACAGCAAGGGTCATTTCGCACCAGTGCCACCGCAACACCACCTTTCGCCGGTGTTCCTACTTCTCGACGATGTTGTAGGCGAAGATACTCTGGATCGAAAGAAGAACTACAACTTCTATACCGATTCCAATATCGCCGAAGCCAGAAGGCTCGTGACTTTGACCCTCTCGATCCAAGCTCGCTTTGTCCAGATCCAGACTGCATGGCCCGAGCATACTATTCTCCACGACGTTATCACTTGCTGCTCGGAGATCCTCCAATTCAAGCATGTCGAACCCGTCGCCAAGTTTATTACCAAGGTCGAGAAACTCTACTCCCTGGTTCATGAATGGCAAGTGGTGGCCAGCAGGGAGTATTCCGCCGCACCTCTTTATGACGAGATCACGAACCTGATCGTTGCTTGGCGTCGCCTCGAGCTTACAACATGGGCGAAGCTCCTGGATATTGAGAAAGAGCGTTGTATCGACGATGTTAGTGCTTGGTGGTTTGTCGCATATGAAGCACTCTTCGCCGTGCCTATCCAAATGGCCGAGGCTGGAGAGAAAGACATGAGCGAACACATCCAAGGTGTCATTTCAACTCTGGAACAGTTCTTCAACACCACCACACTCGGCCAGTTCAGCCGCCGTCTTCAGCTTGTTACTGATTTCCAAACTATTCTTACCGTCTTCGGTAAAGACTATGATTGCCTGATGCCGCTAGTCTCCGCTCTTAATAACTTTTTGTCTCACTACCGACCATTTGAGCCCACTGTGGACAAGAGTTTGCAGGACAAGCGATCGGCTTTGGAAAAGGATATCAAGGAACAGATCCAGTTGGCAAGCTGGAAGGATACCGGTATCGTTGCCTTGAAAGAGAGTGCCAGAAGGTCCCATGTCAAGTTGTTCAAGCTGGTTCGCAAATATCGCGCGGTGTTGGGCGAGTCTGTCCAGCCAATCCTTGAACAAGGCGTTCCCGATTCCGGGGAAAACAGTGTCTTTACATCGGAGCCGCAGAATCTGGCGACTATTGTCATTCCCGAGGCCCTCTCAGCCTGTCAGAAGAGCAGTGATGTCTGGTCATCGAGAGCCCTCCGTTTCCAGAACCCGGATGGAACGGCTCGAAACATGCAGAATCTGTATTCAGCTATATCATCTGAGTTTGATATAGCCAAGGACCTTGATGAGTTCGTTGTATCTGTTATTGAGACCATGGATGAGTTCAAGAGGTCAACTCCGAAGACCTTGACTGAGGACAACAAGGATGACGTCCAGCACCTCAAGGTCCAGAAGCGCCGTCTCTACGCTGACACCTTGAAACAACTTTTCGAGATGGGTGTTAAACGCAATGCTGGAACAGCCATCATTGAAACGCAGGCATCCATCGCCCAGGTTCTGTCTACGAGTGCTGCCTTTGAGGTCGGCGCTACAGCCTCAGCCTCGATTCGCAGTGCCGAGTCATACTTCCATCGATTGCTTGACCTTCTGCCCCGCGCTCGTCTGGCATCTCGCAACTATTCTGAGGAGCTAAGCAATGTTGAAGTTTCCAGGAGTATGGGCTCGATTGAGCATCTACTATTCCTGATTCGCCGCCAGAGAGGCATTCTTTCACCTGCACTTTCTGGTCTTGGACATCTCAAGGCTACACTAAACAAGATGCAGAACTTGTGGTCAATTGGTTCGGCTTCGCTCACTAAGCTCGGCCCTTCTGCCATCGAAGAATGCATCGGTCTTACCAGAGTTGTCGCATGGCTGACCCCGATCCTTGGACTTGCCTCCGACATCGTTGAAGTCCATGCTAAGTTCTCGAGTGTCAACACATCAACAATCCTTGAAGGGCTTAGAGCTAAGAAGACCACCTTTGATGACTTACGCAAGTCTCTCGAGTCACTTCCTGCGCTTCCTCCCGGCATCGCATCCCAATCACAACAGGAGCTTACCCAGCGAGCTCGGTCTTCTCTCGCTCAACTTAGTGTTGACCTTAGCCGGTGGGCACAGGATCGACCAGACCTCGCTTTTGCTTTGGATCAAGTTACGCCTTGGACTCAAGCAAGCCAAATTGTCCTTCCGGATCTCAGTAACACAGACAACGTCTCGATTGAAAGCTTCGACAACAGCCTTCTGGCTGCCATTGACAAGATGCTTGTCGGTCTGCAACGCCTCAAGGACGTGCCTACTGGTATTGACTTTGGTGGTCTGCTTTCACGAAGCGACGAGTTCTTCTCCCGGGCCTCGAAGGCTGTTCACCTCAGCGACATCAACTCATCGCTGGTGATAGTTCTCGACCAGCTGCAGCACCTGCAAGACAACTCTGCCAAGACTCTCCCCATTGCCGTTGCTTTGGTTGCCAGTATCCTGCCCATTGCTAATACATACTATCTTATCTGCCACAATCTGGTCGACCGCTTTGTCTCGGTTCATCGCCAAGTTTGCAAGACCTCCTACATTTTGACAAAGACCTTTACTACGGTGGCGTCAGAAGGCCTATGTAGCCCTGCTGAGGCATCGCAAGAAGAGGGCAAAGAAGGCCAGATGGAGAGTGGTACTGGTCTTGGTGAGGGTGAAGGTGCCGAAGATATCAGCAAAGACATCGGAGACGACGAAGACCTTTCAGAGCTCGCTCAGCAGCAGAACAAGGAAGACACCAAAGACGAAATGGATGATTCTGCCGATGCTGTGAACATGGACCAGGAAGAACTGGAAGGCGAGACTGGCGAGAACAAAGATGAGGAAGATGAGGAAGACGAAGACAAGAGCGGCGATGAAGGAGAAGACGACATTGACGAGGAAGTCGGCAGTGTCGATGGTCTTGATTCTGGTGCTGTTGACGAGAAGCTGTGGGACGGCGCCAATGATGACCAGCAAAAGGAGACCGAGAACGAGGAAGGAAAGGGTCAAGAAGAGGCTGATCAGCAAGCTGCAGCCCAAGAACAACAGAAGGAGGGCGAAGAAGCTAAGAAAGGAGAGGAAGGAGAAGAGGAAGAAGAGGGTGATGAAGAGGATGAGGAGGAGGCCCCGGATGATGAAGGTGAAGCTGTTGGTCGTGAGGATATGGATGTCACAGATCCTCAGGCCAAGGAAGAGGAGACCTTGGAACTCCCCGAGGAAATGCAGCTCGATGGTGACGACATGGACGGTGGTGATGAAGGTGAAGGTGAAGATGACGATGGTATGGATGATCTCGATGACATGGGTCCTCTTCCAGAAGACGAGCAGAAGGCCAACGAAATGGACGATCAGCCTGGTGATGAAGATGCGGACATGCCGCCGGACGAGCAAGCGCCTGGCGAGGATGACGAGATGGCCGACGGTGAAGATACCAACGAAGGGGAAGGAAAAGAAGAAGAAGAAGAAGAGGCCGGTGGGGAGGATCCTGAAGAAGCTCAGCAGGACGAATTCCTTGCTAAGCGCGATGACAACGAAGAAGCTGGTGAAGATGTTGCCCCTAGCGAAGCAGTCACCGGTGGCCTTGGTGCCGACCAGGACCAGAACGATGACAAGGGTGCCTCGGGTGACGCACAACAGGAGAGTGGTGAGAACGACCCGACTGCCAGCGCCGAGCAACAGACCGGTGCTGCCGAGGACAGTGAAGAAAGCAAACGGAGTCGCGACCATGGCGGTGCCGAGGATTCAGCTCCCAACGATCCTCAGATCCAAGCATTCAAGAAACTCGGGGATATCCTCGAGGAATGGCACCGTCGCCAGAAGGAGGTGCTGAACCCGTCAGAAGAGGATGAGGAGTCGCAGCCTCTACCCCAAGACACTGATATGGCGGATGCCGACTTCGAGCACCTGAAGGATGATGACGACCAGGCAGATACTCAAGCTCTGGGACAAGCCAACGAGGACCAAGCTCAGGGTCTCGACCAGAACAAGGGTGTTGAATCCGAGAACCAGCCGGGAGAGAACACTCTGCCAGATGTCACAGATGACAACCAAGAGGCTTTAGATAACCAGCTCCACGACGAGATGGAGCTGGATCGAGATAACCTGCCCACTGATGGCCAATCTGGAACTTTCATTCCTGGAAATCACATGTCTCGCGACAATGCAGAGGGCGCCCTGGGCACCGAAGATGTCAATGATGAATTAGATGAAGTCGATTCGCAACTCGCGGCCATCCATCTCTCGTCTACGCTCCCACCTCTGACCCCAGAGCCCGAAGCTCGCCGTCTCTGGTCTCGCTACGAATCTGCTACGAACGACCTGTCTCTGTCTCTTACTGAACAGCTCCGTCTCATTCTCGCGCCCACCCTCGCAACCAAGCTTCGCGGCGATTTCCGCACGGGCAAGCGCCTGAACATCAAGCGCATCATCCCCTACATCGCTTCACAGTACAAGCGTGACAAGATTTGGATGCGTCGTTCCATTCCCTCTAAGCGCAACTACCAGATCATGCTTGCCGTCGACGACAGCAAGTCCATGCTTGAAAGCGGCAGTGGCCAACTTGCTTTTGAGACTCTAGCCTTGGTTGCTAAGAGTCTTAGCATGCTCGAGGTCGGAGACCTTTGTGTCCTCGGGTTCGGTGATGAAGACCATGTCCGCGTGGCCCATGAGTTTGGCAAGCCGTTCTCCTCCGAGGCAGGCATGCAGGTCTTCCAGCACTTCAGTTACCAGCAAACCGGCACCAATGTGCGGAAGCTGATTGCTGACTCTATCGCTCTCTTCCGTGAAGCGCGCTGGAAGCGATCCCCCGGGTCTGGTTCCGCAGACCTGTGGCAGCTCGAGTTGATTATTTCCGATGGTATCTGTGAGGACCACGATACCATCCGACGTCTCGTGCGCCAGGCTCTCGAAGAGCGCATTATGATCGTCTTCGTCATTGTCGATGCTGTGAAGAGCAGCTCCATTCTCGACCTTTCGCAGGCTAGCTTCGAGGCTGATCCTGACTCCAATGGTGAGATGAAGCTGAAGATGAAGCGCTATCTTGAAGGTTTCCCCTTCCCTTACTACCTTGTTGTTCGTGACGTCCGTGAGTTGCCGGCTGTCCTGGCTACTGCGCTGAAACAGTGGTTCGCTGAGGTGGTGGATGTCTCTTCTTGAGAACAAAAAAAATGGGTTGCAATATTTGGAGTTTTGATATTTAGGGGGCGTTGGGCATTTGTACATGATAGATTCTACTAGACATTTTTTGTACATGGAATGAACAGTACACTTCTTGTTAATGTCACATGATCAGTCGCGAAATCTTTTAATTGGTATCTTGGGATTGTAATGTACTCGAAAACGCCTGGAACATGCACAGACTACCATCCATACTTGGAACCGGCCTCTTTCTTGTTTCTTCTGCCTGTGGCAAAGCTCTCCTCCAGCGCCTCTTTCTGTGAGCTCGCGGCGTTGACCAGCTGCTGCAGAGAATGTTTGCCCGGTGCAATTGCACGGACCGGATTGTGCTGTGTAGCAGCCAGTTCAGTCTTTGCAAGCACCTGATTTGTAGCATACTCTTTGTCCGTGTTGAACTCGAGGATGCGAGCCTCAGCTGACGGCACATTGCGGCCAAAGAGCTGTCGTCGCTCTGCCTTGGAAAGCTTCAGGTCATTGGCGATGTTGTCCAATGTTGAAGCCTGCGAAGGGACCGTTGCAGCTGCCGAATCGTTCGCAATGGCAGAGTCAAACTCAGGCGCGGGCACTGGGCCTGCAGATGCGGACTCGGCTTCATTGCTGTAAATCAAGGGCTCGTACGTCCCTGATGAGTTGGGGATCTCATCTGCCCGGCTCGTGTCTTCAGAAGACAGAGAGAAGAGACTGACTTTCGGCTTTGGAGGAGCTGGCGCAGCAGGTGCTGTTGTAGTTGGCTGCGGTGCTACTGTGTCTGCGGGTTGACCTGTAAGTGCTGGCGTTGAGGGTCGGGGTTGGGGCGTGATCTTTGTCGTCTTCTTCTTTTTCTGGTTGCGTGCCACAGACAAAGGCCTGAACATCATGGGGTTTCCCTGCAATTTGACCTCCCCGATTTCTGTCTTTATCGGCGCATCAGTGGTCGTGATTTGCGATCCCAGGCTTCCAGCCGCCGGGATGGTAGCGTCATCTCCAACGGCATCAGCGTTGAAAGCGAAATCGTTCCTCATCTCAGCATCGGCCTCGCGGCTAAAGCCAGGCGTCGCGCCTGTCTTCAGGCTGAACACCTTGCGTGTCGTGGCCACCGGTGCTTTCTGCTCCGCCTTCCTCGGCGCGGGGAGGAAGGAGTTGAATCCGGAGAATGCACCTCCACCCCCTACTCGAGGCTTCTTGCGTGCCGGTCCATCTTCGTCCTGACCGAGTGTGTGCTCGGGCTTGATCTCCGGGAGCGCGACCTGGATCTTGCGCGGGTTGCTGCGATCGATGCGGAATCCAGAGCCGGACTCGGGTTTCTTCGTGGTGGAGGGGGCGGCTGTATTTTCAGGTTCGGCGTCAGAGCCTTCAGAATCGGAATATGCGACCAGCGCCATGGTAGGTGTTGTAGATGATGGGGCAACTAGAAGATGGCAGTGTTATCTCATTACCTCATAGGCCTAGGTGCCTTAGTGCCTGAGTGTACTTGTGCTTTTGCCTTAGTGCCTTGGTGCCTTGGTGCCTCGATCAGTCCCAGTTTTACATCTGCCTCAGGCCTCAAAGTCCACGAGCCCGATCCTGATCCGATTACTCAGCCAAGATGAGGGATCGTAGGATGAATCGGAGCAACTATACGACATTCGAATTGGATTTGACAATAGGATAAAGTCAAAGTAAAACTATTACGGCCGATCCGCCGCATGCGAAAGCATTGAGACAAATGATAGCATCTCCCCCTCGACAGCGTATACTTGAGAGTAGAGTAGGTTACCAGGTCGTAACGTCATCGGTTGCTGGGGGCGGTGATCCGGTTTCTCCGTCGACGGGATTGCACTCATAGCTATGATACGTGAAGGATACCAAGCTCTCGATGTATGGTAAGCACTGTCTAGGGCCCCGTCACAGGATGTTTTGTAAAATAAAAGAGAGAGAAAACGAGTATAGCGAGGGAGTGAGAAGATCTGGACAAAGAAAGACTTGAAACGCCGACGGCACCTGGCCCTTCATTTGAACCGGCCAACTTGTCACGAGTACTCTGCTCTCATGAACGTGTTCGAAGAAGTCATCCCTCTTCTTCCCAAAACTCACCAAGAGTCCTGAATATCGAGGCAGTGGAGCAGCCGGGATCCGAAGGAGAAGAGGAGCGAGATCAATGCGTCATTTCCCTGCCCCTCCCCACCTTCCTCTCTGGACATCTCCCTCTCTTCTTATGGCCCTCGCCCTTCGTCCTCCATGCCGAGTCTAGGAGGCCTGTTGAAAAAACGGCGCAAGGACTCGCAAGACCTCGCGTCGGAGCAAGCATCCGATCCCTCTAACGAGAACCAAGACGGTTCAAGCGCCTCCATGCAACCCGCCGTGCCGTCACAAGCATCTCCGCACCAGCAGGCCCAGGGGTCCAGCAATGCCGCCAGCATCAATAATATCATAAATGCCCCGGCCAATGCCAGCCAGAGTACCCAGAATGCTTCTCAGGCACCCTTTCAGGCTCAACAAGCCCAGAGCCAGGGCCAGAGCCAGAGCCAGCAGCCCCAGAAAGAGCGCACTACGAGGGGCAAGTACTCACAGGAGGATTTCTTGTTGCAGCGCACCCTCGGCACTGGTAGCTTTGGCCGTGTCCACCTCGTCCAGTCCAAGCACAACCATCGTTTCTATGCTATGAAGGTGTTGAAAAAGGCCCAGGTGGTCAAGATGAAGCAAATTGAGCATACCAATGACGAGCGACGTATGCTGAATCGGGTCCGGCATCCATTCCTCGTCACTCTTTGGGGAACATGGCAGGATTCGCGGAACCTATACATGGTGATGGACTTTGTAGAGGGTGGCGAGCTGTTTAGCTTGCTGCGCAAGTCCCAGGTGAGTTTATCAGTCAATCGTGCCCTTTGTGTGCGTTATCTTAACTTTCGTCCCCGCAGCGATTTCCCAACCCCGTCGCCAAATTTTACGCTGCCGAAGTCACGCTCGCCTTGGAGTACTTACACGCACATCAAATCATCTATCGTGATTTGAAGCCCGAGAATCTTTTGCTAGATCGTCATGGTCACTTGAAAATTACAGATTTCGGATTCGCCAAGGAAGTGCCTGATATTACTTGGACCCTATGTGGTACACCCGACTACCTAGCCCCCGAAGTAGTCTCTTCCAAGGGCTACAACAAGTCTGTTGACTGGTATGTTTTTGTTACCCCTCCACGCCCTACCAACTGTCTAATTTCTTCAGGTGGTCTTTGGGAATTCTTATCTTTGAAATGCTGTGCGGGTTCACTCCTTTCTGGGACAGCGGGTCTCCTGTCAAGATCTACGAGAACATCTTGCGAGGCAAAGTCAAGTACCCGCCTTATTTGCACGACGATGCCGTGGATTTGCTCTCTCAGTTGATCACCTCTGATCTCACCAAGCGTCTGGGTAACCTGCACGGCGGTCCCGACGATGTCAAGAACCACGCCTGGTTCGCTGAAGTCACCTGGGACCGTCTGGCCCGCAAGGACATCGACGCGCCCTATATCCCACCCATCCGTGGTGGCCAGGGTGATGCGAGCCAATACGACAAGTATCCCGAAGAGACGGAGCACTACGGTCAGGTGGGCGAAGATGCGTAAGTTCTATTCGACCTTCACTTGAACAACCCCATACTAACCAAAGTAGTTATGGCCACCTTTTCCCCGACTTCTAATCGTGTCTGTATGATTTATGACGAGATGAAAGCCCGCACGGAAATGTATTGGGCCCGGCGGTGCTAGCAGGGAGGCGCTGGGAAAACCTTAAGAAATGTCTTGGAATCTTGGAAGTCTACCCGATCTTGGATCGTATATTAAAGCAACTGAAATCGAGCTTTTGTTTTTTTTTTTCCTCCGCCTCGATGCAAAGGGATGTTTATAACGGGACCTCGTGTCTCCAAATGAACCACGCCTATAATGTACACAGGCTCTGAGGCCGTCAATATTCGTACAGATCTTCCATGATAATCCATCCTTCACTTCCTCGTATCAATTAGACCCGATAGTCTACTGGGTACCCATAGCGACCAGGGCAGAAGCATCGCCGCCCATTTTCTTGCTCTCCTGGGAGACACGGGCAATGTAGGTGCGGCTGGTGACGTTCCACATGGCAATGTACTTCTCCATGCAGCTCGACAGGCAACCGCTCTCCTTGGACGAAAGCGAGGTGCCCGGGGCGGGAACACAGGCGTCGTAGCAGTGCTCGTTAATTTTCTATCAACGTGTTAGCTGAGGTAAATGCGGTGGGGAGAGAGACGGTGACGTACTCCGATCAGAGCGCGGGCATTGCTCATAGCCGCCTCCTGCTGCAGCTGCTGCACGAGGGCGGCCTTGATCTCCTCGGAGGACTTGGAAGGGGCGGTAGTAGAGGAGCCGAATAGTGACATGGTGAATGTGATGGTATGGTGTGGTTGGGTGAAGGTTGAAGATCGAAGTCGAGTTCAAGGATTGAAGCTTCCGCTGTGGCTGGTGGACCTGCGCCACACCTGATGTGGACACCTTACAGTGCGCATCTACACGAACGCCATGCTCTCAACTCTTCTACTTTCTTGACTTCTTCCGGCATTCGCTCCCTCTGCCTTCTTCCCTTTCTCAAATCTCTCTTCTCTGGGTTTCTGGGTTCTCGGGTCCTGGTGACACCGATTAGCCCTCATCCCACTCTACTCCCCACCTCCGGTCTCTCTTTGAGCAGCCCACCGGGCTCTAATTCGATCCTCCACCATGCGTCTGCCCGCCCTTTCTTCCCTTCTCTGCCTCGTCGGCCTGGCCGCGCTGCCTACAACTGCCTACGAAGGTGACCCTGATATCAAAAGCATTCCGGTAGGCCGCTGTTTTTTGACACATTGAGCGCAACCGAGGTACTGATTGCAATCGCTGTATAGCTTCGAACCCACAGTCTCAGTCCGGTATGAGTCTCCTCGGCTCAGTGCAGCTTATCTACGATGCGCAATCCGAGCTTCCCGTCTCGTCATGTTCGAACGCGCCCTTGTTAACGCACGCGATAGCCATACCTCGATTCGGACTTTCAAAGCCGCTGGTTCGACTTCGGAGGAGATACAATCATTCGGGCTGATAAGTGAGGCTCTTTTTCCGGAACTCTGAAAGGGCCGTGCGACTCATTAATTATTCTTGCCAGATACGTTCGTCTCACGGCCGATCGACCTTCGCAGCAAGGATGGATCTTCTCTCGCGTGCCTCTGACTGCGACCAATTGGCAGGTAAGAAGGAATACTAGCTCTGAATGATGCTCAATAAGCTGACATGATTCAGATTGAGCTGGAATTCGCTATCCACGGCGTGGGCAACTTGCATGGCGATGGTTTTGCCATGTGGCTCACAAAACAGCGCGCCACCCAGGGCCCTGTCTTCGGTTCTACAGACCGATTCGAGGGCTTGGGCATCTTCGTAGATACGTACAAGAATAATCGCCCCGGCGTGTCTTTTCCCTACGTCATGGCCATGATGGGTGACGGATCGACTACCTACGACCAGGCGCACGACGGCAAGGCCAACGAGCTGGCAGGATGTTCGGTATGTTCGCTCGTAACATGATATCAACGAGACTCTGAACTCACGAAATTTCTAGGCTCGCGGACTACGCAGCGCTCCCGTTCCTACCAAGTTGCGCCTGACCTACTTCCAAGACAAGTCCCTCACTCTAGACCTCCAGTACAAGACTGAGGACTCGTGGACCAACTGCTTTACTCTCAACGCTGAGGAAACCAACATCGCCATTCCCTCAGTCGCCTACCTGGGTCTCTCCGCTGAGACCGGTGAGCTGAGCGATAACCACGATATCATCTCCCTCAAGGCCGAGAATCTGTACTCTCTGAACCGTAACAGCGGCAGCCGAGGCTCTGACAGCACTAAGGGCCGTGGACGTGGCGGTTCCAACACCAAGCCTCCCAGGGAGAAGGGCAGCTGGACATGGTTTCTGTTCAAGGTTGTCTTGTTCTTCGGTGCTATCGTGGGTGGCTACTTCGGATACACGATCTACCGTACCAAGGCACGGTCGTCGCGTTTCTAAGCTGATCGAGCTCAGGGTAACGTGAAAAGCGGGAGTTTCCTCAATATCAGATATGATATATTGTGCTCCGGTTTTGTTGGCTGAATGTTTTGGTCTTGCATAGCCTTGAATGCGTGTGGTTCTTTTTTGCGTTCAAATGTTGTTTCCAAGCATTATATCTCCTTTTTTTTTTTTCTTACTCACAATATTGAATGAATCCAGTCATGATAAGCTTCATAGTTGTACATCAATTGTGCTTTTATGTGAAAAAAGAAATGCAGTATAAGGGGTATCGTAAACGCCACGCAAATGCAACACCAACCTCGGGGGATCTCAATCGAGTCCTATCGCAATTGCATCACCGCCGCTCTTCGTTCCACATGCGATCGATAATCTGAAACACCTCGGTCACACTTCGCAAAACCACCTCATCAATGCCCAGAGCACCGTACCGATGCTGCATCTTATCCGGATGCCAACGCACACGCTCAACCTTAAGCGTCGCCGAAAGATCCCCGCCAGGCACATGGCGCATAAAGTCCTGAACAGAACCAGGATTCACATCCCGACGTTTGCCAGACTCAACAGGCCAGAATAAAAGATTCCTCAACGGCTTCACTGAAGCATCCTTAGACTCAGAAGCCTCAGAGCCCTTGACAACCCTCGCGATCTCCTCCCAACTAGCCAAATAAGCCTTCCAGGCCTCTTCCCAAACCTTTCTCTTCTTCCTCTCCGCTCCCCCTCCTCAAACTGTCCTCCATGGCCTTCTCAAAGGCCCTTCTCTCCTCATCCCTCCCCCGACCCCGCTGCTCGTTCATCTTAGCCCTCCTCCTCTCCTCCCTCAGTCTCTCCTGTTCCTCCAGCATACCCTCGCGAGTCCGTTCCCACATCCTCGCGCGCACATAGGCAGCGTATTCCTCGTCGTCCATACGCTCCAACTCCCCATCGGGTCCTTCGACCTCTGGGACGGCGTAGGTGTGGATCGGTTGGCCATAGACGCTTTGCCAGTATGCAGCGCCTTCGTCATCGCCTAGCGCATCGAAGAGAGATTCGCGAAATGCGACGCTGGGAGAGATGCCGGGGTTGCTTTCATCTTTTGGGCACGGAGAATGGTCCCTGTGGCGCCTTTTGGAGGGGCGGGAGCTGTGTCTTGGGCTGTGACTCCGATGGTGTCTTTTTGAGCGGGATGAATGGGAGCTTCGAGAGTGGTCTTTGTCGCGGGACGAGCTGCTTTTGAAGCGGAAGCGGCCTTTGCCTTGGTTTGATTTGTATTCTTTCTTCGGGTCGATTGATTTGTTTGGGGACCTTTCTGATTGATTATCAAGGCCCTCGGTTTGAGACTCCATTATCAAGGATAAAATCTGGGCCCTGGCGAGTTCGTAGAGTGAAAGATCAGGATGAAGTAGGTGGTGGAACGCGGAACTTGGGCAGTCCTTATCGCTTATCGCTTATCGGCAGATCTATACACGAAGTTTATCGACTTTTATCGCGATTTACGCTGGGAGGGGGCAAAAGGTTGAAAAGTTCATCAGATTGGTATGAGAAACAGGAGATACACAGACGCCCCATTCCATAGATTTGCTCCTATATAACGCGTCTTACCCGAATCAAAATGATAAAAGATTCAAATGCGATAATGCGCCATGTTCTTCTTGATCTCGTCCACGATCTCAATGGCTTCTAGCGCATTCCGTGCTTCAAAGTCGTACCTTTTCTGTTCTGTGGCATCATTTCCGCGCAGAACCACGACCCGGAAGCTCTTCGGGTGCCGCCGACTGACTTTGCAGCCCACCACGTCATTGAAGTTGATCGAGCGAGTCTTTGTATCGGAGGCGGTCTTGCCTGTTTCTCCCGGCACAATGTGCATGTAGTCATTGTCAAATGTTAAGATGCGGTGATTCGAGGCGGTAAATGACATGGGTTGTTTGCGGAAGACGTGGTAACGGCGGTAGTAGCCACCAATGAGATCTTGTTTCTGCGAGGATGATGGGAGCATGCGCTGAACGTTCTTCTTGCCCTTCTTGCCCTTGTCTAATGCTGTAGGGTTGTTGCTGTCGACTTGCAAAGGTGCGTTCGGTGACGAACTACCTGGAGAGCCACCGAGAGAAAGAGGCCCTGCTCCAAAGCGTCGGCGCACAAGGTCGAGCTCAATGATATTGCCCAATGCCTCCACAGTACGGTCAAGTGGTGCAATGGTATTCGATCCCATTACCTTGAGTAGATAATTACCCTTGTCTAGACCCCAGCGCTTGCACACAGAGTCTAGGATCTCTGCAATATAGCTGTCTGACGTTGTGTTTAAGGTCATGACGTGTGCTGAGCCTTCCAAGTTAATGAACCGAATTTTCAAAGTCTTGGAAACGCCCATGCGAGGAGTGGCATGCGAGATAGGGACCACCGGTCGGTCGGCAGGGGTCAAAGTAGTATCGTTCAACGCAGACGAGAAAGGTTGACCCAGTATAGGGTTCAGGCGAGGACCAGGAGTCTTCGCCGGTGCGGCAACCTGAGTACCCGGAACTGCGAGAGTGGCTGGCTGTTCGCTTTCATCGGAGCCTATGCTCGCGCTAAATTTCGGGTAAAGACGCTCGTTCTCGTCAAATTCCGCACTGGAAGCTTCTACAAGTGCAAACTCATCGTATGGCTTGCCTCGTGAACGACCCCGTGCTTTTGCGGCCTGGTTGTTGTTCGATGTGAAATCGGTCATAGGGAGCGTCCGCCCAAGCGCTGGGAAATCGTATTCAACCTCTCCGTCATCGACCATGCGCAGAGCCCACCGGTTCACGCTCAGCTTTTCGCGTTCAATGGACGGTACACGGGCATCTTCGGAGTACTTCCAGAGCGCAAGACCAATTGTCTCTGCAACAGTTACCGGTGCAGGTTGTTCCGAGAGCTTAGACTGTCGCACAAGCGGCATATCCAGCGGATCCTCGGGATCCGATGAGAAGGGGACATAAATCTTCAAGTACAATGGATCTTCCTGTCCTCTTCCAGAGAGTACCATGAATTTCTCCACCGGGTTACTTGGGGCGCGTTCGCGCGATTTGAGTTGACTTGTCAATAGGCTGACAGGCTGTAATGTGCTGATAGGTCGTGGAGGCGGAAGATCATGTAATTCAGGAGCCGGAGTCTTCAATTTTCGCGGAGATGAGGTTTGGCTTGGTCCAGTCCCAGCGGGGAGCTTGTGCATCAAAACCATTGGCGAGGAAGCATCCATGCCTAGACTGCCGTTGATGCCCACACCAGCAAGTAGTAGGGAGCCAGATCCCGCTGTGGCGTCGAACTCAGAAGAGAGGGCAGAGTCGACAGACTCGGCTCCGGAGTCCTCATCCTCTTCGTGCAAGTCCCCCAGCGCGATGCTCTCTGCGCCACGACTACCGGTCCTTTCTCGTCGCCTACGTGGCCGCTCAGAAACCTGATCCATTGTAGAGAACTGTACTTGGCCCGGTCTGTAGCTCTGTGGTTCGACCTCATTGTCCGTGGACAGCTCACTGCTGGTAGTGGTATCTCGGCGCGGTCGTTGCGGTTGTCGCAATTGATCATGATTTGTTCCTGCAGCTCCAGCAGACCCCATGCTATTGTGCGTGGCAGCATCCTGGGTCGCAGGAGATGTTATCAGAAGTCCCGGGCGTTCGCGCTGTTCGCGAGTTGGAGAGGAATCGGAGCGATCTCGGCGGATGGGCATCTTGGAGAACTTGATCTGATCGACAGTGCTATATTTGAGTCAGACAAATCTCGGACCAGACGAAATGGGGCTTAATGAACGAACCTGTGCATGCTTTCCGTCTCTTCGTCACTCTCGTCGCTCAGATCACTGCTGTCATCGTCCTCGTCGGCCTGACGCTGGACTTCCTGCTGCCGTTCTCGCCGGCCTTTCTTCTTGCCCACCCGTGCATGGTGCCTTCGTGCTGTAATATCCCCATGGCTTTTGCCAGTGACCATGCCCCCTTCGTCGTCCTCGCCGTCCTCTAGGCCGAGGCCCTGGAGTTCATCACGTGCAGCGTTCGCGTCCCGTACAGCTAGTCGGTAGTACTGTGAAGAAACAGCGGCCGTGGTCGGAATTGGAGGAGAATAGGTACGCTTGATGTGGCTAGCGGTATGAGCACTCCCTGCAGTCGCAGCTGACCAGCCCGCCGCGCGAAAACCTGGTGTGTTGAGAACGGCGTTGTTTACGTTGATCAGGCGGTCACCAATGCCGTCCTTGATTGTTGAAAGATAAGAAGATCGCAACTGCCATATGGTAAAGCTAGAGTCCAGTCAGTTCCGCGACAATTAACGGACAGGGCGACGAGGAGGCCCAAAAAAAATCTCCGATATTTCAGGTCTGACTTACTCTTCATTGTGAAGAAGGGACATAGTTACGGCCTACTGAAAGAGACACAGACCTCGTAGAGAAAGCGGGAGGTGCTGCACAGATCAGTGGTCTCGTACAAAGAAGCGAGCTTCACCGCAACAATGTCTTCAAGGTCGAATGTGCATGCTCAGGGATGGCATGCGCGGGTGAAGGACATGCAGTCTCCTATAGTAAGGGGGAGACTTGCTCAATCAGGGCCAGCCTGGAAAATAAGGAGAGTGAATGGTAGAGCATGAGCTGAGCTGAGCGGAGTGGAGGTGAGAAGTGGCGGAGATTGCGGATCATTTTCCCCGCCCCTACACAAAGGGTCGGCATGTTTGATCTACCCGAATTTTTGCTGCCATTTGGTTTTCTTCCTTTATATATGTGCTACTAGGCTACTTCTCAACAACCATGGCCTTTCGATTTGCCCTTGACAGTAATGCGCGCCTTATCTTGGGCTGGAATATGTCCCTTCAAGGTATCGTCGTCTGCGGTAGGACTGCGTATTCTACACACACACTCTCTCTCTGTCTCTGCTTGCTTGAGGCATGAAAGGATCACCAAGATCTCAATAAATGCACACGTGGGGACTGAAGACTGGGACTTGGTCAATACAGAAGAAGATGAAGCTGCCAAAAGACCGGCTTTGATCCATCTTGACCATTGTATCGTGATTGACATTGATTTATCACATACCCACTGCTTTCCCTGCCTTCTTTGATACTCTCACATTGACAGGAGAAGGGTGAATTCACTTGGTGCATATAAATAGGGTAATGTCCGTCACGTCTTTCCTTTCCTTTCATGATCGTTTACACCCTTCGACTTATTGCTTCTTAGAAAGAAAGACACAGACTATATCACCGCCTCTTTTGCAAAAAGATAGACTTTTCAACTTTCAAATTTGACAATACTCAAGTTTTTCCTTATCCGAGATATAGTTCAATACCGGGGTTTTTTATTAATCGCGTCGAGACTAAAAGGCCCAAAGAGGGCTTTATCAATATCTGGCTCCTGTCACAACTACTTCAAAAGATTTCATGACACGACCGCAGTAGGCCATAAAATCGTTTGAACTTATGAGGGTAGACATAAATGAACCGACATTTGCACGAAATTGCGATAGGTCATGCTCACGGCTCGCAGGGCTTTTTCGAGGTTGGCAGATGCCTCGCGCGTCTGGCCGGCGAAACCTGAATGCACTGAGCCGTCATGATGCACGTTAACTAGGCCTGCCAGGTTATACCTGTTCACCACCAGTGACGACGGCCGCGTACGAGTAAAGGACTAGAGTAGGATCTTCCAATTCCTTGGAATTGACAAGGCTGATTTCGAGGTCAGACGATGAGGAAAACATTGGTCCCGGAGAGATACCACGAAAGACTGGAGGGTGTCGCTCGCTGAGGTTTGGAGGCGCGAAAGAATTTGAAAATACTTTGGAGTGTTATTCAATACAGAGGTTGAAGAAAACCATGAGTAGAAGCAGAGAAGAGCCCGGAAGAGCGCCTGTCCTGGGTGTAATACTAAGTGGCATTTGATTGTATCCAAGGGAACTAATTGACAAAATTGTCGGGTTAATGCAACAGAGTTGAGGCTCCTCATACATTTCTGAGGCTGACCGATTGCCGTGGTGTTGTAGATATTTTTGCCGACAAGATCCACGCCATTCCTGATCGGGTTGACCCGGACCCTGATATTCAGATTGCTTGATTTCTGTACAGCTTCGCCTCCTTCTTTGAAGAGAATAAAAGCTTCCGATTTGATTGTCCTTCCTTCATCATTCCATCAGATCACATTCATCAGAGCCAATGGGCTTCAAAACATTCATTACTCTGGCCACTCTCGGCCTCGCGGCCGCGGAAAGCTCGGTCGTGTCTCTGTTCATTTTCGGTGCCGATTCCCAATCACTATTTGGATCGGTCGTGGCATCGGTATGCCTTTCACGAAAGTATTCAGAAAGAATAATCTACTAAGAAAGATCCCCATAGAATGCCAAGACGACCACATATAGCATCAACTGCGCACCTGGCGCTGACACCGAGGACTGCGGATACCTTCCGGGTCTGCTGTACACTGCTGCCCCAACTAGTGTGGCGTATGCTTTAAAGCCCCCCTTACAACCGGTAAGCTCGTTAGGCTATCATTCAATGTTTGTGTGAAGATTCACTGACACGGGGTCGATCGTAGTGAAGGTACTATCATCTGCTCTATGGGTGGCACTACCTCCGCTCGGTGCACGGATCTGTTCCCTACCAGCGGGCATTTTTCCCAGCCCGCGGCGTACACGACTCTGGGCCAAGAGGATATCTCTGCCGGCATGATTCCAGTCACCATTACCGCTGGTCCCTCGACAACGGCCACACGGGCGTCGGCAGCCACCCAGACTGGAAGCTCTGCTGATGCTGCGTCCACTGGATCTTCAAGTACCAGCACTGGAGGCTTGCCCCGTATGACTGCCAACCCAAGCATTGTTATGAGCGGTGCTGCTGCGGCACTGATGGCTGTTGTTCTCTGAGAGATGCGTGCCGCGAATGGCAGTGGCAACCGTGGTTGTCTTTGAACTTCTTATACATACCTCTTGATCGAAAGTAGATTAATATAGAAAGAGTAGACTAAAGAAGTGGACAAGCGACCGATTCCTCAATTCCCATCGTAATTGAGTCTACCTTGCAAGTAAGTAGCCCCAAAAAAGAGGGGCAGATGAAAGCTCGCAGCGTTGTCCGGAGCCTCGTACATTGAGCGCCCTCCATGCCGATCATAGACTTCTTCAGCTTCAGCTAAGATTCTACGCCAAGTCATTTCCCCAGTAAGTAATAGAGACAGTAATTGGACGGTCACTGCCATGGCGGCCAGGCCGCGCAATGTTGTCGGCACTTGTCCCCCACCTCTATTGATATCGATTGTTAACCGGTCGACAGGGTTGGGCTTTCTACCTGGACCCGACAGAGTCTGTGCCATGTCTTATTGGTGTTCTCCACGAAGCTAGCCCTGCTCCTTGCTGTATAGGGCCTCAATCAACGGGTACCATACACCAAACACTCGAGATTGAGACTTCCCAGTCACCCCCAAGGCGGTGGATATCGGCCTAGAGCAGAGAGTCCCAGAATTATTGCTTCGTCCTGATGAAGACACGATTGGGCCAGCCTTGCAAGCCAAGGAGCGCCTCTCTCCACGCCGGGAAGTGGAGGTCGGGACCTCAACTCGAGCTTCCCCAGATTATGTGGGGCCCCGCATGATGCTTGGGCCTGATCTTCACTCTGTATATATCAAGCTTCCCTGGACTGACCGCTAAGATGGTCGACCATCTCCAAAATCTTTCTCCCAATGGCCACTACTCCAATAGAGGACGGCCCTCATGGCTATGACAATACTCTAAAGAAGGAAATTACCAATCCAATTAAAACCCTCGGCCATCTGCGTCTACGACATGCGGAAACGAACGAAGTTATCTTGGTGCCTACACCGTCTGCCGATCCCAAAGACCCTCTCAATTGGTAAAGAGATCATTTTGTTCCTCTGCAATAGTGTACCGCTGATCGCTACCAGGCCGAGATGGTTCAAACTATACACAGCGGCCGCGGTCTGTACCGCCATGGTTCTCTGCAACTTCCTCGCGGCCGGTCCCACGCTCGCAATCATCCAGACAGCGCAGGAATTCTTCCCCAATTGGCAACAGACCGGCTTGTCGAGCGCAATCTCGAAGACGGCCTATTTTTTCAACTGCACTGCCTTGTTCCAGGGATTGGGTAATCTTTTCTGGATGCCTCTGATTAACAAGTATGGTCGCCGGCCTGTCTACGTCACCGCGTTCATAATCTATACTATCACCGCAGTATGGTGTGCTGTAGCGAAGCAGTATGCCAATTTCCTAGTAGCTCGCATTGTTATGGGTATTGCGGCTGGTGCTGGCGAATGTCTGGCGCCTGTCACTATTGCCGATATCTTCTTCTTGCATGAGCGTGGAACTATAACTGCGTATGTACTAGAACACGATTACAACTGGAGCTGCTTTCTAATCGTACGGCAGTCTTTACAATGCTTCTCTCAATCTAGGTGTCGCACTCGGTGCGATCGTCGATGGCTTCATCGTGAAAGATCACCCATGGCGATACATCTACTACGTCGCGATAGCCCTGATTGGCGCTGTCACCCTCGTTGTGTACGCAACATTTCCCGAGACGGCATACAACAGAGTCCGCGGCTCAACAGATACTTTCACAACACTTAGCGCATCTGGAGGGCGAGTGCGCCGCAGCACAAAGAGCGAAGAAGAAGGCACTGCTGAGATCCACGAAGTCGTCACCAGAGAAACGGTAAATAGCAATGGAGGCTGGATCAAGGGTCTCAAACTCTACCACGGCAAATACACAGACGAGTCTCTTTGGCAAATGACCATCCGACCAGTTGGACTTCTAATTCTGCCGCCCGTTCTGTGGGCGACGCTTGTCATGTCCGTGACGATTGGATTTATCACTGCTATCACCTCAAATGTAGCCTCCGCCTTTTCTTCAACATATGGATTTGAAGCATGGCAGTCTGGTCTGTGCTTTTCGGCTGCAATTGTTGGATGTTTCTTCGGCATCATCCTTGGAGGACACTTATCAGACTGGGTTGCTGATTACTTCACCCGCCGCAATAATGGAATTCGAGAGCCCGAGATGCGTCTTCCTGCTATCATGGTTGGCGCAATTACGGGCCCTCTTGCTTTGGCTCTATATGGGTGTGGAATACAGTACAAGATGCACTGGATGGTTCCCACTTTGGGCATTGGACTGAGTAAGCTTCTGGTCTTGATACGGGGACAAATCCTTCTCGCTGACATTTGCAGTTAATTTCACCATTACACAAGCTACCAATGTCTCCCTTGTCTACACGATTGATAGCTATCGTCCCGTGGCTGGAGAAATTGTCGTCACGCAGCTGGCCTTCAAGTCTGCGTTTGGGTTCTTGCTCGGATTTTATACGAATCCATGGGTAGACAAGCACGGATATAATGTGGCCTACGGAGAGATGGCAGCTATCTGTGGGGGTGTCCTCATATTCTGGATCCCACTCTTTATTTGGGGCAAGGCAATCCGCGAGAAGACTCTAAGTTGGAGGGTTATGAAGTGGGTTCGGTGGGATCTGGACCGTGAAGTTGGCGAGTAAATCGGCCCAGGTGGTTTTCTTATATGTCAATTATGCTGTATGGCCTTTAATCTTGAGTTTCCCACCACTGTCAGGCCAAGGAGATATCGCAATTGGACCGAAGTTCTTAATGAGATGTGGATGCATTGCTGTCCGTGAATAGTGTATGCGGGGTGTAGCGTAATGTGCATTCCAGTTTTGCGCTTCTTGAAAGATAACAGGATATAATACAAACAGGCAGCCCAAGTCTGAGCCTAAGCTTTAGCTTTGGTCTTGCGGCCCTTCTTCGTCTTCTCCTCACTATCATCAATGAATTCATCCGCATCCGCAGCCGCAGCCTTCTTCGTCTTCTTGCCTTTAGGGGCAGCCTTCTTCTTCTTTGGTTGACTGACATATTTGTCCTTCTTGAGGTCCAACTCCTCGTCATCGTCCTTGGCTTCCTCAACGACCTCCTCTTCATCAGATTCTTCCAAGGCGTCCTCAATATCAGGTTTTTCCTTGGGTGCGGCTTTGGGCGCCACAACCTGGCTGGCTTTCATAAATGGAAGAGGGTGTGAGCGTGAGTTATAGACACGCGTGAATGTGGCCTTGGTCTGCGAGTCTATCTTCACGTTGGACTGGTCCATTGGTTCCCAGGCCCAGCTCCATAACGGCATCAAAGTCATCACGGGTTAGGAAGTAGGAATCCATGAAATCAATGACATCGTCCACGCTCTCCTTACCTTCAGTCATGAGGCGATTGACTGATTTATCCCAGACGTACGGCATGTACTGCTGGCGAATTTCATCACGGCTGCCCGAAGTGCGGAGGCGCATGTGGCCCTGGATTTCTTTGACGAAGCGGGACAGTTTTCCTAGAACGAAAGAATTAGGATCAGTTGTGCAAGAATAGAAGATAGAGACTTTTTTCTTACCTTGTTTGCTGTTCTGGCCAAGCCAACTCGTGAATTGGGGTCTCTCGCCCATGTTGCCATATTGGAAACTAGCTGGTCGGACGAAGCTGAACACAGCGTGGGTGGGCATCAGACTCCATTGTTGCTGCGTGCCATGAATCATACGATCGACAAGATCACCATCGCTGATACTCTCGGCTGCGTTGTCTGCCAGCTCAAGCTGCTTCAGCTTCAGCTCTCTGGAACTTAAAGATGATGTAAGCGCAGGCTTGGTTCTCAGATAGTTCTCTTGAAGCATCAAGTAGCTAAATTCGTGATCGTTGAAGTAAAGCTCGATCTTGTCATTCAGTGTCGAGTTCGAGCTTGCCGAGAACATCTGGGCACTAAGAATTTTGCTAACAATATCCCACGGCTTCAGGATGATGTGCTTCTCCCATGCCTTGGACATTTGCTTGCCTTTGTCATAATCCATGTCATTTTGACCTAGCTTGGCAGCAGACAGCATGTTGATAACTTGTCGGATATCAGCATGGGTGCCCTCAATAAGGCTATCCAAGACAGGCGGCGGGATCTTTAGCTTTTCGCGGAAACAAATTGTGGTCAATCTCGCCCGAATTTGCTCCACGGTAGGGCGTCTGAAGGGAATGTCAAAGGTAATGTGGTCGAACGGCTTCATCTTGGGCAGTCGTCGCTCGTTACAAATGAGGATCAGAGGAATGTTGGTCTTTTTGGCAATGGCCGCAACAGCTCCAACTCCGCCGCGGTCACCGGCCGACATGCCGTCGACTTCATCCATAATCAAGACCATCTTCTTCTTGCTATTGTCGACCTTCTTGCCATCTCCAGCGAAGTATCCTTGCAGAGATGTCGTATCGAGAACACCAAGGGTGCTGCTCTCAACGAGCTTTTTGCTTCGCGTGTCGCTGGCATTGGTTTCCACAACATCGTAGCCCTCTAGCTTAGCCACCAAGTGCGCAGCCGTAGTTTTGCCAATACCCGGAGGGCCGTGAATCATGACCGCGCGGTATTGACCCGATCCATCCTTGCCACCATTCTTGAACTTGAGCTTGGCACTTCTTTCCCAATTGCGCAGCCAGGTTTGCAGCTTCTCCACATTTCCCTTGTTGCCACAAATCATACTGTAGGAGGTTGGCGCATACTTGGTAGTCCAGAGTTGATCATCGACAGCCGGAGCCTGTGAGCTCTGAGAAGCAGGCGGAGTCGAGTCGCCAGCAGAAGTCTTGTTCATTCGGGCAACCTGTTTTCGCTTCTCTTCTGCTTTCTTCTTCTCCTCAGCGTCAATTTCTGCTGCCATCTTGCGAACTTTTTCCTCTTCGGCGGCTTTCTTTTCTTGGTATTTCTCTGCTGCTTGTCCAGAACCACCATTGGCAGGCATTCGTCGGATCAACTCGAAAAGCCCATCCTCATTAATTGTCTTTAGTTTGTTCTTTGCGATGGTCTCAAGTTTCTTCGGACCAGCATCATTGCCTAAGACGACATAGCTTGTCTTAGAACTGGGTGCTCCAGTGCACTTGCCACCATATTGTTTGACAAGCTCCTGGCCTTCCTCGCGGCCCAACGACTCAAGCACGCCAGTAAAGACAAATGTCAGCCCAGCGAGACAATTCTCTGCACCTTGGGGCATCTCTTTAGTTCCTGAAACAGGAGGAGTACGGGATCGAGCTCCTCCAAAAGGAAACTTCTTGGTCTCTCCGGTTGGAGCAGGCGGTGATGGCGGTCTGACCAAGGGAATGCTGTCGAAGATATCCTGAATCTCCTTGTTCTCAGGCACAGGCTCTTTCTTCTTCTTCGGCGAGGCCTTAGGCTTTTTGGCGGCAGGAGATGCCTTGGTTCGGGCTGCAGGTTTCTTCGTTTCTGAGACATCTTCATCTTCGTCTTCATCGATCAAGTTTTCTGCTTTGCGCTTGCGACCTGGTCGTGTGGATTTAGGGGCAGATTTAGGCAAATCCTCCATGACAATATCGTCATCTTCATCCTTAAGGACCGTTCGCTGCTTTTGGGTCTTCTTAGATGCCGGAGCGGTGGGTTTGATCTCAAGCACTTCGAAATCGTCGTCATCGTCATCGCTATCGGCTGCTACATAGTCGTCTTCTGCTTTACCGCGCTTGCTGTACTCAGTTGCAAAGATGTCATCTCCGCCGAGGTCTTCGTCTTCAATGATGGGTTTAGCTTTGGCGGATGCCCGGGGAGCATTTCGAGATGTCTTAGTGGGAACTTCTTCTGTCTTGTTGGTCTTTGCGGGCTCGGCTTTGGCTCCTCGCTTCTTGCTGGATGCAAAGTAGTCTGAGGTCGATGTGGGTTCGCCCTTGGGTTCCTCGGCTTTCCTGTAGAGCAATTTGTTAGTAATTGCAATGTAGCTCTCAGCGGATCGACATACGTCTGAGTCTTAGATTTCGCTTTAGGCGTAGCTGCCTTCACAGGTTTAGCCTCCTCATCCTCATCACTGTCATCCACGACTTTTCTGCTGCCTATTGAATGGTTAGATCCAAATTGAGGTGTAGTATGATTACCGATGCCGTACGCTTCTTTCTCGCAGCAGAAGGGTCCTTGATTAGAAATACTATATCAGCAAGATTCATGATAGAAAGAGGAATAGAATTGGGCATAAGATCCTTAAAGGCCCTCAGAGAACAAGAGGAGCAATAGCTTACTTCTTTCTTTGCGGGTTTCACATCGTCACTTTGGCTAGGCTTACCACCGAAAAAACTCCTGATATCAGAAGGCATCGTGGGCACCGCCAATCACACAGTAATCCAGGTGTCGGTTTAGGGCACTGAGACGATTGGAGTGAAAACAACGCTCCACAGCCTGGGACTGACGCCTGCACCGCGAGTGACGCGCCGGGAGACGTGACTGCTGACTAACAGACACGCTCAGCACGTGATATGGTAATTGTGACTGATCGGGACTAGCGCCGGGCATCTCGAAAAGTGCCGTTCGGCCTATGCAAAGAACCAGCGTCGCCCATTGCATCTTCGGTCGCTTTCCTCGGTCAAAATGGGTCCTCAGATCAAGCTGTTTGCTGGGCCCCTATCGGCCTGCACCCGGCCAACATGTGCGCCTCCTTTTCCGCGTCCCTGGATCGATTGCCGCGACTCGAAACTGACAATTCCAATGCAGGTCTCCCCAGATCACTACCTACCTTCTCTCTGGCTCGATGCTTCTCGACTACCTCGCCCGCTCTTGACTGGCTCACGCCCAAGTTTGCAGAGAAATCGAAGTCCCCTAAGGGTCGCCCGCACGTCGCTACTGGTGGATCTACTCGCGGAACAACAGTGGTGTGGGGAGACTTCGGACTCCGTATGAAGGACCACGACCGCCGTATGCCCTCGTCAGCGTTGAAGATCGCAGAAGAGACTATCAAGCGACGATTGAGAGGCATGAATTACAAGCTGTACAAGCGTGTCAGCGCCAACATCGGTGTGTACACCAAGGGAAACGAGCAGCGTATGGGTAAGGGAAAGGGTAAATTTGACTACTGGACTGTGCGACTTCCCGTCAGCCGTATCGTCTTCGAATTGAAGGGCGATCTGCACGAGAAAGTCGCTCGTGAGGCATTCAGATTGGCTGGACACAAGTTGCCCGGTATGTTTGGGTATAATCTCATTCGGCGGAACGCGGCTAATATTCATTCTGTACAGGCCTTTGGGAATTTGTGAAGAAAGACGACCCTCCCGTTGTTGGAATCACCAAGCTCGGTAACGGTGTCACTCTTGAATCTCTCAAGCGAGCGCGCCGCGACCGGCCACTCGGAACCGACAACCTCGACAACCCGCCGCAAAGCACCACCTCCAGCCCTTCCTCCTCTCAATAAATTCACCCTCACACATGAAAGCGGTTCTCATGTTCTCTTCACACCCCTTTCCCCCATGTTGACCTAAGCCCCAACATTGGAGCCGGGCCCATACCCTTGCTGTCTCCTGGCCTTGGCGGCTGCCGCATCGCCCTTGGTCTCGAAATCCAGATCTTTTGTACATTATTGTCAGCTTATATGCACGTCTCAATGGGCCCGTTAAAGTCCGGCCTTCCGGGAAGATGTTTTTGTGTTTTTTATAGGAGTTTAGACCAAAGGATGTGTTTGGCATTTTACCTTTGTTCTCATCAACCTGTCCCATGCCAAGCTTCTGTGCCATGATATATTCGTCTCGACTCGCGGTACCCTCTTGCACAGGCTGGGTTCCGGTGTAAAGCTCGCTTTTGGTATGAGGTTCACCAACTAAGAGGTTGTCAGCTACTGTCAGTGGGATGTGTTATGTTTCAGAGTAGCGTACCACCTAGTTGGCCAGTCTGTTTCGCAGGGGTGATTGTAAATTCTCGAATGGACTCGTATCTTGGTTCATGTTAAATGGACAACTAGATCTGTGCGGGTAAGGTTGGCTTCGCCTACTGTGTGCTCTCCCCACCGGGTTCCATATCAATGAGTCTAGGGTCCGACATCTCGATATAGTCAAAGTCGATGTGTCTTAAGTGCAAGTCGAAGTAGAAGAAGAAGTTTGTTCAACACTTGAGGAATATTATTTGAAACAGGACTGTCCAAAGTCTGGGCGCGAAGGTCGAGTGACGGGTATTTTGTCATGACGTAGGTTCCACCGCAACCTCGCAGCATCTGTCTGATCAACACCACCCCTCATGACGTGTGAAGGCACTAAATAGGTGGAGATGCACAATTTTGTCTAAAATTACCTGAACGCCTTTTTTTTATCGTAGTTCAGTCAGATGCAGGTATTCTGGCTGTTTCATGCAAAGCTCAAACGAGAACGCCGGAACCAAATAAATGCCTCGATGCGCCTGTGAATAGTTTAGGGTTCTACTTCCCGGCTTGAATCTTTATCATATGCAGTGCTGCATACTGCCAAACGATAGTCCCAAGCCTACTATGACTGGGAATCGCCTCCGTAGTGTACAATCATCATTCATCCATTGTTCTAGATTTAGAAATCCATGCCCATCAAGTAACTGGAAAGAATTAGCGAAAGATATGAACGGTCATCTGACTTGAAACTCACCTCTCATAGATACGCATGAACTTTGCCACGAAAGCCTCGAGGTGGAAAATGACTTTCTATGTTGGCATGCACATTAGTATCCTAATCAGCACCGAAGGGCCAACAACAACTCACACTTCCCAGCTTAATTCGGTGCTCATAGAAGGCAGACCACTTGATAACATCCGGCTTGAGCGCGTCATCCACTCGTGAAACGAGTTTGAACGTCAAGGTCTGTCGTACGCAAGTCAATATAGCGTATAGTTACTTTGGAAGTGCTGAGACTGTACCTTTAGAATGGTAGATGGAGGAAATACAGTGAGTCAAGAGATCATAGAGACGAGCACGGACTTGCAACAGTCGAGCGGGTGACCGTTCCGCTAGGATCTCATCCGCAGTCACCGTGATAAGCGCCTCCCAATCCGGCGGTGGAATTGCCGTCTTGTCTGTAACTTTTTCACTTTGATTCCATTCATGTCAGCATCGAATCAGTTACACCGTTGCGTAAGGTTGATCGTACTTCTGCGCATAGATAGCCTCGAGCATCAGCAGCGCGCGGCGCAAGTTCCGTCCACTCTCTTTTGCAATCCTCTTGTTCAAGCCTTCGGCTTCGTTCCAGCCTTCTCTTTTTGTAGCAATTCGTAGCGCAGAGCAGACATCGGTCTCAGTGGGCGCAGCCACCCTGACCAGCAGGGTTCGCGAGCGAATCGGGGCGATGATGTTCGAGGTGCTGTTGGCTAAGAGGATCAAGCGCAGGTTAGGACTGTACTTCTCCATGGTACGACGCAGTGCAGCCTGAGCATCACGGGTGAGGTGATCAGCCTCGTTGATCACAACGACCTTGAATCGCTGCTTCGCGGACAGATCCACCTGTTGTGTTTGGGCGACCTCCTTCAGCAATTCTTGGACCACGACTCGGTCATAGTTACCGACGTCTGCGGGCGTGATTTCGAGGTGGTAAACAGAGGAGACGATATTGAATTCAAGCTTGCGGTTGCTTGTCGTTTGGAAGACTCGCGCGTCGATTTTGATCTTCTCGACTCCAGGTCCGTACAGTTCTTTCAATGTCGCAATGATACGTGTTTTCTTGCCTGCTCCCGATGGTCCATAGACAAGCAGATGAGGAAAATCGCCGCTTTGAGCCTAGAGTTGAATAGCCGTTGTGTGAGCGGCTTTGTCCATTCTCTCAGCGTAGGGCACTTACTAATGAGCGGAGACGTTCTGAGAGCTCAGGGTGATATGTGAGAGCATCAAGCGTCCGAGGGCGCAGCTTGTCCACGAGGAGAGCCATTTTTAGCTCTGATGTTTGCGAGATGGATGGGTTCGTGGATGTGGACTTGGAAAATGGAAAGTGAGAACGCGTCGGGAACGCGCGCCTAATTAACGGGTGGTCCGTGCACGATCTGCAGTCTTCACAATGATATACGCATCGTTGAAGTGGTTCGCTAAGAATTAGTGGCAAAGGAATCATTGTTTCGATAATTTCGATGTGAAAGTGATATCTATATTTACAATGGTGATCACAAGTGGGATCACATGATCTTCGTAAAACTCCAGACTATAGTACAGCACGTTTTGTCGAGATGAGATTGTGTAGGATAGGCAGAACCTGGATCGCTGAATGAGATCTACTTGCATGTAGCTCAACCTTTCCTGGCAGGAAAAGAGATTCAGAGCTCCAAGCTATCCAGAGTGTTCAAAGGCTGTTCACAGGACGTGATCATTGGGGAATGGGCTTCAAGACCCCGTTGTCGTCGTATTTCGCCTCTATATTGGGGTCAGTCCAGGCTTCAACTCAATTCTCCGAAGAAGTGACGTACTAAAGAAAGTATAAGAAAGCGTGATCGTATCAATACCCTGCATAGTCGGATCCGTAGCAAAATCGGGATCAATGAAGAAGAACACAGGCATATCAACCGATTCACCCGCGTTCAGCTTCTGCTCTTCAAAGCAGAAGCATTGAATTTTGCTAAAGTATGGCGCCACCTGTCCCGGTGTCACACTGTACGTCGCAACCCCAATAATGTCAGAGTTGCTTTTGTTGGTCGCGGTGTAGAATGCCAGTGCCGTCTCGCCCGGCAGGACCCGCACCTCGCGCTGCTGTGGGGTGAACTTCCATGGCAGAACATCGGAGACTGAGCCGTTGAAGGTGATACGAAGGCGTCGGGAGTCTGTCACTGGGGTCACGCGCGCAGCGGTGTCGCCGTCGCCGTTGCGGTGGGTGAGGATGGGCTGGCCACCCCAGCCGGTCTGTTGGCAAATCTGTATGAGAAGCAGTTATTAGCAAGATGGTTCAGTCTAGCCAAATTCTCGGAGATCAGACGGGAAATCGCGAGGGTCTAGACACACCATTTTGTACAACGGAACAGAGCCGTAAGCAAGAGCGACAGTTCCGAGGATCATACTGATGGTATAGTACCTAGAAAAGATCGGCGTCAGCACCAAGAGCGAATTGACTTGATTCACTCAATCTCGGCTCACATAGTAGATGTGTTGCGCTGCTGCGATTGCGGCGTATTGAACGGCGCCGAGGATGCATGACGCTTCTCGTGCAGGAATGCGTTTTTCGAGAAGAACCTCTTCTCAGCTTCAAAGATACCTTTCCGCATGCAAGTTGGTCTTGGCACAATGTTGCCTGTTAATGTGCAGCGTCCCCATGAGGGGAATAGCCTGGAAAACATGATTATTGAATTTCAATTGAGATCAGATGTTCGACTCCAACGGACGATGGAAAGAGTCCGCACACGTGATTTGCGCTTATCGATAAGGACGTCACGTTATCGACACCGAGCAGAGTCAGGACAAGCTGCGATTCGTGCGTGGGAAATTCTTTTAATCAATAAGTGAAAGCTTACTTTCCGTGAAAATCCATGGTTTTAACTTGTCTCTCGATGAAGTGCCGCGAGAATTGAGTGAGATATCGCGAAATGATTTGAGTGTTTATTTAACGCTCGGCTGAGAGAATTGAATGATGCATATTATTAATACGTGATTTTAGGACTCTTCGCTGAGTCCAAGAGACGGTTGGCAAAGACCGCCATAGTAATACAAATATAAAGGGACTTGACGTGTCCTTTGAGAATGGTTCATCTAGTTCAACACACTGTTGGAAATGCGGCCAAAGACACCTCGTACCAGCCTCGGTTCTTCGCGAAGGCAAGTGAGAAGAACGGCGGCACTGGCAGCGAAAGCAATACGCTCGCGGTATTGATACTGAGAGGGCAAACAGAAGCGTTAGTAACCGATTGATCAAACTTCGGCGTTCGAAGAGGGCTGGAGCGTTTGGGTGTAAGCCTTTCGTAAGGCTCGAACATACCTTTTTGTTATACAGACGTGGCAAAACCGTTGCCGCAGCTCGGGGTGCCACAAATAGCGCCAGCTCCTGTCTTTTCCGCGATTTCTCTACCAATACACTCCATCCACACATGAGACATCCCGCTCCGACACAGAGACCGGAATCCCACATCAGCGGAGTGACCGTCTTCCGATCCAAGACCCGGGGCCCCAGGCGCGTCCGGGCGAGACACACAGCGTAATAGAACAGGCTCACGAAAGAAGCGAGGAATGCAGATGACCGGGCGCCTTCAGAGATTGCGCGGCGAAGACCAGCGAGATTCTTCATTCCTCGTAGGCGCAGGACAACCTGTAATGGGATGTAGGTTGCACAAGCAAACTTGAAGGTCCTGGCAAAGCGGTACAGTGCGTGTTTTTCGCAATTAGGGCCACAGCCCATGTGCACCATCTCGCATGGAATGGGTGCGGTTTTGGCAGGATCACCCCATTCCTCGGGCCAGCCATAGTCCCTGCACATAGCTTCGAGAAGGGGTGCTTGGCCCGTATCTTTGCCGTATATAAAGACTCCTCGGCGAGCCCGGCGAAGGGCTTCGATTAAGCGCGAGTCCACCTTGGCTACCTCTCCGATCCACTTTTCGTAAGTTCGGGGTAACCTCTCCGGCTCATAGAACCACGCCCACATGACCACGGCCGCGCTCATGGCAAAGACCCCTGCATCTGCTAGACCTGGAGCTAGCGACTCAACGAGGGTCCAGCGACCCTGAGCCGTGCGTCGGCGATGCCATCGATTCCATGCTAGGCACGCTATTACATCCACTGCCCTCGTCGCTGTAAACAGCGTCAGATCCATCGTCCTCCCGGCCAACTCCGGACGCGGGTGTTCGAGTGGATTGGCAGCATCGTTCTTGGGTTCTTGATCCGAAAAGATCCCTTTTGATTGACTGTCCCATGAAAGGGTAGGTTTTTTGTTTAGAAGCTCAAAACTAAACCATGCTGAGAAGAAGGCAGTGATGAATCGAATCAGACGGCGGAGAGTCTGGGATTTTTGGATGTCACCTTTGGAAGAGCCGGCTATGGATGCGAATATCCGATACAACAACACCGGGAGCAAAGTTGAACCACCAACCAGGGCGGCACAGAACGTTGGGAAGGTGTTGATGCGCAGAGGCCCGGCTAGAACCTGAGCCAACTGTAGGGTTTGGGAGTCAGCGTGCACTATTTTGAGCAACCACCCAACGGGTTTATTCTGGCCACGAGGGGTCGTGACATCACACATCGCGCCCAGCACAAAAGTGTAGGCGCGACGCCTCCAACGTACCTCGCGAAGCTTCTGTTTTGGTGACCAGTCTCTGCGTGCAAAATGTCGTGCATATGTGACCAGCTTTGGGGTGACGGCAGAACAATACCCTAGAGCATAAGCGCGAAGGATTCTGCAGGGCGATTACGGTCAGCAAGGGTTCCCACCTCCCAGATGTTAACGGCACGGGAGATCGGAAGACAACTCAAAAAGAGAACGTACGGCTTCAACAGGCGGGCTCTAGAATGCCTGTCACGGAGACTCAACCGGAGATCCATCCTGCCGATAAGCTCTATGTCGTGATCCGCGGGGCGAAAAGGATAAGCATCCCATCCGGTGATTCTCAGCGGGTCAACCCCAGTATTCGCCAGCCAAGGTTGGGGGTGGTGTGGGACAAGACCCTATCCGAGCACGACGATTGGGGGTGTCCGCAGTTCACACCAGGCCGAAAATTGGGTAGTATTTTCAGCTGGAGCGGCTGTCACCTGCAGTAAGAGAGCCCTAGGATCAACCGTGGATCTGTGTCACGACCACGCTTAAGTGCTTAATATGAGGACCGTCGGAGACTAAGCAGAAAAGAGCCAGGCAGAAGGACCTCGGAGGGACCTCGGTTCGTGGGGAAAACCCCCCCCTTGAAACATAGAACTACCAAAAAGGGATTGAAGCGACGATCATCCAACACGATGGCAATTGTAGTCAAAAGTGACCGGTCGATAACGGGGCTCTGCTTATTCAGGCCCACGGATGATTTAATTAAGTGGTCCTAAAGAGGGAATGATCGAGCGCCTCCGAAGAGAAACAAGACCAGGCCGAGACAGCCTGCGCCTCCCTGTACAGTCGGCTCAGTCTGCACAGATCCCGGGGAAAGCCGAGGTGGAGAAGGGAGGGAAGCTAAGGATTGAGAAGGAAGTAACGAGTATGGGGAGTGGGAAATAAGTGGATTGTACTGAGTACCTTGGATCGTGGTTGGACTCAAGGATGGGGAACATCGGGGAAACATGCAACACGGTTGCAACTATGCCCTTGGCGTCAGGTACATTCGGCGTAGAGCGGGCGTAACCCCCCGAGTACCGCGGAGTACCGAAGCCATCCGCACGCAGAGCGGTAATTTATGTAATTTTGGGTACAGCCGTTACGTCACGCGACCGGGAAAATTCACATGTGAAAGTCGATGGTCGATGCTCTTTACAATCCCCAGCTTTCAACTCTCAGGCTTTTGTTCTTGCTTGGTTCTTGATTCTTGCTTCTTGTTACTGTTCGATTCATTCCCGGCGGGGACTCTACTCTCTCCCGACTCTATATCAACAGCATTATCAGCGATATCGTTGTCCGTGTCGTCAAACGGTGAATCTCACCTATCAGAGCGCTAGTCCGAGTTCACGCAAAGGCCAAGGCATGATCATATCGTTCCGGTTCACGCTGCTCTCGACATATAGAGCAGCATATCATTAATCCAGACATTGTCTTTGCCTTCCAAGACAAGCAACCCTATACGCCATGGAGGCTTCTGGCCCCGAAGTACATACTGGTCGAAATTCCCCGCCGCCTGGCCCGTTTGGCTGTGAGTATTTCGACTTTACTCGTCACGATTCCTTTTCTGACAGTCTTACGGATTCCTTTCTTGGTCCCATGGATACTCCATTTGAGCAGGCTCCGGCCTTGCCCCCAGGTCCCTCACTTCTGGACGATAACGAATCCCACATGCTCGACAACTTCTTTACCACTATGAATGCAAATAACTTCTCCAACGATTTCTGGATGCGTGGCACCCAGGACAAATCAAGCGGCCTGAATTTCAACTCGGGCCGAGGAGCTTCCCCCGACTTTCGCGGGTTCTACAACGTCATTATCGCAACCATCCCTCCAGCAACAAAACCTCAAAGCAAGTCTTATGGGAGGCGCCTCAGACCCCAACATCTATGCTGCAGCGTCCATGCTTTACCAGGGCGGTATAAACGGAGCTGAGCTCGGATCGGCTCTGGCTCAGCAAGCATTTGCGGGACAGGCACTTCCTATCAACGGTCACCATGCCCAAGCTCGACGCGTTTCGCAACACCTGGCGCCTGCACAGGCTTCGGGGTCATCGCCTCGTGCCCAGCTTCCAACTGGCTTTCATACTTCAGAGATGCTTTTTGATGTTCGCGACCCAATTCCCGAAGATCAACATCCCTCCCGCAAAGTGCGTGGTCTCCATTGGGGCTCCGATAATAGCTTCATGGACCAGGGCTATATCGCTCCTCCCGACCAGCCCGATATGGAGACCCGCACAAAGGATCTTCTTGAACATTTGGATTGCTTTGAACCACAAAGCAGTGCAGCTAACACTCGAGCCCCGAGCCCGGAACGAATGAGTGGCGCTCAGGCGCAACGCTCCGCCTACCGCTCGATTGACGGAGAAGAAAGCACCCAACCACGAAAGCGACAGCGCGCCATCAGAAATGGTGATGAATACTCGGACGACGAAGATACGAGACTCCAGACGAGAAAATCCAGGACCCCTACAATGCGAAGGCCCGACGGGCTTCGACTCAAACGACACGCAGGGGGAGCATCACTCCTGGAAGCAAGCTGCCGCGAGAGAATCTCTCAGAGGAGCAAAAAAGAACCAACCACATCCTCTCCGAGCAGAAGCGGCGCAATCTCATCCGACAAGGCTTCGATGACCTATGCACTTTGGTACCTGGTCTCCGGGGCGGCGGCTTCAGCAAAAGTGCCATGCTCACCCAGGCTGCCGACTGGCTTGAGGATCTCTTGCGCGGTAATGAGATCCTGCACAGCCAACTGGCCAATATGAAAGGCATCAATGGTCTAGTAATGCCTCGATGAAGACTTCCCGTGACGTGACCATGAATATTTTCTATCTATTTGCTCGGACTTCGGCGCATTGATTGCTTATGTAGCATTGCAAGCGACTCGAGGGACTGTGGATTTCAAGTCCTCCGGACTGGCGAGTGGGCGTTCTGTTCTTACAAGATACCATTGTTTTCATTTGTGTCCGGCTTTACTGCCGATTGTTGATGATACCTTCATAATATGCATGAAATGAAACATTTGCATGCTCTTGCTGGAAGGTGAACTACAAGTTTCACCAAGCTAGAGTAGTTTCCATACATCTTGTACCTATTGAAGAAGCTGATTGAAGCTGTTTATTAAGCGAAGTACATAGCTCACTTGTTTTTCTTTTTAAAAAGACTTATAAGGTGCCTCCATGCTTGTCTAGTAGCATTATCAGATGTAATGTCTCGCGATACACAAGGCTAGGTGAGGGAAGATGTGGTTGACCTCTGGGCTTCGGGGAAACGATCTCCCCGGATCAAAGCCGATCCCGCCCCACCGCGCTGTTTTGGCCGACGCGTCTGAACTTCAACCCCAATTCTACAACAATGCCTTCCAAGCGCAAGCGATCCGGCGACAGTGAAAATGCCGATGACTCTAAGCGTTATGCCTACTTGAATCCAAGCATCCGTCGAGTTCCCGAGAAGACAATAAAAGCGAAATGGTCTACCCTGCCAGAGCCCGTTCAAGACAAAGTCCGCGACTTGTTTCATTCACTCGAACGCCCGGTGATCGTGCGACAGCAGAATGAGAAGAAGCGCATTGAAGCACAGAGTGCCGTCAATGCCGTAGTGCGAAAGTATGCTTCGCCTGCGCTTGTTTTTTGTGCGCAATGCGCCCGCAATGATTTGCTGTCTTTGTCTCAGTCGCTAAATTCTTTCGTAAAAAAGTCTAGGGAGGCGACTTCCTCGAATGCCATTTCCGCCAAACACAAAAGACTCGAGCTTTGACTATGAGTCGGCTCTCGATGAACATGCAGGTGGTTTCCTACTATGCACGAGAACACATGCTAAGTTAATGTGCAGCGATCGCTTGAGGTCAACCTCGCCACGATGAAGGACAGTATTGATCTCTTAAAAGCCGAAATTGCGAAAGAAGAGGCCCTTCTTGCGGACGAAAAGAAATCTCTTCAAGAAATGGATAAGAATGCAAAGAGAGCTGAGGCAGAGAGGAAGCGCCAAACTAAGAATGAACATCCTGTGCTCCGGCAGTTGGATGAGCTCCCCCAAATCGCCGATCATGCAACCGGATTCTCTCTCTTGGATACCACAGGTGGCCAAGCAGGGCTGGAAGAGGTAAGATCACCCAGTCGGTAATCTACAGACATTATATACTTATATTGCTCTAGTTGGACGCGGATCCAGTGATTCAGAAGCTGATGAACCAACTCCATGGACATCTGCAATCCATGCAAAGCAATATCGCACCGATGGCAGGACTCAGTGATGCGATCACCCGCTCACAAGCCGCCTTGGACCATTACTCCATGTCGAACGACTGAAGTGAAGTGATGCTTGATCTCTTACGCATCTTGACCTATAAAACAAGAGGCATAATTCAATGCGAGACATGTGTGGATAGCTCAGAGGACTGTCACCAAGATGCTGCAAGCTTGTGGCCGCATTGTACGCCGCAGGAACACCGAAGAATTCCCTGTCATCTGTCGCGTGCTCAGATCCCGGTGGCTTCGCAAAAGACTGCGAAATGCTCACCCTGCGCACCGAGAGGGCGATCCATTACACGTGAATATTGAGTGTATTTCGGCAGTCAAAGACGCATACGATGTCTTACGAGGTGTCGGGGGATGCGTGCGATCCAAAACGGATAACTCCGTCGCCCATTGGTACGCGTCAGCGACCGCGGATTGTCTACCGATCCAGCATCGGATCGCATGTGCCTAGAAGGACAATTAGATAATTAATGACATTGACACAACATGACTTGCATGACTGGAATGAATTTCGTAACCAACGAACCGAGGTCCTCAGTGTGCTCGGTGGCGGCTCCGACAAGATGGGGGATCCCCATGCGGAGCAGTTCGGAGGGGTTGAGTCTCCGCTTTCGCGGCCCCAAGAACTCAGAACTTGGACCTTGGAACTTCGACGACCGTTCACTTGGACACTCCACTCATGTCTGCAGGCAGCCATCCCGCCTGGTCGCACTGATTTCACCATGACTGAGAAGGGCGCAAGCTCCGAGAGGAGTGCCAAGTCCAAGGGGGATGCAGGGAAGGATGCGCGCGCAAAGGACTCGCCTGCGGCCAAGTCTGAAACTTCTGGCATCGGTCACTCCAGTCCCAAGAAGCGCCGCAAGGTCAATCACGGTAAGGTGCCGTCGCGCATGCGAAAAGGGATCTTTGACTTGCTCTCCCGATTTCCGCGACTGGGAGACAATCTTTGCTAATGCTTCATATCTACAGCTTGTGTCTACTGTCGCCGCTCGGTAAGCTTCACATTCCAAACCCTGCGCTTGTTCAGAGATAGCCCAGCTAGCTCATCCATGAGTGGTCGGGGTGGTTGCTGTTGTAAGGACTCTGCTTTGGCTAACTGGTCGTGTGGGACAGCATATGACTTGCGATTCGGTACGACTTCCAACCCCTCTCTCCCCAAGACCATTCCATTCCATTCCAACCGTCTATCCGTTGTGAACCAGAAGTATGTACCTGCTGATCAGTTTTAATTGTAGGAACGTCCTTGCACCCGGTGTATAAAGCGCAATATTGGACATCTGTGCCATGATGAGCCGCGGGAACCCACGAAGCGACGCGATCAAGATCAATCCGCCGCAGACGAGGAGGGCTCGTCCAATAATGAGCTAGTCAACGTTCAAGGTATGCCTCGGGATGTCGACGTCTCGGATGCTGCCGGTCAGCAAATCCTACCCGATGGTACGATCGGAATCCCGCCTTCCTCGGTGCAGCCTACAAACATTCCCCCAGCGGGTCAAGGCCTCGATGGGAGTTCCCAGCCGAGTAAGCTTGAAACGCGAGGCTTTTTGAATTTCCTTTGGACTCAGCTGACGTGGGATCTTAGTGATGCCGTACAATGACTGGATGGGCGGACAGAACCAATTCCAAGACATGCACTCGCTTCACCCGTCGTACATGTTCAATGCTCATGAAGTCACCAACGAGTACAACTTGCTAGGAGATTTCCTTAACAATAGTCTACTGGATGATGGAGCTATATTCCAGAATCAAGACATGCAGGGCATTTACTCTGATCCATCGGTGATGAACTCGATGAACAACTCCCTGAACATGCCCGATGGCTTGCCACCCCAACAACTTCCTCCACCGGCACAAAGCTTGGCGCCGCAAGCCGACTCAATCCAACGCCCAACGTCAACAGTCGGGAATGATAAGGCGCGCGAGACATACTACATGACTGCCGCAGACCCATCAGGCTCGGACCCGCCAGAGGAACGTATGAACAAACTTCTTAAAGCCAAGTACGACGCGGGCTTGTTGAAACCATTTAACTATGTCAAGGGTTACGCCAGGCTCAATCAGTACATGGAAAAGAACATGCAACAACAGTCCCGCCAAAAGATCCTAGGACAGCTGGGGAAGTTCCGGCCCAAGTTTCGAGAGCGCATGCAAAGTCTAACCGACATTGAACTGATTCTCGTGGAGATGTGGTTCGAGCGAAGCCTAATGGAATATGACCGCGTCTTCGCCAGTATGGCCATCCCAGCCTGCTGCTGGCGTCGAACAGGCGAGATTTTCCGAGGCAACAACGAAATGGCACAGCTCATTGACGTTCCAATCGAGAGTCTTCGCGACGTACGAATATTCTATCTACAACTCCCTGAAAGATTACTGACCTCTCCTCCAGGGCAAACTTGCGATCCACGAAATCATAGTTGAAGACCAACTAGTCAGCTACTGGAGAGAAATTTGGGGCTATCGCCTTCGACAATACCCAAAAGGCCATGCTTACCAGCTGTACACTGAAGAGTCCCAATCCCAACGCAGCAAGCGAGGGAATCCAGTGCTGCTTCTCATTCACGATTCGACGAGACAATCACAACATGTAAGTGAATTTGATCGAGCTTACTCTGGCGCAGAAACTAACACCGGTCTAGCCCGTCTCTTATCGTGGGTAATTTCCTTCCCACAAAGCGCATACACAAGTAGTCATTCAGAGTTTATGCAAAGAGCGGACTTCGAAATGTCGGAATTTTGCTTGTGCTCGTGCTTGTGATTGATTTTTTTTATTGTCTTTTGATTCCCCAAGGCTGAAGGCTTGAGTCCTTTGTCTAAAATGTGCGAGGGTTGAAATGTACAACTACCAACTACCTGCTTCGAAGATTTTTATGAAATTCAATATCTTTGGATATGTACGAAGCCCCGTGGTCGTCTGTAGCCGCTACTTGCTTTCTTCTGACATGCGGTCTTCTCTATCCGATGTCATTTTCTTATGAGACAGCAGACCTGACCACCAGGCATATTTCTTGATTCTCCAAGCTCTCGAACTAGTTGTCTGTGGCCTTCAAGATGAAGGGAAAGAGTACGGCATATCTGGGACCACGTAAATTCACGAAAAGCTCCTCTCTAAAATTCGAAACTGCAATTCTTGGATATGAACAGTATTAATTTCATTTCCAAAGAAGATGGAATAAAAAGTGGTCTGGGCCGTCTTGGTGTAAAGATATGGGTATCATCAGAAGTAAAACAAAAGGAAAAGCCAACAAAAGAGAGTGGCCCTCCATCCCTGGTGGATAGGATAGGCGGATACACGAATGGATAGGAAACAGGAAAAGAAAAAATGACTGGAAAGCAGAATAAAGGAGGACTATAACGAATAGGAAACAAAGGCAGAAAATGAATATGCGATGCAAGGGATCGTCAAACACCTGCAATGACCTAACATCGCCAAGAAAATCGAGATCGTGTTATCAAATTCTCGCCTTCTGTCTGAGTAAATGGCTAATAGAAATGAGCATATCGAAGGCTGGTCAAAATTTTCAATCATCGGCATTTTCATCAAAAGACCGGCTTCTCGAGACCTCACGGACGCCGGTATGACGAAGCGCTGGGGCGGAGGGTGCTTGGCGATGCATACGAGGGGAACGAGAAGACATTGATGAGTAGCTCAGCTTGCGATCCATGTCCTTGCCGCTGCTATCAGTCTCGGTCTCGCCGCTCTCATCGCTAGTCTGAGACCGCGCGCTCACCGCACGAAGGGTAAGGTTCAATTCTCGCTCAAGCTCCTTTTGAGCTTTCATGTGCTGACTTGAGCCGTTGAGCTTCTTGCGATATGCTCGTAGAGTCCGGCACACCTGCTCGGTAGACATGTCCAGACTGCCGAATTCGCTTCGGCTAGGAGTTTTGGCGCGCGCCCGGTAGTCCATAGATGTTCGACGGTTGGTGTTTCGTGCACTGCTTGGCTTCTTATAGGTTGATGTCCTTGTCTTTGGGCTAATTGGAGATGGGGACCGGCGGCTTCGATCTGTTGGGGTGAAGCATGTAGGCGAGCGGCGATTTGGAGACGGTGTCTCAGCAAGAGAATTGTTCTTGAGACTTGATGGTGTCAAGGATAGTTTTGACAGTTTCCTTGCCAATGTCGGAGAGCGCTCGCGAACTGGCGTAGGAGTTCCCAAAGGATTCTCGGGTCGAAATCCAGCTAGTTCAGTCCTTGAAAGAACCTTCCGCAAAGGGGGTTTTGCTGCAGTCATTTCCTTCACGGGTCCTTCATCCTCTCGCCCGTTTTGTAGATCCTGTGAGATTTGTTGCTGCACAGATAGATTCCAGATCATCAGAATTCCATCTATACCCGCCGAAACCAAGTTCCGTTTGGGCACGGACTTGTCAGACTCATCAGAATCCTCCAGAAGCAACACATCGCTCACACCTTCGGTATGTCCAAACTCTCCGGTGAGCAACTGGTCTCGCTCTAGATCATATACTCGGATGGACTTGTCCGTGCTAGAAACTCCAAGCAGAAGCTTTGGGCACTGGCCTGGAATTTCCGAGGTCACAGTCAAAGCACTCATTATAACAGCATCGGTTGCTTCCGAATCGGATGAGCGGAAGCAATGAAGCTGTCGTCCGGAAGGTATGTCAAATTTGAAAATGCAGCGGTCCATAGTCGACACGAAAAGCAAGTTCGAGTCATCGGGACAGAGGGTCATGGAGACCGGAGACGATTTGAGGGTGATGACTCTGGATACGAGGTAAGCAACGGAAGTTGCACCATCTACATCTCGTGTGGCGCGCTCTCGAATGAGAATGGTACGATCCGCAGAGCTCGACAGCAATTTCTCACCGTCGTTCATGAACAGGATCTGACCCACTGCCCCAACATGATCTTCCATGGTCTGGATCAATTGCAATTCGTTCGCTCTCTTCTCAAACAGCTGCACTGTGCGATCTCGGCCAGAGCTCGCGACTAGACAGGAATCGGCAGAAGAGTGAATAGCAATGTCTGTGATCTCAGCCCCGTGAGCGCGAGCCTCATTGACACAAGCCCAGGGCTCCCGCGAAAGAAGCCGCAAAACTCCGAATTTGTCGCCTGATACGAACCAATCAGCATTGTCTCCAGCCCTTAAGACCTTCAGCTCATTTGCGATATCGTCTTCGATCAATAGGTCTTGTTCGAATGGAACCGTCTTGGATTGTAGACATTTTCCTTTCGCTTCCCAGAAATTCACGGAGCCATTGCGAGACCAGGAGAAAAAGTCCGCAGAGAAGGCATTTGGTGTTTTCAAACGACGGACTCCGAGCACAGGGTCTCGATGAGCCGGCATAGAGTTCGCCCCAGGCTCCTGTTCTTGCTCGCCTTCTTCCCGCAATTCGTCCATCGGGTAAATATGAATCTCACGGGTCATTTCCACCGTGACCAAGTGGGACGAAAGAGAACCCATGCAAGTAATGGACGGCGCTTTGTTTTTCTTGTCCAGTACGCCTTTCTCCACCCGGGCTGGTGACATGGGTGGTGATCGAATAGCCTCAAAAGACAGACGCTGCATCCTCCTGCCACGCCCGCCCAGCCAGACGCACTCACGGTCAAAATCAACCGCCAACGAGGTCACAGCGAACCCAAATTGCGCCACTATTGTCATTTTCTGAGATCCTTCCCGATCATCGATGAGGCAAACAGCACCCGACTCCGTGCCCACCACAGCCTCCTGGTCGGATATGCTACCCACGCAGCTAAATGTACTATCACCCAGTGGGCCAAGCAAGCAATTCCTGCCCGAGAGTGCTTTGGGAGCGGGATTTGGCGAAGGTCCTCCTCCTTCTACGGCCAATCGAGATTTGGTTGGCGAGACTGGTCGATTGGTAGGAAGCCTCCATACCTTGACATGGCGCACGCCGGTTCTAGATAATAATGTAAGTGTGAGTCTTCACCGATTGTCATCCCGGGCTAGCATACGTTACCAAGGATTGACCCAGCCAACACATATCGCGGATAAAGGATGTACATTTATTCGCCGAATGTAGCTTGGCTGAGCCATTTTTGAGGTTGATCAACCAGACGAAGAGGAATCCATCGTTCACATTGCCGAGGGTTGCCAAATACTGCGAATCGGGGCTGAAGGCAAGGCTGCGGACACCAAATGTATGGTCATTTAAAATCGACAGAGGAACATCGGGTAAAGTGTCACGGGCTGTTGAAAAGATCAACACTCGGGGGTTGTAACCGGTCTAGCAAGTGTCAGCGGCATTTGTTTAAGCGTTCCAGCATCCTATTACTGACCTCTCCCACCGCTAGAAACCTTCCATTCGGGCTGATCGAGACGCTGGTGACCGCTTTGATCCTTTCTCTTGACGACCATGCGCGCGGGCTTCCGCCATCAGAGGCTTCGCCGGCGGGCGACGCAGGGAGATTGAGGTGTGGATTAGAGCGAATATGTGAAAGAGGACGAGCTTTGGGATCCGGTGTCGCGGGCGGGGTAGAATGATTATAAAAGGACGTGGTCGGGTTCACGCTGGTAGCCGACGGCCGAGCTCGGAAGAAGCGCTGGCTGATGTTGGCATCATCGTCAAGCTCGGCGAGCACTGCGGCTGAGCCGGCGCATAGAGCAAAGCGCTTGCTCTCGTCGTGACTGGAGAAGCCATTGGGGGTTGTAGTGGTTGTACCCAACACTGTCTGAAGCGATAAGCAAGATTGGTGTGACGACTTGCTCGGCGATCGGGTTCCCGGTCGTAGCACAGGAGAATTGGAGGGGGTAATCTTCAGAGAGGCGCTTGGCCCTGAGAAGCGCGTGGTTGCCATTGGGGCATTCGAAATCAATTTAGGCTCCCCTGAGTGCGCCGAGTCTGTTCATTGCAGATTGCGCATCCGTCGCAAAGGGTTCGTGAAAGAACAAGAAAATGGCGTGGCGGGGGATCGGGAGAAGATGCGAGGGATGTGGGGTGAGAAAATAGGGCATAATCAGGAGCTATCAAGCCCAGCTGAACGATTGGAAAAATAACACAAACAGCTCTATCGGGCGCTAGCTATGTTGATCTTAGATTCCACTTCGGTAGTGAGGAATGGACCGAAACGTCAACCGTGGATCGTGCATGGTGGGGAAGTATGTGACCCTGACAGCGGTACCTGGCTAAGCCCAAGAGATCACTAACTTGAGTTGTGTTGTAGCTCTCCGGTGCTGGAACTCTCAGAGCTTACGCTGCCTTTTGGGCGAGGCGAACGGTGGGTCGTCCACATAGCCTTTGGCACTAACCCCGTCTTCGCAACGATAGGCCCTGTTACCCTACGCTGGGGCCGACTGCGTGCCTGATCTTGGTAAAGGTTCCAAGGTCGAGCTAGACAGTATTTCCGAACTCAAGTTGACCTATATGTGTCCAACAAGTCCAAGCCCAGAGGGATCGAACTTTAAACCTGAGGCTATAATCGCAAGCGGAGTCCGTATCAATGGCAAATTGCAGGAATTGTTGAAATTGTCAAACCATCTAGAAATCATCTATGTCAAAAGGCCCCTCATTGCAGTTGTGAATCATATCGGATCTGGTGGTATCATTTACGTTTCCATGCACTTGAAGCACTCGTGTTGAAATTTGAATCCGGATTTGTGATGTGAGATTGAAACATACAGATGGAGAAAGGACAAGTCAGGGTCAAGAGGGTTGAGTAGATCAGACATGGAGATAGGGAACATGGGGTGGAGAGGCGTAAGAGATCTTCCATTGCTCCTCGCAGCATATAGATCGTGGTCATCATCAAACGGACTTCTCTCAAGTTGGGCTTAGCTTTGTGCCTTACTTATCGGGCAGCAATCTTATCGCCACCGGCCCATCTTTTTCGTCGCGACACTTGCTCCTAGATCTTCACTCACATCACCTACAATGGCAACACAATGTATTGCATCTGCCAACATGGCTCTCCCGGGGCTTTTGCGCAGTGTCTTCCGCTCTGAGTTCCCCCGCGGTCTGCACGCTACTTCTGCGCACCGACTTACTTGCCCTCAACGAACCGTCCAACAACCACGACGATTCAGCTCAACACCGCGAGTTTGCCAGCTCGGGCAGGAACAGTCATCGCCTCGGCCAACTGAGTCCTCCCCAAACCAGAAGTCAGGAGACGTTGGCTCAAGTGCTTCGCCAAAACCTACACCTTCAATCGCGAAGAGCCAACCAAAGACCAAGCGCGACGGCAAGGAAAGGACGAAAGAAAGCAAGAGTATTGGCAAGGACTCAAAGTCTGACAAGTCGAAGAAGTTTCCCATCGTCAAGAAGAAGACCGAGCATTGGCAAATTCAAAAGGAGGCGCTGGGCTCGAAATTCCCTGCCGGCTGGAACCCGCCCAAGAAACTTTCTCCTGATGCACTCGATGGCATCCGTCACCTGCATGCTACTGCACCCGATCGATTCACAACTTCTGTTTTGGCAGAAGAATTCAAAACTTCCCCGGAGGCCATTCGTCGCATCCTGAAGAGCAAGTGGAGACCGTCTGGGGAGGAGGTGGAGAGTCGGCGCAAGCGATGGGAGAAGCGACACGAAAGAATCTGGAGTCAGATGAGCGAGTTGGGTCTCCGACCATCCACCAAGGCGTCCCGGCCTGTGGGCGATGCGAGCAGGCTGTTGTACAGTGATGACGACAAGAAATAGGGGGCCATCCCTTTTGTACATCATCTCGGAGTCCACTCTTGCATCATAGCGATCTTTTCTTGCATATACTTTTGCATTGCGCATGTGTCCAATGGATTTATAATTCTATTTTTGAAATCAGGGCTTTTTTCCTACATCAAAAAGTGTATTCACCTGGTGGACAAAGAATCAATAGGGTTCTTCCAATTCTCCGATTTGAGGGCATTAGAGTATTCAGGCAAATTTGCCATGAACCATGAATTGAAAGAATACTCATTCAATTATGTCTCAATCAAACCGGGTAGATACTCTGCACATTACGTAGAACAAAGGGGTCCCGCTAATGCAATTGTGGAGGCGGCGTCACCCAAGCTCCCTGCAACTCCGACTCTAACTCCGCCTCGGCCGACACGTCCCATGGACGTACCATCTCGTGCCTTGCCTTCTATCTGACAGCATGATGCTGCCTCTCTGACAATCAGTAGAATCTGATCTTGGTGGTCGCCAAAACTCCGGCACCTAAGAACACCGAGTCCAGCACGTCGAGTACAGCAGCCCACATGCTGACACCGCGCCACCATGCCGTCGAACATCCAGGTCTTCGTGAAATGGAAAGACCAGACGATATTCGCGGGAGAGAATGTTGAATGCACTATCACCTTCAAAAATGTTGCAGATACTACGCCTGAAGCCGGCAATGGAGCTGAGTTTAGTCAAAACCAGCGCAAGGCGTCTCGAGTCGCGAACCACACCGGCACCCCTTCGGATTCTTTCTTCTCGATGAAATCACCTCAGAGCCTTTTCTCGAGCCGGCGATCACACTCAATCAGTTCTCAAAGAAAACCCTTCCACCGAACTGCCTCTTCGCTGAGCTCCCCGCTCGTCGCCTCGCAGAGCTTCCCGCCCCCCCAGTGGCCCCTCCACACCTCGAACTTGGCAGCCAGGTCATAGCCATAAAAGATCCGTGTCAATTCTCTCAATTGATAGTGAAGGTCAGACTGATAAATCACCGTCAACGCACGGTCATAGAGGCCAGCCGGCCAGGGGTCATGGACGATCAGCAAGTCTACAAATTTCCCCCAGGAGGAACCACAGCTATGACGATTCTTATAGAAAAGGTGATACGACTGCTCATCAACCTTCATTTCCTCGGGCTCACAGTGGTTATGCAAAAGCGAGACCCCATGTACCTGGTCCTACACTCGCAGAGTCCCCAAACGAGTCGGCCCCCAGCAATTTGACAGTCGATACCTCCCACCTGGGACGATCTAGCCCTCAAAGTTCTCGGGCAACCAGTCCTGCTGGTCCGGGCGAGCAATCACGCACCCCTTCTCGAAGGCGTCAGCCACCCTCTTTCGATTTTAAGTTTCCAGCGGCCCCTCCAACAACCGAGCCAAATTACCACCCACGTCTCTCTCCTTCTCCCAAATCGACCGATAGGATCACACCCAGCAAGACAAAGACATCAACGAAGGATGCTTCGACCTTGGGTGCACCTTCGCACCAGCAACTCACGCGAATTATATCAGCTACAAGCGTGAATGGAAGCAATCGGAGTAGCGGCGAGTTCTACTCAGTCAGCAATGATTCCAGTGAGACATTAGCATCCGAGTACACGACATATTCAGCTCATGGCGTTCGCGCCCCCCCTCCACCGGCTGCTCGACACGCACGGCACTATTCGAGTGTGGCCGCCCCGTCTGTCAGACCCACCGATGGCCAGGCGCTGCTGATGGGTATGCGCAAATAAGCGCATCATTTACAGTCGACGGTTCTCTCGTCGACCAGTCGGTCTTTGACGAAGTCAAAAGGAAAGGAGTCGTTGGTGGGCAATCAGGTACAGGCGGGCTCCCCGGACGGCCGAGCTCTTCTAGCGGCGATCGAGCCCGAAAAGGCGGTGGCTTTTGGGGCTCGTTCAAATGGAACGCCATCGAGGAGTCAATCAATGGTTTCCTCTCTAACAATGAGCTCGATGGTCTGCGAGAAATGCGTGGAGTCGCTTCATCGCGATCAATTCCATTGCTGTCCACTCCGCAATCACTTCTCTTCGTCGACCTACGGCTGTCGCCAGGGGAAGAGCAGTCGTACTCTTTCTCCTTCTCTCTTCCTCGAGGACTTCCGGCGAGCCATAAAGGCAAAGCTATCAAGATTTCTTACAATCTAGTCATTGGCACTCAGCGGCCGAGCGGCCCCAATGAATCGCAACGTGTTAACCGCATCAATATTCCATTCCGTGTATTCAGCGGTGTTAATGGTAAGCGTTTTGTCACCCGATCTTTGACCTCCCAGATCTAACAGTTCTCAGAGAAAGGAGACGTTCTTGGCCATGATCTAATGTCTCCCTATGTGATTCTCCGCGATGAAGCCAAGGTACAAAAAGTTGGAGCCAATGCTCCTGTCACTCGCAAGCCACAGAGTATTAGCACCCAATGGAACACCGCTGGGGATTTCTTATCATATGTGGATGAGATTTTAGAGCAGCGCGCGCGATCCAATACTCTGTTTCCTCCAGGTGCACTTCTGTCGAGGAAACCAAGCTTTGAGGAACTTCCCCATTCAATGTCTTGTAAGGACATCATCGACTTTGCAATCCTCCGCAGCAACCAAGCTCCGAACTCGCGGCGCAGTCCCAACCGATTCGAGATCGCTCGGGATGGGCAACGCATTGCCGTGGTCGTTTTGAACCGCCCTGTTCACCGACTTGGAGAGACAATCATTGCTACTGTAGATTTCGGCAATGCCTCAATCCCATGCTATGCTGTCCGAGCATCCCTGGAAACATCGGAGAAGGTAACACCCACCCTCGCGGTCCGATCAAATGCAAGCATTCACCGAACGACACGGCGTATCCATGCATCTCTTTTCGAGAACACCCTATACGCCACAAGAGTGGTCTTCAGCCCTGCAATCCCTATCACCGCAACGCCTACCATCCTCACAAGCGGCGTCACTCTAGACTGGGACCTGCGGTTCGAGTTCGTCACACCAACCATGCATAATGAACAAGGTCCCAGTCCATCCGGGACACAGCTCTTGGAAACCTTGTCTTCTGATGATCGCGGCAAAGTAATGTCTGCGATGGAACATTTGGGCTGCGAGTCCTTTGAGATTTCCATTCCACTCACAGTCTATGGTGAAACTGTGCGGGAGCAGGTTCCGGAAGAAACGAGGGGTACGCAATCTAAGGATGCGTGATAGAATTTCGGTGCTTGCGGTATAGCCCATTCTTTTGTGTACTTAATTTAGGTATCCCCTTATCCCACCCGTGGATGTGATCCTTGCATGCGCAACGCTTGCCGCGTCTGTTAGATCAGGTATATAATCTGTGTCGATTGCCCATTTCGGCAGCGCTCAAGGCTCTCCGCGAAGTTTCTCTGGCTGCATACGTGCACACTTGTACCCCTACAAAAAAAAAAAACAAATAAACGCGTACTCTACTCTTGAAGTTGTTTAACCAGCGATTCGAATAACATCTCAACGTGTCTCAGACATGTTGAGCTTGGCATGGGAGAAGAGGCACTGGGGCACAGTCAGAAAGCACCCTGGCCTTCGATGCCAGTTGCTTTGCTTCCACACATTGATCCAGCAAATGAGCCAGGCTTCAAGATTATGTATACAGCTTTACGAAAATTCATAGTTACGTCCAAAACCAGTGATAAGAAAGATGTGTATTGTGCAAGTCACAGATATTGAAAACAAATGGAAGAAAAGAGGGATCCAAGAGATCCCCTCATTCCACTTTCACCAGACGCTAACGATCATGCGGGACGGAATGCAAGATGAACCATCCCCCACAACTCTATTTTACATTTACAAAGCATCAGTAAGAGCCTTGTTCATCTTGGCGATCTTGGAGGAGACGCTGAGGTCGACGGTGCGGTCACCGATCTCGACAACGAGACCACCGACAAGGTCGGGGTTGACCTGGGCATGTAAGCTGAGTATTCAATCTGAAACGAGTGATGGTAAAAGCCTTACCTTGGTGACAACCTTGAGCTTCTTGCCCTGGCTGTACTCAGACTGGCAACGGCCTTCTCGAGGCGGTTGATGGTCTTGGTGTCGAGCTCCTGTATTCGTGTTGAATTAGTTACATCATTCCTTTCAGATTTGAAGAATCAATGTGAGCGACGGACCTGGGCGGAGGTGATGTTCAGCTCGATCTCACCGCGGTGAGCGCTCATCAGGGTAGCGAACTTCTCGCAGACACCCTCGAGGGAGCCGAGACGGTTGTTCTCAGCAAGAGTGAGAAGGAAGTTCTTGAGGATGTCGGCCTTGTCGGCACCAGCGACCTTCTGGAGCTCCTCAATGATCTGCTTCTTGTCGGAGACGGTCAGGGTAGGAGCGCCGAGGATGGTGTTCAGCTTGGGGTCGGCCTTCAGGGTCTCGCCGAGGCTGGCGATGGCCTTGGCGGTCTGGTCGAGAGCAGAGGACTTGGTGGAGGCTTGGTACTATAGAGAGGAAAAGTTAGAATCGGTGCTATTTGGCGCGTGTTTGTCCCTGCGACAACCGAGCTCCAGATTTGATGCAGAGGGGGGCAGCGGGAGGGGTCGGGGCGACACGGAGTCGGGAAAAAATTCGACAGGGCGGAAGCTGTATCTTGCAAAGGGTCGAGTGCATACCAGAGCAGTGGCGTAGGTACCGTCAACGCCGAAAAGGGCGACCGGGGGGCGGACTTCCTGGGCCGGGGGTGGCATAGGGTGCGCAGACCGTTGAAGGCCGGGCGGGCGACGGAGAACTGCTGGGCGGCACGGAGGCCGGTGCGGGCGACGCGAGCGGACATCATCGTGGAATTGAGCAGGATAATATCCTCGAGAGAGGGAAGGAGACCGTGGGAGTTGAGATGGAGGGAGATGCTAGCGACGGTCGGAGTGCTTGCGTCTCTGAGTGCAGGTTGAGTTCGAGGTCCGACTTCTTCCCGAGTCACGTGTGCTGCTGACCTAATCTCCCCGATTTCCTATTTAGGTCAGCTCCAGATTCCACGAGAGAGACTTGTCCTTATTTTGTACTTAAGAAAGCCTTTGTCCGACTCGGGTTGATGAATTATCATTCTAGTTGGTCGTGAAACTATTTCAGACATCCAGCACCTGAGTGCAGCTCACAAGGCTTGCGCTTTCAGCTTTCCGGTCACGGTAAACATCGGAACGGCATATGTCGCGTCAATTGTTTTGCAATAGCTATGTTTAATAACAGCAGCAAATCCCCATTGTCCATTCTCCTCCTGGGACCCGACACGACCTGAACGCCGATAAAGCCCATAATACATGTGTCAATGGCAATAATGTAATCTTCACGCCCGAACGCCATTGGGAACGATGTCTTCTGTTTCTTCATCCGCTAGAAAGTCCAGTTTCCGAGATCACAGGCATCTTTCCCATGCAAAGAATATCAGGATTTCTTCCATGCGATCCTCTCAGTCACTGCGCAACATACTGTCCACCAGATCACCTAGAGGCCCCCAGTAGTCTTTCCCACTCGCGAGCTTATGCTCATCGATAAACAGGACATAGTGTTTAAAACTAGTGTTGAGGTGAGGCTCAAGACCGAGGTGCACGACTACCGGGTAGTGGTGGCAGTAAACATGTGCGTAAACACGGTATAAGCGCTTGAAGACTTGGCGAATGAGACTGGGGAAGGTCTTGGGGAATGGAACACCTGCAGATACAAAGACGAATGAGCTTGGGGATCCAGGATACTCATCGGGGACACATACCGATTCGGCTGGGAAACATCTGCTCATTATCAATGTTACCCTGTACCCAACTCATCAAATGCTCGATATATTCTGGTGCGGACATCTTGGTCGGACGCTTAAAGTTCTCCGAGTCTTGCCAGAGGTATTCAAATCTAGATCATCGTAAGTGGGGATTCAAAACGTCCTGTCTTCTCGCGATGCGCCATACTCATCGGTCGCCTTCATTTCGGGACATGTCTGCGGCGAGCAGAACTCAGTAATGGATCCATAGAGGAGGTTGATCTGGTTGTAAAAGTCGACAACTAGCAAAGGCCGGAACAATATTAGCTTCGTTCGTCTGCCTATGAGGTGGAGTCATACTGTTCACTGCAAGCCATTCGTTCAGATCTTCGCCCTCGGGAAGCTTGACAGCCTTGCGCAGACTGCCACTTCCCAAAGTGGCCTCGGCAAATTGTCTGAGTTGGTAACTACTGGTGCCCTTGGCCGCAGAGCGGGGCTTAAATGGGGCTCGCGTCCGCGCATTGCTGGGAGGGGTCAGTCCAAATGAACCTTGCTTGAGCGCGCGCACTGCTGAGGAGAGATAGGATGGAGGTTCAAGAAGAGGGATATGAGAAGTGCGGGTGGTCTGGTAGATGCCCGACGGGCTCAGACTTAGGGAAGGGGTATGAGGGGATCGCGACGGGGACTGAGACGAGGTCTCGTAGGAAGTCGACATGTGAAAGGAGGCAGAGGTAGAGGGAACCGACATTGTGGTGATGAAGGAAGCCATCGTCTATTCTTGGGAATCTCCCTTGTTATTTGCGGCGGGGTGATCGCTGATCGGGGGGATGTGCCTGCATTCCGATGTCAGGGTGAGTTGCGCTGCGCCGGGAAGGAGGCCGTAAGATCCGACATACCAAATGAGACCTTGCAAGTGTGTAGCGCGCAGTGTGTAGTGCAGAAACGAATGTAGTTCGGACCGAAGAAGCGCAAGGGCAAGGGAGAGGTAACCGGGTTCAGCTCCACCAGATGTGATAGCGATCGTGGGCTGTCCACGTTGCCCCAGTTACCGCTTTACGTCAGGATACGATCGCGATCATTGCAAGCGGCCTTGTCTATTGAAGACTATGAATTGAAAGGCCCCTGATAGCTTTGGCGGCACAGGCTTTGTGTGGTCTGCAAATTATGTATTGTTTCGGAACATCATAGCCAATGGCGATCATCTCGTTGATACCCAATCTAGAAAGTATACATCTGCCAGGCTTCAAACAATCGTCACGGAAAACCATTCCTATTCATGTTTTGAGATGAACAAAATTTATCTCATGCGAGCGAGAGACATTTCTCAATCCAATACAGCTCTACCTCCCAATTCACGCTCCATCTCCCTGTTCTCGGCCATCTCATTCAGCACTCTCTCGGCAATCTTCATTGCATCCACCCCAGCCGGAGCCCCGCAATAAACCGTAGCATGAATGATAGCTTCCCGAATCTCAAGCTCACTAAGCCCATTGTTCCGAGCCCCGCGAATATGAACCGCCAGCTCAGGACCGCGGTTCAAGGCCATCAGCATACCGATATTGAGCAGACTGCGATCGCGCTTCGCTAGGCCCGGTCGGCCCCATACATTTCCCCAAGCCCATTCCGTGATAAGCTCTTGCATTGGTCGAGAGAACTCAGTCGAGCCGTTCTCGAGGGCTCTCTCAACATATGCTTCTCCGACCACAGAGCGGCGGGTTTTGAGGCCTTCTTCGAATAGTTGTTTGTGGAATTCGTCGAACTGGGGGTCGGTGGACATGTTGGCGGTGTAAGGGGAGAATGGCTCCCTAAGACTCAATGCTAGACCTATGATGGAGCGAACTCTTGCTGGTATGTGAAACAAGCAATAAGGGGCCAGAAGTGTCAAATTCTGGTGAGTTCGAAGATTAGGTGTAGTCTTCCCAACCAGGAATGACTTAATGACTTAATGGGGTTCGGCTCTGCAGTCGGGCTGGAGCCCCGCATTGATTGCTTTCCTTGGGACACCAACGAAGCTACTGTGCTGAAGTCGCGTCGCGCTTGTTCATGCATCCCTGAAACCGAACATTTAACATCTTCAGCCGGAAGTCGCAAATCAGCTATTTATACAGAACTTGATGAGGCATCAAATCTCAATTAGTATCAACCAAAACTGTAATAACCACTCCTTCAGGCTATTCCGAGTAGAGTGCGGAGCATTGCCTACGAAAAAAGCCCACTAAATGTTACTATCTCCGGGGATGCCGCCGCTATCGATGGGTTATATACCATATTTTGATAAGATTATAGTAGCATATTCGTTCGTAAGTCAAAGGTTAATATTGCGTATTAATCCTACTATAAAAAGGTAATCGGAGACAAGTACCTAGTATACATTCCGAAGATCGATATACCTGAGGACTATAATATTAGCCTCTAGTCATCCATTATAGGGACTAAGGTTAAGCTAGCTGCGTTAGGTCCTAAGTTTAGGTTACTAACTTACTTGGCAGAGTTCACCCCTCTACATCGCTCTCCTAGCTTTATTATAGTATGATAGGAGAGGGCCACAATCTCAATATACTAGTTGACATTAGGCCTTATTCTGCCTCAGTAGGGCTAATCAAGTAGATACTAGACGCGGAACTGGAATTAAGAAGGGCTGGAATCGTATATTGTTCACTTTTTCTTAGCACGAGAATGCCATCGAGACTATTGGAGGTCCTATTTCTAAACTGACTATAGAGGGTGTATCGTTTGATATATCTACGAATGATTAGACTTCTGAATTAATTTCTATACGCTACTGGGTCGACCTCCCCCCGTACCTATAGAACTACTGTGAATAATTTTGGGCCGAAGGTCGAATAAGCGAAGTATACAGACAGTGCAATCTTTAGGAACGGATTCTTTGGGCGTTAAGGATTCGAATACCAATCTGCTAGAGCCCCGTTAGGAGAACGTTGTTCGACTGACAAAGATCGTGTAGGCACAGAGTCAGAAGGTGCAAGATAACATTACATCCAATTTCATTGAAAAGACTAATCCCCATTAAGCACCGCGTTGCCCGACACTAAGCAACAAGCCGCGTATCCCAAGGTCAAAGCCAGCTGGGCGACCAAAACAGCTGGCACAACCTCTGGACCGCAAATATCCTTGGAGGCGCCCGGGGCGAGCATGCCGCCAACATCAAACAAGATGTTGGCTGCGAAGGCTTCTTTAGAGCTCGTGGTTCGATTGTTCTCAATGAAGTCGCCCACAGCGGGCACAACCCAGGCCACATTGATTGCGCACTCCACGAGCGGCCCAACGATCCCTTGATAGACTTCATTTGTGGCGATATTGTCTACCGCGACCTTTCCGATGCTAATCCCGGTTATACCCCAATTCAGACCGTTGTACCACGTCCGGCTGGTTTGAAGCCCACCTATCAGATCTGGCATGACATACCCCAGGTAAGATACCATACTGATGCCTCGTAATGTTTTCGATGGGATCTCTCCGGCCATTGTCTTCGTAACCGAGCATTCCCAAACGAAAATGCTGCAGAAGAGCGCCATGCCGTCAGACACTACGGTGCAGATGTCGAACACCTCGCCCTTGTCGACCGCCGGTAACTTCCCTTTACCTGCGATGGCCATATATTTCGCATACGCGATTTGCTGCTCTTGAGTAGGCTGGGATGTATCAAAGATGTTGCGAAGTGCAGTATAGTCGGGCGCCGTGATCAACTGGTTGGTGAGATCGTTTGCCGGGAAGGGAACGTTATTGGTGATTGCCTTGTAGATGACTGTTGCTGGGATTGCACCAATGAAACAGACGAGGTCCAGATAGCTGAGCTGGTCCCCGGTAATATTCTTGTAAATGGGGGACAGAATGGGGATATCCAAAGGTGCGTCGAGAGCGGCAAGAAACGCATCAGTGAACAGCTTCACTAAATCCAGTAGGGTCAACACGCAATTCTCCACCGTATTCAGAACAAAGTCGGTAATAATTGCGGCGATCTTCTCAAATAGCTGTTTTGCGCTAAGGGATGCAAAGTCCTTGACAACATCCACGAGGCTCTTTACCATGGCGATGATATCTCCCTCCTCCGTGGTCATCATCTTGAACAGGTCTGTGAAGGCAGCTTCTAGCTGCTTCGTAACAGGTACATTAAGGTCATGCTCTGACTGTGCACTCCGTAGATTGCTTGTGGCATGGTGCAGCGCCCAATTTGCCTGTGGACTGTTTCTAGAAGGCACACTTGACTGCGATGCTTCCTGCTGGCCAATGGTCTGGCCAGGATCCGGGAGACCACTCCATTGGTCAACCTTCTCTTCGATCGTGGCGAACGAACTCTTGATTCCATCTTCAATCTCAGTAATTGAGTTGCTCACCTGCTGAGCAGATAACTTGAGAATGTTTTTAACGACGAAGTGGGTGCGCTTGATGTCGTCCCAATTGAAAAGGAAGCCCAGATATTTGACGATGTCGTCGTAGGCAACTGCAATCTGCTTGAATACGTACTCTGCTGCCCCAATAACGGCCGCCACGCTGTCAATCACCGCGGAATAAATATCATCGCCAACCTCGACGATAAAGTGCCAGACCCCATCAATGATCTGAGAGTAGGCCGTCTTGACAGTATTCCACGCTTTTTTAAACCATCGCACCATGTCACCCCACAGAAGCTTGAACCAGCTGCCGATGCCTCGGCTAGAGGGACCGCCTTTTGCGGGTCCATCAGCCATCAATGCCGGCTTGGCTTTCGCGGTACCATTCACAAGTAGCTGCGGTTTGATGTCCAGTAAGGTTTTGAACTCGTTTGCTGCAAAATCCAACTGGTCTAGTCTCACCGAGGATATGGGCACAAGGGGCTTGCTCACTCCATTGGAGTCAGTCACAGTCGCCGCACTAATACCTTCGCCGAAGTGAGGGTGGACAGTCGCTGGCAGGCGTTCTCAAGTGGGTCGATTATCTCAACTATATTTTGACCGTTCACGTTGACCGTGACATTGATCGTTGTGCCTGACAGAGTCTGTGTCTCTTCAATGATAGTGATAGTACCTGACGAGTTTGTGAAGATTTGAATCGTCTCATCGGGTCGGAGGATCAAGTAGATGTCGTTGACATTTACGGAAATGGGACTGGAGGAGCTCAGGGAAACCGGATATGTAGGGACTCCCATACCGTTGGCATCCACAACCTTGATGTGACTAGTGTAACTGCAGAACTCAATCACCGAGTCGACGTTATCTGCAGGTAGGAGCACGCTGCGTTCGGCCCAGATTGAGGTAATCGGGTCTTGTGTCAGTTGCATCAACTGGCTCTCGTAGGTTTGAGCGAACAAGACGCTATTCGCAGCTCCCTGGTAAGCATTGAGGTAATGTGCGAATTGGAAGACATCGTAGCAGAGCGGCACGGGGTTGGACCATGCATCTGGGTTCGTCTCGGACCCAGACGGGCACGATAGACTCCATAGCTCTGACGAGAAGTTAACACCCGAAGAGTACTGTGCGACCGCTGACATTTGTCGCAGTGAGAGTCTGTGTGCCGTATAAGATGCCAGTGTTGCGCAAAAACTGTGTATCGGCTGCTGCTTGCGCACAAGCGCCGTTGTACTGCTGGTCTGGGGTGAACACATAGATTGCAGCGACTAAGGGCCATGCAACAAACAGAAAGGTATTCCCGGAAGAGTCTAACATGGAAGCAATAGTCGTTGTAAAGGGTGGAAGCGCCAAATGAATGCTTTCGGGGAAAGGGTTCTCCTTGGTCGCTACGGGCGTGTAGATTAGATCCTGCTTGGACCCGATAAATCCGAAGGTGTAGATGCCACCGACCGGATCCTCAGGTCGCTTGCCTAAGCAACTGACCACAGAACCGGCACTGATATCGTCCGGTAGGGGGTGGAAGGTCCACGTCGGGGATGAGTTGACATCAATATAATATCGATCTACTACCTGGGTATTATCGGCCGGGTTTCTTATCACATCGGCAAAACATAGTACTCCCGTCCCAGGGATATTCATCAGATATACGTCGGCTATAGTAAATGGAAGCGGTGGTGCTCTGCCTTGGGCGTCGAATGAGGCATACACCCAGAAAGGCATATTTGCCAACGTTCCCGGAGTAGTGGGAACGTCCAGAGCCAGGAACAGAGAATCATTGCCATTGACGTGAGTGACAAGGGCCAAGTCCACACTGCTTGTGGACTTTGGGCTCTGAGTCACAGCGAACTGCTTGGCTGCAATTGTCTTTTCCCCAAACCTGCCGGCAAGGCCGCTGGAGATATCATATTTGATCCAGCCAGTTTGAGATGCCGAGGTCTCTTGAGTTGCGTACAGAACCTCATCGGCGCCGATAGAGAAAAAAAGAGAAGTCCCATCTTGATTTTGCATCACATCAAACTGGCGAGCAGGGTCCATGACACTGGCATACTTTTGGTTCTTCATCAACTCCGAGTCGGAGACGATGCTGGCGGGGATGGAAGTAGTCATTCTTGTTCATATGTTATGGACAGAATTTCTTTGATTACTGAGCGTCAATGTTTCCTATGCAGGTAGAGGATAGTCAGCTTCACGTACAACATGGACGGGTCGGGAGAGCCTTTAAATATTACGGCCTCCATCGCCTGGGAGATTCCGTGACCTCACCTCGCAAGTGGCAAATGAACATAAGCTCTGGGCAAATATAGGCCCGGTTTCTACGCATATTTGTTCATGCTAGCTTTCGCTCGAGCACAGCCTATTACAACATGTCCTATTACCGTCAGCTGGCCCGATGACAGAATCCATAGACTATTAGATCACTATTTTAGAGGAGGTATGATGGAGAGGGTAAGTATATATTGAGCCATGGTGCGAAGTTGTTCCATGCTATTTGGGACCATGGTACTGTCGGAAATATACTTACCGCATCTGAAAAGCCTCAACCGCTTGCAGTAAATCGGTCATTCTAGATGCGCGGAGATATATACAATTTCGTATAGACATGCAAATCACTGCCATTGATGGACATACTACCTAATTCTGAAAAACTGAACTAACTCCACTGGAAATGTCTGGACTTACTCTTCAGTGCGCATGATCATGATCTAGATGACGTCGCGCCAAATGTCTGCAATGTCTACTCTAGTACTTCGAGCAACCAAACGAAAGGAAGAAAGGGAACATAGTATCTAGGGTTCACTTGAGATTCGGATATGTCATTGATGACGATGTCGTCAAAGTCCAGCCTCCCGTATCACGAGCCATGAACAAAGTGATTGTGATTGCACGATACGCCGGGCATGAAGGTAAGTCCCCAGAGAAAGACTCGTTGTCTCTCTTTTTTTTGGGGCCCCGCCGGGTACACTAGTCTTTGAATGGGACGATAGCTCCCACGAGAAATGTTATGATGTTTGGGAACGAGGTATTCTTTCGGATGAAGGACAAGGCGCTCACACGATAACAAGAACGGCCTGTGCGGGCTATGAGATAGTAAGGATATACTAGCCAATCAGAACAACGGAATCAAAAAGGGAGATGCAAAAAATAAGATGAAAAGAGTGCTCACTCTGGTCCTCTAAACTTGCTGGGGGTCGAGGGGGTCAATATACCCTCGAGAATACCTCTGACTCGGATGGATGAATGGATGACTTCAATTCCCCTGAACCCTCACAAAAGTGATATGCAGGCTGCCGCGACTATATAGCTCTCTATGCTTATATGTGCCGTGAACTACTTCCTAAGTGAACTCAATGCCTCGCTGAGGCCTATCGTGGCCTGGAAGCTATTATTGTCATTACATTATCTTTGTAGTATTTAGCTTTGAAACGGTGGAACGCTTGAGCGAAGTTTAAGATGGCTTCTACTATTTTTGTCCGTAAGGTGCTATGAATTGCGCTCTTTCGCTCTTCTCTAGGTCACTCTAATAAGGTTGAAAACCTCTTGAATGCATTGAGAATCTTTCCTCGGAGCTCCCGCTATATTTCTCCACGACTCTTAGCTCTAGGTATTCTAGTGAAATATGGGCAAAACTTTCTCGATCGCTATGGATGTATGTTTTATTATCGCGGAAGTGGGCAGCCTTCAAGTACGATAATTATTAGAGGTATCTAACTTATAATTATAACAGTGAGTAAGCTTAATTTCTAGGTAGAGATCTATAGAGCCTCAGTATATACTTAGCTAGTAATGTATTATTATGATCAATTCTTTAACTCTTTTTATGCCCTCTCCTATTTAGCGTACACCCTAATCAGCGGCACAAAAATCTCTGATTTGCCTAAGATATGAATCTACCAATTTTCAACGTAGTACTTCACCAAGCTCGATGTGGGGATGTAGTCTCATGAAAATGAGTTCATGTTTTCAGCTCGTAGAGCATTTCAAAGAGGCCCAAACAACGCCCCAATTCGGGTGGTACACATCTTCCTTCTTGCAACCATTGGTCGTCTGAAGTTCAAAATTGATACCCTTCGAATTTTCACAGTCCTTCTCGTTATGAATAGTGCAAGTGCCGCCTGTCACGATGAACGACCAAAAGACCATGTCGGTTGGGCTGGAGACACAGCTAGCCTGGCTGAAGCCGCCGTTGGTGAAATACCTGCAAGAAGCGCCGGTTCCTTCAACCTGAGTGCCGAGCTCTCTGATATTGAAGCATTTCGAGGTTTCTGCGCCGTGTAATTCAATGAGATCGTAGTCACCGCCGCATTTATTGCCGGTGTAGGCTGTGAGAGTCCATTTGTTGGGCTCGTCTGAGGCTATAGTTGTGGAAGCCTTTGTGACTGAAGCAGGCTCCGCTTTGGTCATTGTGTGTTCTGCTTTCGTAGTAGTGGTTTCATCTTCGGCTGTGGTCTTGGTTTTCGCACTGTCTTTGGTTGAAGTTTTGGTGGCTTTCTTCATTGTGGTTTGGGTTGTCACTTTTGATCTACAATTTGAGATGCAATCGCTCGAAGAGCAGACATCCGAGCTAGTCGAGCATGTACCGGCTGAAAGGCACTGAAGTATCATAAGATAAGATGCAAGGGAAACGGTCAAATTACACGACTCACACAATCATCCGATGGACAGGGAGTCAAGAAAGCCAGATCAGCGTAGTTGCTTGGTCGTGCTGTTCCAGGTACCTGAGGACCACAGGTAGCGCTTGGAAGTGCTACTGGCATTGGAGGAGATCCTGTACTAAGACATATAAGATCGCCCTGTTGCATGTGATTGCAGCCCTTCCAGCCATATGTCTGGCTGTTCCAGGACTTAATGTCAGACACAGTAATATCATAGGTATGGGCAATACTTTGGCAAGTATCCGTTGCCTGGACAGCATAACTGTAGCAAACTCCATTACTGTCTGCCTTGAGGAGGGGGCTGTTCGGTGTTCGCGAATTGAGTAACCAAGGAAAGATGCGAGATGGAGGATAGGCATCTTCGATCAATGCAGATGCTGTGTTGATCCACAGTAGCATACTCAAGATGGAAAAAGATAGTACTTCCAGCTTTGATGACCCCATCGTGAATTCCGACGAAATAGATTTACTGTTAGCGATGACCTTTGAACAGTAGCCACACGACTTATATATTCACTATCCCGAACTGTATCAAGTCAATTGCATTGCCACGCCCTTGTTACAAATAATACAAATGATCGCATAAAGAAAGCAGCGCTCCAGTAACTCCAATAATAGCAGAAATTTTACTCAGGACCTGGAGTAAATTCAAGGCCTTAGAAGATAATTGGGTAGAGATTCGCTTTCTTCTCAAGCATAAACAAAGCTTCCCAGATGTAGGAGTCTCAGGAACAATAGTTCTCGTTAGTATTGTGTTCTCCATCGCTAGACGAGGGACCCCCGTCACTTCATTCAGCTTTTTATTCTTCCCCTCATCGTCTGCCTACTGACTCGCTATCTAGCGTGAGCACGGCCTTTGCATAGTTACGATGCCTCGTCAACTCAAACCTGCGGAACCTGTGCGAGCATATTGATTAATAGAGAACATATCAACAACGGCGATGACCCTACATGCCTCGTGAATTGAACTAGTCAAACCAGCCACCAAAGCTCACGCCGATCAATCCTCCTAAGTGACCCCATGTAGCCTCTGATCCATATGTATTGGGGTAGAGCGGGTGCGGCTTGTCAGCAGTGGATCCTGGAGGAAGCCAAAAGTCCCGACTCAAATGTCCGAGTGTAGGCAGCTTCCCCTCTTCACTTTCATAACACAAAACCCCCAGAGTTCACCAAAATGGCCCAAGCAAGCTTATCACTCCTGCTAGGAACGGTGACTCCAGACTGGGCTTTCTACGAAGATCTCTACAAATACTTCCATTTGTATCCTGAACTATCGTGTCAAGAGAAGTCTACATCGGAACGGGTGGCTGCTCATCTGGCCCAGTTGGGAGTTTTTCACATCCAAACCAATATCGGAGGCTATGGACTAGCGGGAGTTTACCAGAATGGCCCCGGAAAGACTGTTCTTCTACGGGCCGACATGGATGCACTTCCCGTCAAGGAGCTTACGGGACTGCCCTATGCGAGCTCCGTGACTATGCGTGATGCCGACGGCATTGAGAAGCCGGTCATGCATGCCTGCGGACACGATATGCACATGACATGTCTCCTAGCCGCGGCTGATACTCTCGTGCGACTGCGAGATGCGTGGAGCGGGACTTTGATCGTGCTGTTCCAGCCCGATGAAGAACGGGGTGGAGGAGCACAAGCGATGGTTGACGATGATCTTTACTCCAAGGTCCCCGTTCCAGATTACGTCTTTGGCCAGCATGTCATGCGAATGCGTGCCGGGACCATTGGATCCCGTCCCGGTACGATCATGGCTGCCGCCGATAGTATGAAAATCACTGTATTCGGACGTGGCGGTCACGGATCACAGCCGCACCAGACCGTGGACCCTGTTCTCTTGGCTGCGCACATTGTTGTTCGGCTTCAGAGCATCGTGAGCAGAGAGATTGACCCCAGTGATCTTGCTGTCTTGACCGTAGGCAGTCTTCAAGCGGGGCAGACAGAGAATATTATCGCGGACAGGGCTGAGCTTGGAGTGGATTTCCGGAGCGCTAAATTGGAGACTCGAGAGAAGCTCATCGCGGCTATCAAGCGCATTGTTGAAGCCGAGTGTGCCGCGAGTGGCTCACCCAAGCCGCCGGTGTTCACACCAACAAGACGATTCCCGCCCACCATCAATCATGACGAGTTGGCATATCAAGTGGCCGCATCATTCGAAAGCCACTTTGAAAGCTTTGATGCCAATACGCCCCGGACGAATGTCAGTGAAGACTTCTCTACATTGGCTACCTGCCAGAATATCCCAAGCGTGTTCTGGCTCACTGGGTGCATTGATCCAGAGCTTTGGGATAGGGCGCAAAGCTCGGGCGAAGAAATCCCTGGAAATCACTCTGCTCTTTTTGCTCCCGTTATACAACCAACTATGAAGATTGGGGTAGATGCGCTGTGTCTTTCGGTTCTCACATTTTTGAGAAAATAGCTCGAAGCCTTGAACATTAGGTCATGCCCGAGATACGCGCATCAAAATAGCCTGAACTCAAGTGCTCATGGATACCGGGACCTACGTGCCTCAGATGGATCATAATGGCATGTCCAGGAATACACGGTACCGGTAGCCCTTTCAAGAAGTTAAAAGCTGGATTCTTCAGCTCTCTCTTCGTGATCATCCCAGACAACTCTCTAGAGCTTTTGTAGACCTCTATTTGTTCCCTTTCCAGACATACTCTATATTGTTGAATAGAACTGGCATGTTCAGTCACGGCAGCATATTCACAATCATTCGGTTACAGTCTCCAAATCTCCACTCGCCATATGGATCCAATTGCATCCGCCTTGGCTTCTATACATATCACCTTGGCAGTTACTGGATGAATTGCAAAGTACCCTGAGACCCCCAATATTTCCGGCAAAAGATTGTTAATCAAAGCTCAAAATGCATTCTTACTATGGTCTTGTATAATATCCACTGAACAAATCTGATATCCGAAAAAGACATCTATTAGACGTATTTGAGCGTCTCTGGCAAAGAAATTTAAACTCATGTATCCATGCACAGAAATGAACTGCAAGACTCAAAAAAATCACGCATGTCCATTACTGCCATGTTGACCGTTTGTCTGACCATTTCCTTGCTCATGATCAACCTGCGTCTCAAGCTCATCCTCAAATGCGCCAAGCGAGGCAGAACTACGGACGCGCTGAAGTTGGCTCTCGACGTAGTGATCGAGATGCTCGTCCGCTCCTCCGGTTGCACTTCCGCGGCGGCTGGCAGCTCTGCTACTTTCGTAATCATCGCCCATGGTCGAGGAGGCGCCTGGGGTGGCGTCGCCGGCGATTGTGGAGTGGAAGTCGCTGCGGTTGCCGATGGAGCGGGTGGTTGAGGAGCGTCGGATGGAGGGACGTCTAGACATCGAGGGACGGCCGGTGCGAGAGAAGATGTCGTCGAAGTAATGGGAGGCGGCGGCGAATGGGGAGCGGGGAGTCTGAGGGAGACGACAGTTGAGACTGGCAGGTGTTAGTAATGTATAAGTTTGATGCATGCCTATAAGAAAAAAATGCTTACCCAGTGTCGTGGATGATCTTGGCGATGAGACCAGTCCAGCCACACTGGTGAGAAGTTCCGAGACCCCGGCCGGTGTCGCCGTCAAAGAACTCGTGGAACCAGAGGTAATCCTTCCAGTGCTCATCAAAGTCGAGCAAATCGGAGTGTGCATTGATGGCACGACGGCCCTCGTCGTTGCGGGCGAAGAGGTGCTGCATTCTGTGCTGAAGCTCCTCGGCGACTTGGCCCAAATGCATGTAATCACCCGAGCCGGTGGGACACTCGACCTTGAAAGAATCGCCGTAGAACATGTAGAAGCGAAGCAGGGACTCGACGAGGAGGAAGTTGACACACAGCCAGATCGGTCCGCGCCAGTTACTGTTACCGCCGAACAAAGAGCTATTGGAATCACCGGGAACATATTCGACTTTGAAAGTCTGGCCATTGACATCCATGGAGTATGGGTGTTCCTCGTGGAATTTGGACATGGACCGGATACCATGCTCAGACAAGAACTCAGTCTCGTCGAGCATACGCTTCAAGATCTTCTCCAGGCGGTCCTTGCTGACGAGAGCCAACAGGAGGCGGTCATCTTTACCACGATGCTTCATGCTGGCAATGTTACGATCGGCTATATCTGGTCTGTTCTCAATGAACCAATTAAGTCTGCGCTTGAACGAAGGGAACTTCTTGATGATCTCTGGCTCCAGAGTCAGGACTGCATAGAGCGGGATCAGACCGACCAACGACCGAATGGGCAGCTGCTGGGTCCATGGGCCACCGTAGGAAATGGCATCATAGTAAAACCTGGGAAAGTCAGTCTCTGCTCGTGTGACATGTTTATCTTCTGACGTACTGGTCATCCTCATTCCAGAGAGACTGGACCTTGTCATCGCCATTACGGAAGGTCATAGCATCACTGATGAGGATGAAATGCTCGAAAAACTTAGACGCAACTGGATTAATGTTAGTATATCGAGCGCTTTGAAATTCAATCAAGCTTACTGTCTTCGTAGGTCCTCCGATGCTTGGCCAGCTCCAAGGCAATGTTGAGCATACACAAACAGTAGAAGGCCATCCAGCCAGTACTGTCGGCCTGTTCGAGCACACCACCAGTCGGCAGAGGCTCAGAGCGGTTGAACAAACCAATGTTATCCAGACCCAAGAAACCTCCTTCGAATACATTCTTTCCATCTGAATCTTTGCGGTTGACCCACCAGGTGAAGTTGAGCAGCAACTTCTGGAAGACGCGCTCCAGGAAATCCAAATCCTGGCGGCCATACATCTTGCGCTCAATCTTGAATGTGCGGAAGACGGCCCAGGCATGCACGGGCGGGTTGACATCTCCGAAGTTCCATTCATAGGCGGGCAGTTGGCCGTTGGGGTGCATATACCACTCCCTAGTCATGAGATCGAGTTGCTTCTTCGCAAAGTCCGGATCAATCATAGCCAGCGGGATACAATGGAAGGCGGTGTCCCATGCCGCGAAGAACGGGTACTCCCACGAGTCGGGCATTGACAGAATATCGTCGATGTACAGGTGGCGCCATTGCTCGTTGCGAATGCCCTTTCGGCCTGGCGGCGGGGGAATCTCACCAGGATCACCATTGCTCCATTGATCCCAGATGAAGTTGTAGTATTGCTTGCACCACATCATACCCGAAAATGCCTGGCGCTGGATGTTGCGCAGATCCTCGCTCATGGGAAGTGGGTTGATGCGGTAATAGAAGTCATCAGCGTCGGCGCGACGTTGCTCAATCACATCATCGAGGACTTCCTCATCGACGAACTCTTCCTTCTTCTGAGAGAAGCGGAAGCGGACGACGGCACATTCACCGGGAGGCACCATGTCGTCTCCATCAAAGGCATACCACGCGGCAGCCTTGGTACCCTCGTTCTCAGGATTGACGGCATCTTTCTCCTCATCGACGATGTAGTGGTGGAAAGCATCCTTCACGTAAGGGTGCTCGTTCTCGGTGCCCCAGAGCTTCTTGTTGTTGCTCTCATTGTCCGTGAAAAGCAGGGTGGGCTGAATGTCTTCTTCGCTAGAACCAACAGGGGGCGAGGGTGCGAAGCACGCATATCGGTCACCTAGGGTTCGGTGAGTTGACTTGGCAGTACGGTCTCCATCCTTCTTGATCGATGGCTTGGCATGTCCCTTCTCCCAGGACCAGGTGTTTCGGAACCACACTTGGGGAATGATATGCAAGGGAGCCGGCTCGGGGCCGCGGTTGTATGCAATGATACGGAAGATGAGCTCCTCTTCATTGTCCGCTTCCTTGGCGGTCTCGATGAAGATGTCCCAGTAGCGATTATCCTCGAAAATACCAGTATCCAGAATCTGGTATTCCTTCTCCAGACGCGACCGCTTGGCATTCTCATCGATCAGATCCTGATAGGGAAACTTCTTCTGGGGATACTTGTAAAGAAATTTCATGTAGGAGTGCTGTGGGTCACGTTAGCGTCGATGATAAGATACTGAGGGACAATACTTACGGTGGGAGTATTATCGACGTGGAAATGGACTTCCTTGATGCTCTCGCCATGATTACCTTGAGGGTTTGAGAGACCGAAGAGACGCTCCTTCAAGAACTCGCTAGTCGCAAGTCAGGCCCGCACGTGCAAAAGGAGGGAGCAGACTCACTCTTCACCGTTCCAAAATGAGAACGCGATGTTCTGCAGGCCGTGGGTATCGGATACACCGGCGATTCCGTCTTCGCCCCATCGAAAGACGCGCGACCGTGCATGATCGTGGGAAAAGTCTCGACCAGGTTAGCCATGATCCCCGCAGTTCTGACCAAGTCTGACTTACAGCTCCAAGCGTCTCCATCCTCGCTGCGGTTTGTTAGTATTTTCCATGGTTGTCCGTTCTAAATGATTTCAAACTTACGAATAATCCTCACGAACTGGGCAATGGTAGAATCATTAGCGAGCCGTACTCGGCCATTCGAGCCATTTCAGCGTCAGGCTTACCGGTGGCCCATTGTCGCTCGGCCACATAGGGACCCCATCGTTTCCAATAGCGAGTACGCTCTCGATCTTCCTTGAGGCGCTTCTCCTCCTGGGTGAGGTACTCCTGCTTGTCGATCAGCACCATGGTGGAGCCGGAATGCGGAGAGGGAGGGTCTGAAACGACCACGGGGGAATTGCAAAGAACCACGGACGACTCGAAGAAAAATTTAAATTTGAGAGAAGAAAGAAGAAAAGAAGAAGAGGAGGGGCAGGATGGGTTTGTACTCCGCACAGGCCTGGAGCTGTCAAGCTCCACAGAAAAATGAGCAAAGCAGGGACTGCCGCAGTGATGCCGTCACTCGGTGGATGCGGGCGCGATTTTCTCTATCGCCCCAATGAGAGCCCCGTGCACCCGGTCGATTAGCATCTGGACTGCTTATCGTGCATTTGCCGGGACAATTCCAAGGTTCAGATTCCCTTTCTACACCTCGGTCACCAACACTATGCGGCGGGTATAAGAGGCCCAAAAAAAGAATGGAAAATTCGTTTACGCCAAAAGAAAAGGGACCCGAGTCCCATACATACACAAAAGGGGAGGCTTTAAACATGCAACAAGAATCATGATCCTGGACCTCTCGTAGGTCCATCCATGAAGCACCGGAAGGGTCAAAGTGGTATAAAAAAATATTACTGAGTCCAAAAGGGGGAATGTGAGAAATCAAAAAAAAAAAAAGCTTCCGCTGACAATGCACTTCACGACTCGTTTGCCTTTTGCTCCTCCTGAGGCTGCTCAGGGACGGTAGTCTCGCCGGAGGGAGCTGTCTCAAATCAGTCCCCGCATAGAACGACTTTCCGGGGCAAAAGCACAATTGCGGACCGCATGGGGATGATCAAGCTGAGCCATCCTTACCGACTGTCTGAGCCTCTCCTCGGTTGCCCTGGCTGGAGGCTCCGTAGACCGACTGGCGTTTCAGACGCTCTTCGGTTTCGCGGATGCGCCGTTGGAGAGCTTCGAGCTCACGGCTTTGAATCATCATGTGTTGCTTCCTGGGAGATGTTAGTTTGGCGCCCAGCTCGTCTCTGGTTCAGGCACAGCGCTAGCGCTGAGCGGTGTCTGCCAGTTGGAGCGATTGCAGATCCCCAGACTCACTTCTGATCGATACTGAGGGACAGGTTGTTGACGTCGCTGTCCAACGAAAAGGCGCTGTCGAGCGCCGTCGAAAAGGCCTGTGCCATAGTGCTACTCTCTTTGTCAATACCCAGTTTATGTGGACCGAGAGGGGAAGTTCACGTACGACTGAGGCCGAGCCTTGGGCTTCCATTCTTGCTCCATGTCGGACATCTTTCCTGTGTTCAATGCGGAAGAAGACCTCGGAGGCTTCGAGTAGAGGGGCTATGTGCGACTGGCTTCGGGGCGGGGCAGCACGGCAGTCGCAATAGAGATATCTCGCAAGGATACAGGATCCGAGCTTGTCGAGTAAAGGGGGACAGTTGATATAATAAATATGAACGAGGATAAACTATGACAAGGATCTGCCCCGATCGAGTTCACTGCGGCGCTGTCAGTGTTTTGGTTTTGTTATACTTCGATAAGCGCCCCCCCCCCCTAGGAACGGGAGGAGGGGAGCTAGTATGTTCAGAGGACTTGTGGACTCCATACCGGGACGCAAAGCACGGACTGAAGAGGTGATCGGGGACAAGGCTGAAGCTTTGGATATCTTCTGCAGAGAGGAAAGGAGGGGAGGAAAAAAGAAGTCGAGGAGAAAGGAAGATCGTCGACGTTACTAGTTAATTAGTTGAATCGCGGAGGAGTATCTCCACCGCAAGGGAGTGTCATCGTATTACAGGGGAAGATGAGCGAACTAAGATACACTAAGTCCCTCCTACGTAGTGGTTTAGGGGCTTTCATTCAGGGGTTAGCTCTCCACTTGACTCGAAAAGGGGGAGGTATTTCGTTCAACCACCTTGGGTGGGGTTGACTACGGACGTAATTGGAGATGCTTTGCAGCGATAGCTCATCGTCTGGCCCTGTAGATGATGCCCTCGGTACTTCTCGAGGTATAGCGAAGACTCATTCTTGATGGATGGAAACTGGTTTGTTTCCCGGCAACAAGGGATGGCACGTGACCCGCGTAATTTTCAGTATTTCTGGTATTTTCAGAAACGTCAGCCTGCAATCTTGCAATCTTGGAGTCCAGTGTCACTTTGCAGGGACATCGGATCTAGTGAATCCACTCAACCTAACCACTCCATCCTCACCTAGTTTCTGCCTCGAGAGCCTCCCCGCCGTCCTGCTCGTGGATGGACTGAGGTGTCCGCTTTTGCTCTCCCTCCCTTCCCAAACCTTCCCGATTTGCCATTTCCGTCCCCTTCCCCGACTGATTCTGCGCGATTGAACACGCTCCGCGTTTGTTCTCGATCCCTTCCCCTCCAGCACCGTGGCACCGATCCCCGTCCTCACCGCCAGTGGCCGACCGGGCGGGCAATGGGGAATGCCTCCTCTGTCGGCATATACACCTTTTGAGTCCCTGCTCTTCTTCCAGTCCCTGGCCACGTCCGATGTGCGACCGGCCAGCTTCGCGACTATCTCCAATTCCTTGCGAAACAACCCGCTAGTTCGCCAAAATGTCGCGTTCAGTGCCGATCGCTTGACTGCCGAGGCTTTGGAAGATCTTTACGCGACATTGCTGCGCGATGGATTCGATCGTGATGCCTTGACCGGACCGAATGGACGACCAACCGAAAGCCCGGGCGCAAGCAATCCAAAGAAGCGCAAAATCGCCAGTCCACGACCGGAGGGATTAACGGATGGAGTGACGCACGCTGTTCTGATTCCAGAGCTCGTCTCACATCTGTATGCGCGGTACAGGGAGCTTGTAACGAAAGAGATCAGGGACGATGAAAAGAGATATACTGCGATTAAGGATGAAATCGAGCATCTGAAGAAGGAAGGGAATAAACCGCTTGGCACGGGTGTCAAGGACGCTGTCAAGCTCGGGGACGACCTTGAGGCTGACCCCATGGATGTGGATGTGAAGGAAGAGACCTCGCGACAGGAACATCCAGACACTGCAGTTCCTCCAGTGCAATCTCCACAGGCAAGAAAACCACCGGGAGATACTTCTGGACAATATCAAGCAAAGCAACAACAGGTCCCAGCTCCTACACAACCATTATCTTACGACACTCAACCGCAACCACAACCACAACCACGGGCCGTAAATGGCGAAATCTTTACGCAAACAACAGATGCCCCGTCCATCGTGCCACAGGCTCATCAGACAGCCCCTACCACGCCTGCCGCGGCAAGAGCCCCCCATCCATCTCAAATCGCGCCTCGTCCCAATGTGCCAGGCACCACACCTGTAGCCGGCAAGCCTGGGATTCCCTCAGGATCAGGGCAACCGACTCCTACCCAATCGAGCTTCCAGCAGTGGCAGCTTGCTCCTTCTCCTCAATCTCCCTACTCTGCCATTTCCACTGCTATTCCAGCGCAATCAACCCCTGTGGTTACGAAACAGCCTCCACCAGGTCCCATCCAACTTCCACCTCAAAGGATCCCAATACCTTCTCATGTCCCGAGCACGCCAGGCGCTCTTCCAACGGGTGCCCAGTCACCTGTACCTGTTGGCAATTCGCGTATTTCACACACTCCGAGCGTCGTTATCCCACCATACACTGATCGTGGGGCGTCGCGTCCTCGTCTTTCTATCGATACACCTGGCTCCTCCACGCCATGGAAGATGACACCGCGTGCGAGTGTTGCTGACTCTCCAGTATCACCCGCACGTCCTGGACCTGGAGACGTCAGTCCCATAAGTGACCGAGCTCCATCTCCTGATGATATGGATGAGTCAACCTCTCGAGAACGAAAGTCGCGACGTGGCCAGCCTGAGGGCAAGGCTGGGTCTCAGTATCAAGATCGAGAAACCTTCCACTCGCCGGACACCTGCGGCAAGTACTGCCTCATCACCGAGCCGCGGGCGTTCTGCGACCCCACGGGCAATGTCTCCGGATGTGGAGGGTTCACGAGCTACTAGCCGTCGGAAGGGTGCTGCAGTTGATGCAGATGATCAAGCCTTGAAGGGTCGCTCTAAGCGTAAACGAGGTACCAGTGAAGCATTGGAACCAGAATCTACACCCATGGAGGGCCCCAGGGTGGATACCCGCTATGTTATGTGTACACGAGGCTTTCACCGGACTGCGGCACCAATTTTGAATGATGTGACTACCCATAAGCTTGCTTCCATCTTCGCGAAGCCCATTGGAGAACGTGATGCCCCAGGCTACCACGATCTAATTTATCGACCTCAAGACCTGAAGTCCATCAAATCTGCTGTCCACCAGGGAAGCAAAGCTGTGGTTGCAGCTACGGAGGCTGTCAGTACACCTGCAGGAGATGGCGAGTCACCGGCTCCTGCTGTAGGGACACCTTCGAAGCATAATGCCCTCATGCTGCCCAAGACTGAAGACCTTGTACCTCCCAAGGGTATTGTGAACTCTGCACAGCTGGAAAAAGAATTTATTCGCATGTTCGCCAATGCCATTATGTACAATCCAGCTGCTGAGCGAGGTTTTGGCCCTGCTTTCCCTATGATCAGTGACCGAGGGACACGTGAGAGCACCCAATCCGAAGGTGATGAAGGCGGCATCATCCAGGATTCATTGGAGATGTTCGAGGATGTCGAGCAGGCCGTCAAGCGCTGGCGTGCTGCAGAACGCACCGCTGACGAACTGGCAAACAAGAACGTTCTCTCCCTCCGACGCGGTAGCGCCAGTGATTTTGTTTCTGATAGTGCCGACGACGCCAAAGGGTGATTCCGGCTTTGATGTACACTATGATGTTCCAAGTGTTTTATTAGGGGAATTCTTTAATGAAGAGGATTTCATCCGGCGGCCTTCACCTGCCGTCCGTGCGAAGCAATTTATTCCTCCATTCAATTTTGTAGCTCTCGAATCGGCACAAAATCTGCCCTTTGAGTCTCATGCAAGCCAGATTGCCCCATCGCTTTCCCTTGAGTCGCTTTTAAAACTGCTGCTTGCGAAGAACTCAACCCTAAGCCTCATGCACATACACCCCCAACCCAGCCACAAAAGCAGCCGCTGGTCAGATTGCAAGGACAATTCGAGAAGACAGTTTCATATTGTTGGGACAATTCAAATCACACGAAGACGATATCGAGACCGGAAGATTCTACTTATACATCGAGGCTCTTCCCATCAAGCCAATCTTTAGCCTGCTGGTACAACAAGTCATGCTTTTCCCCATTGACCGTGCCAACATGACGCCTATGTCCAGGCATATCTTTCAAAACAGAAACACCCATAGTGAGCTCCTGGCAATAAGCCAAGCACTTGTACCCTTCAGGATACGAAGCCAGCTTAACCTCATCCAACTTCGGCACCTTGTTAGGATTGACAGGAAGCAACTTGTCCTTCTCATACCAATGACGAACGAACCGTGCACCCCATCGCTCGTCGGCTTTCTCAAAAAAGAAAATGAACCGACAATCTGCCTCTGCGTCAACGTCGCAGCCATCGATTGTGAACCGCTGCGTGATGGTAGCCTTCATCTTGGTGACGGCGCGCGTTGCCTCGGGCGTGATGTCGGTGGTCACGCCATGGCAGCGGTGCATAATGAAGGCGCCTTTGTCCATGCCGGCCTTTGAGACTTGCACAAAGTCCTTGTAGGAGACACGACCGGACCAGGTGGTATATACGAAGGCGTCTTCGTGGAAGATGGATTTGAAGTTTTCCCATTCACAGGCATCACTGGTACAACTATAAGCGTCTGGAAAAAGGAACTAGAAACATACCCAAATTACGTACCGATAGCAAGGCCAGCCTTCTGCCAGCTCACGTAGCTTTGCTCGCTCTAGCACTAGGTTGTCGGGCCCATTGTTGCGGATGGCATGAGCAGGCCGAGTGCCCGCAGGTAAAGAGTGTAGGTCAGGCATGTTCGAATTGGACACTGAGGTAGAACTTGGACTCTTCGAATATTTTTGAATTTGCAGGCCATGCTATATACGCTGGTGAGGGGTTGCTCGGAGATGCCGACGGCTAAGGTCACTGCCGAAGTTTCCTGTAACACTCTGGGAGAATACGGATTATCCAGGTGAAGGACCTCGGGGAAGAAGCTCGGTATTTACTTATCGCGAATAATTGACAGCCTGTCTCCCGGAGTGTACAGTTCAAGCTCATGTCTCGGAAAGGAAATTGTTCAGAATGCATGAACTTGACATTGACCAGATAGACGTTCTCACGCTTGAGGCTACCTGCTGGGCAATGTGATATTTTGTTCATGATGGTGTCTAACGAATACTTCTCCGGGTCTCACTGCTGCATGATCATATTCAGTTCAATCATCGGTCAAGTATCATGTGTTAAATGTGAAGTTCGAATCAATGATTGTATGTTGACATATGAATTTGTATCATGATGGAGTCTTGGGCCTACCGAGCCAATTGGGAGGTGGGTTCGTCGCGATGCCACCTCTATCATCGTTACCTAAGACGGACACAATTGATATTCCGCTGATAGACCTGGCCTGCTTTTGCCCTGACTCGTCACTGATAGTCGTTCAGGTAATTTTCAAAATTTACTGTGTCCGGTGGATCCTCTAGGAATTCGCAAGAGTAAAAGACCGTTCGTCCGCACTCACCGAACTATATGACAAGAAATCAGCCTACATTGTGGCTCTCGGAAACTGTTTTTATCGCCTCAACCACGTAGAGGGCCTGTGACCACCTTCGTGGGATTATTCGAGTAAGTTTTAGAAAATAGGCCAGAAGGCAATTGAGCATGTTAACTAGTCCTGTTCTTGTGAGTGTCAAGACTTTCCCCCAAATCTCTTTTCAACTCGCTCATACTTCTGAAACCCCTGTTACCAAGCGGCCAAGATACAAATCATTCCGTTTGTATAGGATTATGGTGATCAACGATGGTGTGTCAAGGTGAGCTAAATGCGTAGTCACAACAATGGCGATACACAGGCAACTAGAATCTTCTCGACGCTGTGCATTTCTTAATTTTCCCCTTCACTCAATCGCCATGCCATTGGCGCAGTCACCCTTTACGACCCGGTTCGATGAATGTGTTCAAGAGCTGTTGAGTACATGGCACGTTCCTGGCCTCGCGATAGCAGTTATCGATGGCTCATCCACATTTTCCAAAGTACGCGCTTTTCCTCGTCATCACGATAAAGATACTATAAGAACAAGGCTGATATCCGCTTAGGGATATGGATTTGCGCTTCTTCCTGATACTCGAGTGACACCTGAAACAGTCTTCTTTATGGCAAGCACCACAAAGTCATTCACGGCCGCGAGCGTCTCGCTGCTCATCGATGATAACCCGGACCTGAAATAGACTTCGACTCTTTCATCAGTGATCGAAGATGATTTTGTTCTCTCAGACAGCTCTATTACATCCCAAGTTACATTCGAGGATGCCCTCAGTAACAGAACGGGCCTTTCAGACAACAAATTCAGTTTCGGCTCGAGATCGAACTCTGTCAAGGACGCTGTACGATCTCTTCGACATCCTCCTTTAGCGGCTGATCTCCGTGAAAGGTATCTGTATAGCAGTTATATGTTCACCGCTGTCTCCTGCGCAGTTGAAACTTTGACCGGCTCTGGCCTCGGGGATTTCATGAAGGAGAGACTTTGGCGTCCCTTGGGCATGAGGCATACCTACTGGACACCACAACAAGTAGTTGCAGACCCAGAGACAATGCTAGCACACAGCTACGCCTGGGACGCAACCACCGAATCTTTCATCGAACATCCAGTTCCCAACTTCCGAGCCGTGTCCGTGTCAGGAGTTGGTGTAATGATCAGTAACGTTAGTGACTACACAAAGTGGCTCCGCTGCATGAAGAACAAGTCATCTCCGTTGAGCCAAGCCGCACATGAGACACTGATCGAACCTCGCATTCATATTACTGAAGCAGGCAACAATCCATTCCCGCCGCGTCATGCATACGCTCTTGGCTGGACAATTGACACCTATCGCGGCCACCGTGTGATCTGGCACGGTGGTAGCTGGACTGGGTTTGGATCAGTCATGATGTACGTGCCGATATGGTTTGATAAGATGGTACTGTAAGCACTTGGCCGGTCGAAAGGGTGACTTCTACTGCTTGTGCCACCGCGAATCAATGGAAACTGACTGGGGGCATGGGATAGGAGATCGTGACGTATGTACTTTATTTGCGAGGAGCAACAGGCCAGGCCCGATGTCCGATGATCTATCTGGGGTATAATGTTTTTCTTTGCGTCGTCCAATAGCATATATCGTGAGCATGGGTCATCTCAGGCAGCACGCACAGCCTGCTCAGGCTTCGTGCGGCCCAGTCCATCTTTCGCGTAAAAGTCCATGGGATAAATCCCCCTTATTGGCACTGTCCCAATTCTCACGGACACCAAGCGCGATAAGCGCTTCGTATGGTGTCAACAATGGGCGCGGAAACGCGTAGCCCCAATCAATACTGAGACGGGGGCAAGCGATCTGAACCCAGCACTCGACATCGGCCATGGAGGCCAGCTTGCCAGGGAAAATCTCGCTCAACAGCAGATTGATGACAGGAATACCGCGCTCTTCCAAATGGCGCTCGATCATCGCCATCGTGTTGGGGTTTCCTTGGCGGCCAAGAGAGCCCAGAATGATGCCCCATTTGCGGGCCGTCTTCGCAGATGATATGGCGTCGCGTCGCAGAGTGTGCATCTCGTTGTGGTCATAGCCTTCACGAGTCAGGGTGCGCGAGTAAGGGTCGTAGCGGTATGCGGGAGTAGTGGGGTTGTGAATCATGGCGGACTCCAGGTGGAAGCGTCCGTCGCCGAGATAAAGAAGAGCGTCGATCTCTGTGGTGAGTTGGGGTGATGTGCAACCCAGAATTTCACCCTTGGAAAGAGGGCATAATCTGTGGAATGACCACCTTGAACCCTGCACGTTCCATGACCGGTTTCAATCCGTGAAGGGTTGCGTTGAACTGGATCGTGCCGACGGTGGCGATGGTTTGGCCGGGCTTGAAGTTACGTTCAAGGGTCGCCATCAAGTGCGTAGTGTCGATGCTGATGTCGACGAAAATGTACAAAGTCTTGATCTTGGTCACATCCACAGGAATCAAGCAACTGTGGGCGTAGTGGACGAGCAGATCGCAGCCAAGAGCCCGTGCGGTATAGTCGTCAATGCAGCAGGCGCCATATGTGACATCGCCCATGATGAGGGTCTCGATGCCCGGGCAGAATTGTGTCAAGATATCGGAGATAGTCGTAGCAAAAATCAAAAGACCCTCGGGGAATTGAAGAGCGACGCGCTTGGCTCCGGAAGTGCGCACTCGGTGAATCGTCTTGGGGATCTCGAACGAATAGTTTTTGGGGAGAAGCTCCATGGCTTCTTGAATTTCCGGGTCGTTGAGGATCTCGGGAGGTACTTGGTTCAAAGTCCGGGCTGACCTTCTGGGGGCAGCTATATATCATTCATCAGCGGGTGTCTTGGAAGAGACCGGGCAAATCCTGCATACCTTTCTGGACCTCCGTTGACTCAACATCAGGGCTAGCCGGATCCTTCTGAGCCTGGGCATCTGCGGGTGCGACGGCCCACGAATCTCTTCTTGGGCTGTCGCAGCTGACTCTGTGCACCCGTATCCTCCATGATGGCAATGACTGTCTGGTGGCATGATAGCAAATGAGCCCCGCTATCGATTTATCTTTTTTTTCGGTGGGGCGTCACCGTGAATGCACTAGTCCTGATCTGGTAAGGGTCTCTCCGCATCTGATGAGCTTCCCCTCGTCTTTCTTGATTCTTACTGTCTGACTCCCATCCCAACCAGTAACTAAGAGATTCTTTCGATTTGCTCGAGCTGCCATGATGGCTTCACGCTCCCGTCTTCGTCTACTCTCGGCCTTGCGCACCCCTGCGTCTACACGCCGCTTTGCGACCGAGTCGCGGTTAGACTCGGACCATGTTCGCATCGTGGAAGTTGGTCCTCGAGATGGCTTGCAGAACGAGAAGAAGTCCATATCAATGGAGACTAAATTGGAGTTGATCCGGAGACTGGCCAAGACTGGCGTCCGAACCATCGAAGCGGGCTCGTTTGTCCCTGCGAAATGGGTGCCACAGGTGCGTATGCTCGGCATACCTCGGTGCATGATCCTCATGGACTGCAAGCTGACTATGACATCTTGAAATGTACAAGATGGCCAGTACGGCTGAGATTTGTGAACACCTCCTCACATCACCTCCTCCTTCTGAACACACCATCGCGTACAACTACCTTGTACCCAACATCAAGGGGCTAGAGAGTCTGGTCAAGATCATGGATGCAACTGGTGTGCCTGCCGACTCACCCGCCACAGAGTCAAAACCTGCCACGACTACAGAGATTTCTCTCTTTGCCGCCGCCACCGAAGCTTTCTCAAAGGCAAATACCAACTGTACCATTGCCGAATCTCTCGAGCGCATCAAGCCGATTGCTGAACTGGCCAAGACGAGGAATATTCGAGTTCGTGGATATGTCTCGGTGGCCCTGGGATGTCCCTATGAAGGCCCCGATGTCGATCCCACCAAAGTTGCGGACATCACTGCCACTCTCCTGGAGATGGGGGCCGACGAAGTCTCCGTGGCCGACACAACCGGTATGGGAACGGCACCCCGAACTGTGGAACTTCTGCAAGCCCTGAAGGCTGCAGGTATTGCCAACTCAGACTTGGCCTTGCATTTCCATGATACGTACGGACAAGCCCTTCTGAACACTTTCGCGGGTTTGGAGCATGGAGTGCGGACCTTCGATTCTTCTTGTGCGGGACTGGGATCATGCCCGTTTTCCCCTAACGCCACTGGGAATGTTTCGACAGAAGATCTTGTTCACACCTTCAATAGTCTTGGTCTTCATTCCGGCGTCGATCTAGCGGAGATGTCGCGGGTTGGGGCCTGGATCAGCGACAAGTTGGGACGAGCAAATGACAGCCGAGCCGGAAAGGCAACTCTCGCCCGACTATAAATCTCCAAGGCGGCAATGTTGGCCTCTGTGATTGCAGTCTTTCGTTCTCCTCCCTCTCCCAAGCTGTGCCATTCAGTGAATCAGAATACTCTCTATTGTGAGAGGCAAAAAAAAAAACGCCCTTACACGCCTTGGGCATTCTCAAGGATGCTTTCATTCAAGCCAAATTCTATTTACTTCGTTGTAGGAATCTGAACAATCCAGTATTTTGTATTATTACAGCAGCCAAAATGATAAGTCAACACCGAAAATATGCAATAGATCCTAGCCATAAGACTCAGAAGTCGGTCACCCGGCCACCATAGCTCCAGTCTCCTGCGGAGCCCCATCGCAGAGGCTCATTCTTAGGACCGCCAACTTCGCCAGTCTTAGGATTCTTCTCGCCTTCAAATTCGGGCTTCAAGCCCTTAGGCGCATCTGGGTGGAGCTCCTCGCCACTGCCGTTGACCTTGATCTCGGCTTGCGGGGACTGATTGACTTGCGGTGTGCTGAAAGCGCCAGTTGAGCGGCGCTGAAGGTCTTCGAAGATTTCTTGTTCCTCCTTGGGAAGGCGCGGGGGGAGCTGGGCCTGTTCCGAATGAGAATGCAGGCTTATCCTCGTTCTGGCGTTGGACTCGAGTAGTGGAGAGAGATCGAGTGACGAATCGGATTGTGAGAGAGGGAGCGCATACGCGGCGTAGAGCAAGTGTGGATGCCATAGCGACAATGTGGGAGGTATTTGTCTGAATCAATAAGGTTGAAAAGTAAAGCGCGAACGAGCCCGCAGCAACCTCGGGGAGTGGCGCCGATCAATGGTGTGACTAAGAAATGCCGATCCCGATATCGCCGCCTTTTTTATTTCCGATCTTCAACAACCTGAGTAGCTGGCCCTACCTTGATCATCAGTCAGGACGATCAATTCGCCCATATAATTGAACGATGTCTGCTCTCCGTGTGGCCGCGCGCCGCCTCCCTCGCGCCTCTCGGCTGGTCCCTTCAATTGAGTCACCCTGTCAGCGTCGATTTGCAGCCACTTCCAATGTCCCCCAGGATGTGAAGGCTCACGTCCAGGTATGTCCTCCTTCCAGTTCAATCTAGTAAGAAATTGACTTTTCTGACTGAATTATAGAAAGAGGCGACTCTGCCAAACCCTGACCCCTCTCCCGACTCACTCACGCAGTCATTCATCAACGAGCGCACTCCGTTTATGGTCCCCACCTATGTTCGTCCGCCCCCCATGATGATGAAGGGACAGGGTGTCTACCTGTGGGATATGGAGAACCGTCGCTACTTAGATCTTACTGCTGGTATTGCGGTCAACTCTCTCGGTCACTGCGATCCCGAAATTGCGAAGATTGTCGCGGAACAGGTGCGCTTACTTTTGAGTCATTCTCATACTTAGCACGCCGCAGATGCTAATCGTACACATGTATAGGCCGAGACCCTCATTCATGCTTCCAACCTCTACCATAATCCCTGGACTGGTGCTCTGAGTCAGTCGCTGATCGAACAAACTCGTGCGTCCGGCGCTATGCGCGATGCGTCGCAGGTCTTCATTTCCAACTCCGGAACCGAGGCCAACGAGGCTGCTATCAAGTTCGCCCGCAAGGTCGGCCGCTCCAAGGATCCCTCCGGTGCCAAGCACGAGTTCGTCTCCTTCCACAACTCCTTCCACGGCCGCACGATGGGTGCTCTGTCCGCGACCCCGAACCCCAAATATCAGACTCCTTTCTCGCCCATGATTCCCGGCTTCAAGTACGGTCACTACAACGACGTCGAGCAGCTCCAGACTCTTATTACGGAGAATACGTGCGGTGTGATTGTCGAGCCCATTCAGGGTGAGGGTGGTGTCAATGTCGCTACTCCCGAGTTCCTCGCTGCTTTGCGCAAGCGCTGTGACGACGTCGGCGCGGTTCTGATCTTCGACGAGATTCAGTGCGGTCTGTCTCGTACCGGCACTTTCTGGGCCCACGGTCACCCCTCCCTGGCTCCTGCCTCTGGCGAGGCTGCCCACCCTGATATCTTGACCTCTGCGAAGGCCCTTGGTAACGGAATCCCCATCGGCGCGACCATTGTCTCTGGTAAGACTGTCGCATCGCACATTAAGACTGGTGACCACGGCACTACTTTCGGCGGAAACCCTCTTGCCTGCCGTGTTGCCCACCACATCATCGAGCGCCTGTCTGCACCTGAACTCCAGAGCGCCGTCAAGGAGAAGTCCGCCCAGTTTATCGCTGGGTTTGAGGCTCTTCAGAAGAAGTTCCCCGACGTCATCTCTGAGATCCGCGGTCGTGGCTTGATCTTGGGTGTCCAGCTTACTCCCGCTTTCTCTTCCAAGGCGGGTGACATTATTACCGCTGCTCGCGAGCGCGGCATGCTTATCATCACTGCCGGTGATGGTTGTATCCGCTTTGTTCCTTCTCTGACCATCACTGAGGATCAGATCAAGGCTGGCCTGAACATCCTCGAGCAGTCTATCGACTCAGTTGTGGCCAAGTCCTGAATACTGGATTGACCCAGTAATGAATGCCGGCTATGACGTGTTTGATATACCATTTGATTGGCGATAGCGTATATTTTTTGGTTTGAAAACATTTTGTTTATAGATGATAGACAGAAGAACATACAAGTTGAAAGGGGAGAATGATCATACTTCCAACCCGGCGCCAAGACGGCCGAATGTACGCGTGTAGCGGAACCTTCATAAGTGGACCTGACCTACTTTCCTCCACCTCCCTTTATGAAATGCGATCATTGTTCACACCACTGATCTTCCTTGTGAAATCAATCTAGAACCATGAACCTACGATAATCGTCACCTCCTTCTCGATCCCTTGTAGTCGTTTTACCACCCTCACGCGACCACCTTCCCCATGACACGCTCTGTGTCCGCGAGTGTCCCCATTGGCGATGACGACACTTCCCTATCGCGGTGGACTCGGTTCAGCGATCGTCTGAAAGGAATATTCAGCGGCGCGGACCCCCAAGTCTGCGTCGCTTTCTGGCTGTTCGGTACGCATAGCCCGCGAGAATTGAAGGACGATAAGCTTCTAACCGCGTGAAACAGGCCTGATCAACAATGTCCTCTACGTTATTCTCCTGTCCGCGGCCCTTGACCTTGTCGGGCCCGATGTTCCCAAGGGCGTCGTTCTCCTTGCAGACATCATCCCGTCATTCGGGACCAAGCTCATCGCTCCCCATTTTATCCATGTGGTTCCTTATCCGGTGCGGGTCATCGCGTTTGTGTTCCTGTCGATTCTTGGCATGTTCGTCGTGGCTATGAGCCCGCCCTATACCGATGGAGGAACTATTGCGTCTAAGATTGCGGGAATCGTCCTCGCGAGCTTCTCTGCTGGAGCTGGCGAGTTGAGCTTCGTCGGTCTGACGCATTTCTATGGACCCTTCAGCTTAGCGGCGTGGGGTAGCGGGACGGGCGCTGCTGGCTTGGTTGGGGCTGGTGCTTATTCTTTGGCTACATCTGCATTGGGAATCTCTGTCAAGGTCACTCTTTTGGTGTCGGCTCTGTTGCCCTTTGTTATGGCCGCGAGCTTCTTCCTTGTTCTGCCACGAGATGCGCTGAATCCGGCTAGCCCTGCGACGGGAGAATACTATCCTGTTGAGCGAGAGGAGCATTTGAATGATGAAGAGGGAGACGAGGATAGTCATAACCTGCAAACAGAAGATGAAGGGGAGAGACTATTGGGTGTTTTCAATCCCACTGCTGAGTCCCATAAAGCCGTGCATGTCAGCGAATCGGCAGCCAGATGGGCACACTTCCGTACTAACCTCCACCGTCTTCGGAAGCTTTTTTTTCCTTAGTAAGTACTCATGGCATCCTTGCTTTGTTCCGTGATTAACAAATTTGAAGCATGCTTCCACTGCTTATGGTATTCATTGCCGAATACGTTATCAACCAGGGCGTGGCCCCCACTCTTCTTTTCCCTTTACCTTCCACGCCGTTCGAGAATTTCCGCGCTTTCTATCCAGCGTACAACGCAATCTACCAAGCCGGAGTCTTCGTCTCACGCTCCTCAACCCCGTTCTTTCGTATCCACAACCTCTACTTACCTTCCGTCTTGCAAGTATTGAACTTGTCGCTTCTAACATGCCATTCTCTATTCAACTTCATTCCCAACATTTGGCTTGTCTTCCTAATCATTTTCTGGGAAGGTCTGCTGGGCGGCCTGGTATATGTCAACACATTTGCGGAAATTAGCGATCGTGTACCCGAAGAAGACCGCGAATTCTCGCTTGGAGCCACGACTGTTAGCGACTCGGCTGGTATTTGTATTGCTGGGTTCTTGAGTATGCCATGGGAGGTTCTGTTGTGCAGGTTTCAGCAGAACCATGGGCGAGATTACTGCCGGCAGTTCTGAGATTCTGTCCTGTGCTCGTTGCTTAGATTCTGATTTTCGATATCAAATCAAGAGAATAGATCCAAGAATGACCCCAAATCTTTTCTTAAACCTTCTTCCATTCGAGCTCGCTGTAATCGCCCGTTCGCCTATGTTGAAGCAACCATTACTCGATTGTTGGTTCAGGCGCATTGAAGATACATCTAGCAGGGCCGCTCGGACAATTCTAAGAACAAGGATGAAGAATCTTAACATCAGGTCACGAAGATTGAATCTGAATATTGCAAGGAAGTAGAATTTACTCAAAGCGGGGAATGCATGCCTCAAAGTGATGACATTGGTTGAAATTGGAAGATATCTGTTCACAACTCCAGTACAAAGACCCACGGGTACTACATTGGAACATTGACGGCTCCGATTGGATAGTTGCTATGGTGTCCTGAGCTGAGGAACTCGGTACAGTTATATGGCAACATGGCAAAACATTAGGAACTCGGTTCCCCATTTTCCCTAAATTCATATCAAATCAGTCAGGATCACAGTACGCCTTCAGACCAAATGAGGCACATTTTCCAAAATTCAGAATGCCAGAGCCAGGAAACGGGTTGTAGATACTACGCTACTTTACAGGCATGGTTACTTCGATTCTGGACCAAATTTCAACTGGAAGTATCAATGTGAGCCGTCGAATCAATCTGTTCTCTAGTCTCTCGGGATTGCTAGAGATTGTGGTCTCTGGGGACCTTGTCTGGTTCAGCCGTATCTTATTCCAATTGGTCGAGCCTTATCTATCTCTTTACGGCACAGTTTTCGACAACGCGAAGAATGGCGCACATCTCTCATATTGTTGGCCCACGATATCGCCTCGGATTAGGCTTAACAGGCTTAGCGCTCAAAATTCCGGCTCAATAGACCTTGCCTAGGTAAAGTTTCAATCATTTACCGCATGAGCTAGCCAGGCCGTTTACGTTTACTAGCCCTGGGTGGCATAGCTAGGCCGAAATTGGGCCCGGCTGAAAACTCGTACTTTTGGGTACTTTTTGGCGACTAGTACTTGAAATGATCAAAATAAAAGTTCTTTCAAAGCCCAGAGAGTTGTTGACTCAAATCTTACGCCTTTGAGATTCCTTGTTCCAAATATTTTTGGTCGTCTTATTCCTGATTTTCTCTTCAAGTCTGCCGTCAAGGTTATCTCCAACTTAGTGGCCAAGCCTAGAGCCTGACGAAAGATCCATGGCTCGTAAGGCTGTCATGTAATTTGGCTAGCCGATGAGGCTTACTTAGGTTTAGGTTGACATGACTGCGCGGGGGAACCTTTTAGCTTTTACTGGATGCAACATGGGTTGAGGAACGGTTTGACCGCCGTGTTGCCGCTTACGATAATTGGATCGTACACAACCAAGATATGAGGAGCACGCCTTCCTTTATGCGCAAAGCCCCCACCGGCTGACACGTAAGAACGGACTCGAAATAATTGTTTTCTATCACTCCAGACTCGAGAAACTGCACCAGCGAAGAATCAATAGCACAGAGCTCATAGATGTTCCAAAGTCGTGGGAGAGATATCATGAGAGATCAAACAAGTCCTCATTATTTGTGTCACAATTCACCTCAAACAGGCATTTGAAGTATTGCAAAAGAACGCTTACAATGCAAGGGGTCCAAAGGATACATATTCGAATATAGCGCGACGGCCCGTGCGTGGCCAGCCTGTAACAATATCGGACTTGAATCATCCTATCGGAGTCTACCTGAGTCTACTTATTCTTTCTGAGTTGCATCTCCGATGCCGAGGTCCCAAATGGCAAGCTTACAGCGTCGAGTAGAGGAACCACGTATCTGTCTGTTGTCATCTCGATTGTTGCAGGAGTCTCTAGCTGAAATCTTCTTGGGCTCGGTCCAGGTCCAGCGACGCCCTTTTGGCTCGAAGATTCTTGCGCAGCTTTTCACAACTCTATCGGCGCTTCACATCTTACACCTGAAAGCTATTGAAAGACAGCAATGAGGTCAAGCCATAGTCACAGGACGGATGACTATCCGACTCTAAGTCGTCCATTCGAGTTAATGAGATCGGAGTATGATGTCGTGGTCATAGGATCCGGTTATGGAGCTGGCGTTGCAGCGAGTCGTATGGCTCGAGCAGGAAAGAGCGTTGCTGTATTGGAGCTCGGCTGGGAAAGAAGACGTCAGTACACTTCGCATTCCACTGATGGGAACTTGGCCGTTATGAACCATGAGACTTCTAATTGTTATCCGGATGCTAACATGCACTTAAGCTGGCTCATTTCCATACAACCTGTCTCAATGCCTCATGGATGTGAATATTTCAGGGAAATCTTCCAAAAATTCGTTCCTGTCGAACTGGGTATCGCCTGGAAACCCCACTCGGCTCTTTCAATTAGTCCTAGGGAACGGGCAACATGCATTTTCAGCTCATGGTATGTATCGAAGTCCCAGGCATACATTTGTATTTTCTGAATCGTACCAAAGGGCTCGGAGGATGCTCTTTGATAAACGCGGGAGTTTTTCTCGAAGCAGACGAAGACACACTAGCAATGAGTTCATGGCCACCGGAGATCAGAAATGACCCATCAGTGCTAAATGATTGTAAGGCTTGTGATCTTCGCTTCAATTTCAAAGCTTTTGAACTTACCAAGGCAGACTATTTGCGGGCTGAAACAATGCTACAGCCTTCTACATACCCTGAAGGGCATCCAAGTTTGAGCAAACTTAAGCATTTGCAAGAAGATTCAAAGCGCCTGGGAACAGGGGAGAACTTCTATAGGGCACCACTTACCACGTTCTTTCACAGTGGTCATAACAATGTTGGTGTGCCAATGCAAGCGAATACAGGATCAGGTCATGAGACTACTGGTCTCAACGATGGCTCAAAAAACTCGGTAGCAACAACTTATCTTGCCGATGCCTGGAATTGGGGCGCGGAAATATTTTGCGGATGCGAGGTCAGGTTTGTGAAGAAGAATCCCGATGAGGATGGGTACATTGTTCACTTTGCGTGGCATGGGAGTGGCAGATCTGTTTTCAAGAATTTTTTCAAAGAACAGCTCTTTTGGGTTAAGGCAGTAGGTGCCAATGCAACAGAGCTCTTTCTGAGCTATGAAAAGGAACATGACATACTAACCTCTCATACCCAGACAGATTTCTGTTTTCTTGGGGCTGGTGCTCTAGGTACAACCGAGATCTTGCTAAGGTCTAGACAGTGTGGGCTACAGATGTCACCGCTTGTTGGACGAAACCTTTCCGGTAATGGTGATATGTTATTGTTTGGTATGTCTGAACTGGCGCTGTCAAGTATTCACGTCTGATTCCGGTTCAGGGTACAATGGGAAAACCAACGTCAACGCAATTGCCCGCAGATCTTCCCACGCTATTGAGGCACCGGGTCCGACTATCACTGGAGTGATCGATAATCGTCTTGTTGACCCCGTAGACAGTCCTCTTTCTGGATACATCATCCAGGATGGCTGCATCCCTGAGCCGATGAACCCAGTGATTCTAATGATGTTCACTATGCAGACGATAAAAGACCAAATCAGGCTCTTCTTTTCAAATCCTCGGGAGGGGACCAGAAGGACTTTGAGTGTTTTGAAATCTTGTGTACTTGGTCCATATGCAAGTGACGGGGCATTGCAGCGGACTTCAACATATCTCGTGATGTCTCATGACAGCAACGAGATAACATTGACCCTAGAAAATGACCAGCTGTGTTTACAAGCTCCCTCAGAAGGTCGGCTCGAAAATTTCAAGAAGATTAAAGATTTGCTGAGTACATTATTCGGCTGTACACAAGCAAGCATGGGTTTCTCATATTTCTATGGTAAGGACAATCTACCTTGTCGAAGGCCTTTGCTAAATTGGACAAAGGGCGCCACGAGGAGGAAATTACTGTTCATCCACTAGGAGGTGCCAATATGAGCAGTGATGGTACGGGAAGTGCGGGCGCTACTAATCACCTGGGAGAGGTCTTTACTGGTAAAGGGAGCGAAGTGTACAAAGGACTCGTGTGCTGTGATGCCGCCATAATTCCAACAGCCTTGGGTGTGAACCCGCTCGCAACCATAACGGCACTTTCAGAACGTTCTGTCGAACTGCTTGCCAAGAAATGTGGTCTTTCAGCTGATCTTGCTACCAAGAACGGTGTTTTGAATACCTATAGCAAGCCCAGGGTCTCAAGGAATCAACAAACCCGCAACAAAATCAGGAACGTCGAATCAAAATCCATTGGATGGCAATTTACGGAGACTCTATATGGTCACATTTGCATTGGAGCGACTAAAGAACCTCTCGCACACTATGAAAGGATTGCAGAGAGCTCATCTTGTGCCATGCGGATGATTCTCACGATAGACATCTGCCAGTCCCAGAAAGGTGAGAAACAGAGAGGCCTTTTGTGTGACCTCACACTTATGACTTGTATTTCTAGGACCAGGATATCAAGGAAAGTGCACAGGAACAGTTTCTTGCTACGCATTATCAGCAAATACTCTTAAAATTGTTGAGGGAACTGTAAAATTTTTTACGCCGATGGAAGAAAAGGCAGAGTCGTCGAGCATCTCATATCAACTGCATCTCCTCTCAGTAGAAGGAAGGCAATATCTCCTGGATGGCCACAAGGTTATCAACTCGAACATGGCGTTCTCCGTCAGGAAGACTTGGGACGCTACAACCACGGTCAACGTCCGCATCACTCGCTCGAATGGGGCAATAGTTGGATCAGGGGCCCTTTATATTTCACTGCAGGACTTCCAAAGGCAAATGCAAACGTTCCGGCCTAACACAGCTCTGACAGCCGGCCTTTTTCGGAACTTGATAGTTTTTCTACTCGCTTTCATGCTTCACGTGAGCCTCTTCTTCTTCAGCCCCTTCGTTCCTGTACGCTTTCCTTGCCCCTCGCCTCAAGAGAAGATCATTTCAAAGAAAAATATCCCTTCAAAAGCATTCAAAATCAAAGCAAGAGATGGTGTGCAAGTGCTTCTTGAAGTTTACCATCCTCTTCCTTCGGAAGAGAAAGATACTTCGAGAGACAGCACAACCCTTCCGCCAGTTCTACTTCTTCCAGGTATCACGGGGATGGCGGCGCACAACCTTTATGCATTGCCGTTCTTGCGTTGCAATATGATCGATTATCTCACAGAGCGTGGACACCGATGTTACGCACTCTCACCTCGCTGGAGTGCTGAGTCCGCCGTGGCCCAGAGATCTACGGTTTTCGACTGCCGTCTCGATGTTGCCGCAGCAATCGATTTCGTTCGAGACCAGGAGACACTGAAGCCATATGTAATAGCCCACTGTCAAGGATCTGTGGCTCTCGGCATGGGTCTCCTCGATGGGACCATATCCAGCAACGACCTTCTCGGTGTCACTGCAAACTCCGTCTTCATAAATATGGTCTTCGGGTATTGGAATGCGGTCAAAGGACGGACCACTCTTCTGATCCAACTATACGAATTAATCGCAGGGAAATTCTTTCCAATTTGCAGTAGCGCCCGAGATGCTATCTTTCAACGATTACTCGATGCCTTGCTTCGATTCTATCCCGTGGGGAATACACGAGACCGGTGCACATCCACGGCGTGCCGTCGAACATCTTTCGCCTTTGGATTACTATGGAACCATGAGAACCTTGACGTGGGTATTCATGACAACGTTCATCAATTTTTCGAAGGGACCTACACGACGATGATGAAGCAAGTGGTTCGCATGGGAACTAAAGGGAGATGTACCGACAATAAGTCACATTCTCTTCTCACCGATGAGAACTTGCAGCGACTGCAAGGGCTACCAATTCTTTTCGTCTCGGGTACCGAAAACCAAGTATTCAATCCCGAATCAACGCTGAAGGACTATGAGTTGTTGCGCCGACGGTTCGGGGAGAGGCACTATCGCAGATTCCTAGCCGAGGGGTATGGTCATCTCGATCCTATCGTTGGGAAAAATGCTGCCGAGGATGTCTATTGGAGAATATTGACGCATCTGAAAAGCTGTAGTGAAGATGGGTAGGTGATGAAAGCAAAATAGAGTCTCTGAGCATACATCGCGCGTGATCTGGTTGAGCAACACAAAATGAATGCTTGTCAAATTCTGCTTGATTTCTTAGCGAGCCCCAGAGCGTATTTCCATCCACTAATTGCCAATAGAAATAATAGTTCCACCAATTTTTTCATTAAACTAACAGTAGTGCGTCAGCGAAGGTACTGACTAAGATTAGGGACTGGGGTTGAAAAGACGGGGTTGTAAAACCCCCCACGTTGACCGCCAATCAAACCCCTGATTTGTTGATCAGAGTCAGCTGATGGCGTCACTGGCATGTGACAGCGTTTACATGTGAAAGTTGTATCTCACTTGACTTTCAGTTCCCTTGCATTTTTCTTCCTCTTGTGGCTTTTATCTGCAGGATCATTTTTTTAGATTTCTTCTTCTCTTCGGTTACACAAGAAATCTCCAATTCAGGTGCTAGTGTGCTCTATATGCAGCGTGGGTAGATATGATAGGTAAGACGCCTCACTTTTGTCATGATCTATGCTAATGTCAGTGGCAGATCACGTCTTAGGGAGACCTTCTACGCGGTTTCGTAAATTCCAGGTTTTCGCCGTTGTTTCTTTTTGGTCATTTTATCTACTACGGTGAGCCAGTGCTTCGATATATTTGGTCCAGGAATATCTCGGAGCTAAACTCCTAAAACCCGCAGAGGAAACAAACATGGTCCTCCCTTTCTTCGATCCTTTTCTCGATATTTCAGTAGTAGGCTAAGTGCCTGGCAAACCACCGTCATCATCTTCCTCTGGCTCTACCTCAGCCGCAACTTTGCCAAGATCGTCGGACTGGAATGTCCAGAACCCTTGGCGAATCTCTACTCACGATCTTTCTTCCGCGCTACATGGATCACAACTGGATTGGATGCCGGTTTCTGGACAGCGATGAAGATTAAGCCAAAATGGCTGCGAGATTTGGCTTCCTTGGTCTTCACCGTCTATTATCTTATTGCTGCGGAACAGGCGGATGAGAAGGTTCGACGCGTTCGAGGCACCTTGACTTTGGAGCATCTGCGTGTGTCATGGAACAAGGCAACGACGCCCTACCTATGGGTGCTGGCGAGCCTGCTCCGTCCGAGGTTGACCCGTTATGCGCCTCGGGCGATACGTATTGCTCGCCCGCTCCACTCCGTTCACGCGGATCCTGTGAATGCATGGTTGTACTTTGACGGGCCTTTGAGTGCTCTCAAAGATCAAAGTACAATCATCTTAGATGTTCCAGGAGGTGGCTTTGTTGCCATGGGGCCTCGCAACTCCGAAGATAAGCTGTCCTCGTGGGCGGGTCGACTGAAGGTGCCAGTTTTGAGCATCGACTACAAGAAGGCTCCAGAATACGCATACCCGTATGCATTGCATGAGTGCTACGATGTTTATCACACTATCATGTCAACTCATGGCCGTTGTCTCGGATTGAGTGGATCAACACGCCCTCGAGTCGTCGTGACTGGGGAAAGTGCGGGTGGGAATCTTGCCGTCGGCATGACACTGATGGTGTTGCAGTCAGCCATGGCACGGGGCTGGAAAGGCGAGGATGTGCTTCCCCGTCCAGCTGGATTAGTCCTGGCATACCCGGCTCTGAGTGTGAGAGTTGAGAGCTGGATGACTGACGAGCAAATGTCGTTGATACAGGATAAAGACACTCGCCAGACCAATCGAAGCATTCTGCAGCGAAAGCAGGATCAATATCGCAAATTAACCCCCTATACCTCCCCAGGGCACTCTGTTGAAGACTTGACTGCGATCACGAAGCAATCACCCCAGAAAACGGAGACACTTGATGTTGCATCCGAGACGTCGAAAGCACTCCGCGACAAGCTGAAGAAGAGTGAGGACCTGAGCAAGAATACGATTCCTGCACCGGAGGACCAGACTCAATCTTTGAAAACAAGACTGGCTGTTTCATCAATGATATCTTATGTGCATGATCGGATACTCACTCCGGAGATGATGCGAGCTATGATCATTCTTTACATCGGCCCTCACCACCGGCCGGATTTCAATACAGACTTTTATCTGTCACCCGTTCTGGCGCCAGACTCACTACTTGCGGCATTTCCCAAGACCTACATTTTAACTGGCGAGCGTGATCCCCTGGTTGACGATACGGTCATCTTCGCAGGCAGACTGCGCCAAGCGAAGCTTCATCAATTCCATGAGCGCCAAGACTTGGGTTTGGAGAAGTCTGCACATGAATTCAATGAGAAGGATCATGTCGAGGTTTCGCTCATCCCAGGAGTGTCCCACGGGTTCATGCAAATGGCGGGATTCTTCCCGGATGCATGGAAATATATCAACCGCAGTGCAAGCTGGATCGAGAACATCTTCGACACCATGGAGCTCGACGGCTCCGAGTACAGTCTTCTTCAAACCTCTCAGCTCTCTGGTGTCCGAACTTCTGCAAGATGGAGAGGCTCAACGAAGAGTAATGGCAGCGCAAAAGGCTACTATAGCAACCACCACCGCCGTTTCACAGGGGAGTCCTCTGCTGACGAGGACAAGCCACTGGAAATAAGCATGAGCAAGATCACCTCGTCATCTTACGACGACAATCCACCGCCGGCTTCCCCATTCTCGTCGCCGCCGCAGAAGATCTCGTTCCTCATTCGCATCTTCCCGAATGACCCGGTTGACGCGTACGAGAGACGAGTCTAGCGATGCACAAGACTTCCTAGCTAAGCTGAAACGCCTCGACCTAGAAGGCGAAGGTCAGGATGGAATCAACAGTGCGCCAGAAAGCCCAGGTGTTCATCGTTCTCGTGGCCGAAGTATCGCATCTTTAGACAGCGAGGAAGACATCTTAGACAGACGCATGATGGGGATCGCCGGTGGTCTTATGGGGCTAGGGGAAAGGGCACAGACACCTGGTCCATGAAGTTATGAAGTCAATGATCATGGGGCTGTATATAGATGCATTAGAGCCATGGAGCAATATGAGCAATATTACATCACAGTTATTGATTGTAATGTCATCAAATTACACCTTACATGTTAGTTGCATGTGAATTGTACTTGTTGCATGTGAAAGTGGGTCGCGAGTGTGCGCACACGTATGTATGCCCTAAAGCTCATTCTATCAACGACCTTAAAAGAAATGACAAGCTTGAAAGTCGACATGATGTCAGAAATTGTGTATCGAAAAGAAATGGAAAGAATCGGCGCGAAGTATTCGGCATCGCAATGCCTGGTTATGAGTTCGTCCACACCCAACTATACGCGGCACATGGCCATGAATGATTATGTTGTCCTGGAGAGAGACGACGGGTGAATGTCCACTTTAATTTCATTTCCGTCAAGGACTCGAGCCCGTAGGCTCTGTCTTCTGTCATTGGGTGGAGAATGCTTTACTTGCGTCGATTAGCAAAGAGAATATGTTGTCTACCGAAGTAGGATGGCCGTTTCAATTAGTAATTACGTAGATCTCTGAATAACCGGGAAGTCTCCGAGTTATCGCCGTAAGGGATCCCTGGAAGCCCCCTGCCTATTTCGTGCCGACTGGTTCATTTTTGGGGACATAGGCACAGAATCAAAAGATTCTTGGCTTCTGTTTCATAGGCCATATAGCCACCAGTGCCTATACTCCAAGATATGGTGGCTAGAAATGGCCAAAGTGTCACTGGCAACTTCAAGTTTTTGCAGTGATGACTGGAACGATTCGCTTTGTCAGGTAGCAGAGAGTCTACTTTTTAAACGAATAATAAGTTGAACAGAGGAGATGACTGATCGAGACAAATGTATGAACCATCCAAGATTATCACCTGACTGCCGGAACGAGATCGCCGAGGAAATCGAGTCCGAGTCCGAATCCGAATCCGAGTGGGTCGGCAATCCGAGTATGCGTCAAAAAGTCGCCGTCGCTTTCGCCCGAGTTGACAAATGATTTTGTTGTAGCATCTACAAGTAACAAAACTGTCCGACCGGTCATTAATCAAGCCGACTGTGTTACAAATCAGTGACAGGGTTCCCAAGTGCATAACAAGCAAACGTCACTCTCACGTATTCCAGAAAGTTTCTCATATATCTCAGACCTTCAACAACGAACACATTCTATAATGTCTTTCGATAGAGTCGCTGTTTTCCCTGCCTCTGGCGGTATCGGTGGCAGCACCGTCAAGCATCTCCTACCTCGATTGCCGTCCAAAAATCTGACCTTCATCGCTCGTCACCCCGAGAAATTGAGTGACGCTTCTTCTGCCGGTGCGAAAGTGCGGCGGGCAGACTACGACGATGATGACAGCCTTTCACATGCCTTCGATGATGTGGATACTCTGTTCTTAATCTCATATGCTTCGGTTGAGCATGAACACCGATCTGAGGTAGGTGCTGGAAACAAACCCCATCTATTCAAGGCGGTGCCAACACTAAGATTTACATGAACAGCGTCATCGGGTTGCCATTGACTTCGCAATTCGTAGCGGAGTAAAGCATATCTTCTATGGCTCTTTGGGGTATGGTGGCAGGCCCGAGAACAAAGTCTCCGTGGCCCATGTTATGCAAGCTCACCTGGACACGGAGAAATACCTAGAGCATTTGTCCCAGACGAAGAAGGACTTTGGATACACGGTAGTTCGCGAAGGCCTGTACTCCGAATCGTATCCACTTTACACGGCATTCTTTGACCCGCGGAACCCTGTTTCTGAGATCAAGATCCCACACGACGGATCTGGGCCCGGCATTGCCTGGGTTAAGCGTGAGGAGCTGGGTGAAGGCACAGCTGAGCTTCTGAAAAGATTTGTCCAGGATCCGAAGAGCTTCCCGTATCTTCAAAAGGCCGTCTTGCTCTCTGGAAGTCGTGTGGTGTCTCTGAAGGAGACGGTGGACATTTTGAGCAAAGTGGCCAATGTACCCGTCAAGATCCACCAGGTCTCCGAAGATGAATTTGCCGCGCAGCCTCAGGTCAAGCCAAACTTCATCTATCACGGAGTGGATCACTCCAAGGTGTGGACGACAACCTTTGAAGCCTTCCGGCGAGGCGAGGCAGCTTATGTATCGCCCCTCCTTGGAGAGCTCTTGGGGCGTGACCCGGAAGACTTCCAGACGACAGTGGCCAGCTCATAGAATTGACATGGTTGATTCAAGGAGCAAAATCTGAGAGGACTGCTTTCCATGAAATAGGCTTATTCAACGAGAACTTCTTGTCACAGCACTCCTAACCAGGTACATCGTATTATCGTACAGGAAGCAGTTCTTTCAAACTTAGATATCGACATTGGTAATTTCTGATAACAGAAACCACCTAGTCTTCTACGGTACAAATTTCCAATGCCTGATCAAGTATAATACTTGTTCCCTCTATTTTAGGATTGGCGCACCGCGGCATTCAATTATCGAGGTCTATTTTGAGCGACTGTGTGCTTTGAAGACCCGCCAAGCATCCGAATATCCAGCCCAGTGCAACTCCGTCCGTCTCCTTTAACTCCAGAAAGTAGCAAGCCAGCTCATGCTACTTACATCAACCATTTTCTGCGCTGTCCCTGTTCCCTCTCCAGTACCACAGTGGCTTCAATCCTAACCCAAAGCACTGCAAAGGTCGCAGCAGCCAGTAAGACACCAACCATAATACTAGTGTTCACATAACTGTGCGAGTCCGCCGACTGGTGCTGGCTGCTACGAATCAACAGACCGGCCATAGGAGTACCTAATAATGTGGCGAAGCCTCTGACCATGTACAGCGCGCCGTTTACACCGACAAAGTTCTGCACTCCAAATAGCTCGACCAGGCTTGTCGGGAACAGCGAAACATAGGCTGAGGCAAATACACCGTAGAACACGGTGAACACGATGAACAGTGTACTACCACTAGACTGGCTACTCGATAGAGAGGAAGGGAGCCAAAGAGCGAGCACAGCCACAGATGAGAACAACGTGGTCAGGAACAATGTGTTCAACCGGCCCATGCGATCTGCGGCGTATCCGATGGCAATCTTTCCCACAGCATTCGCCGCGTTCGAGATAGCAATGAAATTGGCTGATGTGGCCTGCGAGTAACCCAGTGTGCGCGCGAAAGAGGCAAAGAAGAACACTGGCGTGTAATATGCCGCCGACTGAAATGCTGCTCCTAAGGCATGGGCGGCAAATTTCCGAGTGCGCACAACACGCCAGTCGACCAACGGAATACGCAGAAAGCTTGCTCGCGAATTCGCCGCATTCTCCGCCCGAATACGAGTCAGATGGCTGTCGGGCCATCGCATGAAATAGCCCGATGCCATGATCATCACGAAGGAGATTCCGGCGGTGATGCGGAGGCAATTACGGAATCCCACGCGTTCAATGAGATACCGAAACGCCAAGGGCCAGGCGACACCCCCGACACCGGTTCCGGCAAGAATAATACCCATGGCCAGGCCGCGATGGCTCGAGAACCAGGTGGGGGCTACGGTCACGGAGGGCATGTAGGCCATGCAGGTTCCAATTCCAAGAAGGAGACCCTGGGTGAGAGTGAACTGCCAGAGAGCTTGGCTGACGCTGGCAAGAACAAGTGCAACGGAGTAGATTATTCCGCCACTCCAGATGACGGATCGAGGCGAATATTGTTTACTCCAAGCTGTTGTGAATGGGGCACCTATTGTCATGAGCGCGATAGATAATGTGCCAATTAGATCGATCTGCGCTGGGGTTGCACCGGTGAAGGGTGTGTTGGGAAGTTTGGACATTGAGTCATATAGGTCCTGGTAGACACCGAATGTGAAGTTGATGCCGCATCCCGTAAAGACCAGGGCTGTTGAAGAAGCTAAGATGAGCAATGGCTGTCTGTGATTGTGTTAGTATTTGACCCGTGAGCACAGTGACGCGTTTCACTGACAGACGTTCTGACAGAGTAGGCTGTCTAGTATCAGCTACTATCATGGGCTCTAGATGATGATCCATCATGCTAGTTAAATGAGATTGAAGAGATGGCCATAAGGATGTTTTAATAGTCTCCTTCGTTGAGTCACGGGGGGATGCGGGGCTTCTCAGAGCTTACCATTCGGCGAGAGAACTGCAGCGCCGAACCCTGAAATGTACAATGAACCATTACATTACTCATTGGATCATTCATCCTTGCCCGTCAGATACTTACCGCTTGTAAATGAAATAGAAGGTGAAGTGCAATGAGGGAAGTGGGACATTGGTGCTTATACCTTTCCCAGCAAGAGGATTCACTGGACCGGCGCCGAATCCGGGGGAAGGGTCCACTGTTGACCAAAACAGTTCGAAACCCCTAAGGTCTATGGTACCCAGACGAGGGGAGTTATCACTCAATTGTTAGTTACTCGACAGCAGCAATATTAATTGCAAGGCCCAGACTCGGCGATGTGTCAGTGAGACCGAGATGATCGATGACAATAAATTTGACGCCACGTGCTTTTGAACGCCCTCGTCTCGCATATTAACCTAGTTACAATTTCACAGTCATTATACAATAGTGTAGATGCGACAAAGGTCCACAGAACGAGTTGATCATACTGCAAGTGACTACTGATGATGCCGGTCTCGGCCTCACTCTATGGGTCTGAGTTCGACTAAGACGATAGCTGCATCTTAAACATGCTCCGCCAATGGAGAGTTACGATACACGGCAAGAGACCGAATGCACGATTATATCTCGACCCTCATCCCTCAGACTAGGTCCGACAAGAGTCATCTACGCTTCATAACTGGCCCCGGAGCATACCCCGCATCCTTGTCCTGTCTAGCGTAAATCTAGCGGCTTCCACTTGATCAGGCACTGATAACCCATTGCGTCCATGCGGATGCACAACGCTCGAAGGTCCGAATCTTTGCATCTTCCTCATCTGCCACTACCATCTTGACCTACAGGACGATTGACTCCAGCCACCCAATGTCGCAAGATACCAGGGAAGGCGATCCTCAGGGAATCAAACGAAAGCGGGAAGGACCAGGGAGCAAGAGACGAGCCTCGCTTGCGTATGTGAGAAGATCTTCAAGACTATCTGACGCCTTTGCTTGAGCTGACGTCGGAAAGATGTGATACTTGCCAAAGACAGAAGGAAAAATGCGAGGGCGGCCCTCCGTGCTGGAGATGTCAGCGACTGAGTCGACCCTGTCATTTCCAGGAACAACCGGCACCTAAGAAAGCGACATTTGTGGTGTCCCGACAGCCTCCTCCGCCGGTTCCAACAGACAGTGATCAACGGGTCCAAAACCTCGAACATATTGTACGACACTTCCTCGGTGATGTCCCCTTGGACGAAGAGTATATCAGTTGGATCGTGTCGAAATGCTCGAAGAATAGTGAGGTGGAAAGCCTTTTGGGCGTCAATGAATCATTTGATGTTCAATTCGTGTCTCGAGATGTGGCCTGTGGGTTCTTACAATTGGCTGTCTCTGATTATCTGCAACAGCTAACTGGAGGCAGTCTACTCTGGCGAGTTTTCACATTGGAATTTCTCGGAAAAGCTACGTCGTACAACCAACTGTTACAAAGACACTCCCGCGCCAGGGGTTAGTACAGCCTGTCATGTATCTTGGAACTCGCAGGCTGACGTTTTGTAGGTCAAGGAGTACTGGCGCCCAACTCATCTGCAATCATCAATCCACATTGTGACCGAAGTGATCGGCCAATTACCACCCGAACCGATAGCTCATGCCGGGCGGCTTCTTCTGGTAATTCTTGCAGAGACACTCAACTCGGGGAAATCGAAAAGGCTCCAAGACGGCTTAACACGCGGGATGACCTTGATACGACAAATGATCGGGGGAACTGCCTCTCAATCTGAGATCTCGTATATCGAATCCATCGAAGCCGCCATCCGCCAGCTATCATCGCATGATGACTCTTCGCGCTCGACCGAGTTGACTACCAACAGCTCCTCTTCCGCTTACGCCACATTCAAGAACTGGACTCAATCCATGAAGAACAAGAGCAGTGGAAATACCCTGGAGCTTTCCTCATTTAGCCCAATGTCTGGCTTTACATCCGGGGGCGAAAGTGTTATTCAACCTGATATGAGCGAGCTGGCGGAATTCCTTAATCCGGATTGGCCTTCCACTAATTTGGAGCTCGACGCGGAAGTGTTCTTTGGGCAAGGTGGATAAGACTCAATCAAATTCCACAAATTTAATGATTTATATATCTGGTTTTGAACTGTACGACTTTGCATAGCGGATCGATTCAAAAGCACCAGAGAAGTTGCTGTTGACAACAATAGGTTTCGAATTCAGTTATACTACGATACTCTCATGACTTGATTTTCAGAATTGTATTTAGTAGACACTAGCACTGTAATATGACGCTCCATGACTGTACTGCAGACACATACTGCGGTTTCAAATATCTCCAAGTCAAGTGACCCGGCTTCTGTTCATCCTGGCGAGTCGAGACATCGCGCGGCGCTGTCACGACAAAGAAGGTGGTGCTTGCAACGAATGCCTACACCTCAGCTCTAGCGGCCCAGTTCAAGGATAAAATTGTTCCAGTCAGGGGAACTTGCTGTCGCATCGCTGTTCCTCCGGCCTCGACGGCTCCGCGCCTAACAAACACGTGTACTTTGCGATGGAGTGGATGGGAATATGATTACCTGATTCCTCGTGAGGACGGATCTATTGTAGTTGGAGGGGCTCGCAGTGCATTCATTGACAAAGCTGGACGACTCTCGTGTTCTGGAGTCCGCCGTACGATACTTTGATGGGTACATGCAGCGGAATTTTGTTGGGTGGGAGGATAGCCAAGCTTACACGGACCGAGTATGGACTGGAAGTAAGTGCCTTCCTACCCGAAGCGAGAAAAGAGCAACTATGGTAATAGCTAACACGACTCAGTCATGGGCTATTTGTCCGATGGGCTACCACACGTCGGTCACGTCCCGGGAGAGGATGGGCAATTCATTCTGGCGGGATTCACAGGTCATGGCATGCCACAGATCTTCCTTGCAGCAGAGGGCATCGCCAAGATGATCCTGAGGGGAGCCAAGTTTGAGGAGACGGGACTGCCACGGCTGTTCCAGTCCTCCCAGGCCCGATTGGACAAGTTGCAGAATAAGATCCTGGATCAAAACCCCCAAGATACTACGCAAGCCAAACTATAAGACTCGGCAATTGCTGTGAAATGAGCATCAATGTCAAATACGAGATACGAGATACGAGATCCAGGGACGGATACAAGTTTAATTGAATCCATGTCGCCATATTCATCGTAAATGTGAATGATCGGAAATAATCTTCATGGACCCACTCTGCGCACGACTTCTCGCGACTTGATGCCGGCAGTAAATATTACGACAGACCGTCTTTGTAGGATCATACCTTGCCTCTCACCCTTGCCCCATGCCTCATCATGTTTACTTTCAGTCCTCCCAAGATGAGATGAATGACTGGTGGAGAGTTGATTCTGGCTGCAATGCGAACCATTTTAGGTCGACACCATCACAGTACCGGCCAGACCGACAGTTGGAAGCACGATGGACCCTTGCAACCAGAGTCGTCAGTCAAATAGGGAGGTTTGATCCTACTTGGCGGTCTTGGCAGCACAAATGTCACTCCGCACGTCGATTGTGTGCGATCCACTTGGCCCGGGATGATCGTCCCTCCATTTGGTGAAGAAATCCATACCTCAAGTGTTGGAATGGGCACATGGAAAGACGGCGCTCGAGGTCACTATCTAGAAGTCAATGACTCGACTCGCCGTTGGATCACGGTCTTGGTGTCAATCTACTCTTGCAGACGCGATCATCTGGGGGTGCTGTCGCCAACCACGATGGCGTGCTTCTCCTCATCAGATGTCCACAATTGCGCGATGCGACCCGCTCTTGGCCTTAACCTTGTGCTTGTCGTGCGTATCGTGCTTTTCGAGCTCTGTTCGAGCTTATATACCATGGCTCTCCTCCCGGCTTGCCGCATAGCTTCCGCTGCCAGTGCACCATCCTCACGGGCCCTCACCGCTATATACACCTTCTGGCACACCGTATCGTTCCTTGCCTGATGGGTGCCCCGAAAATGCTTCTTCCCAAAGAATATTTCAGGGGAAGTTGGACTCGACGTCCAACCCCCGGTACGAATACGACCCCTGGTTGCTGGATGATCATCCGCTCCGCACCCATCCCACCGAATGTATTCCGGGACTGGGCACTTTTCTTGCCGAATGGTTGGTATCAACTCAAAAGCGCTGGAAAGAGACATTAATTCGCGCCACGTGCCTGATCTTGGCATGCTTGTAAGTCAACGAGTCCATTGCAGTCGCATTTCACCTTCGTGGCCGTTATCTAACCATGATGTCTTAGGGCGACATTCCAATGTCTGCGTGCGCTCCCTCCCACTAAGGCCCTGTCGCGCCCTGCAATGGTGTCGCGGCTAAGCCACCGCAATTTGCAAAATATCTGCACCTTCCCCCACTCCGACCCCAGACCCAACGCCCTTGCGCAATCCGTTGCTGCCGGATGCGAAGGCTTCCGTACCGACATTTGGATGCACAACAACGAGCTGCAAATGGGTGTATCCGGCCACGATCCCCTAAATGACTTGCACGTTCAATTCGGCTCGCTCCCTAGACGCCCAGAATCCAATGCGCCTTCGCCCGATTCCCAGATCCCTATGATCCCAGAGACGTCGAGTATGGCCGCCGACCATCCATTCATGCTCATCCTAGATGCTAAATCCCCGCTCGATAACTTGTGCCCTGTACTCGAGTTGCGCCTTGATACTCTACGTCGGCTTGGTCGTTTAACTCACTGGGATGGTGCCGAATTGATCCCGGGCGCAGTAACTGTGGTGGTAACGGGCGAGTTAATGCCCAGCACGGACTGTGTGAACCACCCCTATTCGGATCTTTTCTGGATCGCGAAAGGAGACATTTCCAGTGACGATTTCATGAATGGCCATCTAACACCGATTTGCGTATGATGACATGTGAAGGGTCTTGTATGATATATTCGATTTTTTTGCTTAGGATACCCAATGCCAATGTCTAAACAGATTGATGTTATTTGTACCTTGAACAAAAACGTCATGTACACGTATGACCCACACCGTGGACGTCTGAGACTGGCCACAACGCGGTCTGTGGTGCCAACTGTTTCGGTTTTGAATCTATGTCGATACCTGGGACCAGGCACGGATCTCCGGGGCTGCGCCGTTGACACAGGGTGATTGCATGCTGCCTAACTCGGTTAGGTATGGGTTGGGCAGCCCACCTTCCGAAAAGTTGGAACATTCGACCAGGGAAATGTAAAATCGACAGGTCGACTCCAGAGCGCACTAGACGATACTATTGATTCTGGCTTCGATCGATACTCCCGCATCACAACGTAATGAGATCAAGGATCCGGCCGAACTGAGACCCGTTACCTTGCGCACGAGCGTCATCCAGCACAGAGACATTCACCTGCTGAACCTCACCGTGTTTTTGCATTCGCTAAAACTCGACCCCCGGAAAATAGACTTGATCGAGGTTTCTGTCCTGAGACACACTCTTCTCCGCACCTCCCACAACGTCCCACATCGGCTCGCGGCGCTAAGCGCCGATCGTACAGTCAGGTCCGGGCCCTCTCTTTTTTTCCTCCTTTCCACCGCCATTCTTCCGTCCCAGATTGCTCTTGAAGAAATCTTCCTTGATCCTCTTCCAGCCCATTTTACGCCCCGGGGCTTAGCATGGACTATTTCCGACGCCCACACCAGAGCTCCTATCCGCCCCGACCATCCCCCCTGGGCAACTCTCAGGAGTCTCGCGAAGATCGACCCCGTTCACACGCCGCGGCCCAGGATCCTCGTCCAGATCGCCGCGATGCTGAGCCTCGCCTAAACCGCCATGACTACTCTTCTCCCACCCAGATTCACGCCCCGGCTACGCGTTCGCCACACCCCTTACGTGGTCAGAATGATGGCGGAACTCAACTGTCTCCACCGCGGAATCAAACTGCGCATCAACATCGTCGACACGCGAGTCTAGAATCCAAAACGCAACCGTCGGCGCATCGCAGAAACCATTCGCAACCACAAAGTGGTCAATATCGACTAGGTAGGCAGAATCTCTCTCGTGTTTTGTGATGTTGAGCTGCGCGCGTCTTCGGTGCCCCGGATTCACAAGATTGGGCTCGGACTTGTCCCGTGGTTCCAAAGTTTCAGAGTTTCCATGCCCCGTCACTCCGCACGTGAGGCAGATGACATTCGATGGGGCCGAGGTTGATGAGCATTGCGATGGGGCTTAACTCTAGGGACCAGGCAGCTCAAACAGAACTTTTTGGGCCTCCAGAGAATCGCACTGGCAGGGCCCAGCCTACCCTGATGCAATTATCCCCAGTGGCTGAGATCCGCCGCTCGGGTACACTAGTCTGCAAGGGGCTTAGAGTGGTTCATCTACGCTAGTCCCCTTTGGGATTAGCGACTGAGCTTCCGGAGTCACGGGTTCGCGGTCCTCAATTTATCATCTCCCTTGGGTGATATGGAGTCTTCATGATCGCGCGACATGAACCAACCCCCTCCTGACTCTGCGCGCCGTGCATCTCAGGGCAGTAGTGGCAGCCCCGGCCACGGTGAGTTACTGGGATCCGATATTTCGCGCTGCGCTAAGCGGATCGCGCGCATCACCTTGTGACAACATCGCATCATCGCATTTTGCTTTACAAAACCCGCTGTGATATTTTGCTCCATACTAATATTAAAATTTTGATAGGATCCCACGAGAACTCAGCTCCCCCTTCTTTTGGCACTCGCCAAATGCCTCCACCGTCTCCTCCTTACTCCTACGGTTCGCGATCACAATCAGCGAACGCGCCCACCAATTCCTTCTTATCCCGCGATGCTCCACATAGTCAGGCCCAAAGACCAGGCAGTAGCATGTCTATCTCAGCCATGCTAGGCGCAGACGCTGAGCGCCCGGCCCGAGATACGGGGCCGCCCCGTTTTCCCGGCCATCGGCAACCTCTCAGTTCGGCGGTGCGCCTACACCAGCATCTGCAGCCATGTCACCACCTACCGCCCCAGCACGGCCGTCCTCATTCGACCAGTCAAATTTGCGCCGATCACATACACCTGAAAAGTCGTTCTCCAGGTCTCAGCAGGGTCGGCCTTACCGATCTGGGTCGGGCGGAGGATCGAGTCTACTGAGTGGTGAGCAGAATAGATATGGGGGATTCTCACATGCACCGCAATCGCAGTTCCCCGAGAAGCCGCACTCAACACACCCATCACCTCAAATAACGGCTGCCGAGCCTCCCAACAGCGAGCCCCGACGCATGAGTTTCAGTGGGCCCATCGCCCGACCGAGCAGTCAACCACCCAATGCCGAGGCTTCTACGCGCCCGTCTGGATACAGCCCACTGTCACGCCCAAACGCAGGTGTGGCAGATCGTTCTGAACCTGGTCGACGGGCCTCTCCGGCCTCCTATGCTGGCCTTGATCCTCACGGGCGGGATCCTCATGGTCGTTTTGGCAGTCTCTTTGGGGATCGCCGCTCGGAGGATGTCTCACAACGCGATCGAGAGCGGGCTTCGCACGGAGCCGAACCAAAAGGTTCATTTGCCAGTTCAGCGAGGTACGGCTCATCGATCTATGGCAAGAGAGAAGCGCTCGAGCGTCAGCCAACAGTCTCGACCTGGGAGCAAGGTCGCTCGCATCCGCCCTCCCCCGAAAGTAAACGGTTCCCTGCACCGGAGGCTGGGGCTGGATTTGGGTTCGGTGCCATCCAGAGCTATACCAAGTCTTTGGGCTCTCAGCCTGGTGGTAGCCGTCAGCCTCCGCTCTCGCTACAAACTGGCCAGAGTCAGCCCTCTTCCTCTCCTCGCGAATCGCTCTATTCAAATAAACAACCCCAGCCTCCGCGCTTGGGATCTAACCCGAATTCGGCTTCCTCATCCGGGCCGAACACGATTGGACTGGGTGCACTTGGAGAAGAAGGTCGGCGCAAGGGAAGTGAGGAGCTCCTGCAGCACCGCAACCTGCTATCGCTGGGTGCTGATGTTAAACGCGGTGGCCGCGCATCTCCACTTCCCCAGGCTGTGCAGGGTGCGCAGGCGCCGTTCATCAACCCTTCTGGAGAACCCGGCATCAAAAATGAATTGGGACGAGTCTTCTCTGGAATTGGTAGTGGTGTTGGAGGTGTTGGAGGTATGACAGGAGCATCTGTAGGCAGTGGACCGTCGACGCCGCTTATTGCAAGCCCTTTTAAGCGTGATAGCTTCAATAGCCGTCCTGTCAATGGAGAAGCTGATGACAAGACTGCACGCCCAACATCTGCCTCTGGCACAAGGAGGGCAAGGAAATCTCGGGATGATGATGCTCAGATGGAGTTGGATGGCTCAGAGGTCTCTGGTCGAGCAGCTCGTCGCTCACGTCACACCCATCCTCACCACCATCATCACCAGTATGTATCTTTTCGGTCTCGTTCCATGACATCAACTGACCTTTTCCGATAGTCACCATCACCACCGTCATAAGGCGGAAGAGGAAGCTGCCGTTCTCACTGGACTGCATCGATCTCTGTCATCTGTCAATCCTTTCAACCGTACGTCTACTCCGGCCGATGTCGTCGCTGGGCATCATCACCATCATCACCATCACCACCATCATGCGCCTCGGCCTGTTGCAGCCGCATCTCCCATCCGGGAGCCACGCACGACCGTGAACCTCGAGCCTCTTCTAGCGAGCGTGTCTCATTTGCCACGTCAACACCTTGGTTCCACACTCTACAATCCCCGTATCGGAGTTCCATCTGCCAAGTCTTCCGCAGAGAGCTCCAAATTCGGCTACACTTCAACTCCCCGACCTCTTCCTCGATTTGAGAAGCGCGAGAATTGCACATTCACTGTTCGCGTACCACGATTCCGCATTGACTCGACCCACCGCGAAGAGATCTGTGCACGACGAGCCTTGTGGGGCACCGGTGTCTACACTGACGACTCGGACCCCGTTGCCGCTGCTATCCACTCGGGCTACATTCGGGGTGCTTGGGGCGAGGATGTTGATGAGTCCATGCTTGATCTGGAAATCAAGGATATCTACCAACATGCGCCGCAGTCCACCGCAAACAAACCCGCGGATGGCAAATCGGACTCACACGAGAAAGAGGCTCGTCTGCCGCCCGTCCCTCCTCCCGACCAAGACCTTCACATAACACTCTTAATTCTACCTCGTCTCGAGAAGTATGACTCGACCGTGATGTTTGGCCTCAAATCTCGAAAATTCGAGGGCCGTCACGACGGCATGAGTTTCATGGTGCATAGCGTGGACTGGGTCGACGACGGGGTTGGGCGCGGCGAGGAGCGAAGCGGCGAAGCCCGACGCAAGCGTTTACGCACTCTAATGCAGACGGGTCGCATTTGCACGGGGCCCGCCATGGCGAAGATGGATGAGCTGCGCCGAAGCGGAGTGCAGGTTCCCCGGACTATTGATGGCCAGGAGCAGCCGACACATGTCCAGCCGGTCTCTTAATGGCCTAATGACTGCTTCATTTCCTCTCACAGTATTCGAGTATCTTTATTCACCTCTCCGGGACCAAGGTGGCGTTTCTATTCTATTTGTCTGCTTTTTTTTTTTTTTGGTTTTGAACTTGGGGCGTTGATACCTGCGAATAGCGCGTGCGTATTTTGATCTGTTTCTATTGGCATCCGGGGCAACGGGAACGGATGAAGGGATGCTGAGGAGGGGATTGGGAGATACCTGGGCCTTTGTCCCTTTCTACGCTTCTTTCAAGTACTTAGTATTCTTAGTATGTTAGTATCTACCTCTAATGCATCTCTCCGCGGGGAGCTTTGTGCTCCGCACCTTTGTATGGTTTATGGCTGGACCGGGCGCTAAGTAGAAGCTCTCCCCGCACTGCGATATTGTGCTGGGGCCCCGAAGCTTTCTCGGGCCGGGTTGGCCGTTTTTGATGCTCCGTTTCTCCGTAAAGGCTACATAAATGGCACCATCACGAAGGTATAGGCCCACAAGATCAAATTGTATCGGCTCATCCTCGGTGATTCCTGGCCAGCGCAGGTAGTCACACGTCCCCGGGTTCTCGCTCCAGCTGACCTCGGCCCAGCTGTGTAATACCGAAAACGAGTGAACTTACGGTATTTGGTTCTTGGCCCGTTTTTCCGAGGAAAGGCCCCCCGCAAAATCCCCGCCCGGACGGGACCGTCCCCTTGCAGTGTGACAGTACGGGACAATACCCGTTTCGTTCTTACCGCCGAGTCGGCCTCCCCCTCAACAACCGAGGCACAACGGGCGAATTCCTTATTTGGCTTCTCCTTCTCCTAACATCTTGAGAGACTACTTCTCGTCCTCTTTTCCTACTCTATACCCCAACTCCTAGCCATCTACAACTGAGAGGGATGTTCGCTGCCTCTGCGCGAAACCGTCTCTCCACCCTGTCCAGGCCCCGACTCCCTCCGACATCACAGCTCGCCCGCACGGTAAGACGGCCACCTCCGCGCCCCGTAGCACAGCAGCCACGAGCTGCCAGAATGCTGGCTCGACAGTTGCGTTTGAGAGCAATTGACTGACCCGTCTATAGACCCTCGCCATGGCCCCTGCTCGGAAAGCGTCTTCGGTGCCTGAGGGTGAGTGGATCACATGCTCCTCACAATGGGACTTTCAACTGACTTCCCACAGGATACAAGGAGGATCTCTCCAAGGGCAAAATGCTGCGCTTCGAGGACTCCTTGCCCCGTCTGCCCGTTCCCTCACTCGAGGAGACCGGCCGCCGGTATTTGAAGTCCGTTCACCCGTTGGTCTCCCAAACCGAGTTCGAGAACACCAAGAAGGCCGTCGAGGCGTTCATTCGCCCCGGCGGCGAGGGCGAGCCTCTGCAAAAGCGCCTCTTGGAACGTGCTGCGGACCCTAAGATGAAGAATTGGATTGCTGAGTGGTGGAACTCCGCTGCCTACCTGAGTTACCGTGACCCCGTCATTCCATACGTCTCCTACTTCTACTCTTACCGTGATGATCGTCAGCGCCGTGACCCCGCCAAGCGCGCTGCTGCTATTGCGACAGCCGTGCTCGAATTCAAGGGCCAGGTTGACTCTGGTTCCCTCGAGCCTGAGTACCTGCGCGGTCAGCCCATGGCTATGAACTCGTACGAGTACATGTTCAACTGCTGCCGTGTCCCTGGTGATGTTGAGGACTTCCCCCGCAAGTACCCTGCTGCTGAGAACGAGCACATTGTGGTTGTGCGCAAGAACCAGTTCTTCAAGGTTCCCGTCGTTGTCGACGGCCAAGCTTTGAACATTTCCGAGCTCGAGCAGCAGTTCCAGCGCATCTATGAGGTCGCTCAGCCCGCGCCGCCGGTCGGTACACTGACTGTGGCTGACCGTGATCACTGGAATGCTGCCCGTAAGACCCTTGTCTCTGCCGACCCTGCCAATGAGCAGATTCTGAAGGAGATCGAGTCCGCCGGCTTCGTTGTGTGTCTTGACGATGCCAAGCCCATCACTCTGGAGGAGCGCGCTCACCAGTACTGGCACGGTGATGGCGCCAACCGCTGGTTCGATAAGCCTCTGCAGTTCATCGTCAACGACAATGGTACCGCCGGTTTCATGGGCGAGCACAGCATGATGGACGGCACACCTACCCACCGTCTCAGCGACTACGTCAACGACGTGATCTTCAACAAGAAGATCGACCTCTCCCCCAAGACCGTTCGCTCCCAGCTGCCCAGCCCTCGGCCCCTCACCTTCAACCTCAATGAGGCTGCCAACGAGGCCATCGACATCGCCACCCAATATCACCGCAAGCAAATCGGCGCGCATGAGCTTGTTGTCCAAGCATATCAGGGCTACGGCAAGGGCCTGATTAAGAAATTCAAGTGCAGCCCCGACGCCTACGTCCAAATGGTCATCCAACTCGCCTACTTCAAGATGTATGGCAAGAACCGTCCCACCTATGAGTCCGCCTCCACTCGCAAGTTCCAAGAGGGTCGCACCGAGACAACCCGCACTGTCTCCGATGAGAGCACTGCCTTCTGCAAGGCCTTCGCCGACCCCAACGTGTCCCGTGAAGAAGTCGTCAAGCTGTTCCGCGCCGCCCTCGCCCAACACACCAAGTACACACTCGAAGCCAGCGACGGCCGTGGTGTCGACCGTCACCTCTTCGGTCTGAAGAAGCTCCTTCAACCCGGCGAGAAATTGCCCTCCATCTACGAAGATCCCGCATTCACCTACTCTAGCTCCTGGTATATTTCCAGCTCCCAGCTGAGCTCCGAGTTCTTCAACGGCTATGGCTGGAGCCAGGTCATTGATGACGGTTTCGGAATTGCCTACATGATCAACGAGAACAGGTTAGCATCCACCCACCCCCTATACTACCCGATGATTTGTCCATACTAATTAAATATAGCCTAAACTTCAACATCGTCTGCAAGCGTCTCGGTGCGCACCGTATGAGCTACTACCTCAACGAGGCTGCTAATGAATTGCGCGATGTTCTCATGCCTGATTTGGCTGCTCAGCCCGAGAAGGCTAAGCTGTAGTTTATTGCATTTCATCCGATACCAGTCTCTTTCGTTTTTTTTTTTATCTTCGAGCGCAATAGATGAATACATTCCTCGCCGCTGGCTTTTGCTAGTGTCTGTATATCACATCAATAGGGAATATTCCTTTTACTTTCCAAGTCATGCAGGTTGTCTGAACTTGTACATTCTGACCGTACTAGTCGCAATGGGTAAACTTCTTGAAGTTATTCACGCAAAGATGGTTTTGGTCCCGCGCAATTAGATGAGACTACATTTTAAATATAGCACAGCCAACATCGTAACCCTTCAGCTTACTTCTTCAGGTCTGTCATTCAAATACTCCCAGTTCAAGTTATCAGCTGAAATTTGATTCTATCTCTCCCGATTCCATCTCTCCAGATTCAGTTTTTCCTAATCAAGTTACGAAGCTACTAACATTGGTTCATTGCTAGCGCTATATCACCCACCGTCGCGGACTTTGGTTAGTCTCAAAATAAATATACCGTTTTCCTTTCTCATCAACGTTAACGTCCGTAAAATTGACGTCTCGGATACCACTATCGTCAATATCACCTACGCTTCTCTTTTATCAGGAGCCTCTATAAACTCTAACGCTAGAGTCAACTTCATCACCCAACCTCAACTTTGCAATGTTTTCTACTCAAAAGTCTCTACCACAGCCTCTTTGCCCAGCTGAAAAAGCCTCGTGCCGCTAAACAAAATCTTAATTCTCTAAAGAATGATTGTCGTCAAGCTCTGGAGAAAGCAGAAAGCAATCTCAAGCAATGGAATGGGCAAAACACCGTCAAATTTCCGAAACACCATTCCAAACAGGAACTTGATAAGCTCACTGTGGAGCAACTCGCAGTATGGAATGCCAGTCTAGGGTGAGTATACCAGCTCCATCGATATTGTTATTTTGTCAGAGCATATGAAAATGACTGAGAATAATTCTCTATTGAATGAATACTCCGGGTGCCCAGGCGGTGGGGAGTCTCCAGACCCCGAAATTCGGGGTCTTAGATGGTGCACTTAAGGTAAGCTATATATACAGCCTTAGCCCAAGCAATGAGTGCACTCGATGTGCGCCAATCTCCACAGGAATCCCAGGAATCCCGACTGAAGCCTGCAAAATGTAGGCCTCCATGAAAGGATACTTTTCAGCAGCCATCATTCGATGCGCACAGCGCTGAAGGATCATTCACCCACCCTGCATGGCGATTTAGGGGGGCCAATCCATGGACTCAAAGCACCTATCTTCGCTCTGAGACTAGCAGCTAAGAGAGATGAATGGATAATCCCCGTATGGTTTCATCATCTTATGATCTTATGTGAGCAACTTCGCTGGCATAGCTGTACACAGAGGCCGTGCACTCGACATGTCAATCTTCACCGGAACAGGAAACACCCGCCATCAAGACCCCTTTGAAGGTTCAAGTTCAGTGATCGGGGGATCTAGCTCAGGTAGATGCTTTCCCCTCGGAAGATCCCACGACTTGCAGGTCCGTCTCCACCCCCTCTTGCCCTGACTCTGCTGAATGGGTAGCTGGAGTATCTGACGTAGTCGTCAGGTGTCCTATCTGTCGTTCTGTGGGGTGTTAGAGATTGTGCTCAACCATCTCCACTTTCGTTCGGGGTGGGGTCTTCCGCAATCTGCGGGATTTTTTTTAAAGGTTGGGATTCAAGTAATGGTACAACTTACCGAGTTCTCGGATTCTTTGTCGGAGCATTTGATTCTCGCGGCTGAGCATGGCTGCTTCGGCTTGGTAGAATGAGCTTTCGTCTCGACTGCCTCGTCGCGATGAGTTCTCTCGTAAAGTGGGGAATGCTTCTGTGCCGTCTGAGCCGCGAGACGTATCTTGTGGTCGAATATTTGGGGAGTTGGTTAGGCTTGGTGGCCGGTTGGACAGCGATGAGATGGATAGTCTGTTGCTGGATGGTGCAGGTGGGGGCATGGTAGGGAAGAACGAGGCTGACCGTTCCGACGATGGGGTGATATCATCCACGACAGCTGTGCCCGACTGCGGGGTCTGTTGTTGATTCTGCTGAAGATGTTGCAGCTGAGCTTGCTGACTGCGGATCATTTGCAAAAGACGGTTCTATAACAAGGAAAGTTCAGTTGGATGCATATCTCCGGTATACTTGAAGATGACCCACCACTTGCGCCTCTTGCTCCTGTTCTAACTCCTGATGCAGCTCTCCTAAAGATGGTGCCCGTTGGTGGTGCGGGTCTGCTGTCGCAAAGACGGGGCTGCCGCCGTAACTGGTGGGACTAGCCGTGCGGAATGCATGCCCGATGGAGGAGCGATGGTCGGACCAGGGATTCTCGGTGAGACTTCCCGAGCCCATATTGGTCACATCGTTCAAATTGAGAGCCATGCCGGCTGCTGAACGGCGTCGCTCGGAGACTGATAATCGACCCATGCTGGATCCACGGGATGGCCGCGGGGAGGTGGTATTAGGATTCACGGGTGCGGGGACTGTTCCGGGCGAAAGTGGAACGTTGCGATGTGGCAGCGACGAAGAAGACGAGGAAGATCGAGAGAGTGGAAGAGAGTTCAAATCGGGCGACATGGTGACAAACTCGGCGTATGATAGAGATGGTCGAGCTTTAGGAAGCTCCGATGCTCAGTCGGGCGGCATGACGGCCTGCTGACTGATCGCTATCGCGGGGAACGTCACCTGACTACGAAACGCTGCCCGGAGCCAGCACGTGATTGTTACCGGATCTGGGGTTCTACTGAGCGCCACGAGCAACATATTCCATCGGCGACTATGTGAGCCAGCCGTTCTCGACCCTTGGGCAGGTTGCAACTGTTTTAGGATTCTTCTTGGCTCCTTGATATGATCGCTATGCTCGCTCAACTTGTAGACCCCAAGCCCAATCTGCTCCGTCCCCACCGGCGTCTCCAGGTGGGACGGGTGGCGGCAAACTTTCGAAGCAAAATTCGATTCTTCTCAGGGACCGTCAGGCTCTTGATATACTTTACGGAGTCCACTGATCGCCACACAGGGCTCGCGTGGCTTGCGGTCCGGGAGATCCGGACGATGTCTTTGTGCAACCGCAGAAGTGTCATCGCACATTCTTCGGGTTGCGGCCTTAGTTGTTTCCGGTTATCGTAAATGATGCGGTCCGACTTCGACGATGCGACTGGGTGGACCAGAAGAATGGGTTGGTCCAACCTCTCTTCTCCCTGGGGTCTGAAGTACAGTCACTGACCGAGCAAAAGTCTCCCCATGGAACAAGGGGGGCCGAAAGTATCGACGACGCACGGGCTACCAGGGGTTCGGGTTCTGCAAGGGTTTGGGATCGGCCCTCATGTGGTTGACAATTTGACGGCCTTCCAGACTTCTTGGAAAACCGGACATCGGAGGACGAGAGGGCATGTCGGATGGGCAGATCGCGAAGACTCGGTCCGAATCCCTCGGGACCACGAAAAACACACACAAGAGTAAGAGTATCCCGAGCCCGCGGTCGGAACAAGAGTTCCGGACCCCTGTTCTTGATGAAAGTGGGCTGGCGCCACGCCCGTAATGGACCACGCCATGGCGGGTTAGCCCTGTGCCTGCTCCTGATTTTTGACTGAACCACGGCAAAACGCTCGTTGTGATAGGTGTTGGTCAGCCATCTTGACGTCACTCCCAGCGGCCCGCCTTTCATGGACCCTCATTCAAATCGGCACGAGGCGGCCATGGCAACAGGCTGGTCATAAAAAGGCGGAGAGTAGTGATAGTAGACCAACGGCGATTCCGTTGACTAAAAAGAATGGAGGCAAACTGCGTCATCGTCCCTGGGTTCTGGATCGTTGGGAACCCATGCGACCCCGGGCAGAATTTGCTCTCCTTGCTTTGCGGGGCGCCACACGAGAGATCGCCATCTGGACTTCTGGACTTCTGGACTTCTGGACGTCTGGACATCGCATCGGTACTGTAGATTCAATGTTGCAAGCATCGCGAAATGGAACAGAGATCTAGACTCTGTTCCGGATGCATTAGATGTCATTTCCCTAATGCGGACATTTCTAAACCTAGGACCCAAAGCGGTAGTCTCGGGGCTCTCCCGATCTTTTCTGCTTTCCTTGGCTAAAAATTCAGAGGGCGGTCATCGATCGTCGTTGTCGGAGTGGAGCCGAGTGCCCAATTGCGGTGCATGCGCTGCCCGTGGGGCGTCTCTTCCGGGGGCGTCATCGAGGTCGTTGCATAGGCCTATGCAGAGGCAAACGCTGACCGGGGTACGTGGTTTTGCGTAAGCGCATCCTTCGAAATCCTGCAGATCGTGTGCATGGTATCATGCTGTATCCAGTCGAGTTCATGTCACTCAGAAACTATTCGGGGAGTTGGGGAGTCGGGGGGATGAGTCGCAAAAAAAGCGGGTATACCACCCACGGGGAAACGATCAGTCGGTAAGCCGCTTGACGGAAAAAAGAGGAAGGTCGGGAACGAGAGCAATGTTCTGGACATTGTGGAAAAACGTAAGGAAACTGGAGACTATATTCAGATAGAACAAAATTAAATTAAAACAAAAAAGGAAAAAAGAAAAAAAGAAAAATCAAATGCGAAAAAAAAGAATCGGTCGATGGAACCAGGGAAATGGAATCGCCGCATTAGACTGGCCGCATCGTGCCTTCTGTTTCCTGCTGTTGTATTTATTGTTTCCTTTCTTCCTCTTTCTTGATTTCCATTCTCCTCTTCTTCTCTTATAATTCTGGGCCCTGTCCTGATCCCCCCAAACATCTAATTAAGAGTGAGTGTCACTTGTTCTATCGCGGACCTTGCCGATACTAACTATCAATAGTTCAGCATGGCCAGCGTCTCCGACAATTTCGGCGGCGGCCGTGATCCCGTGCCGTCCTCCGATGTCTCCAGCACCACTCAGGCCGATCAAATTCATGCCGTCATGAGCGAGAAGTCGGAGGGCGATGGGCGGTACGAACTCGAGCCCACGACTCCATCCGGACGGGTCGTGCTCACCGAGGATATGTGTTACGACCAGCTCGGATATTCTTTCAGCGAGAAGCGCAAGTGGATGATCATCAGTGTTATCTTCTTGGTGCAGGTCTCCATGAACTTCAATACTTCGCTTTACTCCAATGGTTTGGCGGGAATCTCTGAGGAGTTTGGTGTCTCCATGCAGGCGGCGCGTTGTGGTGCCATGATTTTCCTGGTGTTGTACGCTTTCGGCTGTGAGCTCTGGGCTCCATGGAGCGAGGAACTGGGTCGCAAGCCTATTCTCCAGGCCTCTCTCTTCCTTGTCAATTGTTTTCAGCTGCCCGTGGCTCTTGCCCCCAACTTCGCCTCCATCATGGTTGGCCGTGCTCTCGGTGGTCTTTCTTCCGCCGGTGGCTCGGTAACTTTGGGCATGATTGCAGATCTTTGGGAAGCCGACACTCAACAGTACGCCGTGGCGGCTGTCGTCTTTTCTTCAGTCGGTGGATCAGTTCTCGGTCCTGTTATCGGTGGCTTCGTTCAGGCGTATCTCCCTTGGCGCTGGAACATCTGGATTCAGTTGATCTTTGGCGGCTTCGTTCAGATCATGCACTTGTTGCTTGTCCCCGAAACCCGGACCACTGTCCTGATGGATCGCATTGCGAAGAAGATGCGCAAGAGCGGCGAGCATCCCAATATTGTGGGCCCTACTGAGGGCATGTCCTTCCGCCAACGCTTCCCCCCGCGTGAGCTCATGCTCACCTGGATCCGTCCTTTCCGCATGTTCCTGACCGAGCCCATCGTATTGACGCTCTCTTTGCTGAGTGGTTTCAGTGATGCTCTGATTTTCATGTTCATTCAGTCGCTTTCTCTGGTCTACAGCCAGTGGGGATTCAACACCTGGCAGCAGGGTCTGGCTTTCATTCCCATTGTCGTTGGATACTTCATTGCGTGGTTCTCGTGGTTCCCCGTCATCAAACGCAACGTGAAGGAGCGCCACGATAACCCCGAGAGTGAACGCGCCCAGTACGAGTCTCGTCTGTGGTGGCTGCTGTATACCGCGCCTTGCCTGCCCATTGGCCTGATTGGCTTCGCTTGGACCACTTTACCCCAATGCCACTGGATTGGTTCTATGATCTTTGCTGCCATCATTGGTATTGCCAACTATGCCATTTACATGGCTACCATCGATTATATGATCTGTGCCTACGGCCCTTACTCTGCCTCCGCAACCGGCGGCAACGGATGGTCTCGCGATTTCTTGGCTGGTGTGCTCACCATCCCGGCTACGCCTTTCTTCACCAATATTGGCGACAAATACCACGTTCCATATGCCTGCACCATTCTCTGTACGTCCAATAAAAACTGAAAACCCCCATGAAAAATGCTAACATGATTTCTAGTCTGTATCTCGGTTGTACTGGTCATTGCAGTCTACGTGATCTACTGGAAGGGCCCGACTCTCCGCAGGCGCTCCCCCTTCGCTCAGCAACTCTCCGAAGCTCGACACGACGCAGCCATTTCGAGCCGCCGTCCTTCCAAGGTCCCGATGGCGTCGCGTGCGAGCTCCTACGCTCGATCCGCGCAGGATCTCCGCATGCGGCAAGCGATGGGCAGCCGCCCCGGTTCGCGCGTCACCTCGCGGGCCAACTCGCGGGCCAACTCGCGGGCCAATTCCCGCCGCAACAGTATGGTTGATGCTGAAAAGGTTCTCTGAAATCTGCAGTCAAGGCGATTACGAGCGGGGTTGAGCCCTTCTCGCTGGAAATTTATCAGCATTTCCACATCTTTTCACTTCTCTGTGCATGTCTTCAATCGCACAAATCCTTGCGCTGGGCGTGGCGAACTCTAATTATCTTTTACCGGTCGGCTGTTATCTGATTTTCTTGCATGATTAATAACCTACGGGCCCCTCGCACATTACGGTGCCTGAACGATAGTGTCGCAAGACATTGAGTCTTAGGTGTGATGCTTTTCTCTGCTTTTCTCTGCGCAAAAGTCGAGATTTACAAACTGGGGATGTCATGTACGTTACGAGACTTTGCGAGGCGGGATGCAGGTCACGAATTGTATACGTTAGCTGATTCCTCGGTTGAATGTTCATGTTTCGTTACATTTTATCTCCAGATTTCTCCAGATCTCGTACTGAAGGTGGGCCATAGTAACACTTGGGGTTGAATCGGGGCCCCGGGAACCAGAATGGTGGAGCGTCTCCACGGTCGGATAGGCAAGCTGTGCGGAGAGCTCGCGTGGCTTGGTCGATATCCGGCAACCGTCGTCCTGTTCTAGTCAATGGCTGAGTGGCAATGTAGTATTCACGGTAGGTCAAATGATCTGACCAATTCCGGGGAAAAAGTCTGGTATATTGTGGCGCAGGCTGGAGTGGTCGGTGGCATGTATCCGGGGCGGTCGTGAACCAACTCCGTTACATATATGCGTTTTTAGGGACTTGGTGAAGACTGTCGCAGTTACATGAGCAAGGCATTTCATGTTGATGGCCATGGAACTCGTCCATGCATTGGCAGTCCTGGGCAAACAAGTCAAAGACTCGAGCGGGACAAACAGCCCTTTCCATGATGATCACGTCTCTGCCCGCCCTAATATAAGAAGCTAGTTTTCTTGCATACCTTGCCGTATATTCGGACAGCAAATGCCACCGGTAATATGCCTTGCATCCACCAGTCCGAACAAGTCAAATCTTGTTCGTGCGCGTGAGCGTCAAGATGGTACTGCATGATTCGAATAGCTTCCTATCCCTGTTTACTACTGACCCTTTTGCACTCACCTGGCGAATTGTCATAGCTAGACCTAAAGGACCTCTCTGCTCTCAACTGCAGGAAGCCGAGCTGTGTCAGAGGTAGGCATGTATTGTACGTTGAGCAGCTGAGTCATGACCCCGCACGATACAGTGGCGTATCATTAGTATTTGCACCCCAGTACATTGCATCCTGACCGCCCTTAATACACCGCCTACCCATTATATCCACCCACAACCCCTATTATTATCTGCCTATAATCCTCTTCCTATGATCCTCTAAACCATGCCTCGCAGTCCTAAGCTTGAACTATATATACGCGAGCGTATATGTGAGTCAAAACGATCAGCAAAATGGGGTGCAAAACGTATCCAGAAGAATACGTTCCCTGATATTCCTCTTTCTACTATCCACTATACCCTCCGGTAAGATCTAAAGCGTTCAAAAGGTGTTTCCCTACCTCGCTCTAGCGTACCTCGTAAGCTTACTGCGGAGGACCGAGACCGTATATATGATACTATTTAAAACCGCCCTAATATTACCCGCGAGGATCTGCTTACTGAGGTTAATTATAAGGTTAAAGCGATATCAATCTAGCGTTTAATGTATAATATAGGCCTCCGAAAGTGGCGAAAGATAAACCGACCTTACCTTATACCTATTTACGCTACGAAACGTCTTACCTAGGCTTTAGCTTATCGCTATTTTATACTAAAGGACTAAAAAAGGGTTTTTTGGTCGGATAAAATAACTATTAAACGCGGATAAGGTACTCGGAAGGAGTAGATATTTATTCCTCCTAAAAATTAGCTTTAAGAGCGCGAGTCTAGTATCTAAATAACTCTATCGAAAGGGAAATAGACAAAATAAATATTCTAGGCTTATTTCTTAGGCGCTCCGCGAAAGACTGGCTTAATTCCTTTATTCGGAGATCTTACTACGGATCGTTAAGGGTATCACAAAAGAGATTATTTATAATCTTTATCGTAGTATCCTACCTACCTTACTATCGAACGAGGATACTATCTTTTAATATAATAATGCACCAATATATATTATATATATTGTCCAAACCCTTCTCCGTGAGTTAAATATTACTGTAATAGATTAGCCGCCTTATTCGCCAGATTTAAACCTAATTAAGAACCTCTGGGGGCTATTAAAGGCTAATATATTAAAGCTACGGCCGTGGCTTCGCGAGATGCCTAATAATAATATTACTTAGGCAGAGCTAGTAGATATAGCGTAGGCTACGTGGGAACAGCTTACGATTAGGCACTTTATTAATCTAGCTAAGACTATGCCTCATCGTGTAGAGGAAGTGATTCGGTATGAAGGGTGGCATATTAGTTATTAGAAATAGAACTCTATTCTACCGGCAGAATATATGTGGGTCGAAGTACTGGGGTGCAAATACTAATGATATGAGACTGTACATGCATCACATGCATCTCTTGTGTCGTCCAGGTCTACCTGAAAGCTTCTGACACTCTCTCCCGGGGATCTGCCAATCACTCGATAGTATTTACCAAATACGGCCTCTATTCTAAAGTGAGTACCGTAACCTAGGGTCGCTATGATTTTGATGGGCGACAGTGCTCAGGGTCACTTGCCTGCTGTGACCCTCGGCATCTGACTTCTGCCCTTAATGCATTACCGTTTAGTTGCCACAAAGTTGGCTTATACACGACATTACCTAATGTCCCAAAGCTGCTCATTACAAGTTTTGTCCTCCCTTGCTATGTTTCCGTATACCTTTGTGTTCGCTTTCTAGCACCTCATCCTGTCGTAAAATGACGTTTGATGAGGAAAAGTATGCACGATATCGAGGGCTTTGGAATCTCCACTCTTGAATCGCATTGTTACTGTATGATGTTCACTACAGTTTCCCAACGCATGTATTGCGTACCCACTTGACAATCCATTTGATTTTCTGCCAATCACCACCTTGAGCATCACTAAGGCCGATATGTTTGTGGTCATGAAGGATCACGTGGCAACATCAGCACGGATGAATGCGTTGGGGGACTGTCAAGCTCAAGTCATGCGTCAATTGACCGTAGTTGAAATACCTACCTTGCGTCTCCAATTGACGTATTGGAACGTGGTGTATTTCACTCAGGGAAACCCCGATAAGATTAGCAGACTGGCCCGTGCACTGGCGAGAACCAGACTGGCGAGCTCTCAACTCCGAACCGCAGCAGCTGCAGCCATGGCAAGCCTCCCCGCTCTGCGTCTCGGACGAATTGCCCTGCAAAGACCCGTCTTTGTATCTGTACCTCGACTGCTGCCTCTCGCTCCCCAACTCCGAATGGCCTCCAACACGCCGACACCGCGCTTTGCAGAAGGCGAAGACCCGCAGCAGCTTGGATCGGACACCGCAGCGCTGCAGCAGCAGGGATGGGCACTGGACGCGGACGGAATGGGTGTGACCAAGACATTCTATTTCAAAAGCTATTTCAAGGCCGTCGTATGTAATTTTTCTTTTGGAAAAGCGCGACTGAACTATTTGGGACTAACTCGTGCCAGTCCTTCGTGAACCTGATCGCCTCGGAGAGCGCGGCGAAGAAACACCATCCTACTATGACTGTGGTAAGCGGGCATCGAAACGAGGAATTTCGATCATGTTAAACTAACGCGCGCAGCGGATCGGCTCGGTCGATGTTCACTGGACTACTCATCGCCCGCGCGGCCTCACGGTCAAGGATATTGCGATGGCGCAGCATTGTGACAATGGGGCCGAGCTGATGGGATGTGTTGAGTCCGAACAAGGATTGAAGTGTGGGCCAAAGTGAGACCCGAGAAGTCAGACGAGTCCTATACCGTGGCACGACAGGTTACCGAGAGAGGAAAGTTGAAACTCAGTGGAGAAGAACGTTAAGCTCCACTTGAGGATCGAGATTTCTGATTTAATTTAGCCGTGAGGCAGGGCTCCGTAGGCTGTTGGCTGTTGGCTGTTGGCTGTAGGCTGTAGGGGGTTGTTAGGCTGTAAGCTATAAGCTGTAGGCACCGGTCATTGCGTGGTACTTTTGTATAACATAAAAGGAGCCATGAAATGAAAGGCCCAGGGGTGGCTAGTTTTAGCGCGCCTCAATTTTACTGTATGCACTTCACATCACGTTGGGGGACTAGAAGGTCATGATTTCCCCCCCCCACACTCGCTAATTCCACTCATCGTACCATTTCGTGTTTCCGTGTTCCCTCGTTCCTGGTTCCTGGTTCCTTGATTTCTCTCCATGTTCTCTTAGTCCGATGACGTTCGCCTAGTGCGCGCCCACGTTGCCCACTCGATGATCATTACCTCGTTGATCGCCTCCTTTTCCTCCATCTTCAAACGGCAATGCGCTGTTGCTGACGCCAGTGAAGATGACCCAGGACATGGGCGACATGTCCGTGACTCCGGACTCTGTGCCGCCTTCATTTGGTGAGCGCAGAGGGCATCGACTCGCACCGCTACAGACCAATTTCAGTCACCCGCCATCTGGTGAACCAACTAAAGCGCCGTCGCGATTGCAGCGTCCGCGCCCACAAGATTACCCTAGCATTAATGGTTCCAGGGAGCCAATTCCTCTCCAGAGTCCAGTCAAGCGACAAACTTCTAAGAGCAGTTTGCGCAACTTGTTCGCACGCGACAAAGCTGCCCGCGCTGCGGCCCCCAACCCCAAATTGGCTGAGATTGAGGAGGCACAGCCCGCAACACAAACAGTCCCCGTAGCCGACAATTCTCTTTCTCCCGACGTCCTGTCACCACAGACAGTAGCCTCAAGTTTCACCTTGACCTCTCCAACAACGCCGAAACCACCGGCAACCTTGACAACCGCGCGCCCAGCACCGCAGCCAGTCATTGATTCTAAACAACGGTCTCAGGAACAGTATGGTTGGAAGCCACCACCTCTATTCCAGGCCTATCCCCAATCATTCAAACATGAGTGTCTTGCTGCGCCTGCCATTTCGGCAGATTCAATTCTGCGACTTCATGCGACAATGGGGAAGAGCGAGCCGGACAGTGGCCGAACCAACTCGCTAGCGCAAGACGAAGCAGCCGATGCAGCACGTAAGAAGAAGGAGCAAAAAGAACGGAAACATACACGGACTCTATCTAGTACTATAAACAAGGTTGAATGGACAAAGAAGGTATACGTCCTTTCTACGACCGGCTATATCCTTCAGTACGCAGGCGAAGGCAAAAACGACCGTCTCCCGGAGAGGATGCTGCCGTTGGGTCCCAAATCGGTAGCGTTTGCCAGTGATGCTATCCCGGGGAAACACTGGGTCCTTCAGATTTCTCAAAATTCGACGCCAGACACCGGGCCTGAGCCATCAGAGCCGTCCAAGCCACGATTGCGCTTCGGCTTCCACCGAGCAAACACGCGACGTCTGGCAAGCAGCTTTCTTTTGGTTTTCGATAATCCCGAATCGATGATCTCTTGGCTGACAGTGGTCCGGACGGAGATTGAAGCTAGGGGAGGGCCCAAGCTCACGACCGAGAAGCACTCTGAAGACGATGAGATGCCGGAGCCTCAAATTCGGTCCAAGTCAAGTGTTCGGAAAATGGTTAAGAAAGACCCGCATCGCGTTTCCAGTCTATTCCTGCAACCGGTGAACCTGCAATCTCCTCATGAGGAGGATGATAGTACGTCTGCCAGAGGGATGACTTACCAGTCTCGGCGAAGCTCCTATGTTTCTATGAACCGCCGTTCAATCATTGACTCCCGAACTGGATCCATGTCTACAAGCACCTCCGATGCGCACCGATCATCGTTCACATCTACAGACCTCCCTGGCTCTCCGCCAGAAGTTCCCTTGCCACATGATATGGAATCAACACGCGCACGCAATTCACCCACAGCCAGCCAGAACAAGCGCCAATCACTTTTCGTGTCTCAGCCGCAGGCCGTTCTCAACTCAACTCGTCCCGAACATGTACAAACTAGTTCACCGCCGGCCGCATTCCCCTGAAGAATTGGCTCGAAGTGCCTCCCCACCAGCTCCCAACTTCAGCGTTCCCCTATTCAGCAAAAAGTTTGCGGCCAGACCGGGACCAACACCCATCGTCAATGGTCAGCCCGCATCGGTGGCTGGTGTTCTTCGCCGAGGCGAAAGCACCGAGTTCAATATCTCCAACATGTCCTCTCCCCCGCAGTCGCCCACATATAGCATGGCAAGTTCGCGCCACACAGAATCTTCGGAGCCATCCTTTATGCCTCTCGACGCAACTAGTAGGCGGACGTTACGGACGTTCAACTCCGAGGATGCTCTCTCAAGGATGGTGCGCTCGGGACAACCAGCCCCAAATTTCTCCCGCGTACCTCGAGCCTCCGACACGAGTTCTCCACCTTCTAGGCCTCTGAGCTTGGTTGGTCGCTCTGGATCTGGACTTGGCATCCAGCTGCACCCAGAAGTACAAATGCCAACCATGTCTCCTCCACTGCCTCCTGCAGAGCCCGCTCCTACGCAACCCTTGCCGTCCTTGCCTACCCAGGCCCAACCTCCCTATAGCATGTCTCGTCGAAAAAGCATGCCAGGCCTGGGCCTATCAATGGGCCCTCCGGCACCACCACCAAATTGTCCACTCCCTAAGATCCCTCCTTCCATTGCCGCGCAGGCGCAGGCACCAACGCCAACCCCCCGGCCGGCCAACGTCTCGGAGACCGGCCGGTTCTACGGCTCTCAGCAGGTCCGTGAGCACGTTCAGGACCGACGGAAAAGCAACATCGAGGAGTTCCCACCTCCACCATCCGGGAAACTTACCAAGACGGCTGCTCGGCAATCTCGCATGATCCTTCAATGATCCACCCATGCACATAATGCACGACTTTTACATCTCTCTTTTCGCATCGTTCAGCACACCTGAGCCCCCTTTCCCAACCTTCTACCTATACAATTTTTTCTAAAACCATATACCACCGCCGCACAATATCGCATAATGGTGTCTGCACAGACCTACATTGCCCGCATTTGCTTCTTGTCAATATCATGACCGCATCCCACTCCCTTGCATTCATACGCATCTGGAACACTACGGATCTCTCTCCGGAATCCCTGCTGGACTCTTCAAAACGACGATACCCGTCTTGGCATCTCTTCTGTCTTCATTTCACTTCTCAAGCTGTCTTATATATACCCCTTTTTTGGAAGCCTGATATTGTCAAGACACACCTGATTTACATCTCAGTTTACCTTCACTACATATTATATCGATTCACAATTTATCATTTATATTGTCTTCAGATATATCTGCATAGCACGCAGTTGTCTCCAGATAGATGTGCATGTCTCCCTTGGTAGGCTTGATCAGACGCCTTTCGCTGCTTCACAATACTTCACCGTAAATCAATCACATGTAGCCATCGCGTTTCTTCAATGCTAGCGCTATGTGACGACGCCAGCCCCGGTTGGTGGCAGTGGTCATGATGAACCTCCTCTCGTCTTTTGTAATGATCTGACGGCTGCAATTCTACCTTTTCGTGAAACAATTGGCGGGTCTCTTGTCAATTCTGTTCGCTGTGCCAGTGGACGAGATTTCGTGATTCCTTTCTTGAACCATGGTCTATTGAATGTAGTGAAATCTTCTCAGGTGTTATTTCTACTCCAGACTGAATACACTCCCGCCCAAAGAATCAGACGTGTATTCGAAGGTGCCTATCGTTTTGCTAGAAATTGCTCGGTGTCCTCAGCGCGATGGGATTGATTCTTCCGTGATTTCTCGCCCAGCAATTCAACCAAATTCCCTGTCGTGGAGATGAGCCATGTCCGACCCATCAATGTGACAGATAACTCGGCTGTTCAAACTGTGGGTGCAGCGTTCGCCGGATGGCACCTTGGTACCTGAGACGGATGCGCGATCCTGGTGGTGCGGTCCCTTGTTTCTCCCCAAATTTCCACCAGTAAACTAGCGCCTCACTAGTTCTTGCCTCAACGGGCTACATGTCCAATTTAGGGGTTCATGCTCGGCCAGAAAGGGTTCTCGTCGCTTCAAGATGCGCTTTCTCTTCTAGCTCAAAGCAGTTTGCCACGAGGACAGGACTTGGCGAATAGAGTCGGTGTGGTATAAGTCCCCTGGAGACTTTCTGCCATGGCCATTAACATGTTTCTCTATTGTAGATAGAGTTCAAGACGATCATGAGCATCTGGAAGTCGTTGGTACTCGCGCTAGCAGCTTCTGCGGTAGCTTTGCCTCCGCCTTCCCACGAGGCAGAGGATGACTTTGACTGCGATGACGACGAAGACTTTGGCGAGGAGCTGGTTCAATTGATTGAACACATTCCCAAAGGACGGTCTTTCTGTCGCAATTTAATAGATTCCACTTGTGATGCAGTGACTTTGACCGAGACTGTGATTCCCTTCTCTACTACGACTGCCAAAGATGTTGAGACAGCTACAATCACCCAAGATGTAACAGCCACCCTGACAGTCTATGTCACGGTACCTGTCACGACTGATTTGACTTGCACGGCTACTGTTGACATGACGACTCTGGCAACAGCTCAGACGACACAGGACATTACAACGGACATTACGGAAACGGTCATCACGGAGATTACTACGACTCAGATCACTACTAAAACGCTAGACTTTACGGATAGCCAGACAATGACTCAAATTACAGATATCACTGCTACTGCAACGGCATACCGCAAGTTGGTGTGGCGACAGCTTGCTGTGACAATTGTGGTGGTTGTGGTTGTTTCAACGTTGCTTGTACTTTCCACGGTCATTGCGACGGTAGTTTGAACCGTTGTGGGTACTACAGTGACTGTGATAAGGATTGACGAAGTAGACGTGACAGTCGAAATTTCTATGACATCCACGGTAACACTTGCAGTCTCGGTTGTAGTGGTTAATAAACTTGATCCAGAACCCTAACTTTGATGGTGGTGACTCATTTGGCGCTTCTGGCGGTGTCCTTGTCCTTACCCCCTGGACATCCATCAGGACTGGCACTGCCAGCATGTCATACAGCTCTGCTACAATAGCCCCCCTATGGTCTCCTACTCTCCAACGGCGCAGGCCTCGGTACTGCAATCATTGCACAATTCTATCAACACCATTGTGGGGAAGACATACACTCTGTCTTGGTGGTATGAACTCACGGGTCGGAATGCAGGGTGCAACTTCTACTATGGCTTGGATAATGCCAATTCAGACTCGTACCTCTTTGCTCTAATTAGTGGGCCCAGGAGTACATGGAGAGAGGCTTCGATCAGCTTCAAGGCTAGCTCCACGTTGACTACCCTGTCTTGCCGCATGTATGCTAACATTCCTTCAACAGTCGCACTTGATCCAATTCTGGGTTGAGTGTTGACGGGATAATTTAAGATAAGATTGTTTCCAGTCCTTTGATCAACAAATTTAATAATCAATACTTAGAGACTCTATCTTACTTGACAAATATGTTTTTTGCCATTGCGGTAAGCAAAATGGCAACTCGAGAGAAGCATGAGGGTCTTGATAATCATAGTGATAAGTACGCTAGACATGATCCACAGACATCAATAGACCGGCACTTTGCCGTTATTTCTTTGAATTGTTCATAAATCCCTCCACTTATACGGCTGGCCTAAGTCAAATGGCCTTTGGACTAGAATGCACGTCGTAGTGTGATTTGTACCGTTGCAGGATCCCTGTTGTCTGCTTATGTTAGCAGTTGGGGGCCGAACCTCCCAGCAGCAGCGTCAGCCTCATGAGTCAAGCAACATTTTGTATACTGTCCACCAGCCGTTTTCACATAGAAACATGACACAGAAAGTCCTCAGTCCAAAGGCGATAGCCTGGGCTGTTATTGCTCTCGCGACGGGCATACTCTACCGATCCATCTTGCACAACATCATCTTTACTACTATCGGCATCGGACGAGAGATCCAGTCATTCGCCGATTTCCCATGGACCTGCAACCACCTCCGTCATCCTCTACTTGAAGGCTGCGAAGATATATGGCTTGATGGCCTAGGGAGAAAGCTATATGCAACATGTGCCAGTCTTGACTCCCGACTGGGCTGGTCTCCGGGAGGCAACAAATACAACATCTCCGCGAGATCGCGCACGGATCACATCTCAGTGTTGAACATCGATCAGCCAGGACCTGATGGGCTATATGGCCTGCGTCAACTCAAAGTCGGCGGATACCAGGATGATTTGGATCTGGTCGGGCTTGATGTTCGCAGAATTGAAGGCCGGCTTCGATTTTGGTTGATCAATCATAGACCTCCGGTCGACTCGGCTACTGGAGAGTTCCTGGATGCTTATGCAATGGGTGCAAATTCTACTATTGAGATCTTTGACCTGGATGACGACACGGAGATCTTGGAGCATGTCAAGACCATCGCCAGTGACGCGATCATCTCGCCTAATAATCTTGCTGTGGAGGAAGACGGTCTGGCTTTTGTCATCACCAACGACCACAATACCAAAACTGGCATGTTTCGTGATCTCGAGATGCTGGTTGGTGGAGGTAGTCTGACATACTGCCGATCTGACACGGGGAGGTGTCATGTTGCTGCGAAAGATGGATTCTCCTTCGCGAATGGAATCGTATACGACAAGAATGGGCTGTATTATGTGGCTCACTCGGTGACTGGACATTTGACGGTGCACAAAATGGTCGATGGTCAATTACTCAAGATTGACGAGATCCATACTGGTTACCCCTTGGATAATCTGTCCCTTGATGCCGATGGAAACCTCATTGCTGCAGCGTTCCCTAATTCGATTGCGTTTATGAAGGCCATGAGTAACCCTTATAACGTGAATGTTCCTGCTACTGTTCTCGCGGTTAATAACATTGCCCGTCAGATCGAGGAACGCGGCGGGAAGAACAGCGAGGTCTTCAAGATGGTGGAGGATCGAGATGCTAAGAGCCTTCCCAGCTCGACGGTTGCGGTACACGATGTCAAGTCTCGCCGGCTGTTTCTGGCAGGTATCCTCTCGCCATTTGCTGCTATCTGTGAGCATGTCTAGATGTCTGGCCACTTTCAATAATTCTTAAATAGTCATGACCGATGGAAAACCCTGAACGTTTCCAAAGTTATGGGTGAAACTCAGATCATAAATAGAAATCGCATCTGCGATAATCAACGTTTTGGTACCTTGGCGCAAAGACACCTTGAAAAATCAGTTTGTAGTTGACACTTCACGATTTCACTGGCCTCGTGTGTTTTCCATCGAGAGATTCCGAGTTTCCCATTGAAGCTAGTGCCGCCAGCAACATTCCGCAATAGGACACCGCCCCGCCCTTTATTGCTGACATCGAGCAGGGGATCTGTTCGAAGCCCGTGCTGTGAGAATTGACTAGGAGAATGCATAGGATTCATTCGGGTATACGTCTTGACGTCCATGGATAGAGATCCTCGCCACTCCAATACCAGCAGAACAGGATGGCGCCTCTACGGGCTCAGGTGCAGCCATTCGCTGGCCGGGTTGGTGGAAATCAGGAATTAGTGATTGATCGCGATGATCCTCGCAGTGCCGAGGTCTTGGATAAGGCCCCTGATGCGGCCCCGCTGATGACAGCCCGGGAAGGGCTCAGCTTACAGGGATTTCTGAATGTGGACTACTGGAAATTCGGACTTGTCGAGGGAATAGGCAAGAGCAATCAGTGTGTGGAGGGCGCAAATATAGACTGACCCATGCCAGGTACTATGCTGAATGTGTTCGTAACATCATGGCTATCTATACGGCCGAATTCAGCGCCCGTCGTCCCAACTGGACCAGCGGGTGTTTTTGCAACGGTCAACTTTCTAGGTCCCATATTCGGCGGACTCGGCAACTGGTTGTTTTTGACGCTGTTTATTTTTACTTTTTCAAATGTCAGCGGCAGTCACTTAAACCCAACTATTACAATGGCGACGTTCTTCGCTCGTCTGATTTCATTCCCTCGAATGGTCATTTACATCTTCAGTCAAACGGCCGGCGGCACTTTGGCGGGTCTTATGCTGCGAGCGGGATACGGCACCAGTGACTTCACCGTTGGAGGATGCTTCGTCGACACAAACCTCGTGCCGGTAGACGAGGCCTTTCTTCTTGAATTTATTTTCTGCCTTCTTCTCATATTTCTTTCATTCGGTGTTGGTCTTGATCCTAGACAGGGTACGATATATGGACCTGCTTTATCGCCATTTTTGGTCGGGATGGTGCTTTTCGGTGTGAGCTGGAGCTCCGCATTTACGCGAGCTGGATTCGCCGGCGCGTGTGAGTTTCACCGAGGCCATTGGGCTTAGATCATTTTGGGGAAAAAAAAAGAAAAAGCTGATCTCTAGTCATGGTAGCTGTCAACCCTGCGCGCTGTTTTGGAGTCTATGTCGCGACTGCCTTTCCCAGTTATCACTGGATACATTGGGTAGGATTTAACCCGAAACTGGTTTCAAGATCCTACAGCTAACTCGATCGCTTTCAAGGTTGGACCAGTCGCTGCTTCAATTGGTCACGGTATTGTTTATTATGTTGTGCCTCCTTGGAGGATTCAAGAGCCATGAGTAGTACTTGCCATGAAATAGCGTATCTCGAATCAGTGAGACGTTTTGGCAGTAAAAGTTGCAATTCTCAAGTTTGCTTCAAGAATCAAAAGGAAATGAATTAGGATTGATAGAGTGGTTGTGACTTCGGCGATCGACCATTTTGCAGATTCAAAGCCTCACCAAGGTGAGGTCTAGATACATACGAATTGCGGTTTCCCATTCATCATTAAAGCCGCACTGAGAGCTAAATTATGAAAATACTTGAACATTAAACCGTAAGCCACCATCTGAAGCAGTGAATAGACGGTCGTCTAAACAGCAGCCGCAGTGATGTCTTGATCTCAAACTCTTTCCGCGTGTATGTTGTAGCTTCTTCGCTTATTCCTTGCCTTGCAGTAACAACTCCAACAGTTTCATCCTTAAAGATAGATATCGAATAATAATCCAGCAAATATAAAGAGACCAAGATCAAAACCAGCGCGTATGGAGGTTACGAGCCGCTTGGAACCATTGCTAGCATGTGGAGCGGAATGTGGATGCGAATGTGTCGCCGTCTGGTTTCCAGAGCACTTTTTCTCGGGGCAGAATCCGTAGTAGCAAGCAAAAGAACACAAGCCTGAGTAACTTTGATCGCCATCTTTGGGGCTTCCCTTTTCGTACGTGGGCTTTGGTCGTCTCTTCTGGGTCCCCATTGCAGTACAATAACAAGTGTCGATAGGACAGTATCCGTAACGACAAGTGAATTTGCAAAGATCTGTAAAGTTCGTGGAGCCTGCTCCATCGACACAGACCTGTTTCGAGAGTGGAAGCTTCGGGGCAACTGGACGGAAGGTAGTTCCTGAAGTCGCACTTCCCACCCATGCGTTGAAATTGGCGAAACCGTCAGTGCATTTATCAGTGATGGCCCGCCCATCGATATGTACTATCTCCTTTCCATCGCGCGAAATTGTGACAATAGTCGTTCCTAGATGGTCATGGTCGAAGTCGAAATTGCCGTGATAGATACCGATGCCACCATTTGGCTCGAACTCCCACAACGCATCCTCTTCGATGCCGTCAATGCTCACTTGGACCGAAGCGTTGGAACGTAGAAGCGCTGAGAAGAATATTTTGTCTTTGAAAGACCGATCTTTATTCTGCTCCTGGCTGTCAGGGCAAGCGCTGCCAGGTTGAGTCCGGTACCAAACGACTAGATTCTCCTCTGTCATCGATGCTGTTCCATTTTTGTACAAATCGATTACGTATGGAAGTTGAAGTCTCCAACCGTCGTGTGGCATATTTTGCGCGTAATTGTAAGGCGCTTTTCCCGTGGTGAAAACCCCGTATCCTTTCTCATTCAAGGGCCCAACGTAATGTGACTCTCCATAATCGTTCCAGGAGATAATCTCAACCCACTCAGGCTCGAGGAAAGCAACCTCCACCCACCTAGAATACCAGAGGTCATCGCCATGGTAGGCCCAATTTTTGTCATAGCCAGGCATATCGGCGTAAAACCACGGCGATGCTGGCATGAGATATGGCTTCCCGTTCAAGTTATCCAGATACGAGGCATCAATGTAGGTGTCCATTGGCTGACCATCCGTAGGCCAGGCTGCCCATGAGAACAACCCATCCACAACACCATCTGCCAGCCTAAGGGCGGCTTGTGCGCCTATTGATGACCAGTCGGGCACAAAGAAACATCCAGTCTTTTTCTTGATCTCGATCCAGTCATCGGCATGATCGGGCCCTTCAAAAGTCGAAACGAACGGCTTTCCGTTGTATTTGTAATGGGCGGAACTAGATGAATATTTCTGCAGGAACGCAATCACATCAGACTGTGGCCAAGATCCATTGCCCGCGTAGTCGAAGGAGAAGAACAGCTGAAATCCTAGAGACTCCGCCGCGTTGAAGACATTGGCAACTGCCTGCTCACTCGTGGAAACTCCATACGCCATGTTGAGCGCAAACGCATCAACATGGCTGTCTTTGGCAAGCGAGATGTCATTCCTAAAGTCGTCAACTTCATATTGCGCGGCGTTCGCCATCTATTCGTGCCCATATCAGTCAGATATTTCCATAGAAACATACTCGAATACCAAGTCTTACCATAAAATGAGCAAACACGGCCTTTGCAGAGGCACGAGAGGGCAAATACAAGATCTGAAGCAGAATGATCAGATGCCTCCGTATGGAGACTACTGTCAACTCCATGATGAATTTGGCAAAGATTGACCTTACGCCTGAGTGGAGAAGCCGATTCCTTGTTGCATGGGGAGAGAAATGAATCAAACAATTAGATTGCAGCAGAATCCGAAGTACAAATACCTCTACATCTTCGGTTGCACTATAGCCAAACCCTTTTTAGGTTACACCATTGCACTCTTCCGCCGGTCAGAACCCGTTGTATAGGCACAAAGACGGATTCCATGATTGATATTTACTAGGAACGTATATATGTGTTCGGCCTTGAAGGCTGTGCGCCCGTGAATCTACCTGCAGCGCTTGCTGCGTTAAATCAAGGCGTTGTTGAGAAACGGCCTCAAAAGTCGATCCCATTTTCCATTGTACCCTAGCCTTGCAACATTTTCACTGACTGATCTAGGCTCCAATGAAGTCCGGCGCGCCCGATCCGGTAGACTGGGATCTTTATGACATCGAGTATGGAACGAGCCGGGATCGTAGTGGCTTTACTTGTCGACAGTAGTGACGAGAAGAAGACGTTACACTTGCTCGCACCGTATAGGTGCACGGATAGCTCTTCGCCGTTTTTTTCGGATCTCCGGACTGCATTTGTGCCACTCATGCACTTGCACGATTTCTGGTGATCTGGCAGTGCAGGTGGAAGATTGCATTGCAGGCCCGGACAGGCCAGAGTCTTACCTTACTGTGGATATCTTGAGCGCTGTGTCTCTTTAGATTATTACGAGCCCCAATGATCCTCACGCCTCTGGCACTTTTCCCAAAATTTCACATCACTACACTGCATGTTGCAACCAAATCAAGTTTTTTTGCATCTATGGCAAAATCCCGGTTTCCCATCCTGATTCATGCTTTGATCATTGGATGATTTGATTTCCCATGCCGGATCTTTGCCTAATAAACATGACTTCAGCACACGCCCTATCTCAAGAATGCAAGATGGCGCAAGGTGGATCGCTCCTATCGTGATTCAGGAGGAACACGATAGTCTTTTGTAGTCCTGGGCTATAACCTACATGGCTTGGAAACCTCGACCATCATACTTTTACGTCCTCTATTCGCTCTCTCAGATGTCATGGTCTCCTGCTATTAACCGAGTCCATCGTTTATCCGCCATCCATATCGCCAATACCTCTAGATCTAGGGACTTTTCGTCCAGGTTTGAAGCAGTGACGTATCTGAATAGACACACTAACTTTTAGTGCATCGTCAAACTCAACACCTTCCTGAATGAGCCCGCGAGTTCAGGTGGCTATATGTGGGTGGGAAAACAAATTAGGGACATAGTTATGAGCGAAGGCGTCCAAAACTCTATCTTTCAGAAACAAAATATTCTGCGACTGCAACCTGGTGACTCGGGATTGCGTTCCGCAGTCCATAGAACGGTCAAGGGTTGAGAGGATGCGATCCCGACGCTGATGTTGACGAAAGCTGATCGTGAATATTGACTAGCATACCATAAGTAGCAAGTATTGCGCTTCGGCTTTTCTTACGTTCATGACTCGGACTTGTTAAGTATCTGGAGTGAAACCACCTAAAACAGAGGCGCTCCACAGTGCGTGCCGTTGACAGTGAACTGATTTATCGAGACTGTACATCCGCCGCACCCATGTAATATGTCCACAGCACCTGGGAACATAGCTGAAAAGTTTAGTTGGTGAATCCTCTCCTTTTGGTGCTCCTGACTGGATCAATAAAAAAAGAAAAGATGTCTGAAATAGGGGATTGAAGGGTGGACCTTTGCAAAAGCAAGCTTTTTCTCACAAACTCCGCCTCGCTTCCCCTTCACAATTCATAGACAGGTAAAATTCCAATGCAAGTAGACGAACACATCAAGTCAACGTCATAGGATCAATGGCGTTAGCTGGCGTGGTGGGTACTTTGGATAGCTTATGCGGCTAATGACCCCCTTTTACCATCGATGGGGGCTCACTGGGAAAGGATCTGCCTGGGGACTTTTCCTCAACGTGCTACCTGGAAGCCATGTGGAGATGCGACCAAAGCGGGAAGATAACCACCCGCCAATTATGCTTGGGGAGGGGGGGAAGCTTAAACGACAATGACGGGGAAGCTGACGTTATTGTGTCTGGAGATGCTGTTAGACCCGGATGACAATGTGCGTTGAGGTTAAGAAGACTACCACGCGAGTTCTTAATGTTTTTTCCGAGCTAGGACTGATTTTGGGAACTGCCAAGCTCAGCCATAGGGGAATTCCCGGGTAGTGGCCGGAGCCACAGTGGGGGCAATGAAATAGTAAACCTCTCCTTGGCGACGAGAATGCAGTTCGTCAAAGTTCGCGCAGAACATCCTGAGAGATCCAGGGTCAATTGCATAGTGATGTCATAAGACGCGCCACACACCGCACCATGAATTCAACGCTGTGCACATACGTGCATTGTGATCCATAAAAAGGCCCTGAGGGCGATCTCGGATAGGACGGAAGCCTGGGAATTCGCGTAGAGGGGGCTCCATAGAAAAACCTGTCGCTCGACGAACGACAGTGACCGGGCCCGTTAGAGGAAGGAACAAATTCGTCGGTCGGGTAGGCCCACGGTTCAATCAGTGGCAAGCATTGACTTGACAGTGGGTCAGGACAGGAACTAGGCGGCACCCTCCAAAATCGCATTGAAAAGAGATTGGCTCCCGAAATGAAGCTTGGGGGACGCCAAACAGAAGATCAGCGATGATCAAGAGGGATCCTGCGTAGTATCCACTCTGTGTTGAGATTGAACGACGCCCCTGGAGGAACAATTCTGGACACTTAATTCCCCGGTTGTGCCTTCACTTGCGCTTCGACTCTATTTTACCTCCTCGACAGGTCACTAGGGGCTGGGCTATTATTGATTTCCGGGTCCATTCGCCTCGATACTGACATGCATGTTGATTAGTCCAATGGATTGTGCTGTCATCGCCGTTTCTTCCTGCTGACTTAATGTAGACAACCATAATCTGGATTTTGGCCAGTGGTAATCATGGACGGAGAAGAAAATCCTCGACGCCCTCGGGCCGTGGTAAGTGCAGACACTGATGCAGCTCAGAGGGGAAAAGAAACGGCATCTAATGTATTGGAACCACTGCTATAGTCCGGGGCTCGGAGCGAAAGGGAACGGTCGGGACGCGAACGATCATCGACAAATCCTAGGTCTCCTGTCTCTCCTGTCTCACCGACGAGGTCTCGAGGACTTTCGATCGATGTCCCAATCTCGCCCACAAGAAGAGTTCCAACGGTCGAGGAAGGTGTGGAAGCCGAAGGATTGCGACGCCGCAGCTCAGCGGCATCTCGACGAAGCGGCATGAGCAGTCTGAATCCCCGAACGACGCTTGCTCAGAGAACGACCGGCAAATTTACTATGGCTGGTCCAGAGGATACGCCCCAATATAAACTGGCTCAAGAGCCTTTTGTGGCGCCTGGATACAGTGATCTCAACCCATCATACGAACAGGCAAGCAATGCGAAGCCAGTTTGGTCTCTGGCTAAGCCTCTGCCGCGGGTGGTGCGGTCAGGGATGGTGCCAACCAAGGAGGAACTGCTTGAGGCTCGCCAGAAGGCAGAGATGCCGGCCGAAAACTCGCAAAAGCTGGGACTGGACGTTGATCCCAACGATCTGGAGCTGGGGAAAATCGAGAAGACTGCGGATCCTCGGAAGATGGCGGCACAGGTGGAGGATGCACGTCTGCAGCGTGAGCAGAATTTCTTGAACAAGCTCTTAAACGGTGAGACTGCCTCTCAGAGACCCGGATCGCGTGTGTCTCGCTCTTCTTCCATACGCCAGAGACGCACGTCGCAATGGAACAGCCCAGGGCTGGATCAGCTTTCTACAGTCGAAGAAGCTGGATCCCAAGCAAGTGGAGATGACTATGAAGGTGCCGCCCGGCCGGCTGGCTACTTCAGTAACGATCCTCTGGGTCCTGTGCCTGAGGAGCCTGAGCAATTTGAAGACGAGGGTAAATTTGAATTCCCCTCCCTCGACGAAGCAACTTGTCCTGAAGATCTTCACCCACTGGTCCAGGAACTCGTCGAGGACGAAGTGCACAACAATCACACCACTTGGTCCGTCATTCGTACCCATCACCGCGAAGCCCTCGCCGAGGCCCTGGCCGTGTTCGTTCAGCTTACCATCGGCTTCTGCGCGGATTTGTCTGTGACCATCGCTGATGCGGGTAACCCGAACACAACCGACTGGGCCTGGGGATTCGCCACCATGATTGGTATCTACATTTCTGGTGGTATATCTGGTGCTCATTTGAATCCTGCTGTGACCACCATGTTGTGGTTTTACCGTGGATTCCCCAAGCGTTTGATGCCGGAGTATTTCGCAGCTCAATTCATCGCCGCCTTCTGTGCTGCTCTTGTCGCCTACGGTATCTACTACGATTCCATCCAGCACTACCTCGCTACCAACACTACCACTGGAATTGTCACTAGTTTTGTGACTAGCCAACGTGAAACCTGGATTAATCCCCGGACAGCATTCTTTAACGAGTTACTTGGCTCTGCGTTGTTGTCTGTTGTGATTCTAGCTCTCGGTGATGATCAGAATGCCCCGCCCGGCGCTGGCATGAACTCCTTCATCATCGGTCTTATCATTACCTGTCTCAGTATTTCATTTGCCTACCAGACCGGCGCTGCCTTTAACCCCAGCCGTGACTTTGGTCCACGTCTCGCCTTGCTCGCCCTGGGCTATAGCGGCGAGCTGTTCCGGAATGCTTATTGGTTCTATGGGCCATGGGTTGGTGCGACCGCTGGTTGGTTTGCTGGCGCCTTCCTGTACGATTTCTTCATCTTCACCGGCGGTGAATCGCCTGTCAACTACCCCTGGGAGCGAACTGAGCGTGCGATGAGGAAGAGTGGCATGAAGTGGAAGAGACGGTTGCGCATTCACAAAAAGAAGAAAGAGGAGAAGAAAGAGGACACTACGTGAACATACCATTGCATAGTGTATATACCCCACAAACCATCTCATGTATCTGACCTGAGGTGGCTAATGGTGGGATTGACTTTCTATATCCTTGTGACCAATACGGCCCATTTGGATATATGAGCGCAATATGTACTTATCTCATTGACAACATGTTTTCTATCTTGCATCCTGATCGGCGGCGTATTGCGCTTGCGGCCGAAACAAAACGAATACACATTTCTGGCCTCCGAATTGGCATGAGAACACTCGTGATTCAAGGACATATCCAGTCGTCCTGCTAATGCGCCTATAGCCGAATGCATAATTGCCTAATGAGGAATTACCCATCGACTTGACTTGAGGGATCACCTGGTATGGGTTTCAATCAGGGTCCCAAGGTCTCCGCTGCTGATGACAAGCTAAAATGTTCTTTTCTCGCCGTTCGAAGCCATTGTGAGGGGTCAGAAAGGGTCTCTCACGCACGTCCCCACCTGGGCGTCGTGCGGAGCAACTTTGAGGTTCCCGTTTTGGGGCAAGGTCCGAAGCCAAACCCTAAACATTCGTCAAAAGCTACACTTTCATATCAAGAAGGCAGATTTTCCTCACAATCTGGGGGTCACCCGATCGATTATACCTCGGCAGGACCCGAACTATGAGAATCCCATTCCTTTGGAGACCAATCGAAGTATGCCGTCGGCCCAGACACCAGATTCTAACATTAGGACAATTTGGAACATGGCTGGAAGATGAGTCTGCCCAGTTTACAGCAGAGCAAGCCAAGCACCGGCGGGGAGACCTCCGTTGCAGAATGGTCTCGAGTCCGAGGTTCACTCCATTGGTGTGTCGAATTGGCTCTGGAGGTATAAAGAGGCCATATAGAATCCGTTCTCTATAAACTTCAGAGCAGCTTTCCGCCAGCAAACATCTCAGACACAGTCGTGCAGCTCCAACTGCAACATGAATCTTCGTCTCTTGACCCTCGCCCTGGCTGGTGCTGTCGCTGCTAGCCCTGTGGATCTCCAGCAACGCCAGCGTACGCGGACTTCATACTCCAGGATCGCCGAAGACAATTAGCTGATATTGTATCTTTCTTGAAACCTCTAGTTAGCTCGGGCAATGATCTTCGCACAGGACCTTGCAAGGATATTACCTTCATTTTCGCTCGTGGCTCCACCGAAATTGGACTCCTAGGTGAACTTGTCGGACCTGAGGTCTGCTCTGCTCTCCAGGCTGCCAAACCCGGAAAAGTCGCTTGCCAGGGTGTCGGACCTGCGTACACCGCCGACCTGGCATCTAACTTCTTGCCTGCCAACACCTCCCCGGCTGCCATCGCGGAAGCCGAGGGCCTCTTTGAACTGGCTGCGACGAAGTGTCCCAATACCCAGATTGTGGCTGGCGGATACAGGTTTGTCTTAGATCTGCTCAAGATTGCCAAAGAACGCAACGCTGACGGACCCGAATCTATCTAGTCAGGGTACTGCTGTCATGGATGGCTCTATCCAGAAGCTCTCCGCCTCGGTCATGGCGAAAGTCAAGGCTGTCGCTCTCTTTGGCTTTACTCGCAATTACCAGGACCATGGTTCCATTCCCAACTACCCTGCAGCCCGGACCAAGGTCTACTGTGCTGTGGGTGATCTGGTCTGCGATGACACCTTGATCATTACAGCAGCTCACTTTACCTACGGGCTCGATGCGGTTTCCGCTGCTCAGTTCCTGTTGAGCAAGGTGTCTTCCTAGGTCATCTGTCTGGTCTTGTTCAATTCTTCATGGCTTGGATGTTGGAAGAGGGTGCCGGTTACCCTATGACACCAGCCATTCAGCAGGATCTGAGTATAGGGTTCACGACGTATGAGGACGTCGATTGCTTTGTTGGCATTGCAGGGTTTGCCTGTTTGCTTTTCAATCTTTGATATGCTCGTTTGAATTATGGCCTTTTGATATAACCCTGCGAGATACTCAATACTATTTTCCAAGTAGTGAAATATCCCGTTCAAGCTTCTTTGAAATGTTTGTTTACCAATACTAGTATTGATACGGATCACCTGTACTTGGGCTCTACCACTCAAGTCTTTTCTCGCTTTATATACACACTGATTTAATCTTGATCTAATGGCACTCAAGCTGATCAGATCACAGCTTGGCTGCCCCGGTCTCAATCTGTGTCCACCCCTGGTCATCTAACCTCTGGTACGTCGTACCATCCAACCAGTACATCGAGTCACCCTCTCCACCCTTCCGGGGATCCCAGCTTTTCTTCACCAAGTCACCCTTTGCTTGCTTGAAGGTGACTCCGGTGGCAACCCTGTCATAGATGAAATTAGATCATGTTGTCATTCCTGCAACAAGCAGATACTCACTTTTCAGTGATTCGAACCAGACGCGGGAGAGCATAAGAGGGAACACCTCTCTTCTTCAGCTCCTTGTATAGATTTGACATCAGGCGGAGTTCGGCTGCTGGAGAATGCTCTTCTAGAGTAATGCCAGCTGCACCAGCTTGCCCATCATAGCTGCGATCAATTAGCACTTCAGTCACCCTTCAAGGGAAGAGAAGAGGGAACTAACCTAGAAAGCTTCACACCGTACACTACAGCATCATGAACACCCTCAATCCGGCAAATATGATCACGAATCTCCCCAGCGCTAACATTTTCGCCCTTCCAGCGGAAAGTGTCGCCAACGCGATCACGGAAACCAATCCATCCAGAATGATCCTGAAGCACAAGATCGCCCGTCCGCTGGAAAACGTCTCCTTTTTCGAAAACGTCACGAAGTAATTTTGACTCAGTAGCCTCTTCATTGTGCAGGTACTCCGTCAGTAGGCCCCGGTCGCGAACCCGACCAATGGCTTCACCTTCCTCGCCCAAGCTAGCACGAATGCAGAATCCCGTCTTCGGATCACGGTAAGGCATCTCAGTCTCAGTATCATATTTGACAATGAATGTATCGTCCTCCAGAAGCCGGCGGATCGGACCGGAGAATCCCACCTTGCCAACGCCCCAAGCGCCCACTCCATGATTATCGAATTTAGCCAAACCTTCTGTAGAGCGATAGAACTCGCGCACCTCTGGTACGTTGAATCGTTGACGGAACCGTTCCCAGATCTCGCCTCGCAGACCGTTACCCGATGCGACGATGCAGTTGTGGTTGCGGTCGTAGGGAGAAGGGGGAGTGGCCACGAGGTACCGGCACAATTCACCGATGTATAGAATGCGGGTTGCTCGCGAGTCATGGACATCTTTCCAGAATTGCGAGGCTGAGAATTTGCGTCGCAGGCAGAGGGTTCCTGCATTTCCGACGGAGTAGCAGCATCCAGTGAAGAATGCTGTGCCGTGGAAGAGGGAAGAGATGAATATGTTCGCATGGGGTAATATTTCGACTTGTTGTTCACGTCTGATGACAGCGGTGTGGAAGTGATCAAAGCCAACATATTTCGTACGGCGCATGCTTTTGGTTTTCCGGTAGTTCCTGATGTGTAGATCAAGGCTGTAAGATCCTTTGGACTACGTTTAGCTGCTTGTAATCCAGACGGAGAGAATTGTTGAAGGGTATCGAAGGTGATAAGGTCCGTCGCACCCGTTTCAGTGCCATCGAATGAAGAAAGATTAAATGTCGAGTGGGGCAGGTCGGCGCAAACATGTTGACACACATCAGGGGTAGAGATGATTGATTTTGAGCCGGAGACATCAAGACAGTGAACAAAGGTGTCATCTGAAAGACTGTTAGATCCGTTGGGCAAACTTCGAGAACAGATAGCTGGCTTACCCCGCAAATTGGTGTTGATCATAGCGGCCACCGCACCCAGTTTCGAGAGCGCGTAGAGCACGATCACCATTTCTGGTGAGTTGGTCGTGTAAACGCCGACCATGTCGCCAGACTTTACTCCTCGGCTGTGCAGCAGAGCTGCAAATCGGTCGGCCACTACCAACTGCGAATAAGTCACTGGTAAAGTGTAACTAGCGAAAAGAACACTCACATTCTTTCAATTGAGTATAAGACCAGGTCTTCTGTTCAAACCAGACCGCATCCGTAGCTCCCTGTCCTTCGACCTCCACAACCTGCTCAAGCAATTTGTAGATTGTCGCCGACTCGCCGAGCTGGCCAATGCGCTCGGCCAAGCGCTTACCAAAGGCCCTATCATTGAAAATAGTAGACAGATCTGTCGAAATCGAGAGCTTGGCGTTCAAATAGGCACCTGCAGCGACCGAGATAGCAGAAGCCACAGCCACGGCGGGCACGCCAGCTTCAGCGAAGAATTCCATTGCGTACGTGGTGGTCCAAGATCATTCGAACACGGAAGGGAAGACGCGACAGTTTGCGTGTTATAAGAGCTACCCCGGACCGATAAGGTCGAAACGGAAGCTAGCCAGCCTCAATCTGCCGTGCAATACCAGGCAACACGGTACCCAGCAGCGGCACCGAGGCGCCTTACGAGGTTCAATACGGGAATACCCCGTATCTGTCCCGACACCCGGCTCACACCCCACGCTTTAGCCGTGGTCTCACCCCGGTTTTGATGCAGACGCCCCGGAAACATACCGGTCAGAGTCAAAATATAATGTTTTATGTGCCCTAAAGATGCTGGAAGACCTACTTTTGTGTTGATTGATATCATGCAAAATTGTCGACAATAGTAACAAGTTTACTCACCCCCACCGACATCGGGTTAGTAGCATTCAATACCGTCAATCAGCATGGGGTATGGGTAACATGAGGTGTCCGTAATTTACATCGAAGCCACCAACCACAGGCCGTCTTTACAAGCCGAGGACTAGAAAATTACGGTATCTTACGAATTGCCCGCCGAGAGCAACGGCACTTCTGTCGGTTCGACTTGACCGTGCCCGGCTCGGTGTTTATGTTGAGGCTAGGCCCGATACATTCTAACCTGGAGAACCCCTAGGCTTGAAAAATAGCCGCGGCTCGTCGGTCTCCCCGCGTTCGGTCATTAGAAAAGAAACCCGCGCCGCAATCTTGACTCGTTTCCTGAAAAAACCCTCCCATCTCATAACTACCATGTCTTCACCACAGCAGCGATTGGCGTCGGTCGCAAACCAGTTGTCGCCTTCGGGCACTTCTGCAGCTAAGCAGAAAATCCTCTCCAAGAACCCCGATGATGTGGTACGTATCTACTTCGAGCTATGGATGATCGGTTCTAATTAACAGATTTACAGGTGATCACCTATCTTGCGCGCACGCCGCTCACCAAGGCCCGCAAGGGTGGATTCAAGGATACAACCGTCGACAACCTTCTGATATCCCTTCTCACTGTGAGTTCATCCCGATCGAGGTACAAATTTCAAAATGCTGAACATGCCCAGACCGTGCGGGAGAAGTCCAAGATTGACCCCAACCTCGTCGAAGATGTCTGCGTCGGCAACTGCCTCGCTCAGGGCGCCGCATATATCGCCCGCTCCTCCGTTCTCGCTGCTGGATTCCCCGTGACAACCGCCGCATCTATTACTAACCGGTTTTGCTCCTCCGGCCTGCTGGCTGTGCAAAACATCGCGAATCAAATCATCGCCGGATCAATCGATGTCGGTATCGCGGTTGGCGCGGAGAGCATGAGCTCCAATGCCGACGGCGGAGCTCCTGAGATGGCGGAGCGTATTAACAACCACCCGATCGCGTCGCAGAACTACTGGCCCATGGGTCGGACGTCGGAGAATGTGGCGGAGCAATTCAATATCTCACGCGAGCAGCACGACAAGTTTGCCGCGGGTAGTTACCAAAAGGCGGAGCGCGCGCAAAAGGCGGGTTGGTTCGAGGATGAGATCGTTCCTATCAAGACTCAGATCAAGGATCCTAAGACTGGGGAGGTCAAGGATATCGTGGTTGATCGCGATGATGGCATTCGCTATGGTACCACCGCAGAGGGACTGGGCAAGATTCGTTCTGCTTTCCCTCAGTGGTCGCCCAGCGCCACTACTGGTGGAAATGCCAGCCAGATCACCGACGGTGCGGCTGCGCTTGTTCTGATGAAGCGGTCGAAGGCCCAGGCGCTCGGGCAGCCCATTGTTGGAAAGTTCTGCGGGGCGACTGTTGCTGGACTCGAGCCTAGAATCATGGGTATTGGCCCCTCTCTGGCGATTCCCAAGATCTTGAACAAATTCGGCTTGAACAAGGATGAGATTGATATCTTTGAGATCAACGAGGCATTTGCCTCTATGGTGAGTCTTAGCTCATTCTTTTTAAGGGGTCTCTCCGTATCTGACAGCTTTCACTAGGGTGTTTACTGTGTCAACAAACTGGGCTTGGACGAGGCCAAGGTCAATCCTCGTGGAGGTGCTATGTAAGTTCTTAATTTAGTTCTCCGGGGATATCTAATAGGGGCTAATCTGGGCAGTGCTTTTGGTCACCCGCTGGGTGCTACTGGAGCCCGACAGGTGGTCACTGCTTTGGCAGAGTTGCGTCGCCAAGACAAGCGCGTTGCCGTGACTTCGATGTGTGTGGGAACTGTATGTCTCTCTCTCTCTCCCTGCGTGCTTACTTCACATCACTAATTTTATGGCTTACAGGGCATGGGTATGGCCGGTATCTTCGTCTCTGAGCATTAGATTCCCTAATGATGATCCTAGCAATCTTGTTCTGGTACATAATTCTATATTCAGTCACAATGGTATAAATAGCAATCGTCCATCCCGCAATTCTCAGTCCACCCCTTACTATTGTGCATAGCGTGCGGGACAACTGGGGCTCGGCCGACGGCACTACTGTAGGCCTCGACCTTGACTTCGCCACACTGAGAATTCGAGAATTGGTGCCTTGACCATAAGGTGTCCATGTGTCAGCGCGCGGCCATCTCCCCAATCGGGTAAGCGCGATCAGCCACAAAATTGTGCGCAGGATGATCCCCATCCACACTGCAAATGACGCATCACAGCGCCAGGTCTCTCCGCCGAACACTCACGATCAATCCCCAAGGAGTCTACCCCTGAGGGTCTTGGTCATAGAGACACATCGTATCCTGCATCGCAATGACTTTTCCTATGCCCGGGTGGACAACTATAACCGCCATGCTGGTGCCGAGGTAGCCGGGCCCGGCTCTTGGCTCTGTCTCAGGAGAATTTAAACCTGCTTAGCCAGGGCCCAAAGTCAGTAAGGGATATCAACCAAGGGTCCCAAGAACCGGAGTTCACAACGGAAGGGACATGGAAGTCCGAGAAGGATGCGGTTCCACGGGATGCACACATTGGAACCCTTGAGCGAAATGGACATTGGGTGGAAACATGGGGATGGCGAATGGCACATCAGGCTCCGATGAAAGTCCAGGAGAAGAACTCCACTACGAGAGAATCATTGGATGCCCACTTATTTTTGGAATGACCCTCCCAATCGATTTGAGCCATCGAGAGACAAGCAAACGTGTCCCGGTCCACTCTGAGTTCCACTTTGTGTCTCCGGTGGCGTTGTCTGAAACTCAGGTCCGCGGACCTGGATTTTATTTCTCAATACATAGCATTTGTTCTCTTCCTCTCCTCACTTTCGCACACACACACTCTCTCTCTCTCTTTCTTCATCTTCTTTGTCACCTTCCTGTCACTCATTCGACTTTTTTCATTACATATCATACTGATATACAGTGTTTTTTTTTATTCACGCAATGTTCTCCAAGCAGGCTGTCGCTCTCGCTCTGGCCGTGGCCACCGCTGAGGCCGCCTACCAGGGTTTCAACTACGGCTCTACCAACGTCGACGGTAGCTCCAAGTACGAGGCTGACTTCAAGACCGAGTTCCAGACCGCCAAGAACCTCGTTGGCACCGACAATGGCTTCACCAGTGCCCGTCTTTACACTATGATTCAGGGTGGTACCACTGCCGACCCCATTCAGGCTATTCCCGCCGCCATTGCCGAGGACACTTCCCTTCTCCTCGGTCTCTGGGCCTCCGGCGGCAATATGGCCAACGAGATCACTGCCCTCAAGGCTGCTATCAGCGCGTACGGCTCGTCTTTCGGCGACAAGGTCGTTGGTATCTCCGTTGGCAGTGAGGATATGTACCGCAACTCTGTCACTGGCTCCAAGTCCAACGCTGGTCCCGGTCTTGAGCCTGAAGTCCTCGTCGAGTACATCAAGGAGGTCCGCGCTGCCATTGCGGGCACCAGCCTGAGCGGTGCCTCCATCGGTCACGTCGACACCTGGGATGCCTGGACCAACAGCTCCAACGCCGCTGTCGTTGACGCTCTCGACTGGCTTGGCTTCGATGGCTACCCCTTCTACCAGCTCACCGACTCCAACAGCATCGACAATGCCAAGGCTTTGTTCGATGAGTCCGTCGCCAGGACTCAGGCGATCGCTAACGGCAAGGAGGTCTGGATTACCGAGACCGGCTGGCCCGTCAGCGGTCCCTCTGAGAATGAGGCTGTTGCTTCCATTGCCAACGCCCAGCAGTACTGGGACCAGGTTGCCTGTCCCCTTCTCGGCCAGACCAACACCTGGTGGTACTTGCTCGCCGATGCCGGTGCCTCCACCAGCTTCGGTGTCTCCTCCAGCACCTCCGACACCACCCCTCTGTACAACCTCCGCTGCAACACCACCTCTAGCACCAGCTCCAGCTCTGCTGCTGCCTCCTCCGCCACCGGTTCTTCCTCTGGCTCTGCCGCTGGCAGCAGCACCGGTTCTTCCTCTGGCTCTGTGATGGGCGGCAGCACCGGTTCTTCCTCTGGCTCTGCCGCTGGCAGCAGCACCGGTTCTTCCTCTGGCCCTGCCGCTGGCAGCAGCACAGGTTCTTCCTCTGGCCCTGCCGCTGGCAGCAGCACCGGTTCTTCCTCTGGCTCTGCCGCTGGCAGCAGCACCGGTTCTTCCTCTGGCTCTGCCGCTGGCAGCAGCACCGGTTCTTCCTCTGGCTCTGCTATGGGCGGCAGCACCGGTTCTTCCTCTGGCTCTGCCATGGGCAGCAGCACCTCCGGCGGTATCATCGCCGCTCACAACGGCACCCGCCCTGTTGGCTTCCACTCCACTGTCTCTTCCACCCCTCTCGCTTCTGCCACCAAGGCCGCTAGCACCTCTGGCTCTTCCTCCGGTTCGGGCTCTTCTGCTTCCGGCAGCTCCTTCGGCGCTGGCTCCAACTTCGGTACCTCCAGCTCTGCCTCCGCTTCTTCTTCCCCTGTGTTCAACTCTGCCACCCGCTCCACCGGCTCTGCCTTCGGCGCCATTGTCGCCGCCATTTTCCTCGGCATTGCTGTCTAAAAGCACTACTTTTGATGTGTATGCGGTGTGATGGACCAGATTTCTGTGAAACCTTTTCGGTGCCGGGTTGAGCGCTTTATTGTGGATATTCTTTTTCTTCCTCTCGTTTATTGTACATTTTAGAAATAAACTTGACTCGGCGTGATCTTGGGGTTTCGCAATACATTGTTACATAAGCTTTTGTAAGATAATGGGAGGTCTATCTATGATGTTTGTTCTCTAAAAAACTTTTCCCTTCACTTGTAGTAAGTCCATATCTCTACGCTGAGAGTCAGTAATACGAGATTCGTAAAGAATCAATGTCAGCTACGTATCTTCCGTTTCCATTGCCACCAGCTCAGAGGTTCTGGTCCAGTCCAAGCAATCGCCATCCATTTCTGATATTGTCACGGCTTATATCATCGAATGGTTGAGGCACTGAGTATTAGAATCTTAATTATCATAACATGAGACCACCGAGTCATATTTATTCAACCTTAGGAAGTAGATCCAAGAAAAGGCATGAAAAACACAATCTAGCAGGAGGCATCAAGAAGGAACAGCTTTCAATCTGATTCCTTCCGCCGAACTCTCCAACCAAACCTCCATTTTCCTCGACGTATCCTCCATACTCCTAAGCGTCGGACTCGTCTTCAACGGCCCGGAACTATCAACCGATAGACCCGAGAACAACAAAGCCAGCGGACTGGATTTCCATATATATTGATTTCTCGTATGAACCACAGTGATAGCCAAAAACACCAAGCTGAGCGTGACCAGCGCACTAGGAAGAATCAACTATTCCCACCGCACATGGTTGGATGATTGCGCGGTCCATGTTGTTCCATTCACTGACGCCGAGCAGACTTTTGATCGCGCGTTCAGTGTTAATGAGGATGCCATGGATTCGAACATTGTTGAGATATCGGTGAGGTTTCCATAAGTGCCGTAGATTGCCTGTGCGGTGCTGGGTGTCCAGCTTGGTCTGTTGCTCATGAAAAGGGTGCCTGTTCCTTTCATTAGAGGGGATAATGAAGTTTACATGGCTAGGCGGCTGAGCCAGTTCACGTTGTAGACGTAGTCTTGTGGGTTTTCGTATGGTTGTTCGTAGTGGCTTCCGTTGAAGAAGCATGTCTCTGGCGTGATGGCGAAGTCTTTTGTTGTGTCGGTCCATGATGTTGAAGTGTTGGAGGAAGTTGAAATTGCGGTTCTGGTTTCGGAGAATACGCCTTCCGTGACTTTTGCTTTGTGGGTAGTGACGCAAAAATAAAGAGCGCATTCTGTCGCGCTGATTTGGACTGCTGGTGGGACGCCGTACCCTGGAGAGGTGATCGCGGTGAAGTTCAGAATCAGTGGTACACCGCTGGTGTTGAGTTTCAGGATATCAATATTATAGGTGGCATTCATCATGTACATCATGTTTTCCGCGGTGGTGAAAGATAATCCGTTGGGCAATTGATAGTTGTATGTACTTAGGGTTGAGCCAAGTGATGTTTTGTTGAGATGGAGGGAGTTGGTGATGTTGGCACACTGGCTGCAGAATCCGAGAGATTGGTATGTGGGAAACGTGCAATTCCCGGTTGGACAACTTGCCAGGATGTCATTGCTGTTTGGGGCTTGGGTTTGAAAGAGGCCGGAGTATATCGCGCCATTCGTGCTGAGTGGTACTTCGTTCATTCCAGGACCAGCACCCTCGCCGTAGTCAGTATACAAGCTGGCGTTACAGACCTGGATAGACGATCGACCTGCATCATGGATTGACCTCGTATTGATACCGATTACTTGTTGCACGAATGGATCGCATGCAGCAGCTAGCACAAGGATGAAACGTCCGAAAGTCACCAAGTGGCTAATACCTGTCAGTATAGGAACATTTGTCTGGATGCTCATGGCAAACTTACCGAGGCAGAAAGCGAGTAAGTACGATCAAAGCTCCCATGGCTCCGCGGCTGGCGGCATCGAGAAGTGCAAGGTCACTAAGCTTGTTTCCACCTCGAAACCAGGACCATTTGAGCTGCGCCAGAGACTCGGTCAAAACGAATGCCATGGTTGCTTTCATGACAGTGCTAAGCACCGAGACGAGGGTGTTGAGTGTTATGCCATGAGGCCAGTCAGGCATAGGCTTCCCGTCGAAGTTGAAGAGTACTGCGACAATAGCGACCAAGAACACAATAGACGTGAGACACGCAAGAATTCCCAGGGTCCAGCTTGCACCCTAGCATCCCTGAGTCTGAGACTGCAGAAACACCTGTTCTGCCGAGGACAGTGGCCGATGTCGCGTTCCCTCAGCCTCGGGCGCATCATCGAGTCTCACATAGGATAGCCGGGAGTCATCTTTGGCTGGCTTCATTCTCAATCATAGTCCCAGGGCCAGGAGATAGGCTGCCTTGAGCTGAAGAAGGCCAAGGGAACATTCTGAGAAGGAAAAAAAACTTAGCTTGGGGTAACATTAAGTGAATCGCCAACAAATTTTCCCCATATGGCCGATGAGTGAAACTAGGGCGGAATCGCAGAGAATTAGCGCGATGATTTTGAGGTTTGGGCAAATCCATTCCTCCTGGAAGTTAGCGTCGGAAGCTTTACTTGGTAAAGACCCACGTATGTGACAAGAAACACCTATCAACTTGGACGTTTAGGGGAGCTGGTGGGTCGGTGATCCATCGGTGATCAGAGACATTCTTGGATGCCGAAATAATTGGTCTCTTAATCTTCAGCTAGTTGAATGCGCCTTCAGATTGCGCGCCCGAATGGCACAGTCTATGTACCGTCCAGTTAGCGCTAGAAGCTTCATTTGATAATATGATAGGATCCTAGTAGTCAAAGGCAATTTTCTCCTCAATTTTCTTTTTAAGCTCAATCTATCTGCCAATACAATATGCGACTACGTGTCCGTCACTCCTTCGAGGGATAGAAGAAGGGAACGTAGGAATGGCCGCGTGGGGTATATTGTAACAGTGAGACAGAAGGGGAAGATAATGATATGCCACAGAGATCTCAGAGAAGGTGATGCTTGCGGGCTGAGCGATTGAGGCCTTTGCAACCTGTAGATTCATATTTGCCATTCCTTTGCGTGGATCAATATCTCACTTGAAATAACAGGAGTTAGTTGGGAGCAATAAAATTGACAAGAAGACCCAGCTGGATCGACAACATAACCTCTGTGGAAATAAACACCGATAAAGACAAATGTAATGACAATGGTACCAATTCTTTCCTTACGCAAAAGATGGGCAGAATGTGCGAAGATAGGTGCCTGTCTCCAGCCCCCAGCCATCCTCATAATAATTGGTGCATAGCATGTAACATTCAGGTTCAGTCAAAAGGAGTGAACGGTGGTGAACAGGGCAAAACAGATGAAAGAGAAAATTCAGAACAACTAGGATTTACTAGGAATGAGCAGAGTTCTCCGCTTTCCAACCGGCAAGATATTGACCGACTCACTCTTCGTCGTTATTAGTGGACTCAATTCTAAGGATTGCGACGGATAGATGAAGTATTTACCCTTCGAATTCATCTTGTTTCCTGGAATGAAAAAAAGTTTAATCCATCTTAGTTTATGAGACACGGAAAGATGACTGAATGAAAGCAAGTGCTGGCAATATGCACCGCTTGTCAGTGAAAATGCCCTCGAGCGTGGAGCAGGTCACGAGGCTCCACTTGGGAAATGTCGAGCTCGGGGCGGATAGCGATAGACTGATAAAGCAGGGGAGCACGGTGGGTCAAACGCTTCGGTAGGATGAAGGGACATATGATAAATCAATTCAAGTTGCTTGCAAATCATAAGATAGAAAAAGTCCTCTACAGAGATAAGCAGGGACTTCACGAAGCTGAAATGCAGGTACAAGTACGATGACAGCGAATACAAGGAAAAGGCGACACGCAGATCATTCCCCGAAAGGCCATGGCGCATCACGTGCCCCGTCGTCATCAAGTGACTCCAGCCCTGGGCTTGGAGATCCAACACCTCTGTTCTCCTCCACTGCACCTCTCTGGACTCTATCCTGAACCTTTCTCTAGGTCCTTTGAAGGTACATAATTGTTCTCAACATAACCATCGCTCTCCACAACCTCATTCACCACCTCCCAGACCAAAGCCAACCTTAGCAACCATGAAGTTCTTATCGGCCGCCACTCTTCTCCTCACGGCGCCTCTGGTCTCGGCTGCCTCCCTTCCCTCGCTCTTCGATCCCTCGCAGGTCACAATCAAGACAGAGGGCCCCCAGTTCCCAGTTGAGGGTGACAACCCATTGGAGTATTGCCAAAACCCAGAAACCCATCTTCTCAAGATCCACTCTGTCGATCTCGCGCCCAATCCCCCAGAGCCGTATGTCTGACTTCTTGATATACTCTGCATATGAATCCCGACTGACAATTGCCGTTTTCCAATAGTGGTAAGACTCTCAACATCAAGGCCAGCGGTATCCTTAACGAGAGGATTGAACAGGGCGCCACTGTGAGCCTGGAGGTCAAGTGGGGTCTCATTACTCTGATCAAGCAGACCGTCGATCTCTGCAAAGAGCTCGAGAACGTCGATATGGAATGCCCTCTGGAGAAGGGTGAAATGTCGTTGACCAAACAGGTCGATCTGCCCAAGCAAATTCCTCCGGTAAGCTCTACATCAAATGACCCTGGTCCTGACAGCGAAGCTGATATGCAATCTTCAGGGTAAATACTCTGTCCTCGCCGACGTCTACGACAAAGACCAGAAACAGGTTACCTGCCTGAAGGCCAACGATATCACGTTCCACCTTTAGACACCCTTCGCGGATCTTTTCATATCCTTGCATCCACGCATCAGTGGCCCTTGTCCAATAATTGAGTAAAAACATTGTGATTTTCGCTTTGTTTGACCTCTCAACGCTATCTACGCTTCCGCCTATGTCTCGTCACGACCCTAGCTGATCTTGCCTCTCTTTTGATCTTTTTGACCTTCTCAGCATCCCAGTCCATTCAGATATCACTACGTTTCACAACTCTATTTATGTTTTGCATGTGTAATCTGCTACAAATTTAACGCCATCAAGCTTTACAGGCTTTAATGCATCTTGAATATCATCTCAAAAAACAGTGTGATCACCTCACTCGCAGTCCTGACATTAGCTTTGGACTTCCACCGCTGTTGATGAGGAATTTTACTTTAAAATCAAGTATTTGTCTGGAACTACCTCAGGGCTGGTCATCGGGTCTCTATACTGGGATATCTCCAGCTCATCGCCATTTGAGGAATTGGTACTGGTCCTTTAGGCTCGATACTCCCACGAATATTTGCTTGGTGCATATTCCGAGGCCCCATATTCATCGGATAGTCAACAGCAGAATAGAAGACTCCTTAGTTATCCCAAATGACCATATCACCTTCCTCAACAAGCGCCAGCAAAATATACTCCGCCTTGAAAATACATTGCTAGATACCCAGGATGAGTTTACGAATCTCGGCCACGCCCTCTGCAATTCGAGACTTGTCTTCGTGAGAGATGCGAAGGTAGTGGCTCCGAGCACAAATTTAATGGACCTGAAAGGCCTTTTCACCTTATCCAGACGGTCGGGTAGTGTTGTCGAGTTAGTTAGTGTGTCACGCAGAAATAAGGCCCAGAAATAAATCTGCCTTCTTGACAGCTGCCAGGTCGTACTCTCCCACGTCCTCCGTCGTCAAGCGATCACACCCTCCAGCAAGACCTAAGCCGTTGGAATTTCCCTTGTAGCGCTCTATCCATTTATCCGAGTAAGGGCATATTCAACCCAGCTATGGTTAGCCAACGCTTGCTCCTTTGGCCTCAGCATGGAATAAAGCTGTGACATGCTGAAGCAAGCTGTCTACCCTGGCGAGGTCTTAATGCTTAGGCCACACCCATTTGCCCACTGGATGGTGAGACTGGGCGCTCGGGGAAGTTTGATGCATCGCAGCGGCGTAACCCACGCTGAGTACTTCTTATGCAATATGGCATCAATATGTAACCACTGAAAGCGGGTCGACCATATGTAAACTCTTCGTCATATGGAGCCATTGCACGAAAGTCGTTACTGGAGTGTTTGCTGACAGTGTGATTTTTGATGCCGAAGTAGTCCTCTCCTTGGAACCCCTTTCCAACCAATTTCACATTTCAGCGCATGAAGTAGCCTGATCAAATCCACTCCGGTCACTCGAGCTCCAAACTATTAGCGCCTTCAACCTGGAATACAATTTTCGATCAAATCGTATATCCTCTCCAGTCGCCCAGTCGAATACCTAATGCTCGCTTTCTTTCAGAGGAACGGAAATCTCCTCTCTCGGAACCTGCTCTGTAGATAGTCGCATTAATTCGTAGACCTCGATGATAAACTAGATTCTTGAGGTACGGATTTTGGCAGCCGTTCCGGCGTGTACATGTCTACCTGTCAACTGCCACCGGGTCAGCGATGTGCGATATATAGAGGGCCTTCATCCAGGCATTGAGTCGGTCAGAGCGTGCTAAAGTAGCAGGATGCGCGATGTTGGTGCACCCGAGAAAATGTAGTCACCGGAAGCTGCCGAGTTCGGGAAGTGCCGCCGTAAATCTTGCGAGAGGGACGTCACAGTAATGGAGATGAGGGGCCACTGTACAGGGACGAGCTATGACTGCAGAGTTGAAAAGAGTTGGAAAGGTTGGAAAAAGTTGGAAAGGGTTAGGGGCGCCAATACTCAACTCGGGCACTACATAGACTCCCAGTGACTCATGTCAATACGGGATACGTTTTGTCAATCACCTTGAAAGTCTTTAAGATATCCTGATTATAAGGTAGTGAAAAGGGGACGGCTCGATGGCTGTCTCACAATGCAGACTGGACAGCACACACACACACACACACACACACTCCCTGGTCGGCGTAGTGATCGGTCTGAACGAAGCCGTACGGATGTCCTTTCGAGGCCGTACGAACAATTTCAAATGCTGCATCATAAATTGAGAAATGTGGTGACAACCGGAATCGAATTGGGTAGGTGCCTTTTTCCATCTCCAACTCGGTCTTGAAGATGCATCATGCACCTTCAGGCATTTGTTGTGCCTGAGGCCAGACATATGCTAATTGTCACCGATTCTCCCGCTACAGTAGTGAGTATATGAGATGGACTTTGGCGAGAGGATACATGATCCTTTGGTCCTCATTTTTTCTAACCTAGAATTTTTCACAAACAGAAGATTGGTAGTTAAACCCATAAATATAGGAATAGAACATTCTCGCGCTGTAGCCATCAATCGATGGGGACAACAAATCAACGGCAGGATAGAACAGGTTTGCTTGCGCTTCATCCAGCTCAAAACCACGAACCTGAAGGCAGCAGTCACAAAACTTGGTACAATGGCCATGACCATTGAGGCGGAAGTCACTGCGAGGCTTTTGACAGCATCCACAAGCTCGACCACAACAACCTCCACGATTTGCACAGTCTTCGCGTAGCCAAGAAGAGAGATACCACTGTGGCTTCTTCTGGGTCGACATATATGCCCGTTTGAAAGGATGAGAAGGACAGCGATTGTTGTGAATATATATGAGCCTTTCTGAAGCCCAATAAGCCCGGTTCAGAGTCTCAAGTTCCGTAGCCCACTCATCGAGATTCTGCTGTGACATATCATCGATCTTCTCTGTAGATTGTCTAGCTTGACGAATTTTTCCTATGATGTAAGTCTCTCTTTGGACAATTTCCCGAAGGCGAATATCGAGTTTGATGGTTTCTTGGGTCCACCTATTAACGGCCGGTTTGACGTGATCAATAATGATACTTTGTCGCTTCCGAAGACGCTGTGCTGCTTTCCACCAGCCTGATGATTGATTTGACGACTGTGATGCCTTTTGCTCTAATTTATCCTCAATTCGAATAAGGATTCTTCGAAACGGGCGAATAAGGGTTTCTCTTCAGACGGCGCATGATCAATAGAATAAGTAGTATCAATAAAAGCGGATCAAAAATCGAATTTGAGACACAACGTATACGTAGAAGTTCGTAGAGGTCATAGGAGAGTTCTGCAGGATATTTGTATTTCACGAGGGTTAGGTGTGTGACATCAGTATGTGTCCTTGACTCTTCATTCGAAATCTAAGTTCATTTATGCCAGACTAAAAGAATCACTTTTTTTCAAATATCAGAAGATATTAGGGTAATGATGAAAGTATGTTATATAATCATTGATTTCACTTCTATATTCTACTAGATCGAGGTAAGGACCTATATAAATGTTACATCCCCTAGAACGTAATATGTCTTGGTATTATCTAACGTTCTATATGATTCGACGGAATTTAGCTATTCTCTCCTCTTTATTTAGGCTAAGACTTTAACTATATTAAGTCATAGGCAAAGTAATAGTGAAAAGGTAAAAGTAAGGTTAAGTAAAGAGTAAAGTGAGATTGAAGTAAAAGTAAAGTAAGGTCGAAGCGAAAGTAAATTAAGGTCGAAAATGTATAGACAAGTCCTACTAAGTGGACGAGCCTAATGAAATATTTTTCAAACGTTGATAAGCGGTAAGAATGTTATACTGATTTTGAAGAGAAAGACTGAAGTCATACAAACAATAGTCTTAACAATAAGGCTCTAAAACCAAGACACTCCAACCGAAGATCGCACGCAGACCACACAGGTAAACACACAGACCACACAGAAATGACACAGACCACACAGAGGTGATCGAGGCGACACAGACAGTGACGCGAGAAAGAAGAAAGAATCGGCCCATCTCAATGAGGACCGGCCTGACATTCCGTAGTATGACCCTGGTCTCCCGGAGTCGGAGGAAGGACAGGTCCTTGCACGGGGTTGGGGGTAGCGGCCGTGGGTGGGTTGACGGCCGAGGGTGACGCCGTGGTTGGGTTCACGGCCGAGGGTTGGCGGCGGTAGCGGGCCAGGAATTGACCCAACCAAGCTAAAGGTCACGTCAGTTAGCCAAAATACCAAATGAGACTCCAAAGAGTGGGGGAAAATACATTCTCGCCTCATCGTTAGAGCCTGCTGGCGGGTTGCCAGCGAGGCATCGGCCGACAGGGCTTGTTGTGGGATGTATCTACAAATCGAGGTCAGCAGAGGCCACTCCGTAGATCCAAATGTGTCTCACCGATTATTGTTCCAATGAAGGAACCAAGCAATGTGGCAGACCACCAGGGCCAAGAACACAACAATGCCACAAGATGTAAGCACAACGTGCCAGGATTGTGTTCCCGCACCGAAAGTAGTCTCCAAGGAGGAGAGGGCGGGAGAAACGGCGGCCGGGGAGGCAGGGGAGACGTCGTCGGAGACGAGAACAGCAGAGCGAGCAAAATGAAGAGAGAACATTGTTGCGTGACTGAAGAAGAAGAAGAAATGGAACAGGAAGAGATGGGTATTTATACGACAGCGGCAACTACATTACGCTGCGTACTGCGGGAAGGAGCACTCGAAGACAGCATGGATGCAACGTAAGTCTTGCTCTTGCAGTACTGCGAGAACCCCATCAAGGTCAAGCCCGACGCGCCTCTCCATCGTGACTGCCGTTTCGTCTAACGTGGTCCTGGGGATGGTTCGTCCCTTACTGCAGTTGAATCGGATTTGGAGGCAGATGTCGGGGCGGAGAAAACAACAAATCTATTTATGAAGTCAAAAGTCTCATGAAGAAATGCGAAAAAAAGAATTGAACCGTCCCATATGAGGTACCCTTTCATATCCTTTGCCTCCTAAACTGAAATGAAGTAATGAATCTTAAAAGGTGTTTGTATGCAGAGATCAGACATGTTGGGTATCTTCCTTCTCAAGCTTCTCGGCCCCGCCGTATCTAGCTTGGAAGCAAGCCGATCCACAGCCCGAGATGGTAGTTATCGGGATATTTGAGTAACACGGAAACGATGTGGAAACACCTCTCGAGCCAACGATGCCCAAGACCAAAATGATTCAACCCATAAACCTACTCACCGAAGAGACGGCGCACACGCTTCAAAACACTGTCTTTCTCCGGGTCGTAAGGGTGGTCTTTGCTGCAGGGATCTCCAAAATGGCGGGAAATGGGTCGGCGAACGTGTCTACCGCATGGCGGATCCGCTCTGCGATCTGTAGCGACATCGTGTGAACCAAAGGATCATGCCAGTGATCAGAACAGTAAGAAACGTACATGTTGGTTGATCAGCACAATAGCAATATCCTTGCGCTCCTGGGTGAAGTTCTGAAACGTCTTCTCGATCTCCGAGGTCTCGGTCTTGCTGTCAACGACGAGGAAGTTTCGCTGGGAGTCGGGACCATCGGTTACATGCTGTGGGAGCCAATTCGTATAAGTACGGGGCACACATTATGAAATCGAGAGTCGCCAGAAGCAGCTTCGGGGGGTGTACGTACTCCAACGCCAGCGAGCAGGAGACCGGTCACGGAGCTTGAAAAGAAGTCGCTGTGAGCTGGGACTGATACTGGAAGTGATGACGAAAGGATAGCAAGGTTACTAACTCTTCATCTCCAATGACAGCGAGAAATTGCCGGTCCTGTATTCGAGGGGTGTTAGCAACGCTATCGGAGGGGCTTTTCGAAGCTCCAGGTGTCCAGTACCTTGTAAGTTGCGGCTGCGGCCATGATGACAGGGAAGACGAAAGTTGCGATAGAGAAAGGTCAAAAGCCAAATGCTCTTACAACTAAGCAGAGACCGCGCACAGGCCAAATCAAGAGAAGCTCGCAGCGTCGTCGTTAGATAACCGCCGCTGGCTGATCGCGGAGAGCTTTGCTGACTCATCAGCTTCTCCAATTTTCCGGGATTGTTTACTTCATTGTTGCGCAGCGTCACTGCAATCCCCACACCTTTTCTTTTTGAATGCCTTCCACATAAGACAAGGCTGCCGAGGAAAAGCTTCTGTCTGCAATCATTCACTTCATCCTCTGCTATGCCTCGTCTCGTGCGCCGCCGCCCACTGGCGGAGCGCATCCGCGCCTACCTGGACCCGTGGGACTTTTTCCTTTGGGTATCCGAGGAGATCGAATGCCATGACTGGGATGAGATGAACAAGGACTGGGGGATGGCTATCGGAATATCGCTCAATTTTATTTTCCTTGTCGCTCGTGCGAACAGTCGCTCAAGCGGAAGCAAAGCCATTGACGATGTGTTTGGGGAAGACGAGGGCGTGCCCTGGCTCAGTTGGTTTGTATGTGATGCCTGCCTATGTTGGACTTTCTGACGCTTTTGGAACTAGACTTGGAAGCTTGCTGACACTGTTCTGTTGCTTTAGGCATCGTCCGTCGTTCTTGTCTTGAGCATATTTTCAGGCTTCAACGCTTTTTTCACATTTTATCGCAAGCGACACTACCGTATGTTCGAGAACTCGATCGATAACGCCCCCGCTACACCTTCTGCACGTCGTGTCCGAGTCGACTCGAGCCCTCTGACCGCATCGCCCCTCCGATACTTGGCCAACGCTCTGTCAGGCGAATCCGCCCAAATGCGGGCCCACCCCGATGCGCAACGCGATGTTTGGGAGGTTGCGATGTGGGACCCCATTTCGATGAGTGTGCGCTTGTTCTGCCTGTTTAGCCCAGGGCATGTGTTGATCTACTTGCACTTTTTACCGGCCCAACTATCGGACCCTCGTCCCAGTATGACAGTGGCGACTACCATCTTCTTGACTGCTCTGTTGTCGGTGCAGATGTCATTTTTGTCGTCGTCATATACACAGCAAGCAAAGGATTCGGCTCTGGTGCAGAAGGAGGTCTTCAAGGAATATGAAACCAAATTCGTCCATCCTAGAACACGACCTCTGATGAGAGATGTTGGTACGCAGTTTTCTGATGAGATAGCTGCCGCTGGAGAGTCACCAAACAAGGTGGAAACCTACACTCCGACTTTCATCATTAATCATGGCTTCAAGACTAGCCCCAACCCAAATTATCACAGCCACGTCGACCCTGACGGCGCCTCGCCGAGACGATTTGTTCCAAAGTCCACACCTAGTGCCTCGTCAATTTTCCAAACAGAATCATTACTACACACCCCCACTGTGTCACGAGATGGTTCCCCTTTGGTACGAACCGGAGGGACGAGTATGAGACAGCCGCAATTCCGACCTGCCTCAACAACTACTGGAGATGGCGGTAGCCTCGGGGTATATTCGCATGCAAACTCTCCTTTGAGAAAATCGGCATCGACCGCTTTTGAGCGCCGTGTCCAGAACAATGGAGATTTTGTTTACAAAGAGCGAGGCACCACACCGTTGAGAAAGGGATCTAGCCCACTCAAACGCAGCAGCCTTGCGGACCCCCCTAGGTCCACAAACAGGAGTTAATAGACTTAGTCACCTCGGTTCTCGTCGCGAAACCGGTCGGTTCTAAGACGAATAAATGATTATATTCTTCACAATGAGGTGGCACCGCTTTCCAAGAGAATTCAACACGTCATGTCTGCTAAGCCTTGCATGGTCATGCACGGAAATTTTGTTGCAGAGCTTAATCGACCCCTAATATAAGCGGATGAAAAAGGTACTGTAAATGGACCCAGATCCTTCACTCCCGCGGTCACTCCAGGCAGTGTCATTGAATTGAGAAGTCTTATGGCCCCATTATCATCGGAAACCCCTCGTCGCCAATGTCTGAAAAGACCAATCATCTCATGATCCTCGTCGGGTTTTAGTATAGACCCCAATTCACGTTGTACGATGTCACGGCTCTTTCTCCTGCTTTGCCACTTCCCGGAATGTGGAATCTGAAGCCCAACCTCCAGAGTGAATGCTGAGAGAAGTGCCGCTTTCAAAAACGTTCTTCTCGTTTTGTCGACATTCGCGATGCTCTTCTGAATCCATGGATAGCGGATATCAGGTATCAATTGCAACACCTTCGGACCTTCTTGCTGAGGACACAACCCCGAATGAGGGTTGCCGCTTCTAGATAAAGTGTTTCTAGAACATGCACAAGTGCGCCCGGTCCAACATTCCACATCGAGGCGGGGAATATGTTCTTGAAGGTTGGGACATTCCGTCCGCGGGGGCGGGCATTCCTCATCGGGCCGCATACCATTCCGACCAAAGAGACTCCAGTATTCTTACTTACGCGTTGAGAGAGCGCGCTTCTTCTGTCGGAAATAGGTTTAATGGCCCCACGGCCCATTCTCTGCCACTGTCATTTGTCTGGCCCTGATGTACGGCGGCCACCCACGTCAAATCTAACCTCATCCATCCACTCCATGCACCCAACCCTCACCTTCATCCTCACGGCAACGGCATTGAGATCATCGAATCTCTGACGGCACTGGCTAGGGAGAATCTCGATTCTGACACAAGAGTCGGGGAAAATAACACCCAGGATTTCTTTATCCACCATGGAGATCGGAAACCGTGTCGAATTACCAGACGGACATCTCGTGAACCTTTCACCGCGACCCCAACATAAACCTCAGTATAAAGCTTACCGAGTTGACTACTCGGCCACTACGCTGCCGAATACCACACCACCTCGAAATAACCATCAACTCTATTGTTCCGAACTTGCTGATTGTAGCAGCCCTCTCGACAATATGTGTCCAAAAGCACAAGCAACCAAGCTTCCAGTCCCGAAGTCTCTCGCCGAACGAAGCAGAGAGCAACGGAACCAGACGCCCAGTCCAATTGGGATACCTAAGCCGTCTCCCGCTGCCTTCTCTTCGGGAGAATCGGGTGGCCAGTCTGGCGAGCGGGACCGTGACCGAGATTGGAGCAAACTAAGCGACAAGATTGGCAAGGATTCATCTCCTTTGAGTCAACGGGTTTCATATCACCGAACCGGGGAGAGCGACATAAAAAGATCCCTTCAATCGAATTTCTACCAGGATAGCAAACATATTGCGGTTCGCGAAGAAGCTACCAGCCGTGTCGTTCAACCCCGAACAGCCATCCCTACTCCCATCACCAACGGCAGAAATCACTATGCTCAAATTGAGCGTGACCAGTCGGCTGAGAGCGAAACGCCATGGCTGATCCAGGAGGGCCACTGGTCTCCTGTAGATAGGCACGATACCAGCCCTCGGAAGTCGGAGATCGCATACACCACTACCGAGTCAAGTCCTCATTCTCGCCCTTCTGTATCCCCCATTTCTGATGACAGCTCTATCACTGACTGTGATTGGGAAGACCGCTTTGTCGTCCACATGCCGTCTGCGAAAGAGCCGAACCCTCCTATGATGACTACTCAGCAAATTGCAGACTACCAAAGAAGCATCGAGAAGGTGCGTCGAGAGGGCGGACAGATGTTACACCCTAGCACACGACCTAGTCCACGTAAAGACTCGCCTGACGGCAAGCCGAGCGGGATGTCTGGCGGTTCCGGTCATTTTAGAGCATACGACGGACGTTCGACGCAATCGCCGCCGCAAGTTGATCGTCAGTTCGTGTCAGCCCCAGCACCCACGCCAGCCTCAGCCCCTGCATCCCACCTGCTGGAATCTCTAGGCCAGAATAATTATTACAGTCCTGATGAGATTGGCAAGAATCGCATTAGCACAATATGGGAGGAGCAATCTCCAACTAAACCCAAGGGAAAGCGAGCCTCTGCAACCGCAGATGGCTCATTCTTAGGGTGCAAAGAGATCAACGGGCCCGGAACAAAAAATCCAGACGAGATTCTTTTGTTCGCGTGTGGTGAAAGCTCGAACACTCTGCAACCTCGTCCACCTGCTTTGAATGTCAAGAAGAGACAGAAAGAGGAAAAGAAGAAGTCGCCGCCGAAGTCCCAAGAGAGCAGTCATGCTCCGTCTAAGTCAGGCGGGAGTCGTGTTCAAGATGGTTGGGCTCCGCTTTCATGGAACTCGAAGCAGGCCCCATGCTCGAGGTCGTCATCGGCGACTCTCTGTCAGGAACCAATATGCCCGCAGAGCGATCTACCTAGGACCAAGTCGCAGGGATCAAGTAAAGAGAACTTCTACCTCGCGCCTAGCACGTCCAATTCCTCGGAGAAGGTGGGAGACACCCGAAGCGAAGACGATGTGTTCATGGTCACACCGACCATCACACGAACTGTTATTACAAGCTTCGCGCTAGAGAAGAAGAAAGAGAAGAAACCGAAGGTAGAGAAGAAAGCTTCCATTCCCAAGCCACAGGGGCTTCGACGTCCTGGCGGAATTGGCAAATCTGGTACCGGCGAAGCCGTCAAAGCTGTTCGCGCCAAAGCCCAAGTCATCTCTACACCTTCCGGTTTGAGACCCGCAAAGGCAACCTCTCAAGTAAAATCAATTGCATCTTCCCTAACCTCTTCCAAAACGATCCCCGTCAGCAGTATTCCTACCGCGAAGGACAGGGCAAAGGAGTCAATCACAACCAAGGAGGTCTCTGTCAAAAAACCAGAGATCACGCTTAAGAACTTGCCCAAGCCCAAAGACAAAGAGAAGGACGATCATGTGAAACCAGCGGGAGGCTCTATCCGTGGGTTCATCCGAACCTCAGGGCTCGCAAGATCAACCGGGCTGGTGCGGTCACCCACAGATAGTCTCGCCACGATACTGCGTCATGGCACCGAGTCGTTGCGCAACCGTGCGGAATCACTGCGCAAAGGTAATGGACCCTCTATCAGCCGCAACAGCTCTCCTGTTTCTCAGCCCTCTGGTCCATCTAGGGACAACTCCGAGTCTTCGCGATCTGAGAGGTCGTTCAAGTCCGCAAGAGAGAAAGCCACTCCGCCGCCTTCCACCAAGTCATCCCCTGCGAAGAATGAGAATCAGTCGCCCGCTCCCAAGCTCGCCTCTATCGAAAAGCCAACCTTGCCAGAGAAGCCGATGAAATCGGAGAAATCTCTTCCAGCAGAAAAGCCCGTGGAAAACTCACCCTTGTCGGCTGAGAAGATTGCCCGACTGGAGAGACTAGAGAGATTCAAGGAGCAGGCCCGCCTTCGTCGGGCTAGGAAGTCCGCGGAAGTTGAGATCGCGGAGCTGGACGGACATCAAGTTCCCAAGCGAAAGGAGAGTCTTCAGCCCAACATCACCGACGTCTGCGATGACCTTGGCGACCTGGATTCCCCGGACAGAGACGATCTCTACAAGGACACAGCCAACACACAGGCTCTATCTATGATGTTTGAAATTGTCTTTGTCGCTATCACAAACATAGACAAAGGCCTCCTGCAGGTGACTGACAGCCCGTACGCAAAAGCCCTTGTGACCAATGTGCTAAACATGGTGCGTCATTGCTATCGAGTTTTCAGTCTTGTCTATCGCATTGTCTTGAAATACCAAACCACGGGCACCTGGCCCAAAGCCAAGAGTGACCAATCCATCAGTAGATTTCTGATGGAGCTCCTCCAGGCGGTTGTCTATCTGTTCATACTAGGCTTCGGATTCGTGGTGGCTGGTCGAGTTGCCACGTATGTTGTGCTCGTTGGAAGCTGGTTTGTTTGGTTCGCCCGTCCATTTGCATGGGCTTTCCAATGTGTCGGTCGTATCCTCGTCAATTGAGGTGTTGTATTTTTATTGCCTGTCCGGGATATCAAGGCTGGTAGTTTTATCATGTAGTCTTTCTTTTCGGTCTTGGGTATGAGCGCTCCTAGTATTATCATCAAATCTTTCTGTGGGTTTTTGGCATGGGTTTTCTTTTAATGTGCTATTGCCAACTTTATGAACTACCTTTACATACACACCAAATCTGATTCCGTTGCTCCCATTCCAAATCAGCATATGACAGTTCATCCTACTCCAACGATGTATTCAAGGTTAGACTTTGTCCTGTTGTGTCTGATAAAAGCCACTTTTCAAGTCACACTGTGAAGTGTCGAGTCAAGCGTATTCTACGTGAGGCGAAAATAGACAGCTCAGCTGGACATGATCGCGTAGTAGGCTGCACTCAATGCCTCATTTTGATGCTCTATTCGATCATTTATGGTTTAAATTCGACTTTCAGTGTTTACCATTTGGGAGTTGAGCGTCTCGGTGCTCGGCTACACAGACTATCTTTACTAGGGCAGAACTAGCGCCGAGCTTGAGCACACTTGGACTTCAACTTCGGCACAGCCGATGGCGTGGGTCCACAGCCCGCGTATTTTGACATCAGTTGATTTTCTTCAAGCTTTGAACTTTGCGCTTTGCGGGCAGGATGTTGTGGAGTTGCGCGGCGAAACCGGCGCTACGTGATAGCGTCTGGCCTACATCTCGCCTACACTTGGCCACTGTCCGATCCAACACTGGCTACAATAGGCGATGTCGAGGGATTAAGCTTTCCCCGCACTACCCACAAGTCTAGAAGTTGGAGTTCTAGAGGGCCAAGATTCCCATGGTCCGACTCTGAATGAGAGCTGGAGTATATCGGCTATTTCGACCCTGTTCGTAGCACGGTGTAGTCACTACACGGTTTTTCGGTTTGTAGAAATGATAAATAGCTCCTGTGTACTCAAATTCTAGCTTCTCGTCCGGAAAATACACTCTATCTTTTTCTATCATTTCGTGTCTCTATTCACGATGGTTCGACCTCTGGTGCTGGCAGCAGCTGCCCTGGCAGGACTCGTCCATGGACTCCCAGTGAGCGAAGCAAACCCGCTTCAACTTCGAGACTTCTGTCTTCTCGAAGACCTTGTCGTCAATATCCTGAAGCTGGATTCCAAGGCAGACACGTTCTGCACCAGTGTTCTGAACATCAAGACTGCCACTCAGACGGTCACCACCACCTCGACTCCTGCTGTGACGACTGATACTGCCACGGCGTACACCACTGGCACCGTGACAAGTACGACAACGGCCACCATCACTGATACAATCACCGACTATTATAGTGCTACTGAGGTTGACTACCTCACCACTCCTGTCACGGACATTGTTGATGTGACGAACACTGTCTCGACTACCATCACGATCGATCAGACCGAGACTGATACTGCGACGGATTACTTCACGGCCACTCTCACGGATATTGTATCCAACACTGTCACCTCGACGGTCACTGCTGTCTCCACAGCTATCATCTATGATCGTCGTGACATTCAAGAGCGTGGTCAACTTGTAGCCACTCCGACCTGTCTACGGGGACTGGGCAATGCCTTTGCTTCTGCGGCTTGTTCATGCTTGCACCTCACGACTCCTACAGTCACTGCCACTTCGACTGTTATAGCAGCTACTCCAACTGTTACCGTCACCATTACTCTTCCTGTAACGGCCACCGAGGTTGATACGGTGACTGCTACAGCCGATTCAACCACAGACATCACCAACACCATCACGGTCACCTCCACCGTTCCGTCCACCATCTATGTATCGTCTTTCTTCACCGACGTGGAATCTTACTCTACCACTGACTCTTTCACCGTCACTGCAACTGTCGACTCGACCGTGACCGAAACTGCCACTGTCACCACAGAGATCGACGTATACTCGACCGTCCAAGCCGTCGCAACCGCCACCCAAGTCTGCACTACTCTTGCAATCGAGAAATTCGTCCTGGCCAACACCGACCAAACCACCGTCGCACAAGCCAACCTGTACTCCGGAAGTGACATCGTCATTAACACGAACAACCTCTATGGTCCATTCACCAACCCTTTCCCATCGACTGACTCCTGGTACGGCGTCATCCCTAGTCTGTCCATGCTGTTCACTTGCGACGCCGAGCAGCGAGTTTTCATTAGCTACAGGAATGAGGGCACCTTCACCATTGTACCCGGCCACCTCGCTTCGTCTCCCTCGACCTACGCTGTATCTGCCACCACTCCTCCTTCTGGCTCCACTATCACCATTTTCGCTGTGGTCTGGGGACTTGGCTTGATCACTGATAGCAGTGTCATCAGCGCTCTGTATAATTCTCACGCGGCTGGTACACAGTTCGAGTGGTCAAATGTTTTCTTCGGAATAGACACCTGGCCAGGCTTTAAGAAGACAGGTGCTATCTATTACACTGATTCCACCGGTACTTTGCAGGTGATTTATGGAAAGGAGAGCACTTATAGCACTCTTTGATTGGTTTTCAAGATGCGATCCACGAACGCTGAATGTGAATATATTAAGATATTTCAGGGCTACGGTCAATGAAATGTGAGCGCATGTGATGACTACTCATCTTTGAAGTATGATCATTGTCAATGACATGTCGGGATTGCCTGTAATCTTGTCTGAAGTGGGCCGCGAGGTTTGATCTGATCAGTTGAAAGATGAGACCATCGTGTTGTGTTGCGGATGGATGCCCAGAAAGAAGAGCAGGAGGACACCACGGAGAAGATCAAAGCAGCTGGGCAGGATCATCCCCATGGAATGCACCTTGGGAAGAGACTCGCGGAGGACTTGAAAATGCCGGGTTTCACTCACATGCATTACAAAATACGCGCACTGTCATAGATAGGTTTCAATATGAAGATCGAATAGGGCAAAGCATGTATTCTTGACTAGGATAAAGCCAAAGATAGCCCAACGACTATAAGAAACACTGCTGCTTGGTGAAGAAATGCTGACTGAAGTCAAAAACGAACAACGAACAAGCCATCGCTCTAACTACAGCCTCTATGCTAGAAAGTCCAATAGGAAGGAAGAAAAACAAGTGAAGTAGATATTTCCCGAAAGGGTAAAATTAAGATGTTGAATTTTTGATTTCTTCTGACTTTTTCATCCTCCATTTCCCAGAAGCTCAGCAAAGAGCAATGGAAGAAAACAAGCACCAGGCCAGTGGAGTGTGAAGAGAACAGAAGTTATCTGAGCGATGAAGCGTCATTGTTAAAGAGACGGGGTATCGGGACAGTAAATGGTAGATGTTGAAATGAAAAAGTGAACGCTTGGGAAGAAATCGTTGAGAGGTCTTCAATCGTGACGCCATGACACATTGCAAGGAGGGCCCGAGATTTGGTGTTGGGTGGGTTGGTTCGGGACAGGTTTCGTTGAGTATCGTTGAGAGAGGTGATGTTGAATTAGGTAGAGTCGTGAGTTAATATTGACAAAAGCTCGTGTTGGAGAGCCTATAACGCTTGCGTTAAAGCGTGAGGTCCCGGTTGAGTGGGATCTTAGTTCTTGGTTGCGGCGCCATTCTCCTCCGCTGCACCGTTAGGTTCGGGCTTTCCGGGAAGTTCGACGGAGAGGTCTTTGATTTCGAGATCCGTGAAGAGATCGAAGACTGCATTGATTCGGTGGAAGTCGTTGTCGACAATGTTGACCAAGTACCAGTCGTCCATGACCTGCTCGATCAGCTTGCGACTAGCGCTCCCAGTCTCGTAGCATTTGGACCAATCTTCACCCAATCGGTAAGCCTCGTCCTTCCAGGCCAGGAAACTGACGGTCTCGACAATGGTTGGCTGAATGATCTCTCGGCCGGCAAAGATACCCCATGTCAATGCATTGGGGCTGTCGTTTGTGTTGGTACGCAGCTCACCGCTCTTTTGAATGGCGTGATAGGTCAGGTCATCATTCTTCTCGATACGAGCAATCAACTCATCGATGAGGTAGGAGGGCACGAGAAGTTCAAGGTACGCTTTCTGGTAAACGAAGCCATTCTTGGGTCCCCATCCGTACACAGGGTCTGATGACCTGATGCCGTTGATCGCGGGCTGGGAGTTGATGGTCAAAAATCCTCGCTGGGTGAGCGCGATCAAGTGGTCCTTGATAACATCTGCTTCGGCAGTGATAGGGCTGTCACTCCAAGGCAACCGGTCGAGCTTGCCCGACAGGAAACTGATGAATATTTCAGAAAGGTCTTTGATCGACTTGGGCTGGCCCCAGAGTTTGATGTTCTGTTCGTTTGTTCCCTTCAGTCCGACACCGTAAGCATCCAGTTCACCAAACGCAGGAGAGCGAGAGTCGGTCCAACGACCGTTGGGGTATTCGTCCCATGTTTGGGTACGGGCGACATATGACGACTGCCGGTTGCGCCAAAACACCGGTCGCACATCTTCCGTTCTGCGACCCAGCGCAAGAGACGGCCGCCATGGCAGAGAGCGCTGAATGGGAGATTCGGGTGATGGTGAGAGACCTAGCTCCTCTAAAACCAGGATTGTTGCCTGAGCCAGGTTCATTGTGTAGAAGTGTAGGTGGTTGATGCCTGATGCCAGAAGCTTTCGACACATCTCCGCAATCAAACGTTTTCCAATATCGCGGACAGCGGAGTCATCGTTCTTGACGGGTTCCAAAGCCTCCATCCACTCTGGAGGCACACGAGTCTTGGTCCATGTCGATCGGCGAATGAACGAGGCATAGGTCTGAATCGGCATGATACCAGGGATAATTGGAACGGTGATGCCCTTAGCTCGGCATTTCTTCACCCATTCCACGAAGTTATCGGCATCGTAGAACATCTGGGTGACAACGAAGGTACTCCCAGCATCCACCTTCTCCTTCAAATGATCAATCAACTGGTCCACGTCAGAGTTGTCATCGGCGCCCTCCGGATAGGCGCCCACACCAATGTCGAAATGGTTACCGTACTTTTCGCGAATGTACTTGACAAGATCCTTCGCGTAGCGGAAACCTTTTTCGTCGGCCTCCCATGCCTCCTTATCACGGGGCGGGTCACCGCGGAGAGCCAGAATGTTGGTGCATCCAGCCTTGTAGGCGGTCTGGAGGGCATTGTCAACCTTCTCTATAGGCATGTCGGTACAGGTTAAATGCATGCACGTCTCCAAGCCATAGACGGATTGAGCAACGCCAACCATTTCCAGGGTCAAATCAGAGTGACGACCACCTGCACCCCATGTGATGTCGATGAAAGAGGGGCCCAATCCGTGCATACGGTCCATACGGTCGTAAAGGTTCTGTACACCTTGTGCTGTCTTGGGGGGAAGAATTCAAAGGAGATTCCGGGCTCCCCGGTGGCCTCCTTTTGCGCGAGCTTCTCACGGATATGCATTGTGTTGGTTTAACCTAGCCCGGGGGGGAGATCTGTCAGCTTCGTGATTCACATGGCAGCCGGAAATTGGGAAGGCCATAGATTCATGTTTCAGGACTTGGGGAAAGGGAAATCATACGGAAATTCAACGATTGAATGGTTTTGTTAAGGAGCTGACCTGGGGCTATCGGCGCCGAGAGGAGGGTCTTACGATCACCAGGATTCCAGACCAGTTTGCTATGGTACCCACAGCGGAGAAAGATGCGAGAAGCACAGAAAGAAAGAAAATAGTGTAGAAAGGGGGAAAAAAAAGAATCAAATGGCTCCGAGTGGGAGTTGACGGAAGGTGAATCTTTCGGGACAATTTGGCGGGGAGGCCGAAAGTCGGAGAGGCACGTGTTCCGTCCAAAAAGGGAGCATTCGATGGTGCAATCGTCAATTTTGGCGAGATTTTTTGGACAGTCCGACCATTTCGACACATCTACACCTTTGATTTACATTCAATTGATGATTATACATTTACAAGTAGAAATGGGCAAGATGGGACCAGGTACTATGGCTACCCCTCATGCCCCTCCTTAAGAAAAAGGGTTCCGGGGCAAATTTTCCCATTGCGGCCGCTTATCGCCGACTTTTATCCTTCTTTCTTTCTACCTCAATTGGAACCCACTTGTGCTCTTTCTGCCCTTATATACACAGAGAGCAGCTCGAATACCGTCAAGATGTCGACCTCCATTCCCTCGCCCTCCGCCAACCAGGACTACAAGTCCACTCTGTTGCCGCTCTTGATCTCCAACAAAGTCCTTTCCTTCGGAACTTACGTCCTGAAGTCTGGTCGCGAGTCTCCTTACTTCTTCACATCCTCGCTCATGCATACTGCGCCCTTGTTGCGCGCTAGCTCTGCCGCCTATGCTAGCGTCCTTTCCTCCGAGCCCTTCGTGACCACCGACGCCAACGGCACCACCAAGCCCAACTTCGACATTGTTTTCGGTCCCGCCTACAAGGGAATTCCCATTTGTGCGGCCGTGCTCAATGAATTGGCTGTCCAGGACTCTCTCTCCGGTTCCCCCAAGGGTACTTGGGACAACGTGAGCTATTCTTTCAACCGCAAAGAGGCCAAGGCTCACGGTGAGGGTGGTAACATTGTCGGAGCTCCGCTGAAGGGCAAGCGTGTCGTCATTGTTGACGACGTCATCACCGCTGGTACTGCTCTGCGTGAGGCTGTCGGCATCATTGAGAAGGAGGGCGGTATCGTCGCCGGTGTCGTTGTCATGCTGGACCGTGAAGAGCGTGTCAGCGACTCCGAGCCCAAGAGCGCTATCGGCTGCGCCGAGCGTGACCTTGGCGGTAACATCCCCATTCGCTCTGTCCTCGGTCTACACGACCTGATCGAGAAGCTCAGCGACTCGATCGGCGCTGGCGAAATCCAGCGCCTCAAGGATTACCGCTACCGCTACGGCGCGGAGTAAAAAAAAGGTCCGCAACAGCCTCATTGAGGTACGAAGTATGAAGAGACAAAAAAAGAAGAGTCATGATACCAGGATAGCCCGGAGTTACTCCAGTCTGTCAATACACACAGCATTTTGAACAGAATTATTTTTGGGCTATTTGTAGGCCTCATACATCTTTGTCAAGATCCATCTCCCTGTGCAGATAGCAGGTAGACTTGGGTTACCTTAACCCTTCCATATCTCTTACCGCGCCCTAGCAATGTACGAACTAGTCTCACAGGCCGATGAGGGGTGCCGTTTAATGCTCCAATCGGCATAATTGGATGTGTGATCTAAGAACGCCATATCGATAGATTTTTCGGTCTCGTTGAGGAATTCATACACATTGTCTGTGCAGCCAAAAAAAAAAAAGGGCCACTGTATAAGCTATATTAAAACCATGGTCATTTCACACTTCCCTGGTTGACCCATCGTGTGGAATTCGGAATATCCAAGATTCACCGTGTCATTGCATCGGAAGCCCCTGCCATAGACAGATACGGTCAGACCGGGTGATGAGAGGTCAACAGTCATACACAGCATAACAGGTGTCATTACCTCTGAAACTGATCTACGAGTTGATTGTATAGATAGCACGGGCACTGAAGGTAATTTGAGCGGAGCCAATGACGTACCTGAGATATCGAACGAGCCGATCGCGCTCAGGCCATTTGGGGTCGCTTGAAATCGGGTGAGGACTCAGTGCAAGCAACGAAACCGGCGTTGAACATGCAAAGCCTGATTAGATGACAAATAACATCATGATTTTCGAACTCTCGGGACATCTTTCTCAACTAAAGTTTACTACCGGCGTAATTCTTTGCTGGCTTTCAATTTGGTAAATTTGATATCAGTCTTGGGGCCGTCAACGGCTATCAATGAGAACTTGCTAGGAACCATTTGACGCACCCGTTCTATTTGGGGAGTAGCCAGATCCTGGCAGCTTCCGGCGGATTCCCAGTGGCTGTTCACGTGTCACCGAAAGCACAGGCGTATTTATGGCTTTCAATTCGGGCCATGTGCTGATGGCGAAACAATGCCTGGATTAGAGGCCATTTGAAGATTGTCTACATAGATTGAGAATGACGATCATCATGTTATCGAGTTCAAGATAAAGCACAGTTTATTCCCCGCCTCGATGCCGTGATGGAGACATAATAGATCCGAGACGAGTGCACATATGAAAGTAGTGAGCTCTCGCCCAAGTTCGACGATATCAACTTATTTCATGTCTACAAACAGGTAAAACGTGGCCAAACATAATCTTTTGGTGCCTTGTCATTGTGATGCACGAAGACGGCTCTTGTGCATGGGGGTAATTGAGAGCGTCTGGTTATTTGTCAAGGCAATGCGTGTAATGGAGCACTGGGAATTGTAGTACATCAGACCCTTCGCAATGCATGCCTTGAATGGCGCCACGGACAGCTTCTTTTGTTTATGACGAAGCTTCAAGTCCGTATGAACAAGCATGTTTCTAGTGTTCTCAACGGCTTGTCTAGCGGGGATATGCTCAAACACACCACCTGCCTCAACGTTTATTGCTCCACCGAGCAGATATAAGCAAAGGACTGGAGGTATGCCGGCACACCCCGGAAATATCATAGTCGATAGAGTTAAATGCTCTCGTAAAGTGGCGCTGCGGTAGTCTAAATAGCAATTACCTCTGGTAATACCAAATTTATGGCAGCAGCAGGTCATGAATTATTTTGTAAGGCACCAATGAATAGCAATACCCCTGTTACAGATTCGAAGAACCAAATTTCCTTCTTGTTTGCGAGTAGACATGGAATTATGTAAATATCCTAAGAAGCTGTGAATGATTGCACAGACAATGACTGCGCAATGCTCTCTTATATTGGACATACCTTTTCATTCATCTTTTCGAGAGCAAGCTGACCCTAGTCCTCTGACAGTCATTGTTGAAATCAGACCAATACCAGATTGGGTTCGTATGTTCTACATTGCCCGTTATCGCATCGACGTTTCTTCTTTGCCATCCATGATCGAGTATCACAGGCCCCTGTCCTACATACACCGCATGAGTCGCGTACTCCGTATCATCGACACAGGTCCATTCCTTCTCGGCCGTCTGTCATGCATAGAGCTAAGGATGTTGCTTGAAGCTCCTCAGCAAAAGCCTTGTCTCGTAAGACAATTCTGAATTCTGTTGTCTGAGCCCTTGTTCCCTCGAGATGGCATTCGTCAAGAAAGATCCATTCGATCCGCGGAACGGAAGTTTACAAATTTGTCCTAGCTATTTTGTCTCGTTAGGAACTCTCTGGGTACTTACAGCTTCTTCCGGTGTCAAAAAGATCCAATCAAGCAGTAATGGGAAGAGAGGTAAGATAAATGATCAGACACAGGTGTACTTGTTGACGAGGTAGAAGACACATCAATTTTGCTTGGGAGTATATTCTGGAATCTGGCTTCAGCTGAATTGTCTTTTTTCTTTTTCTGGCTCGCTGAGGATCTCCAGTTTTCATTTAATTCCCACAAATACTTCACGACTCTTGTTCTTTCTCCTCTCCCTTGGTCGTCGTCGAGGACTGAACCTGTACTTGCGTCCTTTCGCTGTAACTTTTACTTTGGAGATGCACTGAGCCTATCGCTAATATTCAGTATCAGTATTCTTTACTCCAGCTCTGGGGGTGGCACTATTTTCTTCGTCCCTGGACGTCGACCATTGGAAATGTGAGCTGCTTCTCCACCCAACCACTCCCACTTCTGACTGCAGTTGCAGTGGCTCTCTGTTCCCATCTCTTCATGACTAAATGTGAGGATCTTTCAATTTATTAATTTCGTCAGTGTAGAATCTGATTCTGCACCGTTATTGACGATGCATTGGAAACATGCAAGCCTTTTCATCAGCCAGCTTGCTGTGCTTGGACGATGCTGGCCATACGACGAGGCGCTCACCGCATATAACGTCAACGAGAATAAAACAGCCTCAAACCCGGCTGAATACTGGGGGAAATGGCCAAATCACACTTATCACCCTTCCCCGGCCAATTGGCGTTTTCCAATCTACACACTCTTCCTTGATCGGTTTGTTAATGGTGACCCGACCAACGATAATATCAATGGAACTCTCTTTGAGCATGATCTGGGCTCAAATCAAATGCGACATGGCGGTGATGTGGCAGGCTTGGTTGACACTTTGGACTATCTCCAGGGAATGGGCATCAAGGTTAGGAAGGAAGCCCCCTTGGAGAGCGAAGCACCCATCAACTAAGCTTTTGTTCTCAGGGAATATATCTGGCCGGATTAGTCTTGATGAATCAACCATGGAGCTCGGATGGGTATTCGGCTCTTGATACGACTCTGCTAGATCAGCACTTCGGTACAATTCAGGTTTGGAGAGATGCCATTACGGAGATTCATAATCGCGGAATGTATGTCATTTTTGACAACACAGTTGCCACGTAAGTCCGTCCAAGAGCACCCTGTGTTTCAAAATCAAGCAATATAGACCAAAAGCTTACTCGCTTAAGGATGGGTGATCTAATTGGCTTCGAGGGGTATTTGAACACTACCACACCATTCTCGTTGAAGGAGCATAAGGCCGAGTGGAAGTCATCTCGACACTACGTTGACTTTCATTTTGGCAACAGCTATAACGAATCTTGCGAATATCCTCGCTTCTGGAACGAAACTGGATTCCCAGTTGGTTCATACGTTCAAGATGAGCTATCGGGATGCTACGACAGCGACTTTGACCAATACGGCGATATTGAAGCTTTCGGTGTCTTCCCCGATTGGCAGCGTGAACTTGCCAAATTCGCATCAGTCCAGGACCGTCTACGTGAATGGGTACCCAGTGTCCGACAGCGGCTCATTCGGCATTCATGTATGATCATCTCCTCACTTGATATTGACGGTTTCCGTTACGATAAAGCCACCCAAGCAACCGTCGATGCACTCGGTGACATTTCAAGTTCATACCGAGCATGCGCACGGCGAGTCGGGAAGGAGAATTTCTTCCTCCCGGGAGAGATAACGGTAGGGAATAACCTGGGTTCTGTCTTCCTAGGTCGTGGTCGGCAACCTGATATGCTCCCGGAAACTCTCGACGAAGCATTCCACTTAAAGAACTCATCTGAAGATTACTTCATTCGTGATGAGACTCAACAGGCCATTGATGGTGCTGCTTTCCACTATTCTATTTATCGCTCACTAACCAGATTCCTCGGAATGGATGGAAACCTCGCGGCCGGTTATGATATTCCAGTCAGTTGGACAGAGGCGTGGTACGAGATGATCCTCACAAATGACATGATCAATGCCAATACCGGCAAATTTGATCCTCGGCATATGTACGGAGCGACAAACCAGGATGTTTTCCGTTGGCCAACCGTCTCACAGGGCATCGAGAGGCAGCTATTGGCCCTGTTCATCACCACTCTTCATCTACCTGGTATTCCACTTTTGCTTTGGGGCGAGGAACAAGCCTTCTATATCCTCGATGCGACGGCTTCCAATTACATCTTCGGTCGACAAGCAATGTCTGCTGCCACAGCATGGAAGACCCATGGTTGTTTCCAGTTGAATTCAACTCAATACTTCCGATGGCCGATCGAATCAGGGCGATTGGGATGTCGTGACGAGTCCGCCACGTATGATCACCGAGATCCATCTCACCCAGTCCGCAATACCATCAAACATATGTACCAGATGCGACACAATTACCCAGCACTGAACGACGGCTGGTGGATTCAATTGTTGTCTAACCAAACGCATAACATCTATTATCCAGGCTCTAATGGTGTTCCAACCGAAACAGGGATGTGGTCTGTTCTGCGAAGTCCGTACTACCAGATGCAGGACCTTGGAGTGGCAGGGAACCAGACCATTTGGTTCGTCTATCAAAATGATAACCGGACAGTCACATACGACTTCGATTGCTCTGACAGAGATCGGGCTCTCGTGGCACCTTATGATACAAATACCACTGTCAAGAACCTCTTCTATCCCCATGACGAGCTTACTTTAAAAGACGGTCCCACAAAGCTTCATCTCAATGGCTCCGAGAAATTCAATGGGTGCCTCGATAGCATAACTCTCAATGCTTACGAGTTCAGAGCGTACGTCCCGAAAGAAAATTTTGTGCCTCCACATCCAATGATCACCAAGTTCATCCCTGGGCATGATGCACCAGTCTTGTCCAAAGCTGCTCCTGGAGAGAGTGAGAATCTCGAAGTTGGTCTTTATTTCAACACTGAGATGAACTGCACCCTTCTAGCAGATTTTATTTCACTCGAGTCAACAACTGAGTCGGGAGAGGTTCCTTCCATTGATCTTGACACAGTGAATTGTGGGTTCATTAATTCAGATGATCCCCTGTGGACTGGAAACATTCCCAGCAGCTGGGGCTGGTCGGCAACTCTGAAAAATGTCTATAACGGAATTCACCGCTTGACTGTCAGTAATGCAACAAGCAGCGACGGGAAGTTCACAGATGCGATCGATCATTTTTTGGTTCGCATTGGACAGCACGATAATCCCATGATCTTTACCTCTGCCAATTACTCGAGCAGTCTGCTCCATCAACGCATTGATGGAGAGCTCTTCATCCGGCAACATGCGGCAGGTGCAGACATGTACCGCTACTCGACGAACTGGGGAAGCTCGTTTTCTAATTGGATCCCATACGAAGGAGGCAATCACACCATCGAAGAACAACCTTGGTTTGGGACAAAGTCTCAGAGATGGGACGGAAAACATATCCGTGTCGAATACTGGAGCCGCTTTACGGGAAGCAGCGATTATGTTCAAGAAGGTGACGGGCCTGACTGGCAAATGCCTCGTCGTTTCCCTCATCTATTTTTCAATGGTCCCTTCAATGAATATGGCTACGATTCTGGCCTGGCAAACACTGTGAAGCAAGACAGCGATGGCTTTTGGAAGTTCCGTTTCATGGCAGAGTGGCCCGCTCAGGGTCAGCTCAATGTGTGGGGTATCAATCCAGATGGGCAGCCTGATCAAAGCTATATTTATGGAGATTCCGATGGAGATTCAATCCTGGATCGGCTACCCCCGTCTTCGCTCAGTGTGACCACAATTAACATTACTCGGCATCCTCCCCACCCCCATTTGGCGTGGAGAATCCACCTTGACGATGCATCGATGAAATTCGAACTCATCCCTGCGGGCTCACAGTATACCCAAATTGCTCTTTTTGTCCTTCTGTGGGTAATACCACTTATCACAGCCATCACAACCGCCTACGTGTTCAAGAAGACATTCTACAAAATCAAATTCAACCAGGTTGGAGTGAGTGAGAAGAAGACACTTATCTCAACGAGTGTATTCAACATATTCAAGCTGGAGAAAACGGAGAATGGGCAGTCAAAGAACCCTCTGATACGCCTGGCAACCAGATCCAGATTCCTTCAGAGCAAATCCGCCTTCAGTAGCCGTACCTCACACCGGCGGAAGGTTCTCGTTGCGACAATGGAATATGACCTTGCCGATTGGGGTATCAAAATCAAGATCGGCGGCTTGGGCGTCATGGCACAACTGATGAGCAGGCAACTTGGACATCAGGATCTCATTTGGGTTATCCCATGTGTTGGCGGAATAGATTACCCTATTGACAAGCCTGCCGAGTCTATGTTTGTCATGATTCTCGGCAGCTCCTACGAGGTGAAGATTCAGTACCATTACGTGAAAAACATCACCTACGTGCTCCTGGACGCACCAGTCTTCCGTCAACAATCGGCCCAAGAGCCTTACCCAGCTCGAATGGACGATATGGATAGTGCTATCTATTACTCTGCCTGGAACCAGTGTATCGCGCAAGCTATGAAGCGATTTCCTATCGATTTGTATCATATCAATGACTACCATGGCTCACTCGCACCGCTATACCAGTTACCGGAGACAATTCCCATTTGTCTATCGCTCCACAATGCTGAGTTTCAAGGCCTGTGGCCCATGCGAACACAGAAGGAGAAGATCGAGGTCTGCTCTGTCTTTAATCTTGACATGGATGTTGTGACTCGTTATGTTCAGTTCGGTGAAATCTTCAACCTGTTGCATGCTGGCGCCACTTACCTCCGTCTACATCAGCAAGGATTTGGTGCCGTTGGAGTTTCGAAGAAATATGGCAAACGTTCCTATGCAAGATATCCTATTTTCTGGGGTCTCAGGAAGCTTGGAAATTTGCCGAACCCCGACCCTTCGGATACTGGCGAGTGGAACAAAGATCTGCCTAAGAAAAATGAGATTAGCGTCGACAGCGCATTCGAACTGGGCAGAAAAGAATTTAAGCGTCAAGCGCAAGAATGGGCTGGTCTGGAACAAAATACATACGCCGATCTTCTTGTCTTCGTTGGAAGATGGTCAATGCAAAAGGGTATCGATCTGATCGCCGACGTGATGCCTGCCGTCCTTGAATCAAGACCAAATGTTCAACTTATCTGCATCGGACCGGTCATTGATTTGTACGGCAAATTTGCCGCTCTCAAATTGGATCGTACGATGAAGCTCTTCCCGGAAGAGTATTCTCGAAACCACAATTCACCGTTTTGCCGCCATTTATCTTCTCGGGCGCTGAATTCGCATTAATCCCTTCACGAGACGAGCCTTTTGGCTTGGTTGCTGTGGAATTTGGTCGCAAAGGAGCTCTTGGCATCGGTGCTCGAGTGGGTGGTCTCGGTCAAATGCCTGGTTGGTGGTATACGGTCGAGTCCACGACCACATCGCATCTTCTCAAGCAATTCAAGCTAGCGATTGACAATGCCTTGAACTCTAAACCCGAAGTTCGAGCGATGATGCGTGCGAGGTCAGCCTTGCAGCGATTCCCTGTTGCACAATGGATCGAGGACTTGGAGATTCTTCAGTCCACAGCAATTCGGATTCACAACAAGGAACGCGCAAAGACGCAGACGCAACCATCTGCTGCAGCCTCGGCATACAGTGCCATTTACGGGATGATGACCCCGCAGACTGCAACTAGGTCCAGTACTTCGACTGGTACCCTCACACCACCGCTTCAGTCAACTAGTCGGCCTGGAACTGTTGGATCAATGCAACGTGACTCAATGATATATAGCCACGACCCGAGTCCAGGCATTGATGTCCGTCCTAAGTCGGGCTTAAGTCGACCAATGTCATTTGGTGTCAGGCCACTGGATGGAGTTGAAGAGTTCGGAGAAGAAGCAGCACCCGATATCGAGGATGACAGTGATGACGAGATGTTGACTACCTGCTACGGCGATGATGAATATCCACTGGGTCCTGGTCCAGCAGACGCTGCTCACCGAATGGAAGTTTCTCAGTCTCCTGTGCCTCTCACCAGAGAGGTTCTTGCTGCCCGGCACGCAATTCAAGGCTCTCTTTCTCCTCGATCCATAACTACAGCCTCGAGCTCTACGGCACCCAGCGTAGCGGGAACAGAAGAAACTCTTCTCCCTCCGCAACGTCCTTGGGCAGAGCTAGGTAATGGTCTGAGCAGTGCTTCACAGCTATCTGTCGATTCGGTCATTGGAGATAAGAAAGACTACAAATTGCAAAAGGTCAATCCATTCTTCACAGACAGCAATGGCGAATATTACAAGGCCTTCGAGAAGAAGTTGGAAGACCTCAATGGGGCAAATTCAGACTCTCAGCTTTGCATCGAGCAGTATTTAGAGAAGAGCGAAAAGAAATGGTTCGATAAATTCCGAGACGCCCGCTTGGGACGCAATCAATCTCCGGCTCCTTCAACGGGATTCGGCAAGAACGGCGGGCCTTCCCCTTCGGGGTCTATCACCAACGATGACACCACATCCCATGAGAGTGGCGGCCAAGAGAGCAAAATAGCCGCCGATGAGTTCAAGCTGGGAGAAAATTATGTACCACCGACAGGGCTGAAGAAATGGATGCAGATGCGACTTGGAGGCTGGCCAGTTTATTCCGTGTTTCTCGGTCTCGGCCAGATCATTGCTGCTAATTCCTACCAAATTACCTTGCTCACAGGTGAGGTCGGGCAGACTGCAGCAAAACTATACGGAATCGCTACTGTGTACCTGATTACATCTATCCTGTGGTGGTTCTTCTTCCGGTTCTACAAATCCGTGCTTGTCTTGACCGTGCCATGGTTCTTGTATGGTGCTGCCTTTTTGGTCATTGGGCTTGCCCACTACGAGCCTAACTCATTCATCCGTGGATGGATTCAGAATATCGGAAGTGGTATTTATGCCGCAGCATCATCAAGCGGTTCTATCTTCTTTGCCCTCAATTTTGGTGATGAGAGCGGTGCCCCTGTGAAGCTATGGGTGTTCCGTGCATGTCTTATTCAGGGTACACAGCAAGCATATGTCATCGCCCTTTGGTATTGGGGCTCAACTCTGACAAAGGCAACGAATGCTGGAGTTGCGAACGTGCAAGGCAGTATCATCAATACGTGGAGGATGACGTGAGTTTCATGCCTGAATTATGTCTTGTCGAGTCTTAGGCTAACATTGAGGCAGAGCGATTTGCGCACCTATTACGATCTTGTTGTGGGCGATCGGATTGATCGTTTACTTCGGCTTGCCAAATTACTATCGTCAGACTCCTGGCAAGGTTCCGTCTTTCTACAAGTCTGTCTTTCGGCGAAAAATCGTGCTTTGGAATTGGGTTGTGGTCATCCTGCAGAACTTCTTCTTGAGCGCACCCTACGGTCGTAATTGGAACTGTCAGTACCTACTTTTCACTGATCTGAAGCAATAGAGACAACTGACACTATAATAGTCCTCTGGATTTCCAACCACGCCAAGCCATGGCAGATCCTATGCCTCTGTGTTGCCTTTTTCGGCTTCGTTTGGATAGCAGTGCTTTGTCTCATGGCACGCATATCTAAGTCACATAGCTGGATTCTACCCATCGTAGCCTGTGGCCTTGGTGCACCCAGATGGGCACAAATATGGTGGGGAACATCCGGCACCGGTCTTTTCCTGCCATGGGCAGGAAATTATGTGTCCGGTGCTTTGGTATCCCGAAGTCTTTGGCTATGGCTTGGTGTGCTGGATGCGCTGCAGGGTCTTGGTTTCGGCATGATACTTCTGCAGACCTTGACTCGCATGCATATTTGCTTCACCTTGCTTGTCTCGCAGGTGCTTGGCTCCCTCGCGACTATATGTGCGAGATCTTTCGCACCGAATAAAATTGGTCCGGGGCCCATCTCTCCAGATATCACGGCCGGTGTCAGTGCATTGGGCAACGCGTGGTTTTGGATTGCGCTTGTCCTCCAGCTTTCGATTTGGTAAGCCTCTTCAATTGATTTTACGGAAGTCATGGTACTAATGCAAGTGCAGTGGTGGCTTCCTTCTTTTCTTCCGCCGCGAACAGCTGTCAAAGCCTTAGGTGCAATCTGAGGAGTCAAGTCCTTTGTTGAAACTTGCCTGACGGGAAAGTGATTTAATGGAGCTTGTCAAGGCCGGAGTTTGATTTCTTTTCCTTACGCCTAGCCCACTTTTTCCTTCATTCAAGTCACAACTAGTTATTATCTAATGTAATGACCTCACATTCACAATAAGCAGATTGAGCTCTTAAAATTATGGCCACGTTTTGTTAGCTTCTATTCTAATTCACGCTTAGTAGCTTGGCCGTGGATACGAGATTGGCGGTTCAGTAACCACGAAAATGAGTCACGTCAGCCACAAGCCGCAATTAGCCGCTATAAAAAAATCTACCAGTCTTCGCCCTCTTCTGATTACCTCCCGACTTATTTGGAGTTTTGATTGCAATCATTATGGCTCAGGAAATGGACTTGCACTTTGTTGGAACCCACACCCGTTATTCCAGTAAGCCTGCTGAACACGGATTGTCGAGCATTTCTAATCATGGTTGCAGGCTGGACGTCTCGGGTGGAAGCTGTCTTGGAGTATTTCCAAATCCCGCATAGCTCTCAAGTCATCAAACTGTCCGATGTACATGACAATGCACGATCGATTGGTTACAATTCGTTCCCTACTGACATGTATATCCGGCATCATAGGTGAAATCGATCTCTCCAACTGGTTTCGTGCCATTCATCCAATGCCGCTCAATCGGATCCACCACTATCGGTGATTCATTGGCAATCTGCGAATTCCTCGCTGAATCTCACCCTGAGCTTCCTCTCTGGCCTCGCGACCGTCAACTCAGAGCGTTGGCACGCAGCGCTGCTGCCCAGATGCATTCGGGCTTTTCGACGTTGCGAAATCTATACAGCACCAACTTCCTCGCCCGATATACCGGCAACGTGCCAATTCCAGAAGAGGCTCTAGTGGACATCAAGCGCATCTTAGCTTTGTGGGACGAAGCACGAAAGGCTACAAAAGAGCGCCTTGCGGCGCTCGGGGAGGCTGACGAAGGTTTTCTGTTTGGAGGATTCAGTATTGCCGATGCCTTTTTCTGGCCTGTGCTTTGGGTATGGATTTCTTGCACTGGGGATATACGATGAGTGTTACTGATAATACCAGCGATTCCGATCCTACGGCCTTCCTCTGACGTCTGCGAGTGAAGATGCTCTTGCTTGGATGGCTACTATGTGGAACGATCCCGCGTTCCGGTCTTTGAGCGAGAAGTATTACCTGCAGGCCAAGGATCCGGAAACCCGTATTGAGCATTATGATGATATCTATAAAGGCAGGGAAGACATTCACTACGATCACTTCCCCGAGGATTGGACATTCTCAGTGCCTAAATGAGACGGCTGATGCCCCTACTCAAAACTTGGGTATCAGCTCTACCGGAAGAGGAAATACAGCGATCAAGCATCATTGCCCAATTCACTTAACGAGCGAGGGCAGACAAGAAACACACAAAATGATCATTATCTAGCTTAGACTTTGATAGACTGAGACTGACTTTCACTAAGATGATACTTTGGCCGCCCAAGTTACCGTAGTGTCATTTAGAGTTGCGATGCTCTACAGTACTACAGCAAGGAAAATTTAGTTTCATAATTCATTCTCATTGAAATTCGTAGATCACTGAAAAGAATTCCAAGGATAAGGCCCCGAAACAAATAGAGCAAACAATCAGAAGGGGAATATAGTTTTCGAGAACAAAGTGAAAACATTTTGAACACAAAGCAGAGCTTCTATTACCGTATTCAATGCGATCCTGCACAGCGCCAATTAAAAACGAGAATCGGAACAACTTTACCACTCGAGGGGCTCGTTCTTCACATCACCACGGTTGGTCTTAGGAACGGGAGCGGCCTCGATGCGGGTAGCGCCGCGGTTGCCACGCTTGAGGTAGCCACTGCCGTCCAACCAGGGGGTCTCGAGGCTGCGCTTGGTCTCGAAGTTGCGAATCTTGCTCTCCATCTGGAGAGTAAGACCAATGTCATCGAGGCCGTTGACGAGGCAGTGCTTGCGGAAGCTGTCGACCTCGAAGGAGGCGAGCTTGTTGCCCTCGGAGTCCTTGATTTCCTGATTGACAAGGTCGACTTCAATTTCGCGGCCGGCGTGGGCCTCAGCGGCGATCTTGGCCAGAGCAGCTTCGTCGCTGATAGGGACGGGAAGCATGCCGTTCTTGAAGGTGTTGTTGAAGAAGATATCAGCGAAAGAGGGGGCGATGATGCACTTGATGCCGAAATCGAGCAGAGCCCAAGGGCGTGCTCACGGGAGCTACCGCAGCCGAAGTTCGGGCCAGTGACGACCAGGATCTTGGATTGGCGGTAAATGCCCTGGTTCAGGATGAAGTCCGGGTTCTCCTTGCCTGTAGCGGGGTCATAGCGAAGCTCGTAGAAGGCTGCGGTACCGAGACCAGTACGCTTGATAGTCTTCAGGAACTGCTTGGGGATGATGGCGTCGGTATCGACGTTCGAACGGTCCAGAGGAGCAGCGATACCCTTCAGGGTGGTGAACTTCGGCAGGCCAGTGCTGCTGCTGCTGCCACCACCAACGGAGGTGTTGGTGTGGGGCTCGTTATCAGCGGGGAGGTCGAGGACACGGTCAAGCTCATCCTCGGTCTCGGGGGGAGTCAGCCTCGGGCTGAGTCTCGATGACAGGTTGAACCTTGGCAATGACTGGGCTAGCGACAACATGCTCGCGAACGTCGGCAAGTTTGCCAACAATGGCAGCAGTCGCTGCCATAGCAGGTGACATCAGATGAGTGCGGCCCTGAGCACCCTGGCGACCCTCGAAGTTGCGGTTGGAGGTGGAGGCACAACGCTCCTTGGGGGAGAGAATATCGGGGTTCATACCCAGACACATAGAGCAACCAGCCTCACGCCACTCAAAGCCAGCATCGGTGAAGATCTTGTCGAGACCCTCGGCCTCAGCCTGCTCCTTGACCAGACCAGACCCGGGGACAATCATCGCGCGTAGAATGTTAGAAGCAATCTTCTTGCCGTTGACCACCTTGGCAGCGGCGCGCAGATCCTCAATGCGGGCGTTCGTGCAAGATCCGATGAAGACCTTGTCGACAGGAATCTCCTTCATGGGGGTACCAGGGGTGAGACCCATGTACTCAAGAGCACGCTTGCAAGCGAGCTTACGGCTCTCGTCCTCAAAGTCGTCGGGGCCGGGGACAACTCCGTTGATAGGAACGACATCCTGGGGGGAAGTGCCCCATGAGATGGTAGGAATGATATCCTTGCCATCAAGGTAGATCTCAGTGTCGAACTTCGCGCCAGGGTCGGTCTTCAGAGTAGACCAGTAGTTAACGGCCTTCTTCCACTCGGCGCTGCCGTACTCAGGAGCCAGGGGACGGCCCTTGAGGTACTCAAAAGTGATTTCATCGGGGGCAATCATGCCAGCACGAGCACCACCCTCAATGGACATGTTGCACATGGACATACGGGCTTCCATGCTGAGGCCACGAATCACGGATCCACAGAACTCAATGACAGCGCCGGTACCGCCAGCAGTTCCAATGACACCAATAATGTGGAGAACGACGTCTTTGCTGGTGACACCGGGAGGAAGCTCGCCATCGACCTGGATCTTCATGTTCTTGCTGCGGCGGGTAAGGAGGGTCTGAGTAGCAAGGACGTGCTCGACTTCACTGGTACCGATACCGAAAGCGAGCGCACCGAAGGCACCGTGGGTGGAGGTATGGCTGTCACCACAAACAACAGTGGTTCCGGGCAGAGTGAAGCCCTGCTCGGGACCAATAATGTGGACAATGCCCTGCCGCTTGTCACCCATACCGAAGTAGGTGAGGCCGAAGGTCTTGACATTTTCCTCGAGGGTGGTACATTGGAGACGCGAGTCATTTTCCTTGATGAAGTCGGAGGCGTTCTTGAAGTTCTTGCGGGAGGAGGTGGGGATGTTCTGCAGGCAAAGGAAAATCCGGTTAGCTACAACGCCGCCATGGGTTTTGAAGATCCAACATACATGGTCAACGGTCACCAGAGTGCAGTCCGGCCGGCGGACCTTGCGGCTGGCATTTGTGAGACCCTCGAAAGCCTGAGGGGAGGTCACCTCGTGGACGAGATGGCGGTCTCAGGGATGGTTGTTAGAGAATATTGAGACGGTGCGGGACAGTTCGGCATACCGATGTAAAGCAGGCAAGTGCCATCGTCTTGCTCGTTGACAATGTGGTCAGCGAAGACCTTGTCATACAAGGTTCTCGGTTTCGTCTCTGCGGAAGGCATGTTGTACAGGTAATTCAGATTGAGAGTAGTGTGGAGTTAGGGATAGCAGAAACAACTTATATTTTGCCGTGCCCGCGATGTCGCTGGGGAGCTACTCGAGGGGCAACGCCGATCTCGGTCGGTCAGCGGCCAATACTTGGGAAATAATTGGTTGAAGTGGCGAAACTGCGGAGCCACGACACCGGCCGGTATCGGCCACCGACAAAAATGTGACGGCGGGTAGTGGCGCTTGTGGGCGGCTGGTCTCGACTCTTTTTGACTCATCTTTTATTCAGATATCTTGAGTAGACTTGGATGTAAAGTTGAAGACGACCACGATCACGATCATAACTTACGTTCACTCACAAAGTCCTAGATCTTGGATCTGATACTGTTGACTTTGTCTAGAGTTGCAATGTTCCAGTGCAAAACTTAGATGACGCGGACCAACAACTCTGGGGTCAAGCATTAATGGCTGGGCATTGATTGGCTTCGGCCGCCGGAGACCGATCGCGCCCCGCCTGCAGATTATCACGCTGATTGCTCCAGAGCAGTTGTAGAGGGGCGGTGCATTTGCGGAGGAAGGCATTAGCAATGAAGTGGGTCGGTCTTCCTAAGTGTCAGTTTGACTCATTTTACCTGGAATCGCATTGGTAATTTCAAGATCTCAAGTCACCATGTGAAGTCGTATGCTTGGGGGTGGGCGGTGAACACATTTCCTGCTCTCACAATGTCCCGAACAGAACCACGAGCATCTTGAATCTGGGGTAGGTTTCTCGATACACTTAAGTGTGGTTTGGCTTGTGTCCAAAATTATTAAACAGTATCTACAAACATGCATTGGACGATCAAAAGCCCGTCAAATGCTTCCGTTCTCTATCCACACGTTCATGTCTTTTGACCATATTTATTCCTTGTAAACAAACATGTGTAAAAGTGTATTTCTCAATCTAATTTACTCCGAACACCTTGAAAGTTCGACCTCCATCGCATGATGGACTTTCCTGAAGAAAAATCAAAGAATAAGCCCTATGATCGCTCGCCGAGCCCCACCACAATGCGTTTCCCAGAGGCCGATCCACTCCGCAAGACCTCCAATGCTGCATTGATTCCTTCTAATCCTCCTTCCGCCACGATAATTTCTGGCAATGTCAAATTGCCAGAACTGAGCAAATCCTCCAACCAGGTTACCATGGCCTCACCCACGGTAGGTGCTGTATGAAACAACTTTATGGGCGCGGTGTGATGGTGGATACCTGGAGCTTGCTCCTTGGGCAGTCCTGTAAGACCCAAGAGATGTGAGTGTCCAGAAGAATCGAGGGCCTTCTGAAGAAGTGAAGCTGTATCCTTGCCAACGACATCCATTGCAAACCGCAGCTTACCACCAGTGACACCGATGATAATCTCTACCGCGCGGGCGGTATCGAGGCGATCAACGAGTAAATCGGCACCGGACTGCACAAGCTTAGCCCCGTGTCTCGCGACATCAGCCACACAGATGACTCGTAGACCAGCAAGTTTAGCCAGCTGAAGAGCAACAAGGCCGGTAGTTGTTGAGGCTTCAAACCGTCAGTCAGGTACAGAAAGGGATGTTCGATATCTTACCTCCCCAGATCGCAATCCATTCACCGGGCTGCGGCCGTTGTGACTCCGACGACGAAGCAAAGCATTCATCGTGAATGTCACGTGGGATCTCGCTCTTTTCAAGCCTGTTGATGACTTCGATCAGGTTTGGACCAGGACTTCGCTTCAGACGGGAAAAGTCTTGCCCAAATGAAACGCCTAAACCCAGGGCAGCAGCGACGAAGGCAACGCCGACCGAGGCAGAAGCTTGGATACAAGTTGAAGACGGGATGCGAGCAGCATTGAAATCGGTGGCAACTGCATACTCTTGAAAAGCTGCTTTCCGAATGTCACGATAGTCTGTTGAGGGCACCAGAACGACATCGCCAACACGAAGACGAGACGACTCATTGGGGACTTGGACGACTAGTCCTGCCAGATCCCGACCGTTGATCCATGGTAAGCCGGGAATGCCAAAGTTGAACGCACTATGGTACAATTGTCAGTCAATGAGATGATTGTGTAAGTATGAATTCGGCCAACATACGGTCCCTTCCAGTCGACTGGATTGAGGCCGATTGCCAGTACCTATCAATAAGTCATCAGTACTTTGCATGCAGACCAGTGTAGGGCCAAGATAAACATACTTTGACTAGAATTTCACCAGGATGTATAGTAGATGGAACACTATGATCGTCGACTAGGGTGTATTGCTCCTGCGCCCCTTTGAGGAGCAGTACCTTTTGCCTTGTCGCCACAGTCTCGGACTTCTGAGAAAAATTTCTCTCTCTTAATTGATGAGGGACATGAGATGGAGGCTCAGAAAAGAAGCAGCGACGAAAATGTGTTCGCTCATTTCGCGCTTCGGCGAGCTGAAGGCAGGTAGTGGTTGACATGATGGCGGGTGCTACTAAGGCCACACTTGGATGCAACAACCTCGAGACTCAGATCCAGTTTATCTCTATCTATATCTGGTTTGAGTATTACCAACCCAGAGCTCTTCTCGGGCGAGAAATTGAGAAGGCAATGCACGCTCGCCATCAGGAAGCGGGGGCATTGATATCAGTCCTGGCCAAAAGCACGCACTGAGTTTGGAGGGTCTCCACTGGGCGCTTGGCCTGGGCAATATCCAATAGAAAAGGGCTAAATGAAAGCGTTTTGGCACAAACTTGCGCCATACGACCTATCCTGTGGCTTCAAGATATGGGTCGGGGTTACTTGTCGTTGCTCATGGCGGGGGCTGGATGGCGTGATGAAGACTCCTCGTTGGCAGCCTTGGGGAGGGCAATGAAGATCTCACCGTAATAGCTAAGCAAAATTTCCCTTCTCCTGGTCTATCAAAGTGTGACTTTTGTATTGAGGTCATCCTCATGAATGAAGGGATATAGGGTTTTTTCTTTGCGACCTTGTGAAATCGGCAATGTTGGATAAAAGTCAAGACTTCTTCGATTCACGTCGCGATTCCCAGATACCTCAGGTCTGGCTCTCAATTCGATGGAGATGATGAAATCCGAAGGTGCCTTGTTGAGTAAAGCTGATGTGATCCGGGGCTCTGATGACGAAACCCTGAAATTGCTTGGCTGGGTTCAAGTAGCGCTGTAATTCAAGAGCGAACCTCGATTGGACCAAACGACGCGTTTCGAAGAATAAACGGGCATCTTTAGAATACTGAATAGACTCGAATGTATTGCATGTTGGTTAACCAGGCATCAGTTCGTCTTGTGGTGATTCAATGGCCATAACAAGGGGAAATGAAAGGAGGATCCGCCATTACATTAATTTCGCAATATGTACTCGCAGAGCGAACGTGATATTCAAGATCAAGATTGTGGCCATTCACTCAAACCCAACAAGATAAGGAGGATATTTTCGGTGAAGGTTGCCCTAATCGCGAAATGCTTATTTTTCATTTGCTCCAGCTCGGCCTCGCCATATCCCAATCCCGAATTTCTTAACCAAATGCTGAGATAGGCAACACTTTACTCCTTTTCTCTGGCAGCATTCTATGTAGCATACAAGTATATTACCGGCCCAAGTACAAAGGCCTGTGTCGGAGGCATTAAATGCAGCCGGCGATTCGTTGTCGAGGCCGATCTAGAGCCGCCTGAGAGTAGACGTGCACCTCGGCCGTGTGTACTACCTAATTTGACATGAATGAGAGCAAATTAGCAACCAATGTTGAAGCGCATGCCTTTCATAGTAATTCTAAACTCTCTTTTATTCAACGAGGGCTTATGTCACTTCTTGATGGTTCGTGCGAGCACGTAATACTCTCCAAGAACGAGAACATCTTGTTTTCCTTGAAAAGGCATCAGCCAAACAAACAAGGGCCCAAGCGATGGTTGAAAACGTGGGGGGTTCGATGTTGCCATAGCACGAAATGCCGTGTTTCATTGCAGAATTCCGATAATTAGATCTATTTCTGCTATCATGCAGCATACTTAAATCTGGCGGCCGTCTCTAGCTGACTCTGGAAGCTATCTGGTCAGCTACTCAAATTTTTTTTTCCTGCCACTTTCAAAATGGCAAACTTCGAAAAGGCCACTCCGTCGAAAGATGACGAAGTTAGTCGTGACTCCTTTGATACTCCCGCCGTTGGGCAACAGCCAGGTAAGAGTAGTTCTCCTTGTTTGAGACTATCCGTTCATCAATTGAGACCATGCTGACACGACACACAGTGAAATGGTACCGATCAACCTTCTACAATGCCATAATTCTTGGGCTCTGCAATCTTCTCGCCCCAGGCATCTGGGGTGCAATGAACTCATTGGGTGGAGGAGGGGAGGAGAGACCGTATCTTGTCAATGCCGCAAACGCCCTCACATTTGCCCTCATGGTAGTCTCATGCTTTTTTTCCAGCATATTCGTGCGCTTCATTGGAATCAAATGGACTTTGATCGTAGGAACAATGGGGTACGCACCATACGCAGCCGGGCTATATGTGAACAACCGATTCGGCGACCAATGGCTGGTGCTCCTCGGTGCAGCACTGTGTGGTTTGTCGGCGGGTATTTTCTGGGCGGCTGAAGCAGCTATCGCACTTGCGTACCCTGAGCCCTATAATCAAGGGCGATTCTTGGGCTTCTGGCTCAGCTTTCGGGTTGGAGGACAAATTCTCGGAGGTGCTATCAGTTTGGGAATCAATGCTCATCGTGCGTCCGAGGGCAGTGTTTCATATGCTGTATACCTCGTCTTCATTGTGCTTCAGGCTTTGGGGCCCTTTGCTGGCTTGCTGTTGAATAATCCGTCCCAGGTCCAGCGAAAGAACGGTGTCCCTGTTCAACTTCGAGTCACGAAAGGCGTCGGGTATGAGATTCGGGCTATGTTGAAGCTCTTCGTCAGTCGCAAATTTCTTCTGCTCATCCCTTTTATCTGCCAAGCGGTCTACACAGAAGCGGTAATGTTCTCATACGAAGATTTGTGGTTCTCTGTGCGCTCAAGAGCTCTGGGCTCTTTTTTGTCTGGTGTGGTTGCTTTAGTCATCGGAAACCTGCTGGGTACATTCCTTGACAACAAATTCATATCACTGAAGACGCGGAGTCGGACTGCATTACCTTTGTTGTGGCTTGGCAAGGAATGTGCTGGATTTGGGCATCTGTGTTAACTACAGGATTCAACAAGACGGACCCTGTGTATGACTGGGTCGATGCTGGGTTCGGAAGGCCCTTTGCTCTCTTCATTTTCTGGGTTGCTGGGTTTCAACTCAATTACATGTATCTGTATGTACACTCACTTTGATCCATCTGATGTGTATGCTAACAGGGATGCAGGTTCTTCCTGGTCGGAAATCTCGCCGATGATCATGAAGAAGTCGTTCGAATCGCTGGCTTACTGCGGGGAACAGAGTCTGCCGCCCAGTGTGTTAGCGTACGTTTACCATCGTTTCTTTCGTTCATGTTGGTCTTTCATAAGCTAACGACTTTGCTTTAGTACGGCCTAAGCAGCGTGTTCATTATGGCTTCCGTCGGAAGCGTTTATTTCAACTTTGGCCTCTGGGCAATCGCGATTCTGCCTGCCTGGCTTATTGTTCGACAGGTCGGACATGCTTTCGGCGATAAGAAAATCGACAGGGAGACTCGTGCCTTGCGGGACACTTCTCTCAATTAGTAAATGATGACACACATAGACGACCTCACAGGAGATTCAAATTTGAACTGTTGGTTACCAAATGAAGTAATAAAAGATACCTCTTTGTGGCCTCATGCAAGGCGAGCATTAGTATGTACACAGAATAGAAACATCGACAGATGGTTTCCTCTCGAATCTATTGGCACAACGGACGGTTAAACATGCCATGGGTTGAAGATCTCGAGTCCAATGTTATCCTGGTGGAACACCAGTAAGGCGAGACGATGTCGTACGAACAGGCCAAATATTCCACAGAAAGTCTGGACTCCGACCATGTGCCACGCAAGTCGATCTTCTTTCATTGGCCCCATCCACACGAGCCAAAGATTCAAGATCGTCAGATTTGAGGATTCAATGATATTGCCGTCTCCGTCCTTCTTCACTCGCACCAGGCGCAATATGTGTAGAAGGTCAAGTGTGGTGGTAATCAATGGCGATGGAGGAATAGTCCATTCCGTTACAGAGGCATCAAGCAGACCGGTAGACGCGTTGAACTTTGGCAGTCGATGGCGCGGGCAAGGAATCAGGTGAAACAGCTGCGGTGTCGAGTAAATAAAATTAAAGATCTGCGGAATGAATAGGAGCAAAAGAGTCTTGCTGAAATGGCCCAAGATGCCCACAACCGCAAACACCATGCCCGCAAAGTAACAGTAGGTATCACCCACGAACACCTTGGAGGGATACCAGTTGTGGCACAGCAGCGCTGCTGAAACACCAATAAATGGCAGCAAAAAGTAGATCGAAAACAAGTGGGAGTCAGTAGCTGGATGAGGGTATGGCGTGATAGGCGCCAGGTACATTGCATCATTGAACAATAGCAGAACTGCGATGACAAGCGACTGAGCCACCTCTATTCCATTGATACCGGCCAGCATATTGATGGCGTTTGGGCAGAAGATTGCCACGGCTGCCATGTACATATAGTACAGCCATCCAAGGTCAATGAAATCACCGAGGTACCGTTGCAGCGGGACTGGCACAACGACATGTGTCACGCCAAAGTCAACAAAGTACACGATGAGCATCGGGATGGAGGCAAAGGCAGGGATCAAGACTTTGTGTCTCCAGCGAATATCAAGCAGGTCATCTCCAATTCCAAGAATGACGATGGATTGCAGGGATAGAAGACCTGACAGGTACGATGCGAGCTACCACGGGCACAATTAGTTCAATGCGTAACCTCAAACGAGAAGACTGACAAACCTTGCCATGGGGGAATCTATGCAGGTACCGACCCGTCTCAATATGTTGGTCTTCGATCACAACATCGCGATTACCTCCGCCAGACGTGGCGGCGACAATGTCTTTGTAAAAGGCAAAAGGAATGAAGACGATGAGACAGATGAGATATACCACGGCACAGACGGCTCCCATGGTTTCCGGGCTGAAGCAAGAATTAGCCCTGTATACCCATGCCATTGAAGGCTACTGAGCGGTATACTTACATTTCAGGTCTTCTGGGCTTTGCCATATCCTTACCTTTCAGACCAGCTTTGATAAAGACAGGCCCGAGCCATCGAATCATGCTGAATGTGATTGCAAAGGCAATAATGGTCATTGCAATTGAGGCAATTAGAGGCGCGCCATCACCTTGGAACGTGTTGACCAGAACGCCGATACCTGCTCCCACCAAGAGCAGAAGACGCCAAGTCTCCGCCCGGGAGAGATCACTTGGAGTGGTCATGATGAGCGATTGGCTCTGATGCCGGGGTCTGAGAAATTCAGCAACCCGATCAATCCCAGACGAAGTGAATAACAATTTTAAAAAGAGCAAGAGCTTACGCAACCTGGCATCAAGCCGGAAGCAGCGATAAGCTTATCGATTCTGCCGAGAACGCACACACCGCTTTGTGGGCGGCGAGATCCAGTCCCGTGATACTGGCGGCCGAGAAAGGCAAGCCGCAGGGACGCTGAGACACCTCTGTTTCATGTCACAGCATGCATACGTTTGGGTGAAACGCATCATTGGCCCATTGACGGATTACCCTGGCTCTATCTAGTCAAGTCAAAGATCTGGTCTTGATGGGGGCAGTGGAGCACCCCGAGATGGCTGGCGGTTTTGCCGACTTCGATGCTGGCCACCGGGATCTGGTATCGGTTACCAAGTTCAACTTTTACGGAAACCGCATTGTCACGGCCTCGTCCGATCATCGCATGAAAGTTTGGGACTTGAAAGATAATCAATGGCAGCTGACGGACACCTGGCGAGCCCACGACGCGGAGATTCGCGATGTAAGACTCAAAGAAAACAGTGCCTGATACCGCGTGGCTGAATCTAAGCTAAACCCTTGTTCCAGGCAACATGGAATGGTCCCTTCTCTGGTCAGCATATCGGCAGCGTGGGAGAAGACATGAAGTTCAAAATCTGGCAGGAAGATGTAACCCAGCCGCCTAACTCGGGCCGTCGGTTCAGGTCCATCTTTCGCATGACGGCTCCTCAAAGACACCCATTTGTGTCGTTGGACTTCCGCAATATTGATCTGGAATCATGGCTCGCCTTGATCACAAGAGATGGCTACTTGATGATTATGGAGCCGGTCAGTCCAGATAGTCTGGCGGACTGGCAAACCATTGACCAATTTCGCGTATGTCCCGCGCCTGAACGCGGCGAGGAGACAAGCTTCAGGGTCCAATTTCACCATGACCCCACAGACATTACACACACCCTTCTGCCGGACTCAGATCCGAAGAGCCTCTCGCTGGTTGTGGCAGCCATGGACACAGTCAAGATATATCGCACCGATGCGAATCGGCGCTTTTATCATGCCATTGAATTGAATGGGCATGGCGGTCTCGTACGGGACATCTCCTGGGCCAATGGCTCTGTCCGAGGCTATGATCTCATCGCAAGTGGAGGCAAAGATGGCTTGGTCCGTATCTTCGAGGTCCACACCATTCCCATCAACCAGGGATCCCAAAATTCCAACTCCCGAAAGGACGATCGTCGTCAACAGCAATCATCACTGCGAGGAATGTCGCAGTCAGGCATTGGGTCTGCTCTCGCAACCCGTGCGCCTTCTTCGCCTTCCAACCGGCCAGCGACTGGAGACTCTCAATTTCGACACTCCTTCAAGCAGGTGGCTTGTATTGACAGCAAGCATATTGATGTGTGGCAAGTTGAATTTTCTTTCGCGGGTAAGCTGTGATCCCTTATGTACTCTTTATGCCCTGACATGGCTTTTCCAGGTGATTCTCTTATCTCCTCTGGCGATGATGGCGTAGTCCGGTTCTGGAAGAAATCGTTGACCGGAGAGTGGCTGGAGTTTGCGGAGACGGACATGGCCTCGCAATGAGATTTACCTTTTTTTCCCTTTTACTCTACACCAAGAGCAACTCCTAATCTGTCAGGATATTGTACCCTTGGCAGGTAGTTCAATGATACCCTTTCATTTCATTCCAAAGTTTGAATATGAATACGATGCTGTGGTATTGTGCTATCTTCAGATCATGTTGATGCGCGTCCTGATGGGAAGTTCTAAATATGTGGTGCGGCAGGTGCGACACGAGTGCGGGCGTGTCTTGAGTCCCTGCTGTGTTTCTCGGATTTTCTTAACTTCGCGATATTCTTCGACCTTACCTATGGTCGCCACTCATTAATCATTCTTATATGAAACGCACACATGGCCGTGAGCCCAACACTCGGCACTGGGCTGTTCAATGGTGCCGGTCAAGCCCTGGCCACCGGTGGCCCGGCTTCATTGCTAATTTCCTACATATTTCTATCACTATTGGCCTACTTCATGGTTACGACTGCCGCTGAAGTCGCTACTCATACACCCTCTCGAAATGGTACCCTAGTCACACACGTCTTTCGATACATGACTCCTAGCATGGGAGGTTGCTGCCGGCTTTCTTCGCTGGTATGCCTTGGTCATGTTTGTCCCATACGAGATTACGACTGCGGTGGTGAACCTCGGCATGTGGAATCCCGGATCTGCAATCGCGGGCCAACTGTCTATCATCACGGCCGTCGTCGTAGGCTACAATTTCATTCCCGAGCGATTATCTGGGAGTTTCGAGAAGTTGCTCACCAGAATCAAGATCGGCACCATGGCCAGTCTCCTTGTTCTGTCTATTTCTATTGCTATGGGTGGTGCTACTGGACATGATAAGTGGGGATTTCAGTACTGGAAGAGACCTGGTGCGATGCGTGAATACTTGGTAAAAGGCGCGATGGGAAAGGTCTTGGGCTTGCTACAGTGCCTTCTAACCAGTTCCGTCGCCTTCGTCCTAGCCCCCGAAATGATCGTTCAACGTGCTGAGTCCCCCCCCAAGCACCGAGTGAGTCTGAAGTGACCGAAACCCTGGATGCTGACATTCAGTCTGGCCTGCCGCAACGGGTGACCATTGACGTTGCTACTACGATTGTACCATATATCTTGAGTTCCTTGGCCATGGGATTGATGGTCCCATATAACGATCCTCTTCTTACCAACAATGGAACTGGGGCAGGCTTAGCCCCTTTCGTCATTGGACTCAACATGGCGAAAGTTCGGATTGTCCCCGTCATCGCAACCGTATCGATCGTCTTTTCCTCGGTCGTCTCCGGTCAATCGTTTTTGTTCACTGCTTCACATGTATTGGTCGCCATGTCAGAGTATGGCCACGGACCCAAATTCTTCCAACTCCGCAATAGACATGGTATTCGTTACGTGGCCGTCACAGTGTCCGCCCTGCCTGCTCTTCTTGCCTTCATGTCCCTCGCGGTTTCCAGCTCAGCTGTGTCGAACTACTTTCTCCTCTTCCTCAACAGCTCCGGCTTCATGTCCTGGCTCATTACCGCCTCTGTATACCACCATTACAGACGAGAAATGAAATTGCGAGGCATCACCCGCGCGTATCGGTTCGACATCCAACCCTTCGGTACATACTTCGGGCTAGCTGCCAGTGCTGCAATGATTGTGGCCAATGGCATCACTGGAGCGCTTCCTGGTTCTCGGGCTGAGACTAGAGTTGGCAGGCTTCTCGCTGCTTATATCACTCTCCCCATGTTCAGCCTTGTATACCTTTTCCATCGCTTCGGGGATGTGATTACCTATCGCAATCAAGAGAGCGAAGAGCACACTGGAGATAGCGGCTCTGATAATCTCACAGATCAACCTCCTCGTGAACGAAGCCCGGTAAATGGGCGATCCGATAGTTTATCAGCGCTCGAGATGGATCAAATTTGGTCATTGGCCAGGGAAGCTTAAATGATGTGGTGTGTGCAGGCAGCGGCTACTTGGATCCGGGGATTTGGAGTTGTTCTTTCATTTATCAATAGTTCTGTTTGCTTCTTTTGTTCTTGAACTATTGATACAACTGTTTGGCGCCAGTGCCTCATGCCCTTACTACTTTTGGAATCACGTAGACTACATTCACGTGGCATGTGCACCAACTTCCCACACCAACTTTTTCCAATTTCGAATATCACTTCATTCATCCCTCCATTCTCAAATTTGATACTCACGATCACCTTCTGTCTCTGACCCCCTGGTGTGCTCGTTATTGATACTCCGCGTTCTCCGTCGGTGTGTATCGGGTGTGCTGCTTGATGTATCATGGGGGGGCACCCCCGCGCCACCAAAATCAGACCAAGCCAACCTGGCGCGTCCAGATAACAAGTGCCAGGTCTTATGCTGAAATTACGGTTGCCTCAGATTCTCAGATCTGAGCGGAAGGTGTATGTCAACCCTGGTTCAGCTGCTGGTGCTGATGTTGATGCTCGACGGGCCGCGGGTGGACCATACAGAATCAATGCTCGTTTTCCGCCTAAGGATCGACTTGACGTTTTTGATTAGCCCTGTTCCTTGCGCACCAGCATCCTCTATAGTGGCAAAAAAAAAGGCCACCAAATCACAAGATTGGAATAATAATATTGCAGACCTGCTGAACATCCCATCCCCCCCCTTTTTCACACTTACTTAGGAATCTCTTCTTCCGCCCCGATCCTAAGTTACCGAGTTCCCACTTCCGGTGCTTAGTCGTACACTTTGTGTCCTTCAGGCCTTTTTCTTCTACCCTACGCCTGGGCCAGAAAGGCTTTTGGGCCCCCCCTCCCCTCGCGACATCTGCGCCACTTGCCCACCCCCCCTACCCTGCCCCATTCATCCTTCCCGCTGATCTCCCTTTTTTCCATGGACCATGTTCCGCTCTATACTCTTTGCTTCTGCACCCCCCCTTGCCCCCCATGGTCGGAATTTCCTCCCCCTTTCCTGAATCCTTCCATTGCTATCTGCTAGCCGCTTTCTGATTCTATCAGATCCGTGCAAGGCGTTGTCTCTCGTTGAGAAGACGCCTCACAGAATGCTTCTGGCCATTCCAGGGCCCTTTGCTCTTGTCTGCATAAAGACAACTTCCTCTGGGACTCGTTGGGACAAGACATCTGCCTATCCCCCTCGGAGCACTGAGCTGTCCTCTGTCGAAATTCAGTGAGACCTATGCGTATTTCACAGGTCACCAAGTCACACTGAGGTGCCTCCGAAACCCGATCGTGCATCGAAACCTGATTGCGCTGGGATGGGACACCCATATTGAAACTTACTTTTCTATACGACTAATGATCATCTAGATGCTAACCTACAGACCTAGGAGTAGGTACACGGGAAGATGTCCTATCTTACCTATCTTACTCAGTCTCCCCCATGCATTTCTGGGCCGTGGACTCCCCACCGAGTTCTTCCCGACACTAGTCCCCTTCGGGTAGTGTCATCTTACCATTCCCGTACCCAAAGTCCCGTGACCTTCAGCAATGCCCTGTTTTTTTCGTTTTCAGGTCGAGTCACTCTTCTGGTCGCATCCCAGCGCGTGGTCCACGCTAGACCCTTTTCGCCCTCCTGGTTCGGGGCCCATTCGCTGCCTTAGGCCCGCCTCTCCTCCTTCAACTCGAATCACCCTCTTTTCCCTCTCCTTTTCCCACTGCGCAGTTCCTGTCTTCCTCGGATCCCCTCAGTTTCATTTGTTTCCGTCTCTTCCACCATCACTATTATCTGAAAACCTCGTCTCCTCCTTCTCGTCCTCTCTACGCGATCCCGTCACTCACCCTTTTCGCCCTCGACTCGTCCCCCTCTGACCACGACCCTATCTTGCTCCCACGCAATCGCGCCTTTCAACCTCTCTTACCTCGAATCGCCTCGAGCCTCAGTCTATCCTCCGGCGCTTTTGAGATCGCTATCTGAAACCCCCTTCCTTCCACCCTTCTGGACACGGGCAGGCGCATTCAGCCAAGATTTTCCGACCTCGTCAGCCCACCTTGGCTATTCAATAGCCATCGGGATTAATCCAGTTTTCCTGTTCAAACCAGTCCATTGTAGTGGCCGGTTTACTGAGGTTTCCACTGGAGGCCATTTACCTTACCGTTCCCTTGCTGCGTGGTCCACTGGCCGAACGCGTCTGGCATTGACGAGGAGAAAAAGCAGTGAGCCGTCTGCAAAAGCGGTCGTTGACATGCCCATTGAATGGTGACGGTACGGCGACGCCATTCCCCACATCCCAAAAACACCATTTTGCCGTTACCTGAGAGGGGGTGATCTGTCAGACTATGACAGATACCTCCTCCCTCGCCATCACGCACGCCACGACGGATTCGTATCCGGTCCCCGCTCCTCTGGGCTCACCTCTCGCCAACGGTGCCATTTCGGACTCAGTCGCCCCGACGAAGAAGAGCCGTACACCATCAAGTGCATCTGTCAGTTTGACGAAGATGATGGTAACACGGTATTCTGCGAAGGGTGTGAGACATGGCAGCACATCATCTGTTACTACCCTAAACATAGGGTCCCTGATGTGCACAACTGCGTCGACTGTGAGCCTAGGCCTCTGGACGTCCGTCGCGCTATCGAGCGCCAGCGGGCAGAGAGTGTCAAAGAGCGAAGTGAGGACGGTGACCGGAAAAAGCGACCGAGTGCGAAGGCTACAAAGAAGAAGGGCAAGGAGGGCGACGTGAATGGGTTTGGCCATCAGCGAAGCGAGTCAAGGGCACGCGATCAGCCGCCGTCCAAGAAGACCAAGACTTCCCACCGCTCATCCGCGTCCATTAGCGCTCTCGCGGGTACCCAGATCCTTCCCTCGGAGACCCGTAAACGTCGTTCATCAACATCCATTGCTCCCAGCCCCACTAAGCCTTCTGGCCCTTCCATCCCGCTTTATTCGAACGAATTTCTTCACCTTTACGACCGAGACGATGAACACGTGGACATGGATAGTAATCTGTTTGTTAATGTGAACCTAGTTGGTGATACCGCTTCGTGGGTCAAAGATCCCGAGGCCTTGAAGCTGGTGACCAAGGGGAGCACTGAGGAAACGTTCAACTGGTCTGATGCGGCTTTGGATCGATCGCGTTGGCCGAATTTGACCACCGACGTTATCACGGGCCCTTCGCCTGAGATGGGCGGGCCCCAACCGACTTGGAAGATTTTAAAAACCCAGAATCCTGTGCAGAAAGATCAGATCGTTGGGGAAATCACGGGTAAGGTTGGCCTGTTCAAAGACTACTGCCTGGATCCCAAGAATCGGTGGCAGGAATTGCGACATCCCGAACCCTTCGTTTTCTTCAGTTCTCACCTTCCTCTTTACATCGACAGCCGCCACGAAGGCAGTGTTCTTCGCTACACCCGTCGGTCGTGCAATCCCAACGTCACCATGAAAATATTCATCACCAACGATGTCGAGTACCACTTTTGCTTCGTTGCCAAGGAGGATATACCCCCCAACTCAGAGATCACCATTATGTGGTATGTGGACTCATCTCTATCTGGGTCACCGGACTCTGAATTGCCCGAGTCATCGAATGGGGTGGTCAAGCAGGAGTCTGGTGACAGTACGACTGAGGCTGCGGCCATCACCACCGAAGCTGCTGCTATTTGCATAAGTAACACACTCGCGAATTTCGGGGGCTGTGCCTGTGGTATGCCTCGGAGTTGTCTACTTGCGAAATTGGATTCCCGGCGGCATCCTAAATCACTTGAGTCTGGTGTCAAGCAGGCGAACGGTAAGCGGAGGAGGGTCAAAGCGAAGTCCATCGCGTCGCCTCGCGATACAAGTCGCACTTCCATCAGTCGTGCTGGAAGCGAGACGACCAAACATGCAGAAGACGATGAAGTCGCCGCGGAATCTCGATCCACCTCGGGCTCCGCACGTGGTCACCCTCGAAGCCGTGACACCAGTCCTGTCATTGCGGAGTTGTCTACTCGTGAAAAGCGTAAGATTGCAGATGCCGAGAAACATTTCCAGCAATTGGAGCAACAAGAGCATCGCCCAGGGCAGAAGAAGAAGAAACGTGTCAGTGGGCCGTCGACGCAGTCACCTGCACCTGTGGCAAGCTCCACCCAAACCGGATACTTTCCTTCTCAGCCGCGCTCAGCCAAGTCACTCCGTCTTGATCCCGCTGGCCAATCTCGCTCTCCGACATCAGCGCTGTCCCCTGGATCTTTCCCCCCCTGGTCGTCATGGATCCCCTCGAAAAACGTCCAGATCAAGCACTCCATTCTCTCGCACTACGCATAATAAGCCCGCATACGTGGATGCCGCCGTCCAGGCCGATCTGAGCGAATCCGAGGATTCCATACTCCGCGACCCGTCACCGCGCCCTCGTTCGGTTTTTGTCCCTATAACTCTACGGCTGTTGAAAAGGTTTAGCATGGATCGGATGAAATCCGAAGAGGATGCGCGGCAGCAATTATCTTCGGCCGGTTCCGATAGTGCGGGTCCTGCAGCATCGTCATCCCCTTACACGGTTCGATCTCCAGTGGTCAGTCACAGCGATTTTGCCATGGTCGATGCGGACAACGAGCAGAAGCCTTCAACGCCACTTGGCCAAATGGATGCAGAGTTGCAAGGTGACTCTAGCAATGTTGAGTCTGAATCGCTTCCAGCCAATCAGGATCTCAGCAAGCCGCCTATCCCTCCTCCCTGGCCATCCACTGCTGCTCACAACACCCGTCTCCCTGGCTCTATAATGCCGGCTGGTCGTGGCAACCTTCGTGTCACTATGCCCCCTCCATCTACAATTCCTACCGCCCCTTCTTCCGCGGTCAGCCCGAGAACCGCATCTCTCAATTCTCCGACCAACTTTGATACATCTCCCAATGCCACTATGCCTCCGGCTCTCTCCGCGGCACCTGCACCTACCCCTGCCAAGAAAAAGCTCAGCCTCGGTGATTATCTTAACCGAAGAAATACCATGACGACCACTCCCAATTCGGAGAAGTCCCAGGTTCAGGCAGCAAGTTTCGCTTCCCAGACATCACCCTCCACGCCAGGGTCAGGCCCAACCCCCAGTGCCGATGGTGAAAAGACTCCCAGCAAGGCTCCTCCCGTCGCCAAGGCAGAGGCACCACTAAGTTCACCCGATGCAGTAATGAAAGACGCTCCGGAACCTACTCAACCTCACATCCCCTCCATCTCATCGTGACCTGTTCACAGTGACATGTTCTCGTGCGGTGGGTGAACTTATGGACTTACGTGTTAACGACTCCAAAAATCTTTCTTGCGTGACTTGATCTGGCCCCTACTGAGCGGGCCTGGCGTTTCGGGCTGTTTGGATGACAGTTCTTCTTTTTTGTTTTTCTCTTTTGAGGCGTACTCGGCGTGTCAATTGACTGGGAATGGATGGTTACGGAAATACCAGGAATGGGTTCAGGGAACAGGGCTGCTACTCGAATGCAGTGCTCGATCTTTCATGATTTGTGAGATTATCTGCTGAATTACGTTTTCTCCCCTTCGACGTCACCATTTCTCATGGTACGGATAGCTTGTATGAACAACACGTTGATCATTTTTGTCGCATCGTCTCAACTTGATCGTAGAGTGTAGTATTGTCCTTCCGTTCGAAATTGTTTGTAGGTCAATTTTGGTTTCGGTGTATAATCATGCTTGGTTTGCATCTTTGGTCATAGACGCACCTGAACTGGTGAGCATTGACAAAGATTCTTTTGATAGATTCCTCAGTACATGGAAGTAGTTTATAAGGACTGAGAAATGAACGGTGGAAGTGTCTTGCCTCACCTGTGAAGTTTTCTTGCCCCAACATAAAGATTGGGGGCCGACATACTGTAAGTAGAAGGACTAGGGGACGAAGCACGCTGGGACTACTGATCTGCCTTTTGAGATCTTTCGCTGTTCAATTTCCACTCTCTGCCCTGCTAAGGTACATGCAACAGCGCAACGATGAGCGTCTCTCTTGAATCCTTCGCCTTGAACGAGGCCCAGTCTCAACAAACTCAAGAATTTGACATCGAACAGCGAGCGCTACGACAGGCAGATGGAGGAAGAGCTGCCTGGTTAATGCTGGCATCGTCGTGTCTCATTCAGCTGTCAACTTGGGGTATACCTCAACTTGAGAATGACTCAAATATACGAACTAATCTGCCGCAGGCTTCTCTACCGTGTTTGGGGTCTTCCAAGAGTATTATACGACTCATAGTGTCCTGCAGGGAAACAAAGGAGATCTTGCCACTGTTGGAGCCACTTCAGGAGTACGTTTCCACGCCCGCTCAACCCTTCTGATACGACCAATCTCTAAGCTGATGGACCTGCCAGGGCATTCTCTATCTCATGTCACCAGTGACCTTCACGCTGCTGACCCGGTATCCGTACCCTGCAAACATACTGCGCCCCAGCTGGACTGGTCATCACGGTGATCGGGTCGACTCTTTCTTCCTTCTCGACGGAAATATGGCATCTGATCGCTACCCAGGGCGTAGTATGCGCCATCGGTAATGGCCTCCTATGGAGCCCGAACTCGCTGTATCTTGATCAGTGGTTTATCCGGAAGAAGGGCTTTGCACTGGGTGTTATGTGGGCTGCAAAGAGCGTCACTGGCGTGGCTCTTCCTTTTATCACAGCTTCTTCTCTCGATCACTTTGGTTCGAGTACTACTTTGCGTGCTTGGGCGATTATCACGGTATGAGCCTTCTGCCTCACGAGCTACTCTCCCTGTCAACCACTTACTGTTTCATAGTTTATATCGACCATTCTGTCCCTGCCGTTCATGAAACCCCGGATTCCAGTGTCGCGTTCGTCTGCTACCCGTCGCCTGGATCTTAGTTTCCTACGCCTGGCCACCTTCTGGATGCTGCAAGTGGACAACATCATCCAGAGTTTCGGATACTTCCTTCCCTCGACATATCTCCCCTCCTACTCAACGGTAACAATCGGCCTGCAAGTGACAATGGGCACGATGCTCGTCTCACTCTTCAACGCAACATCCATCTTCGGCGGCATTGCACTCGGAATGCTCTGTGATCGCTTCGCAGTCACTAATATTCTATCGCTCTCTTCAATCGGATCTGCTTTATCGGTCTTCCTTTTCTGGGGCATGGCTGGTAACGAAACGTCACATACTGGCATTGCTCTACTTACTCTTTTTCGATCAGTTATGGCTTCTTCGCAGGTGGATTCATTTCCACTTGGTCAGTGATAACGCAGATCAAACATGATTCCTCTCCATCCTTGGAGACTGGATTAGTATTTGGTTTGCTTGCTGGTGGTCGAGGTATTGGAAATGTTGTGAGTGGACCGCTGAGTACATTACCACTTCACCAGGGGTCTGTGGGTGATCCGAATGGCCTGGACAATGCAACAGGCTATACTACCAAATACGGTACCTTGATCATTTTTACAGGAGTCACCGCCTTGTTGGGTGCGTGGAGCTGGATGTGGCGGTACATCGGCTCGGGGCTGCGTAGTATGAGTTCAAAGTGGCCGATTGGAGTGATATCTTCCTGGCTATGTTAGAAAGACAGACCAAAAATATTCTTAATTAATATCAGATGCAATTCTCGCAAATGAAATAAGTAGTTCCTAATTGCGTAAAGCATTCCTAATGACCATGGTCTAGACAAAGACGATCCATCCAAGTCACGTGCACCGAGCTTAATCGCGCATCCGCCGAACTTCCAGGCGCAATTACTAGTTGCTCCCAATCCAACCGCAGCTTCTCCCAGGGCGCTGTACCCTTCATCAAGATCATGTCCGCGGCCGAACAAGACCCTCTCCTCTCACTTCGACGCGCCATCGCCTCCGGCAATCTCCCAAAGCCGACGACTTCATCTGAGCTCACCGACGAAAATGCGACAGAAGACCTAGCTCAGGCGACACATCTCTACTTCGCACAGCCAATTCCACAGGCAATTCCTTTGGGAGCAAGGACACGGTTCGTCTCCGATGCCACGAAAGAGGCTGTCGATCTGCGCAGTATCTTCTTCGCGTGGCAGAAGAAGGATGTCGCTATTCCCGAGTACATTGCCTCGGCGCAGGAGCTGAATGAAGCCCTCAAGGCGAAGGGCCAGGGAGAGCAGGTTCAGAATCTCGTTTTCCTTGAGCGTCTCGACCTCATTACCTGGCTTGAAGGAGCCTCGGATGGAAGTGACCACATCAAGCCGCTCGAGGGTGCTGCAGCTGCAGCTGAGGCGGCCGCTGCGGCTGCCGGTGCTGCCCAGGCTGATGCGTCCGCTGGAATTGCCTCTGGTGCGACGGGGGGCATTCCACAGGTGCCCAGTGGGCCCGTTGGTGCTGTACCAGGCGCTGCTCCAGGTCGAGCACAGAAGCAAATCGACCCGCGGCTGCAGGAGATTTACAATGGAGAGCGAAAGACCGGAGATCGGAATACGGTGCTGCGCGGTATCAAGCCTACAGTGAGCTGAATCTCCCAATTGAGGAATGAGAATGTCAACGAAGCTAATTCTATATGGACAGGACTTCTCTCACGTCCGCAAGAGTGCCGAGGTGTTCCTAAGCCGCAACCGCCCGGGCCAAGCAGGCGCTAAACCAGGCGTGAAGAGCTCATCAATGGTTCCCGCCCCATCAGCCGGCCTCTCAATGCCATCATCGCGCAAATCCAACTCCCGTCCGGACCCCATCATCCTCCTCTCCCCCTCCGCCTCATCTCTTATCCGCATGTCAAATATCAAATCCTTCCTCCAAGACGGCGTCTTCGTCCCACCTGACCACCCAACTCTCAGCACATCTACTGAAGCAAACTTCATGGAACTCAAGCGCCCACTACGCATCAAAGCCGACCCGTCCAACCCCAACGCCTCAGCAATCGGCTCCGGCTCCGGCAGCCGCGGCCTCAAGCCAACCAAGTTCATTCTCGTCGACGGCACCACCAACTTCAAGCCGGAGTACTGGTCCCGACTCGTCGCCGTCTTCACCACCGGGCAGACCTGGCAGTTCAAGTCCTACAAATGGTCTTCTCCACCTGAGCTATTCAAGCACGCAACCGGTATCTACGTTGGCTGGCGCGGCGAGGAAGTTCCAGCGCAGGTGAAGGGATGGGGTCGTGGCGTGGAGAGTTTCGCCGTAGAGCGATGGGACGAGAAGGGTGGAATTCACGGCGGGGGACGATGGAGGGATCGGGAGGTTGTGGAGGGTATTTGGACTGCGATTGAAGAAGGCATGAGGCTGCGAGGCTGGGGTTCCAAATAGATTCTCTTCTTCGGTACTTTTGTTTCTTTGATACTTCGATTCCCCTTTTGTCAATTCTGCGGTTTCTTTCTCGAAAATGCAATTTGATGACACATAACATTAGGTGCGGCTTGGCGTTCAAGAATCTATACAATTTCATACACTTCTTGCCTTGGACAGCTGTGTATCGTTAATTGAGTGGCAAAGGCCCGGTACATTGGCCTTGTTATGGGGTGCGTTTATGTTCATTTCCTGTTCCTATCTGCACTGGTTTGTGGCATAGCAAAAGGAGAGAAGCCAGCCCTACGATGGACGTGGCAGCCCGATTCACAATAAAATGCATGTTTAGTACTTCAATATCACCAGTGAATGCGTCTGATGTCTAATGATCTATGCTAATCAAGTCACTACCCTCACTCCATAGAAGACTACAAGGGACAAGACTATATGATATCGTAATCTGCATTACAGACCCCGTGGGAACTGGTAAGATATGACATACAAAAAAAAAAACCAGAACTCACTCGCTGTGCCTTGAGGAACAATGCATGTGACAAAGGGAAAATAATGAGGAAAAAAGAAGAAAAAAAAGACAAAATATCGGACTGTCAAATGCTTCGAAATCCATGCAGAAAGAATCAAATGGATAAAAATATGGCGAGAAGGAAAAATGCAATGATAAACGCCATGTCTGATGCTCAACGAAAACAAAATCAAAGCATGCAAGTTTCAACCACCGGTCTTTTGTTCTGGGGAAATTTTCTGATGCTTTTTTTTTGCGGCTCTGGCGCCTCTCCAAGGTTGAAAAGATGCCAGCAGAAAGGGATATCGTGCATAAAGAATGAAGAAAACCGTCATTCAAATATTACAAGGTGGAGGGGAAGGGGGGAGGGGGGAGGGGGTCCCAAAGGAAATTCCGGCCTTCTCTATAACATGAGGCATCGATCGTAACGTCTTTCATCTGGAAGGAATAAAGGAAAAGCTCGTGGCGAGGGGAACAATGAAACAGGGAATAGAAGGGCAGCCCAAGAACCAGGGGGATCTAGGCTGCATGCCAATTGAAAATCAGAGAAGGGAAATTCGTGGTCGGAAGCGATCATGACAAAATCGGAATGCTCGAAACCAGAGCTCTCCCCTGTTTCCTCAGACTCATTGCGCGAGATCCCCGTCGCGGGTGTGATTCCCGCGTTGCAGTCGCACAAGTACGGGAAGTGGATATGACTTGGTTGGCCCGGTATCGCATCCGCTGGACTTTGATTCGGGCGAAAAAGCGTTGAAGCTTGGCGATTATGCGCGGACAAGGGACTTGGGGACGTTCGAATCACGTCGAGGCCGGGCATTTGCTGATATGTAGGCATCAATCGATGATTGTCATGACCGAGCTGAACGGCTCATGCTTCGTTCCGGGCCGCCGGGGGTCGGCGAGTACGAGCGTGTACCGCCAAAGATGTCCACGTCGTGCTCCTGTAGGACCACGGAGTACTTCGGGTCACGAAGGAATTTCGGAACGGAGTCCTGGAAGTGCAAGTCAGTACCAGGCACACTTATCTCCGGATAGGATCAGACTTACACTCGACATCAGCTTGAAGACCGAGGTCTGAGCAAGCTCGAAGAGGTGGACCACCTCCTGAAGACTCTTAAACATTGACTCGTCGTCGCCCACAGCCTTGGTCATACGACTGGCCAGGCTGTTGCGCAGCGCGTGGTCAATGTTCAATTCACAGGGTGATCCAGGGGCCAGGAACGCGTTGTACAAACCTAAAGTTGTGTTAGAGAGCAAACACGAATGCAAATTCGATGGGCCGCAAAACTCACCATAGGCCGCAGCCAGGGTCTCGCGCACCGAGTCGACCTTGGTGAATGTGCCCGTCTTCTCCGCCTTGTGGTAGTTGGCGGTAAACTCGGAAACATCGAGATAGAAGGAAAGGTTCTCCTCGCACAGCGAGTAACGCAAAAATTCGCGGAAGAGTAGACGAAGGGCGGGGTCACCCAAGATGTGGGTCAGTCGAGCGTTGTTAGAGTCACGGGGCATACCACGGCTGTCGTAGGTAGTGTGGTTGGTGCTGGCATTGGCATCACGGGCCTTGTCACGAGCAATCCATCCACACACGCGCTGTCCTCGCTCGGTAATGGCGTAGATCGCATACTTGGACGGTTGGAAGACGGCGTTCGAGTCGGGATAGGACTTGTCGTCCTGGATCATGGTAATTAAACCATACTTGAGGAACAACTCCGCAATCAGGCAAGTCTCGCGGCGTTCGATAGTTGTCGAACAATCCATCAACCAATCCACAGCACCTTTTCCGGTAAAGGTGTTGGTGTAGGACTTTCCATCATGCAGCTTACGCTCCCGAGCCATCTTCACACCCACAATACCGTTGGAGTAGTCGCTTAACGAGTCGGAATCGGAAGTAGAGATGCTGCTTTTGACGTTGGGGCCATCTTGACCAGCGAAACGGCGGAAGATGACTTCAATAGTGGCTCGGTCATGCGACAGCTTATCGGTTTCGGTATCTCGCTCGAGGTTTACCAGTTGCATGGTATTGCGCGTTGACTCTAGCACGTCCATCACGTGACGAGCAGTAATTCCGTTCCGCTGACAGAATCGCTGCAGGATGTTGATACCCTTGGGAGTGAGCTGGAAAAGCGCTCCCTTCATAGGGAAAATCGGCAAAGCCTTGCCATCTACTGACTCGATGAAGCGAGCATCCACGAAGCGCTGACACACGGAGCGGGCCATCTCCTTGGCCATGGAAAAGGTGGTGGTTGTGGTTGTGGTCACGATGCGCGAAGGATCCTTGGGGTCGGGCATGCGGTTCGACTGGGAGAACTTGAGCGAGCCCAAGTTATTGATCGCCTCTTCCGAGGTGAAGGTGTGATCATAGCGCGTGAAGCGAACTCGGTGCGAATCCAACTTCAAGCTCACCATGAGGGTGGAGAACAAGTCCATGAAATCCTAACGGTGATTGTTAGTTACTCTAATGCGGGCTATTCGGACCGTGGCCCATGCCACTCTCGATATTCCCAGTAGTGACCTACCTTGGTGAAGGGCCGCTCATCTTCGGTCATGCGCAACAACCTTGACGACGTTTGGTGCATTTTGGGGGGCACAGTTGGCGCAGGGCCGGACAGGCTGCGAAAGTCTTGAGGAGGGGTCGGAACGCGCTGAAGAGTCAGGCGGCGTTGAGGCGGATCCGGAGAATAAGGGCGCCAGAGGGACAATTGCTCGTCGTCGGACAATGGCGGGGTCAAGGGGTTCTTGGTTTTGCTCAGACTGCTGGAGGAGGTGGAGGTGTGCAGTGTTGGAGTAGCAATGGTGGACCAACTCGCCAGGGCGCTGGAGGTTCTCTGAGCCAAGGCAGCAAAGGAACGTCGATTGCGTCTTGAAATCGAACCAACGACTGACCCAGTAAATGAGGGCTGAATGGGAATCGGATCAGTCGCAGGGGTTGAAGAATGAACGATGGAAGGCTCAGGAACTGCAGGAACTGGGAGAGGTTCGCTGGGGTGGTTCAAGGAAGGTAGAGTTGGCATTGAATGGGAAGTCTTTTGAGTAAACCACTTTCGTGAAAAGTGGGTAACATTAAACTGGTACCCACGATTCCATTCAAAAATACGTCGAGGTGTTGTAAAGTTGTAAAGCCAATTTTGGGTGGAACTCCTTATACAGTGTACGGGAGAGGAGGGGAATGGGGGAGGGGAATTAGGAATGAAAAGGAAGGGGGAAACGAGGTTGGGAGGAAATTATACACTATAGTTTCCGATTCCCTAGTTTCTTGGTTTCTTATTATTATTTTTTTCCCTTCTCTTTTTTCCCTTTTTGATTCTGAATCATTTATCTTATTTTATTTTTCAGTCAACCAATACCTTAGGTATCTATGAGGAGTGATGGAAGAGGGGAGAGAATAAAAAGGGAAAAAAAAAAAGCCCAAGCGGGAGAGTGCAATGAAGCGAAAAGAATAAATTGAGGGAAAAACGAAAAAGGGCGGGTCTAAGTAAAGAACGAAGAAAGAAGAAAAAAAAAAAAACCGACTGTGATATCCCTTGTGAAGAATCACAGCCATTCCTGTCAATGAAATGACCCACAGCCCACGCGTGAGTCCAGCCGGAAAGAGTTTAGGTATGCTGCACCCAAGCAACGTGGGCCAAGGGAGGGGATTGCCTCATGGTAAAGATCGGTGGGGTTCCTTGTTTCGGGCCTGAAACTGCGACCGGATGCCCGCAGTGCATACTGTGAGTGATCTCCCCTTCCTTTCTTCTTTTCACTTTTCCCGCCTCGTACGGCAGTACGGCGTATCAGTCCTATGCCCATGGTCGTCAGGCCGGTTCACTGTGTCCAGACCACGCTGGCCAGCAAATTCACAACTACCATCATCTGGGTGGTGTACCCCCACGCCAATTCCAAATACCAAGTCGATGATTTCACCATCCCCGGGGTCGCCGAGGCTCCCATGGACCCAACCGTCAGCGAGCCAGGGAAATGAGAACCATACACCGAATCAGATCCGCCTGAAGATCGCCAGGTAATGGTATTACCGATGTAATGATCCTCCAAAGGCTGATTCGGAACTCCCCCTTTTTCTTCTTCGCGCAGAACTGGACACTTCCCCAAAGAGGCATAGTGGCATCCCGATGTAGGAAGTGGCCTCCTATCATGTATCTCACCCTGGTTCTCATTGGGACACGATGGTCACAACACCCCACCTTGCTCCGAACTGGCTTCGTTTCTCTCGGCCCCCTGGCCCGAACAGGCAACGGCGCTTTTGAACTCACGCCCACGTGGGAAACCTTCGCCCACCCCAGTACTGTCAGGAACCTTATCGGGTGGTGGCGAGGTACCTTCGATCCCCATTACTGCTTTTTAGAGTCGGATCTTCGCCGGAGTATTTTCCATCGTTCTTGCCGCACTGGATGTCTCGAGCGATAAGGCAACGTTCTGTGGCATTCCACGTTTCAGTCACCTCCGATCGGGGTGGACCCCGGCGCCACGAAGTACTTGACTCAGGTTTTTATGTCTTGTA